CCAACCCCAACCCCAACCCCAACCCCAACCCCAACCCCAACCCCAACCCCAACCCCAACCCCAACCCCAACCCCAACCCCAACCCCAACCCCAACCCCAACCCCAACCCCAACCCCAACCCCAACCCCAACCCCAACCCCAACCCCAACCCCAACCCCAACCCCAACCCCAACCCCAACCCCAACCCCAACCCCAACCCCAACCCCAACCCCAACCCCAACCCCAACCCCACCAACCCCCAACCCCAACCCCAACCCCAACCCCAACCCCAACCCCAACCCCAACCCCAACCCCAACCCCAACCCCAACCCCAACCCCAACCCCAACCCCAACCCCAACCCCAACCCCAACCCCAACCCCAACCCCAACCCCAACCCCAACCCCATTTTTTTTTTTTAAATATCTTTAAAATAATAATTTAAGTTTAATAAATATTATTTTTGCTTCAATATATTAATAAAATTTATTGTAAAAATGAAAATTTTTATTTATACTAATTTTTCCATTATTTTTATTTTGTTTTATTAATTTTAATTCCAAAAAAAAATTAGATAAGTCCAGTAAAATAATTAGAATATGTAATATTTGATTAATTTTACTTATTCTTTTTAATAAAAATAAATTCAAAATTTTTACTAAAATAATTTAATGATATAATGATTTTATTATCTAATATATTTATTTTCAATTAAACTTAACTTATTTAGAATAGTAATGTAATTATGAAAAAACAAATACAATTAAATCATTTGGCAGTAGTATGATTAATTATAAGACTTTCTTAAAAAAAGTAATATATTTATTTTAAATATTTAGTATTAAATTTAAATTTTGTATAAAATAAATAAATTAAAAAAATCTTTTTGTTTTTGAAAGTATAATTTTTCATTCAAAAATATTTTAAATCATGAATGGAAAAAAATTTTTTTTAAATTAAACTATTTATAAATATTTATTTACTGATGTTTGTTATGAGATTAAATAATATTTAATTAGAAAGATTAATTTACACAGAAAAAATAATAATTAATTACCTAAATTAATAAAATTATTTTTGACCTTATTTATTCAGTCAAAATTGTTATCTTGTAAAGAGATAAACATTGTAATGTTAGTTAATAACAGTGAAAAATTAAAATAGAAATAGAAAAGCTTAATATCCATCGAGAAAGTACTATTTCTTGAAAATTCTGGAAAATTACAAATATTTAATTAAGGAAAAGTGATCTCTTGTTAAAAATTAAATCTTTTATCAAAAAAGTAAATATTATATATTAGAAACTCCATTTTAAAATGAATAAAATAATTTAGAAATTTGTTTAGTTTAAATCGAAATATGGAAAAACTGGACTGGCTTTATATTTCGGATTTTCAGCACTTTCGTTTGGGTCAAGCTACTATATGGTGAAATAAAATAAAGAGACACTAACATATTACTTGAATAAAATAGGACTTCATAATGAAAAAATGCTAAATTCCTCTGACATACTAATAGCTTATCTAGCACATAAAACAACAATTCCTTTAAGAATAGGTGCAACAGCTGCCTTAACTCCTATTGTTAAAAAAATGATATTGTGAAAGAGGTATATTAATGAATTATGAGAATTATGTATACTGTCCTTATTAACTGATAATTTATTAAATTCTGATAAATTAAAAAATATACTAGCTATCAATTTACTGCATATTCCTTACTTTTAAATGATATAAATAAATATGGAAATACAATTATAAATCAAAAATAATGATATGTCATCAAAATTTAATGTAATTTAAAAATATTTATATATTTGTATAATTGACCATTTAATTAACAAAGTCAAGTATTACCAAAAGTTACATGATCACAATTTAGAAATATTTTCTTTCAACTTTAACAAATGTAATTTAAGTCATTTAGTAAAATAATACGAAAAGTGTATAGTAAGATATGTGTTTTAATGTTTTGATGCAAAAGGAAATTTATGACTCATCATTGTTTTATTTTTTTATCTGAAAACTCATTTCCAGAATTAAAATTTTTAATTTTTATCCTTGGGTGGATGACTTAATAAGATTTCCCTAGAATTTGCAAGGAAAATTTATGGAGAAACTTCCTAATGAGGATAAATTTGAATTGATTTGATCTATTTTAATAATAATTAAATAAAAAATAGGAAAAAAGGTTAATTAATAACAATAAAAAAAATTATACCAACATCAATTATAATGAGAGCTGCTATTCAACTTATGTCTAAATCCAAAGAGTAAATTAAGTCTTATGGCTTAGCTGGTACTGCTACTTATTTTGCCATATCTTTTTCTTCCCTTGGAACTTGCTATTATTTGGTAAAATAAAATAAAGGATATATTCAAGAAATGCTTGAAAGTAAAGGAATATCAACAAAGAGCTTTGAATATGGTTCTGACTTCTTAATTGCATATGTAGCTCACAAGACTACCTAGCCTCTTCGTCTTTGTTTGACTGGAGCTCTTTTCCCCATAGTCAGAAAGTTAGCTAGAAGATGAAGCTAAGAGTACAGCTCATGAAAAATAAACTAAATAATTTGCCTTAGTTAACTACCTTATTTATTATAATATCTTAAGATAGATAAAATGAAAAAGTTCTTTAAAAATTAAAAAATCATTCTTAATAATAGAATAAAATATAAATAATAACTCTCTCAATCTTATCCTTAAAAAACCCATATTTAGTCTAATTAATATCCATTTAATAGTATAATAATATATTTATTTAGTATGTATCCATTACCTTAAAAAATATTACATTCATTAAATAAATTAAATTTGAATTTTCTTGTACTTTTTCACGCAGAAATCTTTGGAAAATTCACCAAAGATCAAAAAATGAGTTCATTTAATAATTTTTCTATTTTTTTATGCAAAATTATTTACTAATTTTTTCATTTTTTTTATTTTTGGCTTCTAAATGAAGTATATATGATATTTTATATATAAGTTAATAAATTCATATAGACTGCACTTAATTTATATATTGGAATTAATTTAAAGTAAAATAAATTAGTTAAATTTAAAACCATCAAATCTATTTTAAAATAAAAATAGAATTTTTATGTTTTTCTTAATCTTTTTTATTTTTTAGTTTGTTTAGAAAAAGTTTATTAAATTGTTAAATATTTTATTAAATTCTAAATTAAATAAATTATTTTTTTTAATTTTCAAAGATAAAACTACAAATTAAAAAAATATTTTATTAATAGAAAAATAAATTAAAAATCAATTTTACACTTAATTATTATTTAAAATTATATTTTTTAGAAAATTTTTATAAAATGGTAAAAAAATATTTTTTACTTTAAAATGATAAATTAGAAATCTAATAGAGCTTATAAATTTTATATTATTATTTTATAATCTTTATAATTTTTGATTTTTTTATGAGATCAGTGTTAAAAGTTATTATAATGTTTAATCAGCTTTATTTTTTTGCAATTAACTATAAATGACTATAAATCTTTCAAAACATATAAGAAAAGTATCTATAATATATTATCAAAATTTTTGGTACTAATAGAAATTTTATTATTATTAATTATTATTTTGTGAAGAAAAATGAAGCCTGAAAAGTCATAGTCTGTTGTAGATAATAGCAAACAGTAAAAGAATGATAAAACAGAAGTAAAGGATGAAAATGAAGAAGATAATGTTACTTTAGATTCTATTATTGATGAATTCTTTTCTTTCGAAGATTAGAGAAGAAGATTTAAAAATGGTAAAAAATCAAATTTTTTCAGAGAACTACTTATTGAAAAATTTTAAAATAATTAGATATAAGTATGCTACTTGAACTCTCTAATAGTATGAATGTAAAGGTAGATTTAGAACATACATCTTCAAGTCTATCAGTTATAGTTGGATTAATGACTAACTAATTTGATTTTGGTTCTTCTATTATAAGTCAAGAAATCATTTATTTTGAGATTAATGTTAACCAAAAGTACTACCCATAAAAAGGAACTAGAATATATTGCAAGACACCAGTAATTTTAATACTTTAAAATATATTTAACAGTTTAAACTATTGAAACATGTATTCAACATTTTAAAGAACCTATTTCCATTTACTAAAAGTTTTTCAGCCCTTGCTTGTGTGATGGTAGAGATTTTTTGCAGGACATACTGGGACATCCATGGTATAGTTAAATCACATTTGTGTAGATAGTATAATCAATAATAGAATTTGTAAAAGAATTAATTAAGTATAAAACAGATGCCATTTATCTGTAAAAGATAGGCAAGTTTTATATTGGGTAGAATTATAAATATGAAGATATTAAGCAATTTTCAGCACTAAATAGAGTACCATGTGTTTAATTTGAAGATAACTTTTTCCAAAAACTGCATGTCAGGTTAATAATTTTAATTAGAATTTATATATATTGGTTAATATTGCTTTTATAATACAGGATTATAGGTATTACGGATGCTCACTTTTTAGTATTTGATGCAGAAGATGCAGAAAAAAAAATTCTTAAACTAATATTTTGGAGTGATTTATAGAGTTTAGTTGAAATAAAAAGAAGAAAAGATGAACCTACAAAGCTTTCATTTAAATGGAAAAACTTTAACAAATAAAATGGTTAACCTCCTTTTTATGAACAAACATTCTAAATAACAGAGCCAGAACAAGTCATTCAGCAAATTTTAAAGAAGATTTAAAAGTTTTAGAGAATTAAGATATGGAGTAATTCCTATATGAATTTTGGTAACTAATGGGACTCAAAAAAATAAGTTATAGAGCAATTAACATAGAAAGTTTATAAATATGAAGAAGAAATTAAGTATAAATTCAATATTGAAAATGTTTAAAAACTAATAGATAGTTATAATGAAATGATTGAGCATTATTCCTCTGTGAACGATTATTTATCTGATATTTTCTTGAATTCACTTCATAATCTTTTGAATCGCCCTGATGTATAATGCCTATTAAGTAAAATTCGCTAATAATAAATATATTTAACTTTTAAAATAACTAAAATAGATTATTAGAATGAAAAGCAAATAGAATAAAAATAAAAAGAAAAACAATCTAATTAAGAAGATGATATTTAGGAAGAGGACCAAGCAATATAAAATAATTAGGATCAGCAACAAGAAAATTTAAATAAAGGAGAAGAGCGTTAATAAGAAATAGCTTCATCAAATAGCAGTTAAAAAGAAAGTAAAGAAAATAACCTAAAATAAGCAGAAAACGAAGAGATTTAAACTGAAGATAAATAAAAAAGTTCTATTAATTAACACGAATAAGAAGAAGAAGAAGTATCTCAAAATGAGAAAATTTTGAACTAATTAGAACAAATTGAATAAAATACTTAATAATCTGATTAATAATATGAGTTATTAGAAAATAATAGTAATTAAAATTATTCCATCAGTACAAATGAATAAGCCCTAAGTGAATCAAATAAAAACTAATCGATAGAAACAAATTAAGATAAGCTTCTAAATATAGATGAAAAAAGTACTTAAGATTAGCTTAATTAGTAAACAGTTAATGAAAACGCTGAAGAATAAAATGAGTAGATAGATTCAGAAATATAAGAAAATTAAAAATAACAGTAAAAAGAAGAAAATGTATGAAAAATATATTAAGATAGTAAGTCCAACATATAGTAAAATTAAAAAAAAAATTAAATCTTTTAATAAAATTAATTATTTTGTTTACTACTAAGTTTGGTTAAAATAAGATATTATTAATAGTGAAATTTGTGGTTTATAGCAGCAAAGTTTTATTTGATTTAAATTTAATAAACATAGCTATACTTTCTAAAAATTAAGTTATCAATATATATAAATAAATAGCTTCAAATGATAACAAAACAATAAAATTATTTTTTAATTTTAGATGAAATTAAATGTAAAAACTGATTAATATTTATCTCAGTTTTCAAATATTTTTAAATTTATTTAAAGATATAATTACCTTAAATTCTAAATGTGAAATAAAGAAAATTAAAATTTTAAATATTGTTAGTAAAAATTAAATAAAGATAATTAAAATTACTAGTTCTCAATTGAAAATATTTTATAAATAATATTAAATCTAAAAAATAAATTATTTAAAATGTTAAATTACAATATAAATAGATAAATTATTATAGTAGTAAAATTTTATGATTTCTAAATTGTATTGTTAATATTTTAAATTCTATTAAGATTACATAAATATTTTTTGAACACGCAAATATAAAAATAAGTTAATGTTTTATGAACGTTTTAAAATCAATTTTATCTTGCATTTTTCATTAATTTTGCTTCTTTTCTTTTTCAAGCTTATCAACTAAATAATTTATATAGTTTTTCATTACAGGTTATCCAGTTTTAGTTCTTTCAGTAAATATTTTTTTGATCTTCTTTCTTTATTACTCTTTTTCTTTCTTTTAGTTTTCAATTTCTTCTTATTTTTTCATTTTTTATTCTTAAATCTATTTCTTAAACTCTTATCTGTTAAACTTTTCCCTTTTGTATGGTTTTTTGCCATCTTTTTAAATTCCCTTTTTCACCTTTTAATTTTTTTATTCTTATTTATTTTCTTCCTACTTATCTTCTCCTTAATTAGGATCATCTTTGAATAACTTTTTTATTTTAAAACAGGAAATAAGAAAAATATTTTAAATAGTTAAAATTACTGAATTATAAAAGTCCATTTTTTTATCGGCAAGCTTATCTTTCTTTAGCTTTTCATTTTATTCCTATTAAATATACTTTTATTAGTCTTTAAAGGATCTCTTTACTTTACTGATTTTATTCATCATCTAATGCCTCTCTATAATAATTAAAAATATGCATGAGCAATTTTGGATTTAAAACAAATCTAGCTTTCTATACTTTATTGCTTTCTCTTTCTGAGGACATCATTAATATTCACCATTTTTATATTTAAATTCTATTTTAATATGCTTATATTTTATGTGATTTAGACTAAATTAATTTTTGGAATAAATTATACAAATTTATATTTATTAAACTTTGTGGTGTATTTCAAGAATTTATTCATCCCATTCCTACTTTAATATTTAGAAGAAATAGCAAGTAGAAAAAGAAATGTTTATAATTAATTATAAGAATTTATTGTCAAGAAATATCATTTATTTTAATGATATGTAAATAAAATGTTTATAAATTTATATTAAAATAAAAAATAATTAAATTTTTTATCTAGCTAACTAATTTGATGAAATAATTCAAAATAAAGATTTGTAGTAGAAAATAATATCAGTAAATGGAAATTATTATGGTATTTGATGATAAAGAAATAAATGATTGATTATCAGAAAAATATTAATTTAAATAATAATGCTCATAAGTGTCAAATTGTGGCTATATAGTTTACTTTATATAAAATTGAGAAATGATTTATTGGATTATTTGCAAGCAAATACCAAATTTAAAAAGATTTCTTGTAATTTTTGCTACTATTTTTCAAAAAAATTTACAATTTTTATTCATAAAAGAGATTAGATGATTTGTTTACTTATTTACTATGATTTAGGATATTTTTTAAACAAATCAAACTTTTAATAATTTCTAAATAATTGAAAACCCGTTAAAAATTATTAAAAAAATCATAGTTTTTAAAAAATGGGAAACGAATAGTCAAATAATAAGTATAGAAGAGATGCAAACAACTTCAACTAGCAAAAGTCTAAGATTTAAAATTAAGATTTAGACAACTCAATACTGAGTACTAGTGTTTATTAGAGGAAAAAATAAGCTTAGCCACATCAGTTAATGTTTTAACCAGTAGACAAAAATGAAATGAATATTTCAAGAAGAAATTAATTAGATGTATCTCAATCTAGAGTAAATAGAAATAAATCTTCAAAGTAAAAACATTTTTTTAGATTAATGCAAATAAAGACTGACTGTTTTGAGGAAAAGGAAATTAATTTTATACCTTTAGCTTTAAAAATAAATTTAAGTTTAAATAAATACTCTAAAATATCTTTAAGTCTTTTAATTTTTTTCTCTTTTTAACATATCTACTATAAAAGAATTTTTTTACAAAATCAAACAAACGCTCTAAACAAAAATTTTTGTTAAACTATTACAAATACTTTAAAAAGATAATATTGATATTTTTTGGTGAAGTGATAATAAAATTATTATATTTTTTTATAATCAACACTTTTACTTTCGTAGTTTTAATTATTCACTAATTTTACTAAAGTTTGAGAAACCAAGTTTCTTTTGAAGATGTAGAAAATAGAAGTACCATTAGGAGTGTATCACCTAATAGATCTCATCTTTTAGTTTAAAGCATGAGGGATATAGATAGAAGATCTTACAGATAAAGAAACAAGGTTCAAAGAGAAGAAAAAATAGATATAGTTAGAAAAACTACAGATTTCTGTGTTGATGCGTTATTGCAAAATATTGATTATGAAAACAACTCTTATATTAATAGTTTACCAAATTTAACTGCAATGGTTTCATCTTAAAATTTAAATGTTGCTGAAAAGTCAGACGAGAATCTACTAATTAAAAACATTATGAAAAATAAAACAAAAGAAGAGTAGCATTTAAGATTAAATATGAAGCATGATTATCCTTTTTCGCACGAAGATAAAAATAGGTTTTCAAAGCAGCACTCGTTTTTTATAGATGAAAAATATGATAAATTTGCTGATAAATAGCTAGAATAAGCAGCTTCATTAATTAATAGCAAGCCATATTTAATGTAAATTGATATTTATTGAACAAATTAAAAACATTTTTTGTATAATTTTTAGGTAATCTCAATTAAATGTAAATGAGTCTAACCTAATAACCTTAGATCCATTTAAAAAAGATATAACTATAAGCGAAATAAAAGCCCCAAACCGATAAACATTCAAGCCTTTAGTAGATACTAGATAAAATGAATTATAAACAAAAATTAATATTAAAGATCTTATAACTACAGATTAACAATTGAGTGCTATTAGCTCTAGAAAAAATGGATAGAGTCCTTTAAATAATCAAATTGCAAGTGGGAATACCTCTCCTTTTTCTAACCTTTTCTAAAAAGCAGCATCAACTGAAAAATAGGAAGAAAAGCCTCAATAATAATAAGAATACATTTAAATATAGAAGGTTAATGCAGAAGTTTTAGAAGATAAAACTTCTAAATCGCTTTTATTAAACACTACTTCTAATTATAATTCACAAAAGTTTGAATCACAACTAAAACCTAGCTATGAATACACTGAACCTGCTCCAATAATTAAGAAAACAATTGAAATTAACGAAAGGATTATTGATAACACTCTACCAAATAATCCAAATTATAATAGCCAAATCTACAATTATGATCCTTCTAATAGAATTCCAGCAGCACCAAAAAATCAATAACCATATTTTGAAAATAAATAGCCATCTTAAGTTTAACAGACAGATTATTATTAAAATCAATCTTATATAAATAGAGTTGATTATAATTCTTCATAGATTTTACAAGAAAAACCTTTAAGAGCAGGTAGTAATTAAGATTATGAGAGAGATTAAAACAGTAATCTCAAAAGCAACTAAAATAATTTTTATCCCACCACCCAGAAGCTGAAAATCAAAGTTAAAAAGGTAGAAATTCCTTAAAATACAGATTCAGAGAAATACGATACAAGTAGTGAGTCTGAAGAAGATTAAGAGTAGTCTAAGAATATCAAAGGAGTGAGATTAAGAGAATATGAAAAAGAATTGAGTGAGAGAAAGAAAAAATCTAAAAATAACTTAAATTCAGCAAATTAAAGTTATTTAAATACTTCTCATACAAATATTAACAAAACTGAAAATTCCTTTTATAATAATTAAAATAGAAGTAACACTCCCTCATATAGAAATACCAACAATAATAATAATAATTAGACTACAAATAATAGTTTCATCACTTACTAGCAAGACTTGTCCCCACAGAATGGTTAGTACACTCCCTACCAATAAAAATATTATACAACTAATTAGGAATAACAATAACCTCCATCTCAATTTACTACTTATTAAATTGAGAATAAAAACTATTATTCAAATTAAAATAATATTATATAAGATAAAAATAACAATGAATACGATACTGTCAAAAGATCTCGCCTACAACCATAACAAAATTATAACACTCCTTATTAAAATAATCAGTAATAAAATTACAATGAAAATCCCAACTAACAGCCATTTTACTAACCTTAAAATTTGAACAATTAACCTTAAAATTACAATAAATAATCTTAAAACTACAATAACTATACTTAAGCTCCTAGATCACCACATTCTTAGATGGAATAACCTCTAAATTATTCTAATAATCAGACAACATATTCACCTTAGTTCTCTTAAAACTATCTTCCTAATAATAGTAATATTAATTAATTCTAAGAACAGAGAGACTACCCTTAAAAGATGATCCCTTTTCACTTACCAGATCAAAGAGAAAAGGCTGTTTAACCTTAGAGTTTAACACCAAGAAATCCAGATAATATAAATAATTATTAAACTTCTACAACTCCTCGCAGCCAAAGATAACCTATATTTAGTAATCATAGTAGCAAACAAAATAGCATTTAAATGAGTTATACTTAAACCTATCCTGAATATAGCAACTAACAAAATTAACCTAAATAGCCAATTCTAAACAAATAAGCTTAAAATCCATAAAACTTTGAAAAAATTATTGACATTAAACTTAACGAATCGAGAACTGAAAGGCGAAATCCTACACCTTCAAACATTATAAATCAATCATATACTCAAAGGGAAAATATCAACACCCCTTCAACTAGCTAAATTTTAAATTAAAGCTATACAAACATAAACTAAAGCTATAAAAATTAGTACAATAATGAGCATAGAAGTATTACACCTCCTCCTATTTAAAGAAATGAAAACCAAACTGAAAAAATAACCACTACAACTACAGTATATTAGCATGGCTTGGAACCAAATAGAAGCTTTAATAATAACTATAATAATTATGGACAAAAAGATTACTATTATTAAAAAGAAAACTAAAAAGTAAATTGCTAAACATAACCTATTAATGATATAGCACCTTAGTAACCTTACTAAACGGAAAAACAAAGTTACTCAACCTATAATTAGCCTCCTACCAAAGTTTAAAATATATAAAGCTCTATTACAAATACAAAGTAGACTTAATAAAACATATCTTATTCAAGATAAAATCAGCCTCAAGAGGGTGATGGAACAAATATATTTATTGTGGTAAGTTTTTATCTTCTTATTTATTCATTTTAAATATTGAAAATAATATAAATTTTATTTAAAAAAGGACTCTCCTCCTTAATCATAGAAAGAAATAGCATTGAAGAGAAGTTTAAATAATTCACGTGCTTCTTCTAAAAATAAAAAAAGAAAAAAAACTCCTGGTAGAAAGTAAAATTATTAGAGAAGTGATAATTCAAGTGAAGACCATTCACCTAATTCATCAATATATTATGAAGAAAATTAAAATATTTCTGATGATGATTTAAGAGATAGTTATAGAAATCGCTAACCTTAGGTATAGAGAAAAAGTTAAAAGAATACGAGCTATAGTCATGAACGTCAATCACGAAAAAGCAACTAAGACAAAGTGTAGAAAAATAGTCAAACAAGAAATGGTTAACCAATATAACCTTATAATTAGGAGGAGTCAGAAGAAGATTAGTATGATTAAAAAACTAAAAAATCTAAATTACCTAAGAGAGATTAAGAATAAAATAGCAACAAATCCCATCCTTATAGCTAGTCAAAAACTATTCGCACTGATATGGAGTAAATTTAATAAATATTTTAATCAACATAAGAAGAATAACCTCCATATGATAATTATTATGATAGTAAAACAAAGCAACCTTAGAATAATATAAATTAGGAAATAAATTACAATCAAAATACAAATTAAGAAAATAGGCAAAATCCCTAATATAATCAATCCTCTACAGCTCAGAGATAACCAAATAAAGATCACTATAATTAAATGACTTATCAACCAAAGAAAATGATAAATAATAATCATTAACAAAATTATAATTAACAAGAAAGTGAGACTGAGGAAGATGATCTACAATAATAACCCTTTCAACAAAATAACTTTTACAAATCTCCTAAAGGTCCATCAAGTTAACCACATAGAAATCCATAAAATAATTAAGAGTATTAGCCTTAAAGCTATCAAAAACAACCAAGATAGGAAAAATAAAACAATTCGAATAATAATTAGTAGTAAAATTAATATAATAGAGAATATGAACAAAAATAATAGATATCCAATTCTTAACCAAAATACCAAGATTCCAAAATATAACCTAAAAATATTAATAATAATGGATCATTAAGGAATAATTAGAATTATAGTAATACATATCGCAACGAAACTGACTCAGAAACCGATTCTGGATACCCTCACTAAGAAATTGATAAGCATGTGTATCCTGGAAATAAATCAAATAGTCAATCGATAATAAAAAAAGACAATAAAAATAATTCTCGAATTCTTCCTCATAATATAAATGATAGTCATTTAAGTTAAAATAATAACTTTTAACAAGAGGATTATAACGTAGTATACGAAACTCATCCTTTGCAAAAGCAGTAATCAGAAGTTACTTTAAACAAAAATTACTATCAATAAAATTAGAAGTAAAATACAAGATAATAAAATCCTCATTAAAATAATGATCATACAAATAGTTAACAGCCTAATTATAATAATGGTAGTAACATTTAATAAAATTTTAGCAACTATCCATAAAATTAACAGTATTAAAATTATTAATAAGATTAATATGAAAAAAATTAGTTGTCAAAGGTTAAGTCAGAAAGTAATTTTTTGAGAAACGATAATTTGTAAAATATGTCAAATCCAAAGTAAATTAATTAAAATTCTAATTTACCAAAAGTATTATTAAATAGCAAAGTTAAGGTTAAACTGCCATAAAATCAAAATGGTACGATACCATAACTCAATCAAAGTTAAGGAAAATAAATGTAATAAAATGGATAATAGTATTAACATCAAAATCCTAATTAGTAGTAATATGCAAGAAAACCATAAAACCATAATATAAATGATGATAGATATGTATAAGACAACTATAACGAAGAATAAGAAGAAGATGACAATTAAGTTCTTAGAATGACTTTGGATTTAAGTAACTAAAATCATGCAAACAACAGAGCTTCTAATACTCTTGATTTAAACGATAATGAATATGAAGAGCCTGTGAAAGTTTAATTAACTCTAGAAGAAATTATGAAGAGAGATGATAGTGGATTTTTTGAAAACTAAGATGATTTGCTGAACTCTGATACTTCTTCGTAGCAAGCAAATTATATTAATGCCTTAAATTAAAATTTGCAATATCAAAATAAATATATTTTATGAGATTTATATTTTAAAGAAGTAAAAAAAATAAAATGATCAAATTATTTTATAAAATTAAATAAATCAAATTTATATTCTAATGAATTTAAATCAGTTTATAATATGCATTTAATTATCAAACAAAAATTATTTGATAAAAATTATAAAAAATGTGTAGGACTGTTTTATTTATTGTTAAAAATATAATTTTTATCTCAATCCATTTCATATTATTTGGTTTATTTTATTTGTAAAGTAAACTTGTTTTACTAGAACGAATTATTTTTAATTTGATTTAATTTACTCAAATAATTGTAAGTCTTTGAATGATACCTTAGTAAATTGATAAATATTTAATTAAAAATTTTTTATTGGTGGGGTATTTAATTTAGATAGAATTTTACATTTATTAATTGTTTATAAAACTAAAGGCTAATAAATACTTAGTCAAATTTTTAATAAAATTGAAATTAATATCAATATCCAAATTTATATACTTATAAATAATAAGGGTATTAACACTTATTTGTTGTTCATTACCTTCAGATATCTACAAAATAAATAAATATTTATATTTGTTCCTATATTATTTTCCATAATTTTTATTAAGTTTAAAAAATTAGCTTTAAATGCTCATATTACATAGTGAAGAAAAGCTAGAATTATAAGATGAAATATTAAATAAAAACAAGATAGCGAAGTACAAATAATAGAAAAAGTAAAAGAAAACGGATTCATTAAATGAAATTAAGCTTTTGAAGTACACGAAAAAGTAAAAAAATGTATTTTTCGAGCCACCTTTAGGAACGATCTATCCCAGAATTTTATAAATTCTCAATAATAATAGAGCTAAATTGATTATTTCATTACTATTAGCAAGATTCTTTATGTACTTACCTTTTAGTTTCGTAAACAAAGAGTACCCAATGATAAAAGGTTAGCAATTAAAACAACCTAGCTTTTTTTAGATTCTTCCTAAATACTTATTAGCAGCTGAAACAACAGAATGTTTATTCGTCTCTATTTTTTGTGGGCTATTTATGGATCTCTATTCTGTGTTTTCTATTTCTTAGTTTTCGATGGCTATTTCAATAATAGGAATTATTATTTAAGGATTTAGCATTATTTCAAATGAAATGGAAATATTTTTTATTGGTTATAGTTTTTCATTTTTTGTGAAATTAGCCTATCTTGTTTGCTTTGAAAAAATCATATTTGATTCTGCCGTAACTTTTAAGTAAGCCAGTATTAATTCGTCTCTCCTTAATATAATTGCTTGTCTTGCTAGAATAGTAAGTTGTGTGGTGTCATATTTTTACAATGAATAATATACAGTCTAGTATATAGTATTGGCTTTTAGCATTTTAGGTATAATATCACATCTAATACCAATGAGAGTTTTATTTGATACGATTTTTAAAATAGAAGATTAAAAGCTAAGTAGTGTAGAATACTAAAAATATATAAAATACAAAAACTATAACATGTATCCATCTTAAATTAAAAAAATATACTTTTAACGAGATTATCTATATTTAGTTTTTTTAGCTATAGTATTACTATTTCCAACTTCTTTTAAGGGTTCATCCTACCTAAGATTTATTTTAAAAAATTATTCGACTGAAGTATGTGCTATGTACACTTGCTTTGATAAAGATTAAAGCTTTTAAGTATAATAAATATCATTTAGTGAGTACTTTTTGGATGCTTTTCATTAGGTAGGAGGTCTTTTATTCTGCACTCCTATAGTTTATTTAGTCAGCTCTTAAAAAAATAGTATATAAATGAGATATAAGACAATCTATTATACCTCTATTGTAGTCTTGATAGTATGTATTATTTAATTGGTTTTTTATAAGCTGAAAGATAGTTATAGTGGTAGTTAAACTTTTGATATTGTGCTAATTTCTATAATATCTACTATTTTAGGAGCTTCATATTATCTTATTAGAGTTTTAATAATTTAGCTTCATTTTGCAATAAATCCTCAAAGAAGTTCTATCAAAGGTATTGGTATAGCTTTTATTGCAACTTTTACTGAATTATAAGCATCTATCTTCAAATTTTTTTCTTCATCGAACGAAGATTCTGTTTATGGATTATTGTTCTTTTTTGTCTTCTTAATGGTTTTTATAATACTATTCTAGTATTAATACTTGAAAGGAAAATCATTCGATAAAGTTTAAAAAGCTGTAACCTTGAAATATAAAATTCTAACAAAATGAAAAACACCACTAAAAGTCTGCTTATTTAAGATAAATTTAATAAATAAAATGACATTCAAACAGATTTAATTTCAAATATAAATTATAAATATACTAATATAAAAATTTATTAATTCTTTCTTATATAATTCTTTAAATGTAACAAATTATAAGTCTATTAAACATATTTTCAAATTAAAGCAAATCAAATTTATAGGATTTGAATATTTTATAATTAGATAAAATACATAACCAAAAAGATTATTTTTATACTTAAGAATTACATTATTTTTCCAGAATATTTTTATAAAAATATATTTCATAACAAACAATCTGATAATTTATCGTATATTCTTTATTTTATAATTATTGCCCACCTCAAATTAAGTAGTAAATGAAGATATTTTTTTAATGATAATTTAAAAATAAAATGAATAAAAATTAAATAAAAATAGATGATAATCTATGGTGATTTTTTTAATAATAAAAAAATCTTTTTTTTTGAATATATTAAAGTACTAAAAATTTGAAAAGTTTTAATATCTTTTTATAAATATTTCATAAATTTATTTTTCATTTGATTTAAAGATTTATACAAATAATAACTTCGCAAATATATTTATTTGGTCAGAAATACATATAATTTTTAAAAATTAATTTAATAAATTTATCATAAATATATTAAGCCCTTTACTTTATTAAAACTTTATTTGTTTTGGTCAGTTTGTTTATATCAACAAATAACCTAAATTTTAAACATTTAAAAATTTTATTTTAATCTTTCACTCAGGTATCTTTGGGATTTCTTGCTATGTTAGAAGGAGCTAGCAGAATTTTTTAAGATTCTCTACACCTCTAACTTCAGATTCTTAGAGAGGAACAATAACAACATGAAGGTCTTCATATAATTCTAATATTTAATCCATATATTTCTTTTGCATTTTTGCTCTAGACCTACACATTTTGCAGGTTTCATCTTTTAATAAATTTATATAAATATTTTTAATTAGTAATTTAATTTTTTTTAATAAATAAGTTACTTGGATAGAGGACTTAGTTGATAACAATGTTTTATATGTCGATTTCATATTTAGCTAATTCATAAACTAATCTATCAGTTTCGTACATACTTAAAAACTCAGGAATGCAAACTGCAACAAAGGTGGTTCTATTCTAATTAATTAATTATAAATTAATTTTAAGTGAATGCTTTTGTTATTTAAAAAAATACAGGATCTTTCATTTAGTTAACAACTAATTAAACTGTTTTTTTCTTTTCTTCCAAATCACCAAATAATTTATCAAAATTCTATTAACCTGCAATCTAATAATTTTTTTTATTGAATATAGAAATCATATTGACTTAAAAATAATATTACACTTGATAAGATTCCTTAAAACTTGTTCTTTAAAGCTATGATTTTCTCAATACCTTTTTCTAATAAATTTGGGAAGTTCAAAAGTCTTAATGTATGTCCTGTAGGAGCTGTATCAAATACAACAACATCGAAATTGTATTTATCTAAAGATCTAAAAATATTGAAATATTCTTAATAAATTATAATCATTTATCTCAATTTACTTAATTAAAGCAGAAAAACTCATAGCTTCATCAATACCAGGAACTTAGCTAATAATTTCAGACAAGAAGTTTTTAGTAGATTAATCTGTTTCAAAACCTTCAAAATCTGGAAAATTGAGGGAATTTGGATCTATTGTTGGGTCTATTTCCTAATAATTTAAATATTAAATCATTAGTGATTAAGACTTTTATTAAAAATTCTAAGTTTCTTACCATACCCCATAGATTTTCAATACCTGCTACTGGAGTAGGTTCTTTTCCGCTGAATTTTTAATCAAAGCAATCACATAAATTATGAGCTGGATCAGTAGAAATAATCAAAACCTTTATTTAATTATGATAATTATAAAATATATTAACTAATTTATATCATCTCAAAGAAAAAATGTATACCTTAACTCCATTTTATGCTAATAAAGTTGCTAAACTAGAAGAAGTTGTGGTTTTTCCAACACTAATTTAATTTATTAAAATATAAAAAATATTTTAAATAATTGTCAATCAAAGCAAAAATATTTTACCCTCCTTTACCGCCAACAAAAATCCATTTAAGAGTTTTTTTTTCAAGTAAATTCTTCAAAGTTCTTTCTTAATCCATTTTATAAATTTGCTTTGTAACTAAGTAACTAACTAACTAACTAAATATCTTTTTTTTTCTGCTTTAATAAAGAAGTAAATTTTTGAAATCTAATTTTTTAATTTTGGGTTTAAATAGGCATAAAAATCTTGTCTAAAGTATTGCATATAATTGTTATTTTATTTATCAATCTACATTATTATTAATTTTTTATTTAAATAATTTCTATCAGAAAATTAGAAATATTCTTTATTCTATGGAAATTAAAAGGTAAATTTCTTTAAATTCATAATAAAAAAATCTATTATTAATTGATGTAGAAAAAAAATATATGATTATCAATTATTAATAAAATAATAATTTTTAGTTGTAAAATAATCAATTTAATTTATAAAATTCAAGTAAGTATTAAATAATAAAAGCTTTAAGTATAATTAAATCCATAAAAGAATTTGCTATGTATGCAATACTTAACTTTCTTAGAAAAGACTAGAGGTATTGTAAAACTCCAACATTTTTATATTATTTAAAAGTAAAATAATCTAGGATATTATTTGCATTTTATTATATCTAATAATCGGAAATTAAAAATTTTCCATCTTTATTTGCAATATAAACGAAGTAAGTTTTAATAAATATTTTACTTACTAATAAAAAATAATGTAGTTTATTATTATTGATAAATTCTGTCAACCTTTTTTGAACTCAAATTTAAATTGCATAAAGAAATTACATAAAACCAAAGTCTCAAATTAAAAAAATTAAACTAATTCTTAATTTTTTTCTATATTTCAATTTCAATATGTTTTTAAAACAAGTACAAAATCATTTAAGTATCAAATAATATTTTTCATTGAAAATTTTATAAGCACGCTTATGTTAATAAAACCCATAAAATAATAATTTGATAAATTTTGAATTTGAAATTATCCTTTAAATATACATTATATTTTTTCTATTAAACCTAATATATAATTAAATATTCTTAAAATAAAAAATTATATTAAAGGTAGTAGAATTGTTTACACTGTATATTTTGGATAAAGCAATATAGAAAATTAGAATTTTTAAATTCATTATTAAAATAATTAATTTAAAGAATTTTAGTTTATCGTTTTATTTTTCAAATTTTTAGAAGTATTTTCAGTTTTCATCTATAATATTCCTTTAATATTTTTGTTTTATGTTAATAAGTATACTAATATTATAAATTAAATAAAATCACTCTAGTATTATATTTAATCTGAATAAATTTCAAATGTGAAATATTATCAGTTATGACATCATTTTAAAAATATTAATTATAATTTTGATAAAAGTCTTTATTGGTTGATTTTGTTTGTTATTTATTTAATTATATTACTTTACTAAAACTACATTAATAAGTAATATTCTAAAGATGTTTATTGTCCTAAATTTATATTAAATTTGCTATTATATTATTATTAATAATAATTTAAATTTCTAGAATAATTCATAACCTAGGCGATAAAAAATTCTTTATTCTCTAGCTTTTAACTCATTTTGTTGTGCTTTCATACTTTTAAGTTAAATATATAGAATTTCTTATCTTTATAAAACAGGTCATTTTTGACTATAAAAATAAGCTTTTATATTTAATTTGAATTATTGATATTTAATGATTTAGTTTTTAACAAGGATGAATTTGAATTATAAAGTATAAAATATTTGATTGATATCAAATTCTTTACTGTAATTATGCCCAAAAACTTACTCAAATTGCATTGATACCTCCTCTCTATTAATTAGCAATATGATAAATTTGGAATATTAACATATTTTGATATTATCTTTAGGGATAAAATAGAAGAGTGACATTTTTAATTTAAGAGATTGTTGATTTTTAATAATCTTATAACGATTTATTAATAATCGAGAAATCAGAATAGAAAGTATAAATTATCTGTTATTGAACTCTATCATAAAATATTTTTGCGAATTTAAGATAATTTTAGGGGATTGTATTTAAAATGATCTAATCAACTATTTTTGATAGAAATTTTTAGAACTTTCTAAAATTTCAAACCTTCCTATTATTAAACAATCTGAGCCAAATAAAAGAAATTTTCTAAATTATTAATTCTTAACTTCAAGAAATTTCTAATTAATGTTTACAAAATATTGATTAGTAAATATTCATTGTATTCAAACAATATTTAATAAGTGATTCTTTAAATATCAAAATCTGTGATCAGACTATTTCTATAAAAAAATAATAATTAAAAAAATTAAATAAACAACAACTTAATCATAAAGACTATCACACCAACTACAACACAATACCTCTCATATAAAATGAGCAGAAGAGACATGATAAGATGTTTGTAAAAACTCGTTAACAACGACCCTTTCTGTGTTTACAGACGCAGCTATTTACCCTAAAGAGTCTATAGATCATTCTCCACATAAAACAACCCTAGCTAATCTTCCTCTGCTAATAACAACAATCAAGCTAGTTGCTAAGGTCACGAATCAGATTGCCACAATTTGAATCATCACCACAACAGCTTAATGAACTCATTCAAAGAAAGACAAAAAGAAATATTAAGAGAATTTGATGATTTCCATAGAGACTTCTTTAGCTAGTTACCTTTCAGAAGATATGCTCACCACGATCATTTTTCTAGACTTGATTAATTATTTAACTAAGAATTTAACAGAATTAGAAAGTAAATATTTGAACCTCATAATGAAGAAAGTACTAAAACATCAGAAAACGAATAAACAAATTCTAAACAATGCTAATAACAAGAGTAAACTCAAGCCTCTTAGCAAACAACTTAGGCTAAAGAAAGTGCCAATAATTCTACTCAAAGAAATACTTAAGAAGATAAAAACTTATCTTCAAAAGATAATTTCGTAGATATTGATACTTTCTTTGAAAGTCCAAGATATATTTCTGATGTTCATAAGATATTCTAAGAAGAATAGTAAAGACTTCATAAAATGTTTGAAGATTTCGAATCATCTATCCATAAAAGAATTAATGAAAATGATCCTAACGTTCACAGTATAAAGTCATACTACAAGCGTACACCTGAAGGTGAGTATAGAGAATACTACGACTCTAAAAACCCTGAAAAGAATTATAAAATAGAGAGAAAGTTCGAAAAACCTACTCTCTCTTCAACTTCTACAGAAAATAAAACTACTTCTACATCTACTACTGCTGCTCAAGAAAAGATTAAAGAAACCACTTAATAAGTTGAAAACTAACAAAAAACAACCTAAGAAGCTACAAAATAAACCTAAACAGAGTAGTAAGAAGCAACATCTACTAACTAAGTTAACTAATAACCAAAATAAATGGAAGGAACAATTAACATTTCTCCAGAATTAAATGAAAAAGCTAAAAAGCTTAGTTTAATGCTCAAAAAAGAATACATGGAATGTTTGGAATTAGCTAGGGTTTACCCAAATAAAACTGTTGGATAAATTATTGACTTAGTGATCGAAAGCGAATCATTTAATAAGACTCATTGAAATGATTTGATTTACTTTATATTATATATCATCATTTCAAATAATTACTGCATATTTATAATTTAGTTTAAAGGCTAGATAAGCCATTTTATATTAATAGTATTTTAGTTAAAATTTTTAAGTTCATTAATCTACTTACTTCTTTTATTCTTCACTTATTTTTTAATTTATTTTTATTATTTTTATTTCAAAAAATTATTTTTTCTTTTAAATTTTATTCTAATTTAACTATTTTATTTTAATTAAAGTAAATCACAAATTTATATTATTTATTTTTGTTCAATTCAACCAAACATAGCTGAAATAAGTTTAATAAAGATAAAGGCATTATTCATTTTATCTTTAATTTTAAGTATTTCAGATAATTACTTATTAATTACTCGTATAAAAATTAAGATTTTTGAACACACATTTAAAAATAATTATAGTTTTTTCAACTTTTAATTTAAAAGTAATAAAAATGTTTTATTTTTTTTCAAATAAAATTTTTTCATTTTTCAGTGGATTTAATGCATATATTATTAGATATAATATTAGTTTTTATTTAATTAAAGAAATTTAAATAAATAATTATTTTTATGTAAATTACTTAAAATTAATTTTATATCATATATTTAAAAATTAAATATCTGTAAAAATTACATAATTAATTGATTTAGAGTTTTTTTCTATCTAGACAAGTTTATCATAAAAATAAATTATAAAAAAATATAAACTAAATTTTAAAATTAAAGTAAAATTTTAAAAAATAGTTTTAAAATAGTTATTTAAATAGAAATAGAAAATGTCATTTTATTTGAATCTTTATATTAAAGATTTTTAACATATCAATCTAAAAGAAAATATGTTTCTACTATTACTGAAATTATTTTTTTCCTTATAATTAATTTAAGTTAAATTCTATAAAATATTCTTTATCTCTTACAAAAATTTTACTCAAAATTTAATTGTATTTTTTAATTTTTTAAATTTAATAACATATTTTTTAAATCTATTCAACTCATTATTTTTCATATAATAAAAATATTAAAAATTTTGAAAATAACCAAATAATATAAGAAAAATATTTTACTACATTGTTAGAAATTATCCAAAAAATAGAAAGAGAGAATTAAAACAAATAAAATAAATTTATTACATTTTTAAATGGTTTAAAGTGTGGCAAAAAAGACCAAAAATTGTAAAATATAATTCTTAAACAGTATGATAAGAATATATCAATTTATTTTAGAAAAATAATAAAAATAAATGTTTACAACAAAAAGAATTATTTAGCATGAAGAATAAAAAAAGTACATAAAATTAGATTTTAATGCACATGAATAAATGACAAAATAATTATTAAATAACAAACCAGAAAAATATACTCTTGGTTGCTTATTAGACACCAATTATAAAATTCATGTATTTTGTTTTAAAATAGATGTACTGAGAGGGAAATAAAAAATTAAAAAGAAGGAATTTTAATTAAATTTAACAAAAGGCTAAGTATTGATCTGATTTAATTATTTTTAAATTGGTGCATATCATTGAATTTTATTAGTAAATGTAAAAAATATAATGAAAGAAAAGAGCATTAAATAAATATTAGGAAAAATAAATAAATAAACAATTAGGCATTAATGTTTAAATATAAAAGGCAGACAATACAACTTAATGCAAATAATAAATAATATATCAAAAAAAATTTTATCAAAGAAAAATAAATAAAAGAAAATTTATTTAAAAAAAAGGAGGTATTAAAAATCTATAATAAATAAAAAAAAAACAAAAAAAATAAGAAAGAAACAAAAAAAGAAGTAAACATAATTAGTGACTAGAAAAGTTCAGATTAGTTTTAAAGATAAAAAGATATAACAACAACATAAATACGTACATTAATAGATAAAGAAGAAGAGCAAAATTATGAGTAGACTCCATCCGTTAACTGCTTAACCTAAGCAGATAGGAAATAAAAATTAGAAAGTCAAAATTTACTATCTCACTAGATAAGGTAGGCCATTATATTTTAGCATTAAAAAATAATTATATCAACTTACAAATATATTTAGCAGCTATTTAAATCTCCTACTACTAAACCCACAAAAATTACAAAAATCAGCAAAAAGCCCAGCTACTGTTTAAATAAAGAATTTATAGCAGTAAATTAATGAATAAGGAATAAATCTGTGTATATTTGGATTAAAAATATACATATCTGTATTTAATTAGTAGCTGTAAAAAAGTGCAAATGTCTTGTTAACCTTTAGCGGACAGGAAGAGTAAATTACATTTTATTTACTAAGTAAAGTAAATGTATAAAAAATGCTCTTAATTTAATAAAATAAATGCAGCGAAAAGTAGCTAGATTAAAGATAATGTTGATTGGAAAATAAATAAACAGTAAGGTCATAAATAAACAAAGGCTATTTTATTAAATCCTAAATTTATGATGCAGTAGTAGCAATTGAGAATTTAAAATAAAAAAAATATATTTTTTAGTGATGAAATTGTTGTTATTATTTAATGAATTATAACTAAAATTTATTAATGATCTCAAATTAATATAAATATAGAATAATGGGTAGATCTAGGCGTGGGAAGCTTGTATCAAATTCGTGAATTTAATCCTCAGACTGAAGAAACTGAAGATTATATTCAAGCCTAGGCAATGTCAACTGATGAAATTTAATAAAATTTAGATATCGAAGAAGATGAATTAAAAAGACTAAGCCGTGATGTCGATTAGAAAGTCATAATTAGATTTAGATTTCATTCAGATAATTACTATGAAAAATAAAATGGTATTTAATTATGCTAAAGAACTTATTAACAAATTAACTAACTAATTAACTTACTAAATACATATTTTTATTATATTCGCCTACAATTTTCTTTTATAGCTTAAAGACTACTAAATCAGTCAAGCAAGTATTTTTAGCACATATTGTACTTGATCAAATACAATTTTTTCCCCTTGCATATTTTATTACATAGTGATAAAAAGATTGGTTAATGTCTAGCTTGGTAGAAAAGCTTACTTTTTAGTAGATAGAATAGTTTTATGGTGAATTTAAGAAAGATTACTTTTGTGCCATAAAACTAAAATTTTCTAATTTAAGATATTTAAATTTGATTTGCGTTCTAAATTCTTATGAATGTCAAATTTAAATAAAGAAAAATTTTTAAATTAAGCAGACAAAAAACCACAAGCATAAATCAATCATTTCTATTTTAATATTTTTATTTTTTAATTATATAGATTCTATAATTATTTGTAAGGAAAAATCTACTAATTTAGAATTTGCTATCAGCTTTACTGATGCTGAGTCTACAAATGAATTTTGGTAATTTTCATTGAATTCTCTTATTATTTTAGAATTGTAAAAAAAGTATCTAGCTAAATAAACTTACTTAAGACAATAAATAATAGAAATATTAAATATAACTTCTATTGATATAATCAGCTTTTTTTTATTAGGATTTATTTAATAAGATAGATTAGGTATGTTTTATATCAAGTGTCACAAAAGTTATTGAAAAAAAAAAATTTAGCGATGCTGATTTATTAAATAAAAAAAAAGATAGATTTATAGCTAGAAATTAAATATTTTGATTTTTATTAAGAAATGCAATATTTTGAAGTCAAACATATTAAATCTATTCATATCAATAATAGGGAATATATAAAGAAAAATAATGGAACTAATTTAGCAGAATTACCTTGTTCAATGAATGCTGATTAATTTGATGATTTGTAAATGCCTCATCTCAGCAAGTTAGATGAAACGCTAGAAGCAGTAAGACACATTTGTAGAAATAAATTTTATCTTAAATATTTATTTTTAAAAAAATTACTTTTAATTTTTTATCCTAAATTTGGTATATAAATAATTAGATCGATTTAGACTTGAGTCACTTTTGTTAAGGAATAGTTTACAAAGTAATTCACAAACACTTATTGATTTTGATTCATATTTAATTTATTTTAACATATTTTTATCATATTCACCAAAAGCCTGAATTTCTTGAAAAATTATTTGAAACTTTTGACGAACTTGAAGTGTAAAAGCAAACAGAAAAGTTAGAGCAAATACACCTTATTGTTAAAAAACTTAGTAAACAACTTAAAATTAATTACTATTAGCCAATTAATAAAAAATGTATAATTAAATATAAATGTAGTATTATCGAATGAACAGAAGTTGATTATGATGCTTATGAATGATAAATTTTTCTATGCCTGTTTAGGAGCTTTTGAATGTAAATTTATAAAGATCTAAATAAAGTTAATTATATTTTATTAATATAAAACTTAAAATTCCAAATACAGACAGTTTGTTTGGGGTTATTTTAATAAAATATCATTAACTAAATAATAATTATTAAATCTAACTGTATATAATTTTAAATAGACAAGCGCGGTGCACCAAAAGAAAATTATAGAGAACTCTAAAAGAATGAAGCTAGATTCAAGCAAATCATAGAAATTAAAAATAATGAAATTTTAGAAAAAATTCATATGAATTACAGACTTTAGTACATTAAAGATAGCGTGATTGCATCATACATTGAAGAATCAACTAGCAACACCTTTAATATTGTATTAAAAAATAATTTTTGTATTTTTCTTGCTTTAGTTAACAATAATATCAATTATAAAATAGATTATAACACGCAATAACATGGAAATTCTTGAATATATTAAAGAAAGACATTTTATTTCTGAACTAAGTGAAAAATTTTTTGATAATTTAGGAGATTCAATCAAATTCATAGGTGAACTTTTGACTATCATTAATAATCCTAATTTTGTAAATTAAATTTACATTTGGCACCTTATATAGAATTTTAATTATTTATCTATTCACTCTTTCTTATTCTTAAATACTAATAATTTTTTTAAAAAAATTTAATAGTAATTAACCTTCAAGCCTTAATTAGTTGAAATCATGAATAACTACAACTTTTACAAAGTTTTCTTCTAAGCCCTTAAAATAATTTAGGAAACAGAAATAGATAAAGATTTAAAGACAAAGCAAAGTTTGAAGCTTATGGAAGCAATTACTATTTTAGCAAATGAAAACAAAAAAGAACTTATTTCTTTTCTGTTTACTGGAGAAAAAACTTTAAGCTATAGTCATGCAAATTAGTAAACTAGTAGATACAGCTAGAATAATATTCAAACCACCAGAGAAGGCACAACTATTGAGTAGAGAAAGTAATATTTAGCACTTTTAAGCTCGATATTGATAAATGAAGATGCAGGTTTGCAAATTTAAGTAGTTGAAGTATTCAAAGTTATTTTTGAATCCATGAAAAACAATGAGTTGGATGATAAAATTGTAAATCTACTTATCAATGATTTCTTTTCTTATTGCTTCGAAAAATATTCTAAAGGAGAAATAAACAATTAATTCATAAACTTTGTAATCCAATTTTTAGATCTCTTTTAACTTGCATATAAGCTATCACCAACAAAGTTTCGTGCATATGTATAAAAAAATTAATTGATCATAAAGCTCTTTTCTAGATCGGATTGTAATGATAAAGCTATCCACTTAGCATTGGTTAAGTTAGTTAGGTCATTAATCGTAAGCGATTATATTATAATCTCTCATTTAATTAGCAACAAAATTATTGATAAGATTTGGGAAATCTATAAAAAGCATGAAAGAAGATCAAATTTAGTTAACTCTACCTTCTAAGATATGATGCATTATCTACTTGTCTAAAACTACTACTAAACACCTAAATTGTTTAAATATATAGTAATTAATTGTGCTTATAAGATTTATTCTTAAATTTATTAAATTTTTAATTTATTATAATAATTTTTTTTAACTTTTAAAGATGAATAGCTTTGGAGAAGAGCTCAAAGCTAGATAAACAAAAATATTGTGCTTCAAAAAGATTGTAGAAACATATGGATAGCAAAAAGATTGGATTAACTAGGATAGAAATGAGCATTTGGACTTCTAGAATTCAGACTATTTGTAATAACCTCATCCAATTATGGAATAAATTGAAGAAGAAAAGTATTTCGACTCTGATGATGTTCCTTCTTCTATAATTGCTGCTCCTTAATTAGATTAAAAGTAGTAACAAGAAAGAGATAAAGAAAACATGATTAAAAGATAATCTATGAAAGAAAGGATTCTGAAGCAATTCAAAAATGATGATGACGATGATGATGATAATTTTAAACTAATCCAAGATTAAAAATTATCTTAAAGCAATAATAATAGTTAAAATGGTTAAGAAGATTCTCTTTCTTCCAGTTCTTCTTTAGTTGTAAACATGAATACTTTAAACGTAAATGGAGAATCTTTACTTTCATCATAAAATGAAACAACTACTGTAGAAAAATCAAATAAACTCGAAATATGCATTGATTTAGCCTAAGATTTGGATGGAGATTAAAGCGAAGATCAACACTCATAAAATAATATGTAAATAGAAATAGAAGAAAAGTCCTTAGGTATAGAAAATATTGGAAAGAAGAAAGATGAAGAATTAAAGGATGATAAGTGTAATGGATCAATTTTAAGTGATAGCAGCTATTCAAAGTTAAATTCTAAAAGATCATTAAGGTAACGTGATGACATGGAATAAGAGTCATCAATCTTAGATGATCATTAAAATGGGGAAAATAAGATAAGTAAACCCGAATTTTCAAACAAAAATGAAAAATTATCTTAAATAGAAAATAAATAAGAGTTAAATCATTTAGGTCATAACCAATCTAATTCAGGCTCAAATTACAATAATATCTTCTCAAATAATTATGATGACGATGAAGAAAAGAATATGGTTAAAGCACCAGGAGAAGAAGTCATATAGAAAAAAATAAAAGTTGATTGATAGGTTAGGTCAAACTTTATAAATTACTGCTTCAATCTTTTATTTATAATTTAAATCTTATTAAATATTATCATTAACTATTATAAAATTCTCTTTACAAATTAACGAAAAAAAAATAAATAACAACAATAACAATAACGAAAGTACAAATAAATGAATGAATCAGCTAAAGACATATAGTGCATACATATATTATCCATTTAAATAAATAAATAAAATAAAAATGCAAACAAATTTAAATACCTGAGATATAATCTGTCAATATATCCATCCATCCGTCCATAATATTCTTCTCTCTCTTTTCTCTTATAATAACCTACTCCTATCGTTACAGACTTTCAGTAGTATTTCTCATTTTAATTATCTTGAGACTAACTTTATTTACTTCTCAATTAACAAAAAAAGTAAACTAACACTTTCTTCTAATAACCTATTTTATATTATATATAAATTGATATATATATGTATATAAATTTATAAGAGAACTTAATGGTGAGACATAAGTATACTCATAGATAAACTTATCATCAATCAATTCGTATAGAGTTATCTTCTTAATATTTTAATTATCCTATGCAAATAGATTACATATTTCTAAACTATACTGATTACATCTACTTTTAACATTTCTCAGATATAAACAATTTTTACCTTTATCTCAAACTTAGTTTAAATTTTGCCATTTAAAATTTTACAAATAATTTTATTTTATACTCTTTAACTTTAGATTTTATGAGTGTTTAATTCGAATAAATCATTAGTAATGATTTAATTGCAATTTTTTTAATGTGTAAAATATTAGTTTATAACACCTTAATAATATGAGCACTTATTTTTTGCAGATTTTATTAAAAATTGTAAAAAAAAAATATTCATTTAAATTATGGATACCTTTTTAATTTGACAGAAAATTTTGGTCGGAAAGTGTTCTCTTTAGACAGTTTTTAATATATTTTTAAGTTTAAATTAAAAAATTTTTATTTTTATAAAGAAGAACTTTTAATTTGTTATTTAATATTTTTTTAAAAAGATTTTATGATAATTTGATAATTTTAGGATTAAGTGAATTAATTAATTATTACGCAAATAAAATATAAATATGAACAAATCAATATTTTAAGTTTATGTTATATAATTTTAATTTTATAAAATATGAGATTAAATCTTCTTTTTTTATTTTTTATCTCTAATTGCAAAAAAATAAGTTTTTTTATCACTTTACATTTAGTTTTGTTTTCAAAATATAAATCATTCATCATCTTCTTCTTCTTCTTCTTCTTCTTCTTCTTCATCGTCTTCAGCATTTTCATCTTCTTCTTCTATATCATCCTAATCATCTTCTAATTCCATTTCTTCTTCTTCTTCGCCATCTTCTCCTTCTTCTTCTTGAGGCATGTCATTTAAGTATTCCTATAAAAATAACAATTTTAAATATTAATCTTTTAATAAATGTAAATTTTACTTCTGTTGGACGAGCTATAACATCGATGAGGGTTTATAATGAGAATTAGTCAACTTCATGAACAAATGTTTAGAAGCATAAATTAGTTATTTCTCTCATATAATCTTAATTTATTTTTAAAAAAAATTAATTTAAATAATGTTATTGAATTAAAGTAATTAGTTTTTACGAGCTGATTTAGTCAAAAGTGAAACGAGCAAATCAGATAAAACTTAAATGAAATTTTCATCTTCTTTTTCTACATCTTTTCCTTCGTTATTTGAAATCTTTACTTTCTTTTTGGGTTATTCTTTCTTTAACTTTTCATCATAATGTTAAGATACAGATTCATAAACTTCTTTAAGTTCATCAAGATTTTATAATCCTTCATCGTGATAGAATAAACTCAAAACACATACTCCAATCAATAAATTGCAGAAAGATCTTTTTTTTTTATTACTAAATCCATTTTCATCATCACGTTTCTTTTCTAAATTGTTTTTAATTTCTTTTTCTAATTTATTGGCCATATCTATGAACTCTTATAATTCCTATCAAATATTAAATATTTTAGTATTTTTTAAATGCTAAAATATATTTTTTACCTTAATAGTATGGGTCAATTATTCATTATTTGTGAAATTTTCTGCTTTTTTAACAATATATTTTAAAATATTGAAGATCCAGAATTCATTTTTGCTATTTAAACCTCTCCAAATATAACTTTTTTAATCCTTTTATTTTGGAAAATATTATTTGAATAAATTATATTAAGTTTATTAAAATTAATACCTTGAAATTTTAAGAAGGAATTTTAAGAGTTGAAGAAAGCAAAGAGTTGAAAAGCTAAGTGATTAATTCAGAATATTTTTGAATGAAGGATTTTTCAGTAATTTCACCCTTTACTTCATCATTCTACTTTGAATATAAAAGAGAAAGTTTAGTGTTAGTTGTGCTTTCAAATAGGTGATAACAGATTTCATAGAACTCGTTTTCGAAGGTGTTAGGATTTTTACTAAATTAAAACTCAGCAAATACATACATTTCGTTAAGATAAAAAACATATTCGTTGATAAAATTAGCAGACTTGTGCATTTACTTTTTAAGGAAATTTAAAAACTCGGAAGCTTCTTGTTGGTTCATAAATGAGTAAACAGTTTTAGCTAAGCTCATCTTTGGAGTAAACTTAAGAGTAGTCTTAGCTCTCAAAAGATAAAATACATCTAAAATGGCTTTTCTTTCTTCCTTATTTAAATTTTCACTATTGAATTTAGCAAGTAACTTTGAGAAAGATTTTTCTGTTTTTGTACTTAAATTTCTCATTTGTTCATTTTTCACTTAGAAGTGACGAATCCATAAATGCAAGAGCTCTTCAATAGCTATACACTTGAAGTCATTGATAGAAAAGTCTTTTGATTTTATAAAACGTCTAAATAAGTTAACTGCTACAAAGTAATTTCTGTAATTAACAGTTTTATTGCTGCTATTTTCTTCTTCTTCTTTGTTTTCATTCTTATTTTTTTTTTATTTATTTTTACTTTTTTCTTCCTATTATTATTCTTCTTCATCATCATCAGATGCAAGGCAGAATTCCTTAAGAATATTTTTCCAGAAATCTATCCACTATGATTCCTTTTTATATATTGAACGTAAGTATGCTATTAAACTATTTGTGGCAGTGTGTTCTTGTGGGTAGTGATCTTTAATATCATTTAGAATATTTTTTAAGTTTTTGATACTATTTATTTTATCATCTAAGTAGGATTACTGAGCAAAAGTTGCATTGTTGTTCAACTTATGAGCGAAGTGACCAATAACCAATGCACGAAGTGAAACTCCTGTGTGGTTTTTTAATTCGTTTTTAAGTATATGATTGAAGTATAACTTAGCTTTATGCTTTTGATGCAACTTCTATTAGAATATATTTTCACATATGTCAAGAACATTTTATGGGAAGAGTGACATTTCGTTTTCTAGCTACTCATATAAAAGGTCATAAATTTACTAAGCGTTTTCACAGTGCTTTTCGATTATTTCTGATAAGATGACACTCTTAAAAAGAGCTAAACGACCCATGCTAAAGTGTTTAACTTCACTTTTAGAAAGAGCATTTTTCTTAGATACTTGTTCTACTATGTATTCAATTAAAGATTTAATGTTAATTGAAGAGCCGAATTTTTCTAATATGTTTTTAAGAGCTAAGCAGTAGTGCATTTAAATATAAGCCTCTTTGGATTAACCACCACCACGAACACAACGTTTTATTGCGTAATCTACATCTTCAATAATCTTTTCTCCAAATAATGAAACGAATCCAGCAGATGCAAGTTAATTGCTGGTTTTATCCTACTAAATATTTGAGACAGATTTTGTATGGCTTACAGCTTGGAGAGTTTTAACTATTTTATCAATGCTGTCTAAAACTGATTACTTGATAGTTTAGTTAACTGGCTTCTTGCTCAAAGCTTCAAAATACCCTAAAAATTCTTTGTCATCCATTTCTCTAAATGTTATGTGATATCCCTTTTTATATATAATACTTTAAAAATTTACTTTTTTATTATTATTTATTTTTAATCTTTTTCTTAATTTTAGCTTAGTAAACTCTTTAATTTACTTTTTTTGCTTCTTCTATCTATATACGTTATTACCTTCTTAATAACCAATAAATAAAATTTTAGATATATTAAGAGTGTTTCTTTAAATTTTGCTCAAAAAATCCTATAATAATTAATAATAATTGAATTTATTTTATAAATAGAAGTATTTATTTAAATTCAATAAAAAATTTAAAAAATTAAATGAAGTATTAAGGATATTAATAATTATAACAATCAATGAAGTAGAAATTAAAATTATTGTTTTAAGATACAAATTTTATCATTTAAACCATTAATAAATAGTGAGCTAGATTTTTTTTTTTTTTGGATATTATTCTTCAAATTTAAATTTAAAAAAATCTTCTGTATAAAATTGTGTCTAAGTAAAAATAAATAATAAAATGATTTATCTTAATAATAAATAAAATAATTTTAACAAGAAAATAAAAGATAAAATTAAAAAGAAATATTGAAAGTAAATAATTTTTATTTGACAATAAATTTATGTTCAAATTCTTAAAATTAATTCATTTATGCTGTTTTAATTTTCTCAATTAAAAAATAAATTGTGAAAGTAGAAATTAAAAAATAAAATAAATGTTTTTTAAATAATTTTATAAAGCAAATAGCAACATTATAAATTAATTAAACTTCATTATTCACTCATATCTTAACAACTCTAAAACTTCTTCAATATTTACAATCTTTTCTCTAATTTTTTTATTTTACTAGCCTTTTTTAATTTCATATGCATCAATCTTTTCCCAATCTTAAATAGAAACAGCTTAAACTTTTCTCTCTTTTAAAATCTAATTTATTTTTTCTTTTTGTTAAAAATAATTATTTTACTCATTAATTTAAAAATTAATTATTAATTAATTAATTACCTTCACAGTCTTTTTTAGGTACTAAAGCTAAGTGATTGATGTGATTTTCAATATTGTTTGTTGTTTCCTAATGTTTATTCAATACATATTTGAATCAATTATTTTAAATAAAAATATTTACTATGCATCCAAGCATTGTCTAGTCTAAAACTCCTATTGGACCTGTTTTTACCCAACCAGATGCATATTTACCAATTTAAATTTTATCTTTAGAGTTATGTTGTAAGACACATCCATTATAATGAGCTATTTTATTATTTTAAACATCCCAAGGAATTTAAATACCATCAATATTTTCACTTTCATATCCAATACATCTAATCAATAAATCACATTTAATATTTTCTGTTCCTAAAGATTCTTCTACATAAGATTTTTATTCAAATGGTTCTCCCTAAAAATTAAATTAAATATTAATTTAATTAAAAGAATATAAGAACTGATAAAAATAATTAAAGTTACCTTTAATGTGTTTCTATGAAAATCAACTGATGAGACGTAACCGTTATCAGAATTAACTTAGAAAGGTGAAAGGAGAGCTTTTAAATGTACATTAATTTAAGAATTATTTTCAATATCTTTCAAGTTTTGTATTTATTTTAAATTTTTAATGATATCATATCTTCTTTTGTTTATTCTAGCTAAGCGAGTAGCACTATTCATTTAATCACTAAACTCCCATTTAGAATTTTCATTTAAACTTCTTTCATATTCATCCTTCCAAACATAAAAATTAGCACCCTTAGTTTAAGAAAAAGCCCTATTTATATAAAATTAATTTAGTGTGGAAATATCATAACCAAATAATATTTACCTAAATTCTTTCATAGAAAATTATGCTTAAATCAATCCTCTTCTTCCTACTAAAAATATCTACATTTTTATGTAAATAAATTTATTAATGAGTTAATTTATTAATTTATAATTAATGTACATTTTCTATATTATTTCTTTTCAACTCAGACAGAGACTTAGCAGTGATATCTGTATCATCTAATTCACCAGTCTTAGCCTTAATTAGAATTCTAGCGACATCTAAAGCAACATTACCATTTCTTTACATAATAATATAATTTAAGAATTCTTAAAGTTTAATAAATGTATTTATACCCAATGATTACTACATTTTTTATTTTAGAAAAATCCAAAGGTAAATTTGAATAATCTGGGTGTCCATTATACCAATTTACTATTTCTCTTCCTGAAAATACATTTTTTACATTTTCCCCTGGTATACCAAGCTTTTTATCATCTTAAATATTAAATTAACTTATTGAAATGACTATTTACAACATAATTATATAAACTGCTTACTTTAAGCACCATATGAATAAACAACTCCTGAATAATTTTCAGTTATTTCTTTAACAGTAATATCTCTACCCTAATAGTACATTTAATTTGATGAATTTAGTTAAATTCTTCAAAATTAATTTACAATTGTGACATTTCCATAAAACTTCAATCTTGGGTTATGACTTACTTCTTTAAAATCATTAATAATCTTTTTTATTGACTAATGATCAGGTGCAACACCATATCTCACCAAACCATAAGGAAAGGGGAGTTTTTCAAAAATATGTACATGAGCTTATTCATTATCACTAAGTATTTTTTTTGCAGTATAAAATCCTGCTGGACCTCCTCCTACAATCTAATATTTAAGTTGTTAAATTTTTTATCTAATTAAAAAAACTTGAATCATAAATTAGTAAAAGCTATAGATGTTTTACTGCGATAGTAATTTAATCTAAATCTTATATTTCTTCTTGCTTGATGGCTTAGCAAAAATATCTTCTTATTAAACCAATATTCTTTAACATTTTATCTGAATTTATGCTTAAGTTTTTTAATAGTTCTCCTTGGGTTATATTTATTTAATATTTTTTTGTATCAATTTATTAGGAATAATAATTAAATTTCGAGAATAAGCAAGAAGTGTAAATTGTATTCTGCTTATTTCTACTGAATTCTATATATTTTGAAAAAGATATTTGCAATAATTTTGCTATTTAAACATAGAATTATATCTAATTATTTATATTTTTAATAAAATTTTAGTCAAATCGAAAGCTATTTAAAATGTATTTATCTAAACTTTAATTGAAAAAAAAAAAATAATGCTTAAAATATTTTTTGAAAAAGCTACTGCTTTTGAATTAATATATAGAAAAAAACAAACAAACAGAATGTAGAAAGATAGATAGATTTATAAAAATGAATTTAAGAAAAATTAATTATTATTGAAATTAAATCGTATTTTGTTGATAGATTTTGTTCAAAGAATTTCTAGTTTACGATAAATTAAATAATAGGCCATATGTCTATCACCACCTCCTCTAAGATCAAGAATTTCATCAATAGAAACCTCAGTTACTACATCATCATCAAATCTTTACCAAACATCTTTTTATATTATACAATAATTTAAAGTTTAATTTATTGTTTTTCAATGTAAAAAATAATTAATTAATTCACAAAATTAGTATTACCTCCTGATTTATGAGCCCATCCAACATAATGGCCTGAGTCAGCGCTTCTTCCTTAGTGAGTTAATACTGCAACTAATTCATAAGTACCATTATCTAAACCCTAACCATGAGGTCTATAGAGATTTTCATCATGCTATTTGATATCTTCTTCTTTTTATACTTCTTTAAATTGTTTATAAAGAGCTTTAGTATCTTCTGGTATCATTTTTCCTTCAGACTCAAGCTTTCTTTTATATTCAGCAAATTTCTCTTCTGTGTTTTTATTTGCTTATTCTTACTATCTTTTTTCATAATCTTTTCCTTTTTCGATAGCTGCTTGTAAATCTTAAGTACAGTAAGGTGTTACATCTAATATTTTTGGGAAGGCTACACTCTTTTATTTTGTATAAAATATTGAAAATAGAAAAATAATTTTATATTATAAATTACACGAAGGATTTTAGATTTAGTGGCTTCAGTACGTGAGCTTTCAGACTTTTATTTCCAGAAGAATCTCATCATTTAAATAGCTAAGTAGCTTGGCTGTAAATAGTAAAAATTAATATTGTTTATTCAATTTTTTTGATGATATTTAATTTACTAATTTCTTAATTCTTCTAGTTTCGGTAAAATCGTGAAGCAATCCATCTTGTCCATTCTTTTATACTGTACCTTAAAGACTCTTGATATAAAATAAATTAATTATTTAAGAATTTTTTATTAATAAACATTTTTCTTACAACTTCTATACCCTCAGTGAGTTAGTTAACTGGATTTGATTAGTTATCGATTGTGCACATAAGTTTTTTAGAACGCTCACTCTTTACTGATACCTCTTAAATATTGTCATTATTTGTTTATTTGACTTCAAATTCTATTTCAAAAATATCCTTTATCAAATTGGTTTTGTTACCAAGTTCGTCTTCATAGTTTGTTTAAGGTTCAATACATTAAATAACATTTTAAAAGCATTCATCAGCATCTTATTGCTTAAAAGCTATGGAACCTTATTCTTTTTCAGCGAATTATGGGAATGCAGTCATAAAACTTTAGATAAAGTGTATTGGTTTAACTGCTTCACCTTTCTTATCTAAGTCTCTAAACAATCTTTAAAGAGCTATACCTACTAAACCTTAAGCTCCTTAACCTGCAGGTATCTATCTATTTTATAAGAAGTTCTTTAATTCGTTAATTCTCTTTAGGCACTAGATTGAACTATTCATGTAGCAAGTATTTCCCATATTTGCAAGACCAGCAGGTAAAATTTCCTATCAAATAATTAAATTTTTTATAGTAAATTTATTATTGCTTGTTAATTTGAAATTTTATTGATTCATATCATAGTTTGTTTGTTATTTTATAAAAAATATTATTTATATTTATTAATTACTCCTGTTTTTTCTTTGTAAATTAAAGCGCGCTCTTCTGGAGTCATTTCTTCATAGAACTTTTTCTCTTCTTTGATTTCTTTAATTTCATTTTCTTCAGCTGCTCCCATCAATGTAATAACACTACCTTCTTACAATTTAAGTTTAGAGAGATCAGTTTCAGGCTATAAATATTTAAATAAATTAATTTAAATAAGGTAGAAAAAAGAAAAACGAAATAAATTGTTTATTAAGAAGTTAAATGAACAATCTTTTGTTGAAGTAAAAAATTTCTTTAATCAAATTTTGAATAGTGCTTTCATTTTTATGAACAATTTAAATATTTTTTTAAATTAATTTACCTTGAAGAGGGTTCCTTTAAAAATAATTTTTTAACTTGCAATAGGAACTCTAGTTAATGAGTAAACGATTTCCTAAAATTTAATCACTGGAAGACTCTAATCTAACTCAGCTTCTATATTTTTCGTACCCCATTTTAAAACTACTTTAACCATTTTGTCTTGTGATTTTTTGCTATGTTCTCTTACTTTTGTTTATGCTAATAATCAAATTAATTAATTATCGATCTTTTAGAAAGATTTTTTGAAGATTTTGTTTATTATATTTTTTATTTTTAAAAAATAAGAATATAAAGTCTTAATTCATCATTTAAAAATTTAAAGACCTTAAAAATTGATAAGAATTCTATCTTTTAATTCATATCATTTATAATTAATAAGATCAGAAGAAAAAGACTTAATAGCACCGAATCTCAATCTGATAATCAAAAAAAAAAACATTTAACTGTCTTTTATTTATTTATATAAATTTTTTACGATAATAATTTAGCAATCTTTATCTTATAAATAATAAATTATATTTTTGTGTAAAGTAAAAATAATTTATTTATTCAAATAAAATAAGCATAAAATTTTTAACTATTTTTAAAAATTAATTTTACAATAAATTAATTTTTAATTTTTGATTTAAAAATTTATTTTTTTTATGAATTAAGATAATGAAAATATAAGTATCAAATAAAAAATAAAAAATATTTTTACTGAACATTTTAAATTGATTATAAACTAGTGAATCTAGAGGTTTTGTTTTAAAAGCTCGTGTGTTTTGTTTAATTAACATTCATTATATATTTTTTTATACTAAAAATGTAAATAAAATAGTAAAAATAAAAATAGTTTATTTTTAGATTTATATTTACTAATTCTTAGATTTTTACGATAAATTTGTAAAAACAACAATATTTAAAAAATAATTAAAAATCAAATTTTTAGATAATTTAGTAAGAAAAAATGAAGGATAATAGTTAAAAGGAAAATGATAATTATTTTGAGCATCCCATTTACTGTAGTCAAATTATTTCAAATAACGCATGCTTTCACGAAATAAAAAAATTAATTAACTAAATTGAAATCTTTTATGATTTTCCTTACAGCAAACAGCTATTTTTTGTTTCTAATATTGATGAAATAACATCTGAAATCGTGGAATTTGAAGAAGTTTAGTAGTTTTATAAAGGCAGTAATAAAGAATCTTATTTAGAAAAATGTAAGATGGCTTAAAGAAATTTGCATGCATAAAATCTAAATTAGAATTGTTGGAGGAAAATCAAAATTGATTATTTTATAGAAGAAAATGGCAAAAAACAATATTTAAGCGAATATTAAGTTATAAGGAAAGACTAAATACTAGAGCACGTTAATAAGAAAAGAAACTAATCTTAAGTAGGTAAGGATTCTAGGTCAGAATCTTAAAATGATGAAACAGATAACCACAATGAAAATGGTGAAATAGATGTGATTGATGGAATTTATTACTTTTCAGATTTTTTAGAGAAAAAGAAACCTGACAATTCTAATATTTAGGATAAAAATAGCTCTCAAAATAAGAATAGTCCAGAATATAAGTTGGCATAGTATATAGAAAAGATATTTGATCAATTCAATAAAAGTGTAATTTATAGCTTTCTGAGCTATTTTCTCTCTTAATGCATATTGATTCTATTAAATAAGAAAATGTTGATAGACATAGATATCTCTAATCTCATCCTTATAAGAGAAAATTAGAATATAAAATTTGTATATCTTATTTCATTTGAAGATTTTAAATTATAACTCGAGGAAAAACTTATGCAGAGCATAAATAATAGTAATGAAACATAAATGACTTACGAATAATTTTGTGATACATTTTATTTTATAGAAAAGTAAAATGATAGTAAGAAAAAAATATAATTAAATGAAAGAGCATAAAAAAAAATAGGAGATTTTTTAAAAAATATAGCTTACGCTCTATTGAATGATTATGATTTAAAAGAAGCTAAAGATGATAGTGAATTTGCTAATTAATGTATTACTGGTGTTTAAGATATAGAAGAAGCAATCAGTTAGCAAGATGTTAGAAAAAGATACTGTAAAGTTTTAATAACTAAAAATTAACTACTTACTGCTATCATCAATTCTATGAACTCTAATGAAAAAACCTATAAAATCTTTTTGGAACTTTATAAGCGTGAATTGGAAAACTTTAACAAATTATAAAGCAATAATACATAATAAGAAAACTTAACATAGTCAGAAATAATCAATTCCTTCTTCTAGGATTATTTGAAAAAAGCTGGATCATTTCCTGATAATTAGAGACCTGTTAGTTAAGAAGAAACATTTATCGAATTTTGTTGTGAAGAATATCCAAGACAATAAAATTCTATTTCGATTATGAATAATAATTTAGTTTAAAGAGAAAAAACTAAAACTCCTAAGTTTATCAATGATTCCAGCCCAGATCATGAAATAGCTGCAATTTCTTCTTAAAAAAGAGAAATGTAATTGCAACTTAAAATTAAAGAGTTTAAAAGGGGAGTTGAAGAGAACTAAAAAAGGTAAGAACTCGATAAGTTAAAAATGAAAAAATAGAATGAAATTTAAGATCCAAAAAAACATATGGAAGAAATTAAAAAAATTGAATAATATTTACACAGTATACCTTCAATTAGAGGAGGGGAAAAGAAACTTATGATTGATTTTAAAGAGAGTACTTGTAGCTTACTAATTAAGCTTTATTATTAGCAGGAACTTTTCGCATAACCAGAAAACATTGATGAAATGCTCTATTGCATACAGCTTTTAAACAATTCATTTAATGACATCTCTATTTACATGGATGAGCACAAAAGAATCTGCTTTGAGACACATGTATGTATTGGATAAAAAGAGAAGGTACTGCTCAGAGCTATTTTTATGATTGACTCGTTGATCACATATGGTTTGACTTTTTATGATTTCTATTATTAAAGTATGATTAATAGCAAATAGTCTAAAGACATATAAAAATATATTCAATTATAACAAGAAATTTAGTAATATTTAGATGCTTATAAACTGAAATACGATAATTTTGTTTTATTCCTAAACAAATAAGTATGAGAGACCTGTTAAACAAATTTTATTTCTTTGTTTATTTCTATTTTTGTAATTTTTTTTTTTTGCTTAGTACAAAATAAATAATCTATTTACATTTTTATTTTTCCATTAATGAGTTTATTCCCCATTATTCCAATAGATTGTTAAACACTATTTAATACAAAATTTTTTCTTTCATTTATTTTTAAAATAATGATTTTATTAATTAAAAATATGATAATTTTATTTGTTTAGATAAAGTAATTTAAACTTGAAAATAAAATAAATATTTTTATTAAAAATGAATCTAAATTACAATAAATTTATTAAATTAATTACTTTAAATATTATTAATATAAATAATAAATAAATAAACTCATCTTATTTAAGAAAAGAGACTTGCTTTTTTAGGTCTTATTTCTAACTACGAAGGGTAGCTTTTATCAGAGGAATATAGCTACTCATTTACAGAGTCTCTTTTTTCATTAATGAAATAGCTTTAAGACATTTCATCTGAGTTACTTTTACTGATACTTTTATCTCCTAATCCTAAAAGTAAATTACTGTGTTAGCTATTGCTTTTATCTCCTTCTATAAATGCAATTTCTTATGATTATTTTGAAAAATAAGAGCTAAATTTATTGCCAATATATGAATCAACGTTAAATTGTGGTTGATATAATTTTTAAATATTAGTTTCTTGATCTGTAATCCCTAACTCACTTTGACCTAGATTTTCTTCATCTAGATAATGTTGGCTCACTGAAGAAAAATTTATGCTATTATTATTACAGTCGTCAACTTATCTTTTTTGGTTGTTATCTTCTTAAAAGTGATAATTGGATAATTTGGCACGAGAATCCTTACTATCTATCTTATTTTGAGAAAATGAGTTTTAGTTATCTTCATTTTCCTCTTATGCTGAGGATTGATTCTATTAGTTAATTATTGTTGTATCTCTAAGTTAACGACTAAGATTCTGCAAGAATGTTTTATGCTAAGAGGAATTCAAGATATTTGACCCCGGCCTTATTGTTGTGCTCCTAATTTAACCTTTAGAATCAAATCTGGTTTTAGGAGACATACTTTCTTATCTTTATTTTTCATATTCTAATTTTTGTTTTTACTCCTAAAACTCCTTAAGTTGCTACTCCACTAAATCTTTTGTATCTAAAGCTGTCTGCTACTCTTTATTATTTTCCTCAATTTAGTTAAAATCTTTTTTTGAGGTAACCACTTACTGTTCTTAGGTTTATTTTTCAATTGGATGTTAAGTGTAACTTTTTATCATAAAAATATTTTTTTAAATGGGAAATAACAAAATTTAAATATAACGTTTAACCATAAGTCTTGACTGGAGCTGATTCAATCGATTTTTGGCTTTTTCTTTGTTGGAATAATGTGCTTTACTTTGTAGAAGCTCTATTTCTCTATTATTATTAATAATTTATTGAAACTTCAGGTCTTATAAGAGAATGGAGTCTTTCTTCTTTTCTTAAATTAACAAAGTCTGCATAAATAGCAAACGATGTTTTTAATGTATTGTTTTCTATAATGTCTTCTGCTTTTATTTAGTATGGTCCTAGAGTTTTTACTAATTCGTCAATTACTTGACTCTCTATTTTTTTGAACATTTATTCGAAATCTTCATTCACATCATCTCTCTTTTTTTTCTTTTCTTTAATTTACACTTCAATCTCAAATCTTAAACTAGGGTGACTTTTACTGCTTGTAGGACTGTCTGTTTATGATTAAGTTACATTAAAATCATTTCTTTCTAAGCAAACTTTAAAAGAAATAGACCCTTAACCTACTTAATTTATAGCATTAGATAAAATAGTAATTAGAACTTATTTGATTCTTCTTTCATCTGAGAAGGTTTTATCCATCCTACGTACATCATTCTTATGAATAAATTAAATATCATTCATTTTGGCCTAGGCTTGAAACATACCTAATATTTATTTATTAATTTAATATCTCACTCTTAAAGAATAAATGAATTAAAGATATATGATTACCTACTAAATCCCATATCATTTATTTAAAGGAAAATTATGCCTAAATAATTTACGAAATAAAAATTAGATAGAAGATAATTTTAATAATATGTACCATTTTGACATTAACTCCTTTCTTCTCATTGATAGAGAAATAGTCAAATAAAACATATATGTGATTCATTATTAAGTAAGTATTATATTTTATTGTTTCTACAATATTATCGTACTATTCATCCAAGTTAGCTTTTTCAAATTCTACTACCCCTCTTATTATAGGAACTAATTTTATTCTAAAATCGTTAAGAGTTTGCAATAACAATTTATCTGATTAAATTTTAGAATTTTAAAAATATTTTATATCGTCTTAGTAAGTTATATCTTCGATGCAGGTAACAAGAGCAGATTCATTCATTTAAAAATTACTTACCTTTATTCTAAAAATTCTTGAATACTTTTGATCTTCTCCTTATCTATAATAATATCCTATTAATGTTTCACTTTCCACTAAATTCCTTTAGTGTTAGGATTTACACCTTAACCGCTTTGCTTGAAGTTCTTATTCTTAAAATAATAATATATTTTTATGATGTAAGCTTCAAAAATCATAATTTTTTACTCAAATCTTCTGTTTTAGTAGCAGTTGATAGTGGTGTATTACTTTTTGGTTGCTTTTTTCTATATGCCGTTTACTTTCTACTCCTTTGCTGTTTGTGTAATACACATCTAGATAACAAATAATCTTTTAATGTTAGTTTTTTACCATCTTCTGCTAAGCCATTTAATTAACCCTCACTACTTTTTATATCTATTATAATCTTACTATAAAAATTCTTCATAGACTCTCCATCAAAGATTTTATATTTTGTCTCTGCGTTTGCTGAAAATATTTAAAATAATTTTTAATCAGTTTGAAGTAATTATTAAATAAATAATTAAATTTTATAGATTATCAAGTAGAAGTAGTTACCACTCACTCTAATCATTTAAATAGTTTAGTGTCTATCGTCCCATCTACTAACTATTAAGCAAGAGTTATACATATTATCAATTATATTTACCCATTCACTGTTATTATTGTTATCTAAAAATTTAGATCTCTATGTTAGCTCTCTAATGTATCTATATCAATTATAAAAATGTTAAGATGAATTTTTTAATATAGATGTATGAAGGAAAGTATTGAAAAGAAATTTAATTTTAAATACAAATTGTTTCTCTTACCTATTTAATATGAGGAAAATAGGAACTAGATAGAATAGAATATTCAAAAAAGCATTTGAACGTATTTAATTTCCAAAAATAACACCATTTATTATTCTATTAACAATTATCAATAATGAATCTATACTGAAGTCCCAAAAATCAATAAAGAAGGCTTATGAAAGTGTAATTGTTTCATGAGCATATAAAAATAGTAAAAGGTCAGTTTAGTTAGGGTTGACAATAGAATTATCAGAAGTTTAAGGACAAGATAAAGATACTTAGGCATTAGACTAAAAATAATTAATAAATAAATAGTTGATAGCTGAACTATAGAGATAAAAGATGATATTCCATATTATGTGATAATATTGTACATAATTTTAATGATAAATAAGAACATAAATAATAATTGGAACTAATGACCCAAATATACCACCGCATATCCATAAAATATTTCCAGAGCTAGTATTTATAATTAGCATTATAAATATCACAATTTCCATTACAAATAATGTCACCAAATTGTATATATATGGAATTATCAATGAAGGAGATCTATACTATTAATATTTTTTTTCTAAATCATTTTCTTTGAATTTAAGAGTAATGAAATTAATAAGACGCTTTTCTATAAGCTTTAACATATCAAATGATAGGAGTAATAATAACACTATTTTAAATCAATATTGCTGTTGATTTTTGGCTAAAAAATATGGCGATCTTAGTAAATAAATTTCTGTTATTTTAATTAATATGTTTATTTTAACTATTTCTACCTATCTTAATACTGCAATTTTATTAAATAATAGAAGAAAATAACAAAAGTTTACTGATTTTTGTTAAGTTTTTAAAGTAAATTAATTTCTTATTTAATTACTCTAAAATTTTAATAGATTAATTAAGTGCTATACTAAAAAATTAAATATAAAATTTTAATATTATTTATTTGATTTTAAAAAATATATTATTAAACTGCTAAATTATAAACAAAAAATACCATCAAATAAATAAATAGTTTATTATTCAAATAATAATTTTATTTTTTGCAATAATCTACTTTATAAAACTTTATAATTGATAAAATGAATATAATTTTTGGAAATTAAGTAATACGAAAAAAGACTCAATTTAAAATTAAACTAATAAATATTCATTTCATTAGATAATTAATATTGAAAAAATGTGATATGTAAATAAAATTAAAATACAATATTGTTACTTGCACTTTAGATGCTAATATTGCTAATTCTATTTTGCTTATATTATAAAAAAATATATTTTTTTATAATCAACATCTAAAATAAAATCAAAAAAGATGAAAATTTTATGCATAAATTATAGATTTTTTATCATAACAAGTAATTTCAATAGTAATTAAAATTTTGATTAACATTCTTTCTATGCTAAAAACCTTTTGATTTTATCATATTTTCAATTTTTTAAAAAGCAGAAACATTCATAGTAATTAATTATAGCTTTATTTTTTATAAGATGTTTTGTTGTGGAGATAAAAACAGAAAGAAAAATCTCCTTCCACAAAAGAGGGAAATTTAGATCCTTCTTGAATCTACGTTATTTACAGAAAAAGAACTCAGAGAATTGAAGCAACAGTATATATGTTATTTAGAATTATAAAATTCATTATTTAATTGATTGAAATTATAATGTTAAACTTAAAAGATTTCATTCTAAATTTTATTAAGCGCAAGGATTAACTTTTTTACTAAACTTATAAAGATTTATGGAAATGAGTAAAAATACTGGTTACTTAACAATGATGTAATTTAGAGATTGTATGGGAATTTTAGGTTTAGAAAATGTTTAATTTCTCAGTGATCGTATATTTAATATTATGGCTGATCCAAATGGGCATGTAATTTTTGATTGAGATTATCCTTATTAATTAAAGGCGATACAAATATATTTTAATAAAGAGAAGCAAAAACTTAATGATTGCTGTTTTATTTTATTAAATGGATTTTAAATAAATTTGAATACCTTATAGAAATGCAATCAAATAAAATATTTCTTTATTTATACAATCACTCAATCAATGTGGTGGTTTAATATTTTAAATTTTGTATATAAAAAAGATTTACTTTTAAAATTTCATTATTTATTTGAATACAATCATGAATGGGGATGAGAATGAGAAAATGAAAATGTCATTTCGACTGATAGATGATAAAAATAAAGGCTATTTTATCAAAGAAGATCTTTAAATGATGATTAAATCAATTGTCAATTCTTGGGCTGCTATTACATAAACAACCTTAAGTACTTATTATTAAATATTTTTACGACTTACCTTTTTACATAAAAAATTCTAATTTTAATCTTTTTAAATAGCTAAAGAAATGTTAAGTAAAGTCGATAAGTAGATAAACCATATTTTTAAAGTTATGGATATTAAAAAGTAAGAGAAGGTAGAAGAATAAGATTTCTGTCTCTCTTTGTAGAAATATCCTGATTTGTTAGAAATTTTCGATTTTTTGAATAAAGGTGTCACTGATACAGTTGTGCATAATGATAACAGATCTAGAGAGCTTTAAATTGCTAAAGAGTTAGCTCATATAGAAAAATTTTTAGAGAGTTTAACTCTTTATCTTACAGGAGAGACAACTTAATTTTATGAAATAAACTTGATTAATCAAGATCATATTCATCAAAAGATAGATTTCTGCAAAAAGGAAGTAAATAATAGGGTAAGTATATTTATCTAAATTATATAGAAAACAAATTATTTTAAAATCTTTATAATAGGTGCCAAGTTTTTAAGAAATTCAAAAAAAGTTGTATCCATTCAGTAGCTAATAAAATGAAAATATTTAAAATGGAGAAGAATCAATTAATTTAAATTTTGAAAAGGGAATAGATGTCAGCAATTAAACTTATCATTAAAGCAATTTTATATTGCATAACTAAAAATAATCTATTAACTCAGACAAACACTAGTTAAAATTTGTGAATAAATAAAAATCAAATGATAACAATAACATTTAAATTAAAAATGACCACCTAAAAAATGTATCCAATTCAATTAGTATGGATATCAAAAATAAATAAAATGAAAATATGCATTATTTACAAACAGAGCAAGATTAGTTATAACACCACTCAAAAAATCCTAGTAATTTGAGTGAATGTGGTAGTGGTGAAAAAGACTAATTTGATGATCATTTTTATAATTTTAATATGATTGATATGCATAAAAACATTCAATAATAGTTTGAAGAAGAAAATAATATTAATAAAAATAAGAATATCTACTACTAGGAAGGGTTTGATTCACCATAAAAATCTTAAAAAAATTCATAAGAATCAAATAATAACAGCTAATAAAATGCTACATTTTAACCAATTATAAAAAATGAGAATTCTTTATCTCATTAAGAGTAAATATAAACAGCTTAGTAAAGCAGTAGCCATCGAATTAATTAATAACAATAGAGAAGTTCTTCAGTAATGAATGGTGATTCAGCTCATAAGTAGAATATTCTTTTTTAAAGCCCTACTTTAGGAATTATATCTGGTGAAGGATAAAAAAATAACTATATAAACATACATAAAAGAAATTTTTCAAGTCAATCTAATAGTGATAATGATTTTTAAACAGCTTAGTTTGTTTCATCTCTGCCCAACCAGCAATATTTATTGTAAAATTTGTAATCTTCTAAGCATCCAGATTATGTTATCGAGGGCAGTTTCCAAGAAAGTACAACAATTTATCCTAATAAAAACAATAATAATTTTGACTAAAACTTGAAAAATCTGTCTGTTTCTAATACATCTATTCAATAATTTTAAAATAAAGTAGGAGCTTCTTTTTAAATGCCATTAAAAGATCGTTCATAAAATCTAGATTATCCCTAAAAACTTAGATAATATCAATTTGTAAATAAAGGGAATTCAATTTCGACTACCGACCAATAAACAAATAATTTTAATTCAATTGGGTAATTAAATAATTTTTCTTTTATGCATAATCATCCATAATCATAAAATACAAGCTAAACTCATAGTTAGCAAACCCTTCAATCACCTATTTTAAATTATGATGAGGAAGCCATTTTAAAAAAATATGAAAGTGTGATGTGTGCTGATTGCATATGTAGAGTTACATAAAAATTTAAACATGATAAGCTTAAAGAATTTAGAAAATTGAGTGTGCCAGTTGTTTAATAAAAAGTATAAATGAATTAATAACAATAAATTAATTAAAACTACCATTCAATTAAGCAAATTTAATACTTATAATCCAAAACCTTCCCACATACCTCCACAAATTCTTAAATTTCTTTCAATGAAAACAACTATTTCTTAGATCCTTCAAACCATCAATTAAGGACTAAACTTGATAGAATAGCTTAAAAATTCCTGGGTGATATAGATGAAATAGAATCTTGTAACTTAGGAAGTGATGATGATGAATACAAGAAAAAAAATAATTAAAGATAATAACCATAAACACCAATGTAAAATCCTTTTTAAGTGATGGATCCAGTTTCTATCAATCCTAAACGAGGAGATTCGGGTTTATTTACATCAGGTATTTCAAATAAAGAAATCTAAAAAGGCTAAGCAATAAAATATAATTAAAATATGAAATATTAGTATTCTTCTTCTTCAAATGCAAATGAAATCATTCCAATCGATTCTTAAATTAAAGCAAAAGAATATGAATAAAATGTTATAGCTTCCGTTTAAAAGCAACAGGCTGATGACTTAACTAATAGAATAATTAGATTCGATGATACTGATTATTCACGTTTAAACTCTCCAAATTAATAATTATCTCCCTCTATTTCAAACCTGGCAAGTTTCTATGAATAGAAAGCTGAAACATATATTCCTGGAAGTAAGAAATCTAGCATTTATATTTAATAAGGTAATAACACAAAGCCAACAATAAATACTGCCTCTAGTACTTAAAGATAGAATAGCATACAAGGATATAGTTTAAAGTTTCCTAATAATCATAAAAATTATACAAAGAGCTCAACAGCAGAAATTGTAAGACAAACATCGCAATCTGTTGGTAATGCAATCGATAATAAAATGCATTAATAAATTAAGAAAACAAATGATACAAATGTAATTCTAAAATAAAGGTAATAAAATGAATCACCTATCCTGTAAACTGAGGATATTCAAATAGAAGTTTCAGCTAATGCTCAAAGAGTAGGAAATAAATTTATATAATCAGAAGTAAATATCAAGGAAGTATGCAGCAACCAATAACTTAATGATCAAAATGTTAATAATAATAATATTTATAGTGGAACGAATAATGATATAAACACAAATTAGATTATTGATCCAACTCATTATGTTTATGTTGAATCGTATAATACAAATAGCAAAAACGTTTAGTCTAGCTCTTCATAAATAAAAACCAAAAACTCAAATTAGTTAATTAGTCATCCAGTTTAAAGCTCAAGCTATAACAATAGAAGAATCATTAATGCTTCAAATTTGAAAAGCCAAAGAGATATGATTGAAACAGAAAGCGAAAATATTTAATATAATGCTCACACACCAACTACTTTTTTAAATAAAATCGAGTAAGAACAAATGACTAGTTCTTTATCAAATGAAGTCAACAAATTATAGTTTGGAAGCAAAAATTAAATTGATAAGACTCCTACTGCAGTGATGATTTCTAAAGACAATATTTTTTTACACATTTAAAATTAGAAAAACAACGATACTCAAAATGAAAATCAAGAGGAATATTTAGGAAGTAGTGACAATTTATTAGAATAATAAAAAATAGAGTATCCTATTAAGTTGTCTTAATTGCAAGATAAAAAGATAAAAAAGTTGATTTAAGAGAGGAAATAAGATTTTAAATATTAAGAAGATGCCGTTTATATGAATCCTAACAATAATATCCCAAAAATATCATAAATGCTTCTCTAAAGTGGGAATCAAGAAAAGGCTAGCTAATATTTATATGCTAATTAGACAGATAAAAATAATAGCTAAACTCCTACTAAGATTGAATTAAATGGATTTAACAGAAAGGAAGATCATAATATAGATACTGGCCATAATATGAAATATAAGGAAGAAAATGCAGACGACTTAATTAACAAATTAAATTACATTTCTCCAAGACACAATATTTATTCAGCATCAAAGCTAAATAAAAATAGTTACAATCCATAATCATTAAGATCTTCTCAGCCAATAGACATTTTCAAGGTTCAGAGTACAATACTAAACACGTCTAAAGCTAATAATTTATTCCAAAATAACCTCCATAATATATAATCTTAAGGTATAAAATATCATTTTATATTGTTCAAATTAATTTTTCTAGTATACATCAAACGTAAATTTATCATTTTAACAAATTTTTTATAAATTAAAATAGAAAATAAATAAACAGATCATTCATAGGTTAACTTCATTCAACAAATTATGGAAATGAATGCAGATGAATTAAAAAAAAGGGCTGTTAATATATTCTTTTATGCAAAGGAAATATGTCTATTTGTTTAAACAATCAAAAAGAGTATTGAGTCAAACTTAAATGCTAGATTATCAGAAAAGCAAAGTAGTAATATTTATATTGGATAAGGAAGATAGAAATCTTTAGATAATAAGCTCCAGAGCTTCAGCAAACTCTAAGCAGCAGCGAGTCCTCTACATAGCAAATAGCCTATGGTGGCTTAAAGCATGTAAGGAAGGCTGCCCCATTAATTAAATTAATCTGTTATAATAAATAATAAAACTCCTCCATTACAACCGATTTTTAACAACAACAATGAAGAAGAAAACATAAGAATTTCAACAATTTACAATATTTAGAAAAAGTAGCCGAGGTAAAAAGAACCCAGAAAACCAAAATTAATGGTCTTCTTTGGCCACTAAAATTGGAATTTAGTTGTCAACATGATGATGGGTATTCAAATGAGTGTTCAATCAGCAGCATCAAACATTATTCTAAATGAAAATGTAATAATTAAAATTTTTAATGAGATTATCTTAAATTTATTCTATACACACTTAATGTTTCATTGGATATTAATATTTTTATGCTAATCAGAATTAGATGCCTGATCTGTAAAATAGAGACTTCAAAGTTAAATATCTTTTTGAGCTACTCCCAAGAAAAGACAACTTAGAGAAAGAGTGGTCTTACAAGGTGTGTAAATTTTAAGACTATGCTCCAAATGTTTTCTAAAGAATCAGAATGCTATACAATATTACTGATGAGTAGTATTTAAAAAGCTTAGGGCCTAACTAACTTTTTAATTTAGGAAATGGTGGCTTAAATAGCTTCAGTTAGTTAACAAGCACAGGAAAGAGTGGTTCATTTTTTTACTTTACTGCAGATGGTTTATTCACTTTGAAAACTGTAAGCAGGACTGAATTTCATCACTTAAAAAATATTCTAAAAAATTATTATGAGCATCTCAAAGAAAATAGGAATTCTCTGATTATAAAATTTTTTGGTTTACATAAAATAAAAATTAGAATGAAAAAATCAACGAAAGTTGAAATAGTTTATATCGTAATTATGGCGAACGTATTCCATACAACGAAACTAATTCATGAGAGATATGATTTAAAGGGATCAACATATGGTCGCACTACCAAAGTTAAGTATAAATACAATTAATTCATTTTTTTTCTAAAAATACATTCTAGTTATATTTAAAACTGTAATTTTAATTTTTCAATTACAGATTATAGTGATTGTTTAGGTGTTACTAAGTATCGTTAGATTTAAGTTTTAGAGAAACGAAATTAATTTTTATATTTTACGATTTGATTAAAAATATTATTGTGAGAAGTAGAAAAATATATAAATAAATAAAGTAACAACATTTTTACATACCAAACTCACAATTTCAGATGAGTTAATCTTTAAAATTAATTAAAACTTGTAATCAAATAATTTATTTTCACTAATTTTACAAATTTTTAGTACTATTTTTCATATAATAAATTATGTGTTTCTCCTAGAACCATTAATTTTTTAGCTTACAATATCTTACTATTTTCTTTCTTTCGAATTTAATTATCATATAAATATATTTATCTATTTTAATTAACAAAATCAGAACTCAAGGTGTAACTATGAAAGACTTGGATTTCTTGGAAAAAAAAACTAAAATATAAGCAAAATTTGATGAGTACGAAGAATTTATGAATGTTGTTAAAAAAGACGCTAAGTTTTTTGAAGAAAATAATATTATTGACTACAGCATGCTTGTGGGAGTCCATAATAACTCTTTGTCTAATTTAAGTAAATAAATAAACATTAATACAAACACTTTACTTTAAATTATTATCAAAAGACCCAGAATAGTCAGATTAAGTCAGCTAAACTATTAAGGATCAATTTTCTAGAGTTTAATAGCATCGTGACTTCAAGCTGACAAAAGATATTTCAAGTTTCTATTCAAGGGATAATAGAATTTATTACCTATTTGGGATAATAGATATCCTTACATGTTTCAAGTAATATTTAATATTCCTTTAATTAAATTATTAACATGCTATTTAATTCTGACTTTTTATTTGAATAATGTGTGAATTAGAACATTTTTTATTGAAATTTTTTTGTACAAATTTTTTTCTATATTTCACATTCTAATGATTTTTATTAGCGCTAAAAAGAAATTTGAGTACTTAGCTAAGAGAATCGCTTTTGGTCCAAATATTTCTGCAATTCCACCTTCATAGTATTCTTAAAGATTTGTAAAATTCATGGATGACATGTTTGATGAAGATTCTAAAGTTCCCTAAGAGTTGAAATAATGAATGAGAAAAATAAATACTGGATAAAAATTTTGCTTCTCTATATGAAAAAAGTATATTTTTGAAAAAATATAATTACGATCAATAATTTTCACTAATAGTTATTGTTTCTTAACTATCTTAATCTTATAATTAGATATCTTAATTAATTCTGAAAGATCATGTAAGAAGGTTTATTTTTAAATCTAATTATAAAATACATATTAATATATCAAATTTTTATAAAATTTTAATTATTATTTAGTTCTATTCAAATTCATATATAGTGTATTTATATGTAAGTTTTTGTTTTATGAAAAGCAAGCTTTTTAAATAATTCTTTACATTTTATTCATATATGTAAAATAAAATAAGAGACAAATTTCTATTTTTGTCTTATCCTTGATTAAATAACACTAAATTTAACGAAATTTGTGGTGATTAATTAAATTGAGTTAGTTCGAATAAAATCCAATATAATAAGTAAACATTAACTTTTTTTTTACTTGTAAAAATATTAATTTAAAAGCTCATTAATAAATTGCACAACAATTATTTTGAGTGATGATTTCTTTAATTATGCGCAACAAATTGCAATATATTTTATTGAATTGTAATGTAAAACTATTTATAAATTTTATTTTAATACTGATTAAAATGTTTTAAAATACAAAATAGCTTAAAAAAGGCTTCATACTTAATATTTTATTTTATATTTTCTTTTTATATTTTTGTTTTATCAATGAAATTATAATATTTAGTTTACATTAATAAGAATAATATTAATAAAAAAAACCAAGATTAAATTTGATTACAGTTATTAAAGTATCTTAAACAAGAAATAAGAAACCTCAAATAAAAGTTTTAAAACGAGTAAAAATAATCAAATACTAAAGATGAATATCAAAAATCTCTTACTCCATAGATATTCTTTGAGCTAGTCAAGGAATACATGTAAATATTAACAATTTCTTTTGTTATTTTTATAATGGTTATTTATTTTTTGAGTTAAACTTGTGGTGTAAGCTTAATATTATCAAATCTGAGTAGTATTGTAAATCAAATTACTATATATTAATTTTACAGTTCTAAAGGATTTTTTTTCCAACAGGAGCTAGCTTATATATTTCAGTTCATTAAATTTTAGAATCATCTCTCCACAAATTAAAAGGATATATTTTATTTAAATTAAAAAGAGATAAAGGTATTTTGTAATTACAAAAAAACTTAAAAATTAAAACAAACTACTAAAAAAAATAAGAAAAACTCGAAATTAATTAAATGAGTTCTAAATATTTATTCCTGGTTGGTTCCCAATTTTCTTCTTTAGATAAAGAAAAAATGGCATCTCTGCAACAAGCAAACTTCATGGAAATAGAAGAAAATGTCAGCGAATAAAGCAAAAATGAACATGATATAAATTCTCACTTTTGTTTACAAGTAAATCATTCATTTCTTATTTAAATACTTATAAGATATTAATCAAATAATTAAAATCGTAGGGAAAAATTTTTTTATGCTCTGAATCACTCTTAGGAAAGAGCAATTGCTAATACTGCATCTTAAACACTTTCACTAAACTCTCCCATTCAAAGATTGACAAACAACAAAATCTCCATTTAAATTTCAAAAAAAATGGCTGCTGTGATAGTTAAAATATGTAATATTTATGATAAATATTTTACAATTGTTTACCATTTTATTAAAATTTATAAAGGGATAATTTGATATAGATACTCTCTAATGGATCTTGTCCTGAAAATACAAAAATTATTAACATGATTTAGCAAATTTAATCTCAAAAGTAATATAAATATATTTCTGAAGAAGAATCATCATCTTCTGTTAGTGGATCTACAAACGCATCGTTTCCTTAATAATGCTCTCTATCTAACTAAAAATCTCCTTTTTTATCAATTTCATGGGATAATAGCTAAAGAAATGATCAATCTATTTCGATTTAGATATCTTCTCAGTTTTAATAAATTTTAGATTGGAATGCAGAGGAATTGTAGTTGGAAATGCATAGCCTGGGAATGTTAGAGTAAATTAATTTTTCTTATCTAAATTGTTTAATTAAGTTATTTATTAAAAATTAAGATTCAGCAATGGATTCAATTTAAGATAACCACTGGTATGGCTTTTAGAATAATTTAGCTAAAACAATATAAATGAGCCTAATTTCTAAAGTTAATCTCCTATGTTCGCATAATAGCTTTTAAACAGCAAAAAATAAGTAAGCAAAAAATTAAAACATCTGAATAATTATTAAAAATATTTTTGAATTTATTAGGTAGTTAATGCTCTTGTATAATATGAGATTGCTAATACTAATGAAAGATTTTATTTGAATGTCATCATCAAATAGGTGGAATCAACTTTAGGAAAAAGGTATCCTACAAGACAAACAAAAGAAACAAATAAAATGAATGTTTAATTATAAACACAGTAAAGCATATCAATGTTTTTTAATTAGACAAACCTAACAAAATTAGAAAACTTGATAGCATAGTAAAATAGAGTATTTTCAAATGATGAAATTAAATTCATTGAAAAATATTATTACCCCAATTTGCAATAATCTCACCCTTAATTAGTTAAACATAATTAAAATGAATGCTCTTTTAGATTCATTTGAAAAGCTCTTCACACATATATTAATAAATCCATCCTTACACAAAATATAAACAAAATCAAAATTCTTAAAAACTTATATAAATTTATTCAATTTAATTATAAATAAAAAAATAGTAACCATTCTTCAAAAACAAAAAAATAAAAATTCACTTATTCAAATATAGAATCATGTTCTTTTTACAGAGCTTATAATAATATTTAATCAAATTTAAAGTAACTTTCATATTGCTATTTATTTTCATATACTGTATTCAAATTAATCTTTCTTTCTTTTATCTAAATCTTATCAAACAAAATCTAATATAATCAAAGAAGTCAGTCAATTAATCAATCAATCAATTATTTAATTATTAAATTCTCTAGTAGTAATAAATAAATAAATACTCTTCTTTAAATTTGATATTTCTACTTTTCAATTCTATTTAATTTCAACACTATAAATCAAAACGAAAAAAGTATTTTTTTTTTTTTTGAAAATGTCTAAAAATGCATCAGTAAAAAGTGCATAATAGAGAAGTAGTTCTTCTAAACATAAGCTTCAATTTAGAATTTATTACAAAAATAATTTCAAAGATGTCAATTAAATAGCTTTAGAATCTTAAAATAATATAAACGTAATTTAAAATTTACCTGCTAATCCCACTGATTTCGGATTAAGAGAACATTATACTTTTGAAAATTTTGAAACGAATGAGGAATTAGCTTCATAATAAGAAGAAGTGGCAGCATATATACCAAAAAAAGAGATAGACTATTCTATTTTACCTTAATATTAAGAAATCTAATAAAGCTCACCTAAACTATTGCCTATGGCTCCTACGTTTGAAAAAAGTACAAGATTAAAGCAAGAAAGAATTTTATAGGATCATTTTTAGTAAGTAGTTGATCAAACAGAATAAGCATTCGATGAATGCTTCAGTAAATTCGAAAAGAATGTTAATGTGGTAATGTTTGGAATAAACCCAACAGAAGTATAAATGAATAATTAAAGGTAAACTAAATTTCAATCAAATAATAGGCCTCGCACTTACTAGTAAAATAGAACTAAAAAATATTAAGATCTTACATAAAAGTGTAAAGCTGATAATGAAAATAGCACAATTGATTTAGTTGAAGAAAATTTAAAAGATAACAAAAGACCTGTCACAGCAATTACTTATCATTCTAAATTTTAAAAGCAAGCAAGATCTTTATCGCCTGCTAAAAATGAAAATAACCAAGAGAGTCAACCTGAGAAATAAAACGAAATTTTTCAAAAATGGGCTCATTTTTTAAATTAATCTGATAAGAACATTTAAAAATATGAAAAAATATACTTTGAAAATGCATGTTTAAAAAAATCGCCTGTTAATTCAAACTTTACGCTTCCAACTGCTGAAGGAACTTCAAATAAATTTTATTAAACTAACACAACAAACTGGACTTAAGCTAAAGACTCTGTAAGTAATAAATAAGCTATAGCAAGAAGCCTATCAAGCAGATTATCTTAACAAACCTAAAATAAAATTCAATCTCAAAATGAAATAATAGAGCTCCATAAAATATTCAACTTACTTAAAAAGGAAATGGAATAAGGTTTAGAATAATTTAATATTAAGCTACCATTTCTAAGTGGAAAAATAATGGAAATGTTTTCATAAAACATAAATTTTTAGCATAAAGATATAATAGAAGACTTAAATACAGTTACTCAACACTATATGTATTTATTAGATAAATAATTAGCAGCTAAAGTTGAAAATTTTCTGGATATAAGTATTTTTGAAATATATAATTTAATAAATAGATAATTTTTAATTTTATTTTAAACATTTTTAATATAGATACAAGCTCTAAGAAATATTTGTATAGAGAAATATGTGATTTGCAATCAGAAAAACTCACTCAAATTTAAACTGAAAAGAATAAAAATGAAAAGCTAAATTAATAAAAGTAAAATGATTTAGAAAAATAAGTTTAAAAGCTACTGAATGATATGTAAAGTAAATATTTAAAAGCTATAAAGTTCAAGTTTAGTTTAAAAATATTTTATAGAATAAAAGGAAGATTATTGCTAATAAATATTTTAGTTGAAGGAAAACAACTAGAAAAAATACGAAGAACTATTTGAAAAACATGAAAAGTTGAAAAATGAAAATATTTTACTATCAGATAATGTGAGATAGTTAAAAAGAGATTTAATACAGCAAGAATCAGATATGAAATATTACTAAGTGTAATCTACGAATTAATTTGAATCAAAGATTAGAGATTTACTTGAAAAGTACAATAATTTAGAAAACACATCCACAAAAAATGATCGATACTACTCTGATTAATTTGAATGTAAAAAAATACTTAGTTATATTTTTACAAATTCCTTTTATTAATTATTTTATTCAATTTTAAGGTATGAATGAGTTAGTTAGTAACCACTAATCAGCTATCGTAAAACTTAGACTTAGTAAAGAAACAATAAGCCAATAAGCAATTAAAATAGAGTAGCTTCTCAACGAGATACAAAGGTTTTCATTTATTTTTTGAGAATTATTATTTCAAATATAAACTCACCTATCTCTTTTAGTTGTTTAAATTTTAAGATTCATTTATAAAAAGCTTTTCTTCTAAGTTTTAAGAAAATCTTAGTCATTTAATTTTTAAAACAAATTAAAAAACAAAAAAAATTTAATAAAATACTTAAGAACCATACATAATATAATAAATTCATGAAAATTTATTGGTTTTAAGAAAAAATAAATGAATTTTTAAAAACAATTTATTATTTTCTTTAAATATCTTCAATTTTTTAAAGGTTGAATGTAAGAGCTGCTACACAATTCCATGATTTTACTCCTCGTCCAAGCTTTAGTGATCTAGAAGATATATGTAAATAAATACAAAACCCTCAATTATAGTAACAATAAGAATAAAAGGTATATTAAATGAATTTAACTTATGTATTTAGAGATTATTAATATTTATAAAGGAATAAATTCAAGTCATAAAGTTTTATGATTTAGATTCTTCTTCAAGGATGAAAAAGATTTCATAAATAATTAAATAAGCAATTAGTGAATATTAAAATATTATTACAAGGCTTAATTTGAAAAATGATTTATAATTACTTTAGAATAAAAAATAAGTTAAGCCATCTACTCGATAAAGTAAATTAATAACTGTAGACTAAAAATCAAAGAATAAATCAAAATAATTATCAGCATTTCTCCCAATAAATGAAGAACCAAAAAAGAAAAAAGCATCAAAAAAGAATAAATTTGAGTAATAATTATAGAAAATTTAAAGAGATTCTATAAGACAAAGTGAGTTAAACATATCAGATAATTTATCACTAAATAGTGAAGATAAGTAAGCTTTACAAAAGTAGTCTATAGATGAATACGAAGACACCTTTAATGATTTATGAAAAAATATTATTCGAATTTAACTCAATTTTTTAAAATTTGCTAAAAACTGTATCAAAAAAAGAAAAAAATAATTTATTAATTTTATTTAAAAAAAGAAAATAGTGTGTAATTAATTAACGAAACATATGTTATTTTTAATTTATTTAATTTAAATACAAGATAGATTCGTTTTTGTTAAGTTAAATTTAGAATATTTTTGAAAAACAAAATATAGAAAGTATCTTAAAAGATAGTATTAAATACATGATAGATAGTTTTTTAAGAAGTTTTACTTAGAAAGTTTTTGAATAAAAATTCTATGATAAGAATCTTAAAAAATAGTAAGTCAGCAAGTAAGAATGCAAGTAATAATTATTTTAACTGAAATGAAAAATAATTTAATAATCAATAATTAATTATTTCATGCATATTTATTATTAATGATTAAATATTGATTAAAATTTTATGTATTTTTTGCTTTATATTTTGTCATCATTCATTTGAGGAAGTTTATATTTTTGATGATGAGACAGACACATTATAAAAACTAATTTTTATTAGTAGCTAATTTTTGTGGATATGTTAAATTAAAATAAAAAATTTTTTGCAAACGAATGAATGGACTTTAGGAATTCAGAGACATGCTATCAGTATTATGTATAACTTATGGATACTAAAGTCTAACTCGAAATAAATATTTTTAAGTTGATATATTTGCTTATATGCAATTTATATACAATTAATAATTGTAATAAATCCATCACAAAAATAAATTAATAAAAAGTTTAGTAAAAATAAAAACTATTTTAGAAAGCAAAAATATGAGCATAAACGAAAGATAAACTCCCGAAAAGCTTCCTCCATTAAGTTCATCACGCAACAATCATAAAGCATATAGACAAAATCCTTTTCAAAATAATTCACTTCATAACCAGTCATTCTAATCCAGCTAATCTAAAGGATCAAAAAACTTATCTCATAGCTTAGTCTCAACTAGAACTTAGACAGATAATCCTATGATTAGATCTTTCAGGTAAGCAAATAATCCATTTGATTAAGGATATACTCGTAGTGATAAAATAAGGTATTAGGGAAGCCCGGAGTCAAAAGCACATCAGCGTCTTCATGAATTCTGCACTATTTCTTCTCTTTAACATTCTGGTTATCATTAACCAAGATATTAATAGAGTTAAAAAGTATCAGGAATATAAAATCTTCGTAATACGTTCTAAAAAAACCGAATTATGCAATAAATTATAGAAGAAGAGGAAGTAGTAACAAAAGATCCTAAATTGATGACTAACATAGAATCTTTATGGAAAATGAATCTTCTGAATGACAAAAGATTTGTAAATAGCTCTTTAGCAAAGAATCACAATATTGCTTATGTATACAATGACTACCACTCTCGTTCTACGAATCCTGGTTATTCAAGAAACGATATGGGTGGAGCATTCTTTACAAGATGATGGAATTAAATCTAAAATTTAAATAAAAAAAAATTATATTAATTATAATTATTGATATAAATAAAACAAATATATTTATGTTCTGAAGAACTATTATGTAATAAATAAAACTATGTGTTATTTATCTATCTATCTATCTACCTATCTATTTTCGATCTAAAAAGAAGGTTATAAATAGTGAATGATATTATCTTGATTTTTTTTTTATTCATGCATTATTATGATAAAAAGCATCATTTATTATATAATTTATTATATAGAAGGATTAATTGTATTTATTTAATTAAATTTTTATAGTGATTAAAATTTAAGAACGGATTATTATCTGCCAGCTATCCAGCCTAAATTTGATTATAAATCTTAAATAAACTTGCAGACAAATATAAAATAAAACATTTATAATTGAAAAATAAGTTTTTGGTTTAATTTAAGCTCAAAAAGCTAACAAAAATAAAAAAATAAATGCATAATTTAATACTACAATTTAAATATATTAATTATTATTTTCTATCATCAAACTTATTTTTCAACTTCTACTTCTGTTATGTTAGAAAGAACATTTTCTTCAAAATAATTAAGTCTTTCTAATGCATTTTAATACCCAAGTAAATGACAAATTGTTGCAGTAGAAGGTCCTTAGTGAGAACCAGACATAGCTAATCTCAAAAAATGGTAAACATCTTCATTTTTTATTTGAGGATTATTATCAAATAGATATTAGCTCATCGCCTTGCTCAATGAAGTCATTTCAAATTTATTTTAATTGTGAAGACTTGCAAAAATTTCCTTAAAGTCTTTGATTACTTTATTAGCATTTTTTAGACTTTTAACAACTTTTTGAATAGATTTTTATGAATTATCATTTTTATAATCAGGTTGCTCAAAAAGGTATTTAAACTATGATATCTCGGAATATAATTATATTCTATCTCTAATAGTTTCTATCATTAATAGCTAATCTTCAGTATTGAAGCTTTAAATTTTTTACTTTAAATTATCTATCTAAATATATTGAACCATCTTATCCATAAATTCATTTTATAGCTCTTTTTCAATCCTAACATCTCTAAATTTTATTTGTAAATGTTAACCATTCAAAAAAATTAATTTTTTTTCATCAACCTAGCTGTTTGATGGATTAACTCTTTCAAGAGAAAACTATTTTAAAGAAATAAATCAATCAATCAATTATTTTTATTAAATTATTTTAAGATTTTACTAAAGCAGCCATTTCACTCATATCAAGCACTTCTTCCTTAGGACTAAACTTCTCATTTAGAGTTTAACTATCTTCTAAAAATTTAGGATACCAGCCTAAAAGAGCAACAAAATTGTTCACAGCTTCTGGTAAATACTCATTTTCTCTAAAGAAGTCAACGCTAGAACTTTAATCTCTTTTAGATAGTTTAGCCCCACCTTTCTGTATTTGATATTTTTAATAACTCATTATGCCATTTTTGAAAAATAAATTACTTTAACTAGCAAAGGGATATGAGCAAATTTGGGAGGTTTAATATTTAATGCATCGTATAATATAAGATGCTTAGGAGTAGAAGTTATCCATTCATGACCTCTAATTACATGAGATATTTTCATTTAATAATCATCAATAACATTAGCTAGGTGATATGTTGGAAATCCGTCAGATTTAATTAAAATTTAATCATCTACTTAAGAATTATTAATAGTAATCTTTCCATGTATTATATCATTGAAAGTAGTTTCTCCTTCAGGAACCTTAAAGAATAAAAGGATATAATTATGACTGATGTTGTAAAGTCTACTTTTATTTTATAATAGTAGAAAAACATATAAAAAACCATTACTTTTAAACGAATTGTGTATTTTTCTCCTTTTAACAGTTTAATACGAATCTGTTCATCAGTCAAATGTCTACAGTGTCCATCATACTTTTAAGGCAACTTCTTTTCAATCTAATCATTTTTAAGCTTTTCTAATCTATTTGAATCACAAAAGCAGTAGTATGCATCTCCATTTTAAATTAATTCCTTAATATACTTTTAATATAATTATAGTCTTTAAGATTAAAAGTAAGGACCGAAGGGTCCTTAATTTTCATAATCGTTTAAGTTGTTTTTTCCATGAGCTCCAGGACCTTTTTTATAGTTATTAATATTTATTTTGTTAGTTGATGTACAATGTGTTTGTTTAAAAATAATATATAATTTAAATAATCTCTACCTTCATCCCATTCCAACTAAAAGTACTATAAATTCTTGATAATGTTTTCAACTGAGCCAGGAACATACCTTTTCTTTATTTATTATGTTTTTTACATATCAACAGCTTTCAAATTAATGATATTTTTAAATTATTAAAGCAATAAAAATAATCATAATATACAAATACTTTACTTGATCTGTATCTTCAATACGCAAAATAAATTGACCTTTATTCTTTTTTGCAAATAAATAATTGAAAAGAGCTGTACGCAATCCTCCTAAATGGAGAGAACCTGTAGGGGAAGGAGCAAACCTTACCCTGACTTTTTGCTTTTACTATACAGAGAAAGTTCTTAGAATCTTTAAAGCTAGCATATCTTTATATTTTTAACAATATTTTTAACTAATAATATAAATTAAATTATTAAAATATAAGGCTATGAAATACACAAAAAATAAATAAGTGTATTTAGTTTTTTACTATTAACGATTTATTATTTTATATTCTAATTAATTAATTAACAATTATTTTATTTGCAACAACAAAAAAAAACTAAATTAAGAATAATATTTTTTTGATATTTATTTTTATAATAGATGCTAACTACAATTTTAAATGTAAATAACAAGTTTTCTGTTAAGATATAAATTAATGAATATTGATTGATGCAGTGCTTGTTTAAAAACTAAAATTGAACAGCAAGCTAACTTAAAATATTGTATAATTTATTTCACTTCTTTTCATTTTCTTTTTTATCATCTTTTTTCTCATCTCCTTTACCAACTAAATTTAACAAATCTTCAACAAACTTTTCATCCTACATTAAATTAGCTTATACAGATTCATCATCTTCTTTTTTGGTTTATTCTTTTCTAGGTTCTTTGTTTTCTGCTCCTTGCTATGCTTCAAATGGGTTTTCTTATTATGAAGCTAATATAGCTTGATTCATCAACTCTTCTTCTGTCAATTCATCAAAATCATCTTTGTTTGCTAAAAGGCCCTAATTTTCATCTTACATTGTTTCATTTACAAATGATGGATTATTTGCAGAAGTATTTAAATTCTATTAAGCCAAGCTAGTTGCATTTTCTTATGCTGGTTAACTAGGTGCTTGCTATTATTATTATTATTAATTCTTTTCTCTCTCTAATTATTCTTAAATTCTCTTTTCTTCTTCTAGAGAAAGCTTCATAGCTTAAGCTAATTCGGGGTCTTCAGAGGGATCAATTCCACCATATTCAGCAAATGGATTAGCTCCACCAGCTTAGGTTGGATTGATTGGTACATTACCTACACTCGAGGCTTAGTTAGCGTTAGAACCACTAAGGAAACGGTTTAATATAGGAGAGTTAAAGAGGGTTTCTGTTAAACTAGTAATGCCGCTTTAAACATTTAAAAAGTATGAAGAATCACCTGAATTAACAGTTTGAATGAATTTGTCTAGTTTTTCAATTTAATTAACTCCACTTTAACATAGATTAACAATATCAACACTAACATTATTCTTTTTTAATTACTTTGCAACTCTTTCCAAAGTTTTTTCATCTTCAACAATCTAATTTTATATTTATAAATAATCATTTATTTAACAAAAATTATAAAATTTATTAAAAATTAAAAATTCAAATCTTTCTTTCTTTCAACAAAAATAAAATTCCTACTAAAATATTTTATGTAGTTTTCATATTTAATTTAAAGTTTTAATGCTTTTATAAGTTTGAAAAATTAGTTTAAATAATAAATTAATTACTGGTGATGCAACAAAAACGATTATCCTTTATCTCATATTTTTATTTTTTCTGTGTTTTAATCCAAGCTAAGCAATTTAAAGAGCATTTAAAAAGTGAGCTTTTTCACCTCTAAGCTTTACGCCAAATAAGCAGCCTAAAATAGCATCAGGATCTGCGCTAGGTGTGATTAATACTTCAACTTATGGGCCTCCCATAGTTAATATACCAACTGCATTTTCCATATTCATTTATTATTTTGCATTTATTATAGCCTGGATTGTTTCTGCTTATGCTTCATATCTGGAAGGCAAATGGTCCCCATTTCTTGCATATTCGGTATTATCTAAAATAACAATTGAAGCTTCTAGAGTCATTTCTATATTAACTTTATGTTTAGCTATATTTTTATTAATCTTTTAATTCAATCTTTTGTTTTTATTTATAAATTATTTTTTGTAAATAAACTATCAGTTTTTCTTCTCTTTTTTACTATTTGCTTCTTACTATTAATCTATGTATCTGCCTATCATTCTATTCTTTATGCAAAGTTTTCATTTAATTTAAAAAAATCATTGATAAATAAACAAGGAAGAACAGAGAGGTAAGATATTCTGCTTTTTGCATAAACTATTCAATTTAGCAATTGATCTTCATCGATTCTAACATAGGAGTCTCAATTTATATTAAAATAATTTAAAATCTTTAGTTAAACTTACTGATTAAATTTTCAAGATATTAAATATTTTTCGTTAATATATTTAAAAAAGATTTTTAAAAATCATTTTAGTATAATTTAAAATTAATTATTTTATTTCATCATCAAATTAAAAGAAAAAAAAAAATTTCACTAATTTTTTTAATCAAATTAAAAATTTATATTTTTTTAAATTAATTTAGTAAGAAAATTATTTTTAAACAAAAATGTGAAATTTAAAATAAAATATCATTTAGCTTTTTCAATTATTTATTTTAATCTTAAGTTAATTTTATATTATTTTTAAAGAATTTTTTATTTAAGATGAATAAAAATAAAGATTTATTTATTTTTATTGAGTTTATACTGAAACAATTGAATTTGAATTCTTAATTTAATAAATTTTTTGTTAAATTTCAAAATTAACATTTATTAAAAAATGAATGAGTCAAACCATTCTATTTTTAAAAATTATTAAAGCAATAAACTGTGAATTTAATTATTTATGGAATGGTAATAGAAGTTATTTTGGATTAATGTATTATTTTTAAATTTAATTTAAAATACAAAATAAAAAATACATTTATAACTTCAAAAATTTATATAATTCTTTTTTAAAAATGGTAATATAATATTTTAAGATAAAATTCTATCATAAATCTTTTTTTATTATTTTAAGGACACTTAAAAAAATAATTAGAAGTTTTGTTCTATTATTGATAATTTTTTTCTATATTATTCTCTAATCTGTATATAGAGTGTCCAAATAAAATGTTAATTTGAAAACGATATTTTAAACTAGAGACACACTTTCAGGCTTTTTAAGAAAGTAACTCTTTAGCTTTTTTAAGGCCACACTTTATGAAATTTTATTATTATATTTACTAATTTCAAATTTGTATTTAAAACAAAGAAATAAATTTAAGATGAAATTTTAATAATTCGCTTAATGCTGCAGCTTTTCCCATTTTAAGAATTAAATATAACATTAAAATTTCATTAATAATACTTAGCTAACAATCAAATTTTAAAGATTTGACAATACTTATGAAAGATTTGCTTTTTATAAGTCAACAATAATAACATTAATTAAAATGCGGGTATCTTTATTTAAAATTCAAAATAAATTATAATCATAAATTTACAAAATATAATTTATTAAAAGATTATTAAAAAAAATAATTTGACTCTTAAAAAAAAAAAGATCCTTCAAAAAAAATGGAATTAAGAACTAAGACATTAAATATTTAACCTCCTAAGAAACCATTTTCTAATACCTATTAAGCTTTCGTATTAGAAAAGAAGAATGCCTTAGGAAAGAATTTTGATAACAAGAAAGTTTAAGCTGACTACAACAAATTATCCAATAATGAGAAAGAAAGACTCCAAAAGTTGGTTGATAATGCTGAAGAGAAGTACAAAGAGGAACTATTCCACTACAACAATCACATCTAGGGAAAAGGTAAACAAAAATATGTTCCTTAAGTTAAAGTCCCTGAAAAGCCTAAAAAGCCTATTGGTAGCTTTTTCCGTTTCCTAGAGGAAAACAGACAAAAGTACGCTGCTAAGCACAAAGACTTAACTAACGCTAAAATTTTGAAAATAATGTCAGAAGACTTTAACAATTTACCTCAAAAAGAAGTCAAGGTATATGAAGATGCTTATTAGAAAGAATACGCTTAATACTTAGTTGAATTCAAGAAGTGGAATGAAAAGTATGGTTAAGCTGCTCAAAAAAAACAAACTAAAAGAAAGAACTCTACTTCCAAATCAAGAAGAAGCTCAAGTAAAGGAAAATCTTCTGTTTCTAAAGGAAGAACAAAATCCACTTCTTCAAAGAGAAGAGCTGATTCCTCAGCTTCTCAAGGTAGATCTCAATCTTCCTCATCAAACAGAAGAAAAGCTTCCAGCTCAAAGGACTAAAAAGGTACCCGCTCTTCAAGCAGAAAGGCCTCTAATTCTAAAGGAAGAAAGAATTCAACTTCAAATAAAAGAAACTCCTCCTCATCTAGCAAAAGATCTTCTTCTTCTAAAAACAAAAAATCATCTTCTTCTAAGAACAAAAAATCTTCTTCTTCTAAAGGTAGAAAGTCTTCTTCATCTAGAGGTAGAAAAGCTTCATCTTCTAAGAACAGAAAATCATCAAAATCAAAAGATAGAAAATCATCTTCCTCAAAAGGTAGAAAATCATCATCATCCTCAAAAAGCAATAAGAGAAAGGCTTCCAGTTCTAGAGGTAGAAAATCCTCAAGCTCAAAGGGAAGAAAATCATCTAAATCATAAGAAAGAAAAAATTCTCATGCTGATACCAGTAAACAAATGGAAGATGAAGGTTAAAAAAGAAGATAATCTAGCAGTTCAGCTAAAAGAGATGAATCCTCAAAGAAAAGTAGAAGAAACTCTATGAAAGAAGCTAGAACAAAGAAAGCCAACAATAAATCAGCTTCTAAAGCTTCAAAGAGTGGATCAAAATCCAAAGGTAAAAGTGCCTCTAAGAGCAAAGGAAAATCATCTTCTAAAGGCAAAAACTCAAAATCTAGAAGTGCCTCTAAGCCAAAATCAAATGCCGCTTAAAATTCCAACAATACCCATCAAACTGCTGATTCTAGTGAAAATGCTTCTTCTACTACTCAAACTAGAACTAGAGGAAGACAAAGAGAATAAAAAGATATGGTTAATGAAAAATCAAATAGCAAATCAAGCTCCAAGGGAAAGAAGAATTCAAAATCAAATACAAGATCAAAGTCTAAATCTAAATCTGCTTCTAAATCCAGAAAAAATGCTTCTAAATCTAAGAAGGATACCACTAATCATGGAAGATAAACTAGATCTAAATCAAGATCTGAGTCTAAGAGTAAATCTGAAGCTCCTAACAAGAATAGCAATAAGATGGAAGTAATTGAATAACCTAAAGAAGAATCCAGTGACAGAAAGAGAAGAGAATCAAGAAGTCAATCTGCTAAAAAAACCTCTGATAAGAAATCTAAAAATAGAAGTGACTCTAAGAAGATGACTGCCGAAGATCCTAAGAAGAACAACGCAGAAGATTCTAAGGGTAAGAAAAAATCCAAAGAAGGAAAGACTGGAGCTTATGGCAAGAAGGCAAATAAAAAATAATGAGTTTGAAATGTTAAGTATCAACTTTAAACCTTATTTTTATTACGTTTATATTAATATTGAGTGATTTAATTTATTAAAATCAATAATAATAAGTAGATAAAGAATTAGTTAATTAATTACAAAATAGTTGGATGGATACTTCTACCTAGTAATCAATCAATCTATCTATCCTCTATTTAAAATTTTGAAATTTTGATTTGGTATTTTAACAAATATTCACCATTATGTTAAATACCTCAATTTATACCTATACTATAAAATCAAACAATTTATCTATCTATCTAAAGCTTATAAACGAAGTAACTAATTTTGTCTTTCTTATCTACAAATCCATTTTGATTTTAACATCAATGAAATCTAAATTTATAAGAAAAAACTATAATTTTTCCTAAAATAATTATATAAAAACATAAATAAATACATAACTTCATTCATTCATTTTGCAGATTACTATATATTTTTTTGTTGTTCGTATATTATAAAATTATCATATATTCAAAATCATTTATTGTTTTATCTAATAAATTACATACATATTTTCTATTTAATTAACTAAATTAATAAAATAATCTATTACAAAAAATAACTAACTAAAAGTTTTTACTAATATAAAATGAAAATTTTTATCCGTTTTAATTTGAATTTCATTAGGATAAGCTTTATGATATAATATTTGCCAAAAAATTATGAAGAAATTCATGTTTTTATTCTGATAAAAAATAAAATTCATGTAAATTTAATAATTTTTTTAAATCAAGAATAAAATAAAAAATTAAATTTCTATTATTAATATTAAAAAAATTAAATATTTTACTTTTTTTTCTCATAAATATTAGAAGTAAAAAACATTATACAAGCTCATTTAACAATTTAATTTAAATTTTACATTTATAAATTTTATATTAAAAATATATTTATGTCAAATAGTACCTGTCAATAATTTATAAAATATAACTGCTTAAATTATATTTTCAGAAATTCCAATTTTAACATTTTATATCAAAAAATATTAATCAAATTTATTATTTTTGTTTAAATATTTAAAATTTTACTCTTCTTTCGACAATATCATTTACTTATTAAAATGAAAATTTTTCATATGTATGAATTTCATAAAATATCCTGCAATAAAAAATTACAATTACAAATATTTGAATATTATTTAATAGCATAAAATATTGATCACAAATTTTTATTTTCTTATTTTCTTATCTTTTTATCGATTTATAATTTTTTCTTTTGTATTTCTTAAAGATTTAACACATAATTTAATTAAAACTACCTGCAATTACAATTTAAATTTCATTTAATAAGTTTTTATAGATTATATGACTTATTTATTTTATTAAAATAATAATTTAATTAAGATTTAAAAATTTTATAGCATATGTGTAAATATTTCTCAATTTCAAGATTTATAAAATTATCCAAAATCAAAATCATTTTTATCAACACTTTGATTTTAATTGTTTGGCTCAAAAGAATTAAAATCTATATCATCTTCTTTTATTTAACTATCTAAGGTATTTATTATTTCTTTAGTATCTTTTTTATTAACTTCATCAGCTTTTTAAAATTCACCCCATCCATCAAATTCATCTATTTCTTACATATCTTTATTCACCTTTTAAACTTTTTAAGTTGATGTATTTTGGTTATGGTTAAACTAATTGAAGGCATTATCTGCTTCTGCTTATAATTTTTTTCTTTATTCTTCTTCTATTCTCTGCTGACGATTTTTTTCTATCATTTATTTTACTTTTTCATCTCTTACTTTCATATCTTATTCAAATTACTATTCTTATTACTTAGTTTATTTTGCTTGCTCCTATTTATATACCATACTTTTACTTTAAATTAATAAAAAATTTATTACATTTAGAGGAATTTCTTGCAAATTATCCCAATTCTCTAAAATATTTATCACTTCTTCTATTTTAGGTCTGTATTTTGGAGATGGTGTTAGTAAATGCCTAATAAAATCATGCATTTTTTCATTATATTTAGAATTTTATTTAAACTTATAACTTGCACTAATTATGGCCAATTTTGAAGCCTCATAAAATGGATGAATGTAAAAGCACAAGCAGTAAACTATGCAACCTTTTTATATTTTTTGTTTAAATGTAAATATTTTGATAGTTAGTATTTTTTTTACCAAGCATCCATATATCAACTTTAGAATCAATAATTTCTTCTGAAAATACATCACACATTTCAGGAGGGCGACTTTGTAATGTTGTATACCTTTCATATAATTCTTCCTATTCGCTTTGCTACTTCCTATCTAGTTTGCTATTTTTTTTTAATAAATTTTCTATTTATTTATTGATTCAGTAGATCTATAAAATATAATATTTGCATAGTTTTTTATTTTATAATAACTGATTTAATTCTAAAATAATAGTTCTATTTATATTAAACATACCTCAAATCAACTACATCTGTGCTTGCAGAACCAAAATCACAGAGTTTAAACATTCCATCTTTTAACAAAACGTTTTCTATTTTCAAATCCCTATGGGTTATATTTATAGAATGAAGTACCTAAAGTCCTTTACAGATTTAAAGAATTATATGAATAATTTCTTTTTCTGTAAAACCTCCTGATTTTTAACGAGACTCCATTAAGTTAAAAAGAGTGCCATCAGGACAGTACTCCATAACAAATACAGCTTAGCTCGTACTTTAATCTTCTTGTAAAATATCTCCATCTATAAATCTTACTAAGTTATCATGCTGTGGTAATTTATACTAAATTAAGTAAAATTAAATAATGCCTATTTTTGAATAAAATATTTGGCTAAATTGAACTTTTAAAAATTACTAGGATTTCTAATTCTCTTTTTGCTAAATCTTCCTTTTATTTACCCTATTTTTAAAAATAAACCAAATTAAAAGCTTCATGCAGTTATTCAAATAAGTCTACCTAGCATATCATTCTTTTTACTGCAAATACTTCTTATTTGTTATTAACGTTATGTGCCTTCCATACATATCCATATCCGCCTTTATATTAAAATGGTCTTAATCCAAGATTTACCTACGAAATTAGTAAAGTTACCTTCTGAAAGTAATTTATCCTCCTAAATTTGTAAATTATTGAGACTGTACTTCTTGGGCTGAAGATTAGAATTATTGCTTGAGGACTGGTTATTATAATTAAGAAAGTATTTGAAATTTCCGCAACATTCTAAGAATGAAGAAGAAGATTTTGGTTTAGAAGAATCTTCGAAACCATTATATTATTCTTTAATTACCTAATCCTCGAAGAATTCTCCTACAACAAGTTTTTGAAGATTCTTTAAAAAATTCATATCTCCCTTCCTAATTTAATATTTTTTTTTCAAAACTCAATTTTCTTAATCATTAATCAAATAATTAAATTTTCAAAACATAAAATATTAAACATACGACTATAAGATTTTAATAGTTATTGATAAGTTATTAATCTATTTCTTTTGACTAACAGAGAGTTTGCTATTTTTTATATATTTCATAATAGAAAATTCTTAGTATTTTCTATTACAATTTTACAAAAATTTTTGTTAATTAAAGAATATTTATTAAAAGTACTTCTTATTTTAAATGAAAATCTTATATTTAGATTAAAAATTATTTTTTTTGAATTTAATTAAAAATAAAAATTAAAAAATTTATTTAAAAAAAGAATCATTTAAATTAATTCTAAAAAGGAAAAAGAAAAAAATTAAAAATAAATTTATTTATTTTCTTTATCAACAAAAGCAAATTATTTTAAGAAAATAATGAATATTTTGGAATTATTTATACAATTAAATTTAAATGGCTAATTAATAAGGCAAATATTTGAAGCTGAGATTTACTATAAATATATTAAAAAATTAATAAAAAAATTCATAAAGTATATAGAGAGAGAGTTAATTTGATTGATTGATGAATTAATTTAATTAAAAAACAAAAATCAAGTTATTATCAACTTTAAATTTAGAGAAAGATATTTTTAAGCATAAAAGTAAAAAATAATCTTTAGACTTATTAAGTTGTTCAGCAAACTAAGAAGTTAACATCTTACAAAATACTAAATAATTTGAGTATAAAAATGGATTACTCGTCGAGTGTTAAAGCGGAATAAGCAACTTTTTTATTTGATTAGCTTTCAAACATGTATATTGTAGTTGATCCTATTGATAAACTAAATAGACGAAAAAAATTCAATGAAGATTTTAGATTTGTAATAAAGAAAGATGAGCTGAATACATACAAAAACATAGACTTATTTGCTATTTATGATGCAGTAATGAGGAGGGGGTAATAATTATATTGCTTATAAAATGCAAATTGACTAATAATATTATAAAAACTATAAGTGGATATGAGAAGGTGAATACAGAATGGAGATGGAATGAAATATTACGCTCATTAGATTATTATTAATTCACACAAGGCGAACTTGTGACAATATATGATAAATAGTTATTAGAACTTGAGAAAAAATCTCATATAACAAGTAATTGCTATTTTTATTTGCAAGAAAAGCATTTTTTATTGAAATATTATTTGTATTTACACCCATAATATTTAAAGCGCGCATAGATATACTTTTTGAATTTTGAAAGTTATGTTTATGGTTGTTGATTTTTAAAAATATGTAAATAATAAATTTGTTTTTTATGTGTTTTTATATGATAATGATCAAATAGAAAAAGGGTACTACTTTTCTTAGAAGAGAATTGAAGTTTTTGCTCTGTCTAATGCGCACTTGAGTGGTTACTTTTAAAGGAAAATATCAAAAAATTTATATCCTTAAGAATATGAATTTTTTAAATCTTAGAGTTTTGAACACTTAGATATATTTCTTTGTATAAGAAGTATTGTTTTATGTCACTCTTTAAAGGGATAATAGATATATAAAATTAGCTCTTACAACATTGATGATAGCTATAGAGATCTTCTTTACAAAACATTTTAATTTTATTTATCGTGCGGATCTCTTTCTCTGAAAACAATCAAACCTTCCTCTTAATTAGATAAAGACTTAAAATTACCATAACTTAATAAACTTGGATTAGATAATTTAAGTAAAATATAGGTAGCTGTGATTGGATTTACTATCCCTAATCTAATGCTCTGCTTAGAGCTTTTAAGATTCGGGTTTAGTGTAACTTTATCTTATTACCCTAAATAGTAATTAATTATGAAAAGTTTTTTCTCAGATTTTATTTATTCATACATTTTTTGATATTTACGAAATCCTTCCCTTAAAATTAATACATTTTATAGGATTGATTAATTGCTATAATTTTTTACAGAATTGAATTATTATAGTTATATATTCTATATACATTTTACAGTTTGATCTAAATAAAAATATTAAATTAGAAAGAAAGTTTGTTAGATCAAATGAGATAAGATTTTATATAAAAAATAATTAATTATAGGAATAAGAGCGATTTTGAGTCTTTAATAGACTTTTGCCCTATAAAACTGAGCTAGTTTGAAGGAGATAAAATTTACAATAATATAATTGAAAATAAATTATCATACCACACATTAAAATCTCCACAGTATATAAACTATCAAAGTGGAGGTAAATTAATTTTAGAATAAAGAAATAGTTAGATTTAGTTAAATCTTTAATGAATTAAAGGGAAAGTTTGGGAAAGCATGATAAATTAAGCAATTAATTCATTCAATCAATTTTTAAAAAATTTGATTCAAGAAGGTAATGTTAATGGCTAAAAAACTATGTAAAAATATATTGAGGATTGCTAGCTATAATTTAGTTAATTTGATGAAAATGAAAATTTAATCATACAAAGTTTATTACTAAGGCTTTTAAATTTTGATTTGCCTAAGAATGGGAAAACTTCATTAAAGGAATATTAAAGTTATTTAAGTTAAAAAAAACTAATTAAATGGAGATTTATTTATTTATTTAATTTTTTATCAATCTAGGTCAAAAATTAAGAGAAATTAGTGATTTTATAATAGAACCTTGCAATTGCTTTTTAAAATTAGGTACATAAGATACCCTATTGGATTAAATGAGGGATTATAACAACTTTACTTTCATAAGTTAAAATGCATAATAGTTAGAATTTAAATATAATGTTGATGACTTGATAGATAAAAAAGCAAGTAATCAGCCATAAAGAATTAAAATTAAATATGATAATGGTTAAGTAAAAGAATTTGATCATGTAGTTATGCATCCAAATAATCAAGAATTAAATGTATTTATATTTTCTCAAGTGTTCATATTAATTAGCAAATTTATTTCTTAAAAAAATATTATAAAGAATGGAGAGTTGGGGATTTAAATGGATAGTCTAAATGCTTAATATATATAAAAAAAGTTAAAGGTCCTTGAAAAACATGACCTTCCAAAACTGGTTCTTGAGTTTAAAACAAAATTTTGGAAAGAATAATATTTTTGCACATTTTCTAAAAAGTATGGATCTCTAATTTTTGTGGATATTTCAAACTTAAAAAAAACTAACTCATAGCTTATATTAGTTTTGATATAAAATTTACCTGAAAATTACAAAACAGATTAAAGTTTGATAAGTGAAATTTTACAAGTACGATTGATTGATTTTATTAATTGCAAAGTTTTATATTATTTAAATTAGGTTCTTACTCAATTATTTTATATATTTTAATTAATTAGATTTTTGTTCAACTTGCAAGTTAAAAAAATAAAGTTTAGTATGAAAAAGAAAGGTGGGTTATATCTTCTTAGTTCACAATTAATAACTAAATACTACAGCAGTATATTATTTTATCAAGTAAACATACTCTTATATATATATTATAAATAAATAATTAAAAGGTAAGTGGAAAAAGGATTTTAGGAATAGAATTAAAATAGTCTAAATGATAAATTCAATAATTCTTATACAAATAAAAATAATACGAATGAGTAATTTCAATAAATAAATCATGGTTTTTCAATCTAACTGGATTTTATTTTAAAATAATAGCTATTAGTAGGATAAAACTCACAAGATAAACAAGAATTATATAAATAAATAGAATAAATAAAGTATATTTGATTTAAAATTATTTGATGGCTTGTTCATCAATTAGTGTATTTTTTAAAGTGAAATATCTAATAAGATGGATTAGTACTACTGCAACATTTATAATATTATAAATAATATTCTATCTTAAATTGATTATGAATAAGAAACTAATAACTAAGATATAGTTTAATAAAATATTAAAACTAATTAGAATTTCAATAAAAAATAATCAGCAATGATAGATAATCTAAATGCTAAAAGAAAACGATTCGAGTATTTATTATTAATATTATAAGTATTTATTTTAAATTTCATTAAAAATTATATCAATAAATTAAAAGTGAATAAGATGATAGCGACAGTGACCATATTCCAATCAAAAAAAAATAAATGTAACAAACACAACTACATGCTACTTCCTCAGAGATTTAAGAATAGTAAAAAACAAATTAATAATCGCTGCTATAGAAGAAAGAAGAAAAAATTGAATAACCTGTAGATTAAACAACAATTTAAGCCGAAGAAGACATAAGCATGTAGTTGCAAGAGTGTATTCAACAATAGTTTAGTAAAGAAATAAAGAAAGTAGAAAGCAGTGAGATTGAGATTAAATAAAATTCAACTCATTCTATAAAAATTGAAAACTATGAAGAATAAAAAAATATTATAACCAATTAAGCAAACCTATTAAATAAACCTAATATTTTACTGTAATAATCGTCATAATTATTATTATTGTAAAAAAATATTTTAGAACCATAAATTTAAGATTAAACTTAATAAAATATTTTCTTACAATAGTAAATACCATAATAATTAGATATTTCGAACACCTTATAAGATTAGCAATAATAAGTTTAATTAAATTAGATTCTCTAGCAATAATATTAATAATAAAAAATTCAATTTTAAAAGTAAGAAATATTGTCAACCTAAAACTTGTTGTCATAATCATAACCATAAAATATACCTCAAAAGTATTATTCATACCAATAAATACCAGACTTTCAAACTAAATAATTTTAATAATAATAATAATAATAATAATTGTAATACAATCTACCAAATTAAGATTTCCAAAATCAGGCATATTTATAAATTAAATAAGAAAATGGAGTTGAAAAAATAAATAATCCAATTTTAAATCTGAACTCAAGCCAAATTATAAATGAAAATGTCAATCTGAAGCTGTAAAACTAAAATATTTTTTTAAAATTAATTTAAGAGTAAGCAGTAAAGCAAGATTTAGATTATTAATAAAATTAGCAGGTACCTATTTAAATTAATACTTAATAATCTACAAATGAAGATGAACAAAAATAAATAAATCCATAAATGTTAAAATAAGATGATCAGTTAATTGAATAAAAAGAATAAAATATTGATATATAAGAATTTAATATGAATAATGACTAGCAACAATAGAAATCAGAAACAACAGAAGAAGGCATAGAAAAAGAGGATGATGATAATAATAATGATGATGAGGAAGAAGATGAAATTACAGATGAAAGTGATGAGAATTCTGAAGATTAAGAAAATGATGAAGACTATAATGACGATTTTGATGAAGAAAATGAAGAAATAGATGAAGAATCAAACCAGGAAGATGAAGAAAATAGTTAGATAAATGACTTTTAAAAATAAAATGGAAGCACATCTTTAATTAAAAAGCCTAAGGGTAAAAGAGGAAGACCTAAAACTAAAATTGCTAATGTATAAGCTACAAAAAAAGTAAAAGATAAAGGTGTTGATAAAGAGGAATACAAACCTATTGAGTAATTATAAAAATATTATCCTTTTAGGTAATGGAAAGCTAAATAAATGCAAAATTAGAGTTAAAAAAATGGATCGAATGATCACTTTTAGCAAATGGTTTAAAATTTTAGCCTTTAAAATGAAGTTGTAATCAATTTCAATAAGTTTATGGATTAGATGATGAATTAACAAAAGTAATACTTCCATTAATGCATGGACCTTTTTGAATTAAGACAACCTTTAAAAGTAGGCGAAGATAAATATATATGGAAATTTGGTTCTCCCTATATAAATACTTCAAATAAACAGCTATGCTTCAATAATGGATTTATGTCTGTTTACAGAGATTTTTCTATAAATCACACTAATAAAAGTACTTATTACCTATTTACTTCAATGTATATTAATGAGCACTAAAGAGAATACTATTCAATAATATCTGGTGATAATCTTAAAGTTATTTTAGTTCATAAAGATTTAAATTTGCTCTTCAACAAGTTTTAAAAAAAAATGAATAAAGCGGAAAGATATAGAAATGCTTTTTGTTATTATGATTTTGTCAATCCAAATTAAGTATTTCAGAATTTATCTCATAAACTAATATATACATCTATACTTGAGGTATGTTAATTATTTTATTTATTTAACAGGTTTTACATGATTTTATATATCAAATTATAAAAAAAGAGTTTAAGTGAAAGGTAAGATAAACTGGAAATAGAAAAGAGATTACAAATAGAATGCAATGAAATAGCCTTTTTTTAATCAATTGAAGAATATTTTAAAAACTAAAAGAAATAATATAATGTACCTGAAGGTCTGACATTAGGAGATCTTTTCTTTGGGTATTATGATCCAAAAATACAACTTTTGATGAAATTATCTAAAACATAACCTAATTTAAAAAGAGATAGTTCATCTAAAGAAATAAAATTCCTATTTTAAAAGAATATAATCCCTAGAAAAAATGATCTCCAATAAGAAAAAATATCAACTGAATATATTATGCTAAATTAAATACCTATACCTCAATAATATTAAGCTTAAAGAAAGTAAAAATTTAATTTCCATAATTATTAATTTATTTACATTTTTACAATTTATTTTGTGTTAGGTTTATTGATTATGATAATGGTTAATTTGAGGTGTATTATGGCCTTGAAATAAAATGTTTAAAGAAGGCTGGATTAATTAGGAAAAATCAAGTTAGATAGCAAAATACAAAATTTTTATTGATAAAATTTGATGATTAGTAAATGGTTAAAAAAGATAAAAAAATAGATGAGTTTGATAGTCCTTAATCTTGTTTTATTACAATTTTACAAAACCTTTTAAATAATGTTAAAAACACCTCATTTTTAATTGAATATATGTACTAATTTATAAATAGCGAAATGAGGGCTTTAAAAAAACTACCAAAATTTATAAGATTTTTCAACAAACTTTATAATTATGAAATACCAGAAATATAAATTTAGTATTAAGATCTTGTTAAATATTTAACTCAAATATCAATTTAAAAACTAAATTCAAGCTCATAATAAAGAAGTAATAAAAGTATGTCTCTCAATCAAGTAGAGGAATATATTCTTGGTGAACTAAACCAAATTGAATCTTTTCAATATATCTAAAATAACTCTATAGAACAGTAAAATCTTAGAGAAGTTATTTCTTAATACATACTATTTCATGCATATGTTTCTCAGCTTAATATTTCCATAGAAGAATAAAAAGAATTCTTTGAAGAATATTGTAAAAACCCAAAGAAATTTAATGTTATATAATCATCTCAAAATGAAGAAGAACTATTTTTAATTACTAGTGAATAACCATACGATTATTAGAGTTTAGAAGATGAATTTTAAGAAAAATATTAAGAATAACTTATGGCAAAACAAAAATTATTTGGTGAACAAGATTGAAAAGCAAATTAATAAATAAATGATCTGAAATTGATAGATAAATTTTAATTTATTTTATTGAAATTGAATTTGCTAATTAAAAATACAATATAAAAACATTATTAATTTTAATTATTAATTATTATTATTTTCATTTATTCTCTTAAAGCTTGGATATATTTTCTTTAGCATAGTTAATTTTATCCAAAATTAATTCAGTTAACTCTTTTTTGTGACAAATAATTTCGTAAATCTAATTAATTTAATTTAAAAAAAATATTAAAAAATGTTAAGTAAATATTATGTTCTAAATTGATATTCTTTAAAATAAAAAATAAATTATAAAAAAATCAAATCAAAAATAAAATTTTAAATTTTTTTTTTGTAGTTGTAATTTAAACATATTATTTTCAATTCAAGTAAGGATATTTATATTTATTTTCTTGGATAAAGGTATTAAATTATTTTATTTATAGTTCTTAAAATTTTTCATTATGAATCAATTTTAATATTTTTAGATTAAATTATTAAAATTTAGTTTTGAAATAATTTAAATATTTTTAATTTGTATTTTTTAAATTTATTTTAAGCTTAAAGGTATTAATTAAATTTACTTAAATTTTGTTTGATGACAGCTTATGCATAATTTTTATGCTTAAATCAGAAGAGTTTATTTAAGTTATATTATTTATATCCACATCCCATATAAGCTTATTATCTTTATATCTAGTTAGGATGATATAATGTAAAGTTATAACTAGAAGCTTTTCATTTCCATTTTGTTCAAATTCATATTAAGCACTATTATTTATTTCACCCACGGTTTAGCTTACAGCAATTTGCCTTGCTTGCTCAAAATCAAGTAATATGAAGGTGCCAATAAAAATATCATCTTTATATTTACTTTTTTGATCCTTATTGAATTTGTAAACTATATTTGCATCTACTGCATCATATTCTTTGTAGTATTGATCAATACCATAAAATGGCCTTATATTACGTATTCTTTTGTTTGATGGCTTATCGTCAAAGAAAGTTACTGTATTTTTAATACCTTCTGCTGTCTTTGAAACAAAGTCAATACCACCACATATAGGCTTAAATAAGACCCCACTTAATCCTTTCATGCTTCCTAATCATACAAACAATTTTATTAATTTTAAATTAAAATATGAAATTACCTTTTAACAAACCTACTACTCCTGATTTTTTAGCTTCGCTATAGGGTATGTCTACTAAACCTATTAAAAATTGTTTATTTATTTTATTAGTAATATTTTATATAAATTCATACCTACTACACCTCTTTAAATACCATTTCCCATAGCTAAAAGACCTATTCCAATACCTTCAATAGCATGTCTTGGATGAAGTGAATTTAAATATGCTCTCTTTTCAATATAGACATCATCCTATAAAAATAAAAAAATAATAAGAAATTATATTAATTTTAGATAAATTACCAATGAAAGAGTAGAGCAGACTGTCGATAATGGCTCTGTAAGGGATTATACTGAGTTAAAAGAACCGGATATGCTATTTTTTGCTAAGCTTCCTACTCCTTTAAAAATAGATATAGTACCTTCAACAGGTCCTTTAATAAATCCTTCAATAGGATAACTGATAAGATCTGAAAATCCAATGTAAATACTCTTAACAAAACCAAGAGGATTTGCGAATAGGTTAAGAGACCCAATCATATTTAAGAAAATAGAAATAACTGCTAGATAATAACTTTTGACTAATCTCTTGATTGCTCCAGATGTGGTATCTAAAACATTATGTAACTTTGTTCTTTTTAAATTAACCTAATTTATTAATTTATTTAAAATATATTTTGTTAGAATTTAATTAAATATTATATTTTATTACTGATGCATTATCAATATTTTTAAATGCTAAACCTATAGCTTTGAAAATGTTTAAAACAAAGAAAGTCTGATCTGCAGAGTCTTCCTTTGTGTTTGCCTTAAAAGAGAGATCAAGATCAATTGGGTAAATCTCAATTTCGTTAATCAAAGTTATAGCTTAGATGTTAGGTAATTTCGAATATTACCACTCAAATTAAATATTTGAGTTACTCCTTAACATATCATTCTAAATGCTCAATTCTTATAAATTATCTATATACCCACTATTATCACCAAACATACTTTAGGTAGAGCTCACTCTATTCCCTTTATTAAAGATATTTTTCATGTTCATTACTCTATTACTAGCATTTTTATCATTATTTTGAATGGTATCTTGCTATTTCTGGATAGCTTACAAAGGTGCATTACATTCTTAAATAAAATTAATTATGCAATCTAAGAAATTATCTGTTAATTTCAAAGTAGATTGCTAAAGTTAGCACTTTACACTCTTAATAATTTTAATATTTTTAACCATTATGTTTTGTACTAATATTAAACTAAAATGAGGGCGGTTGAGTTTCTACATTTTTCTATTATTTATTTTTTAAATTTAAGGAAATAAATGTAAAAATTATAAATAAATATATATATATAAATAATTACTCAAAAGCAGTAGGAGTAAAAGCTACAGGGAAAGATGCTGAGTAAGAGATATTATTGTCAATTTAAATAAACCCAACTTTCAGCTAGCATGTTCTTTCGCTTTAAGTTTGCAGCATGACAAAATCTATATTTTTTAAATGACATAAAGCTATTTCTTATCTTTTCTAATTATTCCAACTTATCAAACTTATGTTAAAATTTTTAAGTTTTGCTCCCACCTTTTTTTATACATTTTTAGTTGTTAGATTTTTAAGTTTTTTCTAAAAAGAAACAAATAAATAAATAAAGAAAGAAAGAAAGAAAAATAATTTTACTTGAATATCTAAATTGTCTTCTAGCTTGTTTCTTTCATGGATTTCATGTTCAAAGTAGAATTTAACTTTTTTTGTTGATCCTTCAATACAAATCATACCATAGAATATGAGGAATTCATCTTCGTTTTTTAAAGAGCATATTTTATACTCCCTTTCACTATCATTATCTTCTAAGTTAAGTATTAAAGGTTCTACTTCATATTGATCTAAATACTTGCCTTTGAACTTCAAATTTACTTAAATATCCTTATTCTATATTGGTTATTCCCAAGCAAATTATTAGCTTGTATGAGCACTAATAGCGAAGAATCTATTGTTAATAAGTTAAGTTAAATAATTTAGTATTTAAATAAATATTTACTAAAGTTGATCTCTTTATGAAACTTCTATTTCAATATCATCGAGCTTGTTTTCTATAATGTAAACAGCTTCTTCTTCATTATTACACTCGTGAAGCACTAAATAGACAAGATGCTCATCCTATCTTACATCCAGCTTCATAAATTTTGTATGTTTATCATTTCTTTAATTTCTTAGACAGAAAGATATCATATTACTTTATGAATCATTAACATCTATTGAACCACTCCAACCCCAAGTTCCCTCGTCAGGCTCTTATACTCTTATCCTTAAATGCTTATTTTTGTAAAAGTTAGTCCAAAAGAATGGTAATCTACTTTCTGCCTCAACTACAGTAACACTCTTTTCTTCTGTGCTTTGACATACACTCATACTGTAATTTGTCTAATTTTATAAAATACTTATTAAAATAAAAAATTTTTATGCCTTTTAAACCATACCTTATTAACCACTATATACTTAGGACTAATTATTACTGATTTAATATAAATCTGCTGCACTGAATCTGCACATATTAATGAAACGTTCATTCCAAACTAATACAAAGATGTTGGTTCTTCTACTTAAGGAACCTAAATTTTAAATATTTAATTTAACTTATTAATGCTAATTTTTATATTTTTACACATAAATCAATTGTGTTTTATCCAAAAGTCTATAAGTCTATGGGCTATGATTGATGATCTCCGTTTTCATTAAGTGAGATGATTAAATTTTATAAGTTAGACAGTAAACATATTTTAGCAGAAGGTAAATTATTTTATTCAACATCTTAAAACTGCTATTACACCTATGTTACTCTTTATCCAGAGATGATTTGCATCTAAATTAAATTTAAATCAAAATAAATAAATAAATAAAAAAAGTTAATTAATTTATTATAATTTACTCTATTCTTTTGTTTTGAGAAGTAAAAGATATCATAAGGAGTTTCATTGATTACAAATTAGGGAGTGTAAATAAAATATTTTTTACTACCAAAGGTGTTTTCACATTTTTAAATTTCTAAGTATGTTGAATATTCCTAATAATCAAAGATTTCTATTTTTTCTACTTGGTTTTCATTAATTTCTGGACTGTATAGAAGAGCTTTTTTACTCCATTTATAACCTGGAAGTTGAACTATTTTATTTAATAGTTATTTTGATAAAAAAAAAATAATAAAAATAATTTAACAAATTAACTATTGATAAAGACTCTATGGTCTAAAGAGACATAATGTGATTGAATTTCTTATTAAATGTGAAGTGTCCCATCAAATGTTTTTACATCTATTTAATCGTTTACTTAACTTTCAAAATACAGCTTGTATTTGATTGGTAAGGGAAGACAATTTTTTACTATTATACTTGGTTCTGCTTATATTATGCATTCTCCCTCTAGTTTCTTTATAAATTTAATCATTGAAATTTTATCATTGCTATGCCTAAGGGGGTAACTGACTATCTCTTAATGTATTTCAGTAACTTTACTTAGATTTAACTTTTAAGACCACCTTATTGTTAAAAATGATATTATTTAAAATATATAAATAATTCATAAGAGTAAATAAATATACTTTGACTTATTTGTTAAATCTTAACCTTCTATCTATTTTAAAGTTAAACATAACTGATTACTAAATCTGAACAATAAGATGTAATTTATTTTGTCAAAAGGAATACAGAGTCTTTGATTTGGACCCAGCAAGAAAAAGGTTGAAGGATATTCTTCTATATTAGCTTCACTATTTATATTAGAGTCAACATGCTCTTAAGAATCTATTTAGCTTTCCCTTCCATTAGTGAAACTCTAGATTATAGAAGGATGCATTAGCTATATCTCAAGAGTCTCATCAAGTTTATTTATGAAGGTTAATGAAGACCTAAGTATTATCATTTTTCTTGTAGCTTAAGGAATAACTTCAATAATTAATTGTGTTGCCTAAAAGGTTTTATCAGTCTTAGATTAGAGTTAGTGCTGTTTATTAAACCGATTATTAAGTTAATATAAAATTATATTTAATTTAAATTTACCATGGTTTTTTGTACTGAGTCTAAATCTATACCATTAATTGCATCAAATTCTAAATATGGATGCTTCAGAGTTAGAGTGATAGTTCTTTTTTCTCTTAGATCAGAATTATTAAAAAAATTAGAATACGTATCTGAATCAATTTAATAATTCATTTCTGTCCAAGTTGGAATTGTATATCCAGGGTGATAATTGATTACTTAAGCTCCGTAAGTAACTCTATTAGGCTTGTTTGGATCATAGTCTGATTTTATAGAAATAGCATATCCTAACTCATTTCTGATTGTGTAGGGAGAAACATATTCAAGGGATTCTTTTTCTGCGCTTTCAACAAACTTTGTAGAAGTTTCTCTTGATAATGCAAGAGATTCCATTCTAAAATCAGATGAAAAGTTAAATTAATCTCTTTAGAATATGGATGTTTTCTCTGGAGATTGGGGATAATACTAATTTTGGTGATTGTTTCCAGAGTTATTTCTAATGTAAGAAGATTATTTTTACAATTATTATCTCAATTAGCTACTTGAAGGTTAGTAGATTTAGTTTGCTTCGCTATTGTTGCTTTAAGTTTAATTATTTCCACTATTATTAGTCATATTCTAAATAATTTAAGAAGAAATATTAGACTAAAGAGCATGATTCTCCTCCATTTCCTCACATTCTTCAAATATTTATTCCATGTATATTAAATTTTAATTTTTGATACTTTACTAGTATACTTTTTCATCAATTTCTAGCAATTAAATTTCTCTTTTCCAGCTGATAATAGTGTGCTTAATTATTTTAATCAGTTCCTTAGAAATATTGATGTTGATTTCTTCATATTCAGGATTGAGTTCTATAATAATTTATTTTCTAGGATTTGAGTATTTATTAAAAGAAATATCAAAATCAAGAGCAGCTCTCTCAATGATAGGCTCCCATTTACTTGTACTAGGATTATAAAAACCTAAAGAGAACTTTAATATTGCAGACATAATACTTTTAACTTTAGAAATATTATAAACCATTTAAGTTTCATTTAAAGTTAATTCTAAAACAGGAACTGAGCTGCCTTCACCATCATTAATTATAAAAACTTTTGCACCATGCAGAACAACATCAAAAATAGTTTACTAGCTTGGAGTTTCTTATGAATTCTTTGGATCCTATTTAAATGCCTCCTCTTCTTCCTACTTCATTTTGACCTATTTTTAATTTTAATTTTATGAATAAGCCAATAATAAATTTAACATAAAATTTACCCAATCAGGATCTTTTTTTTGATTTACTAAATCCTTCTTCCAGAAATCTATGACTCTTTTTATCAAATAAATATCTTTGTATGAAAATTTGATGATAGTTTTATCAAAGTTTATATCATGTCTAACATTAAAGAAAACAGGATAGTAAGGTTTATCAGCTATTTAAATATATTTGTTCATATGCCACAATATATTTGCAGGCATCAAGATGCTTCGACGAGGTATTTGATCAAACTTTTGTTTGTTCAAATCTTATATATTGCATCTATAAAGTTCAAAATCTTTTAAAGTTACTGAGAACGTATAAACATCACCCATATCATTTAAGTATTCATTGTCAACCTATCCTTTCATAAACCTTTCCCTAAAGTCTTCTTATTACTTCATTTTTTATCTATTTTAAAATGAATATTTCAAATAATTATTAAATATAATTTCTTTTAAAATATTTAAAATAATTACCTCATAAATACATATGAAACTTCACCTCTAGAGAAAAGAACCAAATCGCTTTAATCACTTGGTAGGATTAATTGGCAGTTTATTAAGTTAGTCATGAAAATGATTCTATTTAAATCATCCCAGACATCTTTTTTAGGCCAGCAATCTTATTGCATCATTGACCAAAAAGCCACATTCATAATTACACTAGACTTCACATAAACTTTCACATCTTAAAACTTCAAAAGCATATCCTGAAAAATAATAAAATAAAAAATAAATGTATTTTAAAAGCTCAAAAGTGTTTCATATTTACTTTGTCTCCACTTCCAGAGAACATATTTTCATAGAAAGTAAATTAAGCTCTTTTCTCATTGAATTCTTTATCTTCAAATCCATATGTATTCATTTATGATAGTTATAGTGGTGTATATTAGCGATCAATAACAAATGTGTGATCGATTTGGAAAATGTCACTAGATTTTCCTTGTAGTTTCACTTTTTATACCTTTAAAATATCTTCGCCCATTAATTTTTTTTCTAGCAAGTTTTAATTATCAACTTTATCATAATAAGAAATATTAATCTTTTCACCGTATAAAGCAATAATTATATCATTTTTTTGGTCTTTTAACCACTTAAGACGTAATCTATTGATTACTAATTTAATATGTGGTATATCATCTACTCTGCTCATTGCAAAAACAGAGACATTAGGGAAATCAATGTAAAAGTTCATTTCAGCTGATTATTTTATTAATTTAATTAAAATAGCAAAGTATTAAATAAAATCTTACCAGGTGGAAACAATTGTTGAACCTTTTAAGAGTGATTAAACCATATATCTTTGAAGTCATTTTATGTAAAATTATGGATAATCATTCTAATTAGATGAATATACTCGTTTCTGAAAAGTTTCAGAGTGAATGGATGCAATTCACTTCTAATCCAGAATCCACTGTCAATAACACTGTCTGTTTATAATTAAAATAATTATTATTTATTGCTTTAAATTCATTATTTTACTATCTAATTCAGGATACAAATAGTTTAAATTTGGATAAAAGCACATCCTATTCCATTTCATATTATACCTTGTCAGAGTAGATATGTTTTTAAATATGCAGTTGTCTTTGACATGTTATATTGTCATTGGGTGAACATGTATATTCCAATCTTCTTCTAGTAAATTGAATAGCCTATCAGCACCCTTAGGAACTATTAATTTCTATTAAAACTAATTGTATGCTTTTTTTCAATTTATAAAAGTAATTACTTTGTATCTTCTATTTGACTAAAAAGGAGAATTATAAACTTCAACTAACTTAGTGTCAAGTTAAAAGAATTCAGTAAATTATGGAAAAGGTTTTATTTGAACAAAAGAATCGTAAAGATACACTCTTATATCCATAAATGTTGCAAATAGGATTTTTTAAAGCATTTCTATTTTGCTACCCCAAACCTTAAAAAATATGATTGTTGATATGATAAAAAAAGATATTTTAATTTATAATATTTACATTTTTCGGCTAAAGATCTGGTTAGACTAATTTTTATGCAAAATAATCATCATTCATGGTTAAAAACTCAGGCTAAATAAAGATCCAACAAAAGTAGTTTACTATGTAATTTATCATTCTCATTATAGGTTATTGTTGGTACACAGCAAATATCTCGTTGAAATCAAGTTGCAAAAATGAATTCACTCTATCTTTGTTATAAATATTTTAATCCTAATATGAAGCAAATCTGAATCTTCCATTATTTTTCTTTGAGTTCTCTGCTCCAATCTTTCTTCCTAATAAAGGAGTCGGTTTGATCTTTTCATTATTTTTATAATTTTGTTAAAATTTTACATTAATTTAAGATTAAAAAAAAAATGTATGGCCTACCTGATCAAAGTATAGATTGGAGTCAATTGTTTTTGGGTAGTTAGTGATATCATAAACAGTAAATTCTTTAATAGTTCCATCTAAATACTTAGCTTCTGCTGTTTTTTTAAAGACTACATCAGCATTTTAAACTTTGGCGTTATAAATACCCATATGAGAAGTTCTGTGAATTAAATTAACTTCTAATTACTCAATCTATAACCCTAAATCAAATAATAGTTATGAACATCTTCCTGCCTCTTAAGCTTAGCTATAATTAATAAATAGCTGCTACTTATCTTTTACTGTCTAAAAGCTCTAAGTATATGCTTGTTCTCTCTCTTGATTTCTATGTATAGCCTCTTATAGAATTTACTCAATAGTCATCTCTTCCTCCTACTTGAATATTGTGACAATTGGAAGTCCTTTCATAATTTTTACCCATTCTCTTATTTTCAATATGGTATCTGGCTTCCAATTAACTAAAGCTTTCTGCATAGTAACAATAATTTCCTTATTTGGTACATTAATTTTCTTGTTATTTTTTCTGGTTATGATTAAAATCTCTGAAAAAGTATTTTTTTCTGTTTAAATTAAAGGCTAAAATCTTTCATTTGTAAATTTAAAAACTCCATCAAGTAAAATTATTTGTTTAAATTAAATTGACATCTAAGTTTCTGTTTGATAACTCTTATTATCTATTTTTAATTTATACAACTGTAAGTCTATGTAATAATCTTACTCACTCTATTCTTCTCCTTCTTCACACTTATTATAATCAGGGCTATTCAAACCTTTCTATGAAGCTTAGGTAATGCTAATTCTTCCTTAGTCAGAAGGAGAACCTCTAAGCTTAAACTTAATAACTTTTAAGTTAAATTTATCCATAGAAATAGAAATTAAAGAATTCAAATGCATTTGATTATTGCTTCTACTTTCGGATCTTTATTTATCTTCAGAAGATTTTTATTATGCATCATGAAAGTTCTCTTTGCTTTTGTCTTAATTATTTCCTATAGAAGTATCCTCCTCTTCTTTCCTGTTATTTGAATCCTCAATCTCTTCTTCCTCTTTTTCTTTGAGTTTGATCAACTCTTCTATTGTAGCATATTCTTCTACTTTCTAAATTAGCTTCGTAGTCCAATCTACTAATTCTTTTTTCTATCCACAAGCTAGTTCGCATTAATCATATCTTTTTTTTAAGTTTTATTTTTATTTTTAAGAATTTTTAATTAAATATTTATAAAAAATACCTATTTTTTATGCTAAAAGTATAAGGGTGTAGTAAAAAGCCTTGGTTTATTGAGTTTTTTTTATGAGGAGAATTACCGGCATTTGATAGAGAATTATGAATCAAGGAGTTTTTGATATAAATTTGTTTTAGTATGTCAGAAGAAGAAATAGAATCATCACTGAAAAAATATAAATAAGCTCCTGCAAATACAACGAAATATTTATTCCATTCATAGTTTTCTTTGCATTACAGATAACCTTTATGAGTGCAGTTTGATAACAGTTTTTCTTTTAGTTTTTCTCTTTTCTCTTACTTTTTATTTTTTTTCAATCTAAATGCTTAAGGGATCAGAAGGATTTTTTTGCAAAATGCTTCTGTCAATTCAAGAGAAAGAGAAGGAAGGAGTAAAGTTGTTTTAAATAATGGAATTTCATCTGGCTGTTTATTTCTTGTATTTTAATAACGATTTTATTACTATATTATTTGCTATTTATTTTAAATGATTTCAGCCTGCATTGTATAATCTCTCAGTAAGTAGGTACTAATATTTGTTTCTTTTAAGCATAAGCTAATGTTTTCTATATAGGCATTATGTTAAATTTTCGAATTAGAATTTGTATTTATATTTTTGATAGAAATCTTTGGAATTTTTAATTCCCACAAAGCTTCTGAGGTATCTACAGGTATTCTAACTTTTTATCTGAAAATTTCGATATCTAATATCCATTCATTTTTACTTTATTGTTTAATTGCTCTCGAAAATCTATTAGCTGTTTCATCTTGTATTTACTCAATTTTTTACCAGGTTGCTGACTTTAAAAATTCATCTTGATTTTTTATTTCAAAGAATTTCTTTGTTCTATCAATAAAATCCTTATCATAAAATACAACTAAAGGCTACACACGACATTTTAGATAAGATTTAAATTTAATATAATCATCTTCTTCATTATTACTAACAGATTATTGTTGTTATGAAGCAGCTTGCTCACCACTTATCCCTGTATTAAATGATGTGATTTTTTAATTTATTGTCTATTATTCTTCTTCTTTTTACTCTGTAGATGCTGTCAGAATAGTTTTCTCTAAAGTTATGCTTAAAAATGGATTTTATTGATTAGCAGATTATTTTGATCTATCTCTTTTGTTCTTACCTTCATTTTCAGAAAATTATGAATTAAATTCACTTAAATCTTCATCTTCCTAATATTTTTATTCTTCATCTACCTAATTGGCTTTCCTGTTGCGACCTTTAAAATCATCTAAATACCCCTGTTCCTCATTTTCAAAATCTTATGAATTTTCTTCATTTTTTGGGCAATAAATATATTTATTAACTTTTTTGTAAACCTTCCTAGACTGAGAGTGAAATTAAAGAGTTTGAGGCGAAGTTATAAAGGGAGAGTCGAGTCCAATATTTTTATTTAACATTTCTTTTTATATATCTATGTTATTGCCAATCAAGCGTTTTTCATTTTCATCCTAATTTTTTATACCTTAAAATAGGATAATATTACGAACAGTAAATTCTATGTTTTGTTTTTCATCACCATTTTTAACCATATAAAAATGTATTTTGTTCACATCAAGTTGTAGATTCTAGCTCTAGCTTTCTTACAGCACTATGCTTAAAATGTGAAGGTTAAAATCAATAATCAGATTTATCTTCTTTTTCTTTTTAGTAAGGCTAATTAGCTACTTCTTTGTAAAATTTTATTTATTTTTACTGGATCCATCTTTATTGTTTCCCTGATTCTTACCTTTTTCAGGAGAATCTAAGAAATCATTTTCTTTAGCGAACTCGATTTCAATTTTTCTTTCAATCTCTTCCTATTCTTATTTAGAAAGAGCTTCATTTTTATTTTAGAAGAACCATTTTTGTTTATTTTTCTTTTCCTGTTCTTAGTCTATTGTCTTTTCTTTAATTCTTTATTTAGCACATTCTCTTGACCATTCAAAAAGTACCTCATACTTCACCTAATTTAACAAAGTAATTATAGAAAAGAACTTAGCAGCAATGAATTATTTACCTTTCTTAAAATTATTGGCATTTAAGTCTTCTTTATATCAAAGTTACTATTTTGAAGATTCTATGACTATTTTATTTAATCCATAACTTCTAAAAAGGATTATTTATAGTCATTTAATTCCTATTCTGTTAGATTATCTTCTTCAGGTTTTTTCTAATCATTTTAAGCCATCCATAATAATTTCTTATAGACTTGCATTTTTTCTAATAGTTTAGTTATTTGTAAAAGTTACTAGACCTTAAGAATAAATTCTAGTTTCTATTGCTCTACTTAACAAATTATTTCACTGCTATTAATTTTTTAAGAAACCTTCACATTAATGGACAAATTTAATATTTCATGCTTTTTTTCGCTATTAAAATGAAAGTATTTAAATGGTAATTTTTTATAAAAAATTCTTACTTATTTTACTACACATATTACACCATTTTTTAATTGATATTTTGTTAATCTCTAGTCAGGAATTCAGTCTCTGAATCATTCCAATATAAGGACAGATTTTTAATTTCTCCAAGCTTTCTGATAAGTTAATCTTATGTTTGAGTTCCATCCAAAAATTTCTTTTTCTGATAAATTAGAATAAAATTAATTATTAAAATAGCTTTTCTTATTTTTATTCTCAATAAATTTTCATTTACTCCAATCCAAACATTTTATTTACACTAATTTTTTATTATAAAATATTAAGTCAAAAATGCTTACCCATTCTCCATCACAAGTAAAAACACTAATTTCTTCAAGCGATATTCCTATTAAAATATTTGAATGTATGTTAATTTTTATCTCCTCTTTTTATTTCTTTATATATTTATTTACCCCATGAATACTACTATATTTTATCCTCCCATCTAAAGTGAATCCTCTGTATTGTTAACTCTAAGTTGTCTATAATCCTTTTTGTTAGTTTTCCTAAATAAGATTAGTTATTTTCTTAATCAGAACTGCTGCCACCCTCAGTATTTTTTGTTTATATTAAAGAATTCTATTCTTGTTTCATTAAAAACTTTTCAATGCACATTTATAAGTAATTCTATATTATAGTTAGCTTTCTATTTATTGCTTTATCATCCTAAAAATTCCAATTTTTTTCATCAATTGGTTCAACTAAAATAAAAATATCTTGAAGAATTATCTGAACTGGCATTGATGAAAGCTTTGTCCAAGGAACTTTAATTATTAAACTTCCTATGTTGGAATATTTTATTTTTAACGGATATTCAAGATTATCCATCAAATCGCTTCTTATACTAACATTTTCAATTTTTATATCTCCTTTCCATACTCCTAAATGTAAATTATTTTGATCTAATCCAGTGATAAATCTCCCAAAATAATTGTTCAAAATTCTCTCCAATATTGATTCAAACATGATTAAGCTTCAAACTATTTGTATTATTTATAATATATCTATAGATATCTATTATCTTTTTTCTATTCTTAAATAATTTGATGAGAGTAAAAATCGTTATTCGCAGCTTATACAAATTTTTTAATATTTTAATACAATAAAGCAAACAAATAAGATAATAATTAATCAAAATATAAAAATTAATTGAGAATTGAAGGCACTTACAGCTATTATAGCTTTATCTATCTATTTATAACAAATAAATAAATATTTGTTTTTACATTACAAATATATGTATGCATAATATAAGAATGATCAAAAACAATTTAGCAAAAGACTAAAAGTAAGCAGCTTATTGTATTTTAAATAAAAATATAATTTTTTTAATTGATATATTTTCAAATAACTTATTTTGTTCTAACAAAAGAACTAAATTTATTTTATTAAATATTCTAATACATTTAATTTTATTTTATCATCTATATCATAGAATCAATAAATCATTTCAAAATAAGTAGAATTAAGTTTAATATAAAGTAAATATTGCAATTTCTTCATTATTAAACCCTTTCCTACAAATATTTTTATTGAAAAGTTTATATCTTAATGTATTTGAAAATTCTCTTTCAAAAAATTTAATTTAATATGTCAAAATGGATTAAATAAGGTATTTATTTGAACTGATTTATTTGAATCCAACATAAGATTTTATAATATTTATAAAATACAATAAATAATAAATGAATGTTTAAATAAATTGTACTATTTAATTTTAATAAAATATTGTTATTTATAGATTTAATTATAAAATATGCTTAGTTTATAGTAAAAGTTATTGATAAAAAATTGATTAAAATAATTAATGCTCTTTTATTGAAATAATTTTGTTTATATTCTCATCAATTTGATTGTTTTAATTTACTTTCGCAGTTTTGAGAAAAATAATTTATTTGGTTGCCGTCTTTATTTAGCTTACTATCATAATATTGTGATGTAAAATTTATCAAATTACCCTCTTTTGATATGTTGCTATTTAATTATTAAATATATTATTGAGATACACTCCCTATAATATTAGGGTGAATTATGCTCCTGTTCTCACTTTCAATGCCATAATTGTTTTTAGAAAAGTTATTTGAAAAAGTCTATTTATGATCTTCTGGAAGTAGCTAACTTTAAAATTAAGACTTCTAATTTAAGAAACTATATACAGGATTTTGATTTAGAAAAGCTAATATTATTTAAAATTATAATTAATATTATTGCATTTAAAAATAAAAAATGTATTAAAATTACGAAAATCATTAATTTTAGAAGATGTTTGCTTGCTCAGCTAATTTCTATAATGATTTATATTTGAATAATTTTATTCACTTCTCTCTATGATGACTGAGAGTTCTTTTTCATCTCTTTCATCCATAACATCTTTATTGTACTCTAAATCTGAGCATTAGCTCTAATTTTCTTAAACTTGATTATTTTTAATTAAGCTTTTCGAATCTCTCACTTAGTTAACAAAGTTATCGGATGATTTTTCTCTTTCTCTTATATTTTCTTAAATGCATGTGTCGTTCTCATCATGCAGTTAATACAAAACATTTTTATTTAAATTATCAAAATTCTAAATATTTTTGTGATATTTTTATCTATCTCCCAACAACAAAAGGTTTTAGCTTGCATTATATTCTTATTTGGCTGAAAGTTTTTCCATATTTTTGGAAAGTTTTCTTTCAGCTGAGGGCTCTTCCACTTATCTATCAGTGAATCCTATATTGCTTATATCATTATGCCCATTAATATTGATGTTAGAATACATTTTATTTTCATAATCTTTTGGATAAATTTCAATTTATGTGTAATCTTAATTAATTTCTTAGAATGGCGTTTATACTCCACCATATTTACCATTGAATGATATTTATTAATCTCGGATTTATAAATTATTATGGCTCTACAAGAATTTTCTATCAGTTGCTGATTCAATGTTGTCATGACTTTACTAGAAACTTATAGTATTTGAAGCACGATTATTAGCATTTTGAAATAGTTCATCATTAAAATTTTGTCTAGAGCTCTAAAAAAGAGTTTATTAATTTAATTTAATTTAGCCTTCTTTAACAGCTTAGGTTATGGTAATGGGTAAATTGTTATCTTCCCTTAAATTTTAAGTTTATTTTTTTTCAAAAGCAGGTTAGCTTATTTGATTTTACTCAAAAGGCTAACCATCTAAGCTGACAATATCTTGATTATTATTTTAATCCATCTTTTAATCTAAATTCATCAAAGATCTTTGATTTTAATTATCGTTTTCACTCATTAAGTTATTTAAATACAAATAATTTTAAATGTAAAAGCTATAAGTATGTATAATTGTTGCATCTTTCTTTTCTTTGCTATAAAATAATGGCAAAGGAGATAAATATTAAACATATTCTTCTATTTGAGTTAAGCAATTCGTTTCTTTTGATATCTACGATGTCAATTCATCATTTGGTATACTCTAGTCTATTTTGATACTCACTCTAACAAGTTTCAATTTTCTATATTTTTCTTATTCTATAATTTCTTCAATATATTAGTTATCAATTTATTAAGCCTCCCTTGAGCTTCCTATTGCATTAAAATTTATGCTTTAGTCATTTGCTATTTGCTAGGTATTATTAGTGTTGTTGTTTTTTATTTCTTAATTCTAAATACCACTTTGTATTATTGACTATTAATTTATGTCATTCATGCTCGTCACTTAAAACGCGTGTTTTCCAGTTATTTACTATTACATTTGGGCAAAAAAAGGTTGGATACTATTCTGATTGTAGTTTCCATTATTTTTTTCTTAGTGAGTATTGTTCTAGTAAGAATTACTCATTGCTTATGAAACTTAAACAGACATTTAATTTATTAATAAATTTTTATTTGCACCATTTAAAGTTTATTGTTGTTTCTAATATGAGATATTGTCAATTATATCTTGGCTATCTTGTTAATTTAACTAGTTTTTTAAAGGAGTATCTAATGCACCTTAATTATTATAAGTTTATTCATTATATTAACTAGGATTTTGAAAGTTTATTTGTTTATAAGGCTAGATTCTACTACTAGCGTGCTAAATATTAGATATACTTGGGAGTTAAATTTCATTTTATTTTTTATCATGCTACATTTGAAATGAGTTTCTTTTTTACGCTATATATTAAGGAGACTTTTAGTTGACATTTTAGATATTTAAATTCTTAGCTCCATAAAATTGCTAACTGAGTTACTAATTTCCTATTTAATTCTAATTATTCTTTTAATTTTATCTATTTTATTCTAAAATTAAATATGACTTTATCACCTCTTTTAGGTAGCGCTTTCTGAACATTAATTAAGGATTAAAAATACCTTCCTTTGAATAAAATCTATGCACTTGCATTGAAATAGCACTTGAATTATCTTTGTAGAGATAAAATATTTGCTAAATAATTGACAATATCATATCTTTGTAAGTTTCTAAGTCTTCTTCTTAAAATAAAAAATTAGTTCTTTCAGTTTTACTGATTAGTGGAGATGTTTAATTAGAAATTCCTTATTAGGCTTAATGAAATACCCCAGTAGTTTGTGTTTTCTAGTAATTAGCGGCGACTTTATCACTGTTTTCTTCAATTAGTTAATCCCCATATACTTATCTAAATTGCTACTTCTCTTGCTCTTATAATAAGCCAGAGTCTATGTATGAAAATTATTCAAGAGACATGTTGAAGTTTTTTTCACCGACTGATAAAATTTTAATGAAAAAATCTAACAATATTTTAAGGTTTGTAATTGAAGTTCTTTATTAATAAATATCTTCAATTCTATTTACGACGGAGTCATATACTCCTTTACACTTTTTGTTATTTGCTTACAATTAAATATCATTACTAAAGATGTAGTCTAAGACTTGAATATCTAAAAAAGCGAAATTTGAAAAGTAAATTAATTATTGTTGTTAGTAGACATCTTTTTGGAATTATTGATAAACAACTGTTTGGTTAATTTAATGTTCATTTTCATAATTTTCTCTCTACTTTGTTTCATGTGAAATCCACTTTGTTTTATACTTTTTATATCTAGGGTATTAAAGCTCTAAGCAGCTGAGTTAGTATTCTCTTAAGTCATTTAATAAAATTTAAATTTAAAAGCGACATTTAATTAACTATTAAAGCAAAGAAAACTGCTAATTGCTTGCACAATTTTAGCATAAATCTTGAGTTTATTGCTACACTTGTTATATTTATGTTAAATTTTTTGTGTTTGTTGAATTTTTATTAAGGGAAAAATGCTTTGCATAGAAGGAATTTCCTTGCATTTAAGTTTAAATGGTTTTGCTAATACATGGATTAATATCGTTTAGGCAGTTGATGTTAGTAAACGAGTGATTGTTATGATAAATATTGAAATAGCTCTAACTTTGGTAATGATTTACTGTCTATCTTTTTTGTATGTAAGGTGTCATTTCTATGTTTGAATGCGAGGCTAGGGTACCTGGAGATTCAATTTAATTTTTAGTTGGTTAAATGGATTTAGAATTAGCTATCCCGTTATCTTGATTAAGATCAACTATACATTAATGAGTTCTAGTTTAATTAATAACAATATCACTTTTATCTAATGAATGAGGTATAGGCATACTAGAATTAGCAGTCATATAGCTAAGTTCTTTACTTATCAATGTAATATGATTCTAAACCTATTCTATGCGCTAAATATATAAATCGACTATTCTCTATTCTGATTGCTTAAACAAAATAATCCCATACTCCTAGTTATCTGGCAATTTAATTATGTGTAAACTCCCTTTCAATCTGTGAATACCACTATTTATTTAAAGGCTCTGGTACTTCTTGTATAGATCCCTATTTATAACTTATCTACCATAGCAAAACTATTCTTTAATTATATTTAAAAATGATTTCTATTTCTTATATTCTATGCTAAATTTATTTTTGGCCTGTTCAAATTCATTTTGCAAGAATCTAATATCCTCATCCTTTATACATAATAAAATTATAAATTAAATTAAATATAAAAATGAATTTCCATAAAAGTTATTTTTTAACAAAATTGCCAAATATTTTTTACCTTAAATTTAAATGATTCAGCATTGAATCTTTTACTATTTGTTTAATACTTATTTTTTAATTTAGAACCTATTCAATAAATAAAAATAATAAATAAATGTAAATTATTTTTAAGCTTGTTATTATTCAAATTATAAATCTTTTAAAAGCTATTAATCTAATCATTTTTTACATTTAAAAAAAAAAAAAAATTTGGCTTTTAAATTAATTGATATCTTTGATAATGAAGCCATTATATTTCAAAAGAATTCTTTTTAATCCCTTCTTAAATTTTTTTTTATATAAAAATCAAAATAAGTAAGTTAGTTAGTTAGTTAGTTAGTCTTATTGTTAAGTGTAAGCTAAAAAGGATGAAAGCAGAATTTTTGAAAACTGTTGATTAATGAATATATTAAAAAGTTTTGAATTAATAAATACCTAAATCTCCATTATCTTTATTTATGTTTAAATTAACTTCTATATCGCTTTTATGGACTATGCTTCCTGATTTCTTCTACTAACTGCTTATGTTTGAAGAACCAAACTCTTCTTATTTTTCACTGGTGGATTAAGTAATATCATTCAAATTTTATAAAATTTTTTACTTCTAAGTTTAGACTTTTTTACTAGAATAATTATATTGAATACATGCATTTTTTTCTAATTTATTTATATAGTAGAAGTTGAATTCCTTTAATAATATCTTTCGCTCAATTTTATAGCTAATTTACTAATAGCAAATACCTATATAAACTACTAAAGCAATTGTTATTAGCATCGCACTTGTGTAAAGAACTGCTATAAGAATTTACTAAATTAATATTATCAATATAACAGTATAAAATGGGATATCAATAACCCTCTACATATCTAGAAGCATTCTATATTTAAGTTTTAATACTATGAATAACTATATCAAGCTTTGTATTTACCAAGTATACAAAATATTTTAATTATTAAATTATGTCTAATCAATATCATCATCATAATGATTTACAGATTATTTTAACTAAAAAGCTAAAACAGTTGTAATAATTAAAAATAAAACAATAGTCCAATGCTATATCGAGTTTCCTTTATTTTATATATAAGGGATAAAATGAACTACAGATTAAATTAAATGGATAATTAAGATTGCATTCACTTCAATCGATTTTTCAAACAATTTAAAATCATTCAGATAAAACCAAAATATCGCAGAAATAATGTTCATTAAGCTGATGTCATATTTCCAAAAATAATATTCTTTACTTTACATTCCTTTATTACAGCCTTTTTAAATCTAAAATTAGCCTTATAATTCTTTGATGGTATTTTATAGTTTAGTAAATTCAGCTTCAAGCTTACTTTTCTGTAATTATTGCTAAATTTATAAGTTTTTACTGAAACTTGCTTAAAATAAATTGTAAAATTATGATAAAAATATTTACTTTGTAAATTAAAAGCTTTTTCTTTATTTAATTTTCTTATTTAGGATTATCCTAATAATACCCTCTTTTTGTTACCTTTGTGTATAATTATTTACCACAATATTTTATTATTCTCTCACTTTGATTTATCAAAAAAAAAAATTTAGCTTTTAGACTCTTTTAATCACTTAACTTTATTTCTAAACATTTATTAAACTCACTTTTAAAATCTCCTTATCATAGTAATAAGCAAAAAAATTCTGAGAGCGATTCTAATTAATTAGCTTTTATTATTTTTTAAATTTTAAAAATTACTTTTTTATGTGTTTTCTTTTAATGGACACTAATGTTTTTAAGTTAGAAAATTAGTTTTGATTAAAGTTGAAATAAATAAATAAACATTTCGCTGGAAGAATATTCTTATTTTTATTTTTTGGTTTTCAATAATAAATTTACTCAAACATAAATTCAAAACTTTTTAACATAAAAGACTCATTGTATAACTTTATAAATGAATTACATAAAAGCAGTAATTTATTTTAAACATAGAAGTGCTTATCTATGCAAATAACATTTAATAGAACTTTTTATAATATTATTTAAACATATTTTTAACTAACAAATAGTTTAAAAGTAATTGTTCATTTTAAGAATTCTTTAAAGTATGATTCTATTATAATCTTGAAAGATTTTCCTAAAGAAACTCCTTCACAATTTGAAGGCAAATAAGATTGATAATCGCTGTTAGCTCTGACTAAGTTAGTTAGTTCATCAAAGACTGCCTTTTTCTTTGAATTAATTTTAATGTTTTTGAACCCCATGCAATCTAAAATCTATTACAAACTTATAAACACTCTTACAATAGAATTTTCTATGTTCCTTAATAATCTAAATTAAGTTGATTAGATTTATTTAATGTGGGCATCTATGGACTCTACTAAATCCTTTTGATTACATTTCTCAACATTCTTTTTCATGATGAAGATTTTTGCATTTATTTCTTGGCAAGTTTCAAAAATCTTCTTTGTATATTATAAATCAGACTTCAAGTAATCAAATAAAAATATAGTGTTCTGCGTAACATCATTAAGTAATAACTCGCCACTAAATATTTCTAATTTTCCATCTACGACTGATTTTAAATCATATAAAAATTCACTGAATTGCTTAGCCATTTCATGCTTTTCAAACATCAAATTTTGAGCTTTATGCTAATATTTATTTTTTTCTTCTTCTAAATTAACTCCAATATGAATAAGTCTCAAAATCATTTTTTTTCTAAAGAGAATCTATTAAATACTCAATTTAGGATGGACAATAGATATCTAGCTAAGTTATTCATTTACTTCTTTGAGAATTTTCATATTTTTATCAACCAAAGTTTTTCTTTCTTAAGCTTTATTATCGTCTATTGGGAGTTCTCCAGAAACATCTTAGCAAGTCTTAAAATATCTTTAAATACATTTTTTATTATATAAAAATGGAATTAAAAAAGTAAAACTACTTAATGAGAGAATCTATTTTGATGGTACATTCCTCATGATATTATTTCAAAAGTCTAACAGACGATTCATATTTATTGATCTTTTTATTTTGAATAATATCAAGCATTTGATTTATGAAGTTTACTTCTAACCAACTAAAATATTAAAGCTATCCAATGTCTTCGCTGTATAAATCTTTAGCTTAAAGAGATAAGATTTTTCTAATGCTATTCTAATAAATATGTAAAATGATTAAAATAAAAATATTATAAATTTAAATTTTTGTATTAAGAAACAAATAGATTGAACCATTTTTTATATTTTTTTATTCCATCATTTACATTTTCTGTGAAAAAAAATAAAAAATTTAAAGAATTTAAAATGATAAAACCAAGTTTCATTTTTATTAATCTATGAAGCAAAAAATATTTAGCTAATTAGTCAGTTAGTAAAAATAGAATTCAATTAAAATGCTCAGTCTATAATATAAAAGGAAATTTAGCTAGTAAATTAAAATTTTTACTTAGCTTGTGTAGAAATCACTGACTCTATATGATATTGACACCTTATCTGTAGAAAGTTTAAGCTTAGAAAGCTCTTCTAAGCATTTAGTTTCTGTTTCTTGGGAAATTTCTGATCCATTCATAAAGAAAAATACTTCTAAAACACTTCCTAAACTTCTATTTTCCTACCCACTTCTTACAATTGGGAGAATATTTTAAAGAAATTAATAAAGTGCACTTCCTACATCTCCCTTTTCTGTTGTTATATTTTTGACTATCATTTATTTAATTTAATCAAATGTGGTTTCATCCTTTTAGAAATTTTAAGATTAAAAGAGTTAGATAAGATTTTATCCTTTGATTCCAAATATTGTAAGCTATTTTAACAAAGGATTTTTTTTTATTTGCTAATGCAATAATAAATTTATTATCATATCAATTCTCTGGATCATATTGTTTGCTTTAGTATTGATTTGAGATAAAAATTCTACTATTTCTTCTTTAGGTTAGCGTGAGTCAATTTATTGATCCTAGGTTTATAAGTAAGCCCTGTTTAAGTCTATCACATAAATCTAGTTAAAAGGCTTTAAAAATAAGTTTTAGACATCTTCTAGAGCTATGTGCTCTAATTTTATTTTCTCTACTTTTAATGTTTTAGGGAAAGATGACTATTTTATCATTAAAAAAGTAATTAGCGTGTTTCTGTTTTTATTAATGCTTATATTATTTATTAAAATTTATGATTGAATTTTGAGAATAATTTGCAATTAATTACTAATGAAGGTTATCTAGTTATCATATACATAAGTTTTTTTTTATGCTTTATGCAGTTGTTATTTATTTTTCCTCAAAATTTAAGTTACTTTGATGATTAAAATTTAACATTACTTTTTGAATTTTGTATTAGATAGATTAAACTCATTAGAGTTATAAAAAATGTATAAAAAAAAAAGAATAATCGATTCATTACAGATTATTACAGATTTTATTTATGAATAAATACTCTAGACTTGTAGATAATATCTTCAATTTTTATTTTTTCTTCCTTTTAGAATTAAAATACTTGAATCGGAACTATTTTCAATAGAAAATAAATAGTTTCAATTAAATTAATTTTTAACAATTTATGGTAATAAGTAATAAATTACCTAATTATATTATTATAGATATCTATAAATGATGAAATAAACACTGAATTTATTTAGAATCACAATATTTATGTAAATAAAAAAATACTACTAAAAAATTCTATTTTTAATTAATTTTCCAAAAGATTTATCAACAGAAAATAGCATTTATTTTAAAATTTTAATTCAATTAAAATTATTTTTTAAAAAAGTAAATTAATTTTGTTCTTAATAATATTAATTTCTTTGGATATCTCTCTATTCTATTTAATTATAAATTAGTCTTTAAATAAATTATGCAAAGTATTTTTTAAAAGAATATTAATATGTCTAAATAGTAGTAGAATGCATATAAGTAGAATTGAAAGAATTAGTTATTAAAACCAATAAAAAGCTAAAGAATTATAAGCAATTTTCATTATTAATCGAATTTATGATTTTTATAATTCATTTAAGTAGATTCAAGGCTAAATATATTTTTAAAGATAAATTAAATTCCTTAATATTTTATTAAACAAAAATTATTAAAATATATAGACAGATAGATAATTAATCAATCGATCATATATATATTACATATTATTGGAGATGGTAACAACAGAAAAAGCAAAATCTATTCCTAAATCAAAGGTTAAAGCAGAAAAGTTGTCTGAAGGCAAAACTGCTAAGCCAGAACATTTAACTTAAAAAAAATCCAAGTTGGAGAAGAAACAAAAGAAGGAGGCTAAATAAAAAGTAGAAGAAGAATAGTAAGATATCGAAGAAATAGATTAAGATGTAGACTCTTAAGAATAAGATGAAATCGATCAAGAAGAAAATAATTCTCAAGAAGAGGAAGTTGATGATTTAAAAAATGGCGATAATAAATAAAAAAATGATGATAGCAATGATTAAGATGACGAAAATGAAGAAAAATCTGGCAATAAACACAAAGTGTTTTTCTTGACAATTGATTAACTTAAAGAAAAAGAAATGAATTTATAAGAAAGATTAAAACAATTAACAGGTGGTGAGAATAAAAACAAAAGAAAAAGAATCTTTTATGAATTAAAATAGATCTCTTTAGCACTTTAAAACCCTGAAAAATATGTTCGCAATCCTTTTGAAGAAGCAAAGAAAAAAAAGCAAGATATGAAAAAGAGAATTTAAAAAAAGATTGAAAAGAAGAAAAAAGAATAAAACAAAAAGAAAAGTGATAAGAGAAAAGAGAGACGTTAGATAGTTAACTTGTAATGTTTAGGATGTAGAGAAGTTGGTCATTTAGTTGCTGATTGTCCTAATGCTAAAAGTAGCAAGGCCAAGTAAAATATATGCTATAACTGTGGTTCAAATGAGCACACTCTTAAGGATTGTAAAAAGAAGAAAACTGGCGCTCTCAAATTCGCTTTTTGCTTTGTTTGTTAGAAATAAGGTCATATTAGTAGAGATTGTCCTGAAAATGATAAAGGTCTTTATTACAAAGGTGGTGGTTGCTTTATTTGTGGTGATGTTCATCATACTCAAGCCAACTGTCCAAAGAACCCAGTTAATTCTTTAAAAGCAAAATAAGATGATTTCGAAGAAGATAAAAAGGGTAAAAAAGACTATAAAAATAAAAGTAGAAATGAAGATACAACTTACAATAATGAAGAAGAACCTGAATTTTGAAACAATTAAATTTATTAAAAACGTAAAAAAATAAATAAAACCATATTAAAAATTTATGAAATAAATAAAGCAGTTAAAAATAAATAAAGTATAATTATTATTGTTGATAACTAATATTTTAAATTGTATTTTACATTTATATATCAAAAGAAAGCATTGCTCATAAAACAAAATAAATTTATTTCTCCATAACAAATTCTACATATTTGATTTAATAACAAACTAATTAATATACTTACTTACTAATTACTTACTTGTTTTAAATAATCTCTAATTAAAAAATTTTAATCAGATATACTATCAGTCAGAATAAGTTTTAGTTGGTATTTATTATTGTTGTATAAATAAATAACATTATCTTAAATGAATATCAATCATTTTTTATGATCTTACTAAAATTTAGATGTTTTTTTTTTTTGCTTTGCTAATTGAATAAAACTTTCAAAATTTTAATTCATAATTAAAATTAAAGATATTTTTAGCGGAAATTTTAAATATCAAATTCAAAAATTTGTCAATAAAAATTCTTATTTATAAAAATAAATGAAAAGCTCTTTAAAGAAATAAAGCAACATAGGTTCTTAAACGTTAAATTAAAAATAGGATTAATACACTAAATTTTAGTAAGGAGGTATATAAGAATTTAAATAAAATGTGAATTAATAAACTAAAAGCGAAATAGGATCTTTTTTACCGTTTAAGGGTAGGAAAGAGAGGTCAAAGTTAAGAATAGCTTAGATATATTCAGATAATATTTAACATAAAGATCCGCAATAACAACCATTAAATTAGTAAAATGGAAAAAGTCTTTAAAGATAAAATAATTAAGTTAATCCAAATTAAGTTAATACATAAATTTAAAGCACTAGTGCTTAGTAGTAGTCATAGGAAAATAAAATTAATTTAGCTAATTCTAATACGATACCAAAAGAATATAATTCAAATTCAAACGATTTATAGGTAAAAAATAATATAAATGATCAAATTAAAGTAAACATAATAAAAGCACCTTTGGCTAATACTAATCAAAATACATAAGATAATAAAAAAGATTATGAAAGCATTAATAAATAGTAAAACATTAAGCAATGCACTGACGGATAAGTTAAAGATAGCTTTTAATTATTGTAAGATAACAAACAAAAAAAGCTGAATGAGCACAATAAATTGGATATTAAAAAAGCAGATAATTCTATCAAAGAGATTGCAAAAAATGATTAATAATTTCCTTTTGAATACAAACTATAGAACCGCAGAAGATCAAGCTAGAAAAGTAAATTAGATATAAGTATTAACAAAAGTATAGCAGAAATAAATGAAGGATACTAAGAAAGAGATTTAGAAAAGGAGTAATTTGATATTCGTAAATTAGTAAAAAACAATCAAATTTTAGATAAAGAAAATTTTTAAAATGGGCAAGTTAATAAGGATGTAGAAGATAAAATTTTTAACCCTTAGCTTTCTAACTATAAAGGTGATAGAATACAAGATAGTTTTACAATAACTGTGCATACAAAGTATGTAAAGCAGATACAAATTACATCAGTGATTAACTTTGAAACAGTCAATTAAATTGACCCAGAATTAAGGTTGTATCATTTACTTTTTGATTTAATAGATAACACAGAAAAGACCATTTAATAAGAATATACTTAGTGTCCAGAATTTTTATATTATTTAAACGTCCTCAATAACATTGTCAAAACGTCTTTCTCCAAAATAGCTACAAATAGAAGAAAAAGTATAGTAAGATTTTATATTTTTATTATTATTGAATATCTTCATATTTATATCAAGAAATTTAAATATTTAATTTTTTAAAAGATAATAGAATAGCAGTAAAAAGTTAAAGAGTGTTTATTTAATAAATGGGAAACATCAAAGTAAAGAGTGATAAATCAAATGATTGAAAAGTACTTAAAAAAATATGATAAATTTAAAAGAATAGATGAGAAGTTAGAGTAAAGTAAGGAATATAATTATCTCAAAAGAACTATCACAGGACTTATCTCTCAGTAAAATTCTCTATCTATTCCTCAAAAAATAATTTACTCAAAAATTGAAGAGCAGCAAAAATTAAATATTTAAGAAATTGAAAAATAGAAGAATTAAGCTTTAATGAAACCCGTAATAAATATCTACTTTATTTTTATTATTAATATTTTTCTATATTTATTTTTTAAATAAAAAACTTATAGGTTGTTGATGGATTAGAATTGATTAAAAAGGGATAAGAGCATATAATTGATTAATAAAATAAAATGTCTAAATCCTATGAAAAACTTACTAAAATAATCTTCCATGACTGGAAATAAATAGAATCTTTCGATGAATTTGCATGGCTTCAAGATCAAACAAATTAAACTTAAATTTAGTGATAAATTTGACTTCAATAAAAAATTTTCCCTCATTTATATTTAATATAATAAATAAATATTATTATTTTAAATCTTATATTAAAATTTATTAGCTAACTTAATTATTTGTATATATCCACCCTTCTTTTCCTACTTACTACTTATTAAATATGTGTTTTCGTACAATTTTAAATCATGAAAACTAGACATAATTAACAGTAAATTTTCATATTGCCAATTTAAATTTTAAAAAATTAAAATAACTGAATTCTTTTTAAAAATAGTATTTTTTCTGTTTATTTTAGAATTTTAAAATTTATTAGCTAACTTAATTATTTGTATATATTCATCCTTCTTTTCCTACTTACTACTTATTAAATATGTGTTTTTGTACAATTTTAAATAATGAAAATTAGACATAATTAACAGTAAATTTTCATATTGTAATTTAAATTAAAAAAAATAAAGTAATTAAATTCTTATTAAAAATAGTATTTTTTCTGTTTATTTTAGAATTTTAAAATTTAATAAATATTTTAGAAATGTAAAATGAAAATATAAAAAAGATTTATGAATCAGTATTAGTCTGTCTGTCTGTCTAATTTCTTTTATTTATAAAAATTTTGATTTGGTATATATGAGTTGATTTATATATTGAATTTTGCTTCAAAGTAGAGGAAATATATTTATTTATTTGTTATTATCAAATGGGTTAAACTGTAGCAAGGGATTTAGGTTTACATCAAAGCGAAGAAGAATTTGAAAAAAATGAGAAGATTAAAAAAATTATAGAAGAAATGATGAGAAAGAAATAAAACACAAATTAATCTCAAAGTATACAACGGAGTAAATTTATGACAGAGAATGTAGAAGAAGATGATGAAGAAGAAGATGAACTTGAGGATGATGATGATGAAGATGATGAGGAAGATTTTTCTATTGATGATTCCAATTATCAGCATTAAAAAAAAGGTGTTATTAGTTCAGATTCCTCTATGAGGTAGGATAGCAATTAAATAAGTTAAAATAATATCAAGGCTAATCCTAATAGTTAATACTCGCGCCCATTTTAATCTATAAAAATAAATAATTTATATGGAAATACAAATGAAGACGAAGAAGAGGAAGATCATGAGCAAGAAATGCTTAAAGATATGAGTGATGATGATGAAATTGAGGCTAACTACAATGAGCAAAAAAATCTAAGTAAATAGAACTCGTAAGAAAAATACAAAAAAAGTAAACAATTAAACTTAAAGCTAGCTTTTTATTTTTGGAAATGAAAAATATGTTTGCATTTTTAACGCTTTAGAAAACGCACAATAATTAAATAATAAATCTAATTAATTTAATTTTAGAAATAACTCGTTTTTATAATTTAATTTGCTTAAAATATAATTCTAAAAATAACTATTTCAAAACTATTTTAAATATAAATAGATATTCATAACATCAACAAAGATGACCACACCATAAACTAAAACAGAAATACTGAAACTCAAATTAAATTCTAATCAGTATTTAATAAGGACTTTGACTTTACTATTTAGTCAGAATCTGAGTAGAGCTAGTTTGGAGCTGTCTTTTCATCTGATTCAGAACCAGAAGAGTAATCTGCTCCTTCAGATAAAATACGTTCTGGGTAAATTGATTTTCCTGACAAAGATAAACTTAAAGTTGAAGAGGATGATGGAAAGTTAAAAAGTCCAGGAGTACTTACAAAAGAAAGAAGCAGTAGAAGAACCAGTTAAAAATCTAAAAATATGTAAAGTTCGAAAGGAAAACAATAATCTTCTAGTCATTTTTTCCCTTCTCAAAGAAACACAAAACATGATTCTGTTAAAAAAGATTATGAAAAATATTTAACAGAATTCTTCCCTGATAGGAAATCACAAAGAGTAGATATGTGAGAATGAGAAATAAAAATCAAATTATAAATAAAATTTGAGAAAAAAAACAATAAATTTTAGAATATATTCTATATTAAATGAATATTAATTAATTTATCCTTACATTTTAAAAAATGTTTTTTAATACTTTAATTTTATTATTTTAGCTTTATTAGATAAAGTCTAAATCAAAACTCTTGAGTAATCTATATATTTATTGATATCTCTTTATTCTATATACAAATAAAAATTATAAAAATATTGTATTGTGATAAATAAGTAAAGTAAATTACTAATTATTTTTAAAATTCTTTAAATTTGACATAATTAATTATTTCTAAAATAAATTATTTTTTATTCTTTTAAAAAATAAAGATAAATTATATTTTTTACCACAATCTTCTAAGCAAGTATTTTTTTTACTCAAAGCATTTAAAAAGTTAGTTTTTGAAAAAATTTTAGCCCATTAAAAAGTCAAATAATCTACATTAAAATAAAAAAAAATTTTAGAGTTTGACTGAATTAAAATCAGGTGTATTAATAAGATAATACAACATATTTTTATAATGAATTTAATTTATAACTCAGTAAAAGTAAAATTTAATTCTTGAATTCAAAGCTTAGAGATTTTTATTCACATAAAGTAAGATAAATAGATATAAAGAGACAAGTTAAAATATAAGTTTTTTAGATCAAAGTATAATCCTTATCATGAAAATATTAGCTTTGCTTATAACTCTTACATTATTTATTTCTCTGTCTAGGGCATAAGTTAGGTAGTAATTTTAAAATTGCCTTAAAAATAATTGTAATAATTAATTATTGGCTTGTTAAAATGCATCAGCTACATGTACAAATGATATGAAAGCATTTACTTAATGCTAATCAACTGCTTCTATTTGTAATAATCAAAGTGTTCCTGAAGAGTAATTTTATAAAGCTATTTAGAATTGCATAGATTTTTGCTCTGTAAGTGGATCTACGCAGTAATTTAAAGATTATTTATCTTGTGCAAAATAATGTTATTCTGAAAAACTTACTTTAATATCTATTCTTTTATTGGTATTGATGTGTATATTATATTTTTGATAGTAATAAACTGTTTTATTTGTTTTTTTATTTTAGATTTTTTATCTTTTTATACAATGCTCTATTATAAAACTGTAAAATTGAATTTTAACTCATAAAATTCATTTTAAAATTTGTTAATTTTGTAAAACATTAACATTTAATATTTCTTAAATAATAAATACTACTTAAAGCAAAATTATACTATCGATAGATTTTTATTCATTTATTTTCATGATATAATAAATAAAATATTATTTCTTTTTTGAAATTATTTTCCTTTAAAATTTTTTAAATGACCAGAAGTCAATCGGTACCTCATACTTTTGTAAATTTTAAAATAAATAAATAAATAGATCTATCATATATTTATAAAAATTAGATAAAATAAATATCAATTAAATATAAAAATGAATTCATTAACATTTATTTATAAAAATGATATAAAAAACTAAAATATTTGTATTATATTTAAGCATGTAAATAGATTTATTACTTTCTGTTTATTATTTTATTAATATTGAATTAATTTTATATCAACTAAATATCATAATTAATAAATTAATAGATGAATTTTAATTTTTCTTAATTAAGTTTATTTATTATTTAATCTTTTAAATAAAATGTTTATTTTTAAAAATAAAGCAATAATTTTTTTAAATAAACTGTAAATAAAATTATTATTTTTTATATACTACTTATTCTTTTTCATTTTTTAAGATATAGATTTACTTATAAGAAGAAAATTGATAACTCAAATATTTATAATTTATTAAATTTTATAAATTGGTCTATTTCTTTCCTAAAATTATCAATTAGTATCATTATAATTAAAGATTATAATTGATTAATTAATGAATTATTGTTATATTTCGTAAGTTAATTTACTATTTATAAAATTAAATAAAATGTTTATTAGTTTTTTGTTTCAAATAACTAATCTTTAAAGTAAATGAAAATTAACATAATTATTGTTAATAATCAACTTATTTACTAATATTTTAAAACTTTAATTTATCTACTATTAAGTCGAATCATTCTTCTTAAGATTTTTAAATGCAAAAAGGATAATTAAAATTTACTCAGTTTGAGTTAATTAAAATGTTTTTTAAGCAAATAGAATAATTAAAGTTCACTTATTTTGAGTCTAATTAAATAAGATCAGCTTTTTATAAATTAAAGCGCAAAAATTTTAAAATCAAAAAGTTAATTAATATTATGATATAAATATCAAATCAATATACTTAAGTAATTAACCTTTGATATTACATATAAATATATAATATCTAGACAAAAATTTTAGTATCTTTTATTCAAATTTTAGTAGTTAAAAAAGATATTTTAAATAGAATAATAGTGATTTATAGATAATTTAGAAATGGCATCCTTTTTGTATGATAGTCTTTAACCTTAGAGTTTGTATTATGATAAAAAATCAGAACTTAGCGAATAGGATTATAAAAAAAGACTTGAAACTACTACAACTGTATATGTAGGAAATTTACATTTCCAAACAAGAGAGAGCGCACTTTATGAATTATTCTCTCGTGCAGGATAAATTAAAGATCTTATAATGGGTATTAATAAAGAAGGTTAATCAGCAGGATTCTGTTTTGTTGTGTAATTTAAGTTATTTTTTGAAAAATTTATAATTTTGTTTAAATAAATGTGTAAAAATATATAATAGCTATAAATATATAAATTTCGTTATTTAAAAAAAGTTACCACACTCACGAAGAAGCTAGAATAGCAGTTGAATATATTTCATAGACAAAGTTGGTTATTAAATTTTATCATTTAAAAAAATCTAACTAGTTACTAAGAAAAATTTTAATTTATTAAAACTTAGACTAAATGATAGAGTGATTAGAGTAGATTGGGATTATGGTTTTAAAGAAGGAAGATAGTTTGGAAGAGGTATGGATGGATATCAAAAAAGAGATTAATACAGATAATAAAATGACTCTGGACGTCATAATATTCATTAGTAATGGAAGGAGCGTTAACAATAGCAATTTTAAGAAAGGTCTAATAGTAGAGGTGGCTTTAGAGGGGGCAACAACTATAATTAAGGATAAAGAGAAGGTTATAAGGGAAGGTTTAATAATAATTAGGGCAATCATAACTTTGATGAAAATAGTTAAAATAGATATAAAAAGAGCTACAACTAATTTAGAAATGAACAAGTATATTTATAAATATTTTAATTGTAAATTAATTAATATCATTTTATCATAATACAATAGAAAGAAAGAAGTAATTCAAGTTCTCCAGAATATCCTAAGAAAAAGAGATAATAGTAAGATGATGAAAATGATGATTGAATCTATTTGCATATTGAAATAATTAATCAATTTAAATAAGTTTTAATTAATATTTAATTTTATATATATTTAAATAATATATTTTTTGTTAAACTATTTTTTATTTTCCTCAATTTAATATAAATCAATTCAATTTCAATTTATTTTTTAATAATTAATTTAAAATTCATGTTAAATATAAATAAATAATTCATTTTTATTTCATTTATAAATAGCTTAAATTTAAATTTCATTATAAAACTTCAATTTAATTCTAAATGATTTAAATTTCATTTATTTTAAATGATTTAAATTTCATTTTAAATATTGGTATTATTTAAAAAAATAATAATAGATATTAAGATTAAAGTTGTTTCAGATTTGGAATTGTTTAGAAAAACAAAGAAATGTAATTTTATATTTTTATTAAAAGTCTATTTTAAATAAACTACCTGAACAAATTAAATTGTTTAAATATTATTAATAATTTAATTTAATTTATCAAAATGCAAATAAATATTTAATCATATTAAAATTATTAAATGAGTTTGAAGTATTAAGTTTATTAGATATTTAATGATATTGCATAAATAAAAATCATTAGTCAGAATTCTACTTGTTGTTTTAGGGTTTTTTGATGATTAGATTTGAAAAAGATAATTTACCTAAATTAAAGCTTTAAGAATAAATTAAAAATTCTCTACATCAAAAATAAATTGGATAGAGTTAATGTAATTTTGAAAAATTACTATTTAGTCACACTTTTTAAATGATAAATTGACATCTTTACTAATATTTTAATTTAAAAAATCAATTGGAGTATAAATATATCTATCTATTGTACAATTTTTCTTTTACTATTAGCTTTGAAAACAAGGTGTTAAAAAATTAATTAAAAATAAAATTTATCCTTAAAATAAAAATTTAAACTATGTCATAAATGATGATTTAATATTAAGGCTAATTATAATATTTTGTTTATTGGTAAATAATTAATTATTATAAAATATATACACAACTAATTTACATTTTTTAAATGATCAAAGTAAAGATTTTATCTTTTGTGTGGACGAAATGTTAAACTTTTACTAAAGTTAGATAAGAAAAATAAGTTTGCTTTTTTTTATTGAATTTTTCTGATGATATGGTCTGATATGATATTTATTAATTTGGTAAACATAACAAAAAAATTTTTTTTCTATAAGAAATGATATAAAAAATGTGATGTATTGAAACATTTTGATCTATTTTGGCAATTCATGTAACATTCTTAAGGAGTGTGAATTTAATTACAATTTGTTTGTTAATCACTTTGAGTAAATATTAGATTTCTGGTGGAAAAGCTAATAATAAAATTCCCCGTATAATTACAAATAAATATGAAATACTTAATTAATTAGAAATCAATTATCTTTTTTTAAAAAAAGGTAAGATTATTCTTTTTATTCTTTAATAAAATAAAGTATCTGAGAATAAAAATATAAATGAATAATTTTAGAATCTTGAATAAAGTTGATATTTTATATGCATTAAAGTTAATTAAAATTATTCATAATCAAAAAATAGATTTGTATGCAACTCAATTATATAATGTTATATTTCTTTTTTGTGTTTTTATTTTTGTGTAAAATAAACAACTTGTAAATCTTTTTAATTTTAATTAATAAATGTACATAATTATATGTAGATTGACATGCAAACTAAATACGTTAAAGAAACAGATAGTTGATTAAGGAGGATTTAGTTTCTATTTCAATATCTCTATTGATGCGAGTTTTTTACTTCTTAAAGCTATTAGCACTAAGGAATATTTAATATTAGAAATTTTTTGATAGGCAACTAACTTCAAATGATATTTTATTTGCTTTTTGAAAAAGGTTGAGCTATGAATTTGATAATTTTCTTGTTACTATTCTCAATTTAAATGTCAGTGATAGCAAACTAATAATAAATAAAAATGGTTAACTAAAAAATATAATTTTTTTATATATTATTTTGAAAAAAGTTTAATATTTTAATAGTTTTTAAGTATTTCAGGATTTATAAGTGTTTGTCTATTTTGTATTTAGATTTTATAAGTGTCTTGAGCAATTCTGGGGAGAGAAAAATAAATTAGGCAGCTTACTGAAAAGGGAAAATTTACAAAATTAATTAAAAAATTTCTTTTACTTATAATTTTTGGGGATTAGACTAACATTACTTTCCACTCTAGCATTTGTTATCAGATTTTAATTATAAAATTTCTTTTATCTGCTATTCGTTTGAATAAAGCTCACATTCCTTTAAATCCTTGTATTTGTTTGCAGGCCTTGATTTAGATTCATGATTTTACTAACTTTTTTCGATTTGCGCTTTATGTTAATCAGAAACTTTAGTTGAGTTGCTGCTTCCTTGTTAAGTAAAGTCTTTCTTATTAATTTCAGAAAAATTTCTCTTTTTATTTATTTTATCATCCTTCAAATTCACTGTCTTCTCAATTTGAGCTTGTTAATTATTTTATTTATTCTTTTTGGCTTGATATGTATTAGAATCAGATTATTATGAATGTTTGTTTGTTGTTTCGTTTGCTTAATTTGACTATTTAATTTTACTTTATTATTCATCCAGTCTGATATCAACTTTTGTACCTTTCTTTTAAGCATTACCAAGAAAGTCATTCTCTTCACCTATTTTGTAGATAAAAAAAATAGTTTAAAACTATTTAATTCCAAAAGCAGTGATTATGTTTAATGGAGAAATTTAAAAAATCTATCAAAATATTTAAATAAATAATCTACATTCTTAAATTGTTGAGCTGTTTTATAATTCCTGAGATTTCTTAGCATTTTCAGACCCATTTTCTAAAATAAATTGAATGTAGAAATTATCAATAGTGCATTGCTAAGTTTACTAGGACTCGATTTGGTCTTAATTTTCTTCTTCTTCACTCATAGATTAGCTGCTGTCATTATTACAAAAGTCATACTCTAGATCATATTCATGCCAATAAGGCTTTTTATCTTTAGAAAATGGATTTTCTAATTGAGTTTTAAATTTAAGCTTTTTCTCATATGCACCTATTTTAGGAGCTATGTTATAGTTTATTTCTATCTTGAAACTCTCAATGGATGTATTATACTTTCTGACCAAAAAATTTTCAATTTCTTAAATTTCATCTTTAGTTTGAGTTGAGAAAATTTATTTTAATTTTTATAATTAGATATGCCTCGGAAGTAGTTCATATTTATCGATGTCAATTATAAAATCTGGTGTTATTTCATCTAAGCTTTCCCATTTTTTCTCTCTAATTTATTTTATCAAGCTGTCAACTTTTTAGGGATTAAGAATCATATCATCTTGAAAATATTCCCTTAGCTCATTTTTTATATTTTCTCTTATTTCTCTCTCTTTCTAATATTCTTCTGTAATCTCAATTTTTTAATAAATATTTCCTCTCCTCGTTTCTATAAAAGGTGTGTTTGTAGGAGCATCGATTTAAAATGGTCTAATAGAAGAACTCACACTAAATTTTTGGAATCCTGATTTATTCATTTTTTAATAAAATTTTAAAATCTATCTTTTAGTATTAGATTTAATAAAAGAATATAACAATAACTTTTGTAATAATAAATGTATTTGTTCTCATAAAGCTAGCAAGCAAAAAATTCAAATTAATAGCGGGAACTCTAGACAATATTTAGTGATAGCTTTCTAATAATTAGAGTGATTTGAAGCTTAAAAAATTATTTCTGAAAATCTTCATGAAATTCAAGAAAGTTTAAATTACTATGTTGATTAATTTAGAAAAAAATAATATTATTCCTGAATTATAGCATAGTTCATCTATTTAGTATGTTTAAAACACTAAGATACCATCAAACTTTATTAATACTTTTTCATATCAATCGCAATCGGAAAATTGGTTTTGGCAATTCTAATTAAAAGTATATCAAATATTGTAATCTCATCATATTAAGAAATTGATTAGAGGTAATTTACATTGAGTGATCACCAAATAAATCTTGATTAGGTCTATTTCTTATCACCGAATGAATTTAGAACTAATAAGAAAATAATATTTTCACTTGATTAATGGGAAAGTAATAAACAATGAATTGATTACTAATTTATCTGATAATTAATTCGTCACAAAAATTGTTAATAAACAAAAAACTTACAAATATAGTTTGTTTAATTAATCTTTTTTTCAAAAACATATAAAAATATCTGTAATTATTATTGAGAAAGAAAAACTAAAGAAAAAAATATTTTGATTTTTACTATCCTAAAGCTACTAAAATAAGAGAATGTAATGTTTTTATGCAGCTAAATAAATGTTGAATTTCTAGACCTATCGAACGATATGCTTTTTGGATATTGCATTTAGAATGTAACCTGCATCGCATATTGAAATTAAGTGCTAGCTAAATTTATTTAAATTTATATTTTATTTCTTGTGAAAAGAATTTCATCAGTAATTTAATAATCTTTCCCTATAAAAGAAATCTTGTTTATAAAATCGAGAAAATTTATCCATAATTAATTTGATTTATAATAAATACTTATGCAATTCAAACAGAAATCATTGTACTATTAAATAAGAAAATCCAATATTTTTTTAGCTTACAATAATAAAGCCGATTAATCTCTGAATTCACAGCAAAAAGAAAAACTTTAAAAAAGAATATCCATTCTAAACTTTATTTTAGTTTAAGTTGATTTTTTTAACATTTGATTATGTGCCTTTCTTATTACACTTAAGGGAGATGAGAGGAATTAGAAAATTTCTGCTCTTATTTTGATAGAAAAATTTAATAAATTTTCGTGTGAGTTCATATTATTTGGCTTACTAATAATCGAAAAATATATGAAATTTATAAGTATGAATGCTATTTAAGTCTTTTTTTTACCATGTTGAAGAACAAAGACTGATTTTCTTAATTTACAGTAAGTAAATTTAGCTTTTTAAATAGTGCCTCTAATAAATACCTCATCATAGAAATATCAAGTGTTCCCATTCAGAAAAAATAAGTTTTAGCTTCCATCAAAAATAATCAAAAACAAACAGAAATTAAATCAGATTTAATGAGAATAAAGGATAACCCTTATCAAAACTATTTTTCTATCTGATTTTTTGAGCAGACTGAATATTTAAAGCAAAAAAGTAGCTTCAAAGAAGAAAATCTTTTGAAGAAATATAATAATTAATTAATAATCAAAAACTTTAAAATCCAAATCAAAAAGCTAATAAACATCTTATTTAGCAGTCAGCCACTCACTCTCATAAATATATCATATAATAATCCTTTCAACAAAAACATATTTTAAATAACCAATCTTCCTTCATAAAAAACCTGAGAAAATGGATACAACTTTCAACTAATACTTTTAGCCTTCTCCTATGAATAGAATACCAGACCTTCGCTTGTAAAACATTTAAACTTAGAAATTGGCCTCTGGAGACTAGTAAAACAATTAATTTATCTAAAATAGATTTGGTGGTTTCTATAATTAATAGCTTCTCAGCCTTGAAGATAATAAAAATTAATCATTTTAAAATTTTGTATAATCTAATGGCAAAATTATATAAAATTTAAACCTCATGAAAGATGCACCTCTATCTGAAAATTTAAATTTACAAAGTTTCTTAAATAAACAAAGTCTAGAGAGCAACATGCAATAATAAACTTTTGTCCCAAATAATAGAATGGGAAGTATGAACTATATGATGTAAAATAATAACAATTAAATGAGCGAAAATCAACTCAGTCTCTTAAGCTAATTAACCTAATAGTAAAAGTAGTTGCTTTAATAACAAAACCTTTAATTTAATTTACAAAATTAAAATAGTAACAATTTTCATAATTAAAATTATAATCATTAATAATTTATTGATTTAAATCGAGAATATTAAAATTAAAGCAAAGTTTTACAATAAAAATAATACTCTCTCAATCAACACTAAATTTAGTAAGCTCCTTTATCAAATCCTCTACCATAATAATCTATCTTTAATAACTAATTAAACTAATCAAACGACTTATCAAAGAATATAAATATCAACTAATAAAGCTACTTATTATAAAACATGTAACAATAATTCAATTAAAACTTTAATAATTAATTACCTCCCTTAAATACCTCTAACAATCTATTTATTAACAATCATAACAATATTACTTAATAAAATTATTTATAAAATATTTTATAATTATAAAAATAAATATAATAAGAATAAGATAATTTAAATATATTAAAGAACTTAAATAATAGTAACAAAAACAATAACAACTTAAACAGTGCTCTCTTGAAAATTCAGCTTGCTGAGAATATTTAAAAATACTAATACTTACCTAACTAATTTGATTTTGTTAAACTTGAAAATTCTTAGATAAACACATCACCTATTTAATCTACTCCTATCGTCAAGCAAGAAGTAAATTAAATTACTCAATAAAATTAATCTTCTCACTGTTTACCATTCCACTAAGTTTCATTTTACAACTAACAAGAAATTTAAAAAGATGAAATTTTAAAAATCTTGAAATAGTAACCAAACGATTAATTAATAAATACAAAGAAGGAAATCGATTAATCACAAGCCTACATTTTAAACCAATCTAATCCTCGTGTTTCTAGAGAAAATGAAACCACAAAAGAAAATTAATTAAATTCTGAAAATGCTTAAATTCTACAAAATTGCAAAATAGAAGAAAAGGAATTGTAAAAAGATTTAACAAGTGAAAATACCATCTAAAAAAATGATTTTCTGACAAACGAAAAATCATTTGATTAGAAAGAAGAACTTAACTCTTAAACAATTCAAGAGTAATCAACTAATCTTTCAAATAAGAATTACTAGAATGAAGATGCAAGTCTTCTTGGATAAGAGCAGGAAGAAGCTTCTCATGAAAAGTAATCCCTTTGCCAATCAAAAAACTCAGAAATCAGCAACAATACACTCCAAAAAAGTAAAAATAAATCTAAGAAACGCAGATCCCAAAAAGAATACTATCTCTCTACTTTTAAAAAGCAAAAATCAGATAAATAAAATTCAGGAATAAGAAGCGCTTTTGCCAAGAGAAACGGACAATAGGAATAGCCTGATAAACATAAAACTTAAAGCGAAGATCAAACTGATAAAGCCTAAACTTCTCATGAGGAAAACAGCAACTAATAAAATATAACTTTTGAATAAGAACTAGAGTAATAAAAATACGAAGAGATGATGTAAAAGAAAAAAGACATGTAAAACGAAAGCAACTACACCAAAAATATTCTAAAGGGATTTAGAAGATTTTTCATCAAAAATTTCTACAATAACAAGAAACTTATGAACAACTTTGAAAAATACTACAGTATCAACTCCTTAAATAATGAATTTATTCTGAAATTACTCACTGTATCTCCATATGCAAACTACTTCAAAGATTTCCTCTAGGAAGACCCTGAATGGTGGATGGACGAGGCTAAAATTACTAATAAAGAGCGTTAACGTTAAATATTCAGCCTATACTAAAAGCAAGACATATCTTTAATAAAAACAAAAAGAAAAAACTTTAACCAAAAGATTATTGGAAAATTAGAAAAATCTGGTGGAAAGGAAAAATAAACTTGCGAAGATTAATAATTCTAAGAAGAAAATGATGTAATAAACTCCGAAGTTACCCTCAACATTCAAGACCTAAATGGTTAACAAGAATAAAATTCTGATAAAAATTCAGATTTAGTTCAAGTTGAAATGACTGAATAAATTTGAAAATATCATTTTTAAACTCAGTATGAAAGTAGAATAATTTATATTTATATAAACAAGTATTTACATTTGATTTATTTTTATTTGTAATTGTAATTTACTCAAAATTTAGAAATAGCTCACCCTACTCATTTAAATTCAAATTATTATATATTATTTAAATAAATCACCTCAATTTTAATAATATATTTGTAATATATTAAGTATTTATTTAATTTCAAACTTTCTATATTATTTATTTTCAATCACGTCATAGACTTTCAATAGGATTATTAGATCCATCCAATTAATAAAAAATTTAAATATTATATTTCTCCTAAAAGTCATGTAATTTACTATTCATTTCTATAGGACTACAAAAAAAGGTTTTTATTGACTTGTGTAGAATATCTGAAATAGTAAAAAGAAAGCATTTCTTTCAAATTTATGTAAGCAAATAAATTTATTTAATTTATTTACCTAATAATTTAATTCTTAAAAAATATAGAAAGTTTAAGGGGGAAAATTGAAAATTAAATACAAATTAATAAGCTTGAAACTCAAAAAATTTCAAAAATATTTTGATCATGTATTAAGATATCAATATATATTTATATTTGTAATCTTCTTCTTTTTCTCTCTCTGTTAGAGAAAATATAATCTATACTTTCGTTTAAAATTCCAAACAAAAAAATAGTATTATACATTAAATCAAATTCATACTTTTTTAATAAATTAGCATTTATTATTCTCTTAGAGTTTGCTGTTTATTTAATGATTAAAGTTTAAAGTAAAATAGAGATCTTGATATTATTTTATTTTTTTTACAATTCATATTTAATAAATATTTCAATTATTTCTTGATGAAAAATGACTTTTATATTTAAAATAAAGACATTAAATATTTCATAGAAATCAATAAGCAGTTTTAAAATTATATAATTGCTTGTTTTTATTTAAACACTAAGAAATTCTATATGGAGTTATTTCGAAAACCTAGCTAAAAACTTCTTTAATTAATGTAATTTTTTTATTCAAAAACTTATGTTTGCTTTAAAATTTATAAAAAGAGAAAATTGTTTATTTTCCAATAGAAGATTTTTGAATAGATCGAAGCTATCTATCTGACTATTAACTAACAAGCTAACTAACTATCAATATTTTTTAAAATTGATAAAAAAACGAAAAAAAATTAATAAAAAATTAGAAAAATATGTTTTCAAATAAACTTATAAAGTCACCTTACAAAACTTCTGTTTCTTATGATCCGGGGTTTTTTTTAAAGAAAGTTGTAATAAATTGTTGTTATAAAATTATAAGTATTAATCCCACTTCAAATATATCAAAAAAAACTCTCTTGGAATAGATCAACTTGTAAATTTCAATTATTAAGTGTTAGAAATGAACTTTTATCAATTCAACTAATGGGGAAAAAGAGGAAAATATACCCAATCTTTGAATTATAATTAATTATTTTATAATTTTGAGCTAAACCTATCTAAGAAATTGACAACTAATAATTTATGATGCCAGTCGATTTAAAAAAGTATATTGATTTTAAATGAGCATATAAAGGCGATTTTACTGCAAACTTTTTCCAAAGCAAAAAGTAGACATGATCTTTATGTTTTAACATGATTACTAAAATATCAAAAATTATTAAAAAAAACTCCTTTTTCTTATTTTTAATTGTTACTTATGATTACATCTCACTCTTTACCATTTTTTTGCAATTTGTAAGCTAATTATCATTTGTATTGTGACTTTTGCAAATTAAAGCGCAGGGCAGAGATGTTTGTAGCTTACAAAAAAAAGGAATAAGATTAAATTATAACTGTGATGAAATAGTATGATGATATAATTAAATCATATGAGTAGAAATCTCCAAATTTAATTCTTCACTTTAATTATCAAAATTTGTAATAAGAAAAAATAGAAGCCAGGCAAGGTATATGAACTCAAGATAATTTAATAATTCTGGACAAAAATTTATAATTAAATCTTAAATTTGAGTATTACTCTGTTTTGTGAAAAAGAATTTACCTCTTTTAGATATTAATTACTGTAATCTTTTCCCCGAACGTAAGCCACTGCTAAATTCAATTTGATATCATAATTTAAACATTTATTTTATATTCCATCATTGGATAAATTAGCTTATTTTATGGGATTATTTTATTTAAAGGATATATTGTTCATTTTTTTCTGTATTTTTGTTTTTTTGTGAATCCTTACAACTTCATAATTCTTACCATTTTTTTCATGGTATTTCTTTGCAGATATCGAAGAAAACTGACAAGCATCTTTTTAAAAATAATACACAAGCTTTAAAGCTGGAGAGAATTCTAAATTAATTTGTCAGAGAGTTATTGAGTGTATTTTTTTGGACAATTAAATCAGGTAAATTTGAGGTGTAAGAAGTATTTTTACAAAAAAGAAGCATTATTAATAGCCAGAATTTTGATAAATGTAATAAATAATATTTTATTTCATAAGAGAAGTAACATAAAATTTTGCTTATGATTCATATGTTTAAAATAAAAGCAAAAGATAATTGAGCTAATTTAATTTATTTGATAGCTGGTCTACAAACTTGATAATAAATTTTTTAAATAAATTATTGATTATATATAGGATTAGTTTTGCTTCTTACAATTATCAAATATCTTGACTTGAATTTTAATAGTGAAATAAAAAAAATTTCCAGATAATATGTGTAAAGTATATTTATTAGTTAGTGCACTATAATTGTTAGCTAAGCTAGTATTAAGCTAAAACTAAACAGAAATAAAATTGCCTCATATTTGTTTTTATAATGTTTAAAGTGTAAGTTTATAGTTGCTTGATAGAGTATTTCTGAAAAAGAAAATAATAGAAAGATTAAATTTCAGGTTAAGTTGATTATAAAAAATCAGCTTGGATAATTGGTATTAATTAAGATTTTGAGACTACCCCTAAAATGGGCAGATATGTAATTTAAATTATTAAAAAAAAAATAGAATGAATCCGGTGTTTGAATAATTTATTTAGCTCATATGAGAAGACCTAATTAAATAAGAATAAATAAAAAACAAAAAAAAATAATAAAGATAAAAGAAAAAAGAAAAGTTTATATCAAAAAAACAAAAACAAACTATTCCATAATCCTCAAAGAAAGAAGTAACAAACTAAAAATGTTTACTTAAATTAACCACTAAATTCCACCACATATGGTTTCTTAAATACCTCCTTTCTAATAACCTTAGCCATCTTAAAACTCTTTGATGTATGCTAAGTAAATGTTCGCTCCTCAAGCACCTCCCCATATTTAAATTCACAATTAATTTATTGAGGCCGAATAGTAAATTTAACAAGAAATTTAGTAACTTTAATAACTTTAATTATAGATTAAATTACGCTAATAATAATTTATCTCATAATTAAATACTCCATCCATTCCTATGCAACCTTATCATCAAGGTGCTGCTATCAATGGTATTATTCCTCCATATGGTCACTAAAATTTAAATATATAAAATGGTTATAATTAACGCAAGGGTCTACCAGTTATTGAAAATAATGAACTCAGCAGAGTACCTTTACATTTAAATTAAGATATTCCTACAAATTTGAAAAATTACAATTTGCAACAATAGCCCTTGAGCATGTATATGGGTGACCATGCAAGTTAAATGCCTCTTAACAGAAAGAGGGCTTATGATATTAATTACTAATATTCTAAGATCGAAGATCAAAGTGACTCTCCATCTCATGAAAACTTTGTTCATAAAAAGTTATGTACTGAAGACCTTAAATCCACTACAACTTTACTTGAATAAAGCATGCTCCATTAAAAACTAAGTGGCTATCCAAATATGAACTTAATGTATGGATAATAGTCATTTGCTTAAAAATGTATTCCTTCAAACATTTCTGATTGCTCTTCCACTCAATCAATCAGAAATAACTAACCCTCCATTAATAACTTCGGAATGGAATAAAATTATAGCAACTCAGTTTATTAGCAAAATCACATGAAAAATAATATATTGATGGTCAAAAAGGAAGCTAAAAATGAATTAATTACTATCCAAGAAGACCACTTGTAAGATTAAAACAGCTCAGACAATCAAAATTCCGACAAGAGATGCAAGAAAGAAATCTAAAACGATAGTAATTACACAAAAAATCTTCTTAAAGGTTTCCGTCGTCACATGAATAAGAAATATAAGGACAACAAAGATACTATTGAAAAATTTTAACAATATTTTTACAATAACACACTTAGCAACGAATTCATTTTAACTCTTCTTGAAAACTCTCCCTACTAATCTGAATTTGAGGACTTTTTATAAACTGATCCTTAATGGTGGATTAAAGAAGCTAAAATCAAAGAGCCAACCCGTTAATTAAAGTTCTTTGAGACTGTGAAAAATAAAAATTATGCTGACATTAGAACAAAGAGAAAAGGAAAGCAAACTAATACAGTCAATGCTCCTACTAGCAGCTCTCCTTCTGAAGAATAAAACTAATAAACAGAAAATATTGTATAAAACGAATAATAAAACACAAATACTTAGACTGTAGTAGCCTAAGCTGAAGCTGAGGCTGAGGCTGATAACACAACTACTGCTTAATGAAATAGATAGTGTTGAAAATAAAGAAAATAGAAAGATAATTTTGAAAAAAAATTATAAAAAACTCTCCCCACAAATTTAAAAAAATTAAATTAATTAATAATCTTATCCACACTATAACTCGCTCATTATCTTACTAACTTCACTCCTATTATATATAAAATTTAGAAAACAACTATTTAATAAATTTAATTATATTACTTCCTTCCAATAATGTATAAATTTATATTGTTTATACTTTTATAACAAATTAAAAAATCTTCTAAAAATTTCATTTTACATAATCAGTAACAAACTAATCATAAATATTTGCTAATTCTTTCAGCATATTAGCCATTAATTCTTAGTAATAGTAAATGCTTAACATTTTTATATTGGTTAAGATTCATTAATTATTTTATAGAACCTTTTGTAAATTTATTTTCTCTTTATTACCATCTGTCAACAGTTAAATTTATTTTCAAATAAATGCTTATATTTAGAACAAATAATAAATAATATTTGTTCTAAAAAAAAGAGAAAATATATCGCAGAACTATTTTTACTAAATTTACAAATAACAAATGATAAAAAACATAAAAACGCGTTATTTTAAGTTCATAAAGTATTTTTTTTTGGGTAAAAAGCAAACAATCTAACCATTTCGGATAAAGATTTATTTAAATTTTTTTTTTCTCAATTCTGGCTAAAAATTAGATTCAATATCTTATGAATGAAAAAAATTTGTCTTTTCTTTTAAAAATATAGTTTTCATTCCTACCCCAAGATTTTAAATACAAAATATAAAAATTAATATTAAATCTTTAAAAGTTAACTTTTTTGACCTGAATTCAACACAAAAAAGATATGAAATAGAATTAAAATTTTCTGACATATTCCTCCAATTTCAAATTTAAATTTGCAATTTTAAGCCAGAATTAATATATAAAATGAAAATATATTATTTATCATTTAATTAGATTAGCTTACAAATAGTAGTTTTTTTAAAATAAATTACTTTTTTTCCTATTAAAATGAAGCAAAACTTTTTGATCTTTTTTGTTATCAAAAGAAATCAAAAAATTTAATTTTTAGCTCAACTTATACTTTCTTCATTACATAATTCAAAATTAGAATATTTTCTTGCATATTTTTATCATTTATTTTAATAAATATTCATTCACTCATTAGAAGAAGTAAATCAATAAACTAATTCTTTTCATATGTTTTATAAGAAAAATCGCAAAAACTGAGTACTTTACTCAAAATTTTAAAAATCAATTTTGTTATCTTAAGATACAAAATATAGTTTTTTTTGAATATATTATAATAAATGTATTTTTAATAAATTAAAAGAAAGATTTTTAATCTTTACTTTGTTTTTAACAAAAACAAGAATAATGTTTTTGTATCTTCTAAATATTGCACCAAAAATATTTTGATAAGTTCAAATAAATTAAATATTCTTATCTCTTTAATTAATTCACAAACTAATTTAGAATACTTTGATTGATTAAGATTTATACATACTCTTCGATTTTAAATTTCTATGTTTTAATTTAATTTGCTTTTTTGATATAGTTTTTAATTGGAAATTGGTTTTTTGATATTTAATTTTTTTTTTGAAGTAACCTAAAAAAATTAATAATAATTCTATTCAAAATCAAATATATAAAATAATTGAAGAGAGTAATTACCTATTCTTCATATTTTTCTTTGGAATATTAAATTAAATTGGCCAAAATAATTTTTAAGACTACTTATATTTAAATAAGGTTGTGAAAATAAAATTTAATGGTTAACTAATTCCTAAAATTATCTATTGATATTCAATAAAGAAATTATTTTCATTATAAAAATGATAAAATTTTATTCTTCTTTGTTTGTTATAAATAGAAATATTAAATGAATTCTTAATGAAGCTAATACTTTAAGCTATAAAAAGATTCAGATAAAATTAACAGTTTTAAGTTAATATAAAAATAAAATTCATTTGAGTTAAAACTCAAAATTTTTAGTTTTTTATGGTCATTTTATCCTTCGAAATGATAAAAATTCAAATTATTTATATATTTATTTTATTGATTTATGTGGTTTGAAGCATTTTATTTAAATGCTTTGAATAATGGTAATACACACAGCTTAACATTCTTTTTATAGTTCTATTAATTACTATATAAGATTTAGTTATATTGGAAATTGTAAACTCAAATAAACTTGAAAAGGATTAATAAACTTTGTTAATATTTTTTGTTAGGAAAATTTGATGGGCTTTACTTTTTTTATTTACACTATTTGAAATTAATATTACCAAAGTAAAAACTTTCATAATTTCCTCCAAACCATACATTAGAAAAGTATATTTTTATTCATTCATTCTTCTTACGTCAATTCATATAATAGTTGTATATTTTATATGTTCTAAATGTGCTTTATTTTTAATATGTAATTATTGCTTATCTTTTTACAAAAGGTATCGATTATCAAAAGTTTGTATCTATCTATCTCATGAACTAAAAAAATAATTGTAATAAAAATATTTGAATTGCAAGTAAACAAAAATTAGTTTAGAAACTCTTCTATAAATTTATTTAAAAGTAAAATCTAAATCTTTATAAAAAGAAATCTTCAATTAAGAAAGATAGATTGAGAGAAATTTTTAATTTCTAGAAAATTAGAAACTTATTAATGCAGAATACTATTTTTTTGGAATTTGGATTCTATCGATTTTTGATAATAAATAAGAATTCTAAAAAGTTTAATTGATTTAATTTATATCCATGAATTTATTACATCAAGCTTAGAACTTTTTTTAAAAATAAAATCTAAATATAAGAATAAATTACCATTTTTAAAGAATAGTTAACTTTTATCTAGTTAGTAAAAATGCAAAAAATTATTTTTAGTATTAATTTATAAAATCTTTATTTGCTAATACTAGAAGAAACTTTGCAATTTCCTTATCAAAAATCCTTTTTTTATTGTAAAAACAATCAGAAAAAATTAAGGAAGGTATTTATTTATGGTTGGGGGATTTTCAATTTAATTTTTTTGAATGAGTATCATTTTGTTTGTATAAGTGTAAAACTTTGACTATTTATAATATATAAAAGTAATTCAAACAAAGGGGTATTAAAGATATTTATTTTTTCTCAATATTTCAATTTTTAATACTTAAAAAGAGGGAATGACAGAGTTTGATTCTTGCAATTTTGCTCATACATATAAATCTTTATTAACTTTTATTATAAGCTTTATCAAAACTATTTATCATATTTTAAAGTAACAAATAAACTTTAGTTAAATATATTTATTCATTTTATTTTTAATTTTTTAAATATATTGTTATTTAAGATTAAAAATTATTTCATATATTTTAATCTATTTTTAAATTAAAAATTTGAAGAATAAAAAGAACAAAACATTTTCAGGTTCAAAATAGTCTTTTTCTTAAAAAATATGTCTTCTTATTTGAAAAGTTATACAAATTTTAAATAATTATAGAAACAAAAGAAAGTATTTATTTTAATAGATATTTTTATTTATTAAAATGTCTAAAATTAATAATTTTTAAGTTTGTTTGTTTGTTTAAATTAGAATTAACTATTTTTATATTTTTAAAAAATTATATTGAATCAAACTTTAACAAAAACTCAACATATTATAAATATTTTTATCATAAATTAATTTATTGCTTCTATTTTAAAAATTAATCTTTAAAAATAGCAAAAATACATTTTAACTTTTTTTCAGATTTATTTTAATTTCTAATTCAATTAGTTGATTAAAAATTAATACTCTTATCAAAATAATTATTATCAAAAAATAAATTAAAATCTTTGCCTTTTTATAAATTTTTTTAAGCAAATTTAAATGACTTAATATTTGTACTTCCATATATTATTTATCGTTTAATTAATAATTTAATCTTTATTTAAACAAAATAATAGATTAAATTTGGATTGTTAAATTTAACTTATTTTTCTAATATATACTTTTAATTGAGTTTATAAAGCAAAAAATATATATTTGATCATAAACTTTTTTTAATAATTATTAGCATATTTTAAAGTTTTAAATAAGGAAATAGAATATATTTAAACATTTTATTTACTCTAAAAAGCTCTTGTTTTATTGAGTAATAATATTAAGAAAGAAGAAGTATTAAAATTAAAAAAACTAATTTGATTTAAGATTTAGTAATAATAATTTTTATTAGTTAATTTACTTTTGAAATTTTTAATTATGATGGAAATATTATATATTTTAATTCATTATTAAAAAATGTATTAAAGTATCAAAATAAATTTAAGAAAGGTTATATTTGATGTTATTTAATATTTAATTTTATCTTTTCCTTAAACTTGAGTTAATTTTTAGCTTTTAAAATAATAGATCTCTACTTTTTATTTCACTTAATCATTTTTTATATGATCTTTAAAATTTTTATCTTTTTCATACTACTAATTAAAAATTTTCAAAATCTAATTAAAATATTTTTTATTTGGCTTTAGTTACTTGCTTTAAAAATTTAATTAAATTACTTAAATTAAAATTTTTTTTCTAAAAATTGATATGTTTATTTATTATCAGTTTATACTTTTTAAAAGACAATTTATTTAATTTAATATTCTCTATTAACCTAGATCCTTATTGATTAAGGTCAAATAAGAATTTGAATTTTTTGAATTTTTTGTTTTCATTTTGAAAAGTGAGTTTTTTGACCCACCTCTCGAACTCGGTCACAAAACTTATTGTGGATTTACAATATATATTTCAATAGATTTTGAGTTGTTTAATTTATTTTTAAGTTAAGTTATTATTTTAGAAAATAGCTTCTTTATTTATCAAGTTAGTTATAATAAATTATTAATTTTAATAAAGATTATGACTTCTTCAATATAATTAAACATTTTTCACCATATTATTTTTAGATTTGCCAAAAACAAATAATTTTTTCTATTTACGATTTCAACAATATAGCTTTATTAGATAAATTAAGTAAAGGTTAATAAATGAAAATTTAATCAAAGCAAATCTTGATATGTTATTACAGCTCCAAAATCGAAATTTAAAAATTAAATAAATAATAATACAATTTTTCTTTTTTATTTATATTTATCAATATTAAATAAGAAATAATAATTTATTTATTCACTAAAAGTATTTTGAATAAAGAATTTGGAATCACAAAAATTAGAATAAAACATGTTGAAATTATAAAATATGAGATTAAAATATGTAGTAATTTAAAGATCAAAAGTTATAAAGTTTGAGCTAGAAATTAAAACTAAAAAAATATAAATAGCTTGATAATAATTTTAAGTTATTTATTTTTTCTTATTTAAGTAAAAAGTAACAAAAAATTTAAAAATACATCTAATTTTTTGTTATAAATTTATTTTAAGTTATTTATTTTTTCTTATTTAAATAAAAAGTAAAAAAAAATTTTAAAAATACTTCTAATTTTTTAATAAATTCCTTTTGGAAAATTATATTTAAGATCTAATTTTATTTGCTAAATATCATTTATAATTTTAAATAAATGGAAATTTTTCTTAATTTAATAAGTTCTTAATTTGTATATTTTAGTAAAATAATTACTCAAATTAATATAAATTTGAATTTAACACACTTGATAAAATAAAACTCTAATTTAAATACATGTATTTATCTAAATAGATAGATGAAAATTCTATTCCTTCCTTTATAATCTATTTATCAAAAACAAAATTACTGATTTATATTGAAGTATTTATAATTTTAGAATAAACTTAACACTTCCACGAACCAATTTTTGCATTTAATATAATTTTTTTTATAATCAATATTCATTTAGATTAAATCAGAAATAACCAGTTTATTAATACATACTTCAACTTTTTTTCATTGAAAGGAATTAATTTTATTTTGAGATAAATAATTGAATTTTAAAATATTCCTAGATTCTTCTTCTATAAAATAGAAGGATGTGAATTTCATATGATAAAAATCAAAAATTGACGTTTTCCTTCTATCTTTCTCTCATTTCTCAATTTGAGTAAAAGTGTAAGTAAGTCTGAAGGAAATACCTAATACCATGACTAGAAAAAACTTTGGTAGCTAAATATTAAAAAATTATGAAGGTCTTATAAATTCTGATGTATTAAAATGGAAAATAAAATAAAAAAAGCAGTATATACTCGTTAAAAAATATTTTTAATTTGAAGAAGTGCTATTTCAAATATTTTTAGTTTTTATCTATATTTTTTGTAATAATTAAAATAATATGATAATGCTTAATTCAAAATCCAAACAAATATAAATTCTAATAGATAATTTAAAATATGTTTAAAACATTTTTTTTTAATAAGAAATTGAAACTCTTTAAGATTAGATTAGTACATATTTTTTAAAAATGTAAATAGAACTTTAAACTTCTCTATTATTTTTCTTCATCTATTTTAATTAGTTAATGGTTTTGCTTCTTATTTAGATAAAAATGAGCCAGCTGTTATGTGATATGAACCAAACTTAAGTTTTCTTAATAGCAATGACTTGAAATAAAAAAATCTTTTTTTCTCTTAATTAAATTACATTTATAAACAATTTATCAGCTGTATCAAAAATCAAGTGGAAGCATAACAAAATTTCTTAAAACTTGTATGAAAGATATAAATAAATTAATTTTTATAAATATTCATATTATTATATTCTAAGACTAAATTATTTTATGTTAATAAGCACTTGTATGAAAATTTTTATTTTAGTACTCAAATATACCAGCTGATAATGAACAGAATTATTATTGCGCATTTAATTTGATATTTATTTTAAAAATGAATATATATTCTAAATTTTGTAAACTGAAATAGTTCATTTACATTACTTTCTATTGAATTCTATTTATGATTATATTAAATATGAGATAAATTCCTTTCATGTGTGAAGAGTATTACATAATCAACTGTAAACTAATTTGGAAATAAGTAATCTATTATTTTTATACAGTTAATAGTAAATACATAATAATAAATCAATATGTAATTTACTAGAAGGTAAAAAATCTATATATATATATATATATCACTTAATTTTTTATAAAGCTTATAAATTAGGTTTTATCTTTGCTAATACTAAAATACTTTTTGTATCTAAGATGATTAAATATTTTATTTTTTAAATAATTACAGCTAATTAATTCTCATAGATAAAGGAAGCAAAGAAATGTAAAAATAATAGAAAAAATTGTAAACAATCTTTTTTGAAGTAAATTTTGATTAAATACTATTATTTTAGATTATAGAAGATTTTTTTAGTTTTTATCAGTATAATGATGAGAAGTATAAAGAAAGGATAATTTTTACTTGTCTGAAAACAGAATTTTATGAAAAAATTTTGTTCTATTAATTAAAATTTCAAAGGCAGAGATAATTTACAAATCAATTTTTCGAAGTCACTATTTATTTGTGATTAGTTTATTAAATTACACTCATATTTCGTTTATTTTTACTTTTACATTGATTTAAAAGAAAAATACCCCCAATTTTGCAATTAAGAAATGCGAATAGATAATTTATTTTTACACAACTATAAAATTAATACTCTTTTCCTTTACAATCAGAAAATTTCTTACGTTGCAATTATATTAATTTTACTTCAATCTAACTCCCTAATAAAGACTTACTTGAGTTAAAATTGCTGCTTGAGGCTGACTAGACTATTGTGAAATTAAAGTTCTTTTGTAATTTTTTAATCTAATAAAAATTTACAATATTTTGTATTTTTAATAATGCATTTTTTTAAGTTTAAAATAATGTAAATAAATTCCTTCTCTTGTTTTGAAAGTTATTTCTAGAAACCTATAAAAAAATTGAATAACTAACTAATTGTCATAATAAGATATCCATCTTATTTCATATTTTTTCTTTGAATTTTATTTAAAAATAAAACCTTATATTTTAATCAGATAACATATAAAAATACATTAATGTTGTTAACACATAATAACTTATCTTACATTAAATTTTTTAAATTAAAAAAAGTAAACATTGATAAGGCTTACAAATTTAATATAGAAAGACAACATATATTTAAAATAGCTTAAAGTTTTTGTAATTTAAAAGGGAGTTACTATATTTATTTATTTTAAATGATGATAAATAAATACACTTAATTTCTTAATTTGCCAAAAAAAATATCTGTTTCTATAGACGAGATGGCTCATAAATTATAACGCTGGTTATTAAAAATTAATTATATATAATTTATCTTTGAATTTTAATCTCTTGACTGAAGTAATACAATGTAGAAATTATTAATTTTTAGTTCTATAAAAATTTTATCATGAAAAAGATCGAGCAGAAAAGTAAATTTTTCTCTCTATAAGAAATTATATGTGTAATATAGAATTTAGTTTATTGTAAGTTCTATAGGAATAGAGTGGTAAAAAAGAAGGTTTTATCTAGTATTCCTTGAGGAACTAACAAATTTTTTATAATTTAATATATCAATCAATCAGTCACTCTCTTAATTTTACTCAAACTAATTCAAAGTATAAATCATTTACGAATTTAATATAATTTACTTTAAGTACAAGCAAAAAAGAAACTAAACAATAAAATTAATTCATATTTTTACTTGTTAGATCTGTATTGTTTATAAATTAATCTTACAATAATTTCATACTGTTTATACTTAAGGAATTTATAGAGTCTTATGTTTATTATATGATGAAAAATCTAGCTTAATAATTAGTTATTGTACTCTTTTTAACTAAGTCTGAAGTGGGTAAAGAGACAAACAAAATTTTGAATATTTAAGTATAAAGAAGTAGGTTGTAAATGATATATAGATTTGGGTAGGAAAGTTATATATGGTTCAATGAACCAAACATTTTTTAAGTTATTAAAGCCAATAATAATTCAAAAATCAATGAAGAGAGAAGGATTTTTGAAGGATTTAGAGTGATTTTATTTAACTTAAACTGCCAAAAAAGCGATTAATGTTTGCAATAAAAGTAAATTTGAAGTATATTTTAAAAATTTTTTCATATTTGTACTCTAGTTTCCTTTTATTGATTAATATTTAGTTATATATATTGTTATTGCAGAAAAGGTTGTTTGTTTGATTAATCAAATAGAAGTAAAAAGGAAAAAGATTAAAACTTGTTTAATTTAATTGATTGTTGATATAATCATTAAAGTAAAATAAAATTTCTTGTTCATAATAAAATATAGAAAACTAAGTAAGTATATTTAACAATTCCAAAAGGGTTATTAAATATAATTAAAAATAAATATTTTAATCTATCTAAAGTTAACTTATATTAGAAAACAAACCTCAAAAATTCCTATGAACCACCCCTACTAAATGCAATCTCTTATGTCCTTACCTTACCCAAATTAGAATATGTGTTTTTATATAAATAATAATTCGAAGCTAATAACTCCACAAAATAGCTTCTAATCAGCAATGCCGAATAACATTTGCTCTTAAGCAAATTAAATCAACATTCAAGCTTTAAATAAGCTTTAATACCATCCTATTTTTTCATAGTAAAATTACTAGCCAATTCCCCAACAAGTAATATATAGCAACATTGAATTGGATAACTAGTAAAACTAAGAACTTCCTATTACATATCAATAATAAAATTATAGATTTGGTTCCTTCAAGTAAAATTTATAACCTGATTCTTCTTATTAATATGAAGCATTTTAAATGAAATCAAGAAAATAACCAGCTCAAACAGAGCATCAATCTGAAAACAGCGTATCAAGGAAAAAAAAGTTTTCTCATTCAAGCGAATAGGTAAAATATAGTAATAACCATAGTTGCTTGATATCTGAAAGCTAGATTGGAGATATTACTTGCCAATCACCATCTTAAAAATCTATAAAAATTAGCAAACCTGATAATGAAATTACTTGTAATTCTGAAAAAAAATTTAAATAAAAAGGAAATTGCTCATCGTTTTAAACATAAAAGCAAGAGTATAATTCAGAAGAAAATGAACAAACTAATTATATTTAAAATAACAGAGAGATTAGTATAAATAACGAATATGATAATTAAATAAAAAATTAATAAAAGTCATAATAAAATACCAATACAATTAAAAGGAAATAGATACAAAATAGTAAGAATTAAAAGCAGTAGGTGTAGTTTGAAAATTTAAATTCAACTAAAAATAATAGTTAATCAAAGAAAGACAACTTGTTTTAAACAAAGAATGAATTTGAATTACCCATCAATTAAAATTGCATAGAATCATAATTTATGACTCAAATATAGCAAGATAATAGCTATTTAAAAGGAAAACAGGATAATCGTAAGAATGGCAAAGCAAACAAAAAGAGAATCCAAAAACATTTTTAAGATATCCATAGTGATAACTAAACTAGCTCGAAGGACAAATTAGATTTAATCAATTCTTAGCCATCTATTTTTTAAGCAAAACTCGAAGAATAAGAAAATCAAAATAGCCAGCTCGAATCTATAAATAACTTTTCAGTACAAAGTTAAAATTTTTCTTGTAAATTTTAAAGTTAATTAAATAACCACCAAATTAGCAACAATAGTGAAAATGCTTAAAATATAGTTAATACACCCAGCGCCAGCGCGGACTGTAAACTTGACTTTACTTGTAGAATGAATGAATTTACTGAAACCGACTCTGAGCAGTAAAAGTAATATTCAAGCTCTTAAGAACCACAACTAACTAAAAAGTACTGTAAAATTAGATTTTTATCTGATTCATCACCAGATGATAAAAAAGATATGATAAAGATTAATAAATAGTCCGAGGTAATTATCATCTGTTCAGTGAGGCCTAAAGATAAAATAAAGAAAAGCAAATAGGATTACTACAATGATTCAAATTACACAAAGAACCTCCTTAAGGGGTTCCGTCGTTACATGAAGCGCTTTACCGCAGACCAACTCATTTTTTAGCAATTTTAAATATATTTCACAAATAATTAACTTAATAATGAGTTTATTTTAAAACTCTTTAGTGACAATGAGTATTCAAGCTATTTTAATAAATTCTTATCTCAGCCACCTCACTGGTGGATCTAAGAAGCAAAAATCAAAGATGTTGAAAAATAAATTAATTTTTTCAATCTATGTAAATAAAAGAAGATAAACCATATAAAAACTAAGCGTAAAAGCTTCGAAAGACCTTAAATATATTTTATGTGATACAAATCAATTATTAATTGAAAATATAAATGATAATTTATTTATTTACTTTTTAAAGTATTTAATTTAAATAACTATTCAATATTGTTTACTAATAAAACCCAAGTCATTTAAAAAAATAAAAATAAATACCCCTTTTTTTTATGAAAGTTTTGATGAAAGCATATAAAATATTTTTATATAATGTATGATATATATTAAAAAGTTTAAAAGAAAAAGTAAAGCTTTATTTATTTATTTATTATTAATTGTATCATTAATTTTTATAACCTTTTTATTTAATTGATATAAAGAAATGATATTTTTAGAACAGCTTGAATACATATCAGATAAATTTGTTTTTTAATTGATATCATTCATAATGGAAGATATAAATTTATCCTTTTTTGTAAGAGCTTGTTCTTGTATAGGAATAATTATTAGGCTAGTAGATCTAATTTAAAAAGCTGGCTTTATAAAATTTATCAGAATATATTATTTACTATCATATTTTTAAAAGCTTCTTTTTTTTCACAAAAATGATTATTTATGTTTTCAAAGAATAATTTATTAATTATATTTGTTATTAGAACCTCCAATAGTTATGAAGACTCTTCATTATCAATAAAACAATAAAACTGAAATATTGTACAAAAGGAATCAATAATATTTACTTCACAGCTTATGAAGCTATTATTAAATTTAATATTAGAAACTAAAATTTTTAAACAATTAACTATAAAAAAAATCTAATAAAGTTTATCTTTACTAAAATTTTAAATGATACTTGATGTTTTATCAAATGATACTCGAAAAATATTTAACTTAAATATTATAAAGAGAGTTTTTTCACAATAAAAATAATTATTTAACCAAATTTTTAATGGCCTCTAAGAGTTTTTGAATTATTTGCTTAAAATTTAACTATTTAAGTGCCCTTTTTTTGTGAATAAATGATCTTTTTTTTATTAAATTTCACTTTTAATTTTACTGTCCTGAATTTCAGAGAAAAAAATAATACTCTCATTGTCACTATTTAAACAAATATAAAATAATTTATAATTAATTATATTCTTTTCAGAAATTTTTAATAGTATGATAAATCTAACTTATAAATATTAATTCAAATTTTTTATATTTGTTTTTATCAATAATTGACCATAATATACTATATTTATATAACTCAATCTATTTTTGCTAGAAACTTTCCTTATTATTTAAATAATTTTCATACAGTTAAAAGATAAAAACTTATTTAAAAAGTTTCTGGTTACAAATTTTATTGATAAGGTTGCAAATGTTGGTGTAATCTATAGATTAATAAAATTATTACAAAAACAGTGTATTTGTCCAAATAAATAAATAAATATAAAACATTGTAAATTTAAGATGTGTTTTTAAGGGTCATTTTTTCAATAATAAAAATAATAGCTTTAAATTTTAACCAATTTTAAAATATTATTGGCTTTAGATAAAATAGAGTATTATATAATGTTTTTGATTGATATACAGTTAAATGAACACATTTTGCTGTAAATAAAAAAAAAAAGCAGTTAAACAAAGTATATAATCTAAATTAATGATAAAAATATACTTCCTTCTTATTTTTAGATTTCAGAGTAATTAAAGTTTCACTGTAATTTTTATAATTTGATTAATAAATTGTTTGAAAACCTGTGCGTTTTTATTTTTGCTTTAAAAAATGGAAACTTTCCAATAAATATTTTTAAAAAAAGTTAACAAACTTTTATTATCTGCACTAAAATACTTTTCAAGAAAATTTATATGAGTATTAGAGATTTTTTGTAAAAAATAAAATATATTCTTGAGTTTATTGTTAAATAATTTCTACATTTCTAGTTAAGAACTTTAATAAGTTTAAAAATTTTTTTAATTTACAAAAGATTGTAAAATTTTTATGTAAGTCATATAATTATATTAATTCTTTTCCAAAAATTGGTATTTAGTTTTTCAACTTTGAGTATATTTTATAAAACCCAAATGATTATTGATTTAAGCTTTCATTAAATTGAAGACTGTTGTTACACTTTACTTAGAAGCTTAATACTGTATTTTTAGGTGAATTTTAATACTTCTTAGATTATAGATTTATGATTAATAGCTTGAGTTTCGCTCGATTATTGTATACATAATCAAGGTTATTCCAAAAACTATATATATATTAGTAAGCATAATAATTGATTTTAATAAATTCTTATAGAAAAGGTCGAGTACTTTCTAATTTAAATTATTTTGCCAGAATTCATTAAATAGTTAATAAGTAATTAAACTTTTTGATATATTTTCCACCTGTCTTTTTGGTGCTATCTTAAAAATTAATTTTTCGGGATGTAACAATCGACAACAAGGAAAAACTTTCTAAAATGCTATCTTCTTCTTGTTTTTAAAGCTGGGGAGCTTAGAATGTAAACAAAACGGTTGCAATATAAACTAGCTAGCTAGCTTCTAAATATTATTTTTATCACTCCAGATATAAATTATTTTTTATACTTAATTTTCATAAACTAAATATCAAAAATTTAAAAAGATAAAAAGCAATTCAAAAAATTAATCTTCTCATAGATTCTTCAAGTCTCTTACTAAAAGTTTGATAATCAAACAAATAATCACAAATCAATACTAAAACTTTTAGTTTTTAATTTCAAAATAATTTTTCTTTGCTCACTTAAATGAACGCCTTATCCTTTCCTTCTGTGTCCAGAGCACCAGAGCCAACATTTTCAACAAACTAATTAATAAATCCTTAGATTAACTATTAATAAATTCCTCTTTACTACAACTTGATGGTCCCTAACATGCAGTCAAGCTTTCAATAACAAATTATCATGCCTTAAAATTTAAATAGCATTCCAAACAATTCTTAATAATAACAATAAGGATTTTAGTAATAGTATTTTTCTCATATCTTAGAACAAAATGAATAAAAATAGTAATAGCAATTAAAAAAAGCCTAACTTATTAATAATTTACAACAAAAAATAAATTTAATGAGCTAAATTTTATAAATTTCTTCTGAAGAAATAATTTCTCTTATTTAGGATAACATTTGCATGTGTTGCAGAAATTCTCTCACAGATAAAAATTGTTTGGAGAGCAACTAAGAATCGATAGCTGAAAAAGAAAAATTATTTAATTTATCAAGTACATAAATCTCACAATAATCATTAAAGGAATTTCATTCTAATTAATCTATAACCCATTAATAATAAAACAACAAGAGTTAATTAGATAAATAGTCTGAAATTAATAGACATCAGGATACTCTTGTTATTTAATTTGATAAAAATCTAAATAAATTTAGAGACTCGATTACCTCTAAATCATAAAGAACAACCATTTCAAACGAAATTAATAATAAATGCTTTGAAGGACTTAATGGTTTTTAGTAAGAAAGCTATGACGAGCAAGAAAATGATACAGATTGTAGTAAAGAAGAGTCTAATTCCAAAATAACCCTTTAATAAAATATTAATCACATGATGAACTCCTAGGCTGAAAAAGCATCTAGTAATTCAACTCAGTCTTTCTATGCATAAATTAAAGTTGAAGCCAAGGAAGTCAGTCCACTATAAACTCAAGCCAGTACTCCTTAGGTTCAAGATATCATAAACCCTGAGAAAAAGTAAGCCTAGTACGCTTTGTTGAAAAAGGGTATCTAAAAGTAAAGTAAAGATGTTATTACTAACAAAAAGAAACTATATTTTTTGAATACATCTGAATAAAAAGTCGACGATCTAGACATGTAAAAATAACAATAATAATCAAATAACTTAATTTCCTCCACCTTATGCACATCCTTATAAATATAAAAACCACAATCATAAACTTCCTAAATATCTTTAAACTCAAACTAAACAATTTTCAAAATAAATGAAATGAATTAAAAATACTTAGCTCAAGTTGCTTTTGATGATGACGATGAGTAAAATAAGCAAAAAAAAGAGTACTAAAATGATAGTAACTACACCAAAAACCTTCTAAAAGGATTCAGAAGGGTAATTATTAAAAATTATGGATCTAACCTTGAATTCATTTCTGATTTCAAAAAATATTTTGACTCATTTTCTTTAAATAACGAATTTATTTTGAAGCTCTTCTCTGATTCACCTTATTCTGTTTACTTTTCTGAATTCCTTTAAACTGATCCCTCTTGGTGGATGAAAGAGGCTCGTATAAAAGATACTGACAACTAGCTCGAGTTCTTTGAAATTTGTAAGAGACGTTAATTTTCTTTAATCCGCACTAAGAGAAAAAAATTCATCCGCCCTAAATTAATTTGATCTAACTAAAATTAGTTAGTAATTTGCAAATATTAGCATGATCATTAAAATAGATTAAAATTTACTAAACCATTTCATATATAAATATTTATAAACTACCACAAAATGGTATAATAGAGTTATCATTCCAACTAAATTAATATAATAAAAAAAAATATCAATCAATATCTACTCTAAATATAAATATGATACATTTAATTTGTTACATTGTAAAAATATTGTATAAATAATTCATACTTTTATTTACTTATTTTACCACCAAAAATTAAAATATTATTCAAAAAGACACATTTATTCTATTTTTTAAGTAATCAGCAAAAACTGAGCAAACAAAAAAACAAACATGTTTCAAAAAACTGTAGGATAGAAAAATTAACTTTCGTTTTATTTTCATAAAAAATTTGCATGATTGTAAACAAGTAGAGTAATTTGTAAAATAAGTTGTAAAATTAAATAAACAATTATTGTAACTCAATACAGTTTACAATTTGTTTAAAAAACTTGGATTTTTTAAATAAACAAAAATAAATTTTTTTAATAAATAAAAAAATGTAATATTATTCTATTAAGTTTACATTTATTTTCTTGAAAAAATATTAGCAAATTTAATATAAAAAATAACAAAAGATTTCTGTATTTAATATGTTTTCACACTTATTATCTCATGATTGTGATTAAATTGTTTTTTATCTAGACAATTTATTTAAAGATGGTGAAAAAATTAAATCTATTAACTGCATATAAATAAATCCTTTTTAGTTTATTGAAAAACTCTAAATAATTAAATGAGGTAACTTTTTAATAGAAATTAATTTCTAATAACATTAAATTTTCCTTTGCTATTTAATATCTTCGAAGTTTTTAAATGTATTATTGGGTATAAATTTATAAATTGAATACTGAAATTTCTTCGAAAGATTCTTCATTTTTTGTTTAAAACTTTTATTGATTTATAATATTTTTTAAATTAGATACAAGCTGAAATATTTTATAACATAATCATATTCTAATAGCATTTTTATAAATTTCAATTGCTAAGTTACAAACTGAAAAATATAAAAATCAATCAATCTAATATAGATATTTTTACAGAATGATGCTTACAGATATAGAATATAGATAATTTGCTTAATATTATGTATTATTCGAGCAAAATTACACTTTTAAAAACATTTAATCTTCAGGTAAATATTATGAAATAATTACTAGAAGTATGAACTTTTTACCCAATTACAGATAATTCAAGCATTAAATATAAACAGAAATTTCATAATTTTGTAAAAGTATAATTTTGTTTATTAAAATGATCATAAATATAGTAATTTTTGCATTCAAGTTTGTCATTTTTTAATTATCAAATTTATGATTTATTCATTTCCATCTATGATTCAGTCAGTATAACTTTCAAAATTATTTATTAAGAAATAGTATCCTCTACCACAAATGTAAAAGAAAATTATTTATTTGATAAGATTAAAAAAATATTCTATAAACAAAAAGATTAAATTATATTCTTACATCATTCAGTAATTAGCACTTAGCAAAAAAATTTTAGCCTAAATTATTTAAATTTTCAATATTAAAAGTAAAATAAATGAGTTGATAATTATGATAGAAAATAAGATGAATGGATGAATGAAATAAAATTAAAAAATTATAGTTTCCTAATTATTATTCTGTATAATAAATTTTGTCGATTTTTAATAATGATATTTTCTATTGAAATAATTTGGAATAGTGTTAACTAATTTAAAAAAAGCATTTATCAAATTTTACACCTATTTTACTAATATCAGGTGTAAAAATAAATTCAAAATAAATTCACAAAATGAAAGTAGATTTTTATTATCTCAATGTAAAAATATGATGAATTAAATATTGATAACAATATAAAAAAGGTTTTTGTTTGTTTTATTTGTTTATAATGAGTGATTTTTGGATTATCTTTGAATAATGATAATTTATAACTCTTAGTTTCAAATGTTTAAAAATAAATGTGATTTATATAAATTTAAATGAATAAATTTTCATTTCATTTACTTAATGATAAAGTTTTATAAAATTAAAAATATATGAGCAATTTCTTCGTTTCAGATTATTCTGAGTAAAGTTAATATAAATAATCATAATTATTTATTGATTTATTAGCCTATTGAAAATTATACTCTTTCTAAAGATCATCATCTATATTGTTCATCAGTTGTATTTAAAAGTGATATTGCATAAAAGCATACAAAAAGTAAGTTATTATTTGCTTTAACTGTTAAAAACCACTATGTTTAAAAGAAATAAACCAATCAATTTGAAATTACCACAGCCATTATTATGGTATTTTATTTATGATAATGAAATTAATTGATGATAACATTTCATAAAATATTGAGCTATTAGTATATTATAATTTCCAACACCTAAAAACTGATTATGATAACCAATTAGTTTTACACACATACAACCTTAAAATATACCTATAAAATTTTGAAAGTAGTTTTTGAATTATTTAAAAAATGAATTAAGATTCTTACTTTAATATAAAACAAAAAGTCTATTGCTTTATAGATTAAAAATTTTAGTTTAAATATTACTTATTATTATTTGAATAAACGTTTTAATATTTACAAAAATTGTTTATTGTTTAAAAATTTTTTTAAATTTATGATAGAGAAATTTCCTATTTAAACATTCAAATTTTTCTTTCAATCCAAGTTTTCTTAGTTTTTTAAAAATTTTTTTTATTTTTTCATAATTTTAGAATAAGACTTTAATTGCTGCAGAATGCTCTCTAATTCTTTTTCTTTTTTTAAGCAATAACAATTAAATATATTTCTTAAGTTAAATTACAAATTTACGTTCTTTTTTTGGGATATCTAACTATAATGCTTCTCTGGATGACTTCCTTTTTTGAATTTTATTTATATTTGAAAAATTAGCTAGGTGATTAATCCTATATTGTTTATTTATGATTTATGCTGGTGATTTAGACTATTATTTTACTGGCTTCTAAGACTTATTTACCAAGTCTTTTTCTTCCATTTCAAGCAAATACCATTCATTCATTTTACTTATAAGATCTTGATTTTCTTTCTATTCTTATTCAAAATGCTTATCTAATTGCTTCAGCTATTTAAGTACAGGAGAGCTTTATTCTAGTTTTTTTATTATAGAGTAATCGCTAATTGGTTGATATTAATTTGGACTTTAATTAAATGTTTTGCTTGGTTTTTTAATTGGAGTATAATTCCTTTAATTTGAATACTCTTACTTATGATATTATTAATAAGCTGAAGACTATTCTCTTCTTGATTATAAACTAATTATTTTATGGATTAATTAATTAATTCTTTCTAATTATTTGTTAAAATTTACATATTAAAATTTGCTACTATTGATGATTTGTTGGTTTCAGGAATTTCAAATGAAATTTTTTATGGAGATGATACAAGCTAAGAAGCTAGTTCCCTTTACTATCTATTTCTTAGTTAAATATTATTTAATTTATCAAGGTTCTGTTATCTCTAAAACTCTATTCTATTTTAATTAATTGATTAGCGCTTTGGCTGATCTTTGAAAATATATGATTTTTCATCTTAACTGCTAGTTTAGATAGCTTTTAGTGAATCTGTTGCTGAAATTTCTATTATTGGATTGTTTATCAAAGATCTTTATTTGAGATGAGATAATTAAGGTGATTTATATTCTATTTTATTCAAATTTGAATTTTTTTCCAAAATAGAAGTGGTGATTGGTTTTCGTTGGTTTGGTTTTAATTCAATCTCACTAAAGTCATTAATAATTTTCATAATGCTTCCTTATTTTTTTTCTTCAAATTATGAATAATTAATAGTTTCACTAGAGTCATCATTAAATTATTATTCTTATTAGTTAAAATTCATTTTATTATTATTATTAAACTCATAATTTTTTTTTTCTTCTAGCTCTTCAATATTCTAGGAATTCCTTTCCAACTATCTTTGTTTAAGTTAATTAATCTTTATCTATTAAAGACTATCTATACTGTTTCGATATTATTCTTATAATATTAAATAATTTTAATTATTTTAGTTTATAAAAGGAGATGCGATTTAAGATTTTGATTTTATAGGATTTATAGATTTTAAATTCATTTAAGGTGCACTTTAGTTGTTATCATAAAAAGAGACTTACCTTGTTTTTGGTTTTTTAGTACTTATTGGTTAGGGTTCTTCATCATTATAATATTCTTTGAAATATTAATAATTATCAAAAGATTTTTAATGATTTCGATGAGGAATGTATTAGGATACTTACTCTTCAAACTAAGTGTTTTTAACAATTAACTTTTCTTTTTAATCAATTGGTTAATATTAATTGCGTGGTTAGACGGATTTATTCCTTTTATATCTCTACTCATTTTGTAGTGAATTGTAATATCTATTATCCTTTAGCTAGGGTAAATGAAAATCTGTTTCGTCATTAGATTCTTTTTCTTCATCTAAAAACCTATTTTCATTTATTTGTAAACTATGTTTACTTAAATTAATATGCATAATTTATGTATCAGATACTTTTTTTTAAGGTTGTAGCTAATTTTACTCTTCTTTCTACTGTTATTTTATATTCTCCCATAATACCCTTCTTCATTTGAATACTCCTCCTCATCATTTGAATCCATTTACGTTTAGCATTTTCTTTAATTCCTAACGTTTGTTTAATCATAATAATCATTACTAACAGGAAATATAATTATTTGATTAAAATAAAAATGAAAAAAACTCACTTTTCAACTTAGCTATAATCTATACTTGAATAGTCTATTGATATCAATTTTATAAAAATATTATAAAAATTTAATAGTCTTATTTAATTATTTTACTTTACATTATATTCTGAGCATAGAGCTGCTTTAACATAATTATGATAATTAACTTTTTTAATTACCTTATTTACCATGTAATATATATATTGATATTTTATCATCATCTGTTAATAAAACTTGATTAATTAACACTTATCAATCTCTTTTAACAATATTATATATTTATTTAGCTTTACACAAGCAAGATATTCACTGTAAATCCTAAAAGTAACCTAAATACTTCAAGTTTGAAATTAATTTTTTTTTCTTCTTTTTATTATTCATATTTTAATAAATTAAAATATTTTTTTATTCAAATAAAAAATGATCATCCTAAAAAAATATATTACCGTTAATTTTTTTTTTAATTTGTTTTTTAGATCTCTAATTTTATCTAATTTATTTGATTAATAAACTATCTTATTCATTCTTTAAAAATTAATTTTAAAATGAAAGTATTTAAATTCAACAAATATCTTAAAAAATGTTAATCAAAAATATTAGCTATAATTAATACTTTAGTTTTCCAAAATATGATTGACTGGACTAACAATACTTGCTTCTTAAGAAAGAAATCTTTTACTTATAACTTAAATTCAGATTTAAATACTACTATTAATTATTTATCAATTAATTATCGTTTAATTTTTGTTTGCTTTAAACAATTTCTCATTAAAATACAATTTTTTATTTCAAATATTAATTCTTCAAAATTTTCTTAAACGAATCAAAAAAATTTTTTTACACTGATTTATAAATCTTAAAATAATAGTGATTATCATAAAAAAAACTAAAAAAAAATAGGATAGGAAAAATATTGCTTTTTGTTTGCATATAAATATAAAATTTTAAAGCTGGAAATTACAAAAGCTAGAATTTAGGTTAAAAGTTAAGGTGAATGAGTTAAGTAGAGGAATTTTAGTTTCTAAATGGTGGTAATTTGTTGTGTTTTTATAAAATAGTTGGCTTAATTTTTCTATTTACAAACTGATTATTATATTAGTAAGTCTTAAGTTTTAATCATATTTCAAAATCAAACAATTAGAAAAAATCATTTTCTGCTATGATGGAAAAGAAGAAGCTGTAGAATTAAAAAGCTTATCAGAATCAGGATTAATAAGAGAAATTCTCATATAGCATCCCCCAATCTCTCCATAAAATGTATTTATTATTTATTTAATATGAGTAAAGCATAATTATTAACTAAAACAAGCCATTAACAGTAACACTTCCAAAATGGGTAAGTCAAGAAGTCTTTAGCGTATTCAACGACTACATCAGAAAAAAAAATTTAAATTCATGGGGTGATCGTTCTATATAATTGACTGACTAGACACTGTAGAGATTGTTGTGGTAATCAAATTTAGAATTTTAACCTAAAAGTTTAAATTGAAATTAAACTGAAACAATAATTATTATAAATGATTAGATAGATAGATACTTAACTAATAATATGCTTATTGCATGATATAAAATATTAAAAATAAATCTATTTTATGAAAAAGGATGGGCGATTACTTTTAAATAGATGACTTCTAGTACAAATGCATAACAGATGTGTTAATTCCAAGGATCAGAGTGAATAATTGTTTGCTCTTCTTAAACGAAGCGTTTAAGAAATTAAAAGCATGTGAAGATAGCTGCGATATATGGTACATGCTACTAAATACAGGAATGAACTTTACAGCCAAAAATCTTATTCATATATTCAAAAATAACCCTTAGGAACTAAATAAAATAAATAATAAAATTATGGAAGAAATAATAGAGAGATCACTTAAGTATTTCAAAAAAAAGCAAAATTTTGATTATAAAGATATGGTCGATGTGATCCTCTATATACGTAATGTTTAGGATTGCTTTGAGTTACTTTTTGTTTAGAGAAAGAATATAATAAATAGGCGCATTAATTGTAAATATTTTTTTACTTTTTATAAATTTAACTGATTTTTATTTTTTAAGATTAAAATCACCCTAGCATAAGCTGGAAGCTTTCTAATATAAGTTCAATAATTAATAAAGAAACAAATCCTTTTAAATTCAATGAATACTAATGGAAGTTAGTTGCAAAAATGGAGGATGATAAAATTACTGGAAAAATTTTAAGAATTTATTTAAAATTAGAATCAAGTATTTAGAGCAGCTCGGCTAATAGTCAATCAGGATAAAACGGATCTAAATCTCGACAAAAAGCAGTAGAAGCAGAATCTGCAAGTGCAGCTGCCAGTAGCGATAATGATCCTTCGAAAGATCCTTTCAAGAAAATTATAGCTATTTACTTTTTACTAAAATTAAATGATAAAGAATACTCTACAAGCTTCAATATTAAGCACATAATTATAGAAAGAGCACCTTAAATTTTGTTGTGTGAGTTTGAAGGCTAGTAGCTAAAATCATTTGAAAACAAGAAGTTAGAATTCACTGTTTATTTGAACACTGATTACATTTATTCACTCTTGTTAAATTATATTGCAAAATCAATTGAATCATTTACAAGTAACCCTAATTTTAACATGATGTCAGAGGACGACATAGTCGCTATAGTAAAATCTCTACCTTTTACTCCAACTCATTAAGAAAGAGCTTTCCAGATAGCCTAAGTAATAGGTAGATAATAAAAATTTATAAAACTGAAATATATTGAAATATATATTTTTAATTAAAACAAGTATCTTAGTAAAATAATCCCATCACTAACGTTGTAGAGCTTTTCAAAGCGATAGATTATAATTCGATTTCTCTTTAAAGCTTAAACAACTTTTAAAATTAGAAGAAATTTAGAATTACACCAGAGCTAAAAAAATTTATGGATGGAGAATTAAACAAAAAAGTTAATGGAGGTTCTTCAAGTAAACAACAGATATCTTCTTCTTCTAATATTAACCTTGACAGTAAGAATTTCATTATTAGAATTATTAATATCATTTAATAAATTTTTTTTAGCAACAAGCTTGAGAGATTAAAGCAATGCCGAAGTTTTCTAGAATCCAAACGCATTCGAAATCCAAAAAAGAGACACAGAAGGACCAGCTGATTCTGACGGTTTTACTTTCAACAGACCAGAAAATGTAAATAAAGAAAAATAAACATTTTAATATAAAATATTAAAATATAAAAAGAATTTCAGACAATATATGCAGAGAAACGACTCTTAAGATATTCGTAAAAAAACTTTAAGCCAAGATTAATTTGGAATAAGAAGAAATATTAGTGAAGACTAAAACTCAAACTTGTACAACTTTTCATAAACTCCATCAGGCTTTGGGTTTGGATAAGAAAGGTCAGGTTCTTAATAAGACATGCCAATAAATAAACTTGATAAACTAAAGAAAACTCCTTCAACAAATAATTGTAATCTTTAAATAGAATAGAAATTAAAAATTAAATCATTTTTTAAATTTCAAAAGCTATCCCTGAAAGTCTAGGATCTCCTTTCCCACCTACATACACGATGGGTTCTGATAATAAATCAATGTCTTAATTATGTAAAAAACTTTAAAGGATTATAAAAAACTTTTAATTTTTATCTCTTTCTTAGAAAATAGCAATTTCAACAGTAGCCAAAAAATGCAATTATTAGGATCTCCAAGTGTGAATGTTTAAAATAATAAAATAGGCCCCTTTATTCAACCAAATCTGCAAAATTAAAGTTAGATAAGTTAATAGAACAATTCCATGAATTTCATAAAAAGCCCCCAACAACAATCTGTGTAAGCTAACTCTCATGGATCTCCTTAAATGTAGTAATTAATAGGATCATAGAATATCTTAGGTGGATCAGCATTTAAATAAAATTAAATTCAACCTCCACATAGACCATCATCTTCATAATAGTAATCATAAGATCAAAACCCTTAAAATTTTGAAAAAGAAAGTAGAAAAAGATAGCTATTTAATGAGTTAGATTTAAAGAAATATGTTCTCAATTAAAATTTACTAAATGAACTTTAAGATATTTCTATTTTTTGAGGTAATAGCAACTATTTTATTCAAAATAAATAAACAAATAAATTAAATTAATTAAATTAATAAATGCATTTATTACAAAATTAAATATGATATAAAGCTATATTTTATTAAATTACATTTTACTTTATGTTATTCATTCCCTTAAATAGGCAAACTTTTTTTTGTTTATCAGTTAAATTTAAATTTATAAATTAAATTAATTTATGATATTCTAATTTACCAAAAATTTATTTTAACAATTGTTAAATCCATCAAAATATTATTCATTTTTTGTATTGGAAACTACAACTCTGCAAAAGTTTTTAATATCATATTATAATGGAGTGCATAGGAAAACGCAAAAATAATTATTTCTTTTATTAGAAGGTAACAAATAAAAATATTAAAATTTTTAAAAAAATTTTAATAATTTAAATAAAATATCTCCTAATCTAAGATATTATTGAATAATATATTACCCCCTACTTTTCTTAAATAAGAGATTTAACAGTATTAATTGTTAATATATTATAAAATATTAATTTTATATAAATTTATTGAAAAATAAATTTGACCTCTTGAAATAATTATTTTTATTAATTTAAGTTAATTTCCAAAAAATATTTTAAGCTTTTATTTTTTAAAGTAATATTTCAGAGAAAAATTATACAAATTACAAATTTTTAAATAATTATCTAAAATCAATTTAAACAAACTAAAAATGATGTTCTCATTCTTTTGAGTTCAAACATATTATACTTCAGATGAATTTATTTATGCTTTAATTTTAGATTTATTTATTTGCAAAAGATGCTTTAAGAGTTAGCTATAATTAGAAAGGAATTTTATTTTTAAGTTTATCTTACTCAAAAATTTTAATTTTTATAATTAGAGTAAAAACTAAATAAATAGATTTATTTATTTAACTTAAAAATAATCTACTTATTATAGATTGAAATTATTTATAAAAATGAGTTCATCAATCAAATTTAACTAAATTTATTGTAAATATATGTTTGATTGATATTAGCAGTGAGTGAGTATCTTAAGAAATTTATAGCCTTTCATAAAAATAAATTTTTTTAATTTATTCTGTTAATAAGCAAATAAATATAATTAATTCAAGCAAGTATTTTAATTTTAAACTTTCAAAATAAAAACAACATTTAGATTATTTTTATGAAACAAAAAATTATTTATTTGATGGCAAACAAATTTTATTAATTTACTTATTTATTTTGATTGATTAATTAATTAATTCATTTTTGTTTAAGATATATGTGATTCAGTCATTTTTTTTTTCATATTATAAGAAAAGACTTAATTTGAATCTTCAAAACAATTTATTTGAAAAAATATAAACAAATCTTTGTAGCAATAAATAAAATATAATTACTTTAGTATTTAAATAATAATAACTAAAGCTTATTAGCAATCTAGCTCGATTCATTCTCAAAAGCAATATACAACTTTAAAACTAAATTTAACACTTTAAAAGTAATGTCAACCTATAAAAGTTAGGGATTTGGTTAACAACCATTTATAATTTAATAGACCGAATTATAAAAAAAAGGGAATTAAATTATAGACTAGCGCGAGTATAATTACAATGGTTTCATATAAACAAGCGAGGGATAAGAAAATAATCAAATTAAAAGGAGTGCTCCTCCATAGTCATTTGCCAAGTAAGATACATTTTAGCCTTCCAGCTCAGCTTATTAACCAGGAGTCGCTAATATTAGTTAATCCTAAACTCCTTTTTAAGTTCAATCTTAATTCTAGAGTGCCGTATTGAATAAAACTACAGCGTAAAATTAGTTAGCATAAAACAATCCTGCTCCTTTGGCCAATTAAATGATAAATCAGTCTTAGTAAGTAGGATATAAACCTTCAAACATGAGTTAATACTAGAATTAAGCTTATTAAGATAATTAAATAGGAAATAGCTAATACAGAGTTATTTAATAGAGAGATCTTAATTCATAATATAGACCTTAATCAGCTAGTAATTAAGGTATAGGCTAACAAGCTCGTTTAGATAGTAACATTCCCTACGAGAGATAATCTAATCAATATGGTTAAAATCCTGTCATTGCAAACCAAAGCATAGTTCAAACTGCTAATGAAGGTATATATTCTCAAAGAAATAATAATGTATAGTTTAGCAGTAATAACTTGTAAATAGAAAATTTAACTGCTAGAGTACCAGCTGCCCCTTCAGAAATAAAAAAGAATTAAATTATAAACCAATAAGAATATATAGAAAATAATAACCCAAAAAGTAATGATTATCACAAGCAAGGAAGTAAATTTCCTCCTTCATAATCTTATTATAATTCTGCGTTACTTCAAGAAATTAAACCTGCTGATTTCAATGAATTTAATGTTGAAGAGTAATAGAGTCTTTTTCATTAATATGCATAATTCTTTTTTGCTTGCGGATACCAGCTCGATTCGTAGATTGGAGATGAGCAAACTTTATAAATTTTGAATATGGTAATTAATCATCGTTTGATTTTATAATTATAAAAAATTTCAAATTATAAATTTTTCACTGAACATAAATAAATAAATAAATATTTATTTATCAAATTAAATTTTATTGATAAAAATTTATTCTTTTTGATTAAACGCATTGAATTATTTGCCAATAACTTATTTTTGCATCAAACATTTTTATTTTAACAAAATCAATCAAGCCTTCAAACTAATTTGACTTAGAAGTACTACAACAAATTAAAGATGAAGCTAATGTATAGGATAATTACACTGTCAGATAGTTCTTAGACGTTTATATTAAAGCAATCAGTGTTTTAGAAAATAGAATGGATCAATAAGAAAAAATGATTTAATTAGCAAAGGATAAATTAAATGAACTCATATAACTTTAGGAATAAGCTAGAATAAATGAGTAAACTAACCATAATCAATAATCAACTCTTTACATAGAAATACAAAAAGCAAAAGGGCTTGATAGGTAATCTTAGTACATTACCCGTATTTAATTCGACATAAACCAATACACAGAAACTAGAAGAAGCAACTTTTCATCTGACCCTGTGTTTGATGAGGAATTCAAATTGTAAATAATTTACATTTTAACTTATTATTAATCTGATTTTAATTTAAAGAAAAATTAACAACCCTAACTCTATCTTGACTTTCTCACTTGTTGATGCAGCCACAGGAAAAGTAGTTGGATATGTTACTTAAAAATTGAAATAATTCTTCCACCAAAAGAAGATTGATGAATGGTATATTTTAGAAGACTAAGGAGGTGCATTAGGTGATATCACCAAACAAATTAGTATAGCTATTTAATGGGTTCACTCAGAGAGATTATATTATGAAAATATTTTAAGAGAAAACGATTATTTCGAACCAATTATCAAAGATCAAGAGGAAAAGCTTAATGATACTATTGAGTTATTAAAAATATTAAGGTAGCCCTTCGAAAGAGATATTGAAGCATTTAGGTTAGAATAAGAAGATCTCTAGTAAGAGAAGAAAAAGAAATCAAAAAAAAGATCTAAACCAGAAGTGCCTGGAGAGTAACATGTTGAGGAAGAAGGCAACTGTTGGACAAGCTGTATGGCAATATTTGAATCAGATGAAGAACCTAAAAAGGCATCCCTTAAAGAAATAAAAACCTAAGATCATGGATTAGTGGCATTTGAAAATTAATAATAGGATTTAAATGTTAAATAAAAAGAGTAATAATCAGATTTAGATGAGGCTATAGATTTTAAAAACAAGCTTGTATATATTTATATCATTTTATCTGCCGCAGTCTGCTTCTTCAAACCCAATTTTATTGATGTAAATATTTTAAATTTCAATTTAATATTTTTAAATTATTTATTAAATAACAAATAAATATTTTTAGGTTTGTATTTCTTTAATACTTCAATCAGATATCTTCAAGTTAAATCCCCAAAATTGCAATAGATTATCCATAGTATTACTTTTATCTCTATTTTTCGATATCCTATGGATGGCTTTATTTACTTCTAGTTGGTTTAATTATATGCCATCTAGTGGTTTTAACATGATTTTATTCTTAATTCTGGAGATAACTATGGCAATAGTAAAAGTAATTATTACTTTAGTATTATAGAAAATTAAATTGGAATAGACTTAGAATTAGTTAAATTTATAACAACCTAACCCATATCCTATGAATAATAATAATAATTATAATAATAATAACCATTAAAATTATAATTATGCAGCAGCTCTTTGATAAGCTGTATTATAGTAAATATATTATTTGGGATGGTATTTCTTTCACGGATAACAAAATATCATCTTTTTTATTTATTTTGAAAATGAATAATTTTTAATTACTATGGTGTATATTGTAAATAAATATTTTTTATAACATATTTTTGAAACTAATTAAAAAAATAAACTAACTCAATGTGAAACTAAGCAATTTCTGTATTTTTAACCTACTTTCTAATTTTTTAATAATTAAAAACTTAAATTATTTTTTGAATTTATTTGATATTCCTTCATTTTACAAATATTAGTTCATAAATAAAAAGGAAAAAAAAAAATTTAAAAAGCCTCTAAGCACTTATTTTATTTACTATTAAGAAACTATAAAAGCTTTAGAGTTATATTAATGATAGAATATTGGCATGCAATTTATTTTAATAAATATCTATCTATCTTTTTAGGAGAAATACATTTTATTTTTGATAAAAGTAATATTTCTTTCTAATGAGTTTTTTTTCAATAGAATTAATTATTTCTTAGAGTAGATAAGCTTTTTAAGAATGTAAAAATTCAAAAAGACAAGAAACGATAAGAAATTTTCTAATTAATAATAGATAGATATATATTTGATTAAAAATAGTAATAATAGATAGTTATTCTTTTTAATATTTTTAAATTAAAATTATTATATTGAATTTATTTCATATTTACTGCTTTACAATATTTATTATTTAAACTAAAAAAAAAGTAGTAAAATTTTAATATTGCTACTAAGCATTTGTTTCATTTATTTATATGTAGAAATTATTAAAAGCTTTAGAGTAATATTAATAATACTTTTATATTACATAATAAATAAAATTTTATCATTTATACACATGAAAAGTTTATAGATAATATTATTGACATTTAACTTATTGAAATACAAATCTATTTGTCTTATAGGAGAAATATATTTTATTTTTGATAAAAGTAAGATTTCTTATTGATTATACGCTTTTGTAGGAATTAATTAGTTTTTAGAATAGAAAAGGTTTTTTAAAATGTGAAAATTGAAGAAGATAAGAAACGATAAGAAATTTTCTAATTTGTGTTAAAATTTTGTAATAATAATAATAATAATAGATAATTATTCTTTAAATTTGAGAAACAACAACGAGTATTTTATAAAATTAATTGTATCTTAAAATAAACTTATTAATAAAAATGGAATCTGAATTTGTAAAACCTATTTCTCACTAGCTCACTGTTAAGGAATCTATCAAAGATAATAAATTAAGAATTTCCTTAATTCCTCCTGCTTCTATTAAAAGAAGGACTAACTCGAATATTTGCTGTGTTGTTGATGTTTCTGGTTCTATGGGAACTGAAGCAAATTCAAATAGCTCTGTGTCTTCATCTGAAAATTACTGTCTCAGTATTTTAGATATCGTTTAACATGCTCTTAAAATGATTGTAAACACTTTAACGCCTGATGATGATTTATCTCTTGTAGTGTTTAGTTCTATGGCTATAGAAGTTTTTGATACACTAAGGATGGATGATGCAAACAAGATATTAGCTATTGATAAAATCGAAAAGCTAGAAGCAAGTGGTAGTACTAATCTCTAGCATGGTATATAAGTTGGATTAAATATTCTATCAAAAAGTAAATCCTAAAATAGAAATTAAGCCATGTATGTCTTAACAGACGGATAACCTGATGATAGAAATGTAATGTAATTTTTAAAGAAATACAAGAAAGATAACCCTTAACTTAGATGCACAATAAGCACTTTTGGCTTTGGAAGTAGCTGTGATAGTGAACTTCTTGATGAAATAGCTAGAGAATATAATGGAATGTATTCATTTATTCCTGATGCAACCTTAATTGCAACAGCTTTTGCTAACGCCTTAGCAAATACACTTACTGTCTTTGCCAACTATGTCTAATTAAGAGTAAAATCTCTTAACTCTTTTAAGTTTAATGTCCCTCCTTAACAGCCAATTTCTTCAAAATCAATATCAAAATAATAGGATGTAATAATCTATGGAGGAGTAGTTAACATCCAATAAAATAGAGATTATATTCTTGATATTTTAGAAATGCCTTAAGATGAAAATCTACCATACGCTCAAGTAGAAGTTATTTATTAAGAAAGCTTTAGAAGCGATAAGTAAAAGAATGAAAAAATTGAAGACAAAATAGTTATGGCAACTTTAAATTCTAGAGAATATGAATAAGACTTTGATAATCACATTTACAGGTATAAAGTGATAAGTGCAATCGATGAAAGTATTAAGTCTTACAAAAAAAACTAATAGAGTAGTGATATAAAAAATAGACTAATGAATCTAATAGAAAAAATGGAAGAGATTCATGATTAAAATGATAGGCATTTTGATGGTATCTATAAAGATTTAGTAAGAACAGTCAGCGAAGCTTTTAAGGATGCCAAAACATTTACTAGTTGGGGTGAGCATTATTTAACATCTCTGTTGAGAGCCCATTTAATTTAATAATGCAATACTTTTAAAGACCCAGGTGTTTAACATTACGGTAAAGATACCTTCAAAGAAATAAGAGCAGTTGCTGATGAAACCTTTGTGAAAATGCCTCCTCCTAAACCATATTCTAGAGCAAATTATTACGATTAAATTTAATAGGCGAGCTAAACTGTCTAAGTATCTTAATAATCGAATTAAAGTTCTTCATCTTATAGTAGTGCTTATAACATGAATGACTATCATAATTATAGCTCTGGAGGTTGCATGCATGGTGATTCACTAGTATAGCTTTCTGATTCATCCTTTAAAATGGTAAAAGAAGTTAAAAAAGGAGATAAAGTTATTTGTCCTTTACTTGAAAACTAGTGTGTTGAAGTCGAATGCGTTGTATTATCTAAATGTGAAGACGGAACAAAAGAATTTGTATAGCTAGGTACTGATCTATGGATTACTCCAAAGCATCCTATTAGAGTTAATGGAGAATGGAAATATCCAAAAGAGTTAGGTCAAACTGTAGTAAAGACATCAGATTACATTTACTAGTTTGTACTTAAAACCGGTCATACTATGAATATTGGTGGTTATGAATGTATATGTTTGGGTCATAACTTTTAAGAAAGAGTTGCTTATCATCCTTATCTTGGCTCTTAGGCAGTAGTTGAAGATTTAAAATAAATGAAAGGTTGGAAAGAAGGCAAAGTCATCATTAGATCTAGAGTAAGAGATTAGATTACTAATCAAGTTAAAGCTTTTATACAGTGATTAAAAATTAAATAAAATACTATCAAATAAAGAAAATAAAAACCAAATGACAATAAAGTAATTATGAATTGATTAAAGGTATATTCATTTAATTATAGACAGCTTGAAGAATATTAATAGAATATATTTATATATATATATATAAATTTTTTATTAAAATATTAATTTTTTTGTATAAATTGATGTTATTTTTGTTAGCAGTATTTCTTAATTTTTTCTTTTATAAATTATTTTTATATTGAATTATTAGCATTTAATCTATTTCAAAATCTGCGAAAATTTTTTTTTTTCATTAAAAAAATGAAAAGTATTTAATTTACTAATATGTATTCATATTAAAGTTCATTTCAATAAAAAAGTTAATTTTTTATTTAAAGCTTCTATTTTTTGTTTTACTTAAGCTTTTTTTTCTAATCTGTGATTTTGCAAAATATCACAAAGTCTTTCAAAGGAAAAAATAATTTGAAATTAATTTAAAAATTAAGAAATAGAGGAAAAAAAATCTGAAAAAGAAAACTCTATTAAAAAAGCAATCAAATAAATGATGTTTGCTAAAGGTTAATCTCGTTCTAGGATCGACTTCGGCTTAGTTTTTAAATCCATAAATGGAACTACTATACAGACATGATAATTTTGCCAAGTTATCCCGAAAGTTTTTAAAGTTACCAAATAAGATTTTTAGAATGAGAACGCTTTTACAAGATCAATATTTTATTTTTCTTAGAAATAATATTAGATGAGAAGATTATTCAGACAAATCTCTCAATCTATTTAAGTTTTTAAAACCTCCCTTGTAAAATATAGTTAAAAATGTGCACCTCATCCCTACAGCCATTTCTTAACTTATTTTATAGCCAATCCACTAGTTTTTATGAGCATATAAATAAAAATAATGCAACTAATTTTTAAAAAATCTAAGAAAAATAAAATACTTTAAAAGAAACGCAAATGGGACCCTCAAAATGTCAAAACAAATATAAATAAATTCTCTCTCCAAATTTTAATTTTTTAAATATATAAAAAGTATTTTTTAAAAACAGATAGGCAATAAAAATGAGCTTTAGAAAATTAGAAAAAGAGATTGAGAAAAAATAATAAATTAAAATACAAATTTAAAATTAAAATTAATTGAATATTGAAAAATAAAAGAAAAAAATTAGAACATAGAGAAAAAATTAATAGAACAAATTAATAAAATAAAAAATAAAAAATCAAACAAACAAACAAATATATTAAATAATTTAAAATAAATAATTAAAATAATATAAAAGTTAAATAAAATTAAATAAAAATAATAAATAATAAATAAATAAAAAATTCATGAAACTTATAAGCGCTTGTAAGCTATATTTTTTAATAGATTTATTTCAATAAATATTTATACTTTTAATAAAAGCATTGACATTATCTTGAAAAAATCTGCTTTATTTTTAAAATTTGTTTTATATTCATATTTAATTTTTTTTGGAGCAAATTACTTTTGCAATAAATAATTCAAACATTTTTAGAAAAAATATATATAATATTTATTAAAAAAATAGACAATTTATTTCATAAAAATTAAGCAAATTTATGCAAAAAAAAGAGGAATCTAGGCTATTAATTTGATTTATATAATATGTATTTTTATAAAAAGATAAATATCTTTCTTATTTTTGAAAATTTCAATCTACACTTTTTATATTAAAGCTAAACATCTATTTAATGATCAGTTTAGAGTTTTTAGTTTTTAAATTTTCTAAAAATTAATATTATCTAATATTCTGTTAAGAGTTAACTGCTTTTCTCTCGATTATTATTATATTATTTAATTGAAATCAAATTTTCAATAAAAATATTAAAAATGATGTGAGCTACTCACTCAAGATTTTATTTTAAAAAGGTATTTATTGAATATTATATTTGAATATTCTAAAAAAGAGTTTAAAATACTGTAATTTATCAAATATATAATTTATATAAAGATAAATATTTTAATTTTTGTTTTTATAATAGGGTTAATCTTTTTTTGTTTAATTTTTGTTAAAATATAACTTTAATAAAAAAGAATTTACAATAGTATTATTTATATCAACCAATATTTCTTTCACTATTATAATCTAAGTTTATAACTAACTTTCTGTATTATAATTTTTAAGTATAAAATTAAGCTCTTGATTAAAATTCCGAAGTGAGAACAAAAAAAATTAAAATATGTATTATTAAGCCCGTGTAGCTCAGTTGGTTAGAGCGCGAGTCTCATAATCTCGAGGCCGAGGGTTCGATCCCCTCCGCAGGCATTTTTCTTATTTAATATCTTAAACTTAATTTGAATATAATATTGCAAATTACTTTATAAAGTTTATCAATTCAGCCCGTGTAGCTCAGTTGGTTAGAGCGCGAGTCTCATAATCTCGAGGCCGAGGGTTCGATCCCCTCCGCAGGCATTTTTTTTTTTCATAAAATATATAAGTATGAAAAAATAAAATATATTGAAAAGAAAAAGGAAATATTTAATTTAATATAAAAAATAATAACAAACATTAAAAAGAAAACAATTTTGATTATAATAAATTTAATGTATTTTATTTCAGTCAAGGATATAGTTCATGTTAAATTTAATTATATATGCCCTTAGCCTAGTAATAAATCTTTAATCTACAAAGAGAGTATGCTATGGAATAAGGAATAACGTGTTTCTATGGACAATATCTATTTCTTCCATTTTATATTTGATATGGAAAATGAAAAAAATATTATAGATGAGAGTGAAAACTATAAAGAGCGATGATGTTATATAAATGATTTATATAACCATGTTTGAATCGTCTTTCAAGAAGGATTTTAGCGAGTCTTGTAAATTTTTTATTTCTTCATCTACCACTAATAAACCTTCAATAGAACCACTAGTTATATAGTCTTAATCAAGCTAAAAATTTAAATATTGCAAGCTTCTAAAAATATTCTCATAATACATCAGTGATGGAAGTAAGCCATTTGTTAAAGCAGATTTAATCAATAGAGGGCATAAATTAGTTTGGAAATATTGTGATTAAGGACTAAATATGTTATAAGATATTTAACACAAATTCTATTAATTAATCTATTCAATTTTTTTTATAAAATTTGAAGGCAAATTTGAATTATTCAACACAGAAACTACCTGCTTATTTGTGATGCTTTATACCATTCCGAACATATTTTAAAAGATTAAAACGTACTAAGAATTCTTTTTGAATTATTTTTTTAAATTAAAAAAATTAAAAATGAAAAAATTTTACTTAATAGTTTTAACTTAAATAAAACCATAGAAGATTCAACTATGGCATTAAATATTGAAAGTCTCCATAATCATTTAGTGTACTGATATTGTTCTTGAAATCTACCAAAAAGTTACTGAAATAAATATAAATAATTAATCCAAACGAGATAAACAAAAATAGACTAATTATTTGGAGGGTTATCAACATAATTTTAGAAATTTCCTTGTTTTAAAGCTCAATGTTAACTCTTTGATTAGTTTTTCTAATTTATCTATTATTAAAATTAATTATTTAAATAATAAAATAAGTTAATTCAATAAATTAAGCTTTTTTACCTGTAGATTGAGTTCATTTTTTTATTTTAAATTAAACTATTTTCTTTGAATTATAAATCGAATTCGTAACTGTACATAAGCTCTTAAGATTTAATTAGTGTTTCAGATATGAAGGAGAGTTTTTGCAGCTCATTTTAAATAAGTGCCCTGTCTGTACTTTCAAAAAGCTCAATTTAACATGCCTGCTGTCTTGAAAAACTTTGGAAGAAAAATATTTAGCTGACTATAAAAAGACAAAGTATGATTGAAAAGCAAAGAAAAACAATAATTGTTGCAGTGTTGCTATCTACAATTGAGTTTTTGACACTTTAGATAATATCTAAATTAACTTGTTAGAGAATATCAAAAATCTTTTGCAAATTTTAAATATAGAAGTTGTAAGAATAAGATTTTAGGGCTTAAGAAATATTTGAGGTTAAACTTAAATTTTAAATGTTCCTCATCATTGTCATAATTATCTAATTTTATTAATTATTAAAAATAAATCACTATTTATTTAAATGGACAAGACTATAAAAATATGAAAATTTTTTTGTTAAACAAAATCTGAATTTTACCTAATTTACTGATAAGTTATCTTAGTGAGTAGGAGATGTGTAAAGTAATACATAATATTTTGATATTATTTCTTAGTAAATTTGATTTAAATATTAACTTTATTGTATTTAGTTCGCATTCTAAAATATATTTATAAATGTATTTGTTAAAACAGTTATTTTATCTTTTCTTTAGGGAATATTTAATGTGACATCTAAAATTTCTTTATAATTCAACAATAACTGTATCTCGTTTTGTGATCTTAAAATACCAGAGTTAATTGAAAACAAATCTATTTAACTTCTCAAGTCATAAACAATTTATACTTAATTGATCATATTATATAAAGGCAAAGAACACATAATCAAAAAGGATAGAAACTAAGCAAACAGCATTCTCCTTAACCTATAATTCTAAAAACAAATTTTTATAAATAAAATTTTATATTGAAAAAAAGTTTACTTTTTTGGTTAATGATGGTTAAGTATAATTTTCATAAAGAAGGTATTTTGAATAATACTCAGATATCTTTAATTTCATAACACTAGATTACTTTTTAAATAAAAAATAAGGATTATTAAAAAATTTTAGAGACTAACTTACTTTTTCTAAATCATCCAATTGCTTTTTCTTTGATTTATCATTCTGTGGTCCTTTAAAAAGATCAAAAAATCTTTAACTTTAGATATCAACTTAATTTTAATATTATAAAGATCTTGGAGTAAGCTAGTCTTTCTATTTACTCTCCTAGTTGTCTGAGTTATTTTTATCATTGACATCATCTCCATGTGAATAAAAAATCTACTGTTAAATCTAATGAAGAAATTTAAAATTATACTGTTTAAGGAATAAGTTTTACTTTAGTGAACATGCTTTTATTATGAACTGAAGAGTCTTTACTAAGAGCAAAATCTAAATCACTTAAAATAGAATCTGATTATTCTGAAAAATATTAACTTTGCATGCCTTCTTAGGATATTTATTTCACAAATAACTCATCTTAAAGAGAAGAATTAATTTAAAGAATTCTCTTTTCAGCTAAACTCTTTTTACCTAAAATTTAAAAACAACAATTAATTAATTATTTAAAATTTAAAGCTTTTAATTATTTAATAAACCTTTCAAATCTGTATCTATTTATGCCTAATTTAAGCCTGTAATCATTCTATATAAATAATTAGATGGTTCATTGTCACTTTTTTTCTTATATTAAGAGAATCTTCGATGAGATAAACGACTCTTTTTTTTATTTTTCTAATCTAAATTACTTTCACTTTATTCAGAGATACTTTTCTTTTTAAGTTATTAAATTTCAAAAGAGTTTCTTCTCTTTGGCGAGGTTTATTATTACACCTATGCATTCTCAAAATTTTTTGGAGAGTTGAAAATATCTTTATTCTCTTTCTGCTTTATCAATTTTTCAAATTAGATTAAGTCTTCTTAATTAATAATCTGCTAAGGAGAGTTTTTGTAATCATCTTCTCTTAACCTTAGTCCAAAGGGTCTACCAGTTGCTGTTCCTTTTACTCTTATAATACTTTCTTCTTAAGCCTGATTGCTATTTAAACTTAAACTGAGACGTTTTTGTTATATAAATTCGAATTTATTAAATGAAGCTTGCAATCCTTTTTGAATGTGAGATTTGTTAAATTGGTGAACACTTCCTTTACTACTAGCATTTTGTTAAGGACTTTATGAATTTTAATTCTTAATATTTAAAGGCTAGATTTTACTAGGTTCTTATTATAATTAATCGATATTTTTTCCATTTTTTTTTCCTTCTTTTTTTCCAAAATCTTAAAAATTATCTTCAATACTTTCATCTAATTTTATAATTTCGTTATCTGTAAATGCTATTTTTGTTTATTATTGAAGTGTGGTTGTGTCTATGCTATCCTATCTTTTTTAAGTTTCAGTTTTCTTATCCAAAATTTATTTCATTATTAATCCCATTTTAATATTTCTAAACAGATATCTCTTAATATTTGTAAATTCTATTATAAAATATTGGATTTTTTATCCTTAAAAATTGTACTGTCTTAAATGTAGCTTGAAATTAACTTCAAATTAATTTATTTGATTCTATATTTTAAATATTTAATATTCATAATATCATAATTTAACTCATAAAATTTACTTTGTTTAGTTTTCCTATATGAGTAACAACTTTCTTGGCAGAAATTCCAAATACTGCTTATTTTATTTATTTTGCTGATTTAATTGAATTTAAAATGCTCAAATTGCTAGCTTTTGACTTAATCATTGATTATCTAAGATTTGCAGATGACCTTTCTGCATCTTGATCATCTTATAAACTGTTTGCTGTTTTATTTTTAGAGCCACTAGATTCTGCTAATGCCTTTTAAGAGTCAGCTAATGTTTTGTAATAAAACATAGTTTATTAATCAAAATACTTAACTGATTCTTTTTTTTAGGACATATCTCTTACTAAATCTGGAAAATCAGGGATCATTTGTGTAAAATTAGTTGAGTATAATAAATTCTGAAATTTTTTTTCATCTTCACTACTCATCAATACTTATTTCTAAAATCCCTTGGTAACTCCTTCAATTTAACCTGAATTGATATAAACAAGATATATTAATTTCAAACAATTAACTAAATTTAATTACCATTATTATCCAATATTACAAATTATTAATTCTAACTTAATTCTTTTTTTTTCATAAAAGTAATAAAAGCAAAATCATTTTTCAAATGAAAATTAATGTCAAAGGTAAAGTCAATTGGTACTATATATCCTTCACTATGCTATATGAAAGAAATATTGATGTCTTTGTAAAATTTACTCTCTGAAGTAATCAAAAAATTAAATAAAAATTTGTGATGATTTCTTGAAATAGTTATTGGAATTAAATCATTAATGTTTCTTAGAATAGAAAATGACTACTTGTTATATCCAAATAAATAAGGAGCATTATCACTAAAAGAGATTAATTCCCCCTTTTTTTATCCATAAGAAATAGATAACGAGACTATACTATTATTATCATACAAATTCATCTACTTGAGCAAGTAGTTATCTATTTAGTTTAATTGGTTATTTTTATTTAATTGCACTGAAGTTAAAAATTTATTAAAAGACAACCCATTAGCAAAGTTATAAGCTTTCAAAAAATTATTTCTTATTTCTGCTTAAAAAAAGCATATTATGGATATATTTTTCTTTGATGGGAATTTTTAAAAGAAATGAAATAAATCCTTTTCAACATGTATCATATCTTTGCTCAGCTCCAATAACCTAGCAGTAATATCTTACTTTCTTTTAATAAATATGTAAATAATTTATCATTAAATAAATAAATTAATTAAAAAAAATTGTATTTACTAAACAAAAATATCTTCGTACAATTTAATCTTTTGATTTAATATTCTAAGTATCGATTAAATTATGAACTCAAAATGATATTCAGATTTTATGTAGTGAGAAATAGCATTAGAGAATTCTAGCATCTGAGAGTATTAGTTTTGTTGCTCTATTTATTATTGTCCATTAATTGCTTTTGTCTGCTATTAGTAGAGTATATTACTTAAATTATTCATAAGGAGCAACAAAATTATTTTAATTCTAAAATTAATAAATCTATTTTTTGAAGAATAGAGAATACTGCTTATTTTCTGTATAGAATTAGTTAATTATTTGTTTTCTATTAGAAAATAAATATATCTTGTAAATCTCAATTGTGAATCAAAACTGTTTAAAGAATGCTTTTCAGCATTTAAAATGTATTTTTCAAGACTTAACTAAATGTAGGATTCTATAAGTTTTATGTTTGCCGAAATTCCTGTTTCTTCTTAAAAACAACTAATTGTATTTTTGTTACTTTTTTTATAACAAAAGCATTCTAAATCAATACAACTAGCTTTGTGAGAATTTATTACACCTAAAACAGTTGTTACAAGATGCTTATTTTAGTATGGATTAATGCAAAATTGCTAAAGATAACTCATTTTAGTTAAAAGACCATCATAATCTCTCTTTTTTACATAAAATTGATTAAATATATTAATTATAAAATATAAATTTTAATGCTTGAATATATTCAAATACCATTTAATGCAATCTTATATCATCAGTGCTTATGGTTCTCATTATTTTTGTTTACATAAATTTATTAGCTGCCAAATATAACGGAGGCACAACTAAATAAGTAATTGTCATTTGGGTTGAATAACTAATGTAGTCTCCATACTAGAAACCCTTTAAAACAACCATAATCATATTTATCAATATCCCGGCAAGATTAGCTTACGACATTTAAATGCTATTGTAGGGGTGATTTAAAATTTCATCAAGGAAACTTAAAGTAAAATATGATAAAGCAAATAAACTTATTAAAATAAATTGAGCTGTTTTTTGACCATTTGGATTATTTATGTTTTAGAAAGCTATGAAAGGCAGAATAATTTTAATTATTAATTTAATCATACTTAATCTACTTTACTTTACTTTGAGCATAGATTTGCCATTCATATTAATAGATAAACTACAAAAGTATTCTAAGAAGAAAGAAGAAAATATAGTTATAATAATAAATAAAATGTGAAATATTTATAAGTAAGTGTATTATCCTTTTGAAAGATAGAAAGTAGATATTATTGAATTATCAAGCATATTTAACATCAAGAATTCATTAAAGTATATTATTGTATAAGCATAGAATTTAGAAGCATAGTAGATAGCCTGTTAGTTTTTTAATTTTTAAAGTATCAATTCTATTCCTACAATAGAAAAGTAAATTATATACGAAAATAATAAATAAAATGAGCGAAATATAATAGACTCATCTGTAAAGTAGTTAGCTGATAAGTCTTAAATTGGTTTGGAAACATACCATCCTATCTTATCAAGCTATTATATTTTTAAATTTTTAAAAGAATTTTCCTCCTCTAATTAAAAGCATATATCGTAGAAGTTTTTGATGTAAGAGTAGATCTAAAAATAGCTTAAAAATAGAATAAGTGAGTCAGCAATTGAATAATATGGTAGATATTTATCTAGAATATTCAATTTAAATTATGTAATTCTTATTAGAAATTAAATAAATTTTGTCTTTAAACTTTTTGTTTCTTCATTATAATCTTTCATCTAATAAACAGTCTGAAATTTAATTCAGATTATAAATCTTTCTATTTATATATTTGATAATTTAAATTATAACTGTAGTTAATCAATCAATTATTTTATCAAAGATATGTGATCAATCTTTTTATCAATTCCTTTCATATTTAGTCTAACAAGAGTTTAATTATTGAATATATTTAAAATTTAAACAGTTAACTGTTATCACATTAATTGCAGATGCATAACAGAAATAGATTTTTAAAAAAAAACTAATTGTTGTAGCTCTTTGTTTCAATTAAATTTTAATTATCAAATAATTTTATTTTTCCTTGCTTCTGAATATTCGAAATATTTCTAGTAAGCGATCAATCAGTAAATAAATTAATTGATTGATTAATTTGTACAATATTTTTGTTGGCAAATATTGATTAAATTCTATTTTTAATATTTAAATTGTGTTTATATCAACCAAACAGAAAAAATTTTGACAATATTTTTTGCTGAATTAAAAAAACTATCTAAACAAATATATAATATAAATCAAATGAAATGATTGAATTAAATCCATAAACAAAACTAAGCTAATTTTAAGAAAATACCCAATAGGATGATAAATTATCTATAAAATAATAATAATACTCTAACAATTAAGTGTTTGAGAGCTAAAAGTAAATTAATAAGAGCCATAATGATAGGTTTTCATAGTAACAGATTAATATATAATACAAAGAACCATTAACAAACAAAAAAACAATAATTTCCAGCACTGTTGTAGATAAAAAATAAATCAAGTAATTTTTAGGTAAGGTTGTTAATTATAACTAAGGGATGAGCTCATATAGCTCTTTTAGGCCTAATAAAGAGTCTTAAGATTTCATCTAAAGCAAGACTTGCAAATAAAAATTTATGATTTTTATGAAAAAATATATAATAATTAAGCCTACATCAATATTTAGAATTATTTGGGATTTTCTTTCCATAATAGCAATCCTTTTCTCATGCTTTTATAATGCTTACAAGTATTTATATTCAATGAATTCAACTAAAATTTTTGAATTATTAAAATAACATCAAATATTCTAATAGCATTATAAATAAAAATATAGGATTTCTTTTGATAGCAGCAAAAACACAGATTTGACTTGGTATGAGATCTTAGTAGAGAGCTTTTTTATTACTGATATAATACTAAACTTCTTCTCTGCTTACTATAACCCAGAAGAAGATGAAGTAGTATATGATTTAAAATTGATTGCAATTAGATACACTACGTAACACAAATTTATTTGAATATAAATTAGAATTTTTTATTTTTAGAAAAGGATATTTCATATTAGATTTTATTTCCACATTTCCATGGCAAGTTATTGATAAAAATGTAATAAATAATTAAAGTTTTTAATAATTTAATTCTAAAATTTTATATAAAATATGATTTTATTGTTTACTATACAGATAACAGTAGTAAAGCTTCTTAGAATGCTCAGGTTGCCTCGTTTTTTGAAATTGATTAAAGAAGATAGATTTATAAATGTTGTTAATACCATTTTAAGATACTCAGACACTTCTGATAAAGTGAAGACATAATTTATTTTTAGATATATTTATAGAAATATTTAATTTATTTTGACTGGTTTAAGTTTAGCTTATTTTGTTAGCTGCCTTTGGTATTATATGTTAATCTCTGTAGATTATGAAGACCTTGAAGGAAAGAATTTTATAACTGAATACGGTATTTAATATATGCCAGATTGGAAAAAGGCTGTTACTAATTGTTATTTTGTGCTAACAACATTTGCTACAGTCGGTTTCGGTGATTTAACACCTTAAACTAATAATGAGCGTATATTCGTTATAGTTATGATGATATGTGGTATAGCTTTCTTTTCTTTTATAATGAATAATTTTAATGATGTGCTTACAAATTATTGGAAGAAACTAGGATATGTGGATAGAAAAATTGAAATAGAAGAATGGATATTATCTCTAAGTAAGTTAAATTAATTGATTAATAAATTCAATAAAACATGCATTTAAAATGCTTTTTAAATACTTTTTGTCATCAAAAATAATTTTATTCAATTTGTTTAAAGAATAAATAAATTCGCATTTTTTATAAAATTAATTCATTATGTTTAACTACAGGCAATTATACTGAGAGATCTATTGATAAGAAACTAGTTAACTAAATTTAAAATCACTTTGATTATTTTTACAGAAATTCAAGGCTTTCTGTGATTTCACAGCGTGATAAATATTTTTAATTGATGCCTTAAGATCTTAAAAGAGAGGTAATTAATTATGCAAATAGATATGTTTTTAATTATTTTAAGTTTTTATTTATGTTTTTTGGTGATTTTAAGGTGTAAATAAAATTTCTATTTAGCTAAAAAACATATTGATATTACATTAATAAAATTTTTTATTAGATGATTAAGCACCTCTTTTAGGATATATTTTACACAAAATTTAGAAGTTTATTTCTTCTTAATGGAAAATTTGAATGCAGTGACTATGGGTTTTACATAGATACAGCTTTTTAGCTCATTCCTATGAAATATTCTTAAGGGGATATAATATGTAAATAGGGAGATAAATTTTCTGAAGTATATTTAGTTTAATAAGGAGAAATAGAAGCTACTTTTACCTTAGATGATATAAAAGTATCAAGATTTTTTTCATAGGGATTTTATTTTGGTGCTGTTAATATTCTTTCTAACAACCTTTGTGCAGTAGATTTTAAGGCTTCAAAAAACGTAAAACTCCTTGTTTGGAGTAGAAATAATTTTTTAGAAACTATAAATCGTTACAAAGAAATGAAAGAGCATATCATATCTGTCTGTTTTTAATCATTTAAGACTATGAAAAATTCTATGCTGTAAGCTTTGGTTTAGCAAGTAAAAGTTAAAAAAGGTATTAATATATCAGAAGATGTAATATTATTTTTTTTATTAAAATTAAAATTCTTTCTAGAAATGAATAGATTCATCTGCATTTTTATTATAACAAAATGAAATCACTTTTTAAAAATAATACTTACTTGCTTTCTATTTCAAAAATACATATTTAATCTTTAATTCTTTTAAAATTATAAATGTAAAAAAAGGCTGCTCAAAAAATATTCAGAAATATGCTTAAATTTGTTTATTCTTAAAAAAGAAAATAGTAATATATCCAAGAATAAGGAGCTGCATTTGCAACATAAGCAACAATTGGATATGATTTAATGGATGTTGAAAAAAGATTTAATAAAGTAAACAATTGCATAAATGAAATAGATCCTACAATTGAAGAAAAAAAGTAGTAGAAAAAATAAAATTTGGAAAATCAACAATAATAACTAAAAAGCTTAATTAGAACATTAGACAGATAGAATTGATTTAAAAAAATAATTTACTTTTAAAGTGATTTAGTCATAATGAAATTTAAATTTTGTTATCTTCATATTTATTTATTTATTTTTAATGCAAATATTAATAAATTATTTAAATTAATAGAAATTTAAATTAGATTATAATATTAAATGTGAATGCGTGTATATTTACAACTAATTTGATTCGTTGTGTACTTTTATTTGTGATTGATTATATATAAATAAAAGAAATAAAATAGTTTTCTATTTTTTTTTTAGTACTTACATTTAAATTAATTTCTGAAAATTAAGAAATGTAAGTTTAGTGATGTGATCATGTCAAATTTTTGTTATGTAAGGATTTGTAAGACAAATATTGATAGTATTTGCACAATTGGATAAAAGAAAAAAGATATATTTGTTAATTGAATTTATTAATACAAAGACTTCAATTTTGCAAAATGAATAATTAATCTATTTATCAATCTGTCTATATCAAATAAAAGTAATGAAATATTTAATTTACTTAAAGAGAAATGTTAAGTTCTAATGCTTATAAAACTAATTTTAAAGCTAGATAGATTAAATTTTTACTTACAAATTTTAATAACTATCTAATTCTTTAAGATTAAGATTAAAGTTAAATATTTTGGCAAATTTAAAGCTCGTAATTAGATTTTAGCATTATAGCTTATGTTCATCAGATATTATAGCATCTCTTTAAATAATATGCAATATTATTGTAGATAGATGCCTTTTCTCTAAATTCGGTAGAAAAAATTATGAAATTAATCAAGATAGTTCATATAAGTGCTTATGAATAGACAATAGACAGCAATCGACTATTGAATTTAATTAAGTATAGGTCTTCATCAAAAATATCCTATAGTTATTCAGCCTCTTAATTATCAAATCAGTACTACATCAAAGTAATTAAAAGATAATTAATTAGCAAGCAAAAAAAAAATAATAAAAACAAATTCTAAGCTATCATAAAATAATCAAACTCTCAGTTGAGGGACTTTATAAAAATAATTTAATTACAAACTTGATATTAAATGGTAAAGCTGTTTTTTATTACCAAACTGCTTTTTAAAAAGTAAAATGTTTCACGTCAAGCCTTAAGGTGGACTCCTATACTTCTCTAGCATAAGCTATAAAATGATTCCCTCTAGGGTTATTTGTTTTCTCTATTTGGATATCCTAATTATTACAAATTAAATTAATAATACCGCGATAAAATGTTATATTAGAAGTTTTATCGCTTACCTGTTCAAGAAAATAACTAAGGACTCTAAGGATTGAGTAAATATTTCATTAATTGAATTTATTTCAATTTTCATTCATGAAAATTTTATAAAAAATTCACTAATCGCAGAATTTTTAAAATTAATTACTCATTTTTATTTTATTTTATAGCAAATGAGTCTTTATATACTCCTCAAACTGGTAAATAAGGAGACTTCGAAAAAATTAAGACAAACTAATTTGTGGTAAAAACTATTTTTTTTTTTTTTAATATAGCTGAATACTTTAAAAATCTATTTCGCATAAAATAATATAACTAAAAAAAATAAATATAAAGAAAAAAACTTCTAACTTCACTTTTGAAGATAAAATTATAAATTTAAAATAGATTAATAAAATTTAAGCTTTTATACAAGATAACAACTTTTTCACTCTAACTTAATTAATTTTAATTTAAAAATAGCATGCTGTTTAAATTGTTTAAAATCCTATGTAAATGGATGACTTTAGCTTGAACGATGTTGAATCAGTTATCAGTGACTATGAATACGACTAAGAATTTAACAATTCACAATTGTAATTCTTATTTTAATATTTTATCCTTAACTAAAAAACATTTTTTTTAAAAAGTTCTGAAAGCTTAGTCTTAAGTTGGAATGACAGCACTGCCTTTGGAACTGGAAGTTCAGCTAATTCAAACAGTTCAAGTGCCTAGTTTGCTTTTTGAGCTCATGAAATAATTAAATACAACTATCTTGAATTATTATTAATTAGGAAGGAGATAATTAATTTAGAAAAATACCTACTAACAAATTAGATTATTATGAAGAAGGAGAATTTAATTATACTTAATGCTATATAAATATCATAATGGTGATTTGAAGAATCTATTCACATACTCTTTCTCTACTACTTTTTATGATTACTTTAAAAATGGATTTATAACGAAACAAATAAGAAAGATGAATTACTTAAAATCAGTATAAAAGTAAAAATTATTGTCATCCATAGTTGGTATATTTGAGTGAAATCACTTATCTTTTTAAATACATATTCTTTTGGAATGACTATCTATCTATAATATAATTTGATATTAAAAAAACTCTATCAAGCATTTTAGTTAGAAAAATATAACAAAAACCTATTTAGTTTACTAAAATTTTATGCAAATTTATTTATATTTATATATATATATTTATTTATTTACTAATCATTTTCTTTTATATCACACTCTTATTACTTTTATTTAAAGGCCTTTTTTCCTTCAAGGTTAAAAAATTAGAAATTTCTTGAATTATTTGATTAGCCTTCTTAATTCTCAATTAAACCAACCAATCTATTTGAAATGTTTGAATTTTAAAGGCCAAAAAACTCCTCTCTTATTTTAAGAATATACATTTAAATAATTAAATACTCAACCAAATTCAACGAAACCTGTTTAATATAGAAAAAAAAAAATTTATCCCAACCTCATCAGAAAAAAATTATTTGTAAATTATTCTCAATTAATTTTTTGTCATTCAAAAAATATTGATGGCTTTAAGAGAATTTATAATCAAATTTTTTAATCTTTTACAATCTTCAAGGACAATTTATTATAAATCAATTTATTGTTTATTTTTTATCAAAATATTTACTTAGAAATATAAAAGAGTGTGAACAAATAATTTTGTTTTAAAAATAATTAAATAATATTTTAAAGAAAATTTTAGTAAATTTAAAATTATAACCTGTTTTTTTAAATTTCTTCAATCTTTTTAACAATAAATTTTAAAATAAAAATATAAAATGATTAATTTGATTAATTTGATTAAAACAAAATAAATAAATAATTTATTTTAAAATTAAATTATTAATTTAAGGAATTTAATATTTAATAAATTTAAAAAAAAAAACAACTAACATAATATAAATTTCACATTTTTATTAACTAATCTTTAAAAATAAGTAAAATAAAATTTAAATTCTTCGCTTAATAGCTCAAAAGCTCTTTAAAATTTTAATAATATCTTGTAAAAGTTTAACGTTCTAAGTAATGGTATCGATTTTTTCTTTGTTTGCCTGCTTAATATTTTCAGGAACTTTTGTTTCATAGTTAGGAATTTTGGTTTTCTTAATAGCATCATCAAGAGACTTTTAAGCTTCAGCTAACTTCTTATCTTATCTTGTTATCTATTTTATATTTTTTTAAATTTACAGTTAAAACATTAATTTAATCCAAAATTTACTTCAGTGATAACATCGATATATTCTTTCACATTAACGTATGCAATAAGATGACCTCCAACTGCATTTGGAATGCAACCAGCAGGAACGCTAGCTTCGTTTTACTTAATTTCAATCTATATTAATAAGTTTAAATACATTTTAAGAAAATCTTTTTTTAAAAAAATATTTTTACAGATGAGGTTTTTGCAAGAGTGCTGATAAGCTTAGCTTATGAAGTAATTAAATTAGAAAGGTGAGCAGTGTTATCTCCAAGTAAAACAGCATAACATTAAGGACTAACATTTTTAGGAAGATTAACGTTAGCAATAAGAGAACGAATTGTTTTAGCAATAGAATTAATAATGTTGAAGTCAGCTTCAAGAGATTGATTGTCGAAGGTAGGATTTTCAACTGGATAGGCGTTGATGCAAATAGATTCACCTTTTTCTTGGAAAGCAGGGAACTTTTGATAAAGTTCTTCACTCAAGAAAGGCATCATGGGATGGAGTAATCTTAAACCAGATTCAAGAACGAAGAATAAAGTATTGATAGTTTGGTTCTTTTAAGCTTCATCTGTTCCATAAATAATAGGCTTAATGGCTTCAAGATAGATATCACAAAGATTGTCTCTCCAGAAATTCTAGAAGGCAATAGTAACATTACCAAAGTCATAATTATCAAAATATTGGTTAACGTCTTTAACAGCTTTGTTAAATCTTGAAAGAATCCACTTATTGATGAAGAGGAGTTAATCATATTCGAATGATCTATTATACTTGAAGTCTCTGGGAATATACATAAGACCAAACTTGGCACTCTACCAAATCTACGAAAATATAAAAAACGGATTAAAGCAATCATTCTATCAATCGTATTAATTTAATTATTTATTTATTTTACCTTGTTGCAGAATTCTCTATATCCAATAATTTATTTGATATCAAGATTGATGGATCTAGGTTGTTGCATGTATGCCAATAAACCATAACGTAATGCATCACTTCCACATTCAGGGAAACCTTCAGGGTATTCCTTTGACTTTAGTTAGACAGCTCTGTTCATTTCTTTCTTGTCCAAATTGCCTTCCTAAATCTTTTGAATCAAAGTTTGAAGATTGCAACCATCAATAATTTCTAGAGGGTCAATGACATTACCCTTTGATTTAGACATCTTTTCACCTTGAGAGTCTCTAATCATAGGATGAAGGAAGACATCCTTGAAAGGAAGCTTATTAAGTAATAGGAGACCCATCATAACCATACGAGCTACCCAGAAGAAAAGAATGTCCCAACCTGTTTCAAGGATAGAGTTAGGATAAAATGCTTACAAATCATCAGTTTAATTAGGCCATCCCATAGTAGAGAAAGGGAAAAGAGCACTTGAGAACCAAGTATCAAGTACATCTTCATCTTAAATTAACTCAATTTAATCTTTACTAACTCCTAAATTTTTAGCAGCACGTTCTAAAGCTTCATCCTCAGTTCTTCCTACTACCCAGTTAGTAGTAACAGTACCATCGCTAGATGTAGAAGTTCCTTTCACCTAAAATTTTATTTATTGTTATTATTGTATTTTAAATTAAATATTATATTACTCTGTATTAATAAGCAGGAATTCTGTGACCCCACCAGAGTTAACGAGAAATACACCAATCTTGAGGATTTCTCATAAATTAGAACCAATTACTTTCGAATTCACCTTGAGGATGTATTTTTAATTCTCCTTATTCAACAATACGGCACATTTCCTTTGAAATTTCAGTGCAGCTTATGTACCATTGAGGTCTAAGCATAGGTTCGATAACATCTCCGGAACGAGAGCAAAAACCGATAGACATAGGATTCTTGGTCTTATCCTTGAAAGATCCGATAGTCTTCAAATCTTCAATAATTTTATTTCTGCAGTCGAATCTCTTTAATCCTTTGTAGGGTCCACCATTTTCGTTAATCAAACCATTATCGTCTAAAATGTTAATCTTTTAATAAAAAGCTTTTATATTTTAATCTATTTGATAGAGTAATTACTTAAGGTAAATTGTGACGTAAACCACATCTGTAATCGTTAGGATCATGAGCAGGAGTAATCTTGACAGCACCTGTACCGAAATTCATATCAACCAATTCTTCATCAGCAATGACAATCATCTTTCTGTCAGGGATGAAAGGATGGATGAGCTCCTTTCCAATGATATCTTTGTATCTAGGATCCTTGGGATGGACAGCTAAATGTTATTTTTAAATAAAGCCGTTAATAAAATATAACTTTTAGAAATATGATTATCATAAAAAGATTGCATTTATCTAATATAAATTAATACCAACAGCAACATCACCCAACATTGTTTCAATACGGGTGGTAGCAACGATGATTTCCTTAGAAGGATCTTCTTTTAACTTATATGAGAAGTGAATGAGAACACCAAATTCGTATTTTCCATCATGGCCAGTAATGGTTCTGGTAATGGGTTCTTCAATTCTTTCATGATTGACTTCAACATCACTGATAGCTGTTTTAAGAGCACAACTCCAGTTAACTAATCTGTTACTTCTGTAGATTAAACCCTTTTCAAATAAGATGCAAAAAGCTTCCTTAACTGCTAAACTAAGTTGATCATCCATGGTGAAGTGGAATCTATCCCAATCTAAACTACCACCTACTCTTCTTAATTACTTTGTAATTTAGTTACCATGCCTTAATTTCCATAAAAATAAGTTTAAAAAAAATCATTAAAAAATTTAAAACAGCTTTAATATAAAAATAAATAAAGAATGTTTTTATTAAATTAATTCTCTTATTTGATTTATCCTATCTCATTCTTTGATAAATTTAAATAGAATTTTGTATTTCAAAATAAATTACTTTTCCTTCCATTCCCAAACCTTTGAAACGAAAGCTTCACGACCAATTTAGAATCTAGTCTTATTTTCTTCTTTTAAGAGTTTCTTTTCAACTACTGAATGTGTGGCAATACCTGCATGATCAACACCAGGTAAGTATAAAGTTTCAAAACCTAACATTCTCTTTCTGATTATTAAATAATAAATATAACTTAATAACCAAAAAACATTTGAGAAAAATAAATAATATACCTTCTGATGATAGAATCTTCAACAGCAGTAGTCAAACCATGACCAATATGTAAATAACCAGTAACATTAGGAGGAGGGATAACCATAACGTAAGGTTTTTTTGATCCATTCAATACATTTTAAGGATTAGCATGGAAGTATTTTTTAGACTCCCAAAATCTCATCCAATGTTATTCTACGGACTTAGGCTCATAAGCTTTAAGCATAGCCTCGTAGTTTCTTTTTTATTTAATAGCTTCATCTAGTTCGACGTCAGTTTCTTCAACTTAAGGTTTTGATTTATCCTAAACAAGATAACTAGCTACTTTCTTATTAGCTGCAGGCTAAGCTTAATATGCTTAGTAGGCCTTTATTATTTTAAATATTTAAATTTCAGAATATTCTAAAACAAAATTTATAATAATTTCATGTTGCCGCATATCAGAATAAAAATTTTATGAGTTATTTGAGTAAACAAGTAATAAAAATGACAAAATTCAAATAATTTCCATATCTTAATCAATAGCTAATTTAATCAGTAAATGATTTGAATTTAAATGGAAAAGAACAGGAAAAAGTAATTATTTTTTTACTTTATTGTAAGTGCTAAAGTATTTGAAAAGTGTTAATCTATTCATATCTTCTTGTGCAAAAATATCCATTCTTTTTGATAAGATTCTACCTATTATTAACCAATTTTTAGTTTTTCTAAATTTAACTATTTCTCACTAAGTAATTTGAGTAAGTCACAAACTTTTTTTTATTTAAATAAATAAATTATTAATAAATTATTCAGATAGGAAATCTTTTTGGCGAAATTTCCTAGTGTCTCTTATCTTTTTATTTTTGTTTTACTAAATCTAATTTAGAAAAATCTTACCTTTCAAGAAAGAGACTTTTTTTAGCAAATTTTAGTATTTTTTAACAAAAAGAGAGTCTTAAAATTAAAATATTATTATAAATTTTATTTATTATTAAGTTTACTTTATTGGCATTTAATAAAAAAAAAAAAGAATATAAATTATATTAATTCATCTATTTTAAATAAAAACCAAACTTATTTATCTACTTTTAACTATTTGGAGACACTTTAATTTCTCTATAATAATTAATTAAAATATAATAATTTTCTAATTATTTACATGGTATTTTTATAACTTTACAATAATATGTGAAAAATTCTATTTAAGAATTGATTATATCATCTTCTCAACTCCATTTTATTCAATATAATTTTATATTAAATTTTAAATTACTTTTCTAATCGATTAGTATTTAATAAACTAGATTTTTTATTTTAAATTAATGTAAAATATAGGTTAATTAAATTTAATTTCACTTAAATATTTTAATTAAACTCTTTTCTATCTCTATTAGTAAATAAAATTAATTCATATAAATCAAAATACTAACTAATAAATGCTTTAATTAGCATTTGCTATAAAATTTTAAAAATATACTGCAATCTCTCTTAATTTCAATATGTATAATTTATTTATATTAAATGTGTTTTTAAAATAAAAATTTATAAAAATTTAAAATGATGTTTTTTAATGACTATATTAGAAAAGAATAAATATCATTAATTAGTATTTTTAATATTTATTTGATAATTTATATTTTACTACACTCTTAAATTATTTTATTTTTTGATATGCTAAATTGTAACTAATATTTTATAAATTTATAACATTTATAATTTTGATAATTATACCTTCCTTTAAATTATTGTTTATTGATTACTGATAAATTTTTACTAATATTATAGTGATTAAAAATGGATAGAAGAAAAATTCGTAAATAATTAGCAAAAAAGATAGAATTAGAATCATAGTTAGTTAAACCCAGAGAGTTAAGTAGCAATGGAAAGCTAAACGATTTAAATATAAAACCATCATCAACCAAATCTGGTACTGGGACTCAAGGTAGCGATTGGATAGCAGAAAAACCACCAAAATTTTCAATATCAACTACTAATTTGAAAATAAAAAAAGCTCATGCAACTACCTTAAGCGATTTCTTTAGTTAATAAAGAGAATAAGTTTTAGGGATTAAGAAACAGTAAAATCCTATATCTTAATAATCTTAAAAACGAGTACATTTAAGTTATACATTTTAATAGATATATAGATGATTTAAATACAATTTAGAATTAATATCATATTAATAATATGGTATTTTATTCTAATTCACCCAATCATCTTTCATTATTTAGAAGAAAAAAAATTCAATTAAAAGTTATATTTATTTAAACTTAAAAGGTTGCTCGCACTAGTGAAAATAAGCTACCGCGTATGTAATCATATAAGAAAAATGACTTACTAAATTAAAATCCTATGAATTTCTACCACAGAAATAGCAATGCAATTGTTCAACATATTTTAAAAATAAGTGAGAATTCTGTGCTTTACAATATGGCAAGAAATAAAATATAAAGCAATGACAATTATAGTTAATACAATAATCAAGATGAAAGTCCAGAAGAATCAAATAAAAATAGTAAACCTAGTACTTCGACATATCCTCACTCTTCTCTAAGAAATACTAATTAATTAAACCAACTTAGAAACTTGACTTAATTGACTTAATAAAAGTAATAGGTTTAATTTTAACATCAAGAAAATGAGTTCAGCAAGCAATAGAATAATATTTAAAATGAAGTGAATATTAATGAGAAGAATTAAAATGAAGCAAACAAATAAGGAAATAACTAAATTAAAACATATAAATAGCAAATCATTTAAAATATCTCAAATGAAATAAATTAAAATTAAAATAATTTAAGATAAATGAATTCAACTGAGAATAATTTTAAATTTTCAAGAGAATAAAGCACACCAAACTTAAATTATTTTCCATCTGCTGGAAGAGATAGTGTGAGCTAAAGGACCTTAAGATCAACTAATAGTAAATTTACTGAGAAGAAAAGAGAAGAGATTAAAAATCCTAAAAAATTTTATTTTTTAAATTCTTTAAATTTTAAAAATTACAAATATCCTCGTCCTTTGGAAATGCCTTATGAAAAAGAAAGTGAAAAGCTAACTCGTATGCCTCTCTATTTGCTACCTTAATCAGCTCCTTCTAAGTAAATAGAAGATATATGCATTAGCAAATATTATAGTGAAGTGCAAGAAATAGAGTAAAGCATAGTGGAAAAGTAGTAAACTTTATTACAAAATTCTTAAAGAGATATTAGTGAATAGTAAGGTTTATATAATAATGAGAAAGTAACTAGTGCAGAAAATCTTCATTTAAAAGACTTAGAAGATATGAAATTAAAATATTTGACTGAAATACAATACTTGTAGAAAAAAGCTGTATCTCATTAAAAGAAAGGTAAATTTAAGGTTAATGCTAAGTACACATTCAGTGATTCGAAGAATAAATATTTAAACTAAATTAACATGCGAAGTAATAAAATAGAGGATTTAAGCGATAAGCTATATCGTATAAAAAATAAAATAGAAGAATAAATGGCTACAACAAAAGCAAATTTAAGTAGATTATACTCAGATAATTCATCTCTGATGTAACAAAATAGCTCTATGTAGAATAAGCTATAGCTAAACTAAACAATTTAGCAGCTTTACAAAGAGTTAGTTTACTAATCCGACGAGCTTAAATCAAATCATAAATACACTGAAGAGTATAGGTAAAAATTAGAGGAGCAAGATGAAGAAGGGGTTGAGCCTGAAGAGTATGAGTAATATAATGAATATGATGAGGAACTTGAGTATGAGAATAGTTAAAATAATTAAGATAAAGGTAAAAATAAGAAAAAATCTTAAGAAATGTAGTCGAGTATAGAGGAGTAGCCAAATGCTTATATTTAAGAAGAAACAGAAGAAGAGTTCTAAAATGAAGTTTCAAGTTATAAAAATACTGAAAGCTAAATTTAACAATAAATTAGTGCATAAGAAGACTATATTAACAGATTTATAAAAAATAATTCTTCTAATCAATAAAATGATTTTGAAGAAGATGAGTATCAATAAAATAAATTTGAAGATGATTAACAAATATATGAATAATAGTAGTAGTAATAAAGTGAAACTAGGTAAAAAGAAATGGAGGAGGCTTAAGAAGATGACGAGGAAGAGGAAGAAGATTAAATAAAAATACATTCTTTGGCTGATTTCAAAAATGCTCATCCACTCACTGATAAAGATATTATTTAAAAAAGTAAGTATTTTACAAAATAAATAAATAAATTATTTAAATTGAAATTAATAAATAGCTTAACTGGGCTAACTGATGATGTCTGTCTTAATAGAGACTTTTTCAGTTTTAAAATTCAATCGCCCTGCATTAAGAAATAGAATTCTTCTATCATTAGGTCTTAATCCATAAGACACATTTTAATCTGTACCTAAGGACGTGTTTAAATTTTTTTATGAAATTTTAGTATCTAAAACAGCAACTGTTGAGTAAAATGTATAATTTATCTTAAAAGTAATTGAGATTTATTTGGAAAAAAAATATGAAAAAAAAATTAATTTTTTTGAAAAATAGTTCTTCAAGCTAGACGATGATGATGATGAACTATAAGAGAATAGAAATGAAGATAATTAAGAACAAATTTTAAAGGGAGAATAAGGGAAGTTAAAAGTTTTGGATAAGAAAAAATTATTAATAGATAAAGATGAATTTAAAAGAATACTTAGAATTCTAACAATATCAATAGATGAAAAAGCTAAGTAAGGGGAAAAAAGTCTATTTGATTACATGATAGAAAATTTAATATTAACTGAAGTAATAAAACCAAATGAATAACAAGTGGACCTTGATTAATTTAAGAGTATTTTACTAGAAGGTAAAATAAACTCAAAAGATATTATAGACTTAATCTCTAACTTATAATGATTTTATTTATTTATTTATTTTAGCAATTTATTTTATTACTTACTTATTTATATTTTTAAACTTTTTCCAATTTCTAATCTACCGAGAAATTAAGTAAGATTTAATTTGTTTTAGTTAAAATCAATTACTCTTAATTAATTGGTTTTGATAAACATAATTATCACAAGGAAATCTTGTAATTTTAAATAATTATTTTACTACATTTTTTTTCAAAAATAAATTCAATCTAAAAATGAATTTGACACAAAGGTTTCTATGTGATTTATGTTTTCAAATTTATATTGAAAGATATTCTATGGTTTATTGTAGAGAGTGAAATAAAAAATACAAAATTTTAATTTTAATATTTAAAATAAATTGGGATTTTAATATTTATGAAATCATTTTTAACAATTTTAATATAAAAAGAAAAAAATCAGTTAAAATTCTTAATTAAATTTTATGTTAATATTCATTGATAAAATTTATATGAAATACTAATAGACTTTTTTTATGATAAACATCAAAAAAATTTGGCAATAAATTATTTTGTTTTTGGTTATAGTTATTATTATCACTCAATATAAATGAATCAAAGTGCAAGTTAATCTAATAAAGCATTACTAAAGGCATCATCTTGCTTCTATTTTTAGGCAGGTTATTATTAAGCTACTGCATGTTATTATTATTAAACATTAACATTGGCAACAGGGATATTATTAATTTGAGTATTTAATTTGTTGGCTTCTTCTTATTTTAATTCGTTTTCAATGGCTGCAAGTTCGTCTTCAATTTCACTGCTGTTAACTCCTAATTATGCTTATTGCTAATTTATAAAAAATTAATTGCATTTATTTGATATTTTTATAGATATAGTGTAAAGAAGTAACTTAATAAATCAACAAAGTTAATATTTTAGCTATTTACCTCAAACATCTAATCAATTTGCTTTTGGTCTGCATCCATATCTTGCAATTCACCTAAAGTTTCTTCTAGCTTATCAAAATCTGTGGTAGCTTTTAAGACTTAAGCAGCTTTAGACAAAACTCTATTATAAAAAAAGATTATTAGATATATATAGCATGATAATAACCAAATATAGAAGATAGTATCGAGAATAATGAAGCATTTATGAATAAATGATAAATATTAATTACTCAGTAGAATTCATATTTTCTAATCCATGTTCAAGTTGCATACGAACCTTCAAGAAGACTTGCTTTTGATTTTCAGCTCTATTAATGTATTACTCAAGTTATTATATTTCTTATAATTTGAATGTGGCTTATTTCTTTTTTCCATTTCTTACTAATTCTTTTACGGTACCTCTCAATGTATCAATTCTTTCGGTATACTTGTCAATCTTCTTTTCAAAATTATCTTCTTATAACTTTATTTAATACTAAAGTCTTTCAAACTCCATTTAATAGTTAGCAGCTTAGTTGGCTGGTTATTAAGCAGGCTATGGCTTGGGAGCTTCTTTTTAAGGCTTTTCGCTACCTCCAAAAAGTTTTTTGAACATTTTATTTTTAGTAAGTTGTATTCTTTTCTCTGTTTTTGATCTTTTAATTTATTATTTTTTATAATTTAAAGCTTTTATTTTTTTTCCCTTAATAATTACAAACTAAAATAAAGGCAGATCATCAAAATGAAGGATTTTAGAATTTTTCTCTAATCAATTTTTTCTATTCCATCAAGCGTGACTATTACTTTGTTTATCTTTCTGCTGATATCATCCAAATACAAATTTTTTTTTGAGTGCTTACCAACAATCAAAAGTCTTTAACTAAGAATAAATTGCTTCTTTTTTATCGCAAGAATATGAATATGATTATTTTTGTTCGCATTTCATATTTTTTTGTTTATATTTTTATTGTTCAAAAATTTAGAATTAATATTGTTCAAAAATTTAGAATTAATATTCTAAATTTATCTACAGATTATCTCGTATTAAATACTAAATTTTAAGTCTTGGATCTTATCTTGATCAGTTCATTAATATTTAGTATATAGCATTAATAATAAAATTGTGATAAAAAATAATTTTATATTTTGTTTTCTGATCTATTTTTTGAGTAAATTTAAATTTTAAAAAATAGTACAATGAGACCTTTTCTTTGTAAAAAATTTCTAAATAATTAATTTTAAATAATTAATAAAATTTTCTGTACTTTGTATCAAAAAAAGTAAAGAATAAGGTCAACTAGAGTATCTTTTATCTTCTGTGAAAATACTAATAAAAAATTAAAATTCAAATTAACATTGAACTATCTATTTTAATTTTATGCTACAGATGAAAATAAAATTGATTTAATATATATTTTAGCATTGTGAAAAATTTAGTTTGATACTTTAATTTAATTTACATATCTTTTGAAAATATTTTTCGAAATAGAATTTAACTAATTTTTTATCTTCAATTAACAAACAAAAAGCTAATGAATCAAAAAGAAAAATTTCATAATTAAATCTTAATAAAATAAAATTAAAATGATATTATTTTTGAAAAATTTAGTATTTTAGAAGTAAATTTTATTTATTTATGATTTTAACAAAAAAAAATAGGAAAGAATTGAAAGAACTGAAACAGCCATTTAAATTTAATTACTATATTAAGGTTATAACAATAGTTGTTTGATTAATTGTATTTAAAAACAATTTGTTATTTAGATAAAATAGCCATAATTTATAATATTGCCTAAAAGATAAACTTAACATAATTCTAAAGCTAACTTAAATTTGTGTCTTTTAAAATTTAATAATATATTCCAAATCTTCAAGTTATTTTATAAAACCATATCTATGAGCATATCTAAAAGTTTTTCTACAGAAAGAGATGAATTTTTTGATGATTTAGTAGACATTTAATATCAGAAATTGCATCCACTTTTAACCAGCAGTAAATTATATACCCAAAGTGTTGAATCTGAAAGTCCTTCTAAATATACTACATTTTGCTCTGGACTTTAGGATAGTCTTGAAGTTGCAAGTGAGTTTATCAAGCTTGTGTTTAAAAATTTAGATTAAAATATTTTCACTCATCAAATTGAATAAAAAGTAATTCCTTTTAGTGCTAGTAATAGTTTATTATATTGTGAAAAAATGCTTCTTTTTGGCTATCACGAACTAGACGATGATAGTTGTAACTAAAATATAGAAACTTTAGAAGAATAAGAACCTGTAATTTTATTTTTAGACTTCATTTTTTTAATATTTTCTGTTAGATTTCATCTAAATTTATATTAAGGGTACAAATAAACACTTTATAAATAAATAATATTTTAATAATCTAAAGAAAAGGTAAAAAATTGACTAATGGATGAGGTCTGTGATAAATGTGGATTTTATATTACCAATTGAAGAAAATAACTTATAAAGTAAAAATGTTGATAGTGATAAGGAATCTACACATTCAAAAAGTAGTAGAATTTCCGATGTCAGTAAATGGAGAAGGATTAACACTAGCAACTAAAAGAATGGATAAACAAAAAATATAGAAGCTATTTTCGAAGATCCTGTCCCAGTAAACATGGAAAAACCACCTGAGTATGATGAGTTTGAAGAAAGAGTTAGAGTTATTAAAATGTTAGAAATTAAAAGGAAACAAGAGATGGAGCTATAAGAGTAATAAGCTTAAGAAGTATAACAAACTTGTTTTCAAATTAGTATATAAAGTTCATTGTTATTTTATGAAAAAGGAAATTAAAAAGTAATAATAGACAATGAAAAAAGAAATAAAGGGTTATAAATTTACTTATGATTTTGATGGAAAAATACTAAATACTAAAGGAATAAAAACTGAAAAGCTACCCCCAGCTAATTATGTTGTGCAGTAAGTAAATTAATTTAGTTTGTGCTTACTTTTTTAATTATGTATGAAGATATAACTTAAAAGATGATCACCTTATCAAAGGAAAGGATACAACATCTAGTAAACAGGTTATAAAAAGTATGAAAGACATTGAATCAAAATCAAATATAGTCAATCCTAATTTAATTAATACAGATTATCAAAAGTTTGTATAATTGTAATAACAATAAATATTAAATGATATGAAAAGAAAAAAGTCTCTAACAAATAATTAGCCATAATAATAAGTTTCTAGACAAGAATCGTTTACTAGATTAGATAAAAATGTTATTAAAAATGTTATGTAATAATCAACTCCATTTGAATATGATAGTTTTATGCCTTCTATAGGAGTCAAGCTGATTTTTGAATCTAAGATAAAGGAAGGAGAGAAATACAAACACGATATTTAAGATTTAGAGCAACTAGATAGATAATTAAAGATGCATAAAGAGAATGAGCCAATACATATTACTAAATCCGAGTATCATAAATTAACAGAAAAAGGAAATCTGAATCGTAATAATTCGTTGCAAAATCTATATTTAAATCAGTAAGACACAAAAAAAAACCAATTACTCCAATCAATTAATTTAGATTCAAATATGTCACAAATTAACTTTAATAAATTTAATGATTTTTCGTCTATTTTTAAATCAGAGAATAAAAGAGCTTAATCCTTGCATAATAGTTAGCAAAATATGTCTATTAAAATTGAAAATCCATAACTAATTTAAGGTTTATTTGTATATTAAGATGAATAAAAAAATGGTCCACTTTCAAATGATAAAAAGGTATGTAACTTTTAAAATTAATTTTATTTAAAAGAATTTTTTTGTTTTTGATATAGCTTCCACAGATTCCTGAAAGAACACATAAGTCTCAACAGCAAAAGAAATCGCCTAATGATTTATTTAATTTAAATATACTTGAGGATAATAATTGGGGGAAGGCTAAAGGTGGAACATTTTATCCTCCTGATTAACATATAAAAAAACCTACAAATAATGATTTTAAAAAAAGTCTAAGCACTTTATATAAGCTACCCAGAGAGAGAGATTTATTGTAAGCTAAAAAAAAACATGAGTTACTTATTAATTAATAAATAAAAGAGTAATTTTCTAAAAAAAGTAATCAAGCAAAAGATCTAGAAAAATTAACAAAAGATTATTAGCTTGGTTTTAAGCAAACATTCTACAGTACTAGGTCTGTCTTTGAAAATAATCTAAGAATGACGTATGGAAATTTTTGATAAGATAAAAAAACTAAAAAAGCAATAAAAAATTTTAATTAATGTTGAACTATAAATTCATGTAAATAATTGAAAAACAAAAGGAAATCACAAAATATTTAAAAAAATATCTTAAAATACTTAAATTAAAAGAAATTAAATATTAAATTATGTTAAAACCAAACTATAAATTGTTTGTCTTTTACATATTCGTCAATATTTATTTAACTTCAGTGAATTTCCAATATTAATTTTGATTTTCTTTAATTTTAAGTGTAATAATGAATTCATTTTACAAAATTACAAAATTATATCAGCTGTTGGTTAATACTTTATATGATATATTAATTCTTGCATATAAAATTTTCTCAAACATATAATTTTATAATCAATAAATTGAAAAAGGATTTAAAATTTTTTAATTTAATAATATTATTCAATAATTTAAAATAAAATCCAAATAAATGGACGATTATAGTATTAGTAGCTAGGGTAATTCCGATGCTGTTAAAATTGTAGTATTAGGTTAAGGAGGTGTCGGCAAAACTTGCTTGATATTGCGTCTTAGGAATGATGATTTTGATGAAAATTATGTTCCTACACTTTAAGATACATATCATAAAAATTTAGTAGTAGATGGATTAGTAACTTAACTAGGTAATTTTTAATCCTTTATAAATTCTAAAAATTATGCCTTATATTTGTCAGGCTTTTTAAATGTTTGAAATTTTTTCAAAACAATTGTTAGATGAGGCCTTTTAAATATTAACTTTTATTAATAATTAGAAATTCTTGATACAGCAGGATAAGAAGACTATGAAGTACTTAGAGATATGTGGATAAGGAATGGATAGTGTTTTATTTTAATGTATAGTATTAATAATTAAGAGTCATTTGAGGATGTTAAGAGTTTGGTAAAGAGAATTGAAATGGTTAAATGCATAAATCAAAAGACATTTTAAGAAATGAATATATAGATAATTATAGTAGGCAGTAAGCTTGACTTAGATAGTGAAAGATAGGTTAAAAGAGAGCTTGCCGAAAACTTTGCTAAGTAGCATAATCTCTTATTTAAAGAAACAAGCGCTAAAACAGGATAGGGTTGTGTTGAAGTTTTTGAGGACTTGATCAGGAAATAGAAGAATTAGTAGAAAGACATAAATTAAAAATAAAGTAAAAGTAAAACAAAACCAAAGAAGAAAAGAAGATTTAGATGCAATTTGATTTGATAGAAAATTTTGCCAGACTAGCTTTGAAGTTTTTTAAATGATAAATTTAGAAGTTTAATTGAGATAAAAAGATGTAAGCTTAATAATATTTTTGTTATTAGGAAATTGAAATTAATTAAAAATACCTAATTTATTGCAAAATGAAAAATATTTTTATAATAAATAAATTAAATTTATACAAAATTGTATTAATTCATAAAAATACTTATAATTTACACTAAAATCTAACAAATCTTTTTATGATCGATCAATCACACTTGATAAATAAGTATAAAAAAAACCAAAACTATTTTAAATTGTTTGATATGCATATAAATATATTTTTTAATTAAATTTTTTCTCTACAAATTATTAAAGTGAATGAAAGAATTAATTAAATTCTCAATATTATAAAATTATTTTTTGTGACAATTAAATATTTAGCAAATTTTAGTAAATTAGATTTTTTAACAGCTGATCAAGATTTTTTTATATATGAATAATCACTGTTTGATTATGAAATATTTTTTTGCTTTAATTAGTTTTTTTAGTATTTATTATTTTAATTTGAGGTAATCCTTTGCACTGAGGAATTTCCAGAATTTAATGAGCCAAAATGCCTAAAAGGTTTACTATTTATTTACACACCATAAGTTAGAGAATATTAAGATTTTCTAGTTCTATTTTAAGTTAAGTTAGTTGAAATTGTCTTTCTTGGCTCCATTAAATGATCATTTTGTGAATTAGGAATGTTTATCTAAGGGTATTCGTTGTTATGAAGCAAATAAATGTTTGTTTGCTAATATTAAGCCTAAGGCTATGAAGGAGATATTTTTATAGGTATGTTAGGAATAGCCTATATTTCTTTGATTTTCAATCTTTGTACTAGTTAAATTTGAGGATAAATGAATGAGAAATTGTTGTGAGGATAATAAATTTTGTAATTTTTCAATTTATCTAAATTCCATTCTTCACCTTATCTGCTTAATGCTGAAGTATACTGCTTATATAATACAGCACTAGTTTCAATTTTCTTATTTGTCTGATTACTACTGCTTTTATGGTCTATATCTTTGATACTATTCTTATGTGAATTAAGGTCGTACTGAAGATCCGAATCTCTATCACAATTTTTCATTTAGTCCAGAGACTAAGCAAGACTATTATACCTTTAAGCTTAACTCATCTACCTGAATACAGACTAGAATTTTAATAAAAGACTCTAAAATTGCTGAATGACATAGGTAGATTATTGAGCAGAATTTTAATAATTGCTTTCTTTTGAACTCAAACTTTCTTAATAAGGAGATAATTGGATAGAAGTACTAGTGGGGTTGTTATTTTTTAAATTGTTATCGCTCTTCATCCTAAAATAAAATGTAAGTATTTAAATAAATATTTCTTTAAACCAATATAAATATATTACCCTAGAATCGATTCATCTGCGAATTTAAGATGTCTTTTATTTGATTTTTTAGAACTCAATGTGTAATCTCTCGTAAACTCTTTGCATAGAGAAGGATCAAGAATCAGATCTTGAAGTATTGATTTTTCATTAGCTGACTACGCTTACTGATCTGGAGAGGAATTTTATTTCTTGCTTTTTCTTGATGCAAATGACTTAGTCCGACTATATATTTGTGGAGCAGTCTAGGTTGTAAGTTTCTTATTCTGAATTCTCTATGGTGGTTGATGATCATAAATTAAATGCTAAGTTAAATCTGGAATACTAACTCTAGCTTCTACTGATGCATTTGTGTTAATATTGTTTAGGGTAGCATTGTTACTCACCATATTTAAAGTCGGGTTGTTACTATTTATATTATTAGAAGTATTTATATTTGGATTGTTATTATTATTGCTAGTAGATTCTTAAAGAAAATATTCGTATCCCTAAAACTATTGATCAGTATAAACAGTATTGTAAGTCATTTCCTTCCTGTACTCTTTATTTGCCATAGGATCTCCATTCATCTAGCTTGATGATGAATCTTTTCTTAATGACTTAACTTGCTTGCTTAACTGGCTAGAACTTTCGGCATGAGGATTGCTTGCTGTATTAGGAGTGTTAGATTCTCCTCTACCACTGTTATTATTATTGTTATTATTATTACCTGAAGACTATTTGCTTTGTTTCATAATTTATTATTGTTATAACAATAATAATGATTGCTACTATTACTACTATAATTTTAATCCTTCGTCTTCTTAGTCTGAAAAGTTCTTTAAAGTATAATTATCATCTCTCATTTTGTCTTATTCATTTGGCTGTGAAGTTTCTTCTTCTTCAGGAATAGTTTTGCTATTTCCAGCATAGTCCTCATCATCATCAAATTCTTCCTCTTCCTCATAATTTTCTTCATCAAGCTCATAAATATTAAGCTGCTCTATTAAATCATTCAATTTTTAAAAGCAGATGCTATCATCCTTAAGTTATTATTAGACTTTAACAGCTTTTTTGATAATGAAATACTAACTTTGAGAATATTTCTTTCTTCTTTTATAACTTTGATTTCTAATCTATTCTGCACTATAAATATGGCGATGCATAATTTTAACCTTATCAAATTAAGGGTGTATCAAAGGGCAATCATTGATTGTGTGAGTTATTTTTCCACAAGAGTAGCAATTAACTCCCAGGCAGCTTATATCTTCATATAAAATATAAGAATCTTTTAACATGCAAAACCTCTCAAGATCATCTTGTTAATTTTTAACAATCTAAAGGACAGACTCTCTTTTTACTTTACCAACTTTAACATAGTCCAATGCTACCATACTTACCTATCTTAGTTATCCTTTTAATTAATTTATTTAAAAAAGTTATTGAAATTCAATAATTTATAAATTAAATTAATTTTATATAAAGTCTAAATGAAGAATTAATTTATAAACTTTTAATAACCTGTAAAAAAGCAAATTTCTCCAAAGACTTATCCCTTTTTTAAAGTTTAAATGTACTTCATATTTTAAAAATCTACTTGATCACCTTGGTACACACCAACTTTAAATAATTAATTAAATATGTAAACTTTTCAAAAACCTAATAAAAAATTTTACCTGACCCATCTACTATATAAAAAATAGAAAAGTCATCAGGATTATTTTCTGAATATATGACTTAATTAGGTAAATAGTTTATCTCTTCTATGTAGAATAAAAGAGAGTCTAAGGTTTTCTAAGAAAAGATTTTGTTAAAAATATCAATTTTTTGAAGAATTTTCAGATTTGACTATTCACTTATTTCTTTTCTAAGTTCTATGGGAAGACTTTCGAAAATTTTATTTTCTTTATCCTCTATTTCTTTTTTTTATTTTCTTTTAGAGTCCTACTAGATATGATAAAGCACTCTTGACTGCAGACTTTTAGAGACAGATTTTTTAGCCATGTATCTTTAAATGAAATACAAAATTTTTTTAAATTCATAATTATATGACAAATAAATAATATTTAATTTACGAGCTAATCATCTGAACATTTTTCTGTGAACTTTCTTCATTAATATTTTAATTACATTTATCATAAATAGACTTTATCCATAACAATAAAAATGAGAAAAAGATGTATCCAAGAGCCATAGAGAAGCATGAAAGAATTAATTCTTTGGTAGTATTTGGTTTATATGAACCATACAAAGTCAGTTAAGACAATCCCCAAAACAGAGAATTCAAGTATTACACATACCAAGAAGAGTGATATATCTATTACTTTTATTTATATTAAATTTAATTTTAAAATATTTTGCTTGATGATTATAAAAAATATTTAAATATTTAAAAATTCCTTTTCAGTAAAAAGTAATTATTAAGAATAAAATAGTTATACTTAATCTAACCAGTTTTCTAGATTATCTTAATTATGTAATCTGTAAGCAATTCCAAACCAAGCTAAAGAAAAGAAATGAGCCACAGTGAAAATGACAAACATAATCTATACTAAATTATAAACTATTATATAATATCCCTTAGTAATAAAATAGTTATATATGATAGTTTAATGCTGAATCAAGCTAAAGATCTTAAGGAATATAAATATTCTAAGGAAATAGAGATAGCTTGAATACATGTGCAAATCTATTTAAGTGTCAATTATTAATATTACTATAGCTGAAAAATCAACTAAGAATACACCTTTTATATAGGTGTATGCAACAACATATCTCGAGTTGATAGGTATAATTTTTTTTTCATCAGTTTCTTCAACAGTGTTAGTGTTAAAGTGAACAAAAATATCTACAACAAATAAGCAAATGCAAATAATAGCAAGCCACTTGTTTAAGAAATCATCTATAAAAGGTTATCCTGTGGGAAATACCATAGATACTGTTGTGCTAAAAATCAATATTAAAATTAATATAGACTGCACCATAGAATTTAACACAGATACTAAACAATTTGGCTCCAGCATTTAAATGTTAGGTAGCTTAGAAGATAGAATCATAAATACTTTCCCAAAAAATTAAACAAAAGCAGAATACTAGTAAGTCTTATGAGAATTGTAAGTAGTTATTAGAGATAAATCATTAATAATCGAGTAATGTCTCATTTTTAAGTTGAATGGCTTACGAAGCAAGACTGTTGAATCTTTTAATTTTTATAAAAACAGATTAACTAATCTATCCCTTTTTTATTGTAATATTGCAGGAAAAGCATTCTAAGAGAGCTTTATTTTTTTCATCTTTGAAGAAGTTATGCCCTCATCACCAAATTTGTTGGAGTCAGGTGTTAGTAAAATGTTATTTATTCCACTTTTTTCTATTTATAAATTAGACATATTTTGTTAGCCATCCTAGTTGCTTTGTTGGTTAGATTACAAATAATTCTATGAATTTCTATTATTTCTATGATTTTAAGCTGAAGAAAAACTTGTATTGTTATTAGCAGAATTTTTGTTTTACATATTGTTATAATGTGAAAGACCCTAATGCTAATTATAGTGAAGGAGACTTTAAATCTAATATTTGTTATTATCATCTCGATCAAATTAAGATCCAAATTTAGCAATTTAACTTTACTAGTCGTTAGAAATAGCTTTTACGCTATTATCAATAGAATGATCCTGCATTTCGCTAAGCTTCTACTTTATTACTGACTATCTCTTTTGTTTATCTTCAATAATCTTTAAATCAATGCTTAAATGAGCAGATGAATTAACTCTCTTAGAGGGATTAACTTCTAGCTTTAAAGATAAATCATTCTGAGAAGGAGTATTTTACTACTAAGAGGGAGAATAAACAGATTATATTTCACGCTACGGTAATTCCATTAAACTTTAATGCTCCCGAGGATCAAATAATTATTTTTTTTTTTACTTTATCTTATCTGGGGATATTTCTCCATCGTTGTGATTAGATTAGAAACCTTCTTAAATATTAGCTAATGTTAATTAATTTTATGTGTAATTATGAAATTGATTTTCTTCTAATTATTTTTGTTTTTGAAAAGACAGCTAAATGTTAGATTCTTGAATCATATCATTTCCAGCATTTTGAATGTAATTCTGATCTTCTTCGTTATTTTGATGGTCATTTATAAACTCAGTAGAGCTTACGTTTGAAGATTACATATGCTTCAAACTTTTGATGATTTGAAAATTCTTATTGCTCACTTTCAATACTTTCAATGTAGCTTAAAATATAATTAATAGAGATTTATGTTCAGTTTTATCTTAATCTGCAACAATAAAAATAATGTTCTTCAAGTATATTCAAAATATTTGAAGATATTGTGGATGCTTTAGCTTGCTTGAATACTTAGCTGTATATTAATTTATTAAAATTTATAAACCAAAAGCTCACTGTATTGATATCTATGAATGAATTAAAGAAAGAAACAAATATACAAATTTAGAAAATAATTTGATAGTTTCTTAATTTACTAAATTTATGTAATTCAATTCAATATTGCGTGCAGATATTAATCAAATTGCATAATTTTTTTTAACTATAATAAAAAAATCAAACAAATATTTAATCACTTTTAGTAGAAACATTCATACGATTATTTACAACCACTCATATTTTGACAAATTTTTAGTCTTCTCATTTCTTCACAAACTGAATACTACTTCTAACTATTTTTCAATAAAAAACATATATGCTTGTTTAATCATTCAGCTATATTTACTTTGATTATAATAAAAATCATATTTATGCTGCATTAAATTAAATTATTTTTATGGAGTGAATCATTTATTACATTATCAAATATGAAGTATTATTAAAAAAAAATATCTCATCAAGCAAATATTTAAGTTTAATATTGAAATATCAAATAAAGTCTTCAAAGCGCTATAATATTCTTTAAAAGTAAAAAATAAGAATTATTAACTTGATTTCATTTATTAATTTAATAAATATTTGGAATATCTATTTATTGATGGTTTATCAATTATTAATTTTTTATCTGATTAAAATTTTTGCTATTTTTATATCATAAAATATTTTTGACAACCAATATTTTATATAATTTAAAAATGTTACTCAATTTAAATTTCATCTTTCTAATGAATGAAAAATAAATTTTCAGATTTTTTTTTTCTTTCTTACTTTCTAATTTTGTTAAGATTCAATTCTCTACTTGTGATAAGATATGTTTAATTGTCTAATATCTCAATTCGAAATATAATTAAATTTATTTTCAAAAAATCGATTTTAATTATTATTTATGTTTTATTAATATTTTTTGATTTAAAAATATTTTAAAATAAATTTGACAATTAGTTGAAAATTAGAAACTCGTTTTATTTTTTATTTATTTATTCAAATGAGACATTTTGCATTTCATTTTTAAAATAAATTTATTTAATATTTAGGAGCTATATTGCTATTATAAATGATGATCAAATTATTATATGAAAAGTTAGTACATATATAGTTGGTGTTAATATTAATTTTATAATTTTTATTTTTCTAATTAAATAACAGTATATTTAATAAAAGATACATTTTAACTTACGGATATAAAAAAGTATTTAATAATCACTAAATTTGAAAAATATTCATTCATATTGTATTATATAGAATAGTAATTTGGTCATTAAAAAGCTTAGCTAAATAACCTAGTATTTAAAAGAATAAATCCTTTCTATTGCAGAAGTAGTCTAAAAATGGACTTAACACTTGAAGAATAGTTTTTTTTAGCAATGAAATTCAGTCAAAGATTTCTATTTAATATTATGTAAAATAACCTAATTTAAAGATACAATAAATAGAATAAGTCTTTACAATCCTATTCTATTATATTTAATATAACTCTTATTCAATACATAAAATAAAATAAAAATTTTTAAAAAATACTAATTTAATTTGATAATAATTCTTTTTGATTTTAATAATTTTTTTAAAAAAAGAAAAAATAAAACTTATTAAAATCTTGGGTAAGATAGTAAGTATATTTGGTTTCAGCATTTTGGTTTTAATCTAGGCTTTGAAGAATGATTGAAAATTGAAAAAAAAATAATCAAAATTTTATTCAAATGCAAATAATCCACACCAATATTAAAAAAAATAAGAATATAATTTATTAATTTAATTAATTATATTTATATTCATCTAAACAAACACTACGAATCTGTTTGAATTTTGAATGTTACATTTTGATGCCTGTAATTATGAAAGAGGAAAAACTGTTTGAAATTAAAAAAATTACTTCTTTCGTAATTTAAATATCCTTTAAAAAATAAAAAAAATATGGCATTTTAAATTAAAATTGATTAAAATATAGATTAGAATTTTGAACAACTATAAATGCTGTATCGTTATTAATTGGATTTAATTCTCTGAAAATATTTATTCTTTTATATTTAACAGAAATGTTCTTGAACCAAATAAATCTAAAATAAAATATTCTTAATTTAATATAGAGCAATAAAAATAATGAAGTATATAACTAAAGTTATAAAAATATTATTTGTATAAATATGTTTTAAGCAAATTTAGTAATTTAATCAATCAATTACAGTGGAAAGATAGTTTTAATGCTAGTGAAAATATGGTCATATATACGTTTTTAATTGTTGTTGATATCTTAAACAGTTTAGATTAGAGAGTTTATTTTAGTTTTTATTTATAAATAAAATTTTGTTAAATGATTTTGATTGATTAATTCACATATTTTTATTTTGAATGATGCATTATTACTAAATAACTAATTCAGATACTGAACTTAATTAAATTGTTTTGATAACGCAAAGAAATTTATAATATTTATTATTATCAAAAATAGATAAATTAATATTCTTTGAAAAAAAAACTGATGATTTCAAACACTAGTTTTGACATTCAAATGAGTTAAGCTCAAGCATAAAATGCTTAGAGCTTTAAAAAGAGAATAGCAAACACTGCCACAGGTGTTGCAGCTATTGCAGTCGTAACATGCATTACTATTTTGATAGTAACTGCTGGAGCTTCAACTAATAACAATAACCCCGAGTTATCAATAGCTGATCCTTCTTAAAATCTACGTGAAGAAATTTTCATAGACAATAGGTAATTCAAATAATTCATAGCCTTATCTAAGAAGAGCGTTATCAATTTCGAAAATATTTCTGATCACATCTACAGCCTCTTTTAATAAGATAAGGTCTAGGTAGAACGTATTACTAACCTTTTTGTCAAATTTGTTTTTGACTTAATCGATAGTAATGATAATGATGTAATTGATAGAAATGAATGGAATGCTTTCTTCACAGCTCTTTATCCTCTAGACAAGGACTTCTTTGCTGCATGGTTTGACTAGGTGAACAATAAGGCTCCTTTCAAGATTGATGCCTTCAAGAAGTTTGTTTTTAACCAAGAATCTAAAGCCATGGATAAGCCTCCTTAATTAAAGACTAATCCTAAGGTTGTTTTGAATAACTTTGCTAAGTTAGTTATTAAAGACAATAATAACTATAAGAAAACCTACACCTTCATTTTTAACATCTATGATGTAAATGGTGATAAGGTTGTACAAAAAGACGAGTATATTAAGCTTCTTGTTTCCATGGGAGAACCTAAAGCTAAAGCCTAAGGTGAAGCTGATAAACTTTTTAAATTTATCTAAGAAAATAAAATAGGAACAGCTGACTAAATTAAGTTCGAAAATTGGGCTAAGTTTGCTGAATCTATTAAACCCTCTCTCATTGACATGCTCAACAAAAATACCTCTTTCTTGTTGAAGGAACAACTCAAATAACAATAGTTCGTTGCTGTTTTAGGATAATCTCAAGATATCTACCACAACACTATCAGCATGATCCAAGAATAAATCGATCTCTAAGTCTCTGGAAACAGTGCTTTGACCAGTGAATAACAAAAAATCTTAGATCATCTCTTGAACACTATTGCCTAATTCGAATTTGACATTGTTGATTCTAATGGTGACAAGGTTATAACTCGTTAAGAATATGTCCATTTCATTGATACTCTTTTCAAGAAGCAAGCTGATAGATAACACTTCTATAAGGAATTTGATCAAATTAATAAAGGTCAACAAGTTACTTATGCCTAATATCTTAAGCACGTAAAAGACTCAGTAGCTCAATCAATGAAGGATGACAACAATGAAGGTGACGATGATGATAGTGACTTTTAGTACCAACCTCATGAACCTAGCAAAAAGATAGGTTAAAGACTTGGTTTATACTTGATTGAAAATGACAGAAACTTTGAATTAACCTACAAGTTTATCTTTAACTTGTTTGATGTTAATCAAGATAAGGTTGTTTCTGTTTCTGAAATTAATGGCATTTTCAAGGCTTTCAACCCTAATTAAGCTGAACTTGAAAAGCAAAAAGCATAAGTTTAACAATTCTTTAACGGTCTTAAGCAAGCAGGAGTTGGTGATGGTAACTAAGTCACTTTAGACTAATGGGCTCAATTAGCTAAGAAGGTAAGACCTGAGCTTCTCAAGCAAATCAAGCAAGCCTAATTCTTCTTACAATTCATAGCTTCATTTGAATTAAAATATTGATCTAGAAATCTATCTAGAAAGTACTATAATTTTAATATAGAGAATATTAGACAACAACCACAGAAATTTAAAAATAATTGTTTTTTTACGTCAAATTCATGTTTTTTTATAAAAATTAGCTATTTCAAATGAATTAAATGTTTGTCTATTTTATTGAAATATTTTCTATTGCTTGAATAATTTTTTATTTAGATTTTTATAACTTATGGTAAAGCTAATAATTATAGAAGAGCAAGTAGCTAGCTACTTTAGTTATAAATACTCAGATTTTAATATTAAGTAAATATTCAAAATTTATCTTCTTCATCTTCGGCATTTTTTATTGTAAAAGTCTTATTGGGAATTTTAATAAAAAAAATAATCTTGATTTAAAATAATCAGAGTAAAAATTTTGTGAAGAAAATAAGTAAATAAAAACCAAAATAATTTTTAGTTAAATTTGTTGTATTTAATTTTTATTAATCTTTGATTATATAATTTTTATTGCTAATTAGCTCTATTAAAGTAAAATTAATTATATTTAAATTTATTAAAGATAAAATTATATACTATTAATCTATTGAATACTATTTTTGCTGGAGTAAATATATTAAAGATATTGGTTGAAGTAATAAATAAATATTCATTCTTAATAGAGTTATAATTAGTTAATTAAAAAGAAACAAAGAAAAATAAATAAATAATAACACTTGAATTAGTTTGGTTGTATATAATAAAAATTAAATAGTAAATTAAAATACTTAAAGAATCTTTAAAAAATTAAAATATTTACTCTATTATGTTATTGATAAATTGATAAGATCAATTAGAAATATATTAAGTAAAAAAAATTAATTAAGAAATAATTAAGTAAGATAAATTATTCTATCTATTGATAGTTAATTATAAACAATAATCTATAGATAACAAATATAAGCTATTCACAAGGTCCACAATTTCATATATTACTGACTTCATATTCTTAAATAATGAATAACAAATTTTAAAATTATCATAATTATTAAATACTTTTGATAAATACTAGATATCTTTAAGCAATATAAATTCTTTATTTCGTAAAAATCTATTATACATTTTATAAAATTATATTCTTTTAGATTTAGGGTTCCTACAAAATGGTAGTTTTTGAAGTATTTGTTGAGCAATAGTGATTGCAAACCTTATTTATTTAAAAGTTAATTATAAATAATTACACTATAGCCCTAAAATTTAAATAACTAAATTTTTTCGATATTATAGTAAAGAATCTATTTAATCACTTGATTTTAATACAAATTTAACAGAAAAATTGTAGGCGAAGATTATTTTTTTTTTGATTTCTTTAATACTGAAAACATAATTTATTAATAATATTTTCTCAATCCTATAAATAAATTGACAAAACCGTCTTAATAAATTGAAGCAATCATCCGTTTAGCACAGCGTAGATAATTGGAATTCTATCAAATTCCCTGAAATCTACCCAAAAATGATAAGTGATATTTAGTCTACTCATAGAATGAGAGAGAACCAAGAATGGATTCACCCTGCAAATATTTAACTTAATGATTTAGGACCAAATGTAAGCGATAGATACTCAGACATTTCTTCACCAAATAGAAATAGTTTTATTCATGATCAATGCCAAAGTAAAAAATTACTTTAAATATTGTAATCTTACTTTAAGTACTTGTTTTATATAAAAAAGATTCTGCAGAAGGTTAAAAAAAAGCTTTAACTAGATATAACTAAGAAGAGCAACACCAAACATAAAGGGAACATTTAAAAATGGAAATTTAAGAATAAAATGAATAGCAAATAAGTTCCTCTTATAGAGGCTTAAGCAATAGTAAATATTATTTAATATAATAATAAACAATTATGAACGAATAAATAAATAAAGAGTATTTACAAATAGTAATAGTATTTTTAATTTTTTTATAGAGTAAAGTAAGGCCAAGTCAAAAAGTACTTCTTAAAATTTTTCTACCTAAAAGAGGCAATCTAAATTGAATATTTTCAGTAATTTATATACTGAAAAAAGTTAAATGATTTATAAGACTAAAAAAATAATTAAAAAATTTTTGAAGGAAGATAAACCAATTCAACTTTCTGATAAAGCTAAGTCTGTATTATCTGTTTTTAAAAGAATTTATAATTTTATTCAAGTTGTAAGAGTATTTACTCGTTCACACAGCATCACTGCAGAGTAGGTATAGATGAAAATCATTTTATTTATTATTAGAAGATTTGAATAAATTAAAAATAAAATAAAACAATCTTTATAAACCAATCAATTAATTTTCATTTTAGAAGAATATAAATTTTAATTATTTTATAAAAGTTTAGGCTTATCAATGATATCTCTTCACATAGATTTGATAAATAATCATTGCATAAATAGAAAATTCTGACACTTAATGATATAAAAAATGGGCTATGGAAAATTTTAGATTTCATAGTAGGTTTAGGTGGTTTAAATAGATTAATTTTCAAAAATAAAGTGTCTTTATTGCCAACTGACTAAATTAATGTAATCTGGATGCTGTTTTAGCTTTTTTTTAACTTTTTTGCATTATATTATGCAAGCATATATATTGTATTCGACTTTAGAAGTCGTCTCTTAGAAATTGATGAAGGAGTAAGTAAAGCATCAAGCATTTACACGACAAACGTCTACATTTTGATTTTTACTACAATCTTAGATGTTATTAAAGGTTTTAATACAGCCTTTTACAGAAAAGGAGAAACTATTATAGATAGAAAGGAAATAGCTATTAATTATATCTATGGCAGATTCTTTTTTGATTTTTTATCACTTTTTAGTGTTGTCTTTAGCAGAACTTTTTTCCCTGACATGGATAAGTTATTGATGTATAGAATATAATTTCTCTTTCTTTTTAAAATCCATAACATTTAGCATGTTATTTATGTCTTTTAAAAGACGTTCATCATGAATGAAAAATACGATAACATAATATCACTGCTTAGACTTATGGGTATTCTTTGCATTTCCTCTCATGTAGGTGCTATAATGTATCATGTAATAATATCATTTTTTATAATAAATTTAAACTTAAAATTTTATTTTTACTTTTATGCAAAAGTGTCAAGCTTAATTCCAAATTTATTACATGAATTCTAATTAGACTTGGCTAGACTAAGCTGGAATATTAAACGAAAACTACTGGGTAAGATATATTAACAGCTTCTTTTGCTCAGCTGGTACATTGGTTAATGCGATTGTTTATAATCCTAAAACAACAATAGAAACTGTATACATGACTTTTACTCTTTTAGGAAATTGTTGTATCTTTGGTTATGTTATCAATGAATGTAAAAATTTTTGAATTTTGCAATAAAATGATAATTTAAGTTTACAAAAATTTAAATAGTGGGAAATATTATGGATAATATTGTAAAGAACTAAAAAAACAGCCAAAAAGAATTAAGACTTATTAATTCTTATATGGAAACAAAGAATGTTAACAGAGAGTTATAAACAAGAATTAGAAATTATCTAGAATATATGCATAGAGAAGAAAGACAATTAAACTTAGAGGAAACCAAATAAGTTATTGAAAAACTATCAAGCTAACTCAAAATCGAATTAGTCAAAGAAGTCAACATTCAGTATGTTGCAGTTTTTCATATCTTAAATAAGATTTTCTCTTAAAAAATCTAAGAAAAATCGCTTTTTATTATGAATGACATAAAATTTACTCCTGGTGAAGTTATTTTCTTGGTAAAATTTAAACTAATTTTATTACAAAATAAATGGATATATTATAATTTTGATTTCATAGGAAGGTGATTATGATGATTGCAGTATATATCTTATTTTGGAGGGCTAAGTGAACATTTATCATACAAACAATAAAGATGAAGATTATATTGTACAGAATTTGAAAAAAGGACAGTGCTTTGGTGAAATAGCTTTTTTTACAGGTTAGTAGAGAAATGCATCTGCTAGAAGTAACGAGTTCACAACTCTAATTAAAATTGAAAGAGAGTAGTTTATTTAGCTAATTAAAGAACATTCTTAAGATGATTATGAAACTTTCCAATAAATTAACCATAAAATTTAGCAATCTTAAGACTATTCCTAAATATATGAAAAAAATACAAAATGTAATTTATTTATTTTTTTATCAATTAAAATTTAATAAGTTTTTATTATTTCTATAAAGAGGGAAAATGTTATACATGTGGTAACATTAATCATATTTCAAAAAACTGCACACTCACCCATTTTTAGCCACTTCCTGTAGCTGTTATACAGACAGGAAACAGATCATTCTAACAAGACAGACAATTCAAGTCACGTTCTAAAAAAAACAAATGGCATCCTAGAAAAAACTTAAATTTAATCAAAATGGAAGAAGCTGCTTAAGTAAAATCAAGTTTTTATTTTTAGAGATAGATTCATATTAACTGGAAATTTAACATTTATTTTTTTATAAATGATTGCTACATTAAATATTTTAATAATTAAATCAAGAGAGCAGGAGAGGAATATATAACAATAATTGAAGAGATTAATTATAATATATTAGATTAAAGTGATTATGACATCGACCAATCAATAGAATATTAAAATAACTAAGATAGATTTATGAATTACGAAAAATAAAACACTAGAGATAATAACCAATTTATGCTGTTAAGTAACTAAGATAATGTTGAAGGAATATTAGCAAGAGGAGACTAAAAAAATTTAAGTTTTAACTTTACGAGTAACCTATTTTAGGATTCAAAAAAAGAAAATTAGCAATATCCTCCCTATGATTATACAAAGTAAGAAGGTAAAGACTTTAGAGAAAATCACAAGAAAATTGATAGCAATAATAGTATTCAAAACAAAGATATCTAATATTTAAAGGATTAATTATAAAGAAGAGGGTCTAAATTTGCACCTTTACAAACACATACATTAACATAGATATAAGAATCACCTACTTATTTATAGTAAGGTAGTCAACCAAATAGCTAGTAAGGAAACATTTATTCTTCAAATTAATAATAGTAGTAACAACATTTGAATGCAATGTTTAATGGGTTAATGGCATAAAATAATAGCTTTTAGAGTCCAAATTACAATATTTAAATTACATCTCCTAAAAATAATAATAATTAAGTATAGAGAATTAGTAAAAAGTAGGGTACACACAATTATTCTGGTACTTACATTGCTAGAAAGTTAATGGGAAAATCATAAATTCCTCCATTTGATAGTTTTCCAAGATAGAATACGAATTAAACTAACATAGCTAATGGGGCTTATTAAAATAATTTTGAAGAAAATAAAATGTAATTAGTAAATAATAAAATGAAAGATTCTTTTATCAATTTAGTAGAAATATTCAAATCAAACGTGTCTCTTCAAATAGATTTTATGAGAAACTACAAGAAATATTTTCCAGATTGGAATATCTCAGAAATAGAAAGAAAAAATAAATGTAAATTAGCAAGCAAAAATCTTTATGATTCTAACAAAAACTCTATTACAAAAAGAAATTTGATTTCAAACAAGATTTTTAGCAAAAAATCCAATAAAGCTTCTGATTATTTTTCATAATTAAATACAAGGAAAAATCAGAAAAATGATAATTTAAACCCTAAAAATAAAAATGAAGAAGAATGATAGATTTAATTAAAAATTATAACTTTATTTCGAAATTTATATTTTTGCATAAAAGACCTAACAATAAATTATTAACTTTTGTAATATATATTTACATATTTGCAATTTTTTGTTTTGATAGTAATAGTTAATTAAAATTTTATTAAGCTTTGCATTGAATATTTTAAGCAAATTTAAATAAAATTTATTCTTCAAAACCTTATTTTTTTTTTTGCAATCTTTGATAATTTAAATAGTTTAAAAATATTTATGGGATTTTGTTTTAAAAATTCAATTACTTAAATTTAAAAACTTCTTATTATTACCAAATTATACATTTCAGTCTATTTTATAAATTAAAACTAAATATAAAATATTAATGGGATTTTTACTATCATTTAATTTTTTCTTTTTAAGTAAAAGTTATTATCAAATTATTTATCTCATAAAACTGAAATGTAAATTTTTGAATTGGAAATTTTAATAAATTTTAAAATTATATATGCTAACAATTAAAATACAATTAAAGAGACTTTTTTATAGTAGAATGTTAAAATTTATAAATGAATATTAATAGAATAGCAAATTTGAAATTCATTTAAGTAGTATTTATTTAAATATTTACTATTTGATAATGTAAAAATTAGAGGATTTGGTTTGTTTATAACCAAGCAAATTAGGTAATTAATAGAATAATAATTTAATCATACAAAACAAAGCATTGGTTCTAAAAATTATCAAATAAAATATCAAAGTAGCATAAAATGAAACAAGAGATTAATAGACTAATCGTCACTGATAAAGGGATAGAAGTATCTAAAGATATAAAAAAAGAAATTGAATAAAATGCTCATAAAAATTCTTAATGGGATGATTTTTCTCCATAGAAAAACAAAAGAAGCCTTACTCCGGCAAACATTAATCTTCCTTCAGGCTTTTAAGCTTCTTTATAATCTAGAAAAAGCATCTAATTTATTGGTATGCCTGTGAAATCTTAATTTGTAATGAATTCACGCCATAACTCGCCTAATTTAAACCCGATTTCAAGCAATAATTTTAGTACAAATTTTGTGCCTCTCTCAATTTCTTAGCATCAAGATATATTTCATGGGGGTCATAATCTTAATCACTATTTTTTAGATGGATAAACAAGATCTAATCTACTTTCAAAAAGTCATGAATCATTAGGAAATTTAAGCTCCTCTAGCAAGCTGCTTACATCAACATCTGCTATGGCAGTGTAAAATAAAAAAGCTTATAAAAACTTAGTTCCAGTTTAAAGTCTAGGAGGTTTGAAACTAAACTTAAATAATTTAAATTATCAAAAAGAGTTAAATAGCTAAAATGAGTTACAAAAATAGTAAATTTAATAAGTACAGCAAGAAAGACTACAAAAAAAGTATAATGAATGGAATGAATAGTATGCTAAGTCTAATGAGTTGATGAAAACAAAATATTATTAAAAATATGAAGATATGTCTAAGCTAGGAGATAAAGAGGATGAAGAAAACTTTTGGAAATAATGGCATTAAGTTAAGTAGTCATTTGATGAATGTTTATAAAATGCTGAAGAATAGAACTAGCGCTACGAAGATCGCTTAGTGAGGAAGCTTAACAAAAAATATAGAAATTCATTTAAAAATCTTCCTTCTTGTGCTAAAGTCTAAAATACATAACCTAATATTTAACTTCCAAAAATTAAAAAAAATTAGTGAGTAAAATTTGATAGCACTATGTATCTATGAGAAAGAATGCATATTAAATTTTAATAAAATAATAGCAGCAGAAACAGTAGCTTATATTGTTGCATTTCTAAACAATTAAATTAATTAAATTGAAATATAAAATTATTTTGATTTATTTTTACAATTATTTATGTATATTAATTTTGTATAAATTATTAGAAATAAAAAAAATAAATATTCAAGTTAGCAAGCACAAGCCATTTTTTAATTTTGAAAATTTTAATTGGTATAATTAATTTTATAGTAGAAATTAATTTACTCTCTCGTTATAAATAAATTGTTGGCATTTCTAAGAAATTAATTATTGATCAAATATACATCGTTAAATCTTTGGTTTTTATAATATTCATCATAAATAATTTAATTTACTAAGACTTAAAAATTTTTTAATCATTAATTAAATTTACAAGTTATTTTCAAAAATGTAGAATCTTCATACAGTTTAAAGCGAGCCTGATGAAGCAAATAACGCTTAAATGCTAAGTGAACATTAAGAAAAACTCATTTAGGAAAAGGAAGATATTATTTTTTCTTTTAGGAAAGAGTATCTTGTTGATAACAATGATTAGTATTAGATTGGCATAGCATCTAAAATCTATTAAGATGGATCTAAATATGAGGGACTTATAAAGGATAATAAAAGAAATGGTATTAATAGTAAAATGTATAATAATTAATAACTATTTTATATAAAGGTAAAGGAATATTTTACTACTCAAATGGTGATGTCTATGCTGGTAAATTGACTATAGTCTTAAATTTTTAACTCAATTTTTAATCTATAAATAAATAGGTTGTTGGTAGAATGATAAATTTCATGGTAGAGGATTTTACATATTTCAAAACGGAGAGAGATATGAAGTAAATAAATTTATATTTTTAATAGCTATTAATTATTTAACTGCTAAAAAAAATACAAGGGTGATTTACTCAATGGTTTAAAGCATGGAAGTGGGAAATATATATACTTAAATATGAACATTTTTGAAGGAATGTGGATTAAAGATAAAAAACATGGAAAAGGAATGATAAATTATCAACTTACAGGTTCATCTAAATTCAGATATCTAAGAAAAATTAAAGTCTCTTTTATATTTATTTATAGGAGAGTCTTACGATGGAGAATGGAAGAATAATGAAAGATCAGGAAATGGAACCTATAAATATTCCACTGGTATAAAAATTATTATATTTTTTATTGTTGAAACATGTAAAAACTTACTTCTAACAGATAAATTTGTAAACACTACAAAAAATTAAGATATAAAATTTTTATTTACTGATTTGTTAAATGAAGTTTTGAATTTTATTAAAAAATATTTATATTATGTTTAATTAAGGAGATACATTTTCAGGGGAATGGGTTAAGGGTAAAAAAGAAGGATTTGGAGAAATGCTATACGCTAACGGCTCTAAATACACTGGAGAGTGGCAAAGAGATAAAATAAATGGCAAAGGAGTAATGCTTTACGGCTCTAATGAAAAATATGATGGAGAATGGTGAATTGACTATTTATTTATTTTTATTAAATTATTTATTAAAAAGTAAATATTTTACAATTAGGTTTAATGGAAATAAACATGGATAAGGTGTGTATACTTTTAGTGACGGAGGTAGGTATGTAGGAACCTTTTCTAATGGTCTCCCTGATGGAAAAGGAGTCAGAGTATTTTTTAATAGTAAATTATTAGAATATTTACTTTTAAGTTATATAATATCTAAATTTAAGATGATAGATATGAAGGTGAGTATAGAGAAGGAAAATAAAATGGAAACGGAATACTCTACTATGAAAATGGTGATACATATAATGGAAATTGGGTTAAAGACAGCCAAGAAGGTTAAGGAAAAATGAATTATTCAAATGGAGATTTTTATGAAGGATAGTGGGTAAATAATAAAAGAGGTATGAATTTTTCTTATTAGTTCATTTTCAAATATTTTTGTTAAATTTAGAAGGGAAAGGAAAGTACTATTACTATTCATCCTAAGAAACATATGAAGGAGATTGGGTGGATAATATAAGATAAGGTTATGGGATATATACATGGAGGTATTTTATTAATATTATTTTTTTTATGTGTGTTTTAAATGGATATTTTTACCTTTATTTAATGAATTTATAGCAATGGCGATAAATATAAAGGAGAGTGGAGAAATAATTAAATGAATGGGAATGGAGAAGTAATATTTTCATAAGAATAAAAAGTAGAAAAAGGAGTATTCTAAAATGGATTGCTTGTATGAAAATTAGCAAATAAAATGAAAATATCTTTTTGAAATCTATTTAAAAATTAGATTTTTTTCATTTTTAAATTAAATAAAAAATAATAATTAGCCTTAATATATTTAGATAATCTTATAAAATAATTAAAAACTGTAAATAAATTTATTTTGATCAAAATCGTCAATACTTTCTAAAGGTATAAAATAAAATGTAAAAATAAAGAAAGATAGTATTAATGCTTTTAAATTTATTTTAGGAATTATCTAAAAAGATTTCAAATATTTTTTTTCATTTTAATGTTTTTGCATTTGCAAAATTTTTTTAATTTGAAAAAATATTTTTTTAACATCACCTATAGCATGATATATTATTATATATAAAAATAAAAAATTGTTTAAAATACTTGAATTATTTTAGTGTTTAATCATTTGTTGAATTAAACTGAAATTTTTTTTCAAATTAATCATTCCAAAACATTAATGCAAACATCTCATAGGAATGTAAATTAATAAAAACTTACTTAATAATTTTCATTAGTTGGTTCTACTTAAAATAATATATTCCATTTAATTTTATCGAGCATAACATTATTAAAATGAAAAATTCTGAAATTAATGATAATTAAAGTTAATAACTGTAATACAAAAAAAAATTTTTAATATTTTATTGAATATTATTTGAAATGCAAAACAATAAAATTGTAACAAGATTATGCATCTGGTTTTTTTATTGGTCTAATATCAAAATACTTAGAAACATGATGTCGAACAAATAAATATAATATATTTTTTAGTGGTAAATATTAAATCTAATCATTAAAACTATATTTTTATTAAAAGAAATCAACTAAATATTGCAAAAATTATTAAATACAATACGATATCAAGAATTAATTTACTGCAATAAGATTAAGAAGCTAGATTAAATTGTAATTTGATGAGTATTTCTTAAATTGACTCAAAGTAAACATAAATGTTATAATATTAGGTATAAATTTACATTTACTGCAAATTATAAATATAGTATTGTTCATAGCATTGATAGAATAAGATAAATCATTATTGATTTAGATGAAAACATTTAAGACAAATATAATGAATATTATCCTTAATCAGATCCTACTTTACAAGCCTTTTAAAATTTAGATGTTGATGGATTTACAGATTATAAAAATTAAATAATACCTAATATAAAGTTTTATGATACATTTATTAAAGATATTCATAATATTTTAGATGTTTATAACTTGTGTTCTAGCTCATTTGCTTAACAATTAGATAAAATAGGTATTTAATAGATATAAATGTTTTGCAAGTAGCTTATGCTGTCTCATCGTAAGAGTATGATTTTTGCTTTAAGAGTTGTTTGTTCTCACTACAAAGTTCCATAAGTAGTAGATGAACGCAAATTTAAAATACCTACTTATGAAATTGAAAAAGAAATTGTTAAAGAAGCAAATGCTAAAAAATACAATTATAAAAAAGTTAAAATATAGAAAGGAACAGTTGACAAAGATTTAGTTGAATTAATTAAAAAGCATTTAATTGATAAACCAGAACTAGTTCCTGAATCTTTGAAAGCTAAACTAGGCTAAATATATGATCCTCTTCTTAAAGAATACAGAGAAGCAGAGTAAGTGATGAACGAAACCTTATTAAACAAAAACAAGTTCTTGAATTTACAGCCTTCTAATTGCGGAAATTTTGTTAGCAATACACTAAAATAAATAGAAGGAACTACTATGTCTTTTTACAATTTTGAATAAATCACATTAAAGGGAAATAAAAATAGAGAAGAACTCAATTCCCTTACTAATGAATTTTACAGTAATATGATTATGGAAGAGTTGAGTAAAGAAATTAAGGATAATTTCGAGGAAAGTGCGAGGAAAAGAATGCAAGCTGTTATTCTTTAGGTTATATAATTTTTAAGAAAATAAAATTAGATTGAACTACCTTCAATTTAGTGTTAAGTAAATCAATATTTTTACATAATACATGTTGTTTTCATCATTTTTATAAAATATCTAGACTGAATTAACAATGGAAGATATTGATAAATAAATTTAAGATGCAGAAAAAGAAGCAAGAGCTTGCAGATGGGAGGTAAGAAATTTACTTTGTTTCAAAATTATTTTTATATTCTTCTTCTTTTTTAACAAAAATATTATTGTTTTATGATTATTTCAAATTAGATGAAAAATTAAATAGTCATTTTTAATAAAAAGTTAGAAGCTATTAAGAGTAATATTAGGACTTTATCATTAAAAAATGAAGAGCTACAAAGAGATTTAGATTTTAAAAATAAAAAGATTTAAGAATAAAATTAACAAATAATTGACCACATCTCTAGTATAGAGAAGCTAAAAAACGAAATAACGTAATTTAATTATATATTATTAGTTTTTGTTTTTTAATTGTTAAATTTATAGATAATTAGATATTCAATATGAATTGAAGTTTAAAAAAAGAGCTCAAGAATTAGAATAAAAGCAAAAGTAATTTGAAATTGACTTTAAAAATTAGGAAAATGCTTAGAATAAAGCTTAAAAAAAGACATATGCCCATAGTTTTACTCAAACTGGGAAAGTTGTCTTTAGCAATGGGGAAAACAATCATATTTATGCTTCGCAAAAACACTACACTTAATTTAAAAGAAGATATAGTCATGATCTGCAGCTCGAAGGAAGAGTAGATTACTTTTATTTGCTTTAAAGGATAAAAGATGACTTAGAAAAACATCCTATGAAACGTAAAAAATTAAATATACCTTAAGATGTTAATTTGAGAACAGAAAATAGAGCATTCACTAAAATGTAAAAACAACTGCAAATTCTGTAAAAAATTAAAGAGGAAGAATAAGAAATTCTTAATTTGAGATAATAACAACAAGTACTTCCTTAAATTTCAAATCAATAAATACAAGAAATCAAAAATGCTAATAATGCTTCTATAAAAAAACAAAAAGAAGTGAAAGATTTACAAGTTAAGGGAACTAGTTCTCAATTAATACCTTAAGATTAATTAGAATATTTACTTAATTAATATAAGTAAACAAAATCTACTCTTTAAAGTTAGTAAAACTAATAAATGCAAACTGATTAAATTGAATCTCACTTAGCTACAGAGGAAAACAGCTCTAAAATTAAATAAACTTCTGCTGAAAACTTGACACCTTCAAAGTTTGAGTAAAGTTCATAATTAAAATAAAAAATTCAAAATACTACAAACGCAGAATAATAAACTGGCAGTAATACAAAAGAGGTTTTTAGATATATCGAGGAGTTAAAAAAAAGTTAAGGAGAACTCTTTAAAAACTTTTCATAAGAATAAATAGATGAAATTGAGTAGTTTATTATCAGTAAAGAATTAGGAGTTAATCACACAAAAGCAATACCATAAAATGGAATATCTTATGTAGTAGATTAAAATGGAAACATATAAGAGCAATCTGCATAAGATATTTAGCTTTTATTTGATGAATACAATAAATTAAAACCTTTCTAGGAGCTTATATAATAGCTTTAATGGATATCAAGTGAAGGTGAGAGAGCCTATGTAATTGGAATATTAAATAACTATATATGCAAGTTGCTGAGAAGAAGAAGACAGATAAGTAAGAGATCGTAAGCTTTTGAATACAATGATAAATCTTTATCACCTTAATCGTTTAGTTTATCTCCCGAATAATAATCAACAAAAAAAAACACTTCTTTCGGAAGATTAAAAACTGACACCATTTATAACGAAGAATCAGAAAAAAAAGATGGATTTTAGTCATATAAACAATTTTAAGATAGATTGAAAAATCATCAAGCAAATTTATCAATAAAAAAGAATAGATAAAGAAGCTGCTATTCATTTAATAGTCCTTCAAGTGTCACTGTTTATTACAAAAATTTGAATGAAGCATCTGGTAATTATGAAAGATTCTTAAAAGACCATCATTAAAGTGATTATAATTAATCTCCAAACAAATAGAAAACTCCAAGAGACAATTAAAGCAAAGAACAAAATTCATAACAAAATGATTTTAATTCAACTGAATAAAAGGTTAGAATGAAAAGATAATACAGCATAGACAGATGTGAAAATTTAAATCTTCCAGCTTTAAATATCATATAAAAAGCTTAAGAACATTTACAATAATTTTAATAGTCAGTTGTTCTTTAAAATTGTAAAAAAATCCACAATCGTATTTTAATACAAAAAAAGCTTAAGCTTCATGATGATCTTTCAAAATCAAAAAGCTAAAAAGCAATAAAATCATAAATATCAATAGCTCCTCTTAACGAAGAAGAATAATAAAATTTTGTTGATTTTAATGATGAAAATTACTACTAAGTATATAAACAGTTAACCTTCAGCCATGAATTAATGCTAGAATGTGTATAGATCTTTTAAAATAGTAATAAAGGGTAATAAAATAACTTTACAAATGACTAAGCAAAGCAATTGCTTAAATAGAGTAAATATCCATTCTAGTCTATATAACAAACTAGGGCTATGGGAGTAAATAATTTTGATGCTACGTTTACTATTTGGAAAAATTAATTTTAATAATTACCAAACCAACTAAAATCCTATATATTGAAAAAGACAAAGTAGGTCAAAAAATGAATTTGATTCATCTAAATAAATGGAGAAAAATAAAATAATATTTTAAATTTTCAAAGAAAATTCTAAAACAAAAAATAAAGTATAAATTTAAAAATTAAAAAGGTATATTTATTTTATAAAAATATTTATTTACAAAACCTAATATCTATAAAATTTTAAATGAATTATCTTACAATATTAATTAAAATCACTTAATCAAGCTAAGTTAATTTATAAAATCAGCAAGTATTTAAAAAATTTTAATGTCTACTAAAAAAAAAAATATATTTTACAAATAAATAGATTATTTAAATTTCATGATAAATATTATCAAAGTTCATTTTATATTATTCATTCAAGAGGTAGTAAAGTATTTATGTATGCATATCTTGAAAAAATAACAAAAAGCTTTCTGAAATAAACAAACTAGCTATGGTGGATGCTCATAGCTTACCATGCTTTTAATGGATTGCAATTTACAAATGTTATTTATGAAAAAATACAGAATAGAATATCAAAAGCTCCAATGTATTTGCGAATTATGTTCACACTCTATAACTTGAAGAATTTAATACCTTTAGTCAATTCTGTATTTAATTGCTTAAAATTTCTAACACATCTATACACATCTTTATGGTTTGGATGTCCACTTACTCCATGATCATCGAAAGTGAATATACCCTTAATATTGTGTTTTTCAACATAACCTTATAAGATATTTAGCATTTTAGTTTCAGTTGGCCAGTTTTTATCCATTCCATCTTGAATTTATGGATCATCAATAATTTCGCATTTTTCGAATCCAAGGAATCTACAGCACTTCTCTAACTCTTTTTCACGAATTTTACCTAAGCCATCAAAACCTCCATTAGAAAATGAAAGTAAATGCAGTTTATAATTCTATTCTTTCATTTCCAAAATAGTAGGAAGGAAAAACATTGATTCATCATCAGGATGTGCAATGACGAAAAGAACATTTTTTTCTTCTTATTAATTTCCTTTTGAACCTTTAAACTTTTTAGCTACTAAAATGATAACAATCATAATAAAATTCATAGCTATTAGTCCATATTTAGTCCAAAAATCTAAACCTTCTCCAAAATCTACATATTCTTTTATATAATCTAACGGGTTCATTTTTTGCTACTTTTAATTCTTAAAATCTTAAAGATATAATAATAAAAATAAATTACAAATTTAGGAATTATTTTTTTTAGTTGATTTATTTATTGATTTTGAACTATTATATTTTAAGCACGTTTAAAATTCACAAATGATACAATCCAACTGAAATAGGGAATTAATTTTTAATATTAGAATAAAGGATCTACTTTCATCAAAATAGAAAAATGAATGTAAAAAATAATTTCATATAATTTTATATTTACAAAAATAAATTTATCAATTTAGCAAATTATTTCCTAAGTTTCTTAAAATAAAAAATAATTAAATAATATAAAATTTAATTCTCTTACCATAAACAATTCTTTGATATTATGTAAATAAGGTATATATCTTTACAATACTTAAAATCAAAAATATAATAATCTTATTATCTTAAAAAAATTAATTTAAATTTATAAAACTATAAAGTAAAAAAGATACAAAAATAAAAAACTTATTGATTTTCATTCAATAAACAATAAAAGATTTACAAAAGACGAAATATTTTAATGAATTAAAATATATTTATTAATAATTTTTTCATAAAAAAAAACATAAAGAAATAAAGAAATGGGTTGTTGAATATTAATTTAAACAATTTTGATAATTATTTCAAAATAATTTGTTTTCATTCATTTATTTTTTTAAGATTTTTACTATAAGTATTTCAAGTAATCTTCTTTTGTCATTCTTATTGTGAAAACTAGCTCATCAACACTGGTCTTTTAATTTTGTTATGGATCTTAAACTTTCTATTGAGCAGTACCACTATTTACAAAATTATATTATTAAATTAATATCTATAAATTGTATTTAATAACAAATAAATACTTTTTTTAAGAAGCAGCTGTGAAGTTAGATGATGATTAAGTTTTAGGCTGATTATTTACTGTATTTTTGTTTGCATTTGCTTGATTTATTTTGGATACTGGGGTAGGAGACTTACTAGTATTTTGAATTCTTGTTGCTTTTGACTTAATTTAAGGTTTTTAAATAATTTAATCTATTCTTTAAGGGGAAATAGCTTATTGTGCTTGTTCATATTTTTGATTATTTTTCAAGTTATTGCTAAAACTCTGCTAAGTTTTTTGCATTTCCTCAAAGGTTTGAGATTCATTTGGTTCTTGCAATTACATAAAAGCTTATTATTAAGAATTTGCTTGAATCTTTTTTTAATACATTTACTTTGCTTATTATTATAAATTCAATAAGTTGCTTTACTAAGCAGAAGAGCTGCTTCCATTTAATTTTTCTTTTTTAAAAAATTAAGTATGAATAATAAATAAAATTTAATATATTTTACATTATGTTATAAAGCTAGGTTTAGAGGAAACGCTATCATCATTATTTCTGTTTGGACCTAATTAATTATCAAACATTAAAGTTGTTTATATATTTAAAGGTAATTATTTCTTAACAAATTGAATTACTTAAAGAATCTCTCTCTTTAGATTAAGCTCTTCTTTACATTATTTCTCTAAGTATTAAAAAGTATTTGTTACTTGATAGAATTAACTAAAACATATAATATTAAAATTTTTTACGCCTTTCTGATACCTTAAGTTTCCAAATATATCATTTTATTCACATCTATGTGAGGACTAAGCAATTTCCTTAATCTTAATTTTAGCTTTTCAAAGTATCCTATCCTATAATCTGCATAAAATTTATCATAAAATTTTTCAAATTCTTCAATTCTTGTTCTTATCTTTTAGATTTTATAATAACTGCATTTTTTATAACTGCATTTTCATATTTTATTTATTTATTATTTACATTTGCTTATTTTAAAACAAGATTTTTGTATTCAAGTCTATCACCTGCTCTAACTTTCTCAACTGACTCTTTATAAAAAAGTTATTCCAATGTTGATTAAAAAGTCTAAAATAGTAAATGAAAAGAAATTATACCCATATAATCTAAAGATATTCTGTCAACTTCTTAGGCTATGCAAGGAAGCAAATCTAATTTTAATCTAAGCCAAATCCTTTCTTTTTAATTTTCCATTTATAAATATGATTGCTTATTATACACTAAAACAAATTGTATTCAATATAAATATCTTCTTTTTGTTATTTAAAATAAAAGACTCAAATATTTATCAATGAAATCAAATTTTGTAAATAATTTAATATTTTTGATACCCTAACCACTAACAGTAAACGGTAAAAAATTATTATTTTGCATAAAAATTAATATTTAATTTTTTAATAAAATGATTATTTTTAAAGAATTATTTTTTTAGAGATATTTTACTCATTATCTAAATTTTTTCTCAAAAATATGATTCAAATTTTTATTCATTTTTTTTAAAGTTTCTTGTAAGAAAAAATATGAAAATAATTATTATTTATTTATAAATAATATACTCATTTTCCATAAATATTCTTAATGAGGAATTAAGTAATTTTGATTTTTGTTCCCTTTTTAATAATAAATACATAAATAAATAAAGATATTTTTCAATTAGGATAATATATTTTTTACAAAAAAAAATGTTTTAAAGAAATAATGACAAAAATATCTTTCAAAAAAAAAGTAAAATAGTATTAAAGTGAATTATTTAATAAATATTAATAAGGGTTTTATTATAACTACTAACTATAACATATATTAAATAATTTAATTTTTTAAAATCAAAATCAACAAGTACCAAAATGCTACTTATAGCTTAGCTCATACTAAATGTACCTGATGTTATATTTTTATTTTATAAATTTTTAGTAGGTTTTATATTTATTTGACAATTAAATCACACTTTCTGCACCTATTTATATGTAAAATACCATTTTTTCAAGTATTCTATTTACTAAATAAAATAAAATTTTTCCTTTTTTTTTTCAAAAAACAACATCCTGTATTATACAATTAGCTAATATTAATTCAAAGAAAAAAATGGAATCAAATATAAAATTGTATTAATAAATATAAATAAATAGTAAAAATTTCTAAATTTATTTATGTTTTAAAAAATAATTTTTCATAATACAAGAATTCTTTTTTCCTGTTTTTAAACTTAGATTTTATTATTTCTTAAATATTTAAAATAATTAAAAATAAATATTAGGCGAATAACTAATATCTTTTTTGATCAAAAAAATGATTTTTTAACTCTAAAATAAGCAATTATGATTCATTCATCATTCTTATAAAATGATTACAATTTATTTGAGATTAAATAACTGTCAAATGAATTTTACAAACTAGGAAGCCTTTTTTTCTTTTCTATATAAAAAATTAATAAATATATAGAATCACCTTATTTTTTCTCAAAAATTCATAAAAACTAATTTATTGAGGTTCTCGCGCTTATAAATATGTTTGCAATATTTTGAGAAATTTAATTTTAATTTAGTTTTATAAATCAGTCTATTTTTTTCTGCAAATTTTTATCAGAAAAACGAAATGATTCAAATAAAAGATAAAAATAGGTCTATGGATAAATTTAAATCAAGTATAATACACATTTTTATTAATATTTAAATTAAAAAAACTTTTAAAGGCTTTAATAATATTTTGAGAATATTTATTTGTGATTATTAAAATGAAACCTATTATCTAAATAGTTAAATATGCTTAAAAAATTATAAAAGATTTTATAATTATTATATCCAATAATTCTATATAACCCCTAATTATGAAATTTCACCGAATATTTAAACACTATTATTTTAAAATATTAGAAATTTTCTTATGATAAATTTATAAATTCTGATAAAAATTAAATAAACAAGTCCTTTTTTATATAAGACGCTTTAGAATATTCTTTCTAAACTTTAAATAAAAAGAAATTGCACAAGAATTTACTTTAGTGAAAGCTATTAACTATTTTAATTATCTATTTTATTAAATATGAATGATTTATAACATTTTGAAAATTCGTTAAAAACAACACTTTTAATTGAGTTACTTGCAATTAAATACATGCTTAATTTACTTATTGTAAGCAATACTTTTTGTGTGTTAAAATTGTAAGATATGCTAGATTAAGCTAGTTTTTTATAAACAGTATATAATTATTCTGATTATTTTGAACAAAAAACACTTTAGTAAAAGAATATAAAAGTAAGATTTTTCCAATCATAACGAGTTATATCCATGTATTAATCTAAGCGAATATATTTCTGCTTTATCCTTAGAAGTATTACAAACCTATTAAAAAAATTGAGAAAAAATAGTTGATCGCACATTTGATTTGTCAATTTTTATCAAAAATATCTATGAATAATTGATGGCAATATTTGAATTATTACTCATTAAATTTAGATATTTGAATAAATATCATATATAATGATATGAACTCTAAAAGAAATAGCTAATAAATTGTCATCTAAGCCTAAATTTATTAAAAATAATAGTAATTAACAAAAAGCAAAAAATAATAAATAAGACAGCCAATATAACATTGATAAGATAAGGTATATAAATTGAAAAATCCATCATGAAAGTTAAAAATTTTAATCTTTAAACTAATAGAAATTAATATAAATATCGATATCGATGAGTAGTGAAGAGAATCATACACCCTTAGTTGACGCAGAGGTTGACCCAGTTGTATACAAGGCTGGTAGAATAAAAGTTGTTGTTTTAGCATTAACATTCTTACTTTTATTCTCAGCATTCAATTCAGCATAAAATTTAGTAGGAAGTCTTTATAAAGGATAGGGATATAATAATTTAGGTCTCATATCTCTTCTTGTTCTCTACGCTATTTTTGCCATTTCTTGTCTTTTTGCAAATTACTTCATTTCAAGAATGGAGTACAAGTACATTTTCATTTTTAGTAGTTTAGGTTATGTTTCTTATACTGCTGCAGGTATTTGGGTCTGTGCATGTGATGGATCTGACTCTGGAGCTTGCGCTGAAGGTGTTATCTATTTCATAGTTTTGCTTGGAGCTTCTCTTTGCGGTTTTTCTGCAAGTTTAATTTGGATTGCTCAAGGTGGATATATTGATTCAATTGGCTAAGATACTCCTTCTAAAAAGGGTACTTTTAGTGGTATTTTTTGGGCTATTATGTAGGGAAGTTAAATTATTGGTAATATTTTGGGTACTTTCATTCTTTAGTACTTAAAAAACATGCAATATTTCTTAATCATGACAGGATTAGGTATTGCTGCTTCTCTTTTATTCTTCTTCTTACCAAGTGTAAAGAAAGTCGAAAATAAAGATGTAAATGTACCTATCACGATTCAAATTAAAAATGTTTTTAAGCTTATGGTTGATGTCAAAACTCGCTATGTATTGTTTGTTATGATGTTAGCTGGTATTATTGTAACCTTTTATAGTGGTTTCTTATCTACTCTCGTTAGTAACTCTATAGCTAGAGAACCTGATTAAAGCGATGATGACTTCAATAACTTAGTAAGTAAAAAGCTTTCCTTTACTTTAATTTGCTTAGGTTGTTTTGAAGTTCTTTCAGGTTTAATTTCTGGTCGTCTTGGTGATAAATTCAATGTCTTTAAACTTGCTACTTTTGGTACTTTAATATGTTTCCTCGGAGTCCTTCTTTCTTTCTTAGGTCTTTTCACTGATAACTACTTTGTTTGCTTCATTATTGCATCTGTTTGGGGTTTCTCTGATTGTTATTTCTAAACAGTAATATAAACATTACTTAACAAGCTTTTCCCTGGAAAAATTGAAATATTCCAGGTCTTCCGATTCATTCTCAGCATAACAGTAGCAATATTCTAAGTTATTAACATATTGCTCTAGGATTCACCTTCATACATTTTCTTAATGATTACCATGTTCTGCATTATGGTAACAAACTTTGCCTGCGCATAACTAGGAAACAAAGCTGGCAATAATGATAATGTATCTTCTTAATCCAGTCAAAATTGAGAAAATAATTTAGGTTTTTGAATATAAATATATCAGAATTCTAAAATAACTTTATAAAAATCTTTTTTATTTATAGGTTTAACAAATTTTTAAAGTAGATACGTATTTTATATATTTAAATGTTTATGTGACACATTTAAAATCTGCTAAAATTTACATTTTTTCATAAATGATTAAAGTTTAAATTGATTCAATATCGATAAAATAAATATAATTTTCAAATTTACATCTTGTAATAAATTATTTTAATTGAAATAAGTCTAAAATTTAGTTAATTAATTCTAATAAAATGTATTCTGATAAAAAAATGTTTGTAATAATAAAGAAGTTTAATAAAAGCAAATAAGTATCATCTAATATCTAATTTATATTTTCATTTTAAACTAATCCAAAAGCTTAAAAATAAATTTATAATCAACTTAATATCAAATAAACTACCATCAAAGAACAATTTAAAAAAATGTAAACTAAATTAAAATATTTATAAGTATAAAATTTAAAGAATTTTTTCTTTGGAGTAGTAAGAAGTTATGACTTCATGATAATTTTAACTCTTGTTATTTTATTTTTAATTAAAATTTACTTCGAAATTGTTAAGTAAACAAAAAACAAATTTTTTAACTTAATTAAAAATTAGATAAAAAAGAGATATTGTAAAAAGTGTAAGTTAAATCTAAAAATATCTAAATGACAAATTTATTTCACTTTTCTGCTTTTTGATTTATTTATTTAAAAGATTCATTAGAACAATATCAAAACAATAAAGATAATATTTTTTAATCTTATTATTTTATTGATTATTGTTTAAAAATAAAGCTATTTTGTAAAAGCTTAAGTCTTTTTTGAGCTATTTGCAATTTCGATCTTATTATTAAATTTAAATATAAATAAATACATTCTAACATTTAATTTCTATAGAAACTCATAACTATTTCAAGCTTGTAAAAACAACCATTAAAATTATTAATGTTACATCATAATTAATTTAATTGTAATATAATAAATAAATTATCAATAATATCATCTTTTCACATATTTTTAATATTTAATTCTAATTCATTTCGTGATTAATCAAATTGTAATAAAAAAGTTGATCTTATTAAAAAGAAAATTAATTTACTAAAATCATTATTATAAAATATAATTTCCTTCTATTTTTTTAATTATAATTTTATTTAATTCAATGCAATTAAAATTTTAAATAAAAAAATTAATAAATAATAAAGGAGGACTTCATAAATCTATTAGCATTTATTAAAATAAAACTTTAATTTAAAAAAAATGTATTATTTTCTTTTAATAGTCTTTTTGGTTAAAAATAAAGTATAAATCAAAAATAATTATACTATTTAATTTAGATCTACTTTGAAATTTGGAAACTATAATAGCTATATTTATAATTAAAATATTTTTAAATAAATAGGTGTATATATATGCAAAAACCATTAAGAAGCTAAAAAAATATGAATTTACAATCAATTTTTTTCTAAAAACAAAAAAGCTACCTATTTTAGAAAAAATTAAATATTATTTTAAAATAATAAAAACCACATATTTTTGACATAAATTTTGGATGATATCTATATATCAAAATTATTTTTACTAGGTTTTATTCAACACCAGTCAATTATGAAATTAATTTGTTCATCAAAATCTTTCTTTCTACCTTTCAAAATATACCAATGTTTTTATAAACATTTAGTCTTATAATATGCTCTAATATTTAATTTTTAGATTTATTTACAAGTTATCTAATGTGTTTACTTTTTCAAAATTGTATGTTTTTGCATAACCATAATTTATTTCTTTCCTTATAAGAAATAAAAATAAATTTTACCTTTTTATATATTAACTAAACGAAAGCAAAAAGTCCTAATATATTCCATATTATTATTGGTAGTTTTAGTAAATAGTATTTTAAATATAATAAATTCTAAAAAAAAAGCATCTATTTATCTCAAACAAAGTATTATTTAAAAGCTATATATTAAATTAAAACTTGATACCAAATTAGATATTGAAAATAAGTAGAAAATCTGATTTTAATAAATAGAAAAGCAGATTAAATTTAGTATTTTAAAAAATTGTGAGATTGATAGTGTATTTATGTTGAGAAATAAATAAAAATACAAATATCATTAAAACTAAGTTTCATGTGTTTGTTAAATGAATAAAAGATATTTTGAGAAATAAAAAAACAAAGAAAATATTTCAACTTTGTAATTTATAATTAAAAATTGTCCTTTCTTATATTTAGGGCAAAGATGTTTTGTTTGCGTAACTATCAATTCAACATTTGTTTTTTTTTTATTAAAATTCTAAAAAAAGAAATATTACAGATAATTATAATAATTTGGTACTAATTCTAAGTGTATGCATATCCTTTTTCCTTTTATAATTATGAATTAAATCAGACCTTTGTCATTTTTCATTTCTAAATTTTAATTTTTGAGACTAAAACGCTTAATTTATAATATAGGCTGCTCACTATTTGGCAAAAAATGACTTATCATAATTTGTATGTTATAATTATTAAGGTAATTAAGATTTGGAATTTAAGGAATTTAAGCTATTATTCACTATTCCTTAGTTTTTAATGCACAATATAATACTTACATTACATTACTTCCCTTTATGGAGAATATTTTTTGATTATTTTATTTATAGACGTGAAAGATTAATTAGCAAATAGGAACTCTTTTTAATATATTATATATATAAAAACTTAAGTACTCTTATCAAGAATTAATCAGAAAGATTATTTCGAGGGATAAATCTTCGATTTCTCAAACCATATTTAGAAAGATTGTCAAGATTAAAGTTACGTCCTCTTAGCAAGAGACACAATTTAGCAAATATCGTTTGAAAATATGATGCAGAAATGTTTTTACGATATTTGATAATAATAATACAAGAAAAGTGATGATAAAAATAATGTTTTTATAATTAAGTCATTTTTTTAAATTTAAATTATAATTTAGCATCTCGATGTTTTGCTACTATAATACTTAAATCAAGGTTTCAACATTATTAAGAAATATACTTTTCTAATAATCTTGGTCAATCAAAACATTTTTCATTTTGGTATGTTCTGATTTTAAGTATTTAGGGAAAAAATGTGTATCACCTTGTAATATATGCTATAACTTGAGTTCAAATACTTCTTTATTTTTCTACATTAATTCAAAAGTTATAGAAAATTCTTTCTTCATTTACAATTTATGTTCCTTGAATTATACCATTTTCAACAGCACTTAAATACTAATACTTTATTAAAGAAGTATATTTATTAACACCAAAACATATATATAAAAGCTAATCGAGTCAATTCTATCTTCTTCCTCACTGTGTAATCGACTTTTTTACCATTTAATTATTAAAGCAATCATAAGAATCAAACTTAATTAAATAAAATTGATATATAAAAACAAGCACACTTTTAAATTTTTTATTTACAGTTTACCAAAGTTAATTATTCAAAAAACAAACAATTAAAGTAAATAGTACTATGCATATTTTATTGGTTATATTTAAAAAGCTAGTTAAGCTCTAAAAGTGGAATATAAGTGAAGTTATTGTTTTAAATTTTAATTTTGCCTTAACACAGTATAGTTTGTAATAACTACTTCATTATCAAATACAATAGTGTCATCAAAAATATGAGAGAAAAATAATTTAATAAAAGACTTATAAAACTTCATATAGATTAAGACTTAATCTTGAAAAAAATCATTAACAATTTTAACGTATTATTTATATTAATAGCTAATTTTTATTAATTTTATATATAAATTTTGAATAGAATCAAATCCACCATAATTTGGAAATTTACACCAAAAAAGATATAATCAAACATTAGCGAAGTATCAATTAATTTTTAGTTTGTTTGAGATATTTACTCAAAAAGAGAGTTTTTGTCAAAATAGCCTTGATTATACAGAGCTAGTTTTCAAGTATCCTGGAACATTCATTTTTTAATCCATACTCCATTTAAAATTAAGCAATTTTGAAAGCTCTATAACGAGTAAAGCAAATTCTTGTTGCTTGATTATAAATGAATAATTAAAATTAAACGTTCTATAGACTTGTAATAATACATGAATTAATTAAATTTAATCAGAAAAGTTGATTCTTATTAATCGGAGCATAATTAATAAATATTTAGGTTTAAGATATATCACTGCAATCTAAACTTTTTTCTAATCAAATCTTATCTTGAAAGGAAATTTAATTTTCATCAAATTTAATTGCGTACAATTCACCTACCTTTCTTAGCAATAGATTATAATTGCATTTACAATTCAAAGACGAAACTTTCATTCCATTCAGCAAAATAATTGCAAAACATATTTAAATTTTATAACAAAGAGGAAGTGTAATTAGCAGTAGCTTCGATTATAATAAAAGTCCCACTTACTTAAGTGTAACACGATTAAAGTGGAAATTTGTAAAAAACATATAAAATACGTCAAATAAGGTACAAATATCATTTAGTTATGCAAATAATAGATAATATGGCTATCACTGTACAAAATTTATAATTAAATTGCGCATTAAATTACACAACTAGGTCTAAAGTAATTTTAAATAACTAGAAGTCTTGTTTACTTCAATTAGCTGCAAGACTTTTGCTTGTATATTTATTTATAGTATGAAAGGGTTAATTAAGATTTACTAGAAATATGACTTTGTGGGTAGGTATGATATACATTTTCAAAAAATTTTGTTTATATTTTATTTTATATTTGTAAGGATATCATAAGAAACCAGAAAATTAGTGAAAACTATGTATCGTTTAACTAGAACGAGTGCTAATTAAATCAATGAAATTTTATAATTTTTCAAGATAATCAAAACTAATTTTTTTATTGCTTAAATTCCTTTATGAATTGCTTTACAGTGACGCAAGAAATATATTTCCAAATTCAATAAAAAAGTAAGATTTTTATCTAGCTTATAATTATCAAAATGATCTTCTCACTCTATTTTCAACTGCAATTAGATTTAACCAGGATTTAGTCAAATAATAAATCCTTTATTTCATTTTAGAATTAAAGAGGCACCACGAAAAAAATTACAATTACTCATGATATTTATTAAACTCTATACTCGGTACTACTTTAAATAACGACATCTACCATAATCCTAAAGTGATATTTTAAACTAAAAAAAAAAATTTATTATCTTTAAACATAAAAAAAAAATCATCTTAAAACACTTCTATAGTGCTATAGGTAAAATTTCATAATAGTTAATCAATCAATCAATCAACCACTATGGAAAACACTGAAAAAGATCTAAAAATCGACTCAAAAGCCTACCTTAGAGGTAAACTGAAAGTAGTTGTTTTATCATTTACTTTCATGGCTTTATTCTCCACTTTCAACTCTGCTTAGAATCTTGTAGGAAGTCTTTACACCTCCTAAGGATATGATGACTTAGGTTTGATTTCTCTATTCGTTGTTTACATCGTATTTGCTTTCGCAAGTTTCTTTGCTAACTTCTTTATCAATAAATTCTCCTACAAGGTAATCTTCTTCTTCAGTAGTTTAGGTTACGTTGCTTTTGCAGCTTCTGGTATTTGGGTTTGCTCATGTAAGAATGCCATACATGAAGGTGCATGCTCTAAGGGTGTAATTTACTTCATAGTCCTTGCCTCTGCAGCCCTTTGTGGTTTCAGTGCTTCTACAATTTGGGTAGCATAAGGTGGCTATATTGATTCAATCAGTTAAGATTTCCCTAACAAAAAGGGTACTCTTTTTGGTATTTTCTGGGCTATCAACTAAGGTAGTTAAATTGTTGGTAATTTGATGGGTATGTTCATTCTTAACTATCTTGATAATCTATATTATTTCTTGATTATGACATTCCTCGGATTAGGTGCTTCATTCCTCTTCCTTCTTCTCCCCAGTGTTAGCAAGAAGAAAGAAGAAAACGGAAATCAAGTTTCTGCTATTTCACAAGCCAAGAGTGTCTTTGTTTTAATGGGAACAAGAAAAGTACGTCCTTTCTTACCTTTGATTTCTCTTGCTGGTGTTGTTGTAGCTTTTTACAGTGGTTTCCTTTCTAAGCTCGTAAACAACTCTATTTAAGCTGATACCAACACTGATGATGGTAAAGACGAAGTAAGCAAAAAACTTTCATTCGTTTTGATAGTTCTTGGTTGTAGTGAAGTTATTTCAGGTATTATTTCTGGTAAACTTGCTGATAAATTCAACATTTACAAAATCGCTATTATAGCTACAATTACTGTCTAGATTGCTCTTTTACTTTCTTTCTTAGGTCTTTACACTAACAGTTATTTGGTCTGTTTCTTTGTTGCTGCTTGCTGGGGTTTTAACGATTGCTTCTTACAAAACGTTACATCTGTTATTTGTTCAAAAGATTATGAAGGATAACTCGAAATCTTCTAAATTAATCGTTTCCTTTAAAGTATCACAGTAGCTATTGTTTAAATCATTAATGTCCTCTTGAAGAACTCTCCTGATTATATTTTTGTTTTTATTATTTTTATCTTCTAGATGGTCACTAATTACTTCACAACTTATTTAGATAAGAAACCAGATATTAAATCTACTACCACACTTATAAAAGCTAATTCAGATGAAGTTCATCATGATTTCGAATTAGAAAAATTAAAAAGCAAAAATTCAACTGATAAAGCTATGCATTAAAATCTTGAAACATAAGGTGTTGCTGTTGCTTCAGCCAGCTGAGTAAGTACACTAATAAATAAATACCCTATATTTTGATTTAAATTTACTAAATGACTTTATAACTAAAAATTTGACTTTTTCGATTGAATATTAATATGTTTATTTATGAATTATATTAGCAATTAAATGTATAATTATTCTATATTTCTGATGAAATTTTCGATCATTACTTGTAAACATAAATAATAATTTATCAGATACTTTGGTTTAAAAATAAAATTCTAATCAGTACATTAGTAAAATTTTGATATAAATATATGTAACTCAGTAAACTTAATTGCGTAAATAAAAGCATATAAAATAGCAACTTAATATGATATTTTAATAAAAGTTTCTAATATGTATTCAGGTTTATTCTATGATGTTAAACTTAACTTTCTAACATTTTTAACCTTTAAATATTTAAATTTATATTATTTAAAATTAAATTTAGAGCTTTTTTATGAAAAAATTGAAATAATTGTATGAAAAAAACTTGGGTAAATATTTTAAAACCAATAAAAATTAAGTTTTAAAACTAAAATAGATTTGAGGTTTTTTCTTTTTTTTTATTGGCTATGGATTTAATTAAGGCCCTATTTGATAATAATGAATCAATTTTACATTTAATTTAAAATAGAAACAAATTAAAAAATTGTATTGCAATTATTTACACCACAAATATTACTTTTTATCAAATTTTTAATTTATCTTTAAATCAAAATTACTTTATTTAGTTGTGAAATTAAGAAGGAATGGTATGAAGGATTTTAATATTTTTTTTTATTATTAAGCATAAATTTAAATAAATATGTCCAAGAACAGTGTAATCTTAAATAATTGATTCAATTAAATTTATGCCAATTAAGAATCTGTTAAATAATAAAAGCATTTCTTTTATTTAAATAAAAATATATTATTTTTTTCTAATTTATTAAAAGGAAATAACTTAAAAATATATTTGATACGAGTGTTAAGATTATTCTATTAGTATAATTTATTTAGATATAAATAATAATTTTTAAAGTAATTAATTCATAATATTAAATACAAGTAGAAAAAGAAAAAAAAATTATTGAAAATGGATGCCTAAATGATTTTATATAATATCTTTTTAGAAATAACATAAATATCATAAAAGTAAGAAAATTTAATTGTCTGAAAACAATAGCAATTTAATTCAATAAATTAAATTATAAATTTAAATAAAGAATAAATATAAAATATTTAAAATTTAATAATTTTTCTTAATTATTATTTTTTCAACAATTAAATAGTTATTCTTGTTATGAAAATTAAGTTTAAATTTTGTTAATTATAGTATGAAATGTTTTATTTAAGGAAGTTACAAAAATTATAAAAATTGACTATTTATCCTTGATATTGAATTTGTTTGTTTTTACCTAGATTTATTTTCTAGAAAAATTATTTTTTTTATTTTATCTTCCTAAAATCTAAATCAAATAAATTTTATAATCTTGTTTTCTTTAAATTTCAAAATAAATAATAAAAATTATATGATAAAACAAGCAAAATATTAAATTATCAATTTAATCAAATAAAAGTTAGTTTATTTTTAATAAATATATTTGTTAGAATTTAATGTTGAATTATGAATAATAATAAAAAGGGATTGACTTGTTTTGATTCTATTTATAAAATTTATTTTTGCTTTATATATCACTAAATATCAAATAATAGAATAATTTTTAAAAATTGGATACATTTTAAATTTAAGCTGTATTCAATTAAAATTAAAATTATTATTGTACTTACTAAGTCAGTACATTATTTAGTTTTAGAAACTATTTTTTTTTAGATATTAATTAAAAAAATAGAAAAAATATATTTTAAAAATCTAATAAATCATTTTAATAACCTATCTGTATACTTTTTAAAAAAAACACTGATTTAAGATTAATAATTTATTATAATTATATTTTTTTAGGAACATATTTTATTTTATTTGTTGATAATACACTAATACTCATGACATCAAACCTTGAGTGATTCTATGACGCATACGATCTTAGTCATCATCTTTAGGTAAAAAGATGACTTTTGCACCTTATTGAGAAATCATTTTTATTGTTTCTAAATATCTAATTTGCATAGCTGCTTTTGAATTTAATTCATTAGATGCTTCTTTCATCAACTTTGCAGATTCAACATCAGCTTAAGCTTAAATTAATTTACTTGATGCTAATCTCCTTTCTCTTGCTGCAGATGATAGTGATTGTTATAAATCCTAGCTTAAAGCAATATCTTTTATTAAAATATTTTCAACATCTATTCCCCTATTAGATTTTTAGTAAAACATTTTAAACTTATAAATATTAATCATAAATTTAAAAATGAAAGTAATTTTTAAAAAAATTATTAAAAATAATACTGAAACGTATCAATTTATTTATTTATTTATTTTTTTGTTTGTTTATTTATTTAAATTAAATGATGTTGAATATTATTGTTAAGAAAGTGTAGTTTATTTTTCATTTTAAAATGATATTTATTTAATAATTCAATTGTTGAAAGCTTTACCATTCGTCTGTGTACTTATCTACTTCTATTCTGAGATCACTTGAAATTTCCTCACGCTTATCGAATAAATCTTGCAAAACATACTAGCCGCAAGTATTTTTAAGACATGAATATGTAAGTTACTCAATTGCTAATTAGTAGTTTTCAATTCTAAATATTGCTAGCTTGGGGTCTTTGACTCTAAAATATACTGTAGCATCAATAGTAACTACGACATTATCCTTTGTTAATATTGATTGCTTATCTAAATCAATAACTTATAGACGCATATCAACTTAAATTAGCTTATCTGTGCAAGGATTAACATAAATTAGTCCAGGTTTGGTTTATCTAACATACTTTCCAAAACGAGTTATAAGACCTGATGAAAATTAACGAACTTGCATGTATGGATACTCTACACAACAACAAAAAATACAAGGAATCCAAGTTCTTAAGCAACCACAGCAATCTCCAAAATACTTTTAGCATTTGGCATAACCAGTCATTTAATCCCAGCCTTCATCTCCTTCCTTAATTATTAAATGAGGAATTTTCCTTTTTTTGGATAGTGATTCTAAATTTCCAGTAGGAATCATTATTTCTCTTAAACTAAATTGGTAAGCTAGTTAGTTATTTAAATAAATACTATAATATTATTTTAGTTGTTAAGCTTTGATAATTCAAAAAATGTCTTTTTGTATAATCTATTTATTTATTTTGTATTATAAAGATATTAAAAATTATACTCTTTTTTTGCTTTGGTTAATAAGCCTATTGATATTATTAATAATTTTTAAAATATCAAAGATAGATAGATAGATATTTGATTGATAACTATTGCTGATAGTTGGCTATTTATTTAATTTCCTTAATAATTATTTATTTATGTATTCAATCAGTTCATAGTTCTCTAAATTCGTTTCTATAGTCCTTAATGTTAATAAAGTTTTTCATTTATTATTTCTAATTCGACCAAATTTTAATTTTTCATAAAAGTTGATGTATCTATAATACCTTGATAAAGCATAAATGTTTGGCCACTTTCGATCAAATTATAATAATTATGTAATTAAAATTATGTTAAATTTTAAACAAAAAAAATATTGTTTTATTAATATTAAAATTCTACCATCATAAATAAATATTAATTTGATTGCTTTATCTAGATTCAAAAATTTTGAATTAAACTATTTTAAGAAATATTCTTAAATCACTAATTCTATTTTAAAATTTTTTAATTTTTTAAAAATTGAAACTTAGATAAAGAAAGGAATGAGGAAAGATTAGATATTTTTTAAAATAAAATAAAATAATTTTTTTTAAATGAAAAAGCAATCAATGAATAATCTATCATTTTTTATCTCATAAATTAAACAAATTCTTAAATAGTAAAAAGGAAAAAAATGATTTTAATAATTTGAATTTAAAAGATTTTTCTTATAAAATATGGGTCATTCATTCGTTGATTAATTGAATTTTAAACATCAAATATATATTTTGAAAAACAGTGATTTAATTAATATATCTAATTATCATTATTCTATTAATCTGTAAAATTCTTTAATTTATACATTTTTATATTTTAAATTATTGATTTAATGAGTGATATTGAAGAGGATTTAAACTCATCTTCAATTAAAGAAGAAAGCAATTAATATTATGAGGATTTACAGTCTTCCTCAAGCTAAATTTAAGAAAATAATGGTAATAAAATAGCTGATAAAAAGCAGGAAGATTTAGATGAAAAGCAATCAAAATCCTCATAATTGCAATAATCCTTATAAGATGAAGATAATAGTTAATATGAGCAAGATTTTGAAGATGAAAATGGTTATGATGAAATAGATAAATTGAAAAAGGATAAATAAAAATAAATAGAGCAATTAAAACCAACATAATCTTAAATAAAACAACTAAGTTAATCTAAATTATCTGATTAATAGGAGTAGGAAAATCAACCTTAGAGGTTACAAGAATCTTTTAAAAGTAGCATTAATGAGGAGCAGCTAAAAAAATAGCAGCTTAGCTTTATTGGAAATTTAAATAGATATGTAAATGAATAATAAAATGAAAGTAAATCTTTAAGTAAAACTTAAGATTCACTAGCACACACAGATCCTCAAACAAATTAGAAAAAAATAAAAAATGAAAAGTCAAAACCTCCAATTCCTACAAAATAAAATTTCATCAAAGATTATATTGAAGAGAATCCAAAAATTAAAAATGATATTGAATAAGTACCAAACGATGAGGAGATAGAAGAAATAATAAGAAAAAATTAGCAAGATTTCTTATAAATGATAAAAAAAAACTCTTAGAAAAATTCCCCTGTCAAACAGAAGGAAGAAGTTTCAGAATATGGTAATTTATAAAATTAGATTTTTTTAGAAATTAATCTTAATTTTACTTTAAGGTTCAGAGAATTAATATTATGATGAAGAAGAAGAAGATTTGCAAGTCATTTATGAAACAGATAGAGAAGATAGTTAAGCAGGAAAAAGTTCTTAAAATGAATCATTTGATAACCATTATTATTCAAAGAGTTATGGGAGTTCAGTATATTAGTAATATTCAGCTCTTCATGCTAGTTAATAAGAAGAAGATAACTAATATTATGAGGAATCATAAATGAAATAAAAAGAGATAATAAAAAACAGAAAGCAGACCTAAAATGAATACGAAAGAATTATTAATCAAAAGAAAATAGAGCTACAGCAACTCTAAGAAATATAAAAATTAAAGTAATAGTTGAATGTTAATATAGACATAGATGAAGAGTAAATGCTTAAAATAGCAAAAAAAGCCAAACAAAAAGAAAAGGAAATTGAAGAAATTAAAATTTTATAGGATAGAATGAGGTATGGATGTAAAAAGTGTGCAGAGTCAAATACCTAGAAAGATAGAGAGGCCTATCGTGAAGAAAATGAGCATTTAAGGAAGGTTATTAATGAATAAGAAGCCCAAATAAAACTTCTCAAAGTTTAACTCAGAAAATCCGGAGATAAGAATTTAGATAATTCTTATTCTTCAATAGGAAGCATTTCAACAAGTTTTTAGAGAAAAATGGAGGAATTGGAATATGATAAAGAGAAATTAAAAGAAGAAAATTCATAGCTTAGAAATTAACTGAAGCATATAAAAAAATCAGCTCAAAATTAGATTAGTAGGTAATAAAGGCTGAATAATGAAATTTAGAAAGTTATGGGTTCAGATATAAGGAAGCTTTAAGAAAAAGAAAATAAAAAACCTTAGGATCCAAATTTAGAAAAATAACATAAAGTATTGACCGAAAGATTAGCAGAACTTAGGATAGACTTAGAAAAAATGATTAAGAAATATGAGGATTAAAAATAAAAAATCAAAGAAAAGGATGAATAAATAATAACCTTAAAGCAGAAAGTGCAAGGTCGCCACTTTTAAAAATAAATTGAAAAGATAAATGAACTTTAAGCTGTTGTTGATAATTTCGAAAAAGATAAAGATTAAATACGTGAGGAAATGCAGCTTGATAAGTAGCTTTAATTGCTTTTTCCTAAATAAATGGTTTTAATTTGCAATTTCTTTAATATTTGTGTTGCAGTCGAAGAAATGAAAAGAGGGAGATAGTAAATATATATTTATATTTTATTTTAATTAAATTTTACAATTTAAAATAAGTTCAAGGATAGCTAATATAATTTTTAGCAAAGCGAAGCCATTTATAAGCTATTTTAAGAACATTTTCTACTCTATAAAAGATACTATTAAGTTTAAGATCTCAAAAAACCCAATAGATCATCCTAAATAATAAGAAATAATAAGAGCAACTATTAAGGCATGGAATGAATCACCAGAAATAGTTGCCAGACAAATGAAATCACAATAAAAAGAATTAAAAGAATTAAGAGTAAATTGAATATTTTGAAAAGATAAGTTATTTATTTTGTTTAGCTTAATTATATAGAGGTATTTAACGAGGTTGAGAGTCTTAGATAAAGAAATGAGCTTTTAGAAAAAGATGTTGAAATTCTAAGACAAAGAAACAATGTTGTAGAAACTAGGTTAACTGTAGATAAAAATAAGTTAGTAAATAATGTGATAATTTAGTTAAAGCATCATGCAATAGAAGATGAAGAGCAAGATTATCTGTTAGAACTGAAAAAAATAATTAACACAATTAAGGAGGGTCCTCCAATCCTAATTTCTTAAGCTGAAAGAGATGCTTTCAAAAAATAGTAAGAACTTGAAGCTGAAAAAGAAAGAAAAAAAAGAGAAAGAGAAGAAAGAAAAAAGTAAATGGAGCTTAAAAAACAATAAAAATTAGAAGAAAAAAGGTAACGAGAAGAAAAAGAAAAAGAAGAATAGCTTTTACTTTAGAAACAAAAAATCAACAGACCTTTTTCTGCATTAAAATAAAAATAAAATGTAACCCCTGTATAAAATAAAGAACCTCGTCCTAATTCTGCAAAAGTCAATGCTAAAAAAGAAACAACTTAAAGCATCACTTCTATATAACTCCTTCCTTCTCATCAAAGATTGAAAGAAGAAAATAAAATAAATAGCAACTAGTAAGATTCTCTCAATAAAACAAAAGATAGCAAGAATTTCAGGGTTAGTACATTAACTAGTAAATCCAAGTAAAGTCTAACAGCAACTAATAACTAATGAATATAAAACTCTAAAAAACAACAAACAAACAAATTAAAAATTTTAAATTAAACTAAAATATTGAATTACTTCTTTAAAACCAAAAATATATTTATTTATTTATTTGTATCTTTATCTTAATACTTATTAAATTAAATTAAATTTGTGCAAAAATATCAAAAATGATTTTTTTTTAGTTATTTTCAATTAAATACACAAGAAAAATTTTAAACTAAAAAAAATGCCTTCACTCGGGATCGAACCGAGGACCGTAAGATCTTCAGTCTTACGCTCTCCCAGCTGAGCTATAAAGGCTTAACAATATAAAAAATATTAATCATATAATTATTGATAAAGTGTCTAATATATTAGTTTAGATAAATAAATAAAGTTTTTTATTATTTTAATTTAAACAAAATAAATATCAAAACTCCTTATTTTTTATATTTTTGAGAAGAATTAAAATGTTAAAAATAATTATTTTCAAAGTTTTCTATTTGTTTGTTTATGATATTTACTCAAAATAATGCAGGAAGATAAGAAGTAAATAATAAAAATTAGATAAATTACAAAAATTTAAAAATAAATATAAATATTAAACTTTATCAAAAATCAAAAATTTTTGAATAAAAAACTCAAATCAAATCAAATTAAATTAAATATTAATTATTTGTGATTTTCAATCATAAAATTATTAAAAAAAAGATACATTATTTTTATTATTCACATAAATTTCAAATAAAGTAGCAAAAATTTACTAAAATGGCTTCAAAGATCTAAAGTGATATTGAAATAACTAAAGATGACTAAAACTAAATTAACTAATTTAGTCGTATAAACATGCACTGGAATGAAAAAAATAGAACCATGCAAAAGAAAAACGAAATTTTAAACTAACTTGATGATGCTGCTACTGAATTAGAGTTATGCGATGATGAAGAAACAGTATAAGTAAAGTATGGTGATTGCTTCTTCCATGTTAAGGTAGAATAGGCAAAATAATATGTTGAAGAATAATAAACTTAAACAAAGAAAGAAACAAACGAAATATCTAAGGTTATGGATGAATAAGAAAAGAAAATGAAAAAACTCAAGGCAGTTTTGTACACTAAATTTGGTAATTAGATCAACCTTGAAGAAGATTGAAACAAAAAATTAAAATTAGTTTATAATAATTAAAAAATAATTGTTAAATCTATAAATGCATAATTGTTTTATATTTCATTTATAATCTTCTCTTAATTTAATTTCTACAAAAAATAAAATATTATTTATTTTTAGATTTTTTTAGATTTTCATTATGCAAGCAAACAAATCGCCTAAAAAAAATAAACAAATATAATAATTAATTAAATAAATAACAAATATTTTTTTAGCTTAAAAAAAATATATTTCCAAGAATATCTTATAATTTTAAGCAGTAATTGAATAATATTTAAGTAGAATTAATTTTTTTTTAATTATTTATAATTTATTATTACTTTTCATTTTTATTATTATTTAAAAATATTTATAAATCCTTCAATCAGTTTTTAAAACTTAATTAAAAATATTATTTCAAAAAAATTTATTTATTTAGAATTTTACTTTTATTTTTTGCTTGTAAAATATAAACAAAATATTTTTTTTAATTTATTATTTTCTCACAAAATTTAAAATATATTTTAAAATGGCCAAAGCTTTATATTCTTTTTCTTATATTAAAAAATGTATTTTCTCTTTAAAAATATTTATTTTTTTATATATTAAATATAATAAATTATTGTAAGAAGGAATCAAATATTTTATAATAAATCAATCATTCAATCTTATTATAGAATTTTTTTAATTTAATATATAAAATTCATAACCCTTCTATTTTAAATTGCAAAAAGAATATTAAAATCAATGCATTTACAACAACTATTAACATTAATATTAAAATTATCATTACATCTTGTAATTATCAAATCATACTCAAACATTATTTGGTTTTAATGGAAATTTTATAAATAAAAAAAGATAGAGCAAATAAATCAAATAAAAAAAAATATTAAGAACTTATATTTTTATGTCAAGGTAGATTTCAACTCATAAAAATCTTATTTATTCGTAAAAATAATTTTAAAAATGAATGAAATAAATAAATATTCAATAATTTTTGTAGAATTTTCTTTAAGCCTTTATTTTTATACTTAATAATAAAAAATATATATTGATATTAATATTATCAATGAATCTATAATTCTTCTATTTTTAAGCTTAAAAATAAAGAAAAAAATTAGATCAGAGCATCTATAACAACTATTAATATTATCAATAAATCTTTTAATTTTCAAACTATAATTAGAAATTATTTAATAATTTTAAAAATAAAAAAAAAGATGGAGCAAATCAATAAAATAGTAGAAAAATATTAGGAACTTATATTTTTAAGTGAAGGGAAATTTGATCAATAAAATGTTTAGTTGAGACAGCTATTGCTTATTCATGCATTCAATACAACTAATAATTTGGATTGTGTTGGATTAAATGAAGAAGATCCTGAAGAGAGCTAAATTTTACCAGAAAATTGGAATATTAGCGATGAAGGAGTCTACTCTTTTAAATATAAAAACTCTTAAGATAAAATAGTTTATATTTTTAAATTAATTTTTGATGAAGGCGTTTTGAATGTCAATACTGTCTCTCTTAGTGATTCTTCAAAGCTATATTCAGTTACTCTTCAACTAAGCGATTTTAATGTTGAACAGATCGATAAAAATAATAAAATATTTGAAATATACCAAAAAGAGATTTTAGATAAAATTGTTGGATAGTAGTAAAAAAAGCAAGAAAATACATCGTCTTATTCGTCTTCTTCTTACTCTAGGAATTAAAATACATCTTAGTAATACCCTTTAAATTATCCTTAAAATTCTCAAAGCTAATAATAAGGGTTTATTGATCCGATGAGAGATTATGGTAGAAATGATTTACATCCTAATTTTGGTAATCCTTTTACAATCGGAGGAGGATAAGGCAATAATCCTTTTACAAATCCATATGGAAGAAACTAATAACCTAGATTTGATCCTTATGGTCCTAATGGAATATCAGGAATTCCAGATGACATTCAGCCTGATTTCTTCCCTAACAACAATTAAGGACCAAATAGAGGAGGAAATAGAGGGCCTATTGGGGGACCATTCGGTGGTGGTTTCGGAGGAGGCTTTGGTGGTGGATTTGGTGGCGGATTTGGAGGTGGATTTGGTGGAGGTTTTGTTTGAAAATCCTCTTCATCTAACTTCTTAAAAATATATGTATAAAAAAATAATAAAATAATTTAAAAAAAAGAATGCATGGTTATTGTATATTAATTAATGTTGGTATTAGAATATTTTTTTAAATTAATAGTAAAGAGGTAAATTAATAATTATTATTTATAATTTTTTATATAGAACAATCTTGTTTAAAAAGAAATTGTCAGAATATTTTAATTTTTATAATTTGTAAATACTACAATCTTAACTTAAACTAATAATTCAAATCAATTAAAGCTTAAAACAATATATAAATACAAATTTTTACTTTTAAGATAAAAAAAAATGATATCTGGTAATAGAATGGTAAAAAAAAATCCCAATTCAAATATAGATCAAAAGCCTGTTATACATAAACTTTCAGATTATGCTTTTGACCATAATTCTGGAGGTAACGCATACTAAGTTCTTAAACCTAAGAAGCAAAATTTAAATAAAGTTGACGATTCATTAAAATCTTCTAATCCATAAATCTAAGATAGAAGATAAAACCATAGAAATTCTTAAAACACTGAGGGAATAAAAAATATAGAGAAGCCAAAGTTTATGAGTGTAGCAAGGCATGGATTAAAAATAGGAGGCTTAGTTATAGGTTAAGATAAATGGCATTGCAAAGTCTGTAAACTAGTAAATTTAAATTCTACTTCCCAGTGTTTAAGATGTTAATCTGATAAAGGAGAGCTAAAGTAAAGTAAAAATACTGAGCAGAATTTAAACAAATAAAAAGCAAATAAAAATAATCTTATAAATAAACAAAGCATAAAAAACAAGCCTGTATGATGCAGAGCAACCAAAGTAATATAGAATTTCTTAAAAATAGTACATATTTTTATCAATATAAATATAGGAATGCTATTATTAAAATTATGACAAATTACAATTAATATTTTTTTAATTCTAATCTATAAAATCGTTTTTGTTTTATTTTATAAAATTTATTCAAAAAATAAAAAACTTTAGATAAGAGCTGTTAAACAAAAAATATTTCATAAAAGGGAAAACAAACAATTTTTTTAATATTTGAAGCTATTAAAAACAATAGTTTTTGTTTGCTTTTAAGAAATATATTTATCATATTTTATATCAGTTTTACTACTCCTTTTCATTTTATTTTTCTTTATGTGCTTAATATGTTTCATCTATAAACTTTTTGACTTATTCTAAATAAACTTTTTGTTTTGGAATACAATGAGGACCATCAAATTTTAAAATTTGTTTATTTTTATACCACTTCATTAATGCTTATGTCCTGTCAAAGGGAACAACTTGGTCTTTTTCTCCAACTAAAAATAATGTTGGAACTTCAATTTGTTCTTTTTCTTCATATAAATCATTAACAAACTTCAAATTTTCATTAATTACTTTAGGTAAACCAACTCCACATATGTTTATTATCATTTTCAAACTTTTAAAAATATTTTTATCTCTGTTTTTTGCATAAAAAAGACTGCCCATAAGACTTCCTTACGAAAAGTTAATAATAATATCAATATCTGGATTTTTTTCAACTACTTCAAGGAGATGTTCTTCAGATTCATCATAAAAATGATAATGGGCTTCAGTTAAAACCCATCTTCCATCAAAATCTAAAGGATCATCTCTATTTAAAGCTAACCAGCATCTGAAAGGATCTTCTGGATCATTTGGAAGTGTTTTATTTGGAGCAACTGGTAATAGCACATCACGAATTTCATAATTTTTAGAAAAAAATTTAATCCAAGGTTATATCCTTTCTTCTATTCTTTCATAATATTGTTAAAATCCGTGTAAAACCAAAATTTTAAAGCTTGGAAGTACAACTTTTGGAGGTTCTTGCTTTGGTTTTTTCTTTTTTTATTGAGGCTTGCTTTCTGCTTAAGAATTATTCATTTAGCTATTTTATGATTCCTTATTTTAATCTAACTCTTAATTAGAGTTTTATCCATTATTAATGTTCAGTTTTTCCAAATCCTATAATTCATTTTACTATTATTATTATAATAGCTAAACCTTTTATTCCTCTTATATACTATTATCGTTTTAAGCAGCTTCCATTTCTTTTTATTAAAGCTAAAAAATAAAAATTTCTCAAATTAATTTAATTAAAAATATTAATTAATATCTTGCAATGAAAGTAGGAATAAGTAAGTAAGCATGTGTTGGTAAAATTATATTTTTTAATTTAATTTACTTTATATCTTTTATGAAGATAAATTTGATAACATTCATACATATATACTCCATTCAGAAATTAAAAAATTTTTAAATTATTTTTTGTAAAATAAATTTATTTTTTATTTAATTTTACTAACATTTTATATCTTCTTTTATATAATAAAAATATTTCTATTTCTATCTATCTTCACGCTCAATAAGTATGGAATATTGAATAAATCAAAAATTTATTTTACCATATAATTAAGGAATGCTAAAAAAAACGATGTAATTTTTATTTAAAAATAAGAGGTACCCTCTCTATACACACACACATAATATGATAGAATATAATAATATTATTATTTATTTTTATTTTTAAAGCAACTGACTATTCCAAACTTTTTAACCAGACAATAGAATTTAGAAAATAAATTAAGTTTTATGTTTTTGATTAACATTAATTACAAAAGTATATGGAAAATTTAATTGGCAAAATTTTAATATAGGAGCATAAAAAGTACTCATATCATTGTTTGTATAGGAATTTTCAAAATTTAGTAGCTTAGAAATTTTGAAATTTAACTGAACTAATAACAAACAAACAAATCTTTAAATTATTAAATTTGAGCAAAATGTCTGGATAAAATTGTGAATAAACTGAAAAGGCTATTTAAGAAAACTTAAATTTATAAGATAACTAATGCGAAATCTAAGATCACTAAGCTTTGATTTAAAAAGATGAATAAAAATCTCTAGATTAGATAGAAAAAGATCATAATGTAATAGCTGAAGGGGTTAATAAAGAAGATGATTCACTAAGCAACATTAATATCGATTTAGATTACTAGAAATATTTAAGCAATGAAGAGAAAAGAACCTTAGAGAAACTGCAAGATAATACTCAAATAATTATTGGAAAATACAAAGATGTTAAACAATAGTCATCTTAAAAAAAAAATTCAGATACTTTTATGAAGGGATATGATATGAATTCTCCTACTAGTATGGAGAGTTCACAATAAGCATAGTCGTGTATTACCTTCTATCAATACAAAACAGGAAAATAAAAAAAAAATAATAAAATGTTTGATTCAGTAAATTCATATCAAAGTGATAAATGCAATGGGTTCACTTCAAAGAAATTAGAGTAATTTTTTCTAAAATTCATTTTTATTGTTTTTTGATTTTCAAGAAATATGACTAATTAACTATTGAAAAATCAAGGTTTAGAATAGTAATCATATGAAAATGAAAATATGTTTATTTTTTATATATAATTTATCTAAATTTAATGTTCTTAATTATTTTTATTAAAATAAAATATAAAGCTAGTCTGAGTAATTAACACCTAAAAATTATAGTTAAAAATAGTCAAATAATGGTAAATAAATTTAAGGAAATGTAAGTCATTAGTAATTACAAAATTATTTTGAAGCAGTTTAGTAGAATGTATCAAAAAGAATTAGTTTTAACAGTTTATAAGAAGTTCAATAAAAATAAGTTAACAGTTTAATATAACCCTAATCTAGTGATGAAAAATAAATTGCTTATGTAAATAGAAGAGAAGAGTTATCTCCTAAAAACTTACTTAAAGAACCTTATTTTTATTCATCAGGGTTTAGTTTTGAGAAATTTAAATCAAGAAATAATCCCTAACAATTTTATACAAGCTTTAAATTTAAAAGTGATAAGAGCTCCTCTCCACAATCTAAAAGATCAAGAAGTAAAAAATAATCTTAAGATGAAATATTAGATCATAATTCAGATTAATAAACCAAGACTGATTAAAAGTAATCAGTGTCAAAACTGTAAAATAAATAATAATGTTAAAACAGTTCTTTGTTGAACTCTATGCTTTAGTCTAATTCAGTCAAGCACTCACTTGAAAATTTAAAAAGCAGTATATAAAACCCAATTTAATTATCACCTAATTAAAATAAAAAAATTAAGTAAGCTAATAAATCGTACAAAGAAAATGAAATTTAGTTAGAATATAATCAAAACTTGTAAAATCAAAGTAAAAAAACATTAAATTCCAGCTCAAAGTAAAATAAACACAGTAATAATTACTTAAAATCTTAGTAATCATCTACAAAAAAAGTAAGTCAAATAAAAGAAAGCTAATAAAATTAATATAGATAAAGTTTAATAACTCCTTCTTGTTTCTATTTTCTAGATGAAACTTCTAACTCTTCAATCCTTAAAAATACTTTAATTCAATGGTTCGAAAATGAAAAAATAAAATTTTAAAATAAAGTCGATTCATTACTAATGAACTAAAATTGTTATGATCAAGAAAATTCTAAAAAAAATAATTATGTTGTTAGTAACTAAGAATTAGATTTTATGCAAAATTTTTTAATTGATTTTGAAATTTTATTAACTTAAAGCAATGGTATTGTAAACTCTAAACTTGAGACAAAACTTTAAGAATTTTTAAATAACGAAGCTCAAATTGTGGTAAACAGAATAAAAGATAAAAAACCATCAACAACTTTACATAAAAATGAAATAAATTCCAAAAATAAATAGGATTAAACTTTAAATAATAGTTTGTCTGAAAATAACTTAAAAGATCAATATAAGAAAGATCAACTGAAAGGTTTGTCGTCATAAGCTGAAGCTTGCTTTAAACTTACAAACATAGATTAAACCATTTTCAAGAAGCTTTCTAATGATGAACAAATATTTAATTATTCATTTCACTATTAAATACTTTTAGAGCTTGTCAACTAAATTAATATAAAAACATTAAATGTAAGTTTTAAAATTAAAATGTAAGAAAAATTTAAAGCTTATTTTAATAATTCAGGAACAAAAATTCACAAAAGAATCTAATCTTAAGACTAGCCTATTTTTAGCCTTTTTTTCATTTTTGGCTAACTTTTTTGAATTCATACCTGTAGTTAATCAAAAGTTAGAGGTATTAATTTTAATTTCTTTTATTTTTAGTGAATAATTATTGTATATATAAAGGATAAAACGTGGGAATTTTGCAATAATCTTTTGACTAAATCAGGAATTATATTCAATTCAGTACAAAAATTACCAAATTTGATTGAGAAATAGACATACAATCCATGTAAATTTATCAGATTAAACTAGTTAAATTTAATGCAAAATTAAAAGATTTAATTTAGGAATTTGAAGAAAGCTTCTAAGAAGTCGAAAACATAGTTTGCTAAGAAGATAAACTTCTAGATGATATCGAATATGGTTTCTTCTTGAAGTTTATATATTCAATTAAATCTTTATTTGAAGTTAAACATAATTTTTAATTTTAAATTTAATTAAAAAATATTTTTATTTAAAAAGATTCTAAAAAATAATAACATCATAAACTTTGATTAGAAAAAACTATAATTGAATCAGAAAAAAACATAAGAATATTTGTAAAAAAGAGAACAAAAAATAAAAGATGGGATACAAATAAACTCTTATCTATAAAAGTCAGTTCTAGAATAAGAAAATTTGATTCAGCAATAATATGGAATTAATTTTCAAGAATGGTCAAATCAAATTTTGTAAGTTTAAAAGGATATAAATACTCTTAAAGCGAAAGAGAAATAACATAAATGGCTAGAAGAGAGATAAATAAAAAAGAAAGCTTTGGAAAAAGAATAATAGAGAGATTTAGATGACTTCTACAGATATAAATAGTTTGTATATTTAAACATTTTTAATGAATTAGTTTTATAAATTTTATCATAAATTTAGGGTTAATAATAGCAGTAGATAAATAGAGTCAGCAATCTTAAGAATAGAGAGAGTAAAAGAGAAAGAATTAACAACTCCACAGAAATTAGGATGATAGAAAAAAGTCAGTAGAAATAAAGAAATAAATCAATGATTTCTGAAGAAATTGAAAAAACTGTATGATTATTAATATTTTAAGTCATTTATCAACTCATTTATTTTGATTTCTCAAATAAAATGTTTTAGAAAAGTGAGATTTCATTTAAATAAGTGTTGAAAAAATAAGCCATTGATAAAAAAAAACAAGAGCACATAGAGTTTGTTGAAAACGTAAAAGAAAAGAGAAAAGTCAGAGAATAATAAATAGAAGAGCTAAAAAAAGCAGAAAAAGAAGAGTATGTTTGGAAGAGAGCCTAATAGCTTTTAGAAAAGTAAAGTAAACTACTTTATGAAAGAGAATAATTACTACAAAATCAAAGATTCTTTTGAAGAATTATTCTCAAATTTAATCAATTAATATAATCAATAATAATTAAAAAATAATTTCAGTTCTCAAAAATCCTCCAAAATATATTTTTTATTATAATTAAAGACAAGTCAATTTTAAAATTTTAATAATTAGAATTTTGTTTTTTTTACTAACATTATTCTAAATACTAAATAAGTTGTTTTTTGTAACCTTAAAAATAATTTTCCATTTTATATTTTATAAAATTTGTAATTTACAAAAGAATTTTAAAGAAATATATTTTTATTTAAGCTAAAAAAGAGTTTTCTAAAAATAAATATATTTATTTATCCATTTATTCATTTAACATTATTCTAAATACTAAATAAGTTGTTTTTAGTAACCTTAGAAATAATTTTCCATTTTATATTTTGTAAAATTTGTAATTTACAAAAGAATTTTAATATATTTTTATTTTTAAGCTAAATTTCTAATAAATCCAAAGAGTTTTCTAAAAATATATTTATTTATTCATTTTTCATTCATTCATTGATTCAAATAGAATCTAAATGAGTGTCGTTTGTTTTTTAAGATTTATAACTAAACCAACTAACAAAAAATTTCTCATAAAATTTAAAATTAACTTAAAAAAAAAATAAAATATTTAAGCTATACTTCATATGTTGATTATAGCTTTAAAGATATTAAATATTAAAATAATAAATTTTAATTATTTGGAAACAGTATCAAATAAAAGCTTTAGTTAAAATTAATAAATTAATAAAAAATAAGCAATTCATATATTTTACTGAAAACTATTTTTATAAATTGTAGAACATTTTTATAAAAAAGCACAATTTTTTTAGAGAAAATCCTTCTAATTAATAGGAACTTTTTAAATTTACGTTTATTTTGTAAAATCTATTTGTCTTACTGGAACGAAATGTTAGTTTTAGATTAATGTCATTTTGAATGAAAAATTTAGTCCAGCTAAACTAAGCAAATCAAAATATAAAATATATACCTACAGTAAATATAGGCTTTGATAATATTGATAATTGTAATAATCATAAAAATTTATAAATTTGATTATATTTTAGATTAGAGTTTATATTATGTATTATATTTTATTATCAAATTAATTTATGTTTATTGATTCTCCTGTCATAAATTAGTGAAAATAAATGAAAAATATTTAAAAGAATTGAAAAAATAAATATCTTATTTTAAGGCATAGTAAATTTTTGAGAATTCTTTATTTAATTAAAATAGAGAGAATCTATCTATCTATAAAATTCATACCAAATCAATTTTTTACAAATTCAGGAGGGAGAATAAATTAATAAAATGGATAATACAAAAATAGAAAATTACACGAACTTATAATAAAAAGGTTCGAAATCATTTGATGGTAAAATATTTTAATAGATTTACTTTATCTTGCAATATGTTGATTGTTACTTTGGTCTAAATTATGATTAGAAGGAAATTAAACAAATTTATAATTTTTTACATAAGTAAAACTTTACTGATTAAATCATAAACTGAAAAAAAATAAAGGAAGCATAATAACTAAATAAAATAAGGATGGTTAGCAAGCTATAGATAAATGATGTGATGTTTGGTATTCTATAAATCATATCCATTTAATTAAAAACTACTTTCTAAATTAATTGTAAAAATTTAATTATAAAAAAAATTAAAATTCGCAAAAAAGAGTCAGCTAAAAATCTTTTAACTAGAGTATAATCACTATCAATTAATCAATCAATAAATTAGCAAGCACATCAAATATCTAAATAATTAAATAACCTTCACTAAAATGTACAATTCATCTTTCACTCAAAAATCATAGGTTTTAGGTAATAGCTATCAAAGCAATAATCCAGAAGTTAATGAAATAATTAAAAGACACGAAGAAATCGCTAATAGTATAAAGAAAATGAGAAGCGCAAGCCAAGTTCCTCCAAGCTATGCTAACAACTATCTCTACACACCTTCAGGAAGCATTTCAAATATACAAGATGACTAAAATGAAGTTGAGACAATTATCACAACAACCACTATGAAAATTACTCCTTAAACCTCGCTAACTAACTCTTATGCTCCACAATAATATTAACGCTCAAATAACTTCTTAAACCCTAACATTCAACACTCTTTATAGCAACCCTAGTAAACTTCTGATCTAATTGATCAACTTAAAAGAGCTAACTAATAAATCCTTAACATATCTTAAGATCTTCGAGGCTATAATGATAACTTAAAAAAGAGCTAGATCAGCATTGGTGGTGGATTAGGTTCTTCTCAGATATCTTATGGAAATTAATCTATTATATAACCTATTTCTAGAAGAAACAACTTTGAAACTTTTAATAATCAAGTACCTAGCATAAACAACAGCTAATATTTGAGTGCTGGAAATACCTACTAAAACCCTAGATCTGCTTCTGTTTATTCTTCAAGAAATGAATTACCTTAAACTAATTCTTATAATTAATCTTTTTATCCTACTACTAGAGGCGTATCTTAGAAAAGAGTAACTGAGATTACCACAACTACCTACAATAATGAATTACCTGTTCACTCACACTTATTAAATTCAGGCATTGCTAATAGCAGAGCAAACTTAGCAAGTTCATAAAATCCTACTCCTAGAGGTACTTCATAAAGCAATATACACTCCTTAAATTAAATTCATGACTCAGATGATGAAAATGATTACATTAAAAGAATATATGTTAAAGGAGATGGTTTTGAATACGAAGAAATAGTTGATGAAGAAAATCCTTAAAACAATTACAAAGCATTAAGAGATTAATACCATGATGAATGGTAGAGACTTGACTATACTCCAGACTTTATTATTCCATTCCTTAAAATTTAAGAATAGTAAAAGGCTGCCCAGAATTCTATGAGCTAGATAAATGCTTCTCAAATATCTAACGTGCCTCTTCCTGCAAAATACGAATTTCAACCAAATTGCTAAAGTAGATACATACTTGATGATTCTAACTTTAACAAATCTCATGTAGACACAACTGCCAATATTTCTTAATCATACATCCCAACATATAAATCTTATGCTCCATAAAATTATTGAATAAAAAAAGCCTTTTAATAAATAATTCTTTTCAACTCAAACATACATATATATCTTTAAATAGAAATATTTCTTGTAACCAAATCTATCTATCTATATTAAATTTCATTTTACATTTATTTGCATTTATTTACACTTATTTGCATATTAGTAACATTCTTTATACGTCTATTATTCATTCATGCATTTATTAATTCATAGTCTTGATGCTCTTGATGAGTAAAAAAATAAATATTTCATATGTAATTATTAGTCATACAAAATAAGTGATCGATCTATCAATTAATTGTTGGAGAAGTAATAATTTTAATTTTTTAAATACCATTGAAATTTTATTAATTTGATAATCTTATCTCAAACTCTTAAGACATTTAAAACCACTAATTTTTTTATACACTTCACTATTTTCACTAATTTGTAATTAATATTTTGATTACTTCAATAATTAAAATATCCAAAATGATTAAATATTTACCAAACAATTATTGGTTATTAATAAAAGTAATAAGCTGTGTATCCAATTATATTTTATTTCCTTACAGATTAATTTTCTTTTATTATTAATGTTATGTATTTAAGCTTAATGAAAATAATTTAATATACTATTTAAATAAAGCACACCTATTTATTCAAAGCAAATTATTTTTATGGCAATTTTTATGTTTAAAAATATAACCATAAGTGAATAAAGTTAGATCTAATGCTTAAAAAAATTATTTATTTATTACTAAATAAATATTTATTTTTACAAATTTTAATAATTATTTTTCAATTATATTTATTTTATAGTTATTTTTTTTCATTAATAATTTCAAATTAAATATTTTAGATTTGTAAAAAATTTTTGATATACAAGATAAATTATTATAATATTTTTTATTATTGATGTTTATATTTTAAATATCTATTATTTTTTTCTATACAATACTTTCTGTTAAAAATATATCTAATTACCTCCAAAGATTAAATATATACCAAACAATTATTGGTTATTATTATTTTTTATTTCTTTACTATTTAATTTTCTTTTATTATTAACGTTATGTATTTAAGCTTAATGAAAATAATTTAATATACTATTTAAATAAAGCACCCCTATTTATTCAAAGAAAATTATTTTTATGGTGTTTAAAAATAAAATCATAAGTGAATAAAGATAGATCTAATGCTTAAAAAAATTTATTTATTTACTAAATAAAGATTTATTTTTACTTTTTACAATATAATTTCAAATTAAATATTTTAGATTTGTTAAATAATTTTTGATATACAAGATAAATTATTTTAATATTTTTTATTATTGATGTTGATTATATTTAATTAATCTATTATTTTTTTCTATACAATACTTTCTGTTAAAAACCATATCTAATTACCTCCAAAAACTCTTTTGAGCATTTAATTAAAATTCAAAATTAAAAATAAATTTCTTATAAGACCTAAAAAGATAAAGTATCTATAATTTAAAATGGGATAATCTGAGAGTAGTCAATCATAGTAGTAAAAAGAAAAAATAACAAAAATTGAAAGTGATAGTGAAGTAAAAGAGTAAAAAAATAAATCAGAAGTATAAAGTACTCCTACACCTTAAGAGAACAGTAGTTTTAAAACTCAAAACTAGATTATTGAGCAATTATCAAATTCAAGATTATAACTTAAGTAATAAAGGGAACAAGAAATAAAAAAAGTTAGTGAAAGTAAAGAAAAGGATGCTGTTTCAAAAATTTTAAAAATTATGGAATAAAATTAAGAATAGCTTGTGGAAATATTAGACGAAAGAGTATAATTGATCAACTAAAACCTTGAAGATAAACTCCTAGTTTTAGAAAACAAGATGGATGAAATTAGTGATAAATTAAGAGAGTTTGAGAATGCATTCTAAGACGAATTTAAATCTTAAAATTTCAAAGAGGAGATTGATTTACTGAGAAATGAAGTTAAATAAATGGTTGCCATCTCTGAGAAATATATAAAAGACGAAACAAAAATACAAGAGATATAAAACTTGTCTGTTTTGAATAAATCAATTCACAAAGAAAACAAGCCAAGCAAAAAAGAGTTAAATCCTCTATACAATAAGCTCTCAATGATGAGGGAAAGATCGAAGATATAAAAACACATGAGTGATAGTTAGATACTCAAAGATTTTGATGAAAACATGGGTTATTTATAAGAAAATCACTATTAATATTAAAATGACTACACTACAATGAATATTTCATCACTTTTTAATTAGAATAATGGAATATATAGTGAATAATACAAATTTAATTCTAAAATTGAATGAAAATATTTAAATAAATAAATAATTTTATTCTATTAAATTAATTAATTAATAAAATATATCTCAATTAAATTCAAAGAAAACTATTTCATTAGCTCTGCTATATTATATATTTTACAAATATTTGTAAGCCAACGACAAGATAAAGTTGATTTTTTTACTTTAAAATATGAATATATCAAAATATTAAAATTAAACCTTGTATTAAAATGTGTGTGAGTAAGTTTATATTTTTAAGCACTCTGTTAATAAAGGCTTATGTTTATATAATATTATAGAAAAGAGCATTTATATAAACAATTTAAAATATATTTACATTTATATAAGTTCTGTTTTAATAATTAATATGATGATCTATTTCATAAAAAGAGGTAAAAATTAGTTTTTGTTCATTTTTTTAAATACTGTTTTTAGATGTTGATTGATGCTTAAATTTTCAGATGATTTCTTTTTATAAATTCTATGTTATAGAACTATTTTAAGTGAACTCTTGCTCTATTGTCTCTCTTATTGGGGTTTTCTGTTTTATTTATTTTTATTTATTTAATAGCCTAAATAATTAAAAAGAAATGTTACCACTTAATTGTTATTTGTATTAGAAGTATTAGATGATGAGTTATTTCTATTTTTTAACTGAATATCTATATATGATTATCTAATATCCCTATGAGATGGAGGAGGTTATTCTGAATACAAATCATGAAGATCATTTTTGTCATTATCTTAATTTTATGCTTTGTATACTCTATTTTATGGAAAGTTTCTTTTATATTCTTAGTATTATTTTTATTTTTAAGTTGGAGAAACAGGGGTATTTAACAAATAATCTTCTCCTTATTTGGAGTCATAACTCTAGCTATGCTGTCTTGTTTGGTTCCATTTAAATACTGTTTTTGCTTATTCATTTAGAGAATCTGAAGGACTAAATTATCTATCAGTCTATTTACAAATTTATAATTAAAAAAAGCAAAATTATTGAATAAATTTAGCTACATGAAGATTTTATAAAGGATTAAATTCACTAGATTAAGAAAGAGTATTGTTTCTTGTTCTGTTTGATGAAGTATTATAGGTCAAGGTTTAGTCATAATAATTAGGTAGCTTGTTAGAAGAATAATTCTGAACATATTCTTGCCTACTTTATGAGTGTGAAGCATATCTATCTATTTATTACTTGGATCTGAATCTATATTATCTTTATGCAGTTTTTGGTGTTTAAGGAGATGACGTATGGCTAGACAAATTATTGCTTATATTTTTTCTTGATTGTTAAAAATTAATATTTCCATTTAAGTTGTTAGTTTCTGGTATTCCATAAAGCTGATTATTCGAATTCTATCCATAAGGATTCGCAAAACCAGTAGGTGTGTTTATTTTGAGCCTTGGTAATATTTTTGATTTTAAATTTATATTATTTATCTCTATTCTATTTGTCTCTTTATAAAATTCTTTCATTCCACTACTCCCATTTTTTTGAATACCGTTAGGATTTTTTATATCTTGCTTTTTTTTCTTTTCATATTACTATAATTTTTTAATAGTTTTAATTTAGGCATAAATTATTAATTTTAAGTTACCTAGTCCTTTGCTTTTTACATTACTTTTTCCATCTTTTTCACTACAGAATGCTGTATCCCTAAATATGTATTTGCTATTCCATATGCTTTCATGTACAGCTTTATAGATTCGTCATCCTAAATATTTTTTTTTACAAAACTATAATCTTAGCTTACTTTTAGATTAAGTGATGTTAAATTTATTAAAAGAGATAAATTACATACCCTTTTTAAATGTTCGAATTCTACTCCTAAATTATGATAAGCTATTGCTAAAACTGCTATTCTATCATCAGTTACAATCTTTCTTTTCTTAAGAGCAGGTTCATTTTACTATTAATTTTATGACTAGGTTTTATAAAATTTAAGAGTTTAACTCAGCATTTCATCTTATAACATAATAATTGATAGCATAGAATGCTCTAATGCTTCGTCATGTCTATCTAATTAGCTTAAAACAGCACATAAATTCAAATGAGTATCAGCCAGAGATACATCATTATCATCTAATTTTATTTCAATCTCTAGAGCATTTATTAAATAATTCAATGCTGTGCGTAGTTTATTTGTACGTCGATAGTAACATGCCATATTATTAAATGTCACTGCTTTCATTTTTTAAGAATTCATTTATAGCATTTCAGCCTTTCTCAGCTACTCTAAAGATTTATCGAATTATTCCATCTCTAAATAAATCATCGCTGACATGTTAAGCAGTTAACATAATTTTTCAATACCTTTTTTAAACTAAAATTATTTAAAAAAATATTTTTTTAACAATTGATTTGTTAAAATAAATTAGCATATATGCTTGTAAATATTTTCAAATTTAAAATTTACCTCTGTTGATTCTTCTCCAAATTACTCTTTTTTAAGTGCTAGAATCTTTTCCATCAATCCTATACCCTCAACGTACTTACCCTATTTTAGATTAAGTAATATAATTCTAATAGTTTTTATAGACCTTTATTAATTAACTTTCAATAATATGATAGTAATTTACAGATTTTTAATAAGCATCTAGCTTAGATTAAAGTGCCTAAATACTCTAATTCTAGCCATCATCATTTTGCTAATTATTATTAGAGTTGCTAGTATCGCTAAAAAAACCACTATTATTCATTAAAATGCTAGGATCTCTAAAATGTTTATCTATCTAGCAAGAAGTATCTTTAAAAAAATAAATCTAATAATTAAATTTGATTTTAACCTGATACCTTCTTAATCAATCAATCAATCAAATAAGTAAATTTTATGATTAATCCTAACTAAAATACCAAAACTTTTCAATAAGTTTGCTAATGCAACAGATTAATTAAATAACAATTAATAATATAAAATATTTAGTAAATTGAATGGTTGTTTTTGATTTATTAAAAGAGGTTTGTAAAAATCTAATAATCCCAAATTAAATTATTAATAAACAATTAAAAATCAAACATAAATTAAGGATTTGATAAAAAAATTTTTATTTATTAACTACTTCAAATAATATAAAATGCTAAAATTACCAAAGTTTTGTTTAGTGTTTTCAAATTAAATTTGTAAAGATCAATAAAATTTTAAACCACTTCAATATATATTCAATCTAAAAAGCTTTTATTTAACTTTTTTTACATAAAAAATATGAAATTTTAGAGAAAGTTTTGATAAAATCTATCAGAATATTTAATTCTTTGGAAATATAATTATTTATTATTTTTATACAAATTTATTAGACGACAGAAAAAATACAAAAATTAAATTTATTCTTTTTCAATCATCAATTCTTTCATATATTTAAATGTAGGCTTCTGATACACTAATTCTTTAAGGTAAAACTTATGTGATATACAAATCTTGGATTTCAAACCAGGTGTTGTTGGCTTTATTTCTAACATGTATTTTATATGTACCAGCTTTTGCTGTTCCTTCGTGACATATATTTACCAACAGATTATATCTTAAACTCTTTCCTTCATCAATATCTTTAATTTTAAAGAAAATAAATTATAAGATGAAATATGTTTAAATTAAATTTATATTACATCCTTTTAAGTCAAGATTGTTCAATGGGAAACGAACAATAGTGGGATTCTTTTCTAAATAATACTTGTTAAAAGTGAAACGTTCCATGTGTAATATTAAATATTTAGGTAATTTTTTAATTCTATAAGTTTTTCTGTATTTAGGATTATCGTGAGTGGTTATTCCATCGAATTTTTTCAAGAGATTGAAAAGAGGTTGTTCAGGAATGTTAATTTTTTTGTGATCATCCTTGTGCAGAGGTGGAGGAGGGATGTTCAAAGTTAAATAAATGAATGGCTTATTTTCTATTTCTGGAACACTAGAATAACCTATCTGATTTTCTGTTAAAAAGAAATATTAATAAAATTAATGATGACTTAACAATTTAAAAATATTTACATAAAGGAGTGTATGTGTGAATTTCTACTTCACCTTTAAAGCACTCATCAATAAGATTTTTATAGTTAGTGTTGCTTAATTCAGATTATATGTTATTTAAAAGCCAACTGAGTAATTTTATTGGGTCACTTTGTTCATTTATGGTAAACTTTTTCTTACTCTTTAAAACAATTGCTTAGAGTAACTCGTGAGGAGAAACCTAACCTTTGAAGTTTCTAGGATTCCATATTTTTTTAACAAGATTTGAAAAACGCTTTGAAATTAAAGTTTTCAAATCAAAGACATCTTAATTTACTGTATTGTTAAAGCGAATAATCTAATTTCTTAGCACAGGTATTCTACAAAGAGCTTAAATGATAACATTAACATAATCATTCATTTTAATGTTGTTCAAACCAACAAATCCAGGTTAATAATAAATACCATTTAATGCACGAGATTTTGTATCCATTGTATCTAAATTGGCTAATTACTAATCAGAATACACTGGTGCTAAATTGTATTTGATATCATTCAAACTCTAATCTATAACCTCATAATTATCAGGCAAGCAATAAACTTTGGCATTATGCAAATTAATATACATATGATGATTTGTCTCTAAAGAGTGCAAGTATGCATGAGTATTTCTACCTCTGCCTTAATAATATTTTCCACAAATAAGGCATGCATATACATTTAAGTTAGCTAATGAAATACTACAAAGCTTTTCGAAGTCAAAATCTAATAAATGTCTCTTAATTGTAATAATGAAGGGACATTCCTTTCTAATATCATTCTTTTTTTCTTAAATTTCTTCATTTTATTCCTCATCATGCTCATTCTAAGTATTGTATGCGTCTTTCACTAATTAACTATCTAATATTTCATCATTTCCAAGTTCTTACTATTTAGTATTATCGTCTTTTATTTTAGGTATTTTTCTTTTTCTTTCTCCATCTTCGACTGCTAAATTGTCATCTATAACTTCCTATGTATTTTTTGAAAGCTCGAGCTCTTCTAAAAGCTTTTGCTTTTTGCGAATAACCTCTTCAATTTCTTGTTTATACTTTGACATTTTACTTAAATGCTTTTCAAAAAAATAATTGAATGTGAAATGACCTAATTCTTAATATTATTTATATATTCAAATAAACTTATTTTATTTTTAATATCTTTCCTAAAATATAAAATAATCGTCTAGAAGCTTTATGTAAATTTAATCATTATAAAAATATTTTGTTTAAATTAAGTTAAATAAAATCAGTAAAATGTTTTAATTAAATTTTGTAAAATAAATCCAATATATTAAATTAAATAATAAAAATGATTTATTTGAATATTTTTATTCAAGCAAATTAAATTATTTTATCTTTTTATTCATAAATAGAGTCATTAAAATTTTTAAACAAACAAACAAACAAACAAATTATAAATTCAATACTTTTTTTTTTAAGCTAATGCCTAAAACATCAAAATTTTTATTTTAAATAATTATTTTTTTAAATTAATTTTTTTATATAAATATAAAAAATGAACAAGAAATTTAAAAATTATCAAAAAAAATGAACTTAAAAAGATGAAACCAAAGTTGCTGCTAATTAATTTATAGAAATTAAGTTTTATTCAAATTTTGATTGATATTTATAATTTATTTATAAATATACACTTAAAGGTTTCGTTATTGACCAAACACATAAAATTTAGTAGAATAAATACCTAGAAAATTAAATTTTTATCTAATTTATTAGTTTCTTTTTGGTAAATTTAGGTAAGTAGAAATAATATTTGCTATCAAACAAATAAAAAGTTAAAAAATGCTTTAACACATTAGAAAGAGTATCTTAAACACGAAAAATTCCCATGATTATGATTTTTATGATATTGCCTCAATAAAAAATAACTAAATAAAAGTATAGACCCAAGCTGTTGAAAAGAAATCAAACGAAGTACCTCAAACCTTTACCTAGGCTTTAGTTTCTAATTAAAAATAAAATGAAGAAATTTAAAACTTTAATGATGGTTTAATTATTAAATAGAGCTAACCAAAATTAAAAAGTATGTTTTAAAAAGTAAGCCCTTTACTGCATGAAATAACAAAAAGAAAACAATCCGAATGTGCTGGATTTGCTCTTCTAAATATAGTTAGAATGGAATTCTAAAGGAAGTAATATGAAAAGTATGAAAAGAAATTAAACTAAAATGTTGTAAATCTATAAGATCCAGAAGATTCAGAAGTAATTTTTTTGCTTATCTTCATTTTTATTTGAGTGAAAAGAATACAAATTGGATTTGCTCATCCACTTTACTAATAATAAACAGATGATCATTAAAATTTTACAAAAACACAAACCAACTAAGAGAGAAATGCAATTTGTCGTTTAAGCTTTGATATCTTAACCTATTTTTGAATAAAACTCAAACATGCTTCTAGATATTATAAATAACATGAGTGTTTTTAAAGAATTTAAGGTTGAGACCTTTAACCCTCTTCAGGCCATATTCTAAAAAGGTTGAATTTTAAAATAAAAAGCAAACGTTTTATTAATATTTACTACTTATAATAAATAGGGGATGTAGGAAAGAAATTTTATATTGTCATTAAAGGTATACAAAATATTTTCATTATATTCCACTAAAAAATTTTAACTAAAACTTAAAAGGTGAAGTATTTTGTTTGATTACTGATTAATCAGCAGAAGTAAGTCAGACACCAGTATAGTCGAAACTTTAAAGATAATCATCTAATGAATGTAGCCTTACTATTTTTAAAGTTATTTTGCGTTTATTATATTAATTTTCAAAATAATACTAGAACAATAAATAAGGCACAAAAATAGTAGTGAATGCACTCCTTATAACTAAAAAAAAACTGATGATCTTAATTAATAATAATAATAATAATAATCTATTTATCAAGTTAATCAAAAAGACAGTATAACATACAATGAATACATTTACCTAAAAAATAAATATCCTCTCTAAAAAGTAACTAAAATTTACAAATCAGGAGAATCTTTTGGAGAAATAGCGCTATTAACAAGAGGACAGAGGTAACCTATTTTTATTGTAAGAGTTTTTTAATAATAAATATAATTTTTAGAATGGGAACAATGGTTTGTAGAACAGATGTAGAAGTTATAAGTTTGACGAGAGAAGGATTTAATAGAATTAAAGGTGCATGGGCTGAAACAGAGTTAAATAAAAAGCTAAACTTTTTAAGAAAATTTTCATTTTTTAGGGGTTTAAGCGACTCAAGGTTAATGTCGTTTCTCCATCTAATGGAAATAAACAAATATGAAAAAGAAAATATACTATACTAAAAGAATGAAAAATCAAAATACATATACTTTATTTTTGAGGGTTAAGTTAAAATATTTACTTATAAAGTGGATAACTATCCTTTACTCTACAAAAATCAAACTCGTTAAATTGAAAATCCAGAAATACAAAAGTATTTGAAACATACAAAGCCTAAGCTTAAGAAAGTTCCTCTTATGATTTTAGCAAGCTGCAGTTACTTTGGACAGTTTGAAATGTTTGAAGAAAATGAGGAGATAAAAACTATGGCTGTTGTGGAATCAGAACGAGCTGTCCTTTTTTAAATAGAAATCACAGTAATTAAATTAAATTTTTTATTTTAAATAAAAATTATTTATTTATTAATTCATTAATTAATTCTTAATGAAAATAGAAATTTATAGAAACGATGAAAGGTTTTAATGGTGATTATGATTTCAAACGAGATTTTAAGTAAAAGCTTTTGTTTGAAAAAGAGAGATTAGAAAATATTACGAATACAGACACTTAAATTAATTAAAATGTAATAAATATTTAAAATTAGCATAAAAATCAAGATTTTAAAAAGCAAATATTCATTGATACTAATATTCAATCTGTATCAAATTAATTTGATAATAAGAGTTGCGGGAGATTAGAAAGTAACAATAGCAGCATATGTATAGAAAACCATTAATTAAATGATAGTCATGAACTTAAGTAATTCAGTGGCTTATAAAATGTCTTTAAAGAGAAAAAAAGACATAAAAAGTAAAATAACTCTCTTAAGTTATAAAAAGATTTAAGTGAAGACTCATCTTAAAAATACTTTCATTCTGCTACGTCATCTCCTTAATTAGAACCACTTCCAGAAGCCTAACCTAAATCTAATAGAAAATTAAGTAGTTAAGAGAACAGTAGATTCTTTTAAACTAGCTAACTAGAGGTAGATTTTATTAATGAATCTAGTTAAGATGAAGGAAGCAGCTATCTGCCTTAAATACGTCAGAAAATGAAAAGTCAACAAGGAGAAATTTTTAGAACTAGATAAAATTCTGAAGTGAACTTGTATGAAAACATAAATAGGAAAAGAAATAAATCTACATCTAATGACTAGCTAGATAAAATTAACTAAATATTTGACTAGAATTAAAAATAAATTAGTTGTCAAAAATTTTAACCATTAGAAGAGAATAAATTTAGTATGACAAATAGAGAATATTCAGATCACTCTCCATTGTCTTCAAACTCTAAAATAATAAAATTTGGATCGCACGATAATTCCTAATTAGAAACTCTGACTTAACATTCTAGATAATAAAGCTACATAACAGAAAATTCCAAAAGAAATTCGATTTATAAAATAAATTAAAATACCCCTTAATCTAATAAAAGCGGTTAATTTGAAAAAGATTACTTTAAATCTTTCTTCAAAACTTAAATTGAGCAAATTTCTTAAGAAAAAGAATAAAATCTCAAAATTTTAAATTATAAAGAGCTTAATTTGAAATCAATTGGAATAAGTCCATCTGATCTAATAGAGTAATGCAGAAAACTCTAAAGGTTTGGGTTTGAAAAGGGGCAAATGTCAGGTTAAATGAAAAAGACAGTTTTAGCTTTTACTAATAGAGGTTTATTTTCATAACTTTAGGACCAATAAATTAGCAAAATCTAAAAAGAAAACTCAGATTAAACCAAGAAAAAAGCAGTATTCAAATAAAACTTTGGAGATCAATTGAATGTATCTAACGAAAAAAATACAGACCAAATTAATGAACTAAGCTTCAAAAATACTAAAATAAAAGATCTATTACAAAATGTCTAGAGAAAAATAAAAGAAGAAAAAAATTAGTAGTAAATTTTTTAAATTGACGAAACATAGACTTAAAGCCAAGCACTCCATAAAGATTTATGCTAAAGTGTTGGTAAGTAACTTTAAATATTTGAATATTAATAAAATTTATTTAATTTAGATAAAGAAAAATGCATGGAATCCCAAGATCAAGCAAAAAATATATTAAAAAGTACTTAATTGAATAGATAATAGAGAGAGTAGTTAGAATAATAGATCAGAAAATTTCAGTAACTGTAAAGCTTTAAGAATATTTTTTCTTTAGATGAAAGAAATTAGATAGATAACATAGATGTCAAAATTAAATCTGCTAGAATTTTTCCTATGAGAGAAAATTTGCAACTATAAACATAAAATCACTAAACCTAAAAAGACCTATTTCAAATTAAAAAATTTTCACTGTAGTCTTTTGCATAAAATAATAATAATAAATGTATATAGCATGGTGGTTAAACACTAACGGAGAGGAGTTATTCAAATAAAGAATCTCTATACTTCCCAAGTTCACCTTAGCAAGAATGTAAAAAATATTTTTTTAACCAAATATTTAATCAATTTAAATTAAAGATAAATAAGTTTCAGAAAAGAAATAAAAAGTTGAATCAAACAATTCTAATGTAAGCTAAAAATTAATTTTTGTTCAATTCAATTTTTACATTATTTATATATAACTTAAGGCTTTTGTTGCAATTGCAAGTGTTCGTCCTTATTATACAAATCATCCTGGAGTACCTAAAAATACTTACATAGATACACAAGAGTAAATAAAGTAATATGATAAACTGAAGGATTACTTCTTAATAGAGAAAAACTATGAAACACTTATTACTTAAAATTAAAATGTGCCCTAAGATAAAAAACAAAAAGAAATTATTTAAAATTTGATGCTTTCACCTAGAATGAATCATTTGCATGCTAAAAATTTCGATGTATTAAAAAATATGCATGTGAATAGATAAAAACTTAATAACCATAAAAGAAATAAAAGCTTAAATTGAAAAACTTTAAAAACAAATTAATATTTTTATTTTATATTTTCAATTATAAATCACAAAGATTTCTTACTTACTTACTTAATGACTTCTCAAAAGTAATTAAATAAATAGATTTTATTTTCAAGTATAAATTTTTAGTATAAGTTTTATTTGTTTAATTATAAATTAACTTAAAACGTTTTTACAAAAGTAATATTTTAAAACAAATATAAATTATTTTATACACTTCTGTTTTTTTTTTTTCATAAACAACTGCTAATACTTTATTTTATGAACTATCTATTTTGAGGGTGAAAAACTAACAAACTGTCTTTTCAAAAATTAATATAAAAAAGCTTGCTCTTCATTAAATTTAGCTTTATTATCCTAATATTTACTCCAATTCAGCTCTTTTATCATCATCTATTTAAGCTGGGAATTAAATATCAAACTTAATATATAAATCACCCTTATTAGGAGGTTATCCAAAGTATTCTACTTTATATTCTTAAGGATTATAAATAGGCATACCCTCACCATTCACTTTTTTAACGTAACTAGGACTGTATAAAAAATTAAATTAAATTTTTTTAATTATTAAAATTTTATAAATACCTTATGACTTAATCTATAGCAACAAAGAGCTTTCTACCATCTAAAGTTGTAAAGTGAACTGGTCTACCATATAAAGCATCAATTAACTTGAGCTTATGATAATAAATTAAATCATTTCCCTTTCTTTTTAAGGTAGAATGAGCCAATTCCTTAACTGTGAATATTAAATCAGCTGAAAATACAAAAATAGTTTTATTATTTAAGTCATATAATATTTTAAATATATACAATTTGGTAATCCAGCAACTTCGTTTCCTAATTTAGGGTACTTAATTTATTCTCCATTCTTATAGCCTGGTTTAACTTCGACCATTCTAATTTTTAGAATTAAACAAAATTAATATTTTTTTTTAGATTTGATGAATTTACTTTGATTCTTTGATATCTGTTGTTGTTCTTCCATCTTTATTTAATACCTTTATTTAGTTAAATTTATTTTTAAATAAAAACCCTTCAAACAAAAAATTATAGTTACAGTTCTTTAATAAGTAACATTTTTAGAGCATCCGTTGTAAAGTTCTGCAAGGGTGCATTCAACTACAACATGTAGAGGTTTAGGTGGTAAAGGAGCACTTTAGTTTTGAGCACCAAAAGCATATCCAAATAAACTTCCAACATTTTCTTGATTTTCAGAATCTTAATTTTAAATAAAAATCCGTTTAACAATTTTTTCAAAGAAGATATTTTAATTTTTAGAATAAAGACATTTAAGCACAAGTTTTATTATATTTTTTCTAACAATATTTTAAGTAAACTAAATATTTGAATTGTTTACCATATATTTATTAGAAAGGATTCATAGCTCCGAAGAATTTTTCAAATATCTCTTCAGGGTTACCTCCAAATCTGTATCCGCCCTTAAAAACGAAATATGTATTTATTTAATTGTAAGCTTTATATCAAATATAAATAAATTGTTCTCTAATTTACCTTAAGTGCTATTATTTTAAAATGAAAATATTCTTAAATATATAATTTTAGCTAATTTAAATATCTAACCTTATTAATTAAAAAATCCTTCTTTAAGTTTATCTTCACCATACTTATCGTAAAAAGATCTTTTCACAGCTATTAAAAATATATAAAAAATAAATAAATTATTTATTTATTTTTGAGTCAATTGTTTTATGATGTAACTCTCTTTAGTAAAATTCAATTTTCATAAAAATTTACGATCACTCAAAACTTCATAAGCTTCAGATACTTTGCAAAAGAAACTATATCTTGTTTATTGATCTTCGTTTCCTTTAATTTGAGGATGCCATCTTAATGCAAGTTTACGATAACTATTATTCAAATAATTTTATTTTTGTCGATTAATAATTTTAGGAAAGTAAGTGAAGTATACGCTTAAGCAATTACACTATCTGATGCATCTCTGCTTATTTCTAAATCTTCATAATAATCTCTGGACATTTTGAATTATGTACTTGCTATTTATCTACTCTCTTAATGTATTTAATTTTTTTTTCAATATAAATTTATTATATTAATTGTTGTTAGTTTTTTTTTTTTTGAAAAATCAATATTAATTAATATTAATAACAATAATAAATATTAATTTCAGTTTCCTTTATGAATGTTAAATAAGCAATAGATTAGAAATACTTAATTATATAAATGCATTAGATAGATACAATACTAAAATAATATTCTTCTTTTTTTTACTTTTTTATTACTTTATAATCAATTTTCTCAATTTGATTTTTGTTAAAATATTTTTTTTAATCAAATTTTAAAAATAAAAAAATAAAAAATAACAAAAAATTTTTTTTAAATTATTTCGTTCGGGGATCTAGCTCAAATGGTAGAGCGCTCGTTTAGCATACGAGAGGCACTGGGATCAATGCCCAGGTTCTCCAATTTTTAATTTTTGAATAAAAAGAAATTCTTAATAACACCCATAATAAATTTAAATAGATAGTGTAATAAATTAATAAATGATAATTAGTATTAATAAAAGAGATAGAACTAGTATTTTTCTGAATCAAATTACAAATTAATGAATTAATCATAATTGCAGGAATCTTCATACATGACTCATATTTAAATAATAGGGTTATAAGATTCTGGTGCATAAAAAAAACTTGATACTAAAGCACGGATTCATAATTCAATTTATGACCCCGTCGTCAGTTATTCAAATAATTTTTTAGCTTTAAGAATAAAATAAAAAAGCTCAATTGAGTATCATTTTAATTTTTCTATGCACCTTTTGCCTTAGAGATACTTTTAATTCTATTAACTATTTACCTTCGTTAGATTATTATTTTATTTTTATTTATTTATTAATCAATCAATCAATCATCAAGCATTCTTTTTAAAAGTATGAAATTTACTAGATATTTTTCTTAATTCTTTCAAAAAAAATACTAAAAATTTTTCTTAGCATCAGGTTTATGCCTTGCTTGCTAATATAACATAAAAAGCTACTTTAGTTAAACTAAAACTTTAGAATTCATCATTTAACGTGATAATTCTATTTATCTAGAGTCTAATACTGTTCCTGATGATTTTGAATAGTTCTAATAATAATTAGATAAAATTTTAAATGATGTGTAAAAATAAGGTAGAAAATGTGCATGGTTGAAACTAAACAGCGAAAATTTCAAATATTTAAATTATCTTATAAAGGAAAAAGGATTTAAAATCCATCACGCATTAAAAGGTTATATAATGCTTACTAAGTGGCTAGATTAATCATAAGAGGAATTTTATGTTCCTTATGCAACACATAATGCGGGAAGTGGTGGAGTGGTTATTAATGAAAAAGATGAAGTCCTTCTTGTCAAAGAAAAAAAAGGAATGAGGAATAAATTATGGAGTTTTCCTGGTGGAAGAGTTGATTTAGGTGAAGCTATGCATGAAGCCTCTATCCGAGAAGTAAGGGAAGAAACTGGCCTAGTTTGTGAACCAAAAGATTTATTACTAATTAGAGATTCTACCAAAGGAATTTATAGCAGACCAGATATTTACTTTTTATATATTTTAAAGCCCCTAACAAATAATTTAAATATTTGTAAGGATGAGTTAGCAGATTATAAATGGGTGCCTTTGAAAGATCTGCAAACTTTTCTATAATAACAAGAATTCGTTGTACCTCTTTAACAAATTGCTTTTGAAAAATTATTTTAACTTTATAATGAAGGCTACAAATTTAACGTTGATAAACGTATATAAGAAATCTATTCCTACCACAATAATTCTAATTATAACATATATATTCCAACAAGAGGGTTTTTGTGATATTTTGTGTAATTATTTTATTTGTTAAAATTTTAAATCAGATTTTTATTTTGAGTTTCATATTGCAAAACATAAATGTTAAAATAATTTTTATTTGTTTATTTTTTTACAAAATTAAAAAAATACTCAAATAATATATATAAATAAATAATAGATTTATGTTATTAATTCATTTTTATAAATTTTTAAAAAGATCATGTATGAGAAGAGTGAACTTGTAATAAATTATTTATTGATCTTTCTTTATCTTAGATTTCTGTCATTAGCATCTTATTCTGAGTTTCAAATGCCTATTATATTATTTTTTATATGAAACTTCATTTTATTAAAAAAAAAATTACAACTAACTCAGATTCTTTTTCTTTTATTTTTCTTTCAATAGATTCTGATTGCTTATTGAGCTTTTGGTATTGTTTTAATAAAATTTCTCTCGTTGGGCACTAAGTTTAGTGCTAAATAAATTCTTTATTTGTCATTTCTTTCATACATTCATCAACAGGACATAAAACTAATCTAAAGGGACAGTCTAGATAGTGCTATGAATACTCTTCGACTGTTTTTACTTCTGGACATAATTTATTGATACATTAAATATTTATCAAGCTTAAAATATCATTTAATAGAGGTGGGCTTTGCAAAAGTTAAACGTTTTCGCATTTCCTAGGGCAAGATTGCTCAACAAAATAATCATCTTTTAAACAAGAAAGGCACCACATATTCATACATTTGTTACACATTAGAGGTTATTTAAATATGCAAGTGCAAAGAGGACATACTATTTTTTTAATTAGATTTTTGTCTCCTACTAATCTTTCTTAAGGTATTGGAGGAATATGTAATTCCATTACAAAAGTTTTGATAAATTGTTATAACGTTTAAGAATTAATCAATGGCTAAAAATATATAAATAATTAACATTAAAAAAGGCTTTGGTATAGAAAATTAAAATTTTGTCACAATTTAAAAAAATTTAAAACAAAATATTTAAGTTTTATAAATTTCATTTACTAATTTTTACAAATATTAAAAACTTGGAAAGATTGTTTATCATTAAAATAAATTTCATTTTATCATAAAAAAATAACTAATAATTTAATTATCTGATCATTCACGTAGCTTATAATATTATTAGATTGCTTATTTGAAATCTTCTAATGTTTTTTTAGGGTTGTGTTTGACAGCTACCTCTATATTTTTCTTTAATTCATCAAATCTATTAACAGTGTATTACTTAGCTTTATACTAACTGAAAAGAAAGTAAAATGTAGCAAAGTAAAAATTATTGAACACACTGATTACACTTTTTTCTTTATTTATAAGACTATTTAGTTTTTATTCTCTACAAGCCTATAATACAATATCTGTTACGTTGATTAAGGTGATACTTAGAGGAAAGTTATGAATAGGATCGTGAGAGTATTTTAGTACATCAATTATATAATCTTTATAGTGAGAGACAAAAGCTAGAATCTATAGTAATCCAAGCATACCAGCACCTCTTAGATCTGTACCAGGATTTTTACCCTAGAAACCAATCTACTCCCAATGCGAACCTATCCTTGGGCAGTTATAATTATTTGTTAGATTGCAAAAGATAGAGTAAAGTATTTAAAAGTGAAGTGGCTGCTCATCATCAAATTACAATTTTGCCAGTGCAAATATCTAATCTCTTTCATTTAAAAGCTCTACAGAACTTATATTAGGATTAATAACTCCACAAAAACTATTTAAAAATTCGAAAACTGAAAAAGACTTCTTATCTTAAGTGCTTGTAACTATTTATTTTTTATATTCAGATAAATTTTATTTTTTGAAATCAGACCAGGCATCAATGAAATTGATAAGCTTATCCTGTTGAGAAATATTTTGTTTGATTTGGACTTAATATTACTTCATGGCTTGCTAATTTATTTAATCCCAATCTACTTCATCTCCATCATCTTATTCTTCATTTTTTATTTCTTATTTAACCTCTTCTTCAATTTATATTACATTATTACTTTAGCCGTTCTTTATTTATTAATCAGAAGTTTGCTGTTTTAGAACTTAAACGTTTTCTTACTCTTTGTTATTGTTAGTAAGTTCCATAAATTTAGCTTTGTCTTGCAATCTATTGGCTATGGGACCACTTTTGTGCTTAAGTATTTACTATTATTGTAATTTTTTATTTATTAAATCTTATTTCTATTTTAGCATTTCTTACTCTTCCTTTTTCTTCTACTGCTAAACCTCCTAAGATATTATATTGTTTACGTTTTAGTTATTGCCTTATTCTTGATTTTCCCAGTTTTATTCATCTTCCTCATCTTCAGCAATTATATTATTCAAATTTATTTTCTCCTGGTTTGGTTACTATCCTTTCTGTTTAGTGTTGTTTTTATTATTATCTACTATATCATCAAAGTTAAAATCTTCATCATCGTTATTTGATTTCTAGGCATCGTCTTCATCATCATCGTCGTCGAAGCCATCGTCTTTTTTCTTTTTATTTACATTTGCAGTCTTTTCAATCCATTCTCCTATCTCCCCTAACTCCTCTTCGTCATTTATAATATTTTTTATTTTATTTGATTTGTCAAATTTGAAGTCATTATTAGTGAGCTTAGCTACATTTTAATTATCTTTATCTTCTTTCTGCTTTTTTTAATCTTAAAATTATTTCTTTTTCTTTTCTTGAGCTTGTCTATTTAGCGAAAATTGTTTGTTAGTTGCTTCTACTTTTTATTTTTCTTAACCTTCATATAATTCTTTTAATTTTTCTAAATCATCGTCTTTTTCTAAATATATACCTGCAGGCCTACTAACTACTTATCCATTAGTATTTTAATCAGCAGCTTCTAACTCATTTCTATTTATAAACATCTAATTATCCATTTAATTATTGACATCAATTTTAAATTAATCTTTATTGCCATCATCAAAATCATCTTCTTCAATATTATTTTAAGCATCATTTATATTTGAACTATAATTATTTTATTGATTCTATGTGTTTTTTATATTGTGATTATAATGAGCTTAGTTACCTGTAAAATCATCGTCATCTTCTTCAAATCCTATAACAATATTTTATTAAGTTTACTTATTTTTTTGTTAACTAACTTCTTAATTTGAAAAATCTTTTTAATCATTTTAATCAGGTGCACCAAATACTATAAAATCCTTGGGATCTCTTTTTTGGTTAATAATATCATGTGCCCCTTACTCAAACGCTTTCAAAATATTATCTTCATCGCTATTAATAGCTAATCCATTATCTTAGTTCATTAATCTAAATTTAAAAGTAATGTATTTTTTTAAAGCTCTTCAGTCAAAAATTTACCAAATAAAATATAATAACTTACACAAATTAAATAAAAAAATAAGATTTTGTTAATTTTTTAGAGATTTTAAAAAGAAAATAAATAATTAAAAAAAAATATCAATAAATTGAATCTAAAAATTTTAAAAATATTAACAATAAAACCTTTAAAATATTATCAAATTTAAATGTATTTTATGCCAACCAATAATTAAATTAAATTTAAAAAAATTGTTTAAGTTTTTTAGAAAATTTATTGAAATTATTAATTTATTATTTTTTAAATAGTTAAAATTTATAATTTTTACAATCATAAACCATTACTAAAATTAGAAGATTTGATTTAAAATAAACCTTTTAATATTTTTGAAAAAAAAAAAGAAATTTTAGTTCAGTTAAGATTAAATTAAGAAAAATGAGTTATTTAAATTATGAACCTGATATTTTAGAAAGGATTGATGTTTTAGCCAAAAATTAGGATTCTAGAAAAAAAATATTTGATGAAATTAGTCAAATACTTTCAGATCGCGCAAAGTTAGAAGAGTTTTACGCGAGAAGTTTAGAGAGATTATGCGAAGGATTATCAAAAATCAAAGTGAATAATAACGAAAGTCTAAAATAGATTATATAGGTAATTTAGACTCTGTTTTCAAGCCAAGCAGAGCAGAGTCAAACATTTGGTTCTTCAATCAGTAACGATATAATACCAAATATGAAAGATATTTTCAAAGACGATGTTTATTCTTTGAAAAATATGCAAAAAATAGGAGAGAGACATGAAAAAGAATTAATTAAATAAGTTTAAGGATTTGATAAAATGAGAAAGCAATATATTTAAATGAGTTAAGTAGTGGAAAAAAAATTAAAAGATCAATAGCAGTTTGAATAGCAACTAGAGCAACATATTAAGGTGCATCAAAAGACATAAGACATAAATATCATTAATTAGCTTAAAAAAAGAAAGCAAGATCTTTAAAATGAATAGAAGGTACTTGAATGCATGAATAGATAAAAGATAAATTCTGAGTAAGAAATGCAAAATTATATTCAAAAGTATAATTAATATATTGACGAGTATTTCCTAGATGTTGCTCGCATCGAAGATTAAATCTAAAATGAAGAAATATAAAAACGAGACTAAATGAAGGATTGTATAATGAAGTATTTGGTATTCAAGATATCTCTTGTTAGAAATATTTAATATGATGTAGACCGTATTACTACTAAACTTGAAGAGATTGATACAAAATAAAATATCAAATAGTATGTCAATGATTTACTTAGTTAATATAGAGATTATAAAAATAATGGATAAATAAAGCCTTTACTCTGCAAGCTAAATTTCGATAATTACAAGTAGTTTATTGACATGAAAATGGCTCACACCCAACAAGCAGCTAGGCAGTAAAATGCAAATCCTCATTAAAACAATCATTAACATAACCATCATCATCAGCACAATTTAAATCAAAATAATGCTGGACAAGCAAATGCACAGATTCAAATGCAAGAATAAAAAGCCAGACCAAAAATTTTTACTTAGTAAAATCTATCTTCTATCCCTCCTCTACCTTAACCAGTTAATAACAGTAATAATATTATTCCTAATGAATAACTAGACGCATAGCAAAAATAAAAAAGACCTCATTCGAAAATATTTTAAGTTTCAAATATGGTAGTTAGAAAAGTTTCTAACGAAATTAGTGATAATAATTCTTAGCTGCAAAAAGCTAACGATATATAATAATAGCAAGCTCTGAAACAAGAAGAAGTTATTTAATAGAATTAGCAAATAGCATTAAAAGAAAAATAGGGATCAGTCCAACAAGAGTAATAGTAAGATGGTAGATTAATACTAGTCAAAACAAGTTCACAGCATATCAAATAACCAACAGAATATAAATATATTGATATTATGAATATGATGAAATAAAAATAATTGTCAAAATAGAAAGAATTAAAAGGCGATTTGGGTAATAAAGATGAAACTCATAAAGCACAAGAAGTTTTAGAGATAGAAACTGAAGATTTATTTGAGTATATTCTTCTAAAAATATGGAACAATAATGAACTTCAAAGCTATGATGTAGATTAATTAAGATCTATTCTAGAAAGAGATAGCAGTAGTAGAATGTCCTTTTCTAACTATTTTTGCAATTTCTTTGGCAGTCTAATTTCTGATTATACTAAAAAATTAATAGCTGAAGAGAAAGATATTGTAAATAGACTTTTATTAGAAAGAGGTAAAGTAGATATTTGCATCGAAATAAGCTCTGATACATACACTTATCTCATGAGGATTCTTTATTGTGTATTAGATATTTTGAATTCTTGCAATGATCTCCATTTCATTTCAGATATTTACCGTACTTCAAAATCTATTTTTAAAGTTATCCGTCCTCCTGATGAAGACATTAAATCTTTTGAAAGGATATTCTTAAATTAAGGGTTGAGTGGGCATTAGCTATTTTAAAATCAAAACCACTGGTAGAACAAGCTTAAATTAATAGTAGAATAACTTGAAAATCTCTATGAATAAAGAGTGAGAAACTAAGGCGGTGTTTCAGATACTGAAGAGATTAAAGCAAAAAAAAGTGTAAGTGATGAAAAGAATATAAATAGTAGTATGAATGAACTTAATGATGAGGGATAATATCTTTATTCAAAGCTTCTTATAAGCATTAGAGATTTATTCGAATTTGAAATACCTAAGGAAAAAATAGCACAAATAGTGCAAAATTTAGTAGAAGAAGCTATCTTAACTTAAGACGTAGCAAAATATTTGATCATTTATATAAACTAATATGAAAAAAAGGAAATAGCTGTAATGCAATCTGAAGAATTGGCTTTTGAAGATTTGCAGTTCAATTAAAATTAAAAAATCAGTAACTTATAATAACAAGATGACATTTAAGACTTTTAACCTTCTTCTAATTCTTCAAGTGAAGAAAATAGCTTTGAGTAACAAGAAATAAAAGAAAAATAAATTAGTGAATAAATTAATAATGATGATATCTAAGAACAAATTTAAAATGAGTAAACCTAAAAAGAAATAGGCTAAGAAGATGGAAAAAATATAAATTAAAAATAAGAAAAAGAAGAATTTGATGACGAAGAAGATACTATTAAAGACCTAGAAAATAAATATGCTGAAGGATTACAATGAAAATAATTAACTTTATGTCTTTAAATATAATATTTTATATATTAATTTGCATCAACTTTTAATTAATATTTTAATTTCGATAGTGAATCTTATTCTATATACAAGTTTAAAGAAAATATTTTTAGATATTATTTAATTATTTTTTATTATATTTTTAATTAATTAATAAATCAATCTTTAAAGTATGCAGCATATGAAATTTTATATGATGCCTTATATTCCTCGTTAATTTCTTTAAATTTTAGTAATTTGCCTGATTTTGGTGGAATTTTGATATTTACAATTTGAGTAAAATCTAAATTATCTTCTGATTTCAAGTTTGTTAAGGCTAACTTTAATTGCTCATAGTAGGTATGCTGAGTGTCGTTTTAATAATAAAAAGCTAAACCATCACCATGGAACATGCTATAAAAATAAACCTAAGTTTCAACTCCTTTTATTTTTCGAGCCTTTTTGTTACTTTGGCTTTCAATTATTCTCTCTATCAAGTCCTCTTTTGAGAGTATAAATCTATTTGTGAATTTGAAATGATATTGGTAATTTCCTTCTCCTTCAGGCAAGATTTTATATTTAACAACTTTTTGTGTTTGGGGTTTTAACTCAACTTCGAAAGAATAAGAGTCTTTATAAGGAGGACATATTTCTAAGTGTTCTAATTTTGACATTGTTAAGTGTTCTTGAAAAGTAGTTGTAGTGCTTTAGTTTACATAAACGTAATAAAAGTAGCCGAATGAAGAGTTTGTGTATCTAAATATTTAGCTATCATTTTTATAGACATACTCTTCTCCGCTTTTTTTTGGTGGAATTTTTGCAAGACAATCATCAATAAAGCTAAGTTCATCTGTATATTATATATTTTTGTCATCAAAATAAATCTCTTTTTCAGTATAACTTGAAATAGCCAACTCTCTTGTTAAAGATTACTCCCAATTTACTTACACTATTGCAAAGTATTCCCCCTTATTTTAGAGATTAACTTTAATAAAACCATTTCTTGCATATGAAGTGACCTATCCTACATATGAAATAATGTTATTTGGAGTTCCTCTAAATATAATCATTCTAACTTATGAGTAATCGTAATTATCATCAATATTTTTAAAGTTCTTTTAGTCCTTTTAGTGATACTGAATATATCCATTATTTGAGTTTCTTACTGATTTAAAATTTATCACAGCATAATTTCTTTGATTCATAAAATCTATCTAGAAAAAATAATAAATTAATGAGAATTAGCAAAATAGTTTGTATTTAATTTTACTTTTATAGCATTGTACAGGTTATGAACATAGACATAATTACAAGAGATACTTGAATATTTTAAACAAAAATCTTCAATAGACATCCAAAATAATCCATCGTTTTTATTGCTTAAATTACATTCCTTTTGTTTATAAATATTAACAAACATTATTTCTAATAGTAATTTTAATAATTATTTTACTTTTTTCAATTCAGGAGTCCATTTATCTGACTTATCACTCCAAGCTCCTTACCATTCACCCTTTCCCCAAGGGTTTCTTAGTTACAAAATTCTTTCTTACCCATCTCTCGACATAACAACTTTAGCATCTAAAACAGCATATGCATGTCCAGATATAATTCCTGTATTATCCTTCACTTCTATACCACCCTTAGGGTCAGAATTAGAACCTGCATTAAGTATATATTTAACTTTTGTATTCACCTTTTCATCTTCTACTTTTGAAAAAATAAAATTCCATGTTTCCTCTACATTTTTTGTGAAAATCCATTCAAATGGAGACCCAGTTAAATCACTCACTGCCAACTCAGGTAAGCCTGCTGAAATGTTGTGATAAGATTTGAATAAATTAGCATATGCTTTTTCTAAAATCATAACCCAAATTTCATTATCATGGGATTTAGAAAATGCTGGTAAATTATTTAAACATGGAAAATAATCATCAATAACAACCTATTTCCAGAAGCCATCATGATTCAACCAAACTATATAATAGCCACGAGGATTATACTCAACAATTTCAAAAAGTCTACTAATCAAATCAGGCTCTTCTGCTAAGGAGCTCAGAGCACTTAAAAAATAACAATCACCAAGTTGTCCCTAGTAGATATCATCTGGTTCTATTTTTCCTTAAAATACTTTAACTTCTGCTTAAGAAATAATTTATTCTATTCTTTTCCAATTTACCTTCTTTGAGATAGGAAATTAATCTGGATTAGCAGTAATAGAATTTATATTTGGTAAAAAATTATGATCCTCATATTTCTAATTTGAAATCAAATAATGAGCTATTTGTTTATATTAAATAAATTGATAAATTATTCTATTTTATTAATAAATATTAATTTCGAACCTTTAATAGAATCTAAATCCATTTTTATATTATTAAGAAATAGTGTTTATTTAATTTAGATTGTGCTAATTTTCACTTCTCCCTCCTCAGTTGTACTGCTATCAACTTAAATTACATTCTATTAATTCATATTTTAATCATCATTTTGTACAAACGAACTTAGGTAAAAGTTAATTGCATCGTTTCTTGAGTTTATCTAAATTATAAATTAATTTATTTTAAAATATTAAGTCGTCAAATAAAACTTTTTCAAATATTTTTTAAATTTTTTATATATCTCCATTAGCTTAGTGTATAAGAAGAAAAATTCTCACTAAATTCAATTGATTTTTTATAAAATTAATTAAAAATACTATTATATCTTGCTCATCACCAGATGCAATATTATGGATATTCTACTCCTCATTAGGTTATAATGTATTTGTAACAAAAGCATCCTTTTTTGAATATTATTTTTTTATTTTAAGTATAAAATGATGCTTAAATTTAAATTTAACTTTTGCTATTTCTGATTGTGTACAACAAACGTTTCCCATATTTGTCTAGTTATTTACTACTTTATCTTTTTTAGCTATTACAATTGAAATTAACTTATTTATCAATTTATAATTTAATCAAATCAATTTTTTGTGGTTAGGCGAACTTTGAAATATTATTTAGAAATATATAAATATTTTAGTACTTATGATCACATTATTGATATCTTAAAATAAATATAACAAAATAAAAATGCAAAGGAATGATAAATATTTAATTCTACTTCTAAAATACTTTTGTAATATTCAAAATAGTAAAATAACTATTCATTTTTATAAGTTTATTTTTACAAATCAAAAAAAGTAGTTTTTCATCAATAAATTTATTAATCTTTAATATCTCTTAAATAAGTCATTGATTTTAATAATAATTTAATTCAATTAAAACAATTACTAAATAAATTATACATAATTGAATTTGTTAAATATTTGTATTTTAAAATTATTAAAATAGATTCTATTTTTAAGGTTGTAAAGAAAAAATTTAAATTAAAATAAATTTTATCCACTTAAAAATTTAAGGAATTTTATATAACAAAAATAATTTTTTTTTGTAATATTTGATGTTTTAAATTAAAATAGTGTAATAAATAAAAAATATGCACGCGGTGAGATTCGAACTCACGCGGATCGCTCCAACGCAACTTGAGTGCGCCGCCTTAGACCGCTCGGCCACACGTGCTAGATAATATTTATTAGCTAAATGATTAAGATAGAATTTTTAAAACTATTTACATTAGTTTTTAATATTATAAAAAAAAATATGCACGCGGTGAGATTCGAACTCACGCGGATCGCTCCAACGCAACTTGAGTGCGCCGCCTTAGACCGCTCGGCCACACGTGCTAGATAATATAAAATAAATAGTTTAGATATTGATTGTTTATTTTCAAAACTAATAATTTTGAAATATGAGAAATATGATTAAACTTAAAATAATAACTTAGATTTTTAATTTTTTTAGGATGGAGGATGCTAATTTAAATTACTTAAGCATAATAATATACTATCAATTATATAAAATAAAAGAATATTAAAATAAAACTATTGATCATTAAGGGAAATAGCAAGGTAGAAAATAGGAAAAATTTAAAAAACTAAATAGTGATACTTTGTTTTTTAAAAATAGATTGTATCATAGAAAATAATAAAATCCTTTCATAAATAAATAATTAAAATCATATTTTAAAATAAAATTAAATCATATAAAAATTATTTGATTTAAAAGCATTTTGTTATTTGATTCTTTTTATCTCTTAGAAATTCATAATAAAAGCAATTTTTTGATGCTTAAATTAGATTAAATTTTGTTAATATTTTTGCAATTAATTAGCTTAACTTGAAATCCAAATAAAAAAGTGTAAAAAAAATTTGATCACCACAATATATTTAAATTTTTAAAAAAGAGAATAAATTATTAAGTTACTTTTGGGATAGTGCAATTATAAAGATTGGATATGTATACAAGAAAAGATATATAGATTAATTTATTTATTTTTCTATCTATCTTATATATTTTTTACATTTATCGGGAATTTATTATCAATTTTGGATAATTTATTTAAAATTTTCAACCAATTATTTGTTTATAGTAGAAGAGTTGTTTATGTATTGATTTTTAAAGAAAGTTTTTTTGAAAATATTTTTCTAAATTTAATGGTAGTAGATTTGATTATTATTATTTTTTGATGCTCCGCCAATGATCTTGTTCATTTCGCTTTAGTTAGTATTTGTAATATTTTTATTTTGGTTTTCATCTGCGTTGCAGATCATGTACTCTTAATTTACAGATTAGATAGTTGTTTACCTTTGCTCACCTTCTCTTTGCATGTGCAAAAGAGTGCCATATGATTAATTCTATACAAGCACCTATTTCTATCTTACTAATTTATTATTTATATTAGCAGATGAAGAATTATAAATAGAAGACATTTTCATTTTTGATAACTATGAAGAATCTTGTTTAGGAGATTAAAGAAGAGCATCCTACTAATTCTCTACTTTTTTAAAGGACTACTTTTCTAGGTGTTTTGAAAAAGTAGACTCAATTGATTATTCAGGTAATCTATTTAAAATTGATAGAGGTGTACTTGGTAAGGTGGATTCATTGAAATTATAAGGTGTCTGATCTGAATTAGTATAATTTGAAGTAGATCTTATTTAAGTTATTTTATTGATATTTGAATTATTTTAATTAACTTATTTTATCTATTTTAAATCAGGAACTTTATCAAATTACTTATAAGATGTTAAAGGAATCTTAAAATTTAAATTTGTTTATTTACGTGAACATGACAAACTACTATTAGCCTTTGTATTATAGAGTTTTATCATTTAAGAGTTATTCAATTAGTAATAGCAATTGCTATTATTACTATTATTATGTTATGACTCCCTAGGAGGAATATTCATTTAAATATGCGGGAGGATTCTTTGTTTTGTCTTATTTTTAGGAGAGAAGTCTATCAAATTTTAACAAATAAAGGGAGAAGTTGATATGTTTAGAGTTTTAATTTACTAGTTCTATTCTATTTATTGGCTATCGCAATTTACAAAATTATTTAATTGTGGCTACTTTTAACTATTATGATTTTGGAAAGTATTGTCTATCTTATTGCTAATTGAATCTGAATATGTATTTGGAGATTGGTTTATTGATTTTAATAAATTTTTTTACTAGGGAAGTAAAGGCGTTGAAGTACAACTTAAATGAATTGCAGTTTTACTGATTTAGTTATTTGTTTAAATATGAGATATTAAAAATTTTTTTTGAGGAGTTTAATTAAGAGCGTGAGACAGTGTGTCAATTTACTTATGTTATTCATTAAGGTCTCCTATGTCTGTTAGAGATGTGATTTGAAAGTTGTTATTAGTTTGCTTGCTTACAGCTTACTATTAAGATTATTTTTATTTTGTTTCTTTTTAATCGGAATCTATTTCAAAATCCTTAAGAGTGCGTTTGGTTTAAGAGTTAAAAGTATCTTAAGTCTGTTAGGAGGAATCGCATCTGTTTTTAGTTATTAATGTCATTTAATTTGGTTTTCCATTATGAGACTCTCTCAATGTTAAAAAATAAGGCTAGGGAGATATTTCCTTTTAGCTGGATGAGAAAGAAGCCCTATTCGCTGGGGCTTTGATCCCTTCAAATTATTTGATTATAAAGCTTTTCTAAAATGAACTTTTATCTTTGAGTTTCTATATATATTAGGACTTTTATTAAGCTTATTAAATTTTTCTTGTGTTTTTATAATTACCAAAATGTTAAGCAAATTTTTAGTAAGCTTTGTTCTGTTAAAGAGGTTGAAAATAATTGTAGTTATGACATTAAATTTTTAAAACTTTATTTTGAGAAAGAGCTTTCACAATTTTTAAAATATTTACATTAATATCTTAATGTTATTTTTATGTTAAAGTTTTAGTTAAAAACTCTCTTATTTAGCAATATCTCAATTTGTATAAAGTAAAAAACTTCTATTCTTCGTTATTGCAAAATTTAAGATTGTCAAGATCAATTCCATATATGTCAAAATCACTATTATCCCAAATGTTATATTCTTCACTATAGCTGTCACTCTAGCAAGATGATTCTGAGCTTGAATCATCATTTTCATCCCCTTCGTTCTCAGATGAATCATTGTCTGAGCTTGAGTCTGAATCAGAAAGTATGCTCTTCTTTTACTTTTAGGTGTGCTTGGATTTTTTTTCCGATGGCTCCTCCTCAAAGAAAGCCACTTATTCAAAGCGATTAGCGTTTATTTCTTGGCGATGGCGAAGATTTTTAGAAGCACATTAATCTTTATCCTAATTTATCTCTGTAAGGAAGTTAGATTGTCCTTCAGTCATGTTTTTTTTATTCAAATAGTTTTATATTTAAATCTTTATTATAATTTTTTGTTATGAATTTTAATTAATTATATCCAATAGTAAAGTAATCCTTTAGTTTTTATCTCAGGTCTTCATTATTAAAAAATTTTAATTTAGAATAAATCAACCATTTAAAAAGTGTCAAAAATAGAATGAAATTAATGTAAAACATATTTTAAAAGCTCTTTAAAATTTGTGGATATTTTTGAAGACTTATTTTATTAATAATTTAAATTCAAATAATATGTGCCCATTTTATAATAAAATTGATTTAATAAAAGTAAAATAAATACTTAGAGTAAGTGTCAATTGAGTTAATTACATACAAAATTCATTATTAGAAAATAAATATTTGAATATATATATAAACATAATTATGTATCTATGTTTCCAGTTTTACTATCTATTATGAAATCTAATAATATCTGATTGCTATTATCTTTTGATAATAAATTGTATTTTTTCATTTCTACATTCAATAATAAATTTTTTTTCCTTTCTATTTCAATTTAATAAAAAAAATTATGCAAGTATACAAGTAAGGAAGGATCTTATGTATATTAAAAAAGACTCACCTAAGAAATAAAAAATATATTAAAATCACATTTTAATTGGTATTGGCACTTAATTGTTGGTTGCTTAGATTGTGTTAATATCTTTATAATAGATTTTTATTTATTTATTTGCATGTTTTATTAAATTATATCTAAAAACATTTAATATGAATATAGCATAATTTTGTTGCCAAATATTAAGGATACTTAAAGAAATATTCTAAATTCTTTAAAAATCTATTAATATTTATAAATCATTATTATTTTTTGGTTTTGATTTTTAATTTACATTCCTTTAAATATTGCGCACTTTTTAATTTCTTATAGAAGTGACTATTAAAGATATTGAATCAAATTTAAGTGTTTACGCACTTTCTATTTTTAAAAAAAATTGGATACTTTTATCACTAAGAAGGAAAGTAATATATGTTAATAAATGTAATAATAGCTACATTATATTAGTACCAGAATTTTTGGAATTTTTTTAAACATTTATAATTAGCAGAGTTCCATAAGATGATTGCTTAATAAGAATAGATTTTTTTAAAATAAAGTCAATATCTACTGAAGTAAATTATTTTTATATGAAAAATATAGATAAAACTACTAAAAAAAGTAATCTTCTCTTTTCCATTCCTTGAAATAATTATATTTAGAATTATCTTAAGTATATCTAATGTTAAGACTATTACAAAAATATCAAATTAGTGTATTCACATTAATATTTTTATGATTGTATTAGGCAAATTTGCAAACATATTTAAAAAATTTTTAAATTATTTAGATACTTGTGAGTAATTAATAAAAGAGATTATTAAAAAAATTTTAAAAAAGATAAAATTTGCTATACTTAATCTGTTTATTTATTTCAAAAACCAAAAAAAATTTATATGAGAAATTAAAACTTGTTCTGATAACTTTTAAATTACAAAAAAATTTGCTGCACATTTACTATGCTAAACCTTAAAAATAGATCATAATAATCATGTATTTAAAATATATAATTTGACACAGTCTTTTTCTGTGTTTTATTTTATTTTTTGAGTTATTTGTTTTAAAAAGTCTACAAAATTTAAATTTATTTTTATAGACTTTAAATAATTCATATTAAATTAGATGTACTAATTAGCCTGAATCTATCAACCAATAAATTAATTATCTAATTATTAAATTCAAGCGATATAGATCTTGCATATCTTATTTTCTAAAATTTAAATATAGTTGATGTAATCTATCTACAATATTTATTCTAAAACTAAATAGTTTTACTTTACTTTTTTTTATACAAGCTCAGATATGAATTATAATAAGTTGAATATTCTAAATAATATTTTAATACTTAAAGCAATTTATAATATTTAAATAAACTAACATCAAATAAATTAAATAATATATAATTCTTTTTTTCAGTTTTTATAAATAATAAATTGAGATAAATTAGATTTTATACATAATTTATTTCAAAAAAATGCATTAATTTTTGTTTTAAAATCCATAAAAAATTAATTAAGGGGTTTTTAAATTTCAATTGTAATTGTGAATATTACTTTAAAATAAAAAAAATCAGTTTATATCTATCTGAAATAGCTTTAAAAGCTAAAAGTTAAGATTTAAATGATTTTGTTAAAAAAAATAAATAAATTGACTCAAAAAATCCTTTTATTTTTTAGATCAACAAATAAAAAACTATCATAAACTACAATTCTTAAATTTATAATAAAATTAAACAATAAAAATCTTAATTATATATGCTTAAAAATGTAATCTATCTACATTTTTTTAATTGAAAAATAAAAATATTAAATTTAATAATTAATTTTTAAAACTATACTATTAACTATATATTTTTAACATGATAATTTTCTTCTATTAATATGCTTCAAATTAAAAATGATTTTTATTTAAGTGTATTATAATTTGAAAATATTGTTTTGATAAAAAAATTAAATTAATTAAATAATGAAAAAAATAATAAATTTAAAACTTTTTTGAAAAATAAATAAAGAAAAATATAATATTTTTCATTCATTTTATAATGATAAAATAGTTGTAAAAGAAAATAATCAAATTTAAAAATCTATTATTTTAAGAGAATTAAATTTATTAAGCGGAATTCACTATCTACTTACATAAAAATTAAAAAATTTATTAAAAAAATAATTATAAAAGCATTTTTTAGCTAAAATAATTGAATTTAATAAATTTAAATAACTACAGAAGTTGTATTTTTAGGTAATTAAAACATCAATATATCTTCTTATGGTACCATCTATTTTACTAAGATAAGTGATTTTATCCTAAAAATTCATATTAATTATCTCAAAATAATTTAAAAAATTAAATAACTATTTAATTTAAAGCTTCAATAAAAAATTTAATCTTTATTAAAATCTATTCAAAATTAAATTGATTTTCAATTAAATATATAAGTTAATATTTATTTTCAATCATAGGATTAAAATTTATTTAATTGTTTGACCAAATATTTTATAAAAAGTTGATTAAAATTTGACTTATTATTTTTTCTTGTATTAACCATATTATTAAGATGTTTTAAATGAAATAATTAATAATATTAGATAATTATTTATAATTTTTATAATTTAAAATTTTACAAAGATACTTCTAGAAATTCAAACTACAGGATAAATCTTTAAAACTCTTTGGTTTTTATCTAAATGAAATCAGAAATTAAGCAGTTCAATTTTATAGAGGAATTATCAATATTGAAAAATTTACAAAAAATTAATTAATATCATATTAAAATTAAAACCCAAAATCTAAAGCAATGAATCCTATGGGAATGTCCCCTCAAGATTTAGAAAAAATGAAAACTATATAAGAATATTCATTTTTGATGAATCCACTATTTTAAGCTGCTATGCAAGGATAAGTGAGTTTATAAGAAAGTGAATTTTTCCCAATTCTTTTTTAAAGCTCTGCAATTATAGAACCTGATGATAGAAAATTGGCAGTCAAGTATCTCTCTCATATGGGCAGAAATTTTTTATTTGGTGCAGGCTTAGGCATATTCCTAAATGTTCAAGTTAAAAAGATTAAACCATTGAATATTTTTGGATGGAACAAATTCCTTAGATTAGCTTTCAGAATACCTTTATTCATATCACCATTCTTTTTATTTGCTAATAATACTATGGATAAGGTTGAAGAACTTTAAAAAATCCAAAGAAAATATTTTATTCGTTATAAAAGATTTGAGAGAACAGGTAATATTAAATACTTAGATCCTGATAATGTCTTATTATAGGCACATAAGAAAAAAACTGATAGAGAAGTTATAACATTAGATTGATTTAAGAAGCAATCTAAGCAACATATTAAAAATATATTAAATAGTAGAAAAAACAATTAGTAATCTTAGACTTTGTTAATTTTGCCAAATATTAATTATTGTTATTCATTTGTTATATAATTTAAAATGGTATCTATCTTTATTTTGAATTTAAAAATAAACTCTTCCCTTTTTAAAATCAATCTTGCATTTGTGTTTCGTTTCCTGCCTATTATTCTTTTTTGTTTGTTTGTTTGTTTAATTGATTAATATTTGACCATAATTAAAAATTAAGTAAATTAAATAACTTAGTAAAATACATCAGTGTTTATTTATTAATTAATTATTTAACAAAATAATAAATATTTTCTTTTAGAACTCATCAAACGAATATCATTTGTTAATTAAAAATTAAATATTATCTAATCCAACCTAAAAATAAATATCTTAAATATTTTTTAGATATAAATTAATTTAGAAATAAATAGTTTACCATAGTTTTTTACTCCGTTATTCTTATTTTTTTCAAGAAAAATTTATATTTTTGTGCACATCCTACTATTTATTTATTTTTTATGCAATTTTATTTTAGAATAATTCAAGCTTGCTTTTAAATATTTAATAAAAAAATTATTTCTTCACTTAAGGAAAATATAGCCTTAATAAGAATAAAAAAGTGTATTTTTTTACAACAGCCTAGGTAAAAGTATTAAATTAATTTAAATAAAAATTTTTGAGATAGTTTTTATGATGATCCATTTATTTGAAGTATTTTTACATTAAAATAAACTAATTAAAAATTTGGCAATTATTTTTTTTATACATTTAAATTATTAATATATTGATTTTAATATTTTTATATAAACCATAGAACTACCATAATAAGTAGAAATATAAAAATAGAAATAAAAATATTTAAACAATTTTTGAAATAATTTAAAAACTATAGCAACAATATATCAGACTTGATAAATATAATAAATTGTCAATCAATATTTATTTATTTAAGTTACAATTTCAATATATTTCAAAAATTGATTAAGTAATTCTTTTACAATTGATGAACTTAGTATAGATTATATTTTTATTACATAAAACAATACAGAAATTTAGTGTAATTAAAATTAGTAAATATTAAACACTAGTACTAGTTAGCTTTTTTAATATTAGTACTATCCAAAGAGCTTTTAATAATTTAATTAATAAATTTTGTTATGATTTTATAGAGTATTTACAATTGATATTTAATATAAATGCGCTACAAATAATAAATTATAAATTTTATTATAATCATTGAACAACAATGAGTTAAGATTTTATTATAGACAGTATTTTAGTATAAATGATTAATTTGTATGGATATAATTTATTTTGTTATTTTATTTTCATTCAGGAGGGGGAAAAGTTAATAATTGAATAGTCATAAACAATTAGTTATTAGATACTAAAGTTAGTGCTTACTGTAAATATCAAAGAATTATTTAATCAATTTTTTTATTGAAATATTATTTCGTCAAGCACTGATTAGAGTTTATGCTTTACTTGTCTTGATTTTACATATAAATAGTCAGGAGTTGCATTATTGATTTAGGTATTCAATTTTTATAATTATGGTTAATTATTGCTGCTATTCATGCTGCTTAAATTTCTTTTTTTTAAATTGCTTGAACATCTCAGACTGCTCGTAGCATTCTCTCTTATAAAGTTATTATTAAAAGAAGATTAAACTGAGTTATCTATCTTCATAAATTATGAGAAATTAGAAGGATTAGCTTATTTGTTTCTAGTTATAGAGAAATGATTTCTTGGTGTTCCTTAGTTAGAAGATGACGATTTTATCCTTTTAGAAATAGATTATTGTGTTTCAATGTGATTTAAAGATGTCAAAGGATATCTCTGATACTTAAGAGGTCTTTATTTCATTTGTTCAGTTTTTCTGAAGCTTTTTGCATGCTGAAGAAAATTTATAAATTAAGGTGTTTGACTAAAATTTTGGTATATTTAAATGTTTTAAAAGAATTTTTCACGTTCCAGCTATACTACGAAATGGTTTTTAAATTTTTTAGGAGATCCCACTCTCTCTTAATTACATTTCTTTCTCTTCTTTTGAACAACAGCGAACTCTTTCAGTGTTTAAAAATCTTGTTGAATTTTTTTATCACAAGGAATGTAATCAAAAAATTACTTACAGATGTTTTGATTTTGTTTGCAGTTTTTAGTTTATTTTGTTACAGCTGAATTAATTTATTGTATTTGACTATAAAAAATACTTCTTACTTTATATAAAACTTAAGGGAGTAAAGGATTATTAAGGTTATCTGTAAAATTTTCAAAATCTATTCCTCTCATTAAAATTTCTGGATTGTCTGGCCAAATATTGTATTCTTCTTCTGAACCACAATCCGAATCGCTATCAAGACCTTCTGGTACTGTAACTGGTTTAATTTTTTAAGAGGGCTGTGTAAGAGAACGAGATTCTATATTTTCTTCAATTTTTATTTGTTGGAGAATACAATCAGTAAGCTCTATTTCATCTGACTAATCATCAGTTGTATATTAGGAATTATCAAATACCTGCTAAACCTTGCAATTTTGCCTAATTTCAGCATCTTATTTTTGATCCTTAATCTCATTTAATTATATTAATTTTGTAGATTGTTTAACATCATTTGATATTAAAGCTTAATTACTTGCCTTAATATTACTATAATCAAAACTTTTCTTTTGATTGCTATAGACTTTTTACATGTCTATTTTTTTCAGCACAAATTATTTTTACGGTAGCTTGGTGAATATAACAGGAGTTCTTTAGCATTCTTTTATCTAGTCAGTAATACTCTAAGATAAGTCTGCCTAACTTGAAAATTTTAGAGGTTAATTTACATTTTTAAGATCATACGATAAGTCATTAGCTTTTTTTTTATGAATTTTACTTTCCCTATTTGCAGAAAGAGGAATAATCCTCCTTCTAATATAAGGTGATTACACTTCTACTTCTTATTATGGAAAGTACAAAGAATTCAATCCTTCATTTTATTCATTTTGATTATTAAAGTCAGTAGGAGTCTGTTAAATATTCTTTAAGTAATGCGTTTTGTAAGGTGAATTAGTTCTTGACTATATTTTTCTCATCTTTTAAAAGAGCTTTAACAATCTTTTAGACTTTTGTTATTTTAATTAAAGTTTTCTGTAAACAAATATTATTTGATTTTCCTTTTTTTAATTCACTTAGCTTATGTATTTTATAATTTCTGGCTATCCATCCTATTGTTAAAGATGATAAAATAAATAAGCAAATCAAATTACCTTGATTATAAATAAATAAATATATTACTTTCATTGATTGATTGATTTATTTATTTATTATATGGTAACAATTTTTAAAAACTTATTTTAATTTATTTTACTAAATTTCTTTAAATTGATTTATCTTTATTTTTTATAAAATTTTTAAAATATAAAAATCAAAGTAAAAATATTTTAATTTTAAATTACTGAAAAAAATGTTTTGATTATAGTTTCCTAAATGTTTCACAGCAGTTGTAAAATCTATCAAAAAATTCTATTTGGATTTTGAAGTAAAAATAGTTCTACATATTAGTTTCCTAAATTAAATGTTGAAAAAAGAATATTTTTTTTTTATAGTTTTTAAATAAATTTAAAGTATCATAATAATCTTATCAATAGTTAATTTTTTTTAATTTTAGCTAATTATTATTATAATAATAAAAAATTAATTAATTAATTTATCTCAATATATATCTAGATACCTTAAATTATTTCACTTTTATTACTGTTAATATTTATTTAAATATTTTCAATTTCTAAAATTATTGGAAGCAAAAAATTAATAATTTTAATTTTTTCTTAAATATAATTTTATTTTCAGTTTTTAAATCTTTTATAAAATGATATTTTATTAATTATCTATTATCAGGCCAATTTAGTCAAAGAAGCATAATTGTTATAATTTTTTAATAGATCTTAAATATATATATAAATTAAAAATACATAAAATAACATTTATTTATAAAAAGCATTTAAATTTAATTTTTGGGTAAATACTTAAAATAAAAATGTATTTAAATTGTATTTTAGTACCAAAAAAAATAATTAATAATTTATTATTAGATTTTTGTTTGATTATTTTTTAAATTAGTCTAGGATTTTGCATTTTAGTACAATACAAATAAAATAGATCATTTTTATCTTATTTTAGTTTTAAATTTTTTTAAAAGTCTTAAATTAATACAAAATTTTTATAATTTTTCATTTTAGTATATGTGTATAAAAACTAATCACCACAATTTCTATTTATATTTATGCTTGTTTAATTTAAGTTTTTAAAATTAAATATATTTTTTATTTAGTTTAAAAAATTCTTTTAATCTTATTTTGATTACTATTTTTTTAGATTTTACCTTTAACTAAATAACTAAATAATATATTTACCTAATTGTTTTTTTAAAATATAAAATTTATTGTTTATATCTAGAAAAAATTTAAATATTATTTTAATGAATTTTATTAAACATTTAATGATAGAGTTAATGAATGATTTACACTTTGATATATATAGGTAGTTCCAAGTATTATTGAGTGGTTTAAAATTATTCATTTATGGTTTCAAACGAATACTAATTTTTTGCTTTAAAATATTAACATATTTTGTAATCATATAATTGGATGGTATTTAGAGAACTTAATATTTTCTTTTTATTAATTAATTAATTAATAAATAAAGTATATAAATCATTCTGAGTAATTACATTCAAAAAGGTGTAAATTTTTAGAAATATGAATATATATTTACATTAAACCATTAAGCTTTTAATCAATTTGAGATTTTCTACATAAAAGATTTTTTACAAGAATTTAAATTCTTCTTTTGATTTAATTTCATATTTTTCTTATATCATCATTAACTTACTTTTTTTCTAATAGTAAAAATTGCATTTCCTACATAGAATTCAAATTTATTTTAAAAGGTTATTCATTCATTTTTGAATTCTCTTCAGAAAATTAGTCGTGTAAGAAGTACTATTTTTCAAAATAATTGAGAACAAAATCAAATATAAATGTTGAAAAAAGAAAAACTTTATTGTAATATAAATATTAAAATTTAATAATCTGAAAGTATAACACACACAACACAGTTAATTATATAAATAGGAATTAATTTTTGATTTATTACTATATCTATAAACATTAATTTTAATTTAAAAGAAAAGATGAAAAGAGATTATTTTATTATAAATATTAGTTTTAGATTGGGGAGATTTGGTTAATTAATTATAGATATCAGAAAAACCAGTGAAAATTTGTCCTTCAAATTAATTTATCCCTTTTTGAAATTATTTATTATTTATTTTATATATTTTCAGGATACATCAATTTAATGTCTAATTAACTTCACTTCAGTACAGTACAGTTCACTGCTTTTATGAAATAATTTACTAAAACTACTTTCTTGTTTCCTCCCCAAATATTGTGCTCTAAAATTTTTTATGGGTTCTTTAGTAATGCTGTTATATAGATTGCGATTTAATTGGTGAAATTTAGTTTTGATTTGGGGAAGCTGAATTATGGAATACTTAATTATACAGTTGAGAGTTGCGAATGGGGGATTCTGATGAAAGCTTAAAAGATTACTTTAAGTCTTTAAGCCCTACACCTATATTTGGCAATTTAAGTTCTTTGATCGAAGTGTTAATAGTGTTAGTTTTACCACCCAATTGATATTCAGATTAAATAGGTATTTACTATTAATTATTGTAATTTGTTGATTTTTTAATTGAAATGGAGTTAGATACAGGATTTTATGATTGTCTAACAAAATTATTAAAGTCATAGTTCAGTTTTTGAGATGTTTTCATCGCAGGAGAGGCATTTACAGAGTTTGGGATCACCCTCTTTTTCGGTGATTAGCTCGAACTCAAGAATTTAGTAAACGACGAAAGTTAATCATTTTTATGATTTCCACCTTTTTATTGGTTTACATTTGAAGAGTTTTAATTGAATTGTGAAATCTTTCTCTATTCTAATCCATAGTTTTAATTACTTGTAGGGTTTGTTTAAGTCTCATCGTAATCTTTAGTGTTGCATAGCTTTAATCTGAACTCATTTTATTCACTCAAGTTAGGTGATTTTTAAGAATTTGCTGCAGGGCTTGAGCGCTTAAAAGAACCTATGCTATTAGGAGAGTGTACAGGTGATTGTGCAGCTGATCCAGTAAGTCTTAGATTAATTTGATTTGTAGGATTATTATTAATTTTATGTGAGTAATCTTGTTAGCTTCCACAACTACTATTGCTCTTTTAATAATTAGAATCAGAAGTAGATGCAAAATTATCTTACACTTCCAAATCAGCAATTAAAAAATTTTATTTGTTGGTTTCTTCATTATTTTAAATCCCTTATTCAGTCAATTTATCTTACATCAACCTTTGCTGAGATATTTAGATCTTTTACTTACGCTGCATTTCACTGAGTTAAAGTAAATTTAACTGGCTCTTTCTAATCTACTCTTAAGGATTCATCTACTAGTTTATCTCAGTAAAGAGTCTCTTTTTAGGAGGTTTACGGGGAGAAAGATTCAATCCACTTATCATTCTTTAGCCTGTTCTAACAAATGTAGAGTTTCTTTTTTAAGGAGAATAAGACTAATATTCTGGGCTATCACATGCTTAGAAATTAACACAGCTATATCTGTCATAGAACTCATCACGCATTTTTTAAGAATTTAATTCAAGTTGTTACTCAAAAAAGCGTGAAAATCTAGTAAAATTTTTGTCTTTCTATATGTCAATATCGATGAGATTGCATTTAGCTTCCTCTTCAAGAAAATCATCTAAGTTGAGCTACATGCGGCAAAACTTGTGTATTTTTTCAGCATCCTTGAAGATATCACCAAGATGAGGTCTAAATCCTTTTGTGTAAAAGTATGAACGAATCTTATAAAGCTGTAAGAAAGAAAGCTTCTTTCCATAAAAATCACTAAATTCCTCCGTGTTTATTGCTCTTAACCTGAGCTCCGAGTTATCCCAAATATTTATCTCTCTGCAATCACTTTCACAACTACTTACAGATGAAGTATCATCATAGTCATCACTGAAATCTTCATGTTGAGGGTTAAATGTCTTTTTTTCTACTTCAACCACAATTTTTTTTTCCTCATTTTGCATGGGGCTTTTTAAATTTTGAGATTTTTTACCATCTGGAAACACTTTATTAAGAAGTTTATTACTGTTATCAACGCGCAAAGGCTTGATGATCATATTACGTTATTTGTTAATCATATTTTAATAAATTGAAATATTAAATCAATAAAATTTATTTTATAGCTTTGATTATTTATTAGTAGTAATAGGAGATGCTTTCAGAGTGAGCCTAAGCAAAATTAAGAATGTCGTTTTTGGGTGTATTTATATGGAAGTACCTAGATCTTAGAAAAATACTTCTTAATTTGTAAACTAAATTTTGATAATTTATTATTTTTTTCAGTGAATTTAAATTTATATGAATATATCTTTTATTTTCCCCTTTTTTAATTTGCTTTTGCAATCAATTTATAAATTTTTGCTTATCTTTTTTAATTTTTGTTTAGTTGGTTAGCCTCAGTAAATGGAAATGAATGGAGAAATAATTACTTCTAAATTTTACACAAAACATTATATTTCTCATAATTCTGCTCAGTGTAAATATCAAAAACTATAAAACTAATTTTACCATATAATTTCTAATTAAAAGACGAAGAACTTTTAAAAATAACCATTTGTTAATGCTTATATTTTTCTATATATTTAATCAGCACCTATCTATATCCAATAATAAAGAATTTTTTTTCTAAATATAATTGTAAGTCTTTTTAAAAGATCTAAATCTTATGAATAATTGTAGTCTTCCTAATCATATAAAACCACAGATCAATTAACTTTATTTAAATTGATCTCCCAAAATTCAAAATAAATTCCCATTTATTAATACCATTTATATTTTTTGACTTTAATTTTTTGTTTGTTTCTAATCAATCATAAATTATTTATTTATTTGATTTTTTCTAATTAAAGCTAATAAATATTAAAGTAAAGAGTACTTCGTTTAAATTGAAAAGTTTTTTCTTTTTCTTTAACTCAAACTAATTAATTACTTCACAATTTTATTTTGAATAACTTTTTCTTTTTTCTTACATAATTTCTGATCTTAATTCATTAGCAGTATAAATTTGATTTCCATCCAAAATTATTATAAATTAAGTAAGAAGGCCTTATATTTTTAGAGGTTTTAAATTTAATTTCAAATATGTGACGCAATATAAAATAAATGGTTGTGATAAACAAATCCTAAATGTCTATTTGGCATTTTTTAAATATTCTTATAAATCAATTTTTTGTCAAACTAGTACAATTCGAACGAACACTTAATGGTGATATTTCTTTTTAATATATGTAACATGCTTGAATTTTGATCACTAAACTAGTGTTTTTCTTGATTAAACTATCAATTTTCAACCACTGATATAACTTTAAGCTTTAAAACACATATAAAAGTATGCATAAAAAATAAATCATTGATTAATTTGGCTTAAATTTGACATAGTAATAAATTTATTTGATAAATGATAAATAAATAAATATTGCTAAATTCACAGTAATTTTCATTTTCCTAAAAATTATTTATTTATCTTTTTAAGGTGAAGAAAGTAATCAATACAAATTAGCATAATCAAAATATAAAAAATAAAAAAGATTAATATTAAAATATGTTAGAAAGTCATTTTGGATAATTTTGCATAAGTAATTTATATCACATTTTTTAAGGGTTTTTAAAAAAGCTGTGATTGATTATTTCATTTAAGCCTAATCTTTTGCTTGGGTCTTTTACAAGAATTTTCTACAATAGGTCAAGCAAGTCATGTGTTTACATTTTTTTATCATATTTGGGCCTATTATTTGATATATATTAATAGATATTTTTAATAATTTGAAATTATGAAAAGAATTAAATGTACAGACTTTACAATTGATAATTATTTTTCAATAGAATTATAAATTAATGTCAAATTATACTTTGAAAGCGATATTTTACAAAATTTATTAGTTTAATTATTTAGAAGCTTACATTTATTATAACATTCAATGTACCAATAAAAAAATTTATGTGGATATCCTAACATTAAGAAAAGCAATTGATTTACAATTTTAAATAAATCCATAAAATATTCAAAAAGAATATGTTAGGAATGCTTATATAATTCTACATGCACTAAGTAAGTAAGAAATACTAAAAAAATAAACAAAATAAAAATTACTCTTTGTTTTGAATCATTTCAAACAACTCCATTAAGTTATCGTGATAGAATGGAAGTTTTAAGTAAACCATGCAATAAAATGTGACTCCTAAAGACCAAATGTCTGCTTTTTTACCGTCGTATCCATTCTTTTGATTTGAATCGCTTAGACTTTCAGGAGCCATAAAATGATAGGTTCCTTCAGTTCCCTTGATGCGATGGTTATCTGATGACAATTTGACAGCCAAACCAAAGTCACATAACTTAATTTTTAGCTCATGTGTTAGCAAAATATTTTATGGCTTAATATCTCTGTGTATGATATTTTGTTAATGAACTTTATATAACAAAATATTTATGAAATATTTATTTATTTTTAGTATTTTAGAATTTACGGTACTACAAAGCCAAACATGACTCTAACATTATTTTCTAAAGATAATCAATACTGCCAGCTTAAGGAATTTATAAATGACTGAATTTGAGAGTTTTTTCATCCCATTTAAGAACATCTCCATACTCACAATAATCAATAATTAAATATAACTTTGACTATGAATCATGATATATTATACTGTCTATCATTGTAACATTCGGATGATTAAATTTTTTCATGAGTTCTATTTCTGTTTCTACATTTTCCCACTAAGATTTGTAATATACATCTAATTATTTTTTATTTAAATATTAAATTATGTTTAAAAGAAAATTATGAGTAAATCAATCCAAACATTTTTCAAGAATTAAGTTTTAAAATCAATGTTATAATACTTTTAATAGTAAAATTTTTAATATCTATATATGTATCTTTCAGTAATAATGTCAAATCAATCAATATTTTATTAGATTAATATATTTAAAATATTTTATCAATCTTTAATTACTTAAATAAATAAATTCTATGTTAGAATTAAATAAAATTAATGCTTCTATTGTTGTATCTTAAGTAAAGTTTATAATAAAGAATAAATAAATAAAAAACAAATCAATATTACTCCCTAGCTCGTCTTTTGTCATTTTAGTTTTCTTTTTTAAAATATTTTTGTGAAATTTCTTCAAAGCTAATTTTTTCCCAGTACTTTTTTCAATACACAACTTAACTTAGCTCCAAGATCCCTTTCCTATCTCTTTGCAAATTTAAAAGCCACTTATGATTTTTGCGTTCTAATTCATATTAAAAAAGTACTATTTATATTCTTGATTCAGTAAAAATTTTGAAATAAAATGTTATTTTCCATATGTAACTGTTCACAAAACTAAAAGATATTATTAAAATCTATTACTGTTTATGGATCTCTTTCAATGACTATTTCCTCATCTTTGATTTCTCTTATAATATGATTTTATTAGGGTTAATTCTTTTGCTATTCAAGATTTGTATTTCCCTAATCCTTAAGCTAGATTATTTATATAATATAGTTAGTAAATCATTTTAGAAACAATCTAAAAATACATTTAATTTTTCATTTAATTCCTTCTCTAATTAATGAGTATCCATTTAACTAAATAAAATTTTTAAATTTTATATGCCTTTTCTTAGTTTGAGAATTGTAATAAGCAAATAGTTTATTCTAATATTGAAATCGAAAATAAATAAATAAATAATTTATAAAGAAAGCAAAAATTAATTAATTATTTAATTTTTAATGAATATACTTTTGCCTTAATAAGCTAATTATACTGAGTTATTTATTTAGTGATATTTTGTCAATTTTTTTTTAATTAATTAAATAAATATAATAGGTTTAATATCAATTTATTACTATATAAATCATTCATAAATAGCCTTTTTCACTCATTTAACATATAAGCCTCAATAAACTTGGAAATTTGTTTTTGATCTTATGTTTAAATAATTAAAAATAAAACCTTATCATTGTTTAAAGTAAAGTGAAATAAATAATTTATAAGCAAAAAAAATCTATTATTTAATTTAAATTTATTACTTTTACCTTAATAGGCAGTGATATTTTATTTGTTTTTATATAATTAAATAATTATAATAGGTATATTAATTTATTATTTTATAAATCATTTATTAATAGAATTTTTTCATCTTCAGTGAAAATGGCTAGTCAGGCTTAAGAAATACTAAAATAAAGTTATTTATCAAAAAATTAGATAATAAAAGTTTTATTGAAGTGGATAATTTGATTTTCTGTTATTAATTGAAGAGGCTAGAGTTTATTCAACAGGAGATAAATCATTTAGATAATTAGGAATTTGTACAAAAAATAATTAAAACGAACTTACTTATATCAAAAACTTAGAAGGAGAATAAAAAATAAAGATATATTTCAAAGCAGCAATAGAACTTATTAGAGTAAAAAAGGAGATGTATATTATAAATGGGGAACAGCAGTTTATTGAAGAAAGTTAATTCCCACTAAAATATTCAGGTATAATTTAGTCATTTTACATATAATTATCAATAAGTTTTTTAATTTTATTTATGATGATGTATTTTGAAATTTAAAAATAAATTTATTTTTACTTAAAAAAATTAAAGCAAACAAAATTATTAAACAAAAATATTAATTTTTAATTTATTTACTTTTACCTTAATAAACTAATTATACTGATTTATTTAGTGATATTTTGTTCATTTTTTTTCATTTAATAAACTAAATAAAGATGTACTATTAATTTACTATTTTATAAATAATTTATTAGCAGCCTTTTAATTCGTTTTAAAAATAATTTTGCATTAAAATTAACTTTATATTTATGTATTTTAAAGTTAAAAAACCAATTTAACTAATTAATTTAAAGAATTATGATAAAATAATATTAGTTATTTATTTATTATATTAATAAAAAGTAAATCAGTTAAGAAAAAAGAAATTTGTTAAAACATATTGTATAATTTAAAATGTTAACATTTTAATAAAATTGTTGGTCAACCAAAACATTTATTTGCAAGAAAAACATTTTTAAATTTAATTTTTGATTGCTATTTAGAATTTAAATCATTGTTTTTGAGAAAATCTAACAATAAATTTTTATTTTTTAAATAAAATAATTTTGATAATTTATTTTTTTTGGCATTTAAAAGAATAATTTTTTAATAAAAAACAATTGTAAATGTATTAATTGTGTTTGCTTTATTTTTATAATTTTTAAATGCCTAAATTTTCTGATTAATTTAGATGAAATTAGGAGGGTTAAAAAATTTAAGTAAAAGGAAATTTAATATCAAATAACAAATTCGCTTTTTTGACTGATAGATAAAACTACGAAATTTAATCTATACATACAGAAGTGCATGCAATAATTACAAGGAAAATGATTAATTAATATTACAAACAAAATACTTTGAAGCTATAACTTTTTTAATGAATACTTTAAATATAATGAATGACATTAAACTCATTAATTGAAGAATATATTTGAGAAGTATTTTTTAAGGAAGTTATTTATCTTAGTTTAAATAAAATATCATATACATTTTGTTGAATACCCAAAATAAATACAAATTAATTTCGGATCTGTATAAGTTTTTAATATAAATTTTTTAAATTAGTTAAGCTAGATCATTTCTTGAAGGTATGGAAAGTTTTGTCTTCCTTGAATTCGAAGGTGACTTCTCTGGTGGTGACAGTCTTATAGATGTGAGTGATAGCATCTAACTTTTCTTCCAAGAAATCTCTATCGTTTTGGTCTAATTGGCTATTTTTTTTATTGAAATTAATTTTAATATCTAGAATAAAATGATTTTATAAATAAATATAGATAATTCATCTCATTTTTATCTCTCTTTTTCTCATTTAATTTTTGTTTTTACAATCATTTTAAGCTCCATCAGCCATTATAAATAAAAATTGTTATTAATTATTGTTAATATTTTTCAGATTCAGTTTTCTTATTTAAATTTTATGTTTATTAGAAGTATTTAGCAAAAATCATTTTTATCTGATTACTGAAAAGAGTTGTTTAATTAATTTAGTTAAATGATTTAGTTAATCTTTAGATAATTAAACAAGCAAAGCACTTATTAAAAAGAAGGTTAGGCTTACTTCTTAAAATTGTTTTTATTTATTCTTAAGTATTTAGCTTTACACTCCAGAAGGTTTCAAAGATCAAATACATAGAAAATAATTTATTTTAGTTAGTTAGTAGCATCATTCATCAAGCAATCGTTATTCTAATTATGAAGGAAGTACATAATTCATATGATTCTACCTGTCAAGTATACTCAATTTAACATTTTAATTGTAAAATCATATGAATTTTCATTTTTTGATTGACTGATCATTGAATGAGTTCTATAAGTAGGAAAAAAGTACATAGATAGGTGTGACTTTCAACATATTTATTGTTCGTTCATTTACAACTTTTCACTTTTGGACCTTTTAAATTTATAGCTTTTAAGTTAATTAGTCTTTTCTGAAACAGATCAAAATTAACTTTCAACTATTCTATTTTGTTTTTTTGCAGCTAATCAATCAATGATATGCGGAAATAAACTCTATTATTGAACTATTTTATAAATATTCTATTTAACTTGCTGAATAAGCCTTAGCTTTTTAACCAAAATTCTGAATCGTGATTCCCTTTTAATTCAATACATAACTGCTTTCCTTATTAATTTAATTTTACTACTTAAAAAGGGGACACATTTAAGCCAATTTTCTTATTTTTGATCTTATTATTTTGTCATAAATTTAGTTGAAAAATGAAGGAATTTAATTTTTTGATGATTTAATTCCACTTCGTAGAAGCTATCAATGCTAACTAAAACTAATTAAATGTTATTTTTCGCATAACTGATAAATCATAGGCGGTCTGCTAAATTTTTTTACTTCACTCAGTATCATTTTTGATGGTTATTATTATTTTTAAAGGCTATATTTGAAGAGATAAAATTCGAAAAAAGGAGAGCTTATAGAGATGAAAGTATCTAATAAGTAGGAAAAATTTTGAAAAAAGGGCTAAATAAATTACATTCTGTAGAAAGAAGTACCATCGAGTCTAGCTCTGATTCTCTTACCAATGAGGGTGGAAGGAAGGAGTAAGTCGTCAAGGAGAGCATCGTAGACGTAGGTCAAACATCTGGATCTGGGTCTTTGTTGAGACTTGTGTTCCTTAACCCACTTAGATTCGATCTTTCTTTAAGCGGTGAAGAAGACGATTTGCTTGAGCTTCTTTTCGAGTTCGATGATGAGCTTTCTAGCAGCAGACAAAAGAACTCTGTAAGATTGGAAGTGGACGTAAATTAAGACAGCAGACTTAGCCTTCTTGTTGGTCTTGTTAATTTAGAATTCCTTAACTTGGGTGAGGATGATAGATTCGAGGGAGGTCTTCAAATCAGGGTGGGTGTTTTGGAGTTCAACCAAAGCGGAACCGACCTATTCTTCGATCTTAGTTAAGGACTATTTTATAAATATAAATAATTTGCATTTAACTCTGTGAAATGTTTGCGAAGCTATGCTTCTTCTTTTCTTAAATCAATTTAATTACTTGCTTCTTGTGGAATTTAGCTAAAGCCATTTTTTTACCTTTGTATATTTAGAAATCTTATTTATTTATTTTTATTATCCTTTAATATCTCTTTCTTCAAATTATTTTTGGCATCGCTAGCCTTTAATTTCTCCCCTGCCTAAATTCAATGCATATATTAATATTCTTTCTTTTTTTTATATCCATTTCAAAAAATAAAATTATATGCATGCTCCTCATATTATCTTTGACAATTTCATTTAACTCTTTTTTTCATATTATTTAATTCCTTTTTTCCTTTTTTTTCTTCTTCTTTTGTATACTTCATTAAAGCATTGCTTGCTTCATTTCTTTATCTAATTTGTACATCATTTCATTTAAAGCAAATATACTTAAAACAAAACACACTTTTTTCATTCCATATTGATTAATTTATTAATTAATTAATTAAATTAATAGAAAGCAGATATCCATTAAATGTACCATCTATTAGAGTCTATTCATTCTTTAATAAAGCAACATGGATATCTATCTATCAATTGCTTAATCATTTTCTTAAATATCTAAAATATAAATTAAATATTAATTAAGATAGTCTAAATTAAATTTTTAGATACAAAATATACTCGAATATTTTTGATTTAATCATTTTAATTTAATTAGATAAACAAGTTGATATAAATAAATAAATTATTTTTTGTACTTATTAATAAATAAAAATTTATTTTTCAAGTCATAATTTATTTAAGATTCATTATTTCCATTAAATAAAATATTCGGTAAATAAAAATAAAGTTCATGATGTTTTCTTCATATAATAAATCTCAACTAAAATATTTAAATCCAATTAATATAAATTATTCAATAATAATCTAGTTTAAATTCTTACAAATTTATTTTTTAACAATAATAATCTAATAAATAAAAAGATTAAGGATAAATATATAATATTTATAATTAATTTGTAGTAAATTCTCAAGCTTTAAAAATAAATTAATTTATTATTTTTGTTGATTTTTTATAATTTATTATTTTTGTTGATTTTTTATAATTTATTATTTTTGTTGATTTTTTATAATTTATACTTTCTAATATTTATTTGATATTCTTAAGTTAACAATACTAATATTTATTGATTAAAGAAAGAAAATTAGATACATTCATTTTACTATATTTATCTTATTTTTACTTAATTCTAAGTTAATGGATTCTCTTGTAAAATCAAATTAGCAGATTCAACTGCTATCCAATCTTTAATATGAAAAATATTTATTTATTATTTAATAAATATCTTTTTATATTTATATTTAGAGAAATTAATTTATTTTTATTAAATGAATTAATATCTATTTTTCACTAACTTTTATTAATCAATCACGACTATGAAATATGGGTAAACATTTTTTATTTTTATAAACAAACAAACAGGTTTGAAAAATTGAAAGCCTTTTAAAAATATATCTTTATACATTAAAAAAGAAAAGTAAAAATAGCTTTTGAAGATAACATTATAATGATTGATTATATACAAATTTAGACTGTACATATTTTATACCCTTTTAGATTGTTATTATTTACATATTTAATATAAAATATTTCTTAATAAATCAAATAAGTTGATGGGTTCATTTCATTCACAACATGCTCTTTTCTTTTTAATATTTTTCTTGTCAATCTGTAAGTTATTGTTTTAATTAACTTAGGGAGTATGCTCTTTACGCTATGTTAAGTTTTTAGGACGGATTTCAGAAGGGAGTGAATTGATTTCACTGTATATTTCTATTTTTAAAAATAATAATAATATTTTATTTTGTATGTTTGTTTGTTTTGAAAGAGTTTATGATGAATTAATATTTTTAATAGCTTGTAAGTTTAGATAATTTTCTTATAAAAAGGAGATAAAATTATAAAATCATTTATTTTTCAAAGCTAACATTATAATTTAAGAAAATAAATACAATTAACTTAAAATATATTTTTTTTCCTGCTTTTTTTATAAGAGATATTTTATTTTGAAAGTAAAATTTACCTCTTACGAGAGTCTCAAATGCCTAATCAATATTTTAATTGTTTAATGCAGATGTTTCCATATAAGCTAGGTTATTTGTTTTGGAGAAATTAACTGCTTCTTCCTATTTTACAATACGCTCTACAGTTAAATCGCTCTTGTTTCCAATTAAAATCATTTTAATATTTTTTGATGCATGCTATTCGACTTCTTAGAGCCATATCTTTTAAATATTTTCGAGAGTATGTGGTCTTGTAACATCAAAAACTAATAAAGCACCTATAGCACCTTTGTAATAATTTTTAGCTAAAGATCTAAATCTTTCTTATCCGGCAGTATCCCAAATAGAGGCTTAAATAACAGCTTAATCAATAACCATAGTTTTTTTACTATATTCAACTCCTATTGTTGATTTTATTTCAACATTAAATTTATTTTCAGTGAATCTATTCATAATTGAAGTTTTTCCTACTCCACTGTCACCTATCAATAATATTTTAAACTAGTAATCTAGTTACACTTCAGTTTCTTTTAACGATAACGAAGCCATGGTAATAATTATGCCTAGTTATAAAATTTTAACGCTTTAAGAATCTCTTTACTAAGATTTGGGTAGTTTGATAAATGATAAACTAACAATTATTTTGTTGGAATATTTAATCAAATAATGAATTAATAATTTAATGTAAAATGTAATTAATTTATTTTTGAAGCATTTTTAATAATTTAAATTAATATTTCACCAAAATTGATCGATTAATGGTTGTCAAACTTAATATATATATTTATTTATTCTTAATTTATATAAATTGTTGCTTTCTAATTATATCTTTTTTAGCTGCTATTCATTATTACACCATTGTTAGATTCAATCAATAAAAATAATTAAGATAAATTAATCATTTCATTTCAAATTTGCTTACAATAGTTTACATTGTGTGACCTATTTTGGTATTTATTTTTAACATACAAAGATTTAAATAATCTAGCTTAAAAAATATAGAATTCATTAAAGCTTAAAGTGCTTTTTGAGAATAGCCTTTTTAATATTTTATTACCTTAACAGATAAACTGATTATTCTCATTACAAAAATATAAATTAATCTTTTTTTTTATAGAATAGATGGAAACAAACTGATGTGATAAAACTATTTTGTTTAAGATTATACAAATATTTATAAGAAATTACAAGTTTAATAATAACTAAATGAATGATTTTTAAATTTAATTTATTTTAGGGATTAAATATTTTTTTTATTCATTTTTCCCACTTTCTCCATTCTTGGCCTTTGGGAGCTTCGGGTCTATCTTTACCTTCGTAGTCCTTATCTTTTACTTCGTCCCAGTTTGTGGATCTTTATATTATTATTATATAATAAGATTTTACTAGTTTAATTTATAAATTATTCCTTACAAGACAGTACCACCTGAAGTAAGATATGATTTCATCATGGCTCTCTTAGTGTTTTCATCAGAAGCATCATAAATTTATTTGAAAATACCCTTCATAGGATCATCGCTGATCAAGTATTCGCTCTAATTTGAAATAATTAAAAAATGATGATTAGATTATAAAAAATATTCTGATTTTAGATTGTTTAATTTTTTAAAATGCTTGGTATTTTTTTATTATTTTCCTAATTATTTTATTGATATTTCCTATATTAAATTTTTGAATAATTTCTTATAAAAGGTACCTTATTTTTTTTCATGTCTTCCTCAATTTCCATGTCAATCTTATCCCAATTTTTTTTCTTGAGAGAGGATGTGGGGTAAGATGGGGGATTAGCGGCCTACACAACAACCTTCTTGGCTTCAGTCTAGTTAGTTTCGGTTTTGGCAGTAGGGATTTCTTCAAACTTAACAGTACCATTTAAGCTCTTCCAACTTTGATCAGGTTTCTTCTTTTCCATGACAATTTCTATCTTAGACAAATGGACAGTTACTTTAACTGTTTCAGGGACGATTTCGTCAAACAAATCTAATGTCAAATCATAATCAGATCCATTTCCAATGGGGAAAGAAATATCGACCTTCTTAGCTTCGAATATGGTCTTTAAGTCTTCCTTTCTTTAAAGTGAGTGATTAATTTCAATACCAACGCTCTTAGTGGTCTAATACCAAGTGTAAGCAATCTTACCAGTTCCACTCAAAATGTCTGCAACCTTAGGCTTATCAGAGTGCTTTACTTCTTCAGTAGTGTTTGAAGTTGTTGTGTTAGTTGTGGTGGTGGTAGTAGTAGTGGTATTGGTGGTATTGGTTGAAGAAGCTGAAACAGGGACAGAACCTTTGAAATCCTTGTTAGAAAGTTCAGCTTCACATTTATTTAACCATCTTTTTACTACATTTTAAAGTGAGCTAGAAGATCTTTCAAAAGCATGCTATAATTCAGCTTGAGCTCCCTTAATATCACCCTTTCTGAAAAGAGCAGTACCTTTTTTATATTCATAATAATATATTTTAGATTAATACTTATTGGAGCTTAATAGCAAAATTTAAAATGTAAATCTTTGATCAACTTTGTGGATAAAATGATCTTAATCAGTGTGTTGGTCATGATGAGCTTTATAAAAATCACAATTATCGATTTTAAATTATTACCTTTAACAAAGTAGGCTTCAGGACGAGCTCCATCAAGAGCAATAGCACTTGTTGAGTCAGCTAAAGCAGATTCTAAATTATTTAATTCAGTTAAAGCCCTAGCTTTTTGAACTAAAGCATCATAAGATTAGTTGGCTACTAATGATTAAGTCAAAAGAGCTACAGCCTAATCATAGTCACCAACAGATAAAGCAGTTGAACCTCTAATAAAATCTTCAGAACTCATATTTTCTCTACTTTTTTTTAATATATATTAATTTTTTTCCTTTTTTTCTTTATTATACAAAAAAAGATTTTTTATTTGTAATTGTATTTTTACTAAAACCAAGTTAGTGTATTTGAGAATATTTTAGTCAATTTAAAGGTTAGTTGCTTCTTTCAAATTTCATTCAATTTTTCTATTAGCATAAGTATCAGAAATTTACAATCGAAAAATTTCTGAAATTCTATTGTGTTAAGATATAAGCAATTTAGAAAGATTCTATTGCTTATTTGTTCTTGATATAAAGCTTAATATAGGATCTATCATATTTCTTATAACTTTATAAAGATATCTTAATAATGTCTATTCGTCTAGAAGTTTCGTATATTCTTAATTATTTTTCTTAAATTACCATTAAATTGAAAATTAAATTTATAATAAAATACTTTTCAAAATTTTCATTTAAAAACTTTAATAAAATTTATAACCACTCCAAAAAAGAAAATCAATCTGACTTTCAAAGTGAATATTCTAATTGGTTTATATCAAAAGTTTTAATATCAAAAAATTATTTAGGTTAATCTTTTAGAAAAATTTAAGTTTATTTTAATCATTCATAATATATAAACATATAATAAAGGTTAAAAAGCTTATAAATTATTTTTAATATTAATATTTTTTTTCTTTAATAAATATGTTTAGTTTTAAGAAGTTAATAAATTTTTAATTTAAAAAATTTAATTGTAATAAATTTATTTCTATTCAAATTAATTTTTACAATTTTACAATTCTTTATAATTTTATTAAATGAAAATTACTTTTTTCGTTCATGGTTATTTAAAAATGATCAACTTCTCACTTTTAAAAATAAATTGTATAACTTTAAAGAAAGGTGTAAATTTATTTTTAATCCTTCCTAAATGCTATAAAATCTGATTTAATTAGTTATTTAATATTAAATAAAATAACATTAAAGCAAGTATTATGTGTTTTATTTAAGCAATTTATTTCTATTCAAATTAATTTTTACAATTCTTTATAAATTTATTAAATGAAAATTATTTTTCTCTCATAATTATTTAAAAATGATCAACTTCTAACTTTTAAAAATAAATTGTATAACTTTAAAGAAAGGTGTAAATTTATTTTTAATCCTTCCTAAATGCTATAAAATCTAATTTAGTTAGTTATTTCTAAAATTAGTAAAATTTTTTCCTTATTTGAATATTTTTATAAAGTAACTTAAATTTTTATTTCAAAAACTAAATTGCAGTAAGTGAAAAATATTTATTACTCAATAAATATAAAATATTAAAGAAAAAATTAATAGAATTTATTGATACAATTTACTTCAATTCAAATTATTATATTTTTATTTTATCAAAAAAATATCTGTTGAACATTAAATATAACAAATTAATAAATAAAAATGTTTATTTGTTAATAATTTTAATAGGTTAAGTATTTATCGAAAAGCTATAATTTTTTTTTAATTTAATTTGATAAAAAAAACTTAATCAATCTTTAACATGCAATTAAATGGAGATATTTTAAAAAGTTGTTTTATGAATTTATATTTGTTATTTTATTTATTTTAAAATTTTAATTTTTTAAAAAATAAAAAATATTTAAACTAAAATTAATAAAAAATAATTGAATTATTTTTAATAGTTTTTCATTTTTATCAAAAAATAAAATATTTATTTGAAATAACATATTAAATATTAATAAATCCAGTTTATTGCAGCTAAAAAAATATATAAGTTATTAAAAAATAATTATTTTTCAAATTTAATGATAAAATAAAAACTTGAGATATTTAAATTCATTTTTTTTAATGTAATTTTTAAAGTATTTGGCAGCCGAAATTCATACTTCAAATAATTTTTGTTAGAAAAAATACATTCTTTTTCAAATAAAAAAGATGATAGATACTCTCAATGGCAAACACTTATTGTTTTAAAAAAGTTTGAATAGTAATTTATTTGTGCTTGTTGATAACAAAAAAATTAATGTATATATTTCTTTAAAGGAAATGAAGAGTTGTTCAAAGAAAAAACGGTAATTTTTAAAAAATATAAATCGTTTTTAATAACAAATAATAAACAAGTAATCAATTTTTATCTAATATTTTAAACGTTTTCCCATATTATACAGAAAGAACAAAAAATTAATAAATAAACAAACAAGAAACCTGCCTTTTGTTTTAGTAAATAATCTAATCAAATAAATAAGATACATAGAAACTAAAATTTCTAAGAACTGTTAAGAAATATTATTGATTTGAAATCAAGTAATATGAGTAGGAGAGTCCAATAAATGCTATTAATTATAGCTCTTTTAGGTACTCTTTAGGTTGTCACATCTTAAAAAATTATTGTATCAAGCTACATTCAAGCCAAAGCTTAAAATGTGATTACAGTACCTAAAGATTAACTATCATAAATTAAATCACTTTCGATTGAAGGTTGGGTTCGCCCTTCTTAAACTATGGATTACCCATATCCCGCATCTGTTCCAAGAAAGAGTTATTCTTTAATTATGGGTTCTAGTACTTCTAGTTCTGGTTGGGGTGATAATGTTAAGGGAGTTGACTCATTTTTGAACTTATACACAAATAAGTGGACAGATCAATCCGGCTTTATTTTAGCCTATGAAAATGGAAAGAACTTCGAATACATTTACAATAACTTAAGATATGCTGATTTCTTTGGTCGTTGGTTTTTTGTCTACGGTGTCTATCTTAGTGATATATAAAAACATTATTTAGTAACTTATAGCGCTTATGACGAATCTTGGTAAGAGGCTATTTCATCTGTTGTAAAGAAAAATCCCATCATCGACTTTTATCAATTTAGTGTTAACTCTTAAGATGTTAAAAAGTCAGTTTAATTCAATGGATATATTGCTGATCCAAATTTGACATATTCAGCTTCTTCCTCTTACTATAGCTCTTTAGATTAACTAAAGGCATACATTTCATAAAAATAATAAAAACCAAAATATATTGGAGTACTTTAAAAAACAGTATTCACATACATTGGTCAAAGTGCTACCATACCAGATGGTGGTTTATATGAGTCTTTCGGTAATTACTAAGGAGCAGATGAATACTCAATTAATGGTTAAGCTCAGTAATTAATTTTTATATCCTTTAAATAAAAAAATTATAAAAAAAATAAATTAATTTATCAAATAAAAATATAAAATTAGATTTACTGGTGCTTTCGCATCTGTTGGTAATACTATCTTATTTAGACTTGGCACAAATAACCCAGAAGTCTTCAAAAGTTTCTACGAAGAAGGAGATCTGTAAGAAATTAATTGTTATATATATTAACAAAATTTAAATTTATTTTTATAATTTTTTAGTGCTTTGTTAGCCTATGTTTAAAATGGTAAAAAAACTTGTATGCAAACTTATCGTATTAATCTGTCAGCAACTGATTTAACAAACGGTAAACAATGTTTTGATGTTGTTCCTAAGAAGGGAGAGTGGTTTTACTTCTATTAAGGTTACAGCAGAAAACTTGGAAGAGTTTTTAACTATGTTAGAATTGGTGGTTAAAACTATTATGCTGCTACCACAGATGTTCTTCACGTTGATCCAAATGCTTTCTATTTATTCGTTGGTCAAGATTCTGTTAGTATGAAATGGGCTGGTTCATTCTAAGGTTTTAACTTAGAATTTGGTCCTGGTGCTTACAGAGAAACCCTAATCACTGAATTCCCTCCTGTTAAAGATAAATCAGTTAAAGATAAAGGTAATCATATATTTTATTTAGACAAAACACTAATAAAGCAATTTAATTTTAATTATAGTTGTCATTCCTAAGACATATGTTGATCCTTAAATCTTATAATCAAAGGCTTCCTAAACTTTAGCTATTGATGCTAAAATTGTCAGCCAAAACTACATTAGTAGTGTAAAGGAATATGCTATTCATTTCTGGTTCAGAAGAGACTTAATTACTCCAGAATTAATTGACTTCTAAGCAGCTAAATCATAATAATCTGTTGCAGGTGTTACAGAACGTGATGATTACACAAGTACTGATGTTGCAGGAGATGCCGCTCTTTCAATTCAATATCTCGATCATTCTAAAGGTGATTCTCCAGCTTTTGTTTTCACAACTTATAATGATGCAGGTTCAGACAAATTCAAATCAGCTACAGTTAATTTTGATACTAAGTTCGATTAAGGTTAATGGATTTGGGTTTATTTTGCTTATAGCTAACCTTTGCAATAAGCTAGTATTTATGTTGGATTACCTGATGGCTAAACAAAGATTGTTAAACAGATTAACTAAGTAAGCCACTCATAAGCTCATAACTTAAAAGCTCTTATCGTAATTTAATAAAGCATTATTTTCAAGATTTAATTATTTTAACTAATCAAATATAGGGAAGGTCTGGTACAACAATGAACCCAGTAACAGGTCAATTTTACGATGCTTAATTCGTCTATTATGATGGATGTTATCAATCTTCCACTGCTACTATTGAAAACTATAAGGCTGCTAATGTCAAAAATCCTCCTTCCACTCAACCAAAATAAGGTGTTTACAGTGCTTTTGATAGAAAATCATTTAGCAAAAAAAATCCGTAAAATTTTTCAATATTTTTAATTGTGATAACTTATTAAATTTTTAATTTAATAGTCCTACATAAAACCCTAATTAATTCACCACTGAAGTTGCTGGTGCTTTACAATATGGTTTAGCTGCTTGGGCTAGATGGAATAAGTCTTCCTTAAAGAATGCAGCTGGTAATTTATTATTTACACTCTCGATTTACGATAAGACAACCATTGGAAAGACATATAACAAACTTGGTTCTCTTGTTCTCTAAGTTTATTACAAGAAAAAATACTTGTACTTTTCAACTTACTAATACGTTCATGCTAAATTGAAAGATGTCAATCCTGCTGTTCAAAAATTCGTAATTTATTGTTTATATATTTGTATTTTAAAATAAGTTTAATAAATTTTGTCAAATTAAATTAGTTTGTTCCAAAGAATGCTCGTACTTCTTGGTGTTATTACTACTTTGGATATTCTCACTTAGATCAATAAGCAGTTGGATCTGTCAAATGCTTATCAGGATTTTAACATGAAGTCAAATTTGATAATACTAATCACATTATTCCATCAGCTTTTACCTTCCAAGTAGCCAAAGATGACATTTTAAACATATGTAAAATTATAATAAAGTTTTTAATAGCTTAATAAATTTATTATTGTTTTGAATTTTAGGGAAAGGAGAAGTATATCAACCCTCTGTTATTATAGGATATCCTGTTGCTTTGAACTTTTAATATGATAACGCTTATTATCCTTAAGACCCTTCAAGCGGCTCTTTACCAGATGATGATGATTCTGGCAATAAGCAACCTGATGAAGGAGATGATGACGAACCAGAAGAAGAAGATGATCCAAAAGTCCCATCCAAGCCAGCAACTGACCCTTCCACTCCTGCTACCAACACAACCACTCCTGTAACTAATCCAGTTAATCCTGCAACTAACTCAACTACTCCTGTAACTAACACAACTACTCCTGAAACTAACCCAATTATTCCTGCAACTAACACAACCATTCCTGCAACTAACACAACTACTCCTGCAACTAACACAACCACTCCTGATGTTACCCCAGTTATTCCTGCAACTAACACAACCACTCCTGCTACTAACACAACCACTCCTGCTACTAACACAACTACTCCTACTTAACCTTAATAGCCTAGTTGTGCAGTTATTTATTCAGAATGTGGTTACACTAATAAGATTTAAGAAGTTTGTTAGAATATCCCTAGTTTAGAAATTAGAAATATTAGAAGTATTCAAGTACCTAATGGAACAACTCTTAAATTCTTCCAAAAAGAAAACTATAAAGGTGTTAATGTTAAATTTTTGTAAAGCGTAGAATGCATTGAATTAGGTTTGAAAGAAGACCCTAAAATTTAATGGGATGATTTAGTAAAATTATTTAATGCTGGAAAAATCGGATTTATTGATTCAGAAGGTAATGATATTGGGCTTCACAAAGCTAAAAAAGTATTCTTTAAGACAAATCTAAGAATGTAACTTAGAAAGAAACACTCAAGTGATTGAACTACAGGCCGATTATTATACTGATGTATAATTTAAATTAAGTAAATAATGAATGCTTTTATCTTAAAATTCTCAATAATCTATTTTAATAAAGAAAAAATTTCATGAAAAGATTTTATGTTTTATAACATTTATGTTTGATGCATTTATACATACTTACATATACACATTTTTAAAAATGAAAAAAAAAAAATTATTCTTTATTTTGTTTTAATTTGATATTTTAAAAAATACTTTTGGTTAAATAAATTGCTATTTTGATAAAAAATTTAAATTATTGAAAAATGTGTTTTATTTTTTTCATGTCTAGATTTATTTTATTACATAAATAGAATTAAATTAGAAATTTATATTGAAAAAGAAACTTTCTTTGATAATTTATTGTATCAATGGATTTGCAATACTGCTTAAGATATAAAAAATTCACTAAAATTAGATTTTAAAATAAAAAGTTTATCTTAAAGAAAAAAAGAAATTATTTAATTAAAATAATTTCATAAAATTAGAAGATAAAAAACAGTAAAATTAATGAAGATGAAAAAAATTTGTCAATAATTGCATTTGATATGTTGTTAATCATTTTTATATTGAAAATAATTATATTAGCAACCAACCTTATATATAGCTTTTAAAGCTGGTAATAAAAATAAGAATAAAACTAAATAAATAAATAAATAAATAAAAAGAAGAGAACTATTTACTACACAATTATATATATACAAAATTGAAAAAAAAAAAATTAGGTAAATAAGTAGTAATAATAAATCGTAAATTTAAGAAATATAAAAATTATTATAGAAGTCTTTTGATATTTAATAAAGAAAATTATTTGATAAATAGCATATACCTCACGTTTAATTTAAAAAAAAGATAGAAGAGAGATCTAAATAAATAACAAAATATATAATTATCTATTCATGAGCTATCATTAGTAAATGTTTGTCTCTGATAACTTAACTGATTATCTGGCTCATTAGAACTAGCACCAACACATGTATAGCAACTTTTATGGAGGATTAAACAATGCTGTAAATATGAATCAACAAATGTAATATTCATTAAATATGAAAAATCTTACCATTTTGCTAGCAATAACTAAATCATTATTTTAGAAAAACTGACTAACCATTAAAAAAGTTTACAAGAACCGAAAATGAACATATTTAAGCAACCTATAAAGATAAAATAATTATTAAGCAAATTAGTTTATTTTATAAAAAGAAGTAGTTTAATAGTGAGGTTAGTTAAAACGTTGATTTATTTTAGTTTCATAGTTATGTTTTCAAAAACTATGATAGATTTACCTCCCAATTTTTTCAGTAAAAGTTATTGCTTAAAAATAAAAGGAATGAAATCAAAGAAAAATCTTTTGATTATTTAAAATGAATTTTTTTATTAAAAAGAAAGAGAACTCCAAAGCTTACAGAATGCGATAAAACAGACGTTACACACTCAAGTATTTAGACAGCATCATTAAATTAAAATAGCGCTTATGTAGTTGAACATTTAGATTTAGATAATTTTAAGAACTAACAATGTAAAACGAACACTCAGCATAATCACAAACACTGTCCCTTCTATCATAATAGCAAAGATAGAAAAAGGCCAGGACACTTCTATAGTAGTGATTTATGTCAGCATGTAGAGAAAAATGAGGGATGCCCTGATGGAGATGATTGCAAGTTTTCCCATAATCGTGTTGAGCAGCTTTATCAGCCAGAGAAATATAAAACAAAATTTTGCACATTTTATCCTAATAATATTAATTAATGCGAATATGGAGTATTTTGCTCTTTTGCACACTCAGAAAATGATATTGTTATTGAGCTTATCCATAATTTAGAGTATGATGATGATTTTTATATGTTCTACTTCAAGACAGTGTGGTGCCCTTTTAATCTAGCATAACATGACAAAGCTCTTTGCGTCTATGCTCATAATTGGTAAGACTATAGAAGAAAACCCAGCTAATTTTATTACGAGCCCAACTCATGCACTTCTTGGAGTCCAACAAACTATATTTTAAATTATGAGGATGGATGTCCTTTGAAGTTTGATTGCAATAAATGCCACGGCTGGAAAGAATTGGAATATCACCCAAGAAACTATAAAACTAAAGCGTGTCCAAATTAAAAACCATGTAATAAATAGAATGATTGTCCTTTTTATCATCATGGACCAAAATCAGATAAAAGGTATAAAATATATTTATGCATTATCGAGTTTATATTTCTAAATTTGATATTTAAAAAATATGAAATGCCATAACAAAATTTCCCTCTTAATTTTAAAATTTTCTATCTATCTACCTACCTACCAAAAAACTAATTGATTTATTTAAAATCAGAAGAAATTAGGCTAAATTGTTCTTAAAAATTGTATTGCATTTATTTTAAAATAGAAAATAGCTAAGCTAGAAAAGTTTTTTAAGAAAAATATATGCAAAACATCGAACTTTTTAGTATCAAAATAGTTTTAAAAATGTGACTGGACAAATTTTAAATAAGATATAAAAAAGTTGTCTCTAAATTGTAATTCTTCTATTTCTACCTAACATTAATTAATTATAAAAGATTTTTTTCTTTCTATTGATACTACCTTTTCAGAAAAAATAAAAAAATATCAAACAAGCACAGAAAGTCAATCAGAATCGTTTTTGTTTTAATCTTTTTAGATTTATTTAAAATTAGGAAAATTTTAATTTGCGCTAATGAGTCTTTAAATTATTTTTAAAATGACAAATAAAACAATAGATTCGATTAAATTTTAATTTTAATAACTTTTTTTAATTAATAGAACAATAAATGCTAATATACAGAATAAAATATTCAGATTCGTTCCAAAAAACAGAATTATTACAAATACTTTCAAGGTAAGAAATAGTGATTCTATAAACGCAATACCAGGTCTGAATAATTCTCAATTTAATCCTCAACTCTTACAATAAAGTTAGTTACAATATATGTCTCAATAATAGTAATAATAGAATGAATATGTTCAACAATAGCAATAGTAGTAATAACAATAATAAAATTTCTTTTTGAAAGGAACAACTTCTATGTTTAATTTACCTTCTAGCTAATAAGTTTAAAATTAGTAAAGTTGGAACCCTCACAGCTCTCAATAAATTGGATTAAATGTCTTTTACTAAACAAATATTTAACCTATAAAATAAAATGGAAACGGCTACTACATGTCAACTCCATAATAAAATTTTGGTTCTCAATAGCTTTTAGATACACCTCCTATTGCAGATAGTAATAATTTAACTTTATTATTTATTTAATAAGCAAATTTTCAAATAATTAGGTCGCCTCAAATTAAGTAAGAAAAAGAAAGAAAATTAAAATGGCACAAATAATGCACTTAATAATGGAAGTAATAGTGGTAAAATGATGGCTAAAGATACTTTCGATAATGAAGTATGGCTTGGAAGAGGAGGAAGCAGACCAATGGATGATTCATTTGAAATTGAACCTTAAAATAGTATTAAAAATGATAAATTTGCTTCTTAGGTTACTCACAAAGAGGAGAATGAACTTTCTGGAAGTTAAAATTTCCTTTAAGATAAATTTAGTACAAACAATACGGGCAGATCACCTTATATAAGTTAATCTAATAAAGGTAATCCAATTATTTTTCAAAATTTATATTGAATAAAACAATTTTTTAAACAAAGGCGATTACTAAAAATACAGTAACGATAAAAATTCTGCTTTAACAGAATTTAATTCATATAACAAAGACAATAATAAGGCAACAGCTTCATTTATAAATGATAACAATGATTTAGCTCTATCTTAGCATTTGTAAACAGAATAAATGTTTAAAGATTTAGCAATTGACTGTCCTCCAAATCAAAAGTAAAGCTATGAATAATCTCATGATAGTATAACTAGAAGAGATGAAGACGAAAGTAAATAAATATTATAGATTAGAAATAAAAAAATTTTAAATCATTAATTTTTAAAAATGTAGTGGCAAGACACGTTATGCATTTAGTTGATGAATGAAAAGCTTGAATGAATATTAATAAATAATTATATTTAAAATTGATAATAAATTTTATAATAAACAAATATATCATTTAAAAATATCACTAAAGTTATCAATAAATTCCTTAAAGTTTAATATAAAACAGTTTTAACCAAGTAAATAAATAAACATTAACTATATACAAACAAGATCGTTTAAAAATATTAAACTAAGCTTAATATTATTCATTTATTTATCACCTAAGCTTATCAACTTTCAGAAAGGGAAACTAATTTTTTCAAAACAGAAAACAAATATTTTTTACTCTACAAAATTAGAAGCTCATAAATTCTCCAAAAGAATAGCTTATTTATTATATTAATGTATTGAAAGATATCAGATATTTTATGAGTTTCATCAGAAAAGGATTTATGGCTAAAACTAGTTAATAAACTTATGCACTTTGTTCAATTGTAGTGAAATTATTGGAAAAAGTTACTGAATAAATAAATAAAATTGTATTAAGCAAATATTAAAATCTTTTAAATCATTTAAAAATTGTAATATATTATTCATACATATCAAATTTCATATGAAATAGTGTACTAATGAATTAATATTAAAACAAACTTTATTTTTTTAGATAGTTTAAAATCCTCTAGAAAGCATGGATGCTGATTAAATCAATTTTTTATTTTGTAAAATAATTTCATTATTAATTATTTTTCTTAGCAAGAATTTCTTTCTAATAAATAAATCACCTCATTTAATCTAATAAATCTGAATATAAATCATAATAAACAATTTTTGGATTTATGTTAAATATCTCTATCAAGTTTTTTTCAAATACTAAAATATTCAGGCAAACCTAATTTTAAAACTAAGTGTATTGGGTTAAAAAATCACTAGGCTTATTGAAAAAATAATTATTTAGTTAATTTTAAATTTAAAATTTATCATAATTTAAAATAATTCTATCTATAACTTCCTATGGAAATTACCTATAGTACTTTTAATAAAAAATAATAAGTGTAAAGTTATTAGACATTATATCTGACATGTAAAATGCTTCTAAAAAAAAATTTAAAGTTTAGGAAGAATTAGCATTTATATTAAAATATTATTAGCAAATGGGTTAAATCATCTAGTTTAATTACAATTCATCTGTGTTGTTGTTTAGTATTTTAATAGTATAAAAGCATTCTGGGTTTAAAAATAAAAACTATTTCATGAACTTTAAAGCTCTTATTTCAGTAAAATTTTTGAAATGTATCTCTGCAAAGTATTATAAAGATTTAAGACTTTATAGTGTATCCTCATAATTTAGCAGATCAATTTCGTAATAAACAAAGAATGGACCTTAAACTATAAAATTTATCAAAAAGTAAACTTAGTATATCATTATAGGTAACATAGCTACTATTAAAATTTATATTAATAATGAAATCTCTTTATAAAAAAGAAAACTGAATATTAGATTATTTACACTGACAAAGCCTTAGACTTCAACTAACATCTTTTACATTTGAAAATTTATTATACCTTGCTTGTTTAGTTTTTAAGTTACTAAGCAAACTCCCAATAAATTAGAAATCAAATATCCAATTAATATACCGTCTATATCTTTGGACCTTACTAGTTTAAAAACAAATTCATAGAAGAACAATATCATAATCAATTCAAAAAAATAGAAAGCTACAAGAAATAAAAACCCAATTTATAAATATAACAAGCTCTATAATTTTAAGGTAATAACAATCATTAGAGAAAATTATAAAGACATTAGCCAGTTTTAATGAGCTAGATATGATAAAAGAATAATCGATAGGGTCATGGAAAGAAAATATTAGGGTTTTGAGTTATTTCTAAAGCAGAATTCTATGATAAATTAAACTATACAAGGTATTATGGTAGATATTTTATCAAATTCTTTGTAATTTATATTTTTATCTGTATTTTTCTTAAATGGTTTGATTTCTATCAAAAAAAGTAATTCTAAAAATTCTATGATACCATTCTTTTGATAAAGCAAAAAGATTCGTAATCTATGAGTAATGTATATAAAAAAAAAGAAAATCTTAGTGTAAATTAAGCTCTATTCATCTAATAAAAGAATGTAAAGTGAAAAAAGTATAGCCAGCTAGCAGATGTTAATGTAGATAAGAAGCCATTTAGATTTCTCAATTACTTCAAATCTAAAGTTATTATTGTTGTTGTTGATGTCGTAAAAAAGCATTCTTTACTTTAATTTTTTATTTCTAATTACAATTTTAATTAAATTTTAATCTTTAAAATCTATTAATTTCAATTTGTTTTAATTTCTATAAAATTAAAATATATTTTTCAAAATTAAGAGTTGTTAAAATACATAATTTACAATTCCAGCGAAAAGAAGCAAGATATATAATATGAAAAAATATTGCAACAGCCTGAAATTACAGAAAAGAAATAATAAATGAAAACACACATTAAAAATTTTTAATTATCTTTTAAATAAGTAAAAAAAGATTTTATTATGAATAAAGATAAGGTATTTTCTATCTATGGTCATAGATGAATGATATATTAATATTAAAATACAAATTATTTTTTAAAATATAAGTGATAAATCAAAAACACACAAACTTATTCAAAAAATTTTAAAATATAAAATATAATAAGATAAATCAAAATTGTATTAGAATAAATAATAATATTATATGTTCTTCAACTATTAGTAAATTGAATAACTGTTTCAATATTTTATTTTATCAATATTTGGGCTGATAATATTAATTGTATTAATTAGCACTTTAATCTTGGTAAGTAATATAACTTTTGTTTGTATTTATTTTTTCAGGAGTAATAAAAATCTTGTCAACTTTAAAATCCTAGTTTTCTAAGTAAGGTCTTTATTCTTGTAAAAATTATCTACGAGGACTGATTTAATTTTTACTTTTAATCAATTAAAGCTATTCCTCCATAGGATTATTCTTGAAATATTACACTAATCCCCAAAAACAAGCAACTAAGAATATCTATTTTAATAAATTTAAATGTATTTCTTTGTAGTTAAATTAAACATACCTTATTAATAACAGTAATAAAACAAATGACAACGTTAGCTTTTCTAAATCCAGAGTCTAGCATTGAATCATACATCTGCTTCTCTTGAGGGTTCCACCAGTGCTGATATTTTATTTTTATGTCAAAATTAAATATTTATCAGAAAAATAGATTACCTCAGCAAAGAAAATTAACCAAAATATTTCAAAAAGTATTGAGAATATATAGGCAGTTATGATTTTTATGCAGGAATCTTCATTAAGTTCGTTCAACTCATACTTACCTACATAATAGAATATGATCAGAAGCTATATTTATTGGATGAAAAAAAAAATTTATAAAGAATTCTTTTAATAAAACTATTTACATCATAATATGGACTCTTTTCGAAAAATTCAATTAGCAATATGACTAATAAACTTATTGTTAATATACGAGTATACAATTCTACGTTTGAAAACTTTGAGACATCTAGAGGAACTGATTTTATTTGTTCGTTTTCTCTTTGTACTCTAAGGTTTTTTATGCCACCTGTTTATGCTAAGTTATTGTTCATAAGGTATCCACTATTTGTATCTCTCATCATTGGTAAAGGATCTCTTTGGAATCTTTACAAAGTTTTAAAAGGCTAGTATAAAATTTCAATATCTCTTTCGTATTATATTAAATCATCTGCAATATTTTAAATTTCTTAATTTTTTTAAGCTAATATAGTTTCTAGAAATTTAATCTGTTCAAAAAAAAGTTTAGATTTAGCATTTTGAGAATAGTTTATTTACATTTGAATGAACATACTAAAGCTACAATACTAAAAAGCTATCTCTCAAAATAGCTCCATTTTAGTTATAGATTTAATATTCTTTTGTTCTTAAATATTGATCATCTAAATCTTTTAAGGGAATGTCAATCTATCCAATAAAATTTTCTTTTGTATACTAATCAAAATCTGTAATGAAAACTTAGAGTCTTTCCTAACCTGTAAAAACTTAGCTTATTATAAAAATGAAATTTGTTTATTTGCTCATATATTTATTTATTATTTATTGCTTTACAATTTATGAGATGCATTCTACCAAGTATAGGTTTAGTTTGGATTATAACTACTAGCTCCTGTTTCAAATTTCTAACCACTTAGTATCATAGTTATAAAAGGGTCTGTTTGAGATCCATTATAACTCAAGTTTCTACCTGAAATAACTGTAACTTCTAGATAAGCACCCTGCATAACACCATAATTATTTAATACTTCCGTTTTGCTTACTTCTTCAAGCTTAGTAATATAATTTTTTCTTTCAATGTAAATATCATCTAAAGCCTTCTTTGTGTTGTGTATTTTAGAATACAAAATTTTTTCAGCTTATAAAACTACTTTTATGAAATCATCAACTAAGACTTTGCCTTCTTAATCTTTTTTTACTTCTTGATAAAGCTATTCACCTAAATCTCTATCGAAGGCTTTACCAATCTTGTTTGTTTTAGTTAAAAAATACTCTAGACAAAATGTTCTTAAAAAAATTTAAGTTTTACTTTAGTATCTAAAATATTAAATAGTTCAATTTTAGTTAAATATTCTTCATGGCTAATATCCAATTCCGAAAATTCCTTCCTTAAAATTCCTATTTTTGTTGTCATTTATCCCTAAAATGAAATAAATATTAGAATAAAAAAGAATTATTTGCTTAAATTATATTGATTGAAAGGAATAGCACATATAGTTAAATTGATTGAATTTTTGAATAAAAATTACCTCATAATCACTAACGAGTGGTTAATTAAACTACTACTTAGATGGCGAATAATAAGACATTAATTTTACTGAAGAGCTAAGCTAATATAAAAAAAAATTTAATAGATTTGGAAAATACCTTTAATCAATAAATTTTATTTCTTTTTTTTTATTAAAAATAATATCTACTTATCCAAATTTACTTCAAATAATAATCATTAATTTATATATTCGCTAGAATCATTTAGATTTATTTATTATTTCCTTGCAGCAATATACTATCAATGGAGTGATTTAATTAATTCTTTTTAAAAATCAGTAATACTTTCTTTCATAAGCACTTTTTACTTTAATTAAATTTTATTAACTGATAAAAATATGAGTATGAAAATTAAAAATTGTATTTATTTAAGAAATCATCAATCTAACATAATCACCAATATGAATATAAAACTCCTTTCAAAATTCCAAACAAATCTAAATTTAATTATCAATTAAGTATTATCAACTATTAAAATAATTTTAAAAAAATTATAAATTAAGCTTAAAATATTCTTTTTAGAAAGATATTTTAGATAAACAATAATTCTTTATTTATATTTAAGAATAAGTTATTTTATAACAACTTAATAAAACTTCTCCAATAATTGTAATTTGATGAAATCTATAAATTATGAAGCAAAACACTTGAAAAAATAGATATAATATGCAAGTATTTATTTATATGATTAACTGACTGATTATGATAAATTTAGTTCTAAGCTTCTAGGGATTATATTATGCTTTAAACTATTATAAAATTTTCTAAAGTTTTTTCTTGCAATTAATCCAAATAAATTAGTAATGTTGTCTATAATATATTTTTAATTTATATTATTTTTTAAATATTAAGATTATGATTCCTTTCTTTAAAATTATGAGATTGATTGTGTTTATTCTTTATTATCATTATTTTTTTATGTAGAGATTTTCCATATAAATTTAATAAACTTATGCTTAATCATTCAACATCTGATACAAATGCCTGAATAATTGTCTCTTTGTCTAACTTATAGTTTCCTAATTTATGATGGTTAAGCATTTCTCTTCCTGCTAAAAATAATCTAAATTTTTTCCATTTTTTTTAAATCTATGCCTACATTTATTCCTTCAGATCTTCTATCTTTGTATTATTGTCTGAACTCATGTTTATATTTTATTCAATACCTACTACTCTAAGCTTATACTTTAAAACACATAAAAAAAAATGTTATACATATTGAAACATTAAAATAATTTCATTTAATTTTTACCTCAATAGTTTTATTTTCAAAGTCTTAAATTAAAAATTTTTCATATTTGGAAACAGCTGCATAAGCAATCGGTTCGCTTATGCAAAATATTGGTACATCATACTTATGGCCTAATTTTAGTGTTAAAATTAAAAAATATTAAGTCAATATTCAAAAAATTACCATCTGTGTCATATGTAATTTATAATGACCTGTTAACTAATTTCAAACCTGCTGCTGCTACAATTGCTAACGCTTCAGCTATTTTATAAATAATATTTGATGAATTTGAACTAAATACATCAGATTTTATACAAATTGCTTAAGATAATTATGCTTTAAAAATATAAACAAGAATTTTTCTATAATTTTAATGAATTTTAATGCTTTTAAGAAATATTTTAATAATTAGATTACATTCTTCAACAGTGCATGCTTACTTTAATGCCAACCAACTTTCTAGATGTCCTTCAGTTCTAGTATCTAATGTATGAATAAAAACATTTTAAGTATCTGCTTGTTTAAAAAGTAAGTATAAAGTACCCCAGAATTCCTATCTTTTTTTCTCAAGCTCTTATTTTGTAAGAGTTGTTCTATATGCATGAGTTTTTTTAATGCCAGTACCTGTATATTAGTCTCTAATTATTTCAGAGACGGACTCATATTTTTTATTCACATTAAACGGGTGATTTACATTTAAAATTGGAGCAAATTCATGGTTTACTAACTAATCTTACTGACTTACAGGATTTCCAACTTGTTAGTCATTACTTTTAGTACAGGCGCCTCCCATTTTAATTTAAGATTGACTAAATTTAGAATTATACTTTGTTTACTTGCTATTCTTATAAATTTATATGGTGTTAATGAGTTGAAAATTGTTTATGCTGAAATTTTTATTTTATATTGTATTGAAATTAATTAATAATTATAAATTGTATAAATTGAATGATCTTAAAATTATATTTGCTGCATCCAAATTCATATAATAAATGTTTCAATTACTTTTATAGTAAAATCCTTGTTTCCTCAAATTAACATTGCAACATATACATACCTCTGTTGCTGATCAATTATAAATATCATGTATATTTTAGTGTAAAAATTTTTAAAAATTATTAAATCACTCACTAGATCTAACTTAATGTACGTTTAATAGTAAGTTAATGAGTCATTGAGTGATAGTTTCATTTTGAATCCAAATTAAACTGTAGCAGATTATTTATTTTTTCAACTCTAACAAAAATCAACACTTTAAAAATACAAACTGTAAATCATTAGAAAGAAAAATGAATTTAAAAAGTTTATTTATTTTTATTTTTTCATATTTTAAGTGGACAAACTATCTTTTCAAAAAATTCTCGCTAAATAAGAGTCTAATTAAAATAAATGCAGTAGTTAAATAATTTAAATATGAGAATTGCACAAAACAGGTAAGAGATATAGATTGCAAAATATAAAAAAAATAATAAAAGTTTTAATAATTGTAATAAGTTCAATAAAAATCATAATTAAACATTGTTTGTTTTGAAAATAATTATTTTTTGAGTATAATTTAAATGATTATTATAAATTTAGGTTTTGTCTATCATCATTCGCTTTCTTGTTAATTTTCACCTGAATTAATGTTTTAATTTTCTTCTTAAATAATTTACTATTCACCTTATTCATTTGATTAGCATTGTAGTTTTTTCTCTAACTCAATAATTTTCTCATCTTTTAGTTTTAATTATTCTATTTGGTTTTCATAATTCTATTATATTTCTTTCAATTTTAAATTGTTTTGTTAGTTTTCTTCCTTAAGTTTTTCTATTTCAGTAACAAATTATCCTTGTTCTTCCAATTTTTCATTGAGCTTTTGCTATAAATTATTTTGCTTTTCTTCAGCTTCTTTAATAGACTTTTCTGTTTACTGGACAGCTTCTTCTTTTTAAATTAATTAATTGTTTAACTACTCAGCTTAATTTTTAAGCTCAGCAATATCACTTTGTAACTATTCAACTTATTAATTGCTTTCGCTTAGCTTGGTACTGTTTTATGATATAACTCCGTCTTTTTCTGACAATAAATCTTTTTATTTTTACACTTCTTATTAGTTTTGTTCAAGTTATTTTTAAAGTATATTTATTTATTTCTCACTTTATTCTATTTTAGATTATAACTCTTTTTACTAAGATAAGTTAGTTTCTTCTTATTGTTTCATCTAAATATTCAAGCCTTCATTCTATTCCTATTGCTGTTTTAACTCTAAATTCAATTTATTTATTTAAAGATTTGTCTCTTCTAAACTTTTTCCTAAATTTTCTAACATATCACTTTTTTTCTTTTAATTTTCTAGTGATGATTCAGCATTAGCTAACTTTTAGCTTACATTTTCCAAATCCTAAACAATTTTATTGTATTATTCTTCTTTTATTTTCAGTTCTTCATTAATTTTATCTTTATTTATGATAAGGTTTTCTATTTCTTCATTTTTATGCTTTAATGAATTTTCATTTTCTGTGAGTAAACTGTGTAATTTATTTATTTATTCTTCTTAGTTAGTAATCTATTGGTATATTTTATTATTTTATTCTTTGGCCTCATTTAATTCTTTCTCTAGTTTTTCATTTTTAACATTTAGAATTTATAATTGGTTTTCAACATCTTAATTTTAAGAACTATGATTATCTAAAATCAATTAAAGTTTTTATTTTTCATCATTAGCTTCAATCAATTGTTACTTTAAGTGTTATTCTTATAATTCTCTTTCATTCAGTTTGGCATTTATTTATTCTATCTAATCCTCTAAATTTTTAAATTGTTAGCAGTTTTATTAAATGGTAGCTTAATCTTAATCAAACTAATCATTTAATTGCTTAATTTTCTATATCATATCTCTATTTTCTTAACTTAAAACTTGAATTAACTCATTCTATTTTTAAAAATCAGCCTCATCTTTTTATATTTTTTCTAATAATTCATCCTTTTCTGCAATAATCTGCTAAATATAGCTTTGCTGGGCCTCGTATTCTTCTTAAAGTTCTTAAATTTTTTAGGCCATTTCATCTTTTATAAACTTTTGTTCATTTAATTGTTGAATTTGCTAATTTTACTATATTTATTCATTGCTAGAAAGTTCTTCCTATTGTTGGTTCTTATCTTATTTAATGCTACTTAAAAGTTAGTTATTTTGAATAGTAAGCTAATGGGTATTGTCTTTAATCTGTTGATTTTGTTAAGCTACCACTTTTACATCTTAATTAATGGAATTCAAGAGAACTGTATTATCATGAATCCTTTAAAAGATATCATTTAATATGTTTTAAAGATCCCTATTCATTATTTATTTGATAAAAAAAGATATTTTTTTAAATTTTTGATAAATGTAAATTAATTAGTTAAAAGTAATTTATCTTAAATTAATATTTTATATTCCTAATATTCAGCATATCTTTATTCTTATTAAATAAAATTAAATACCATAATTTATATTTAATAATAGAAAAATAAACAAATTATTTTTTAAAATATTTATTTATAAGAATTTCTATTAAAATTAATATATTCAACAATTTATGAAGTAATATTTTTTCTTGAAAGTAATAATATCTTATTTCTTAAAACTATTATCTTAAATTTGAAATATATGAAACACAAAAAAAATAATAAGAATATGATTTATCTTAATTAGGTTTCTAATTTAGTTTTTTTTTTTTTATTTTACATAAAAAAATTAAATTATTAGAATGCTTTTGACCATATTAAAACTATTTTAACATCAAAATAAATATATAATTTGGAAATTTACTTTTAATAAATATCAAAGAAAAAAATTAAAGGAATAAATACATCTAATCAAATTAATAAAAAGAAGAATGAAATAGTAGATTTTAAGTTTGAATTCAAAAAGGAAGTATTAAGAAACACAAAGTAACCTTAGCAAACTAACATTTAATGATGATTTTGAAAATGTGAAAAAAAAGTAAAAAAATTAGGAAACCATAAATACACAATATTGCCTTTTTACTTTGGGTAATTAAGATTGTGAAATCGGCCTATAATTTGAAGACTTAATAAACTAAGATTTTAACTATTGCTATGGATAAGAATATGGAGTAGAATTATTTGATGAAATCGGTGAAACAGTTATGGATATAAATTCAGAATAACAACTTAACTCTCTACTTTTAAACTAAAAGCACCTCAGTATTGAATAAAAAATGGTTGCACAATAAGTATTTTTTGAAAAACTAGATGAAAACAAATCTATTTCTGACTCAGAAAAATTTTTTAAATAATAAAACATGCAAAGCGATTTAAAAACCTTGACACAAGATGAAACTAGTGAAAATCAAAACTACTTCTAATATTTAGAGCAAAATGAGTAAATTTACTCATACAAATTTGATAAAGAGAATATTTATTAAAGTGAAATTGATACCAGCTAGTGTCAAGATTCATAAATATAAATTCTTGAAATAGGATATTTAGCTGCAGATGAATTCAATTAGTCTTACTAATTAGAAGAATCTTATCAATCACGTTCTTCCTATTAAATAGATATTGAAAATCTATTTATCTAGACTTAATAGTAAAATTAAGAAACGCTTTTATTCAAAAATAAGGCATATTTAGCTTCAAAGTCAAGTTATTAAAAAGCAAAGCCTTAATCTTTACAGAATAAGAAAATTAGAAAAAGATAGGTTATAAAATCAAAATAAGGAAATATTAAATAAAAAATCTTTTTCAAGCTAGTTCAGTAAATTCCTTCTCAATTAAGCAAAATAAAAATGCATAATTAAAAAGGAATATAAAATCCTATCGCAAAAAGGCTACTTCAATAAATTAAATAGCTTTAAACCTTATAAATGTTAGAATCATTGATAAAAATATGATTGTTGTTATATATGTGTTATTTTTTATTTGTAGAAGTAATAAATAAGTGAATGATTTGAGTTATTAATGAATGAATTTATTGATTAGGTTTTATTTTCTAAAATTTTTATTTTTTTGATTCTAATAATTTTCTAAAAAATAATTTATCACAAAAAAAAAATTTTTATTAACTTTAGCTAAAATATATATAAAAAAGCTAGCTAAGATTTGACTAATTTATAAATCTTAAATTTACTGATTTTTAATTTAGTTGTTTGTATTTTTTAAGTAGAAAAAGAATTTCATAAATGGAAACAGAAAGTAATTTTAGTTAAAATGTACTTTGGGAAATAAAATTGATGAATAAAAAGATTGTAGATATAAATAGAAATGCTATTTATGACAAATAATTCATTAATCTGAGTTAGTACTTCATAAATTAGGGTATTTTATAGTCTTTATGCCTAAGTAGAATTTCTTGCTAAATAATATTAGACGAATATATACTTTTATGCAAAAAAGAAAGCCAATAAAAGATAGAGGAGTATACAAAAAATTTATTTAAAAAAGATGTTTTCATATAACAGTAGCTCAAATTTTTACTCAAAAAGAGAATTAAAGAAAAAATACTCTCTTCCCTCAACCAATCAATAAAAAATTTAAAATTTATTCTCAAATATAGAGCTGATATGGAATAAAATGAGTATTCTTAAAGGGATACTTTTGAGAGTAAAAGTGAAGAGTTTATCTATGACTTTTTTCAAGAATTTATAGAAAACTATTTTAAAAAATTCATTGAAAACCTTTTGATGCCTTTAAATGAGGATTCAATAATTTTTGATGATGCCTAAAAGTAAGATGAATATGTTTTTATAATTGAAAATCCTGAGGAGTATATAATAAATAAATTTACAGAGTATTAAAACCAGTAAATGTCTTGCTAATAAAGGGATTAATTAGACTACTTTAACTTGTTGAATGTATTTTTAGATGATGAAAATGTTTATTAACTTAACAAAGAAGATGTTTTACAAATGATTTTAGATTTGGAAAATTAGTAAAATTAGTGCATAACCAAAAATCAAAATATTTTTAGAGAAAAAAATGTTATATTAAGTGATCATAAACCTCAAAGCAAATGCAAAAAATTTTCATCTTAACCTTTATCTTAGAATAAAAATATTTTATCAAAATAAATGTGAACTTTGTTGGCTTTCTATTACATTTATATTAATTATGTATGTATGTAAATTAGTAAGTATGTGATTTAATAACCTAATTTAAAAATTAAGCAGTTAGTCTTACGAAAAATAAAAAGTGCATATAATACATGTTTATTTGTTTTATTGGTTGGTTGATTTATTGATTGATTGTATGATAATAGAAAAAAATAACATTTTAAACTATATTTATTTATTTTAAGGATAGTTAATATAGTTGGTTGTTTCACATCTACATAGCCAGCAAGTAAATCATTGATTAGTTAACCATATCCTCAAAGATCTGTCTGTTTTTGATTACCCTAAAAATTGTATCGAAATATATGTTAGTGAAATCTTCTATTAAAATTTCTATTTAAATAATTATTTACATCTCCTTATGATTTATCTTCCTTTTTATCTTCTTATTTCTTTTCTTCCTTCTTATCATCCTTATTTTCTTCCTTCTTGTCATCCTTCTTTTAATCCTTTTTATCATCTTTTTTGTCTTCTTTCTTTTCCTCCTAAAATATTTTTTTTAATTTAATTTTTAAGCAAATATTGTTTTTCAAATATTATTTTTACTTTAGGTTTCTTAATTCTCTTGATTCTATCAAATTCTCTCTTGATTTCATTAACCTTCATTTCGAGTTCGAGGACAGTAAAAGCTGGGTCTTGGTGTAATTCAAGTTTATCTTATGCTTCAATCTTTTCTTGTAACCATGAGGAGGTTTAATTAAGAAGCTTGACAATTGGGAGCTTTTACTCATCAGTTACCCAACTCATAGTTTTGTTGAGCTTTGAAACTTTGCTAGCAAAATCAGTAATTTTATTTAAAGTGTTGTTCAAAGCTTAAGGTCTCTTGTTATATTCTTCCATTCTTTTTTGAATAGGCTTGACAACGTTTCTCATAGCAGTGAGTCTTTGTTTATAATCTTCATATACAGCATTGAATGAGTCATCTCCTTCAAGCCATTCGTTATTCTATTTATTATTGATCAATTTAAATTTTTGTTACTTAATTTGTTATGATATTTTACTTATTCTGCTAATTCTAAGGCTTCTTTTCTTTCAGATTCTACTGAGAATTTTTGGAAATTGCTATCATCTACTAAGTCTCTAATTTGATAAATGAAAGATTCCAAAGCATTCTTTTCTGAAGCTAATCTTTTAATCTTTTCTTCGTGAGAATCAAACTTTCTAAGTTTTGCTACACTTGCTTCTACTTAAGTTTAATTTAAAAGTCTGAAAAGGGGATAACGTTCATAAATATCTAATTCTAAATTGACAATTCTTGATTTCTATTTAAGTTTCTTTTCAACAGTTGGAGTTTAAGTTTCTTTTTTGGCTTATTATTCATCGTTTTCACCATCATTTTCTTCTCCATCGCTTCTAATTTAAATTAATTTTTAATTTTAACTTTAAATAATAAAAATTATTATTAATACGTTAAAGTAGGGAGAGGTTCAGCTTGCTTCACTTCTTCAACTTCGACAGTTTAAGTAATGTTAAGTTAAGCTACAGCATCAACTAATTCAATAGTATTAATGCTACCAAGCTCAAAAGTTAATTAGAGTTTAGGTTTTCCTGCTTCCTTGTATAATTCTTTTTATTAAATCTCAGTAATATTTGTAATGTTGTATTATGCAAGCTTAAGGGAGTTTCCTTCAGGGTATTAGGCATACACATCAATGGTGATATCTCTATCATGCTTTAAAGAGATGGTTTTTCTTGTATTGAAACGAGTTTTTGCAGGGTATAAATTATAAGTTTTGTTGTAAGGTTAATAATCAGCATCAACTTCTGTGGAGTTGTTATCTTATTATGTATCAGAGATATCGATTCTAATGTCAAAATTGTAACCATCATTTAAGAAGATTTTTTTAACCTAATTATTAAAAAGGTGTTTAAAATAAGCAAACAAATCAATCATTTTATATTTTAAATTCTACAAAATATTTTTTTTTGATAAAAATAATTTACTCTGAAAGAAGCTGAATAGTTGGCAGCATGGAAGGCTGCTCCGAGAGCAGTTGATTCATCTCCATTCATGTGGAAACCTAATTCCTTTCCTTGTAAATATTCGCTTAAAATTTATTGGATTTTTGGAACTCTAATACCACCACCAATAAGTTCGATAACATCAATATCAGCTATTGTTTTATTTGCTTTTGCTAAAATTGCCTCAATAGGCTTAGTAACTTAACTTAAAAGAGATTCAGCTTTCTCTTCGAATACTGTTCTGTTAATTTGAGCTCTAAAATCGTTACCATCAAGTAAACCTTCAGAAAAGAAAGTCATTTCCTTGTTAGCAGATAAGATTTCTTTAGCCTTATTACATTCTTTTAAGAGTTTAACCATACCTCTACGATTAGTACGGAAAGAAGGTTTTCCCTTACGTTAAGGCAAATTGTCGATAATATCAGCAAAGTAATGAGCTAAGGTAAGATCGTAAGCATAACCACCAACATCCTTAATACCGTAATCAGCTAAAACTGTAATGACAGGAATAGTAGTCTATGTATCGAACTTAGAGGTATTATTGACATAAGAGTAATCAACAAGAGTTGATTGAATGTTAGTTGCTCCAATGTTGTAGAAAAGTACAGTCTAAGTTTAGTTTTCAGCAAGTTTGTGAATACCATAATGAAGAGCAGCAGCAGTGTTATCATGGATCAAAGCAATTGGTGCAAGGCTAGCTATTCTTGCAGCTTAAACTAAAGCTGTACGTTGACGAATAGACCAGTTAACAGGAACAGAGATAACACAGTCTCTAATATTCTAGATTTCGGAATGCTTTTCGGCATAACGCTTAGCAGAAAGCAAGATCATACCTACTACTTCTTCAATAGAGAGGATGAGGATTTCTTCAGGATCACTAAGTTAAAATTTCTTTAACTCAAAGAGTACTGTTTTTCTTTCGGGGTCAATGCTAAGAGCATACTCTTCATAATACTTTTTAGCAACTTCGAATACTTCCTAGTCACTTTCTAGAGCACCTAAAAATTTATCTAGGAAAACAAACGATGTTTCGGGAGTACGAACTTGCTTGTTGGAAGCATCTTTGTCATATTATCTTTCTCCATTGTAAAATGAAATCTTTTTTTAATTGAATTAACAATATTTATAAAATTCATTTCAAATAAAATTAACTAAAAGCAGAAAAACAAACATCTTTCAACCCAAAATAATAATGAAGTTTAGAAATAATTTTTATTAGCAAAATAGTAAGTAATTAGAAGTAGTAAAACAATCTTTTAAAATGAAAAAGTAAACTATTTCAGAAAATATATTAAGGCTAATGTTGAAGTGATATATTAATCAATGAAAGTGTTAAGCTTTATTAGTTTAAACACGGGCCTTTAATATTTAGCATCAAGGCTAGTGAGATGATAAGATTAAAACTGTTTATTTTAAGATTGATCCAAAAATAGATGGGCTGAGAAAATATAAAAAAGGAGAAGGTATGTAAATAAAAAAAGAAATGATTAATTACTGCATTCTAAGTCTTGCGCTAAGAGGTAGTATTTTCTACTATCAAGAATTACTTTCTTGGAGCATTCAAGCTGATTTTAAAGTATTAAGATCCAAAATCAATACCTAAGACTACAGCCTAAGTCATTGTAGCTAATAAGCCAAGCCCAATAATGAGCTTCAAAGTGGTGTTTCTCATAAAATAACTAACTAGCCCTACTTATTATTTCTTTAATTTTTCTAAATTATTTCTAATTATTATTTTTTGATTGATCTATTTATTTATAGCAAATTAAATTGTTTTCAAAATCTTTTTAAAAACTTTATTTAGTTTATTTAATTAATAAAAATCAATATAAATGTTCTTTCATCGTGTCAGCTGCTGATTGAATTTTAAAAATAATCAAAATTAAATTACCTATTTCTTTGATTTATCTTGCTTTTATTTGCTTTCTTCAGAATTAAATTAATTGCCAGCTTCTATTTTGCTGGTTTTTTATATAATTATTGTTTGAAGTTTTCATTTATTTAAGAGCTATAAATAGGTAATAAATATCTTTTATCAATATAATATCTTAAAAAAGAGCAATCAAGAGCTTTTCAAAGATAATTAATTATGATTGATCTTTATTATTTTATTAAATTTAAGACCTACATTTGGTGGTGGATTAATAAATTTATTAATTTCTAATGAGAAACTTTATAAATAATTTCCTAAGCAATTGAAAATTTTGTTTCAACCCAGTGCTGTTAAGCAACACGTGTATGAAAAACACTTTTTTAAAAAGAAACTCAAGTAAATATAAAAATTTAAAGAATAGTTAAATGGCGCAGAGGCCTATAACATTAAAAAAATTGAATTTATATTAGAAATAATTTTATAAATTTGGTTTAAAATGAGCTATAAAATTAGAGGTATGTATATTCGTGTTATTATTAGAACAAAAATTGAAGAAAAAAAATAGAATCTTAAATTTATGTTTCAATTATTAAATAATTAGTGGAATAAAGCAAATCAAAAAATTAAGTTTTAAATAATACAGTTAAAAAAGAAATCAATAAGATAATAATACAGTATCATTTTTTTTACTGAAAGATTTTTAAAGTAGGTATTGTTTTATATTTATTTAAAAAGAATAGATGCTATATAGAAGTATATGATACAAATAAGCTATAATTAGACTTTAGGGAAAACCCTAAGATAGATAATTTTATACTCACTTTTTAAAAATTAAACAACATTAAATAAGTTAATAATAAATATTGTGAAAAGAATATTCCATTTGAATATAAGTTCTAAAATTCTGCTTTATACACTTTAGAAAAATAGCTCTTATAAAAAACGAAAAAAATAACTACAATTCAAAGAAACTATTGGTTTCTATATATCTATATGTCTATCAATTAATCTAAGTAGCTAAAATAAATAAATTTTTTGATACTATTTAATTTTTATGAATATTTATTTTATTAATCTATTTTTTTTAAGATTAAAATTAAAAATAGATTTAATGAAATTTAATTATTTAGTAATTCATTATTTTTGGTAAGGTAATTGGTAACATATAAATTAAATAATTGTAATTGTTATAACCATCTTATTTTAAGAATTATTATTCATATCTGTTGAAATTTTAATTTTTTATTTGAGTTTTTGATTTGTCAATTATTCATTGTTTAATATTTATTCAACTGCTCAAAAAATATTTTTCTATTATTGCTATAAAATCATCTCTTCTCGATGGTTTTAAGAGTAAATCATCCATACCTGCATCAAAGCACATGTTACGAGTTTAGGAGTCTGAATAGGCGGTGTATCCTATAATATTTGGTGAATAATCGATTAAATTATTATTTTCTAATTCCCTAATATATTTTGTACATTCAATTCCATTCATAATAGGCATATTCACATCCATAATTATCATTCCAATTTAATAACCTTCCTAATTTATTGGTATTTATTTTTTATTTTACTAATTTAATAGAACTTGTATTGCTTACTGACCGTTATAAGCTTCTAGTATATTATCAGATAACCCAAACTTTTAAAAAATAAGCTTCAGAGAAAAAATGTTAAAAATTTCATCATCGACCAAAAGAATTTTTTTTTACTGCTATACAGGTTATGTAGTATCTTGACTTTTTCTTTAGTATGCTTTTATCTTTACAGGTGAGTTTATTTCATGCTCGTCAACATTTAAATTGCTCATAGTACATGTAGGTATATTATTTGATGTAAACTATTTCTTAAATATATTTTCTTAATTGATTTAACTGGAGTATATACTCTAATACTAATTTTGATCTATCTAATGTTGTGCATTTTGTTGATTAATTAAATTTTCTTTTGGATATTAAAATCTTAATTGCTGTTTTAAATTTTTTTATTTTTAAACTTACTTTTAAATTTATGAATTTTTTAAATTCTATTTACTCTCCAAAGAATTATTCAAAAATTGCTATGAATCAATATTAAACTAAAATTTATCTTCTATGCCAAAACTAACTGCATTATGTTCTTGTGAGCTACTTTTATTGATTTTCTAAGGGTATTTGGCCATAGTATGAGAATTAGATATGTTTTGCTTAGTAACTAAGATAATATTTGATTTTTCTTAATCACATTTTTATAGAAAACTTGGAGTTTTTTTAGAGGCTTAATTTAAATCGATCATTTTTTAAATACTTTTTTATATAGGGATACAATTATTGTTGTTACTTTCAAGCTCATCTATTTCAAGATCTTCTTCAAATACTTGATATACATGATCAGTTTCTTAGATGCTATGCTTTTTCTTTTTAATTTATGGGGAGTTTATATCATTAAGGGTTTTAGTTTAAGTAAATTGGAAATCTTCAAGAAAATTTTCTAATCTATACGAATTATTATTGGTATTTATAGCAGCTGTATTTTGACTTAAACTATTTTTTTTATGGTTTAAATATGAAATATTCTTGTTATCAACATGTTGTCCATAAAAATCTTGTTTTTAATTATTTTGTCTATAATCTAAATTATTAATAGCATCTAGATCATCCAAACTTAAATTTTCATTAAACTAATATTCTTAATATTCTAGCTAGTCTCTCTAATTCATTTATTAAAATGATGTACTGCTATTACTTAAAGATTGTATTGAATCTTCTAATTAGCTAATACTCAAATTATTTTTATCAGCTTAAGACAAAGCCTGCGACTATTTTTAATGTTCTTATTATTCTTAATTATCAAATTTTTTATTTTCTCCCTTTTATTTTTATTGGCTTAAAATAGACTAATTTTTTTTCAGTTTTTCTTCAAACAGTTATTTGAACCCATTGATTTTTTTAGTTTTTATTTTCTAATAAATGTTATGTGAGCTCTTTGATGCAGCACTGCTACTATTATTGTCATTTAATGAAGAAGAATAATTTTCCGAGGAATACTGCAAAGAATTCTATTATTTAGTGTCATCTTCAATTTATTCTTCTTCAATCTTAGAGTTTATAATATTTCTAGTATTGATATTTTAAATAGTTTTTGTCAAAGGATTATAATTGAATACTTTTTCTTGGCTAATCTTTAAATCTTATTCGTTTAAACTATTTATTTGGAATTATTTTTGATCAAATTCATTACTTGTTTTTATGATATTTTAAGTATGGAAATTTAGATTTCCTAGTAAAGTAGTGTTTTAACTTTAGCTTTTAGCTAATAAATTATCTTTTACTTTTTAAGGAGATTAATTATTAGTCATGTTTAAATGATTTCCTTAACTCAAACTTGAATTTAAAAATTAAAGTTACTAATGCCACTGTAATACTGATTAAGGAGTTTAAGGAATATATGGACTTCTTTGATTGTTAGATTAAGCATTTGATCCTTCTTATGTTAAATTAAGATTTTTAAATTATTAAGAAAATATTTTATTGAATGTATTATTAATAGCCTCATTAGCCATGCTAAGGGGAGCTTCAATTTATTCAGTAGTTTTAGTTAATTTGTTGACAATTGTATGTCTTACCCTACTCCTTAATTATATAATTTTTGAATTTACCATTTAAGAGCTTTCTAAACTTAAAATTGGCATAGCAGATCCTTTTCTTCTTTGTTATTTTATACTGAAAGAGGATTTTAATGGTGAGTTTGATTTACTGGAAAGATTCTAAATAATTTCTAAATGTTTTGTTTCTTTCTGTAAAAATGTATCCTGGTTCATAATAATTTTAGAATTCTGATTAACTGAATCCATCTCAGATTGATCCTATAAATTCTATTAAGGGTGAAAGATATTTGTTTTTTGTGTAAACCCAATTTATTTAACATCTTTTAATGAGTGATTAGTTTAAACAGTTAAATTAGGCTTATTCTTTTTTTACAAATTATTCTCTCCAATTGAATTTTAATTTAAAATATTCCTTGGCAACTCTTATTTAAAAGAATCATCAAGAAAATCATTTGATAAGCTTTCTTCAATATTTTAATCTTATTAAAAGAGTTAATTTTCTTTTTGCAAAGGCAATTTGTTTTCTATTGATGCAATATTTGATTTTCTTTTATGATTTGGTTCGAGCATTTATTTTTCAGAAAAAATACTTATTTTTTAAAAAACTGCTTTCTAACTTTTTTGTTTTTAATTTGGATTTGTAGTTGTTCTTATTAAAATCCAAAACCTAGATCCTCCTTAAGGACTAGAATCAAAATAAATAGCCTACTTTTTTATGGAATTTCCAATTAATCTAGCCAAATTGTTTGAGACTAATAACCCAAATCCAAGTCCTACAGAGTTCTTTGAAATTTTTTAATCAGAAAATCCATTTTTAAGCATACCTTTTAATCTCTCACATTCTTCGCTTGACATACCTATACCACTGTCTTCAACTTCAAGTCTGATGTACCTTAAATAAATAAATCAATGAATATAAATTTAATTTTTAGTTTTAAAATTATTTATAAAACTTACTTCTCAGATTCCTTAAAAAGATAAATGTTAATGTATCCTTGTAAAGTAAATTTAAGACTGTTTGATATAAAATTTGATAGTATTTATTTTATAAAAGACTCATCTGACATTATTTCAGATTCTATTCCTTTTTAAATTTTTATTTAGGTCTTTAACTTCTTTAGCTATAACTATTTTTTGAATAACTCCAAAGTTTAGAATACACTTTCTTTAAGGTTGATGTTTTTAATTTAAACCTCTAGTTTTTAATTCATTATTGAAAAAAAGTCTCTCATATCTTTAACTACATTTTCTAAAAGAATTGAATTAGTGTTAATAATTCTGAAATAATCTTTTTTAAGGTCAATAGAAATTCTATCATCTTCTAAAGCATTTTCAGTAATATTACTAATGATATTCATATAAGTTCCAAATTCATGAGACAAAGTTTAAAATATTCTGTATGATATATTCTCAGATATTTCTTTTTTAATAGATATATCGTGATCTCTTGTATTTATAAAATTTAACATACACTCATATTAATTTATCTCAGATCTAAAATATATATTTATTTTGAATTAAACAGACATATATGTATTATTTATATTTTGCTAATCACTTTCTTTTGCAGTTTAATTTTGACTCTAATTAAATAATACTTAAAAAACCTCAATTTGTTGATCTTAAACACTATTTCTAAGATTATTCTTTTGGAATACCTCAATCAAGCTTTATATCAAATCTTTTAAATTAATAGGTTATTCTTTAAGAGCCTACTAATTTAATTTTTCTAAGAAATTGTTTATATTCTTTTAACTTATTTATATTTAAGGAGTACTTTCTACATTTTACTAAATCTAAATTTCAATAAAAAATAGATTAATATTTAAAGTATAAAAAAGGTGAGAGTTTTCTTAAAATTTTTTTGAAATTAAGAAAAATTTTAATAAATGTAAATAAATAAAATTTACTAATTTAAAAAAATAAAATTAATTATTTTTCCTCTTTTTAAAATATTTAATTTTATGATCATTTTTTATTTAATTGAATTAGAGAGGTAATAAAAAGAAAGTGATATTAGAAAATTAAATAAATAAATAAATTACTTTATTTTATGTTTAAGTTTTACTTTTTTGAAGAAGAATCTATTTAAGACTATTAATAGATTTTTCTGATATCATTGCTACTTTTAAATAACTAATTAAATTATCATTGACCTCAAACTAGTGAAATAAATTATATATTTATTTATTTTTATGAATGATTTACACTTACTCATTTAAAATGATAATACCATTATCTATTGACTCATAAATTATTTTATAATATTTATCTTGTAGCTAATCAATTATTAGCTCATTTATTTAGTGTTTATCATTTTTCATAGATTAAGAATCTTAAAATAGATTTGTTATTGTTTCAGTATGAGAACCTTTATTATATTAATAGGTCAAAGATTTTAATTATTTTCTCTAAAAAGATAGAGTTTGATTGCAATATTAGCATTTTTGAACTATTAAGGCGTTATTTTTGTTTAGCAATTTTGTGTCATTTTATTAAATTTATTCCTTTTCTAGATCATATAATTTTTATCTTATATTAAAGCTAATATTCTATAATTTAGTGCTATCATTACTATATTTTTTATTATTTTAAATCGGTTTAGAAATTATATTGGTTTTACTTTTATTTTTACTGTGAAAAGGTTTTTTAAATTAGTTTGCATTTTCCTTCAAAAATCTGTTTTTTTATTTATCCTACTATTGATTTAAGACTTCTAAATGATTAAAATTTTGTATTAAACATCCACTACTTTTACTTTTTTAAGTTCTTATTTAATTTTAATTTATCTAAGTACATTTAATTTAATCATTTAAGCCACTTTAAGGTTCTAACAATTTAGTTATTTAATTTTCATTTAATTAATTAAAATTTTACTCTACTTAAATTTTAATTAAGGGTATATGAGAAATATTATTTTCATGTTTTTGTGCTAGAATCTAGTTTTATTATTTATTCAATGGTTTGTTTAAACAAGACTAAAAGCTTTGCTTCTCTGAGTTTGTGTTTAAATTTGATTAGTTATTTTACATTTATTTAAATATGTCTTAACTTTTTTTCCTCTACTTAATAATTTCTTCTATTCTTAAGGAATCTTATAAATCATTTTAATTTTTTGTTGGTTATTAATTTAAATTAATTTGGTTTGTAATTTATATCTTCTCAATATTAAAATTTGTAATAAAATTTTAGTTATTATTATAGAGACCATTTTCTTCTGATTGATAAAATTACTCTTTTTAATTGTTTTAAGTGTAATGAAACTATTTTGGAGAAAAACAAAATTTGTTTTCTCCTTGTATTAATTTGTTAGAATTAAAATTGACGGATGTTAATGGGAGTTCATCATTCTCTTTTGGTAGATTTAATAAATTTTATTTAGGTGTAATATAAGCCCCATTCCCATCAAAATGGTGAAAGCTGTAGCTTTTTAATTATTTAGGTGTTATAGTAAGGGTTTAAATTTCATTAATTTCTTTATTTTAATTATTTATTAATTTATCGTTTTTATCTCTATTTTGTTAAAACTAAGAAAAAAAGTTTAAGCTTTGCCTATCAGTTTTAAGAAGAGCCTATATGTGATCTTAATTATGTGAAGTTTCATCACCATATGCATATAAATGTTATCCTTTTTACTTGATATTAGATTAATATTGATTCTTACTACTCATATTTTATTCTTGCCTCTAATAATTATCTGTAATTGAGTTAATTTATTACTTTTAATGTGTAATTTCTTACTAAAGAATTTAAAGACTACTTTTAATGGTATTCTACTAGATTTATATTTTATACTCAATCGAAAATAAACAAATTATAAAAGCTGCTGTAATAATAATATAATTCCATATGTCATCATATATATTAGCTATTGATAGGCATACTGATAAAGAAATTAGTTGAAAGGTGATAAGGATAGCATATTTATACTTTGATTATGAAAGGTGGTTCCATAAATTTAAGCAGACAACAAATGTTTATAAAATATAATCTTTAATTATATTTTTTTAAGAAAATAGGACTATAATCATATACAAAATATAGTAAGAGGTGTAAATGACTAACTGTATTGAAACGATTTTATTTTTTTTATCAACATTAATCTATTTATTTAAAAAATACAAAGAGGTAGCGAGAAAAAATAGTATTAAAGCTAGAACAAAATTAGCTATTAATACCTTCTATTGTAAAATTCCATCTATTTAGTAGAAAATTGACCCTAGTTATGAAAATAAAAACATTTATGAATTAAAAATACTCAATAAAACTAAAAATATGCTTCATTTATTTATTATAATATAAGTATAACAAAATTAACTGAAAATTTTATGTGGATAATTGTTATATAAGTACAAAGATTTAAATAAAATGGTAAAGAAATAATAAAATTAACATGATAATGAATGCATAGCAATTAAAATGATTCCAAACTATTCAATAATTATGTATACTGTCTTATTCATTTTTCTAAATTTATAAACTTATAAGAACCAATCAATCAATACTCTAAGCTTTAGTTTTAATTAGCTAATTAAATATATTAAAGTTTTGTAGAATAATTGCAATAATTATTACTGAAATAAAATCTAAAAACTAAAAAAATTCTTAAAATCAATCTACGATTTTAATCAAGTATACAATTCAGTTATTTTTGAAAAAACTAAATATTTGTTCTTCAATTTCTTATTATACTTATCACAAAATCCTAAATTAAAAAGTAAAAATAAAAAAAATTATTTTTCTTTCAATTTTTATTTTCGATAAAAAATTTGTAAAAGAAAAATTAAATTAAATCATGATTAAGGATTTCTTTAATTTTCTTTTTTTTGGTTAAATTAAAAATTTTATTTAATATTTGTAATGTAATTGATAAAAGGAACTTGAGAGTCTAAATAGGTATTCAGAATTATTTATTAATTGCATTTTAAATTAATATATTGAGTCATTAAAATTTAAAAAAGCTAGCTTATAAACATTTTTTGAAAAAGAAAGAATTCTGAAAGTAAAATGTAATTTTTTGTTGTTTTTTCTCATTAAATTATAAAAATTATTATTTTTACATATAATTTAATCACTAAAACATAAAAGTTAGTTATTAGAATCCATCAATAAATATAAAATAGTTTTCATTTTAAATTCCTTTTACAGTATCCAAGACAACTTTCAAATTCACCATAACATCTTTTCTGGATAAAAAGATTTTACTTGAGATTATGACAAGTATATAAATTTATGCAGTATTAATAGCATTCAGTTTCTTCAGATATTTATTATGTTGCTAATATGATTTTTAATACCAGTAATAATATTGTGAATAGCTTAGCAAATGCCCTCATTTGATGATAGCCTTTCTCTGTATTTTAAATTGTAATAATATTTTTACTTTTTCTTATTTAATAAATGAGTGAAATATTTGTAAATAATAAATGTTTTTAATAATTTTTTGATATAAAAATCTTTAAGATATAGATCGTAAATTACGAGCATATCAGATCACCTCAAAGATAAGATTTACTAAAAATAAATTTCTATTTAGAAAGCTTAAATTTCTTTGTCAATAAAATTCTCACATAAATTCTTTAAAATTAAAATATCTCTCACTAGTCTATAAATTCAATTTTAATGAAGAAGCACAATTCTAAATTGCATTCAGACTTTTATAATAAAATTTTGTGGACTTAATTTTTTAATCAATAAGAAAAATAGTTTGAAGCTAATTTACTATATTCTAAATTAATTAACTATTGATTAGATAGATAGATAATAAATAAGTTGAATACAAAAATATATCATGCCAACATTAATAAAATAGTTAACTTTTATTTTGGTTTTAATTAAGACTATTACATCTTTAGATTCTCCTTAATTTTGGAATCTAGCTCAGCTATAAGTTAATAATTAGCAATTTAACTTTTATTTTGGCTGGGATGTTGCATAAACCTTTGTATATTTTAGGATACAAGGATATAATTAAGGATGGATTGCATTAGGTAAATAATAATAATTCAAACAAAAAAATGAAAATATTTTTATAAATGTTTATTCTTTCCAAAAAAATTAGGATTTGGAAGCAACCTTTCACAAATGGACATGATTGTGCTTAGATTGAACTCTTTGCGTGTTGTAGCTGAAGATAGGTATTCAACTAATTCATTCAAATATAAAAAAACAAACATTTTTACATTATTAAAAACTAAAAATTTTTTTATTAAAAATAAAATCTTTTCTTTTAAAAAATTACATGAAAAAATAGAAAACTTTCAATTTTTGATTTTAAAACATTTTAGCAATAAAAAATATTTATTTAAAAGAATTTGTAATATTTATTATTATTTTATTTATATTATAATTTGTATCAAAAAAGGTTTAGCTTAAGCGATAGTTAAGTTCCAGATCTAAATACAAAAGTCAAAGACACATTTCTTATTAAGGGGGAAAGAAATGCAACTGGTTACTGGGATGCTACATTTAAGCGTAGAGTGACCTCAGTAGATCCTAAAAAAGTGATGCTTGATACATCTTAAAGATATATCACTATTTTATTAGGATAGAGTAATGATGAAGAGTTTACATAACTAAGTAGCTATAAATAGATATTTAAAATTTAATTTTCTCTAAATAAGATATGCCATTAAACATGTGCTACTAATTAATGTACAGGGCCAAGTAGTTAAGAATGCACTGGCTGTGATTACTTTAGGGTACTCTATTAGAATAGCTGTATTCTGAAATTACCCAAGATATTTAATTCAATAGATATTCCACCATCAAGTTTGATTTCTAATACAGTTTTTTCATTACAATATGGATATTCTACTGATAACAATTACATTTACTTTAAAGTCTAATAATAAAATACTTGGAATGTATGGATGGGGTTGATGTTTAACAATAGTAATACAGGCTATACTGATTTTTATGTAGCTTACTAGACTTCTTAATAATAGTTCTTAGTTAGTGATTACTTTATCGATCCTGTGGCAAATATTATTACAGAAGACGAAGTTATGGGAGATGGAAATAATGATGCCTTTATAACTGATTCATAATCCAACTATGTGGTTTTTGCAAGAAAAGTTAATACAGGAAGTCAGTATGATTTAACCCTAGATAGTACGACAATAACTGCTGCTAATTTTACTCTCTTAGTAGGCTCTAAAGATTTCTTTGAAAGTGAAATATAACCTTATTAAAACCAGCTAACTATAAAAATTAAAGTATTTATTTTAAATAATTTATTAGATTTTACTTAAATGAACTCTTCATAAATAAATTTAATTAATTTTTCAATTTAATAATGTATTCAGATATTTTAATTCTTTAACCCTTAAAATTGTTAAATATTTTAAATAAGCCTATAGGATGCGATTTATCTTGTTCGTCTTGCTACTTTGAATCTAAATAATGCAATGCTTGCGAAGATAAAACATTAAATCTTTATGGAAGTATTTCTTTATGCCCACCTACAATATCTACAATTCCTACTCCAACATCTAACAGCATATAATATATTTTAAGCAATAATTTAGACAGTATTTATTATTATTATCCAAATACCGTTACATTTTTATAATTGGATATCAATTTAAGGAAATTTAATCCTTAAACTACTTCATTAAGTATAATGAACCCAAGACTAAATAGTGATATAGATTATTCTGCTGTATCTCTAAATATGAATAATTAATAAGTAATTTTTTTGATGTGCGATAGTACTAGATCGGAGAAAATAACTAGTATTCAATACTTTTATGATTCTAAAAATTAACTTGTGAGAGATGCTAAAAATAATTAAAACATTTAAGGTAAATATTTATTATTTCTTAAAAATAATTATTTTTATTATAATTCATTAGTTATATCTGGTAAATGTGAAAACGGCGTTTTAAGTGCTCAAATAGCAGTAACTACATTAACTGTTAATTAATTTATATTAAGTTTGCATGTTGATTGCTATGATTTAAAGTAATTAGTACTTTACTCTTAAACAAGCTCATTTAGCTTAAATACACAGAATAATTCTTTATGTAATTAAGGATAGATTCTTTTTCCATCTCTCTGTAAATCTTGCAAATCTTAAGATACCCTAACATAATTACCATATTGTTGCACAAACTAAATTTATTCAATTCCATTATCAACATGTTAACCTATAAATATTTCATATTGGAACAAAGTAAATATTTTTGATAATTATTATAACAAATTTTTTTATTGAGAGAAAATTTAAAAATAATAGATTGATTTTAAATCTAATTTTGTGAAAGTAAGTTATAGCTTAAATGGTTCTATCATTTATTTTAAATATACTATACTTACAAAACAAACCGATGGAGCTTTTGGTTGTGGATTTAATAAAAATTCAGTAAACACTGGTAAATTTAAAATTAAATTTCAGAAAAGCCTCAATTCAGTTAACTTATAAATACAGATATGATGATCTTTCGTTTTAAAACTCTTGATGTCTAAGATTATTTTTCTTATGGTGAGGTTATTCCAGAATTAGATTAAATCTAAAATTTATTGTAATTATTTTAAAAATGTACTTTATTTTAAAATAAAAATTTTAAAATAAAGTCAAATAAGTGTAACGTAATTGACTGGCTAACAAGGATTTGAGGTTGTTTTTGCTAGAAACTTGGGTTTAGATTCTTCTGGTTCATCATAAGATGCAGATTTAACAAACTATTCAGGACCCATGATATGCTACTTAGGATCAACTCCAGATCTCTCTCCTAACAATAGATAAATGTTCTATAACCCGTAGGTCGTATTTTAATCAAGTTAAATCTGTGACTCTTCATGCTAAACGTAATTGATTTGATTTTTTATCACTTTTTAAAAATTAAATAATATAGTTGCGGATTAATAAATTCAAAAACTCCTGCTTGCACTTAATCCTATTGTATATAAGGATATTAACCTAAAGATATGGTATGTTAAACTTGTAAGAGTGGATATTAGTCTCCAGATCCTTCTTCTGATGTATGTTTACCTACATGCCATAATAATTAATGTACTTTTTATTTTATATTTACATTTTTGAATAAATTTCTTCAATAATAAATAAATAAAAGGTACCTAATGTTAAACACCATAAATTTGTTTATGTAATAATGGGTATTTCTTATATTATGGTGACTGTTTACCGATTATTCCAGAATTGGTTTACATCAATAACTTTTAGATTTCATTCAATAATTTAGGATTCTCACTTCTATATGGATTTGATTCATCTAAAAAGTATGTTTACTTAAATGTTTAAGGATCAAATTAAGGGTAATTATAATATATCTATCCATTTTTTTCACTTCAATATTCTTAATTTTTATAATGAAAAGATATATTGCATTGGGTTTTGGTAGCCATTCTACTTTTATGGACATAATAATGATTCAAAATTCTATTTCAAACAATACTTTAGTTACAGATATGTTTTCATAGGGTTAAATATTTTCTGTAAGAAATTCAATTCATTTAAATTAATATTAATCTAATTTTAAATAAATTTTTAAATAGTAATAAGACACTCAAACTAATGTAGCTTATCTTTCAGGTGGATACAATAACGGTTTCTGGAATATAACTGTTTTAAGACCAATTATTTCAACTGATTCACAAGATCTTAACATCAGCCTAACAACAGATAACTAAGTTTCTTTAGTACTTGGTTCTGATTAATCTATTGGATACCATAAAGCAAGCCAAACTATTAAATCTTAATTCTACTACGCAAAAGCCTAAGGAGGATAAGTAAATTATACTAACACATACATTCCAGATAGTGCTTAAGTATACAACAAGATAGAATTACCCTCATTTAACACAAGTCTCTATTATGGGTTTGATAAAAATGCACAATTTATCTATTTCAAACTTGTAGGAATGCTTCATTAAAAGTAAAGAATTAATGATAATTTAAAAAATTAATGAATGAATCTAAAAAAATAGTTGGTTTGGAATCGGATTTGGAAATTCAATGACAAGTACAGATATGATTATAACAAGATTTGCAAAATGTAAAAAAATTATTAAAAATGAAAATTAATTTAGTAAATTAAATCAAATCAATTTTTCTATTTAGAGAGTGCACAGGGTAGCGTGTAAGGTTTTGTTGTTGATGACAGGTACTAAATTTTTATTTAGTTAGATATGCAGTTTTTATATTTCCTTATTTTTATTTAGATTTTCAGATGGCTAAAGTATGCCTGGATTAGATATTTAGTAGGATGTTGTCATGATTAGAAGTACAAATATTTCTTAACTCTCTTCTTCTACAAATAGCACTGTTGAATTTGTAAGGAAACTTATTACTACTGATCCTTACTCAGAAGATTATAGCATTGTTTATAATACAAATACAAACTAAACTAATCCTATTGATTTGATATTTGCCTAGGGCATAGATTCAGACTTCACATAAGCAGGTCATACGTCTCATTTGCTTATGAGAGGCGTAATCTTGAATGGTAATTTAGATTGTTCTAAATGCCCTACATAGAAATGTACTGGGCCTGAAGTTAAAGATTGCACTAACTCAACTGTAAATTTCATTTAATAATTATTTAAATTAATTTCAAATGTAAATTTTAATAGGATGTGAGCATTTCTGTTTATTCAAAATTATTAGAAATTGTAATTGCTTTCTTAGTACTTAGTTTGCTATTATGAAAAAATTATAAATAAAACTATTTTTTTATAAATTTAAATTTATAATTATATATTAGTTATTGTCCTCAAAATATGATTATAATTATTAAATATAAATAAATATGTTTGTTTATGATTTGTTTTTTTAATCTTTATATTATCATTTAATTATTTTTTTCTTTTTTCTACATCAATTTTTAGAGCATCTACAAAGAATTTTTATAAAATGAAATCATTGAAAATAATTAATTATTTCAGAATTCAAAAGAACGTTTTAGGCTTTCAAAACAAACTTCTATATGTTTTTAAGGTTGTAATAATTATAATTATATATGAATTACTTAAAGCTATAGATTTTGTTATCATATAAATCATAATTATAAAAAAATGGAAGAAGTCAAAAATGTAAATGATGCTGACGATATAAAAATGATAGATAAAGATGTCTTAGATTATATCGTAAATAAAAAATCTTTAAAAAGTAATTATTTTGCTGATAAAGAAATCATTCCTAAAGTGCCTTAAGCTAAATTGGTAGAATATGTAGTAAGAGCCTAAAAGGAAAATAAAAAACTTTTGATTATACATACATAAGGAGCATATAATCCTCCTCATATAGGACATATTAATATGATACTTGATGCTAAGGACGCTGTTGAAAAAAGTGAAGGTTATATCTTACTAGCTGCTTACATGTCACCTTCTCCAGATACACATATCGATAAGAAAAAGTAGCAATCTTTAAGTAAAGGAGAGGAATACTTACATTTAAGCTTTGACGAAAGATGTTTCTTAATTGAGAGAATGATATCTAATTTAGGATATTAAGACTGGATTTTTGTTAATAGATATGAAGGAGTTCATGAAAAGGTATCAGTCACAAAAACTTGGATAAATATGCAAGAATTTGCTTAATAAATGATTTAAGAAATTAAAGAAATATTAAAATTAAATGATGTTAATTTGGCTAGTTTAAACAAATTAGTCGAAGTTGCCTTTTTGGTTGGTAGTGATAAATTAAATTATAAAAGTAAAACAATGGATGAATTTAGCAAGGAAGTAAAAGTAGATAAAAATAATCTACACCTGCCTATTATAATAAAGCAAAGAGCAGAGTTGAATAATGAAAAAGCACAAGCCAAAATGTCAGAATATATTAAATACAAAAAGGAAGAGTAAATCAAAAATAAAGTTTTTGTGTGTACAGACAGAGAAAATTTTTCTTCAACACAATTTAGAGAGTATATTAAAAAATTTTAATTGAAAGAAAGTGTTTGAGCAAATTAATTTATTTGTTAAAATTTAAGCTTTAATTAAATCCTTAAATATTTTAATATTTAATCTTCTTAGCATTTTTATTTATTAATCAATAAATAAATAAAAGATTAATTTTATTTTTTAATTTGTGATTGATTCATTTATAATCTTCTGTATGATTGTTAAATTTTAGTATTATTTCTTATTCAGATTTTTTATTTTTAAGCAAAATTAAATTGAAACAAAAGAACATAAAATAAAAACTAGAAATTGATTTTATCATTTTTAGATTTATAAAATTTGACTTATAAAATATCTTTTAAATTATTTAAAATTTTTGTTTGATTTTATTATTGATAGACAAGATGAACTTGATGTTTTATTAGGTTGATTGTGATTCATTTTTATTTTGTTATTTTTTTAATTTTTGTTCAAAAAAATATTTATTTATTCTCTGCTTGATTGATTTGTTAAATTTTAGTATTATTTCTTATTTTGATTTTTTCTTTCGTTTTTTAGCTAAAATAGATTGAAACAAGAGCATCGTAAATAGATAGAAATACATTTTATCAAATAAGATAGATAAATAGATATACACAATTTAAATAAATTAAATATTTCATTTAATATTATTTAGAATTTTTATTTAATTTTATTATAATAGAATGATAGTATGATGAATTTGTTTTTTTACTATTTTATGAAATACTTTTATTATTTAATACTTCAAAAATTTAATTCATTAAACTCGCTTTAAGTTTATAATTAATTTTTATTTATTTGTTTGTTTGTTTCTGCTAAGTAAATAGTTAGTTTATTTTAGGTTGGATATAAAATGGCTTTATTAAATCTACTAATAGGTATTTGTTATCCTCTAAAGGAAAACAATAACAACCAAATGAATCATTAAATTAGAGTCGTCTTTTTATTTATAATTCAATATATACTTGATTATGTCTTCCCATAAATTTATTGATTTATTTTTTCTTCACACACAGCTACACAAAGAGACTAAAATACATTTAAAATCGATTCTTTTATTTATTCGCAATCTGTTTCATAATCATTATCTTATTCAAGATCTATCGTGTCTCTGTGTTATTTATCAAAGCCTAGATCTTTATCTCGAAAGCAATTAAAAGAATATATTTTATTTTTAGATGTTTCAAATTTGACTTTGAAACCTGGTACACATCTCTTAGGAGACTATGAGTATTTTTTCTTTTTATCCCTTTTTAACTTTTGAATGAACATAGCTCTCTCGGTTTACAAATCTAAAGCCTCTTCGTGCCACATGCTAGTACTTTAATGCAGTCCTGAGAAAGGGTTTAAATTACTATTTTTAGAAATATTGCTATCTCCAGCCGACAATTATGAACTATATGATATATTACTTGACATTTGTTAATTTTCTTTATCATAATAAGCACTTTCTCTACTTTATTCAGATATTTTACTGCTCACTTAATCATAATTTTCAGATATTTTGCTATTCTATTCAGATTTTTTAAGCTAATTACCTCTTTAATAAAACTTCGATCTTTCTCTCATTGAATATACTTAAGTTTTTTTTTAAGGCTAAGAATTTTTACTTTTGCTGATACTTTTTTGAGTAGACACCTTTTTGTCTTTGCAACTCTTTTCAACATTTTATTTATTTTTGTTTTGTTAGTTTTAATTCTAAGATTATCTTGTGATATCCTTTAAAACAAATTCTCCTTCGGCTTCACTTGTAATAGAATTCTTTCTTTTTCTTTTACATGTTGCATTCTTTTTATTCTTTTCTTTATCTATTTTTTTTGTTTTATGTATATCTTTATATTTATTACTTTTTTCTTTTTTAACCTAGGACCTTAACATGTAAGTGGCATCTTCTGTGCCCAATAATTTTTTAATAGAGTTTTATTTACTATTTTTCACATTTTTAAAATCATGCTAATTGGTGACCTAATTTAATTTAGTATAGGATGGAACATTTATACGAGCGCAACTATGATATTATTTATTTGACTGAATCTTATTTTATGTAGACTACAGTCTAGGAGTGCTGCTGTATGAGGTATTTCCAAAAGCTTTTTACTCTCTCCTTTTCATTAATGTTAAGTACATTCCTTTAGATAACGTTACATTTCCTACCATTGTCAAAGGAAGCTTAATATTAGGTGTCATATTATTAATGCCTTGGTTATTGTTACTAAAATTATTACTGCTACTATTTCTCACATCATCTTTTTACAGGACAATAACATTTTCTTATAATTTTTGAAATGTACCTGGGGATTATTTTTATTTAAAATGTGGCTTAACCTATTCACAATTGCTTATAATCTAATCTTCCTGCATATTCTTTATTATAAACCCCTCTGCCAATACTCTTTGTATTAATTAATAAAAATCAATAAGAAATTAGTATTCCTTTAATATTATAATAATGTTAATTGATATTTCTTTAAAATCTAAAAGATATTTATATAGATTTATTGTTAATCCTTTATTTTATTTGTTTATTTACTAATAAATAAATAAATAAATCACTAAAGCTTTTACATTCATTCATTAATTTTAATTAGGAATAGTTTGTTTGTATTTCTTTATTATTGCTTTTTGCCATAAATTTATCATATAGTAGTTAGAGATGCATCTCATTTCATATTTCTATTTATGTTTCATAATTCTTCAAACCAGTCCAATGAAAATATAATATTGACTTAGATATTTATATTTTTGAAATCAAATTTTGTATTTTAAAATATTGCCGCTTTTTAACTACTAAGTTTGTTTAGTTTATAAAATAAAAAACTATTATTTTTATTTTTAAAATACAAATTTAATTTTTAAAATAATTTTGAAATAATTGATAAAAATATAATATTTTTTTATAAATTAACTTATTATCCTAAATATTTTATTTTATTTAAAAATTTAAAATGCAAAATTATTTTTAAAAAAACTTAAAAATAACATTAAACAAGTATTATTGGTTTACATATATATTTTTATCAATTATTACTTCCTAAAGGTAAATTAGAAAGCTTTATTTATTATCTTTCAATCTTTACAGTGTTATTTTTAAAGTGCTTTAAAGTTGAGTAAAGCTAATTATGCTTAAAATTTATTTATTCAGTAAAAGTTTATCCGTAGCCAGTTTTATTTGGACAAGGCTAAGGCTAATTTAAATTGATGCTTACTATTTCGAGAGAAGGTTACATGATATCACTTTATTCAATTTGCTTACTATCACTTGCAAAAATATTATATTTTCTATTCATATACACTTTTTTATTATTATCAACTTTTTTTTAATAGTCATCAAGCTGATCTAAGTCTAATGACTGGTTTAGCTTATTAGGTGTAAAAGAATAATTCTTATTAGCTTATCCTCTTTCTTTGGATATTCTACTTTCAGAAGTTCTTAATAAACTAAAAGTTTTATTTAAATCTCTTTTTGTATCAATTGTAGCTGCATTTTTTAAATAAGAGTTTACTTTCGTGAAAGGGTACTTTTTTAAATAAAAAGTTCCTTCAAAATTATTATCATCATTTATAGTCTATTTAACTCTTGATATATCATTCTATAAAGGCTGTTAATTAAAATAATTTGCTTATGATTTATTAAAAGATTGCAAATCAGAGTGTGTTTAGTTTAAAATCTTGCTATCTTTATATTGGCTTTGATTAAAATCAATACTTTGACTAAATTTATTGAAGTCTTAAAACTTATACACATTTTCGTCTCTTTTTTAGCTTAAACTAGTGTATGCTCTTGAAGTAATATTCTTCTTTTTCAAGCCACTAATTTGAAGAAACCAAAAAAAATTTAATTTAATAAAAGTGAAAAAAAAATTACTTACTTGTAAATAGCTTAGTTTTTAAATAGGTTATGGTCATGTGTATTTTTGTTAGTTTTAAAAACTGGTGATCCATCTAATTGTTTTTCTTATGATGGTTCTTTGACTGGAAAGTACTGTTAAGTTTACGTTATCAAAAGTAAATCCTCATATTTTAACTTAAGTGTATTGTATCTTTTGTTCGATAAATCCTTGAAATTTGAAAATTCTTCTTGTATTTTATTTACAAAGACTGATTATTCTATACAAATTTTGTTTAGCTAATCTTCATATTAATTTTTTATAACTTATTTAATTTCTTTAAGCTCACTGCTTTATAAATTATTCTACACATTTAATTACTCTTAATATTCTATCTAAAGAATTTACAATTACTTAGATAAATCTTTTTCTCTTCTTAATGTAGATAAATATTTTTCTTTTTCAACTTTATACAAATAATCTATTTCTGCAAGTTTTTAATCAGCTGTTTTTTTTTATTTTATACCTTGTAAATTCTATTCTTCCACTTAATGTTTAAGCTTCAACGATTCTTCTTCTAGTTCTTTAATTTTTTTAGATAGTTAGTCTACTTAAAATGTTTATTTTTTTAAATCTATCGTCAATTCAAGATTTAACTATTTCTATAACAAACATTGGCCTTCAAGCATAGAAGACTTTTAAAGCTCTTCCTTTAAAATAATATCATAAGAATTTGAATTATCTGATATTAAGGATTCCTAAAGTTTAGAATGGTGTTTTTTAGAGTCTTATAACAAGTTTTCATAATGTTATTTTTATTGTTACTCGCTTGCCTTTTATTATTTATCTAATTCCTCATATAACTGCTTAAAAGAGTTTTCATAAAATTATTTAAGCTAAGCTACATTTTAATGATGTTCTTCATAAAGCTCACTCTCTCTTTATTTAACAGCTTTCGCTACAATTAATCGAACATCATAATTTTATTCATAATCAAATTATGTTTAAGACTAATTTGATTTATTATTATTATTTTTAATTTATTCCCTTGAATTTTTAGCTGTCAATTCATTTAAGTTTTATTCTTTTAAATTTAAATAAAATTAAAAAATAATTTTTTAGATATAAACTTACTTTGAAATTCTTGTTTAAATTTTTGAATTTATTAGTCAAGCTTATCATCTAATTCTCTCCTCATTTTATCTACTTCTCTTTAGCTCTGTTGTTTTATAGATTTAGCTTCAAACTCAAAATTCATTTTCTACTAAAAGAATTCTTTATCAAATTTTTTCTGTTTATCTATGAATTCAGATATTTAACTTTCTTTTTCATCTATAATTTTTCTTTGCTGCTCTATTTTTAAAGTTAAACCTTTTATCTTGATCTGATTTTCCTCATTTTCTTAAAACCATTTCTAGTATTTTTACTGGGAATTATATATATTTTTTTCTAGCTAACTTATTTCTTTGTCATAATTTTCTATTTTCTGCTTCAATAAATTATTTTCTTATTTGTAAAAGTTATTTTATTCAGTGAGCTACTCTATCTTTTATAGACAAAATATATATTTTAGTTACTTCACTTTTTCTTTTAATTCAATTTAATCAAAAATATTTACTTTACTTTTTCTTCTTAAGAGCTAATCTACTTGAGCATGTCTAAGCTAGTTGTTTCTTATATTTGCTGGTATGAAAGATAACTTTCTTTTTCAGTAAATGCTTGTTCTTGCTGCCTACAAAATCAAATTGATATTTTAATTTTTTTAAAAATTTAATATAAAAGGCATTTTACTATATTTTTGATAACAAACTAGAGTAGAGACTTTAATATTTATTTGCTTTATCATTCAGTTATTCTTTTATAGCTTTAATATTTTCTTCGTAAGCCAACTTTTCAGATTTAATCTAATTTTCATGTTGATAAATTAAATTTTTTTTTTGTTGTTTCATATACTCTAAAGAGTCTTCATATATCTTTGCTTGTCTAGATTTCTATTCGTTTGTATGTTAAAGCTCTTTTATAAGTTCTTAATTTTCTCTTTTGAGTGCTATTTGCTCTTTGTTTAAGTTTGCTAAAAATGATTCAAGATTTATTACTTTTTAGTCTTAGCTAGTAATAATCTAGTCAATATTCGATATAACTGAAAGATACCTTTAATGAAACTATTCTATTTATTAATTTTTTTTAATGATTATTTCCTAGCAGTTTTTTTCAATCTTCTGAGATACCTACTCCGATTCTCTTTTTACTTCTTCGATTTCTTATATATAAAATGCATTATCTTCTTCCAAATATAAAATCTTTTATTAATATTCTAGGATTTCCATATTCTATCTTTAAAGTTTTTTTTCAAGTAACTCACACTATTGCTTATATTAATTCAAATTTAACTACAGAATTTCTTTTTCTGTTTAAAAAGATCTCATCTAAGTTTCTAAATCATGATAGAGCTCCCAAATTACTTAGTGATTTTATGAGTAAATGCTTTTTTCCATCAACTCTTCAATACTAAAAAGCTTTTTAAATCTAAATAATTCTCCCATATATACTTCTCTTGGTATATAATTTTTGATAGCCATAACAAAATTCTTGACTTCTAGAAACAAAGTAGTAATTTCGTTAATCCTTTCTATCCAATATTTCGTTTTTTCTTGACAGATTTAACTAAATTCTTATTCTCTCTTTATGATTTAATTTAAAATATCATTCCATTTTTATTCGTAAAGGACCTCTCTTTCTTATTCCTTCTTGCTTAAAAAATTAATGTCTAAACTCAGACGATCTATTTCTCTTTATTTCTCTCCTAATTTAAGCTAGTGACTGCTAACTTATTCTTACAGAAATTAAGTTTTTAATTCTAATTCATTATTAAATGAATAAACAATTTATTATGAGACATCACTTAAGTATGTAGGAACCAATTTTGTCAAAAGTATGTGCTAAACTTATTCAGACCAATCTTTAGATTTAAAGTCTTCATTTTTTTACAAATTTTCTAAATTTTATGATGATTTATATTTTTTTTGTATATTTTCAATAGATTGCAAAAGACTTTCATCATAAACATCAAAATTTTTTTAGAAAGTTAATTCTTAACTAGCTTATTGTAATTTAGCAGTATCTAAATCTACTTAGTTTATTTTTTGAATACTTTTTTGCATATAATATTTCTGATTTTAAAAACTATTTATGTTGTTTATCCTACTTTATTAACAACTAAAAAAATATGTTATTAAAGTAATTAAATATTATGTTTGATAAGACTTGAATAATATTAATAAGTTTACTTTGCTATTAAATTAAATAAGTAAAAAAAGATAGATAGATTCATATTAAAATTATCTTTGAAAGATAAATCATTCTTTTAAAATTTACTAAAATAGGTAAAATATAATTTAATGATTTTTATAAAATTTAATATTTAAAAATTAAAATTTATTTTATTGATAAAATTTGTAAATACCTTTGTAGAATTATATACTTAGCTTAAATATATTTAGAAATATCAAAAAAAGTATATCAAAGTTTCTTCAAAAGGGAATATACCTCTAATAGTTTTTCACCAAGCTTTAAATTAATTATTTAGTTTTTTACATTTTTAGTAACCATCTACTTTTATATACATTAAAAAATTAAATTGTAAAAAAATTTTTAGCTATAAAAAGCAAATACTTTGAAATAAAATCATAGTGTATAAACAAATAGTAACACCAAAATTAAATATTTATTCATTTTATTTGTTTATTTAAGTTTTTATATAATTTTTATGAAATTTTTAAACTAGTTTTTGCTCTTCTTAATAATTGAATTCATTTTTTTAGCTACCTTTATTAGTTTAATCTAAAAAAATATTATTATATAAATAAGCATTACTAATATTTAATATCATAAAATTAATATTGTGAATTTAATTTTTCAATTAAATCTTAAACACGAATTCTATACCACATATTTTAGATTATTATAAATATGAAATATAAAATATAAATCAATGCTCCAAACCACCAATAGTTTACAATTATAAAATAAAAAAGAAAGTATCTTTGATAATATTGAAAATCGTATTTTGATTTTGAATTAATCTCTATAAAAATAGATTTAACAAAGGGATTTACATCTACACCAAAATTTTTATATTTAATTTAATATATATTGATAATTAATTTAGAAGCAAATAAGATAAAATAAGAGTAAAGAAAGGTTGTAATATAAATTAAATTCATTTTTGATTAAAATAGAAGTAGAATACATCCTATTAAGTGTCTATCAGTATGAGAATTTATACACATCTTTGTGTTCTATTTATAGTTCTCTACACAAATTATTAAAGAGCAGTTTTAGCTTAAAACACAAGAGACCCTTCTATAAAATACAAAATATTAACTAATACAAAGTATGTAAATAGAATAGATCTAACAAACAGTGGTTTCTCTCTTTTTTATGGCATATCTAAAACAAATCCTTCTTAATTATACTTTTACTTTTTAAGTACACCACCAGTAACCAATATATCACAATTAGAATTGAGTAATAATTTTAAATTAGTTGCAATTATAAAAATTACTTATAATATAATTAAGTTTTTGGAAGTACAACTCAAAGTGTATATTCAATGGTTTTTCAAGTAAGTAAACCACTTGCCACCTATGTTTGCAATGTTTTAGATTAGTAATTCTTATTTTATACATTTTTTTTTTTAATATTTAATATATTAAATTCTTAAAAGATTTTATACTAACGGAACACCTTCTGGAGCCACACCTGTAACTACTAATGTTTAATGTGATGATCCAGGTCAACCAAATAATATGAATACAAATTACTGGGATTATTTTAACCAGTACACTAGGTTAATTAATCCCGCTAATGGCTTTTAAATTGTTCTTAACTAACCTATGAATATTCAATTTATTGTGAGTTCAGGAGGTATATATATATCTTTCTAATAGATAATAAAATCAAAAGAAAAACTTTTAAAAAAATAATTAATTAGGAGGTACTTAGAGATTTACATATACTATTACTTTGTACAGTTAAAAATACTGTCATGGTATATGTGCCGCAGGGTAATGTGATGGTCCTAATTATAATGATTGCTTAAGCTGTGCAGACCCTTAAATGGTAAATTTAAAATAAAGAAATAATTTTGAACAAATTAATATTTTTACAGGTCTCTGTTCATAACTACTGTGTCTATAGAGATCCCGACTATCTTCCTTAGCCAGCAACTCCTCCATCACAACAATCTTAATGGAATAAATTTGAATACATGAATGACAAATTTAATGCCTCAATATACTATGGATTTAGAAAATAAAACACATTTAACTACTGTTATTTTAGAATTGTTGTTAATTAAAGTATGATAACTTCAACTCCTGGTTAAACTCCTTCGTATCTCAAAAATATGGAAATTTATATTATTAAATACTTTTTTATTATAATTAAGTTGGATAGGTTTTTCTTTTTAAAATACTCACAAAAGTGGCACTGCTCCATTTAATGATATGGTAATAATTACTTATCTAAGTGGATATTCTGCAACAGCAACTCGTATTATTTAAAAAAAATAATTAAAATAATAATATTAATTTCTATTTTAATTTATTAGCTGATGTAACAGATTATCATTCTGAATCCCCTCTGACTTTCCCTTTGACACCTCCACCAGGTAATGCAGCTTATTATCCTGTAAAAGATACTGCACAAAATTATGTATATGCAAGAGGTGGGTATGATGGTTCGTCTAAATGGGATGTGAGTGTAGTAAGAATGTGTGATTTAGAAGATCTTAAAAATACTGCTTACTTTGATTAAGGAGCTTTTGCTGCTTATTATGATTTAAATAATGATGTTAAAACTTTAGTATAATGTAATTTTTTTAATGCTGGCCCATGTTTACCCTTACCTCAAACTCCTACATCATATTCTTTTTCTATGGTTGTTGGTCTTCTTCCTTGGGATAGTGCAAATATGATGAACAATAAGCATTATTAAAAAATATCTTAATTAACATATCCTATAACAACTCCAGCAAGTAGCTCACTAGTAAATACAAAAGTAATTTATCAATCATTTAAAAAATATATTTCTCAAATATTTAATTTAATCTAAAAGTTTTGTCCTAACTGCTCTAATTAGTAACTAGATTGTTTAGGTCCTGAATAATAAGACTGTACAACATGTGCTATAGGTTACTAATTTGATCCACATTATCCTATAAGCGGACCTGGTATATGCATTAAAAAAATTATTCCTTGTCATTCAGACTGTGCTTAGTGCCTTACATCATATAATGATGGCTGTACTTCTTGTACAGACTCCACAAAAGTAAATTTTTAATTTACAAATATCGAAAGATAAAATAAATAAATTTTTTTAGTTTTTATATTACTCTCCTCTTTTAGGTGGTAGATGCATAACATCTAATACTCTATTTTGGAATAAAGTAGATTTAGGAACAACAGATCTTTCTTTTTATTATGGTACTTAGTTTCATTTATCTATCTATTTATTTAATAAAAATTTTTTTTAACTTAATTTTTGGGTAAAATAGGTTGGGACTCTAGCTTTGAGTTTATCTACTTTAAATTTGTGGGTACTATTCAAGGATGGGTAGGTGTTCTTTTTAGTACAACTAATAGTGGAGCATTTACACGTATTTATTATAAAAATTTTTCTCTTGATTTTCTGAAATTGTAAAAAATAATTAAATTTTTTCAATAGCATCAAAAGATACCTTCCAATTTTCTAAGCCAGGCATTTCACCTACAAGTATTCCAGTTAAGGATGCTAGCTGTTCAAGTATTTAATTTTCTTTGTTTTATATTCTAAAACTATTTTATAAAAAAGATGGGTCTGATTGTTTCAAAGGTAATGCAAATTCTCCTACTGATAGTATTTAGCTTGTTTAAACAATACCTTCATCAATATGGACTAATACAAATTTAAACGCTATTATGTCTAGATAAGCTATTCGTATAACATTAATTCAAGTTAACTTATTATATATTCAATTAAATTCATATAATAAAAGCTTCTGTAGTAGGTAGTAGTGACTAAGTGATAGATGATAACTATAAAGGTGTAATTATTTATTATGACACAACATCTACAGATCCCACTATTTAGTCTGGTGCAACGTTTAAAACTGTTGCTCTACCAACTTAATAATTCCTTAAAACATAAGTATGTGCTCCTAATTGTATTACATGTTCAGGTCCTGAAATTACAGACTGTCTCAGTTGTGCAACTGGATATGCTCTTGCTGGGTATTTTTACTTCAATCTAAAAAAAAAAAATTAATTATTTTTATTTTAACAGGTCAGCTCCAAATTAATGTGTAAGTGTTAAAACAACTGGTTGTAATCCTCCATGCGCTACTTGCCAAACATCTAATATTAATAAGTGTATAACTTGTTTAAGTACTATCAAAGTTGTTTATGGTGGTAGCTGTATTTCTTCATATCCTTTGTATTGGAATAAGATTTACTTTAACCAAGCAAATTTTACTGTTTACTATGGTTTTGATTCAAGCTAAACTAACATTTACTTTAGAATTACTGGTCAAAATAATGGTAATATATTTTATAAAATAATTAATCACATAAAAGTTTGATTTAAAACATTAAAGGTTGGATAGGATTTGGGTTCATGGACAGAAACTTAGCATAAAGCAAACATTTAAAAAGTAACAAATAGATAAATAAATTAAAGTGAAGGATAATATCTAATAATTATTATTAATTAATAATAGCTGATATGTGGACATTCAGATAAAGTAATGGTAATATTCTTATAGAAGATAGAGCATCTTTCTCTTAAGCACAACCTAGTAAACAATTTTATATTTGTGTTCTCAACAATCATAATATTTATATATTCATAAATTTAATATTAGTGTTGGATACTAATATTGGTGGTAAAAACGATTTACAATACATTTAAGGAGGAAGAGATTCATTAGGTTATTGGGATATTTACTTCGTTAGAGCTTGCAATACAGGTATTGAATGCATAAATAAATAATAAATTACACTAAAAAAATATATTTATTAATTTATTTGAATTAATAGGAGATTCGACATAAGGTTTAGATTTTACCTTCTAGCCAAACATTTATTTTTATTTGTCTTTTGCTTATGGCCCTAGTGATATTTTAACTGGTCACTCTTAATATTTTACAATTACTACTATCTTAAAGACTACATAGATATGTGATTAGACATGTTAGTCATGCACAGGTTAGTTAAAAAGATAATTTATTTTTTTGTAAGTTTATTCAATAATTAAAATAGGCCCAGAGCTTTATTAATGCACAAGTTGTTAATCAGGGTTTTTACTTTCAGCTTCTTCTCCTTCTCCTTGTGTACTTAATTAATAACCCTGCTATTAGACATGCCAGACTTGCACAGGTCCAACTGCCTCTAATTGCATAACATGTGCCAACAATTAGTATTTATAAGCAGGAGGACTCTGTGTTCCATAGTCTCCTACTTTTTGGAATAAGATACCAATTACTGGAACTAATCTTTATCTTTATTATGGTTATGATACAGCATTATAAAATATATATTTTAGACTAAAAGGAACTGGCCCTAGTGGGTAAATTAACATTCATAATTTTTAAATGCAATTAATTTAATAATAACTTTATATCATATTTAGTTGGCTAGGTATGGCGTTTTAAAAAGTAAAATAGCAGATGGATATGATTGTCTTGAGAATGGTTAATGGAAACACTATAATTGAAGATAAATTTTCATAATATCACAATTATCTTCCTAGCGATGACATAGGATAAGGTGGCTCAAAAGATTACTATTACATCACTGGTGGAAGATCAGGGGCAAATACTTGGGATGTAACATTTATGAGAGTGGTTGCAGACTAAGATACTAAATTTGATGCTATTATTGATTCTAGAGCATACTCTTTAAGCTTTGCATATGGAGCATCTGATACATTTGATGCTCATACTGCAGTTTACAGCATAGATAATGTATATTTTCTTACAAAATAAGTATGTGATAGTTCATGTTTGACTTGCTAAGGACCTGAAACAACTGATTGTTTATCTTGCCCTTCTGGTTTGAAATAATTTGTTATCTTATTCTTTTATTAATCAACTCATTAAAATTAAAGGTACAATTTTATCAGGAAATGCTCCAAGTATTTGTATTAATCCTGGAACAAACTGTGATCCAAGCTGTGCAACTTGCTCAGGTCCCGGCCAGTCTAATTGCTTAACTTGTTCATCAGTGAATAAAATTTCTTACTTTGGTACTTGTATAAATTCCACTCCTTCAGTATGGAATAGAGTAGATGTCAACTCAAATTTTGTTTTTTATTATGGTATAAAAATTTATAACTCTAGAAATAATCTAATTATTTTAAAATATAATCATAAAGGATATGATGCAGGTGGTAGTTATATATACTTTAGAGCTGTGGGAACTTCACCAGGGTAAATATTTTATTAAATAATTTTAGTTATAATTTATTTTACTCTATTCAGATGGTTTGGAGTAGGTTTTAATGGTAGTATGCTTAATACTGACATGCACATTGTAAGAATACCTTCAACAATAGTTTAAGTAGAAGACCGTTATTCACTAGGTATCTAAGATTATTTTAATAAATTACTTATATTATATTCTAAATAGGTCATGTATAACCTCTTTTAGATCTTTCTCAAAATCTAGTGACTATTAAAGGAACATTAGCTGGATCTAATTTAGATTGTACTTGGGTCAGATCAGCTATTTCGCCAGATACTACTTACGACATACCTTTGAATTTTAATTCACAAATAAATCTCATTTTTGCATTCGGAGCAACTTAAGTTTTTAATAAGCATACTTCTGTTTATACAGTAAATGGAGTTACTCTTTCTAGATAACAACAATGTTCTACTGGATGTTTGAAATGTACAGGTCCTGATCCATAAAACTGTAGTCTTTTTAATAACTCTACTACAACTAACAACACTAACTCAGTTATATGGAACTATAGCAGTATCGTAAGCTGTCTCTTTAGCTTATATATGATAATAATATTATTATTTTGAAAAATTTATAAAAAAAAGAAAATAATTATATGTTAATAACTAACTAGCTTTATATATCAATTATATCTTATAAAACATTAAAACTAAAAAAATTTTTTATTTTATTAATTTCTAGTAATAATCTAAAACTAATATGAAAATTTTTTTTATTTGACAGGATTTATAATTAAAAAAATATTTTGCTTTATAATTTATTTTTAATGCTGGGATTACAAAAAAAATGCAGGATTAGAGTATAATAAACAATATTAATGTATTAATTTATTAAAATCTAATTTCTTTTTCTTAAAAATTTTTATATATTTAAAAAATAAGTTTAGCAAATTAAATTTAAATTTTTATTTTTTGTTCATTTGATTTGAAGATATGTTAATTTACATAACTTTAAAATGAGTAAATTATAAAATCAACTTTTAAATTAAAAAAATGATTGGAAATTTGTTTTGTAATTAAATTTGAACATTTATTTAGTTTTATTGAATTTAAAAATAATTTTAAAAAATTAATTAATTTATTTTAAATCTAAAAATATAAATATTTATTTTATATTTTTGAACTATGTAAGTAAGAATCATGCTTTTTAACAATATAATAAATTTCAAACATATTATTATGCGCGTATATTGTAAATAGGATTTATTAGTATTAAATTGTTAATAGCGGGATTATAATCCAAATTCAAAATTTTAAAGTTCAAGTCAATACAAAAGTTAATTTAGAATTTTATAATAAACATAATTATTATCAACACAAGCAAAACAAATTTTAAAATGAAAAAGCTTAACTATCAAAAGAAAGAAAGTTAAAATTTACCCATAAATCCTGAATACCCTATTATTATTGTTCCAACAAATATAGAGCCAGCATTAATTGCTACTAATTTGACAGAACAGTATGCAGAATTATAAAAAAAGGAAGAAATAAGAAAAAAAAGGGAAGAAATTGCTAAATAGCCCAACAAGTTTTAAAGAAAGGATTTTGTTGTTTAGAAAAAAAAAATAAGAGTAGCTCCAGTGATAGATAGAAGTAAAGTAATTGATGAATGCGTAAAATTAGAAAGAGGTATCCAGTAACTTGAAAAAGAAATACAAGATTTATAAAAGGGGGACTAGAAGTCTGATGATTTAAAATAAAAAGAAATAAAAGAAATAAAAGAGCTTAGTTAAATGATACAAAGATGGAAAGAAGCTAGTTAAGAAGGTATTATTGAGCTTCATAAGCTAGTTTCTTAATAATATCCAGATATGGTAAAATTTTAAATTATTTTGTAAAAATATTTATTTATTCTTTTAAAAAATAATAAGACTCTTAACCAAGTTGTTGATATGCTTAAAATTGATCCTCATGTTGTAGGATATAATCCTGTTGATTAAGATTTTACTAGTTGATTCCAAAAAAAATATTTTTTTTAACACTTATATAATAATATTTACTATTTATGATCTAATGAAAATCATTTATATTAATTAAACAAATTTATTGATACATGTTTTACTTAATTGTTATGAAATATAATCAGGTAAATAAAAACTTCATTTACATGACTCTTAGTTATCAAAATTTTTTAATATAGAATTTTACTTTAAGTTCTTCTAAATTTTTTTAATGGATATTATAATTTAGAGTTTTTATTGATAAAGTTAATTTGAGATTTGTATCATTATTTATTTTATTATAAAATAGAATACTTCTTTAGAAAAATATTTTAAATTAAAATAGCAATTTTATTTAATTTGGTCAATAATCATGTTTATTTAGTAAGATGATTTTATTTAAATGTATTTATTTTAAGTAACAAAAGATTCATTCACTATATCTTTGATATCTTGAAAAATCTACAAATATATGCATTTATAGATTATAAATCTTAAAATAATTACTTCTTTAATATATTAATTAATTTAAATGATCAAAAAACAATAAAATTATTTTTCTCTTTATCATAAATTGATCAATTTAACTAAATAAATATTTTTCAGATATTATATTGAAAGAGAAAAGTAAGATATAAAATAAACATTATTGAGGTTACTAATAACAAAGCATCTAGCTTTTTTACTTTCTAAATTGCTTCCTACTTGCTTTCTTCACTTTGAGGCACTTACTATTCATTATCAGGATTTGAGTTTTCCTAATCTTTTTATTATGGATTTGGTTAATCTAATTTACTTTCTTCTAAGTCTTTTTAATTTTCTTAATTTAAATTAATATTATCCTATTCATTTTAACTTTTATTATCTTAATTATTAAGCCTGTTTGTTTCTAATTCATTAATATTTTATTCTCTACTCTGGTTTTACTATTATTTTTCCTCTTCTTCAGGCTCTTATTGTTGTTATTTTTCTTTATTCTAATCACTCATTTAATTTTGATTCCCTAAATCTTACTTTTGTTTAAGATCTGAATTTTTTTAATTTTCTTTTTGCTAATCTGAATCGTTTTATTTTTGAGGATTAGACTATTCATTTTCTATTTTAAATTAAACAATTTTAATAAAAATTGAAATTTATGGATAAAATTACTTGGATTAGCTTTTTCTTTCTCTTTAGTTTGACTATCATTGCTTATAATTCTAATAGAATTGATTACATTTACTACTTCTTCTAAATTTTTGGCAACTATTTTTCATAAAAAATATTAAGAATTTATTTTATTTTAAATAAAAAAAACCTTATTCGAAGCTATATTATCTTTCCTATTAATAAACTTGGCTTTGGTTTTATAAATTTATGGGCTCTCTTTTTTGCTAGATATTAGTTTAAAGTGTATTAATTTTAGGCTTTTCTTATTATAGTTTTTATATCTTTTATTCTAAATTATCTAAATTCTATTTTTCTTTTTCTATATCTATTTCTTTCGCTATTTCTATTGTTTCCTCAACATTTTATTCATTTTAAGCTTGAGAATTACCTAAATTTTTATTAACTTATGGTTCTTTTGGTTATTTTTATCTTTATTTTAGAATTTTGTTGATTGGCCCACATTTTTCGCATTCAAAATTCCAACTTTCTTTAGCTAATTTCTTTCTTACATCATTAGAGTGAACAATCGATCCTACACTCTATACTTATTCTTTTTCTGGGAACATGCTAATCAAAGCTTCTAAAATTGTTCTCATAGTCCAAGAAGCATTCCATTATTCAGCATGAAAACCTGTGATAGTTAAACAAATTTTTTAATTTACTTCAAATCTTCCACTTTTCTATATTATAAAAAAAATAAATATTCATTCTACTATGATATTAAAGCAAATTTTCAGTGGAAAATGAATATTAATTTACGTTTAAAAAATAGATATCAGGTGGTTCAAGAGGATAATTAAAAGGGAACATTATTTTTCCATGATAAATTCCTTCCTCAAATTCTGTTTCTGTAGGTCCTCTTATTGTGAAATGCCAAGTATAGAGGTCATTCTAATTAAATAATAATTATTTAAATTGATAAATAAAATGAAAATAGAATGATATCGATAAAGAATAAATTAAAAAAATTTTTACACTTAAAGGAGAAGCAGTGTAATCTTCAGAAGGATTTTTGCTTAAATGCTCAATTTCCTTCATCATTCTTTTTTGTTTTATATTCTCATTCATTTTAGAAATTCAAAATTAAAAAGCTATATTTATATGTTTATATCTATTGCCTTTAAGCAAGCTATTTCCTATTCTTTAAAAGTTTGATTGTTTTTTTCTATTAAAAAATCTAAAATATAAAATAATACCAAGAAAAACTGATCAAATCAAGATAACTTTTTTTTGAATGCAATATGAAGTTAACACATGTTGAAATTTAAGAAAACAAGCAAGAAAATTTAGAAAATAATACTTTACTCATATCAAATAATTTCTATTACATACATCTAAAATATATTATTAGGTTCGTTCATAAAATTTAAATTTCATCAAATATAGATAACTAACTAACTACAAAAAAAATAGAAAATATTTCAATCTATTTAATTTAATAGAATTTTTTTGATTATGTTAATTTATAAACAATTAGAATATATACTAATATATATATTGATAATTTAATTTTTCAAAAAATATTAAGAGTTATTTGTAGATGATCTTAATATCTTAAATAAGATTAAAAACAAGCTATTTTCAACATTGAATTGAAATTTGATATAAATCAAATTACTAAATATTTGTATATTTTGCTAAAACTAACTACTTGAATTCAATAAAAATATTAATTTAAACATTAATTGTATCTTTTTTTGTTGTATTTATATATTTTTATTTATTAATAAATAAGTTTTTTTACTTAATTTTACTTAAATTGAGAAAAGGCAAGACGACTATTTTATTTGGAATATTCATGATAATAATAGGGAAATATTTAATTACAGACTTTCTGTTTTTTAAATTGTTATTTTGTTAAAGAAAGCTACCAAGTATAGTAATTAAAAAAATATACAAAATCAAATTAAATCTAATCAAGATTTTTGTAATATTAAATATATATAATTTTTGTCGAAGGTTTATATAAAATTTACCATGAAAATCTCTATAACTTCGAATTTTGACATAAATTTCTACTCAAATTCTGGTTTTGTATTTTTAAAGTAAAGCCTGAATTTTCAAAGGAAAAAACGCAACTAAAAATATATATGTTATCAACACTGATAAAAATAACATGAAAAATAGACGGTGATTCTTTTTAAATATTTTGCCTTTTTAAATCAAGAAATTCATTTACTTTTGCAAAAATATTTCTTTACACTTTTCTTTTTGTTGAAAGAACAAACATGAATTTGAAAAATTCAGAAAGTTTCTAATTACCAAATTAGTGGATCCTAAATACTTTTTAGATTTATTGAATTAAAGTGAAAAATTTTATAGTTCTATTGTTGGCGGATAATTCTGTGAATAAATAATATTCACATAGGTTATTGAATTAAATTGTGAAAATATAGTTAATTATCATTAAAAATTCAATGAACTAGTGGATTTTCTGTATTTGATTTATTTTGATTGATGTAATTACAAATATAAAATATTCATGTGCACTGACTGATAGAAGCAAATTAATTTGTAAAAAAAACTTTTGTTTAAATCAATAATAATAATAATAATAACTGGAAAGAATAAGGTAAAAAGAATATTTCAAAATCTCTACATATTTATAAAATTGGTGAGAAATCAAAGTTGTCATACATACATAAATAAATACATAAAAAAACTTTCCTTTCAACGAATACAACTTATTTCATTTACTGAATAAATAACTCACAAATGACAGAATTTAATGACCTGAATACTAGTATTTTGAGCAGTTAGAGTGGGTTAAGCTAAGAAGAAAGGAAGAGTGCGATAGAGTCTGTAAGTTTCTCTGCCTCATCAAGTCCCAAGCTTTCTTAAAGAATTAAGCCCAGTAAAAAGAAAGACTTGATAAAGCTTATAGGGACTGTTGTAAAATTAGAATAAACACGCAGAAAAGATAGTATCATGAGAGATCAAGAATGTGGAACTAACTACACCTCACGCAAAAACTCAGAACAAATGTTTGAAAACTTTTACGAAAAGCTTGAAAAAATAGGAGAAGTAATTAATATATATCTTTTTTTTTGTGGATTTCTTTTTAATTTTTCTTTAACTTTGTTTCTTTATTTATTTGATTGATTGATTAACCAATACAGAAACAGTCTTTGTTTCTTTCTTTCTATCTGTTGTATATATGTATTTTTTGTTTATTCATACAAAAATACATAACAAAAAATAAGATCTATTAGTGATCTGTTTTTTGATTGATTGATGAAAGGTATTAGATATTTTCTTACTATTTATTAATTTAAACATTCCATATTATTTGATATTTAAAAATTTTTTCATTAAAATATTTGATATCAATCACTTCACATAAATAGATACATAATTCCTTGAAATCTTTATTTATTCTATCAGCAAACACACTTATATTAAACTATTTGATTTTTATGAATGATTTTTTTTTTTTAATTTTAAGGGAGGTAACAGCTGTGTTCATCGCTGCAGAAGAATAAATGATGATAGTTAACACTTTGCAGTGAAAATAACAAAATTTTCAAACGAAGAGATCATACTCAGTGTAAAAATAAGATTTTTGCATAAATAGAAAATGCTATTTTCCTTTTTCAATTCAAAAACTATTTACAGTATAATTACATCTAAAAAAATATTTAAAAAATCACTCATCAGATTAGAGATTTTTCTCAAAATTCAATTCATTAATTGATTAAAGAGCATAAAATTTTAGAATGTATTTTGATAGCAAAATTTATAAACATATTTTTATAAAAGAATGAAATTTAAATATGATAATAGACAAATATTTTTAAATATATTTTATTGAATTAATTTATTGACTTACAAAATTTATATTGTGTTTTGAAATTTATACAGTTTATTTTTTATTAACAACAATCATTATATTGAATGAATAGGAAACAGATACGAGTAATAGACTCCTAAAACTTAGTCACCCTAATGTTTGTAAAGCCTATGATCTATTTGTAGAAAAATCATTTAATACTACTTACCTTATCATGGAATATATTAATGGTTAGACGATTGAGCAATGGATACAGCAAAAATAAACAATCGAAGGTAATATAAATATACAACAGTTAATACAAATATATTTTTTGGATTACATTCAAAACCCCCAATAACGCTTAAATTTGTATTGGTAGAATACATATATTTTTCTGTAATTTAAATTTGTGAACAATAATAATCGAGGAGTGAGCAAAATCTGTATTTTATTCAAGCTTCACTCAGCAATACCTGAATAAAAAGTAAATTTTGATAATCTTTGGATTTTATTTTAATGGATGGCTAATAACGCTAAGTTTTATTGCAAGTGAGGTGAATTTTAAAGGGATCATAACAAAATTTTCATAATATAATAAAAGGTCCCTATTTTTTCACTAAAGTTAAATAAAAATAAGCTGACTTAGATTTCTAATCAAAATGAGTTAGAAGGACCAATATTAAGCAAATAATATTTTTGAGTTAGTTTAGCTAATACTTAAATCCAGAGGGTTTTTTCTAAATATTATTTGCTCAATAAAAAGCAGACAAATATTGCAAATATTTCATGCAAATTATAAATTAAATTAAGTATGATTGATCTGCTTTGCATTTATTTAATTATTTTTAAAAACTACTAATTTTATTTAAGAAAGCTGAATCGATATTCTAAAAAAATTATATTTTTATCTAACTAAGCATTATTTAACTGGAAGAATTTATTTTATTGGTATTAAATAATTATTAATAATTTACTAAAAATAGATAACGAGATTAGATTTATTATGAATGGTTTACTTGAAGGAATAGATTATCTTCATTAACAAGGTTTTATACATAGAGATATTTCATCAAGTAATGTAATATATGACAGAGATTGTAAAAAAGTTAAAATAATTGATTTGTCTACTTGCAAAGATAACAAATTTTCACCACACAGAAAACTTTTAACTGTTATTGGAAATGACATATACAGAGCTCCAGAAATGTTTGAAGGAGCATATCATTAAGAGGTAGATATTTGGGCAGCTGGATTGATTCTTTTCTAATTACTCTTTTAAAAACATCCATTCTTTGAGTCTGGGTAAATTATTATTTTCGAGAAAGAATAGTTTAAATCAATTAAAGAAAATATAATTTAAAAGTATTTTTCAAAATTTCTTCAATTAAATTATCTGATATAAATCAATGTAATAACATACTTGAGATTACTATTCCAATTTTTATTCTTAAAATCTCAGCAATAACCATTTGTTAAGAAAAATTTAATCAATTTGATTGATATGTATAGTTTTATTGAACATTAGGATTCTTTTTTTTTTTTTTTATGTTTATTTTTATTGATGTTTTTACTTCATTCAACATTAATCACTAAAAAAAATTTAAATTATAACAAACCATTTTTTTTATGAGTTAGTGACGATTAAGTGGTGCTAGTGTAGAAAGTAACTTAGTAAGAGATAGATTGGGATTTATTGCAAAAGACCAACGACAAAGTTTCACCTTGCCAAATTGACTTATGCCAAGAAATGCTAAAGAAAAACCCTTCTGATAGAATATCTGCAAAATAGGCTCTCCGTCATCCTTTCCTTGTAAAGATTAAAAATTTTTTAAAATTGATACCTAAAAAGTTAAATTAAATATATAGAAAAATATAATTTACAAAATTAACTTACTTTTTTTAATATAATTAGAAATAGAGATTGTGCAGCAAAGATTTTTCTTTCGAAACCAGAGTTAAATCATAATCAATTAAAAGTATAATGCGTATTAAATCTTGCGAAGAATTTACTAGTGAAACAAATACAAAAACAGACACTTCTCTTCATAGTAGTTCATAAAAAATCACAAGTGTAGAGGAAAATCTTTCACCTCTAAGATATTTTTGAAAAAAAAAAAAATTGGTAAACATAACATAATAATTTAAAATATATCAATCAATTAATGAATGATTATTTATTTTATCTTCTAAAAAAGATAATTTAATTCAACATAATTTAAACATTTTGTAAAATATAAACAAATTAACAATGAAACTAAATATTGTAGACTAAACATGTGCCTAAATGAAAGAAAATTTCCCACATTAATAAATAACTAAAAAAATATTTTAAAAAGACTTTTCAACCTATTTAAAAAATTAATAACCAAACTAATATTTCAAAATAAAAATAACTTACGAAACTAAATTCACTATTACTAAATAGCTTTAAAAATTATTTTATCTATTTTCGATAGCTTGAAAGGAGATAGTAACATATTTGTAATATAGAATATTTAATAAAATAGTTTTTAGCATATATATAAATCCGTATTAATTATTTAATTATTTTTACTTGTAAAAAAACTTAATCTTATTGATCAAGAAATTATTTTTACTATGATCTAAAATTAAAAAATCTTTATGAATATTTTAAGCACAGAAACTTAAACTACTAATATATTTTTATTGATGGCATTTATATTTATTAAACTTAAATAACATTAATTAATTTTTTTATAAAAATTTGATTAATTTAAAATTAATTTTTTTATAAAAATTTGATTAATTTAAAATTAATTTTTATGAAGGATGTTTTGATAAATAGAAACAATCTTATTTTTTACTACTAATAATTCTAATAAGATATCTATTTATACTAGTTTAAAAATCAGAAATATTTTTTTAATTATTTATTTCAAATTGATTGTGATGGTATTTTAAATAAATAAATAAATTAATTAAATTTATAAGACTTTGAACATTATAAATCGTTTTTATAGAAGAGATAGAAGAGGAAATAATTTAAATTTTTAGGTTTCAAGAAATAAATACTTGAAAATAATAAATTGATAGAATAATTAAAAATAATCAATCCAACAATAATATTTACATACAAATATTAATAATATACTTTCTCTAATATTAGAGATATTTAATAAATAATATAAAGTATAAGTTTATTATCAAATTATGTTTTATATTTAAAAGCATTATTGATAATATTAATCTATATATTGTTAGATCTTTTTGAATATTATATAATATTTATATTAGTTTAAGAACGATTTTATTTGGTTATAAAGAAAGTCTATTGAATAGAATTATCAGTTATTTATTTATTTATCTTAATTTATTTATTTATTTTGTTTTTATATTAAAGGTGATAATAAGATTTTTTGTTATGTTTATCTTTACCAAATTTAATCTTGACGCTTTTCAGTTTTTCATTAATACATTTTAAGAGGATAGACTGAAGGAGCGTTTTAAACAGGCTTTGAGACAGGAGATTGATAATTTTCAACAGAAACTCTTAACTTTTAAGACTAGTAAAGTGATAGTTTTGCAGTTTAAGAGAGTTGTTAACTATTATTGTATTTAATTTGGTTAAGCACTTATTATTATGGAGTTTATTATGATGTTGATACAGAGTTGTTAGTAGAAGAGGTAGTGTTATTGTTTGTTTTCATTATTTAGCTGAATTATATATTGTTTTGGAGATTGTTGCTAATATTATTGTTAGGGTCTTACTAAACTGGAGATATATTTTAATTGATAGAATTTAAAGGGGATAATGAAGATGACTAAGGATTATTTTAATTAAAACCTTATTGGTAAGTAGAATTGAACATAGATGCTTAATTTTAACCATTTTAAAGTGGTACAGATTAATACTAAGTTAAGGATGATGCCGACATTTGCTATGCAGGGTTAACAATATTATTAGCAGCTTGCGTTAATTTTTAGTTTTAACTTGATGAATGAGTTAAAGATGAGATTGGGGGAGAGCAAGGGACAGAGGAAGGTTAAACTTAATTATTACTGCTAGGAGTAGTTGAAGAGTATTTTGTAGGGTTTTAGCCACTATTTTATTAGTTATCAGTTCCTTGTAGCTTGTTAGCTTATTGTGTCTTTGAGTGATTACCACTTAGGAAAACATCTTTAATATACAATATTCTTTTTCTAATATTATGAGGTAACGAAGACTTATCTTCATGGTTTAATGTGTGAATTTTTTGAGTTCCATTCTTATCTTTGAAGTATAGATTTTTATTTTGCTAAGTGATAACAACTTCACTCTTATCAATAAAAATAACTTAAAGATCTTTGTTACTAAATCTAAAAAAGGAAGCTTATTTAGTTGAAATGAACTTTTTCAGATAGACTTCTTTTTCAAAATCTCCTTCTTACAATTCAACTTTCGGCTTTATTTAAATAAAAATAAATTTTATCATTTTTGTTTGGTATAATATAAAATATATTTTACACAAATAAGTTTGTATTTGTTGAGGAAGTATTCTTTTATATTTGTGGTCAGTCTAAACAAGTTTTAGCATGAGGGAGGTATCTATTTAATAGGATACTTTTGAATAACATAGTTGTCTTAAACTTTTTAGATGTGCTCAAACGTTCTATTTTATTACAATATTAAATTTATATTTAATGGTTTAAAAAGATTTTAAAAAGGATAGTATTTACTCATCAACGATTTAGGTTACATTTCCATCATTCAGTAAGATACCTACGTTTCCGTTATTCAAGTAGTATGCCAGACCAAATTTGCTGCTGCAGTCAATGTAATCGAATAAATAAATATTTTACTTTTGAGTCAGAAGATTTATTTACTCTAAAGGTGACTAATTTGAGTTTTGCTAACCACTTTATGCAGGAAGATTGTAATAAGGATTATTGGCTTTGTTATGATTTTAATTTTAATTTGTGTCAGAAATGTGAATAGTATTATATTTTTTGATATCGAATTTTTAAGAAGAAGTAAGGGTTGGGACTTTTGTTTAAGAGCTTTGGGAGTAACTTGGCTTCTCTACAGAGGAATATCCAGCAGCTGTATTTAAATTTTTTGGAGGACTTTAGTGCTAATTAAGTATATTTTAATTAGATGAGATTGGATTTCCAGTAAATTATTAACTGCTTGGGTACTTTTGGAGAGAGTTTTCTTTTTTACCTTAGAAGTAATTTTAGAATTAACGAGAAAATTGAATATTTTCTTAGCTTCTCATGCGCAATAATTGATAATTGTCATTTTCTTAGTTAGCTATGTTTATCTCATTATTATTAGGGTTGTTACTGCTTATTGTATTATTTTCGTTTGTATTAGTAGAATTAGTGTCCTATAAGTTATTAGAATTTGTAGTAGCATGCTGCTGAGATAGTGAAGTAGGTTTAAAGTTAGCAGTACTGCTGCTTTGGGTTTAGTAGAAGTGATTACTACGCTAAAAATGCTTTGTGGATTGGGTTGTTGATATATGAGGTGTTTAGTTTTCATTCTGGCAATTATAATCATAAGGCTGAGCTCCATTATTTGCTAATTATAATTAAGATTTCGGAGCTAGAACAGACTCGCTTTTGCGTAATTTTCTTAAATAGTTAGCAGTAGGAGGAAGTGCTAAGGTGCTTATTGGGAATGTTTTAGGAATATAATACTCTTCACTTTTCATAAATGGATGTTGAAGCATTTAATCCATAGTTAATCTCTAGTCTGGATTAGGAACCAAGATTTTTTAAATAAAATCTTTTGCTTCTTTTGAAATTGTACAATTTTCCTAATACAATTATTTATAAAACAAAAAAATTTTATTAAAATGTTATTTTTTTATAAAAGGCTTATGAAAATACAGGGAAAGAATATCTGTTGGCCTTGATGTTTCTCAGAGTATTTTCAACTTCTTTTTCTTCGAATGGTGGCTTACCGATTAAAAATGTATAAACTATCACTCCAATGGCCCAGTTATCAACTAAGTAATCATGACCTTGATTTTTAAGAACTTCAGGAGCTATATAATTTGGAGTCCCGCAAACAGTTCTATTTATAAATTTATAATTTTCATAGCCATTTGAATAATTTGTTTTGTTAATTATTTGATTCGTTTAAAGAAAATAATTAATTAAACTAAAATATGTAAAATATGTTTGAATGGATTAGCTTAGAAAATTAAATTTTTGTATTTTAATAGTAAAAGGAAACAAACTAATAAAACCACTATTAAATTTAAAAGAGAATGCATTAATCAATGAGTTAATAAATATATATGTAAATAAATAAATAGATTAATTACTTTCTTTTTTGAGCATTCTTCATCATAGCTGATAAACCAAAGTCTGCTAATTTGACTACCATCTTGTCATTTAAAAATATGTTTGCTATCTTTAAACTAATTATTTAATTAAAAAGGGTGTTATAAAATGTGGAATATAAACTAAGTTATTTATTTCTTATTCAGTTATTTAATATTTATCTCTATTCATTCAAAAATATCTAAATTCACTCTAAGAAATTTGAATAGTTAGCTGTTAAAATTTTGCGGAATATTGTTTTGATATTAAATGAAATATAGTTAAAGAAGTAAAAAACAAAAATAAATGTTGAATTTATTTACTCTCTATGAATAACTCCTTTCGAATGGATATATTTGAGGGATTAGATTATTTGAAAAAGATGGCTCTTGACTTCGATTTCAGTTAATCTTTTTCTTCTGTCCAGTAGCTCCTTAAAAGTCTTTTTTTAATATAATTAAGAATAAATTGAATTAATACATTTAAGTAGTAATAGATTGATTGATCGTATGATATTTATAGATATTAATTTTGCATTATTTTTAAATAGAAAACTATTTATTATTAATTACCTAATTGCTGCAATACTCAAGTACTATATAAACATTCTAGGAATCCTCGAAAGAAGTGTAATATTTAACTACATTTTCATGGTTTAGACTTTTCTAAATCTTTATTTCTTAGTTCAACTATAGTTTTATTTTAAAATTGATTAAAATCTATTCTAATTGATCATACATAAAAAAAATTAATAGCCCAGTTAATATTAAAAATTTAATAAAGCTCTGTGCTATGTCAAAATATTATTAAAAATCCAGCTCATATGTCTTAAATTTTTATATGTTACCTTTTCTTTGAAGGAATCCTTTTCTAATGAGGATTTGTCAACTACCTTTATTGCATATTACTCATTTGATGAAATATCTTTTGCAAGGTAGACTTTAGCAAATCCTCCTTTGCCTAATTTGCTTAGTACTTCATAAGATCTCTCTACTTTCCATTCGCCATCTTAATTTTTTCTTTTTTCATGCAATAAATTTCTTTAGGGCTACGCTTGGTAGCACGAAACTGGATCCTGCGCAGGTTTTTATTGCTAATTTTGATTCTCTGTGCTCATATTTTATTTCAGTTGGTAATCAAATTCTTTACTTTCTATTTATGTTTTTCTTTTTTTAATTTGTTTTTGAATTACCTTTTCTCCTTTTAATTTATGTTTTTTAATTATGAAAAGTGAAGTAAATGAAGGGGACTTTTATAATAAGTATTACTTTCTTTGTTTTAGTGCTATCTAATAGAAGTTGTTTGATTACAATCAAATTGCAAACGTACTTTTAAAATGCTCAATAGCTTTTTGGCGATTTAATTAAAGAATTCTTATTTTAAATTAACAAACACAAAGGATAAAATTTGCATAAAGAAAGACATTGTTTGATAATTTAAAAGCATTTAAAAATTAAGCAGGCTCTTCATCAACTTTTTATTGCATACTTTATTGAATATATTAAATCTAAATCTTTTGTATATTTTATGAAGTGTTTCAATTAATAAGCACTATAATAACTAACAGATTTTGCACAATATTTCTTCATTTGTTTTAATTTAATTTGTTAAATTATATTAAGAAAATTTAATAAATAAAAATCTAATTTTATACTTAAATGTTGAAATTCTTATAACTAACTATAGACATATATAGTTCAACTGAAAAAAAAAATAAATAAACAAATAAAAAAATAAATAGTTAGCATTTCTTTTAAGTTTTTATAAACAGAAGCTAATCTTAACAAATAAATTATTAATATTTATCAATTTTTAAGCAAATTTTTTAGAAACCCTGCTTATTTTTTTTTTTATTAATGGATTTTAACTTTTAAAAATATTTCAAAAATAATTATTTTATTTAATGAAATTAATTCTTAAGATGGAATAAAGAAAGCGAATGTAAACATTAAACAATTGAATCTTTAATATAATCGGAATTAAATTTTACTAGTTATTGATGATTTTAAATATTTACCATTCAAAACAATTTCTGTAGATAAAAATTTAATTGAAATTAAAAAGTATTTGTAAATTAATAAATTTACTTAATTATTTTAGATTTTATGGTTAAAAAATATCTTAAAACAAAATTAATTGTACAAAGCGCTTTTAATTTAAATTATGAATAGATATTAGTAAATTCTTGCAGACAAAAAGTTAAATAATGGCATAGATAATAAATTTTAGTTGAATTAAGAAGGCTTTTACAGTCCTACTCGAGATTATAAAAAATATAAAAAAATGGAAGAATTTCAATTACCAGATATTAAGAAATATAATTTTTTTCCATTAAAGACAGATAAAAGTAAGCAGCCTCCACTCCATGCTGATAGTGAACCTACAGCATTTTAAAATTATAAAAAGAGCCAACAAATAACTTTTAAAAAAATTGAAGATAAATCATAAAGTAATAGAAATAATGAATTATCAAATATTCAGCTTTAGTCCATACCTAATAGTAGCTTATGCCATAATACCTCTTAAAATACTCAAAATCCTCATAATTTGTAAAAATAAAAAATTGAAACAGAATACGGATTAAACATAAATAAGTAAAGATTAAGTTTATAAAATATACTTTAGCAGTCTTCAAAATACTCAATAAAGAATTAGATTTAAGAATAGAATTTAAACGAAGGTAATTCTGGTTATAACATAATTTAATCGCACAGATTTAGAGTGAGTTCCTTAGAAAAAATAAAGAATACATAAATAGAAACATTACAGCAGGGTATTAATGAATTGAATAAAAATAAAGATATCTATGACTAATCCCTTGTAGAACCTTTTAATACAAGTATAAACTAAAGTTTAAATAGCTCTTTGCAAAAAATTATAGATTTAAATAAATAGCCAAAATTTAAGAATAAAAGACAAGCCTGCTCTTATCACTATGACTCCTCTTAGAGTTTAATTAAACAAGATTCTAAAATATTTGGATTATCAGATTTATATATAAAACTAAGGTAATCTCTAGAAGAAATAGATAAATGTTCAGATCCTTTAATATTTTCTGAAAGAACTGGCTTAAAATCAAATAGCCCTGATTTAAATTGCAATCAGAACAAAAAAGTAATAAACATGAATAAGTAAAAACATGATAAACTTTAAAGTATTAATAACAGCAATTAGAATAGTTATATAGCTTAGTCTTCAAATAGCCAACAAAATGATCTAAAAGATACTTTATAAAATTATATTAATATTTAAAATGAAAAAATAGAAATTTAAATCAAAAACCAAAATCCTTATCTTTCTAACTCAAAAAACAACAAACCATAAACAATTTAAGATTAAGCCCAAAAAGATTTAAATGCATCTGATTGCAACTTAATCAAGACAGAATTTATTGATAAGAGAACAAATTAATATAGCTAAGTAAAAAATATCAATAAGTAAGACACCAGAGATTAATTATAGCTAGGAAGTACTAAATTTTTAAATTTCCTTCCTCATCATATAAAGAAGAAAAAAATTTAGCTTGGAATATAACTACAAAAGGGAATTTAAAGCCTGTAAAACAATTTAGCTTCATTAGACTAAAAATCTGAATACACAAGTTAAAATGTGGTATATTCGAGTGAAATATACAAGTCTCCTCAAAATAAATAAAATAGAGAAATTATATAAGAAACTTATTTTCCAATCTAAACACAAAAGTAGTTATCACCAGAAAACTAATAAAAAAAACATTAGACCAGTTAAAACCTTAATTTGCATTCTTATAATGGTCAGTAATACCAAGCAGATTATTTTAAATAAAAAGCTCAGTAATGCAGCTTGACATAATCTTTGGCTAAACAATAGAATAGCTAAAGAGTAAAAGAAAATAAGTACTATCATAATAGAATGTAAAGTTAGGATAAAATTTATAACGATTTGCAAATACATTCACACAGAGATTTTACTGGCGATTAATAAATTGGAGTAAAACCTATAAAGCTAAAAATAGAAGAAAGAAACTAATAATAAAATTAAAATAGGTAAACTTTTACATAATTCTTACCATGGGAAGATCCTAGAACTATAAATAATTCTGAAATAAAAAAATAGTAATTATATTACAAGCAAAGTTAAACTTGCGATAACAGCCCTAAAGACAGTTTAAAAAAAAATAATTTACAATTAATAGATAATTCATATAATTCTTCTCATTATGATAGAAAATTTATAGATTTCGACATATAAGACTACTTTTTATTGAAAGAAAAAGTATGAATAGAGCAATAAATAAGTGATTTAAATCAATAATATATTTAAAAATGTAACAAATTTATAAAGCAGTAAAATATTTATTAAAGTAATATATTGAATAAATTAAAACAGTCTACTGTTTTTATACTTTAATTAATTTTTTTCTTTTTATTTTTAAATTTTTTGTAAAAATAAATAGCCACAATTCTTAATTATACTTCATTAAAAAAAAAGAAAATTAATTAAACATCTAGAAACAAAAATTCTGTTTATTTATTCATTAATTTTAATACTTTAAAATTATTTGTAAAGGTTTTTATGTTAAATAAATAAATAAAAATAATGAAATTTTTTGTGGAAATTTTTATAAAATTTATACAATTTAATTAATAAACAATACATATTTATACAAAAATAGTTTTAGTAATAGATATTTGTTAATAATTTATTTAGTATTTTTATTTTTATAAAAGAGTTTATTTTGTTTCATAAAATTTTTATTTTGCTTAGATAAGTTAGCATATAGGTGTTTTCTACAACCACTGAGACGTCAAGAAGACTTAAAAACCTTCTATTTTCATTCATTTCTATTTGCATTTTTCTGTAGAAAAATACCCACCAAAATATGAAGAGAAGGAATAATATGACTATTTCAAATACTGAAACTAATTTTTCAGTAGTTTACATTTATTATAAATACTTGTCTCCCTTACCTTTCATAAAATCTTTTAATATTGATAAAATATCAATTGTCATTCTAAAATAAATATTAAAGTTTGGTATATCAAACTAATATTCCCAACCTCTTAAAACCTTTTTTAAATCATTATTTTTATTTAAAGAAATTAAATCATTCACAGATTACAGGCTGTCAAAGAAAAATTTTGCAGCAGTTTAATATCCTTTTGTTAATATTCCACCTCGAAGAGTAGAACATTAGCTTAAATCTAGATTGTATTAGTTTTAGTTTACAAATTAAGGATAATTATTTATTGGTGAACAAACATCTGCCTTAAGTATTTAATAGAAAAACTTTTAATAATCTTAATCATCATATCTTTTGCGAGCACTTGATTGTGAAACTATTTAAAGTACATTACTTAATTTCTCTGAGTTGTCTTTGAAAAAGGATGGTATTCTTTCACCAAAAAAGTACCCTTTATAAAGTTACTGACTATTAAGGCTGTAGTATATGTTTCCTAAAGTGAGATAGTATGAGTACGAAAAAGAGTTTTTTAAATCATAAAGAGAACCTATTTTAATGATGTATATTAGTTAAATACCATTAAAGATTAAAAAAAAAAATAAATAAAATTTACTTAAAACTTAAACGTTTAATATTGCTTCTTCTTAAAAGTTGTTTATTAAGAAGTAGGATACAATAGGAAGAGTGATAATTACTGCAAATACTATTATGCTCAATAATAGCATACAAAATGAGAATTTTTTTAAAGGTTCACACGTGGAAATAGTTTTTTTCTTATTAGGCTTTTCTAAATTTTTTAATATAAGCTATTTTTAGTTGTCTGTAAAGGTTGGTAATTATTTCTGAATCTTAATATCTTTTTCAGAACCTTTAGCTTTGTTTTATTTTTGTGAAACAGAGCCAGTTAACTTTTATATGTCTTTGTATTACTAAAGGGCGAACTGGAAGTTACTAAGACTAGAGACTGCTTGTTTAGACATTTATATTATGCAATTTGCATTTAAAGTAGACATTAGTCTATAAATTTACTCATTTTAGAACTGTAAATAAGCATAAATTGGAAAAATGAAAATAAGCATGCATAAAGAGAGCGAAATGCAAAGATACATTAGAAGAGCAGCATTAGAAGTAATAGATTTAAGAGAGGTTATAGAAGTGTTTTGTATATCTTCTTTTACATAATTAGCTTGTTCAAAATATTGTTGATAATTATTAATTAAAATTGCTTATTGATTATAACTATCAGATTGTAATAGTGGATAGGATTTGTAAGCAGTCAAATAATTTTGTACGAAATAGAACTCTGAGCTTGACAATTTGAATAATTAATCCTTTTTAGATTTAACATCTGTGTTAACTGACCAATTTATTTCTCTATTGATAGTATCATGAAAATAGGGAGTATATTGTTACGAGCTGTCAATTTATGCAATCCAAAGATTAGTCCATTCATCATTTAAAATTTTAATGTTACCCATGCACTCAGATTTTACCGTAGTCCACCTTTTGGTTAAACCTGGAATTAATTAAAATAGTACCATGTAATATTAGGTTATATATATTTATATTTATGACATCGATGACGCGATATCCATAGGCCATGAGACAAAATTAAAATCTACTTAGGCTCTGTCAAACGCTAGTGTTATTTACAGGCCTTGTAGAATTATGGCTAAAGAAATGGAAATAACTGAAACTAAGCCAAATAAATTTAGCAGCCTTAAGCCTAAACTGTTTTGAGTGGTCATGATTTTTCTCTCCACCTATTTCAATGCTTCTTTAGTTGAATTTGAACTACTAACTAATGAAGATTGTTAATAGTTTTTTTTTATTCCATTATCTGCTTGGTTGCTATTATTAGACTAATTGTCTTAAAATCTAACTTTAGGACTACTGCCTTAATTTTACTATTTTTCAGATAAAACTTGATCATAAAATTCTTATTAATCAACTTATTAGCTTGAAAATTGATTTAAATCTATCATTTTTTGAATGTTTTAGAAACTTTTTTAATTTTCTAATGTCATCATATTATTATGATGAAAACTAGTAATACTATTTTTCAATATAGTTTAGCCCATGTTATTAGAAATAGAATTTAAATCACTATGAATATTAGGAGTTTGTGGTATTTATGTATTCTCTAAATCTTTCTTTTTGCTTGTACTCTCATTAAGCTTACCTTCCTGAAAAGCTTACAATCTTTTTATAATATCTCTAGATAGTCTATTTTATTTATTAAGTGTCTTTTCACTAGTTTTGGTTGCTAAGCTGGGACTTTTCCAAAATTTTTCAGGCAGTTATTTAATTTGTTTTCTTTCACTTCTTTGAAGTAAATCCTCATCAAAATATTTTGGAGTAAAAGCTTTGGATGCATCTAAATTTTATCTTGTAGAAATTTAACCAAACTCTCTGTCGTTTTATCTGTAAGTACTAGGAATATCCTGATAAATAAGATGCGAAAGTTCTTAATTTGTATTTTAAGGAGATTGTATTAAGCTAACATGAGTCTTTTTAGAAATATTTAAAAACGGGCTATCTTTCTATTCAAGTCTAGATGAAATAATCTCTTCTACCTTACTGCTATTTACATCTTAGAAGAGAGTTTTCTAATTTTTAAAAGTTTTTACTTAATTCTAAACATTTGAAATAGAATTTTTCTATTAGTAGAGAGCATGAACGGAATTATTTTCATTAAATTAAAATAATTCAGAATATCCTATTCTCGTTGACTGCTACTATATATTATTGAGGCTTTCAATTTCTATATTTTTATAATAGTTAATTTAATGACAAGTTTGAAAAAAAAATATTTTCTTTTTTACCAAAGTTAGAGGTTTAATAGTTAAATTTCGTATACTCTGCTTGGAGTTACTAAATAAGTGGCTAGATTTCATACATGTTACATATTTTTTAACTATTTTTAACTGATATTATAAAGCATGGGAAATCATTATTTTTAGTGTATTAAATTTCTAAAAAAACATGATAATAATTAAAATTTTTATTATTTGAATGGATTTCCTATTCTGACCACTTCAATATTTTATCTGTCAGTGATGATGATTTAAAATATTCTTTTGAAGAGTTATTGTTTTCTAATTGCTGGAGGCTAGAATTTGAAAACGAAGGCAAAATCATCAGTGTATCTTTAATCTAAATTTATTATGTATCAACGTTTTGAACAAGTGTAGGTATCTATGGGAAAATTTTAGAGGCATTAATTTAAGGAATTTCGTCAAGATCAAATGTTTTTTTAAGAAAAGTATGATAAAATTATTTAGACACTATTTAAAGACTGTAAGTATCTTTTTAAATTAACATGCAATTACTTATGTCATAATTAAGGGAAATTGTGCATACAAAACCTATTTAATCAAAGGCACTTACATGATCAATTGTAGCTTTTACATTTACAGGAACTGCAAAATTCTCTTAATTTTTAGCCAGAGCGCAAGAAACTGTAGTTGTACTAGCATATTTTTTTTCAGAACCATATAAATATTACTTAATCTACTACTGGTGCTCTTAAATCATAGAATTAGGTATGATGCTGTGGATATTTCTACCTATATAATTAGGAAAACCAAACATCTATTCAAATGATTTTTATGCTTTAAGTATATTTCCAAGCGATGACATTTAAGCGCTAAGAAATAGTACGCATGAGTCGCTTTCGAATAAATTATGTCTCTAAGAAGAGGCTATGACTGTGCCATTTATAATTTTCTTATGTTACATTTAGTTAATTTATTATTAGAAGTGTATTTGATTGTTGCTGAGGACGAAACAGAAATTTTGATTAAACCCATTTTTAATTATATTCAGTTATAGATTATTTGGATTAAGCTTACTTAAAAAAGTGATCTTCTATTTTAGTTGGTTTCTTGAATTATACAATTTTTAACAACACTCTTAGACCTAATACGTACTAATATGGTCGTTATTTAGCATACTAAGGAGGTCTAATTTCTAATATAAAGAAGATTCATATATTTAAGAAGCAATTCGCAAGTGTTCCTCAAAAATAAGGCCTACAATATCTCCCAAAAAGGTGTTATTTTCTATCTTGAAAGACTTGTTAATTTTGTGAGTTAAGTACTAATAATAAATTTAAAATAGAATAGAAGTTTTGGGGAATTCATGCTTTAATCTTTAAATCTAAAAAAGAGTATGCGCTTTTGACTTTACTTACTCAACTAAAAAGTTAATATAATAAAAGTGGACTTTATTTAGATTGTTACAAGTCCTCAAAATTTCTCTAAAAAGAGTATCTATGTGTAAAATCAGGTGGTCTCTTCGCTTTTACTATTTCTTTTCTTTATTGCCTTTTACCTTTTGATTTTAAAAAAATATCTTAAGTATTTTTTTTTTTGCTAATTTAAATATTAAGTCAGCAAAAATTTAAATCTTAGAGAATTATTTAGAAATTTTAATTACGATCTCTTAGCAAAAGCAATGCTTCTACTTACATTACTCTATATGATCATTAGTAATTGATTCTAATATTATTGAATTAGGATTCTAAAAATAATCGAAGTGATTAAACTTATCTAGCTGTGATATAGCATCTTATATGTAGTAAATTTAAGATTAAATATTTTTATTTTATATTTTATCAGGAAGTTGAATGAATCTGTTGTAAAAAGACGACATTTATTTTTAAATGTCTGAGGCTATCTTTATAATAATAGGAAGAGTTACTAGAAGTAGGATGTTGATGCTCAAAGTCAAATTAGTTTTGATAATCAGACAGAAAAATGAAGATACAGCTAATAAAATGATAAATACATACTATATAACTCTAATGTTGTAAACATGATACTACCTATAATATGACTAATAAATGATACCAAAACCTGAGCAGACTAAACACACAATAGAGTTAATATCATAGTTATATAATCCTCTATTGAAGATTAGTATTGAAAGTAAAAATCTTTTGGAGATTTAGATTAGATTTAAAGGGTATTAAGATAATGCATCAATAGAAATACTTTAATTAAGATTGTAATCAAAATCATGTATATCTGCCAAAACTCCTAAGTATTATAAATTGGAAGTAAGAAAAGAAAAATTAAACTAAAGATTTAAAATAGGATTGAATAAAATTTATCAAACTATTTTCCATTTAAATTAACTAATTTTAAGAAAATAAATTATTTGATAGATGAATACTTGAATCTTTCTTATGAAGTATTTTATTATCTGTAAAATAAAAAGACTAAATACTTGAATTTCTTTATTTTGATTAATAGATTTCATCAGATTTGTTATGAAAAAATACATTATTTATTTCATTTTTAATCAAAGTATTTTCAAGTATTTAGTTGAAAAATCTCAAGAATTTTTGGCATTCATTATGTATTTTTTAATTACAATCAAATGTAATATACTCTTTGTTTATTGTGTAATTATTCTGACGTAAATTATTTCATTGTTCAAAAACTACTTTATGAAGCAATTTATGTTATAAAAATTTACTGATACGAATTAAAATTTAATTAAGAGAATTTGCAATAATGTATTACCAATCATAATGGATATTACTATATTTAATATTTTCACCCAGTCTACATCATAGAGACTAAATAACACAGAAGGTGCATAGATCAAGTAGGAGTAAATCTTTAGGAAAAAGCTTAAAATATTTTAAATTATAGATATTTGATTATCTCTTTATTCATAAGGGCTTCTTTAAATAGTGCTCCAAATATAGTAAATGACATCAGTAATTATCATCAATAAAATGCACATGTTAATACTTAGAAATGCAAAAAATAAATTTTGACTGTATCTTTTTTTATGTTCATCACTTACATCTAAAGAACTTGCAATTCCATCAAAGCTTTTAAAACCCTACTTTTCTATGAACTTAGAGGTCTGCTGTGTTATTAAAAAATAAAAGTAGTACCCTATCTCTACTGTGAGTAAAATAATCCCTAAGGCATACTACCTTTAAAAGGAGTGAAATGTAATAAAAAACTGATTACAATAATACTCCTTTAATTTATTCATTTTAAGTCTTAATAAAAGCCTATCCTTCTTAAATAAATTATAATAATCTAACTTTTTTTTTTTTTGTTTATTCTTTTTGTTTAAATTAAATTAAAAAATATTAATTATATCGTTTAGTCTTTTCTTTTATTTTTTCTTAATTTACAATTTTTTATAGCAATAATTTAAGATATATTATTTTTTATCCTCAAAATTGAATGGTTGACTTATTTATATATACGCAAATTTTTATTATCTTTAATTTACCTATTTTGTTTATAAATTCAATTGAACAGAAAAAATTTATAAGGTTATCCATATAACTATGTTGTTTAGCGATTTTTATAAAACCAAAAATACGTTTAAAGTGGATCGCTAATATTAAAAATAAAATAACAAGTCTATTTCAATTTATTAAAAAACAGGATTTAAACGAATTAGATATTTCTTAATAATTTGTCTGGTTTTATTTGGTAAAACAAAATATCCCCTTTTTAGTTTATATTTTTGATTTATGGTTAATTACTAAATTGAAAGATCTAACCTAAAACTTACTTAAACGAAAAAAATCGGAAAAAAGTAAATAGGAAAAATACTTTCAAATTTGATAACTTACATCTAATAAATATTTAATTTTGAAGAAAAAGAATTTTTAAAATATAATTTAAATTAATAAGACTATTTTCTTAATAAACTTTCAAAATAATACAATAATTAATTATTTTTTGGTAATAGTAAGCTATTCCTCTTAAATTTTTAACATGCATGGGTTTGAATATATTTAATTTAGACAATTTTCTTTCTTAATGTTTTAACATTAAAAAGTTGACAATATTTTTAATCAAAAAATTATGAAAATTGATTATTGAAACTAAAAAAAGTTCTTAAAAATATTTTTAAAAAAACCTAATTTATTAAAAATTCATTTACAAACAGCTGTAATACAATCACCTTATTTAATTTACTCCTATTCTTTACTTTATTTTACTTTTAATATTATGATTTAAATAAATTTTGATTACTGAAGTAAAAAAGTAAAAAAGTAAAAAATATATGTAATATTTCTTATCAAATTGAGAATCTAATTTTAGTAAATTAATTAAGGATCTAATTTCATAGTGGATTATTAATTAATTAATTAGAACTAATTACTTAAAAGTATTAAAGATTTGAACTTTAAAAAAAAATAAAATTAATTACTTTTGATAATGTAGGAATTTGAAAAAATTTTTGTTTTTTATTGCTAATTTTTGCTAAATAACCAAAGAAAGAATTTATCAGATGAAAAATGATCAATAATTTAATTTACACATATTTTTTTTCAAGACATACAAATACGAATGAAGAAAAATAACATTAAAATTCTATTTTTAAAATTTTTTTAAGTTAATTTTTTAATAAATATATATAAAGGGAAAGAATAAGAAACAAGAATAAAAGCAAACAGAAAGTCAAATCAATCATTTTATTTTATTAAGATAAGAAAGCATGTATGAATTATCCATAATAATTTATATATCAATAAGACTAAGGAGTCTTCTTGTTTGATTCATTTCAAATTAAGTTCTATAATAAAATGTTATCCATCCGAAATAATAAACAATTACTAAAATACTGATTTGTAGTACTGTTAATATTATTTCTGTTAACTGCATTTGATTTATATAACTATTACCTTTTTGAGTTATGAAATCTGAAAGACTATTAATGACTGATGTCATAAATTTGAAAAATGAATCAAAATTTTTAATATCGAAATCAGTTTGCCATGATTACATTATTTTGTAATAATTAGCTTAGTCTGCAGATACAGATGTTTAGAAAGCAGAATTAAGCTAAGTAATATAATATTTAGAAGCAGTTTGTAACCCTTTTTTGAGTATAAAGTTTTATTATTGATCACATATGCTTAAATTAATATTATATTTGGTGTTTTATGAAAAATTTGGATTAGCTTTTAAAGTTTGGCAAATATCTTACTGCAAAACAGGATAAAAAAACTTTTCATAATCTATCTACCCATATCTAGTTTATTGTTATGAGTCAGAAACTTTAGCGCTGAAATCCTGTAAATTATTCTCAGCTAGATTCAATATTTAAGGAGCCATTTATTCAAAGACTTAAGAGTTGTAAAGTGCTCCCTGCTACAATTTAAAATTAGAGTATATAGTTGCATAGGTAAAGTATATAGACTCACATAAAGAATTCTTCAAATTAAAGAGTGAATCTATAAATTAATTTTTGATTTAAAAAATATTTTTAGTAAAAGAAATATAAATATATAAATTAAAAATTTTACGTATAAAATTAATAGTGACCTTTTGCTCATCCTTAAAATTCTAAGCTAGTATCTAATTGATAATTGGTATAGTAATTATAATAACAAATAGTACACACAAACCCAAGCAGATTTTTAAAGTTACTTTTGGTAGACTATTAGTTAGAGAAGTATTTTTTTTTTTTTATGATATTTCCAGATTTCTACAAATAATTTCTTTAGCTGTTTAGTTTATTAAGAATTCATTTCTTTTTTTATTTAACTAAGCAGTATTTCTTACTTATGATTAACTTTATCTTTTGATGCTATCTTGCCTCTTATTTTAGACATTTTTAGAATTAATACCCTTACTAAATGTAGTCTAAGTCATACTTTACAAAAAAATCAAACTTGGAGAAGCTATTTTCATAATATTTGTATAGGATATCGTTGAGAATAGTCTTAAAACTTCTTCTCTTTACGTCTAAATATATGCATTTATAGGTATAATTAGAAAAACCATAGAAAATGAAAGAGTTATACTCAAAATCATTAGTAATTAAACATTTTATTAAATAGAATCTAAAGATTTTGTTGAACTATCAATAATTATCACATTCAAATCATCCATTAAATTCTTGTATAGATTGTAGTTATCTGTAATAATAGCTGCTTAGTTTGTATAATCATCTGGGAATTAGTAATAGCTATTATGTGCTGACATGTATTGTTGAATAAACGTTGATTTACCAGTAGTAATATTATATTACTTTATTGGAAAAGAGTAATAATCTTACATATTGATAAAAGTAATTCTATCTTTTGTTATTTATAAAAAATAAGGCGAATAATCATAATTACTGTCCATTTAGCTTCTAAACAAATTATATGTTGATACTGAAAGCTATTTTATTTGCTACATATTATCTTTCTCAAGGCTTATCCATTGAGAATTAAAATTAGGAAAGAGTTATTGTTAAAAAATCAAGATCATTTGTATGCTATACTTTATCAAAGTTGTTTCTGAGGATGTTTCCATAGGCCACTAAACGAATTAATAATCAGTAATAGCCTTACTAAAAGCATTCTAAATAGAAATATACTATATAATGATCATACTAACAATCAAGAGAACTGATAAACTTCCAAACAAGTTAAGAATTTATAAACCGAAACTTGTTTTTATTGACATTATCTTCTTTTCAACAGTCTTTAGTGCCTCTTAAGTGCTGCTCTAAGAACTTTATATTGATGATTAAGCAGCTCTTATTTTAGTACTATTTTTTATTTTAGATGCTTAGAAACTAGAATTACCATTATCACTACTAACATAATCTATTTGCTAACCAGATTATTATTATTTATAATTTCTTCCCGTAGTATCTCCACCTTAGGTAGTTTATTTTAGATAGTTATGTCTTTTTTGTTAGTTTTGCTAATCATCTGATTCTTGCATCATTTCTTAAATTTAAGTTTAAGCTATTGCTGGGGAGCTTTTTATATCTGCATATTCTATGTAAATATTTTCATTATTAAAAGGATGGATGCTTTTTTAGTTTGGGTTTGTTAATATTGAATTATTTTAATTTAAATGATCTCGAGCTGTCAAATGACCCAATTAAAAAGAATTGTTAAAATCCTTTGCAAAGCTTTGAGTTTCTAAAGTAGCCTTTTTCTATCTAATACTTTAAACATTTTTTATTTCCAAATTAAACCCACTGCTTTCATCATTAACATCTTTTTCCTCTATCTTCTAATTGAAAATATCTTGCTTTAGTGTTGGTTCTTCAAATCCTAGAAGTTAATTAATACTGTTGACGTGTTTTGATGTTTATGAAATTTTAGACTATGGTATTTAAATTATGCTGTTTGGCTGTAACTCTATACGCTATGTTGAAAGAGTTGCATCATCTTAACTCTTGTCAGATTATTATTTAAGAAATTGCGTCTTTTTAAAATTTGCTGATAAAAAATAATCAACATTTGATGTTTAACTCATTGATCTCTTGGTATCATTTATTGCTGTACTGTTAGGAGATAATAAACAATTACTAAAAAGCCTTTCAGAACTCAAAATTTAATTTGTGTGTTTTGTAAAAGTCTGCAAATTTTCTTATTTAGACTACTCTCTGAAAGATTTATTAAAGCACTATTCATAAGCTTCAGAATTAAATTCTTATTAAAAACCTATTTTTAAAAATAAAATTTTGAAATTTGATGTTTTAATTAAGTTAGATTTAATATTAATTTGAAAAACATTTAAAGTTAGAATTAAGATTTAAAAATACCTTGATTCGATAGCAGTTTATCTACTTCCTCTCTGAGTAGAGAAAGCTCATATTGAATGTCTTTTTACTTTCGAATTTTTTAAAATTTATTAATTTATAGGATGCAAGATTTAAAATCTGAAGAGCTAAATCTAACCAATTTAAAATCAATTAAAAAAGCCTCAAAATCAGGGTTATTGCTATAAACATCTAAATCTAAATTATCTTATTTTTGTAACTTAGAAGTTTTATTTTTAAAATAATTCCTTGCTTATTGCCCTTCTGCATTTTTAGAGGGTAAAAAGGCAATTGTTTGTTTCAATTAATTATCATTATTTTTCAAGTAATATTGATAGCTTAATAGAGGAATTATCTTACATATATCAAGTTAAGATACTTCTGAAAGCTTGTAATGCTATTCTAAATATAACTCGAAAAAATCTTTAGTTGTTAAATTAGTTTTAATGTGTCTTTCTTTGTTTTCCAAAAGCAAATAATGATATTCTGAATCAATCACTCTAGTAATCACGACTAACCCAATTTCATTAAAATGGGAAACATGGTCTACAGAAACTTCTAATTAAATTGGTAATCCGAATCCTTAACTTGTAGCAGCTATTGAAAATGACAATTTAATTATCTATTCATTATTAAGACCTATTTGGGAAACAAAATTTTTCATTTTTTAATTATGAAGAGTATGAATAGAATTTGGTATTATTAAATTTATATTTTGATTTAAAGGATTTTTAAACCCATAAATTGAAGTAAATGATTCTTATACTCTCCATATTAATCCTAACTCAGAATTTCTCACCTTTAAGAAAAAGGCGCAAACGTTTTTATCAAAAGGATCATAAATATTACTTTTATTAGAGTAGGAGCTTAGTCTGGATTCTATTTTTGATTTTTATTCATATTAGCCAGAGTTCTGTTTCTTTATTTTTGAGGCTTTAGCTTTTTCTTTATGATTCTTACTTTTGTCTATGATTGATTTTTAAGTATCTATAAAAGCTAAAATATCCAAATACAAAGAAATAAGTTATTTCAAATTTTAATTTTGGTAATTTATTTTTGCTAGTGTTTACAGTTTTTTTTTAAAACTAATTCTCATATAAAATAGATTAATTGCAAACTTCTAAAATTCATTTATATCTACGAAATCAGTATTGAGCAAGCTCATTAACTTTAATTTTAATACGACGCACTTTTCAAATTATTCTTGAGCATTTAGAAGGGTTTCCTCAAAGATTAGACCCAAAACTAATTAATTTGTGCGTTTATCTAACTCTTCAAAATTACTTTTTGACTTTTCTACCAAATAATTAATGTATAATTAAAAAAAAATAGACTATGTTGATATTTAGCTTTTAATTAGCTCAATTTAATACAAAACATTAGCTCTAATTCCACACTATTCAATCAAGAAATTGATATAATAAAAATCAATATTATTAATGGTCTTGTTTTTAATATTCCAGCTTTTCATTTGTAAGAAGCACTAATCAATATGAGTTAACAGAAATTTTCTATTAATGTAATCATCAAATTTACTTTCAAGGACTGATTATGCTTTTGTTTGAGATTTTAGAGAGAGATCTTTGAGGTTGACATCCTTAATTTTAGTTGAAATATATTTTAGATTAAGAAATTATCACTAAGAAAGAATGCTAAATATTTAAATATGTGTAAAAATTATAATTATCTGATTTGTGAATTTTTAATTAAGAAAATAAGCAATTTTGTATTTCTTTTTTTTTTCTATTTAAAAATCAGAGTATATTTTAATTAATTTGAAAAGTGTAATCTTAGTGAGAATGATATTTATTTACCTATGAAAATTGACAGAAGCACCTCTTTTAATTTGAACAGTAAATAATATGATCACTGGCAATAGTTTCTAAAATGTAAGAATAAGGATTTAAGAAATAGTCTATAGAGTTAAATCTTTCCAATTATTTACAGACATTTTAGATATAGAATAAAATTTTATTTTAATTTTTTTATTCTATCCATTCATTTAATTTAATATATCCTTCTTCAAAATTTGTTTAGATTTTATGGTTCTACTATACAAATTTGTACCCAAAACCACTAAAAGACATCATTAAAAATATAAAGCTTACTCTTTCTAGATTACTTCTTAATAAAATCGCTAAAGTTACAACAATCAAATACGCAATTTCAGTCATCAATTTAAAATTTCTGATCTAAAAACTAATATATTCCCTGTATTTTAATGTGCAAGCTATTGAAAAGCATATGTATAAAAAGCATAAAAAATCTTAGGCATCTAATTACAATACTGCGTTATTAAAAGCTAAAACAACTTAAATCAGAATTTTAAATACTGAAGCAGAATTCAGTTAGATTCTAGAAAGCTTGTCTGAAGTATTTGAAAATAAACAATAATCAAAATCATGTAGTTCTATAGCTATACCTATTTATATATTATTTTAATATAAATTTATTTCATTATAAACAATTTTGATGGGTATTTCCCTTAAAATAAAAAATTGATAAATTAATGAATGCGTGATTAATAAAATTGAGGTTTGTCCTTAATTATAACTTCATAAAATTTATATTGATCAAAATTATATTTTCATGCTCTTTTTTACTATTTTCTTATCTTTGAAAGTTTAAGGCTACTGGTGATATAATTTTTTTTACTTTTTAAATTAAGGATTTCTCATAAGATTAGGTATTATTAAAGTCATGATATAAATTAATATATGAAAAGTGCAATCTAATAATGATCAAAGTAATTAAATTAACTATTACCAAAGAAGATGGTGAAAATTAAATTTATAAAAGCTAACGGACTTGGTAAATTTATCATTGAGCCCCACAAGCTAGGGATAAATATTACATTCATATATATTTTACATAGAAAGCTAACGATATTCATAAATATCCCTTCCGTTTTATATTGTTTTTTGAATTTGTAAGTAGCTAAATCAACTAAGAAAGCCAAAAAAAAAACAAAATTATATGATATGCTAGCTACAAAAATGACTGATTTCCATACTCCATAAGTTTTATCTAAATACAAAGAGTCTCTAATTTCATTAAAACTTTATTTATCATTCTTCTATATTCTATCAATTACGCCTTAAGCAGCTAATAAAAATATAAGGCATAATAGATAAAAGAATAAGAGAACAATAGCAAAAAGAGTATTTCTCTTAACACTGTGAAATGTGATATAAAATTAGTTGATGTAATATTCCTTTATAATCATTCACTAGACCTAAGATAGACTATGTATCTAAATATTAAGTTTTACCTTTTTAATTTTTTTTTAATTTTTTTTTTGCTATATTAATTTATATCAACTTCAAAAGCTATTAGCAAAATATTAATTTTTTGATTGTCGTATAAATAGTGAATTCCTAGAGCATTAAAATAGGAGTAACTTGATAGAAACAAATTAAAATTATATAATTATAAATAAAAGGACCATAACCAACGCATATTTTAATTTTTTTAATGCTACCAAAAATAAAAAAGCTAAAGATATATTTTTAGCAAAAATATTTAATAAAAATTAAAAACTTTTTCATTTTAAGCCTATTTATAAACAAAAATAATTTATTTTTTATTCTAATTTTCTAATCAAATCACTTACCAATTTTTGATTTTATTATATATTTTTCTCTTAAAGATAATTGACTAAGTGTGATTATTTAAGTTAAAAATTCCAGATAAATATTTTTTTTTATTGTTACGCACTCGAAAAGAATTTAAATTGAAAGTTAACTAATTATTAACTTTTCTTTTACATTTTTTTAGTAACTTTAATTGTAAAAAAAGTAAGGGGTTTTCCAAAAGCAAGAATAAGAAAAATATAAATCTTTAAATAATAGAAAAATATCCCAATAATTTTTTTATTTTAGAAATATTTTGATTTAAATAGACTACTGATTTTGGTAATTACTATTTTAAATTAGATAAATTTATTAAAATATGCGTTGTAACTTCTTAGCTAAGAAAAATCTCTAAAAATTCATTATTTAGTTAATTTATCTTAATAAAAGATATCTTATTCATGTTACTTTTTATATTTTTTAAATTTTTGAATTATGATTAGTAGTTAGAAATATGTTTTTTTCCATTATTCCATTAATTTTTTTGTAAAAATAAAGAAATGAATGAAATAAATTTATCTTTACATCAAAAAGATAAAATATAGAAGAAATTTAACAATTAATAAAACGGTAAGTTGTTAATTTATCATCTTAATTGTGTAAAATTAAAAATTGAAGAAAAATTAAAAATAATTTCTCTCTATTAATATAAAATTTATCAATGTAATGTTAGATTTTTACCTATTAAACAAATCTTCATAACTAAATTATTATTTACTATCGAATTAAAATTGAAAGCATATTAAATAACAATGAAATAAAAATCTTTTATTAATTTTCCTATTCTGATTCTAATGATATCTTAGATACTCTTAAAATTATAAAAAGCTTCAATATTAAATTTCTTGAAGATATAAATATTTTTCCAAAAATAAATTAAGTAGAAGTAATAATAATTTAGATTACAGAAAATAAATAAATATAATAAAAAATATTCAAACCTTGATATCTAAATGAATTATTTAAGTCTTCTGTATCTATTTATTTTAAGACTCAAATAAATATTTTGTTTATATAAATAAATTAAGAATTTTTTCGAATTAAAAAAAGTGTAAAATTATCTTTCTTTATTGCCATTTGATGTAACAAATTAAAAAAAGAACCACCAAATATTTTAAGAGTTATTAATTTGTTGGATATAAATAAATGATTTATATTTTGTGGTTAGAACTAAGATAAATACAAAAATTCTTATATGTTTAAAATTATATTTTGAGTATAAACCCATACATACATACTGATTGAGTCAATTTTCCAAATCCTTTAAATTTATTTTATTTTTTTTTAATTTATTATTTAAGCCTTATTTTATTAAGAAATTTAAATTTAAAATTATGCATTATTTTTTTTTATAAGTGTAAAAATTATTTCATTAGCTTGTATTTTTTTATAATTAACTAAAGATTTAACGAATAATAGGTAAGAAGTAATCTAAAAATTAATGTGCTTTTTTTAGATTGAATCTTTTTTGAATTACACAAATCAAAACCAAAACTGAAAGATATTTTAGGTGAAAGAAAAAGAATCAAATTATATTCAAATTTTACTTTAATTTTAATTTATTAATTACTGAAGTATTTTAGAAATTAAAAAAATTGTTAAATCTCAAAAATATGTATATTTTAAGGTATTACTTAAATATTTTAAAAATTGAACAGTATTTTAATTTTAATACAGTGTAGGGTTATTAAATTATCAAATAATTAATATCTAAGTTAATAGACTTAAGAAATATTTTTATTAAAACAGAAAAAATACTTAACATTTTTGTTTGATGCCTCTTTATCAGAATCAAAAAAATTTTTTTTATTTTAATCAACCTGGCTATGAAAAAAAGATACAAATAAATACTAATCTTAATATAATTTGCAAAATAAAAATAAATAGTTTTAAATCATTTTTATAATTAATTGATAATGTAATTGTTGCTTATTATATGATCTAAAGAAATTATTTCTAAGATTTGTTTGGAAAATCGAGACTCTTATTCAATGTACACTCCTACGTATCTAGTTAAAAATATGCAAAGAATTATGATAAAAGAGTTGTATGAAATCATTATTATAATCTAAAGAAAATCCATATACTCTAAATAATCATTACTCATTTAAATGATAAAGTTTTTGAGGATGTTAATAGTATTAAGCATGTAATCAACATACTAATCGAACTCAAGCAAGTTAAATTGTTAAAACCACTTCTAAAATATTATTTTTGAATTCATATCTTGTGGATCACTAAGTATTTCATAGATTGGTTTTATCTAATCATAAAAATAAGTAACTGAAATTTAAAAACCTTTTGTTAAAATTTAGTTTCTTATTTTTTTGCAATCTTAGTATTGAAAGTTAGTTGCTGTAAAGTTAGTAAATTGAGGAAAATTTTATATTGGGTCACAGATATTTTCTTTAAGAATTTTATAGAAGAAGTTGTTATAATAATTTTAATAAAATCTTTTCTAATCTATAGTCTTGCTCATAAAATTGCTTAAATCTGATAGACTTTAAGAATTTAATTAAGTAAATATTGGCATCTCATTGTCATATTCATCTTGCAAATAAATTTAGTTATTTGGGTTCATTCTTTGATATATTAATCCTATATTTAAGTACATATTACTTGCGATTTAGCTTTTCATATCATAAAGGAGATCTAATTTATTAATTATTTTTAAATATTTAAAATTAGTTAAACAAAAAGTATAAATTATTTACTCATTTGAGAAAGGTTTGTTTGACATTCCTGAGTTTGCAAAGAAGTAATGTAAGAAACTATCTAAGGAGGTAAGACTAAACAAGTAATTATTAATGCTTAGATTAATAATAATTTGAAGGAAAAAATGGGTAAATTTGTTGTTACAGAGATCATTTTTCTTTTCTAGTTTTTTTAAATACCATGCAGGAATTCGTTTTGTTTAAAATAATTTTTACCTTATTAATAAGTTTAAGAAACTTATGCATTGTTTGTTACTTGATAAAGGTATTGGTTATTTTTAAAATATTCAAAATTTTTTTAAACTATGTCAAGCTCTTTTCTTATTTCAGTTAAAGCCTCAGGTGAAAAAGTAGTAATTAGCTTTAAATAGCTTTAGTTATTAAGAGTAATGCTGTATTTTATTGTTAAAAGTTATATCAGTATCATACATGATATTGCTATTACTATGTAAGACATTTGTTGATAATTTTAAGTAATATAAACCATATTTTATTAAGCATCTTATTCAATAATATCTTATAACTCAGTTAATATAGTATTAAAATGAAGAAAGTTATTTACATCAAATGCTTCTTCATTTAATACATCATAAACTTGTGTAGAATAACGATGTACCATATTAAAATAAATAAATAGAAAGTAAAAATAAGAAGTAGTTTAATTCGTCTTTACTCGATTAAAGCTTTTATCATCTCTAAGCCATGTAAATGTGAATGGTATTTGAGTTGTATTTTAAAAATATGGGTAGTATTATTTGTCGCTTCTAATTATTTGAGTCATAATATCATCAAATTACTAATTATCTTACTTAATTCTCTATATATTAGTTAATTTAAACTCCTGCCAAGATTTATCTTACTTTATACCAGGGAAAATATCCTCATCAACATACCTAATATACTAAGAGTAATACATTTAAGTTGAAGATAGAGACCTCAGACTCATTGGTAAAGAAACATGAATAAGTTTGTCTCTTTGATTTATGAACAAAGTTCTAGCAAGAAAATAATAAGCTATTGTCAAAGCCCAAATGGATAATATACCGAAAACACTCAATAGCACTGCTAATTTAACATAAGATATCCTTTTTTTGCATTATGGTATCTCTAACTTAGTAATCAAATGTCTTTTTAATTTTTCTATTTTTGAAATGTGCCTGCTGTCAATTGAAGGTTATTGTTATTATAATTTCACTTTTTGTAACTTTATTTTTGGACTTTTAGCCTTGTTTTCATTTTCATAAGAAATTTGTTCAATTTAAATTTTTTCATGAAATGTTTTATTTTCTGACTTAGAAAGACTATTTTCTTCAGTATTTTCTAAGCTGCTTTTAATTTTAGGAGTCTAATCTAATTATAAGTGCTAAGTTTTATTTTGAATAATTTCATTTGACGATATTAAAATTTTTTATGTCGAACTTAATTCATTGTAGTTGCAACGATTAGAATTGCTCAATACTTAAATTAAATCAAAACCTTTACACTCTAAGTTAGCGTTTTGGTATTACTATTCCATAATTTCGGACGTTGTTTATTCACTTAAATTCACTAATTTTTAATTTGGAATTGTTCTTTTTTCCATTTTCATTGAGTTAAAATCTAATTAAAATTTTTAATTAAAAATTAATTATAAATAATAAAAAATAAATGTTTACTTTTTTCAGGTAGTATTTAACTATATTCATAATTTAAATGTTTAAAATTGTTTGATAATTCATTTTATTTAAGAATTTAATATTTAAGATCATTAATTAATACTTACTGCTCTTGGTTATCTACTTTTTAGATATCACTGATTTCTAATATAGTAAAATGCTCATTCATTATTTAATGAATTTTTAAAGAAATTTAGTATATTGAATTTTGTGAACTCTGAGTTAGTAATTATAAATATTAAATGCTATTGTAAGTTTAAGTGAATAATAAGCTGCCAATTTAATTGAAGTTTTCTTGTTAGTTAGGTAAAAATAATAAAGCTTTTTAATGAACATTTTTTTTTAAGCTTTAATTATCGCTTTTCAAACTTTTCTTTAAAGAAGGTATCAGATTGTTAATTGCTAATTATTTTAGTCCTTTGTTTGTGGAATATTTTGATAGATATTGCTAAACAAATTTCTAAGTTCCACAGATAAATTATGAAGTACTTGAATTCATTAAAATAAAATGTTTATCATGATCGATTTGCTTGATTGAACACATCAATCCAAATTATTCTTTCTCATAAATTACTTATAATTTCATTTTAATGGAAATAGTTTTAGCATAACCGTGCTAGTCTATACCAAGCAATACATTTTTATGAAAATTATTCAGGTCATTAGATAAATTAAAATTACTAAAGACTTTTTATACTTATTTATTATGGTATTAAGTAATTTCATCAGGTATGATAGAGTTCATGTGCAAATTTAAATTTTTATTAAACTAAAATATTTGACTAAATTTTTTATCGTATTTTAAAATTTAACCAAATGAAAATTTATTCAGAGAAACTAAAAAGCATGATTCCTATTCACTTAGAAATTCTTTAATATCATCTGCCTAAAATAATTATTTTTATCTTTTTCTATTCTAAATACTGAATTTATGGAAAAATATTTCATCAACAGCTTATTCAAAATAACTAAATTCAGTAAAATCATTTATATTTTCAGAGAATTTAGTAGTCTTCAATATTTTTAATAATTTACTTTTCTCTGAAAAGTATTCCCTTGATAATTTTTAAAGTTCTAAAAGGTTGATTTTATCTTAATTTAATAAAACAATAATTTATTATTTTTATTTAAGGCATATAGAAATAGAGTCATTGATTTATTTAGCATTGTCCTCAAATAATCTAACCTAATTTAACTGCAATACTATTTCTTAGTGATCTTTATATAGTTTTGAGCTAAATTTTTCCTTTTACTTGTATTTCAGCTATTATAAGTACATTTATTATAATAAAGAGCAGTATTAGTTTTATTCCAAATAAAATATTTCTTAAGAAGATGGAATTGCAGATTCGCATACCTCTATCAAAAAATTTATATAAATCAAATGTGTTTCAATTTACAGATACTTTTTTTTTTAAGATAATATTTTCTTATTCTTTTCAAAGCAGCTAATTATGAAATCAATAAAAAATAGCTTCCTTTTTTCACTGCTAAGTAAATTTTATCTCAAATCTTAATCAATCTTTATTTTATAAAAATAATTTCTAAAATTATTATTTTAAAAAATTTATTTACATTAAAATTGCAGAAGCAATCAGGATATTTGTGGCATGTTTGAGTATGATAAATACTAATTTACTCTATAAGCAAAGAAAAAGCATCATTTTCATATTCTCCATAACTTAATTTCAATTTTTAATGAATGTTTTGTAAAAAAAAGTTAAATCTATAAGTTGATAACGAGGCTGATTATTTATTTTAAATTTTTTTTAATATAAATTCTCCATATTATATTTACTAATAGTTATCATTATCAAATGCATTATAAATTTTAATAGCTACTACAGAAATAAGAAGAATTTATGTAAAATTAGATAGCTGGGTACTTTCAATTTAACTTAAAGAAATTAAAGCAAAGATGTAAGTAAATAATATATTCAAAATTACATAGCAAGTTCTAACTATTTTATCTACATAAAGCTTAAATACTAGCTACAGTAAAATATTTGTTATACCTAATAATGTCAGTAAATACTGCTGAATTTAGAATCTAGAATATTATATATTGAGTGATAAAATAAACTTTTAAGCTACTTAGAACATTAAGATCGCAGATATGTTTCCTTATTTTTATAAGCAATCAGATCTATTCTAAAATTTGTAATCAAAATCACTTAAAATAATTAAAATACCTAAAAACCATACAAAAATTAATTAAATTTTTTAAAATTGTTGAAAACTATTTACTAAGAATCAAAGATACTGATTGGTTGATAATCTTTATACCTAATGCACCGTCAAATGAAATAATTAAAGAAATAGGAAGAATAGCGTATTCATAAAAACTTATTGCATATCTAATAAGGCTATGGTAAATTTTCATTTTGTATTTTTTGTTATTTTAGTAAAAATTTATTATATCGATAATAATAAGCAAAAATATAAAAATATTAATAAGAGGAACTATTATAAGCATAAAAGAACTCTATAATATGTTCTGAGGTATTAAAAATCTTGTAATAATATTTTAGATTTAGAAAATACCATCTTAATCAATTTATTTCTTTTCCTTTTTTGGTATATACATCTAATACTAACATAAGGATTAAAATAAGAGGAGAAGTAAAGAAGGTACTTATGTCCTTTGCTTATTATTATTTATCAAGCTAAACTAGTTGAGATAATATTTCTTAAATAGATTCATCGGCTTTTTCACTTAATATTTTATTTTTTTTAAATAGGGAATGAATTTTTAAAAATTAATTATATTTATTAAGCTAACTCAGAGGAACAAGTAATTTATTGTAAATATGTAATCTAATATGGTCTATTTATCTATCTATCAATCAAGAAATTTTATTTATTAAATTATTTAGAGTAAATGTTGAAATTTATATTTTTATTTCATAGAACAATTTAGGATTATATTTATTCACTATTGATTATATTAAGTTAAGCAAATTTAAATCTTAATTCAATTATAAATTAGATCTAGTTCTTGTGGACTTACTACCAAAAATATATTTGGTTAAAGATAACACAAAATAAATTCTTAATTTATCAAAAAGCAACAAGTATTTACTGGATTAATTTTTTATTAAAAAATAATATTTTTCTATCAAAAATGCTTTTTAAGAATAATTGAAGAATATACGAGGTTTTTAAGTCAACTAAACTCAAAGTTTATTTGAAAATTTCATGAAAAACTTGGTAAAAACATTTTTGTTTGTAAAACTCTTAAATACTTTGAAATTTATTACTAATTCATGTGTAATTAAAGATGTTGGCTTACTTAGATTTTTGTTTGCAGTTTTACAGATTAATTTCAATTAAATGCTAAATATGGGAAATCAAACAAAATTAGTGATAAAAAATTAATTTTTCAAAATAGTTATTTTTATTTACATCAAGCATTTTGTTAAGTTAATAATGTAATTTAAATCAGAAATCATCATTTATCAAAAATTAAAATATCATTTATGATAATTTTACAATAAACCAATCACTTCAATTTATAGACTTAAGTATTTAAATAAATTTAAAGATTATGAATAATTTAGTTCTAAACTAGTTTTTTTAATTATATCATAAATTTAATTAGTTGACAATTTAATTTAGATTAGAAATAATTCTACATAAAGATTTAAATTTATATGAAATATGTAATAATTTTAGAGTAATAAATTAACCAAAATTTTATTAATTGAGGAAAGGTCAATTAGTGATTAAAAATAAATTAGTTCAAAAAATAACAAATTTAATAATTTATTAGTTAAAGCAACAATTTAATTTAGAATAGAAGTAATTATTTTTACTAAAATTAAAATGTTGATGATTTATTTTTTTAAATTTACAATTTTTTATAAACACAAGAAACTAGTTATTAATTCAATCTTTTATGTTACAATTGCGAAAAGTATTTTTCATCACACCTCAATTTATTTCTTATAATCTTTAGGATTATCTAAGAATATTAAAATCAAGTGCTATCGAAGGTCTTTTTGAAAAGATTTAAGATTTATTTTAAATTTTCATAGAAGGTGAACTACCTATTGTGTTTTCTGAATTGACAATAGGATTTATATATTTCATAGGAAATTTCTTTTTTATTGGTGATTAAATTTACAAATTTCTCTAACCTTCAACTGAAATAAATGAAAACTTCAATTATTAAATTTACTTCTGTAAATCTTATTTTTTTTTAATTTACTAAAACAGAAAAGGACTTTATTTATTTAAAAATGTTAAATGGTTTTTATCAAAATGATTGTTTTGGCTTTCTTCAACATCCACTTTTTAATCTTTTTTAATTTCATTTGATCCAACTTAATTTAGTGAAGGAAATTGAATCATACTAGCTGATCTTTTAGCATTTGGTCTGGGATTACTTTGTTTAATTGGTAAATTTAAAGCTAATTAGACTTTCTAGTGAATATAGGATTGCATGCTAATTGACTTTTAAGGACTTTTATTTTTAAAGTACTCACTTACAGCTTCTTAAAATCCTTGTTAGGCATCTTGTTATGAATTTATAGGTGATTAATTCGTTGAAGTGGTATTTTACTCTAATTTTACTTATTTGTTAATGCAGCTATTAGCATTTCTGTTTATAAAGAAGTCTAAGTAACTATTTTATCTTACTTTCTTTAAATTTATACTTGTAGATGGTTCGTTAGTATTTTCTAATTTATCTAAATGGTTTTTACTTACACTAATAGTTTTGGTTTTTAGCTCTTTGTTTAAATTCAACATAATTTTTTATTCAATTTTGATTTTTGGGGAATCTCTCAAAATTATTGGCGATTGTCTTTAAGATTAATTTAATTAAATTTTATTAAAAGACTATCTAAATACAATATTTGTTTTAGTGTTAAATCTTAAGGGAGAATCATTTATTTTTTTTGGAGAGATGTTTGTTTTGGAGGGAGATTAAAATTCGCTTTCTTCAGTATTTAAAGATGGTTTTGATTTTGATGATAACTGCTCTTACAATTTATTTATAAAATTATTAATTTGTATTTAATTTTTTTGTTAGATAATATTATTTTTTTGAATAATTGGGATTTAGCCAATCTAATTCTCTAAGTTTTATTGGAGCTCTTTTCCTAAATCAATTATTTAATAGAAACTTTCCTAGTTGATTCTAGATTGAAGTAAAATACTTTGTATTCTTATAACTTTGCTGTTATTCTATGAGCAAATTACACTAAATTATCTTACGTTAGGAGATTTATTTTTGCTTGAAGAGTTATTGACTTTTTGTTCGTGACCAAACAAATCATCTATTTAATTAAAATTAAATTTTGCTTAATATTAAAAAAATTGTTTTACCTTAGTTAAGCTCAATCAACTCTTTTTTCTCATCTGTAAATGAATTTTCTCTTATCAAATCTTAGCTTATCTTATAGGTATATACAAACTGACCTTAAAGAACAATATAAAAGCAATTGTCGTTTTTTTCATTTTAATTTATTACAGCATCATATTTATTAAACGTTAATTCTTCAAAGTATTAGTTGAAAAATTTAGAATCAGCTAAAGAAGCTAAATTAATATCTAAGCATTTGAAATAATTAAAAATATATGATCTAATAAATATTTTTTGAGAGTATAGCTATTATATGTAAGAAAGCTTTACACAAATAAATCTGCATTCTTCACTAGCATAAACAGAGAATTTTCTCTTTTGTTCAAATGAATCAATACAAGAAATGTGCCCAAGCATGTTTCCCACTGTTATTTTCTCAGTAACCTTGAATAAATTTACATCTTGATCTATTTGCTAATTAAAATACACATTTTTGTAAGCTAATCCACAATTCTCTCTAATTAATTTATCATAGGTTTCGTTTTTGTGTAATTATTATTAGATTTATAATTTTAATTGATTATATTAGATTTTCAGTTTTGAAGCATCTTGAGATTGATTTTATAGTTGCTTGATTTGGTTTAGCAGTTATCTTTCATAGTTAAGCAATTATATTTCTTTAGCTATGTCATACTCATCTTTTTCCTCTAATTTAAGAACCTCGCCTTCTAATAGAATATAAAGATAATCTGAAAACTAATCCTTATGAAATAAAAAAGAATTTTTCGGCTAGTAATGATACTCAACTTTTTAGCATAACTACTTAAGTATATTTCTAGAATCTTTTTGATATTCAAAATAATCATAGTGTTACAAAAGCAAAGGGATTTAAGTTGATTAGCTAAGAGGAATATCTTTTTTATAATCATTAATTATATTTAAAATAATATTAGCAAGCATTTTTATATTTTAAAGAAATTTTATTATTTTTTTTGAAAAATCCAATTTTTAGTTAAAATTAATTGTTTATGAAATTATCGTAATAAGTTTTAGCTTATAAATAGGAAAAGCAAATTTAATTAACTTGCTTGTTCACTAGAATTAAAAAGTTTTTCAAACGACAAAATTAATAACAAATATTGGCCTTGATTTTAATCTTAAAAGAGCAAATTTAATTTTCTTTTTATAAAAAATTATAAATGAGTAAAAATTAAATAATTTCTAAATAAGTTCTTCAATAAAAGTTAGAAAAATGTTTTTTTATTTAAGTATGACAACAATTTTTTTATAAACAATAAAAATAATTAGTATATTGAAGAAAATATTTTTTTCTATTACTATAAAATCCTTGATTTATTATCGTTTGCAATTTTATACTTTAGCAAGCCACCAATTAAATTACTGTAAGCATATAATTTTTTAAATTTAAAAGAAAAATAAGAAAAAATGTTCAAATTATTTTCACACTCAACTATTTAATAAATTTATTAAGTATATAAATTATGTATTTACTATAGATATTATTAAATTATTTTATGTATATAAAATTACAAGATTAAATTCAAATAAATTCTAAGAGTAAATAAATATATTGTTTAATTATTTTATTCTAAAAAAATCTCAAAGTCATCAAAATTTAAGTATTCTAATTTCATCTATTTTTAATTAATATTGGTTCATTACTTTATTGTTTGTTTTTTGCCTGATTAAATAAATTCTTTTTTAATAGTAGGGTCATTGTTTTATTTAATTTAGTCTAGAGTATGATATTATGTTTTGTAGAATAAAAATAATTTCTTTATTTATCCACCATATCAATTTATTATACATATTATAACACATTTTTATTTAAATAAAATAAAAAAATCTTATCATCTGTTTCTTTAAACATATCTATTTCTATTATGTAGACACTTAGGTCCTTAAAAAACCTCTTTAATTAACATTTTCAGAGATTTTAGGAACATTTTTTAAATTTATAGCTTTTTTAATGATTTTAATGTTAATTTACTTAATATTTTAATAATTTTAAATAAACTAAAATATAAATTATTTGCTTCTAAATAAAACTTAACTTATTTTTTAAAATAATTTTAAAATTTAAGTTAATTTTATGAATTTAGCTTAAAACAATTAAAATATTAATAATAATTTACCAAAAATTTTATTTAAAATTAATAATTTGATATTTAGTAAATAAAAATTTAAAATCAATAAAAAAAAAATGTTTTTGATAATTTATTAAAAAATATTTCATTTTATTGTGTACTTAATGTATTTAATTTTTTATTAAAAAAGTGAATCACTTTATTTAAATTTTTATCTAAATAGATAATGTCTTATTATTAAAGTTTTAGCTTTTAAATATTTTAAAATAGTAAAATTTGATTACCATGATAAAAAGATAGAGGATCAATAGAAATGCGTAACAAAGATATACATTTTAAAATAATCCTTTTTAGATGAAAATTTTGTTTTTTTACCAATACTATAAAAATAAACAGAAGACAAAAACTTTTTAAATATTTAAAACAATTAAAAGTTGTTTTAAAAATTAATAAATAAAGTAATTTAAATTTAAGAAATTAAGTATTCAAAAATAAATATTAAAAAAAAAGTTAGTTATATTTTTAATAGCTATTTTAAATATGTAATTTTTCTTTTGCCTTATGCAAGATTTTGAATGAGTAAATTTAATAGATTTGAAATTTCATAAAACAAATAATTTTTTTTTCAGTTTTTTTTACTCTTTTTTAAAAAAAATCTATTTTCTCAAAACTATTTTCTAACAACTAAAATATTACTGATTTATTTTGTATTTAGCTTTACACAAATTTAAGTTAGATTAAATATTTTTATTTATTTATTTTAAAAATTATATTATTATTATAAAAGGAAAAAAACTTAACTTAAAATAAATCAAAATGTAGGGTGTTTTATTTAAACGTTCTACTAATATACTATATCTTAAATGATTCCCAAGAAAGAGAATAGCAGAATACTTTAAAAATAATCAATACAGCATTAGAGAATACAAAAAAATATTCTAACTAATTTAAATTAATTCAAGCTTTCAATCAGCATAATGTTTAGAATTTGGAAAAAATAGGGTGTAAAATCCTAAGTTCTTGGTACAGTACTACCTATTTATCAGAAATAGTAATATATTTACAAATTCTGTTTAAATATTGTCTTACAGATGGAAAAAATTGCTTTTTTAGATGAAAATGCCATTTTGAAATTGAAAATTAAGGTAATATATTAATAAAATATCTTTAGTAAATTTATTAATCTCTATAAAAATGCTCATAAGCAAGGTTCAAACGAAACAGACTATTATATATTTGAAAATAGAAAAATTTACTATTTTTAAATTTTTACAAGTTTGAATGGTTTTTAAAAATATGAAATGAAATTTATTCATATTCATGCTGCTTAACTATTTGATTTAATATTCAACTTTTAAAATTTACATATATAATTAAATAAATGGCCTATAGATAAAATATTTATTAGCATATTTTGATAGACATTAGTTTTAATAGTTAATTTAAAAACTAATGACTTTTTGCTTTAGAATATATTTAATTTATACTTTTTAGAATCGGTAATAATTAATATTCTTTTATCTTAGCAATAGGATTACTACCCTAATGATTTCTTACAAAAAAATAATCAAACTGGTTTTGTTAAAATAAGAAATTTGTATATTTATTTACTTGCATATTAGAAAACAAATTTCGAAACAAATACTCATTTAGTTTAACTCAAAAATTTATACTTATGTATGTTTAATTTTTTTTTGTTTAGATAAAGTAGTTTTATACATTTAAATGAAGATAATTTACGTTTTTAAATTTTACAAACTAGAGAAATGATATAAAAATGTATCATAAAAAAACAAAGAAAAATATTTATTTTTGATTTCAGTTTTGAAAACTAAAGCCAGATCTAGCTAATTTTATGGAATTATTTAAAAAAATGGAGAGTAAATTTAATAAAATTCAAAGTTATAATTAGTAATACTGAATAATGTAAGCTAAAATAAATTTTTGTAATATGTTGAAATTATTAATAATTTATACTTAAAACTTGATTGAGAATAACAAGATAAAAAATTAAATATTTCATTCTTACTATCTATTTTGGTGATTAAAATTTTAAGATTAGCATTTGTATCTGAAAATTTTTGAATGCCTTGAAATCAAAAAATAAAAGACTGAAATCAAAATGAGAAAAATTAGAAATCCTCAGGAAGGGGTCCGTCCTATAAGCTTTTGAGTTATAAAATTCTTTGATGAGCCTTGGTTGCCAAAATAATTAGATTCATCAAAAAGATGTGTGTGAATATTCGCTTAGATGAGAATAAAATACTAATTAAAAAGAAAGAGAAAGCAAGTGTGGAAAAAAACAACAAAAAATTTCTTTTAAGAAACAATTAAAAAGTTAAAAACAAAAAAATAAATTTACTTAAGTAATGAGCACAAATAAAAGAAAGCAACTCTACAAGATTATCATCTTAGGTGATTCTGGGTAAATGATCCATACTAATTCTTAATTGCAGCGATTGACATTTTTAATTATATTTCAGGATTATGTGCTATTTTATCAGCATAATAAGCTTGAAAATTGTGATTGTGCAGAAATTCATCTATTAATTTTTTTAACCCATTTTTATTAAAATAAATAGTGTAGGAAAGACTTCTCTTATGAACCAGTAAAATGTTTTTACAGTTATTAGCATTAAAATAAATAGTTGGGCTGTTAAATAGTCTAAAGATCAGAATAGCAGAAATTTATTTTTTTTTTTGTTTTATTACAGGTACGTCAACTAGCGTTTTACTCAACAATATAGAGCTACAGTTGGTGCTGATTTCATGGCTAAGGAAGTCACTATTGATGATCGTATGGTTACATTACAAGTAATTAATATAACAAATTTTCAGTTATTTATTAAGTTCTAGTCCAAGAATTATTTTGCCCATATGATAGAATTGTTATTTTATCTATAAAGCAGCATTCATTTTTGCAGCAAATCTTAAATATAACTACATCATTGTTATTGATTAGTCATTAATAAAATTTTTAATTTTTGATAAAAATAAATATTCGTTTATAATTATTAGATTTGGGATACCGCTGGTCAAGAACGTTTCTAATCCCTCGGTGGTGCTTTCTATAGAGGTGCTGACTGCTGTGTTTTGGTCTATGATATTACAAATAAGAAGGTAATTAAATAAATATTTTATGCATAAAATAAAGTTAGCAGAATTATAATTTGTTATCTGAAGATCTTACTTGAAGATAAATATTTACAAATTAGCACAAGTTTTCAAATATTTTTAAATCAACATTTTTTTTATAAAAATTATTTAGACCTTTGAAAACTTAGAAAGTTGGAAAGAAGAATTTAAGCAACAAGGTTGCCCTAAAGATCCTGACACTTTCCCATTTGTTGTTATTGGAAATAAAAGCGATAAAGCATCAGAAAGAAAAGTTGAAACTGAGTTTGCTCAATAATGGTGCAAATCTAATGGAGACATTAAGCACTTCGAAACATCTGCCAAGGATGATACTAATGTTAATGCTGCTTTTATGGCTATTGCTAAGGCTGCCTCCTCTTAATTCTAAGAAGATGCCATGTAATTTTACTAGAATTTAATTATTTTAGCTTGTTCAATAGTAATGAGAAAATCAATATAAATTCACTCAATAAGTTTACATTAAATGGAGTTCATAATATGAAATATATAAATAAATGAATAAATGAGTATTGATTTCATCATCTAAAAAACGAAATTTATACACAATTAAAAACAATAAATTAATACCCTATGAATAAAATATTTAACTTTAATCTTTAATTATTAAAAGCTTCTTCCCACCAAAGCCTGTTGTTTTGTAAACTGATAAGGCCAAAAAGAAAGAAAAAAAGGATGACTGCCCTTGTTGATTGAGAAAAATGAAAGCATCTGACTTTTAAAACATTATAATTAAATAAAAAAATAAAAAATTTATATAGGATAAATGGATTATGAGAAATTATTTGAATTAGCAAGTATAACAAATTGAAAATAATAAGAATGCAAGAGTTTGTATTATATATTGATGTATTAACTGTATCTTTTTTTTCCATAATCTTAGAGCTATATTTTTAAAGTTCGCTCTTTTCTATACTCATTTACACACACAAACGCATTTTTTTAATTGTATATTTATTTATAGCTTGATTCAATATGTTTTATTTTTATTGGCTAATATCTACCTATTTTTTACACATACTTTTCAAATAAAATAAGTTTAAAAATTATATAATTAAATCAGAAGAAAAAATATAACACGTGAGGAGCTAGCTATTTTTAGAATAAATTAATTAAAAAATACAAATAAATATCCAATTTTTTATTTTTTGGATATTTAATGCTCATTAAATAAATAAATTTTTAAATATTTTTTATCTAATTGTTTTAACAAAAAAAATAATATACAATGTATAATTTGGATACCTAAGGGACAAAACTTTTGACCAAAATATACATGTGCCAAGTTTATAGATGCATTTTATAATGAAAAAGTTAAATTTTTGATAAGAACTTTTGCCCACTTTTAATTAAAGCATCTCAATTTATAAGGGTACCATGTAGAGCATGTTTTAATGTACTAATTAAGTATAAAATCATTATTTTTAGTTTAATAATAAATAATCTATAAAATTTAACCTTATTTAATTAGTTTATAAATAAAAAAATATTTACAAGGAAATATAAAGTAAAGGGTTTAAATATTTTAAATTTAGAAATATATTTTATTTTAAAGTTAGTAAGGGTGTTAGTTAGTTTTATTCATTTTTATTTGTTAATATAACTCATTAAATATGGATTTTCGATTATTTAATCGACATCAATTAAGGTGAGGTAATTCTTACTTTTATTAAGATTGTTTGTTATACTTTTGTAAAAATTGTACCAACCAAAATAAAAAACTATTGTTAGTGACAAGCATTAGAAGACTAAAAGGAATGTCTAAATTGTAATCATATAATTTAGATAATCGTTATTTCGATTAACTAAGAAATCTTTCATTACTGTAATAACCTGTATCAAAAAATATGAAAACTCATCAAATTCTTTGAGGTCAAACGATTATTACCAACTGAGTATTTCCTTTTAGAGCACTGTTTAATCTTTGATGCTCAAAATATCATATAAAATTGGAAATTAATCTAAGAAATATTTTCCTGATATTTGGAATCCTTTCGTCAAAATAGAATTTCTTGTTTTGCTGCAAGTACTAAAATTGAAATTTAAGTAAGTTTAATTATAAAACTATGGATAATCTCTAAATGCCTCACACATGTTTCCATTTAAGATTTTAAATAAAAATTCATTATAGTATTCCATTTAATATCTATCAGTCATTATCTACTAACCAACTACATTATTTAAATTAGTTTGTTTCTTCACATTTAAGGAAAAAAATACAGGTATTCTAACTTTGTAATAGTTTGGATCATATAGATTGTTGTTAGGGACCAATTTATAGTATAAATAGGAATAGTTTAAGACTAAATTGCTACAAAAATGAGCTTTCAAGTCGTATAAAGTACCTAATAAAAATAAATTAAATAATTTAAAAACTTATATTAATTGATAAAGAATTTTACTCAGTAAGTCGATATTTATAAGAGCTTGATCATTAAAAGATTTAATCAAAATTACATTCGTAATGGGCTAAATAATCAATGCTATTAAAGCTAATAAGCAATATATGACATGCTTAATTTGAAGTTTGTTTATTGTAGTTGTTTGAGAAATACTTTTTTTCTTTTGATTTATAGAAATTAAATTTGAAGAAAAATCTTATTTGTAGGCTAGCTATTTAACATCATTTTATTTACTTTATTTGAAATTTTCATGCTTAAGCTTTGAAGTAAAGTTCTACAATTAGTTTTTTGTCTTAGAATTCTTTTTATCTTACTAAATTGTAAATTATAATTTGTAACTATTCAATTTTATAGCTGAAATTCTTAAATTTTAAAGAACATCCTAGAGGTGTTATGGAGGAATCGTAGCAAACAATTTTAATATCTCCTCAACTTAGTTTTATATAAGGTAATTAGCAGGTAAAATACCAGAAATAACTATAAAAGATAGTATTATGATAACTTCCATTACCAGAATACTTTAATCATAAATTCCTTGTAAATCATCTCTTGTTTTTTATTGAATATTTGTTGCTAATGTTGATATTTGTGTACTAAAACTTACAAAATTAGATAAAACAGTACCTTCTTCATTATATTCATTGTATACAAGAGTGCTTAAACGATTTACTGTTGTAAAATAGTTGTAAATATACGCTTAAAAAGATATAGTTTAATTAAATTATTTATTTTTTTAACTAAATTAGTCTCTCATTTAAACATAATTTAATTTGAAATTTGTAACATTTTAAAAATATGTCAATTAATTCTAATCTGAACTTAAATATTGCTTATATAGATAGTTATATTCATTTATTTCATCATTTATCCTCTTATAATGTTCTAGACCGTAATCCTTCCATTACTAATTCACTCCTGGAAAGATGTTTGAGTCTACGAATTTGATAAATATTACATATTCCAAATTTTATGATAAAACAGCTCTTAGAGACATAGGCCAAGGTATCATTTAAAAGTCAATCTTTTCTAATGAGAATTCAGATGTCATGGTTAAGTATTAGTATAAAGTCATTGTAATTAAAGGAATTATTGATATTATGGTTAAAATATTTAAAAATGTTATCAACACTCCTTTTTTAGTGCTTTTTATCTTTTAGTAAATTGTTCTCTTCAATTCGTTCGAATGTGATATAGAACTTTTTATTGAAGTAGTGGCTCCCTCCTTCAAATTTTAACTCTTTCTTCCCATTTTGTCTCCTTTAGATTTTAAATTACTGTCATTTCGTTTTTCTAGTGTTGAAATGTTTGAATTCAGTTATTCTTCTGCTTCTATTTTGCGTATTTTATCTGGTTTTAAATGGCATTAGTTAAATAAGTCAAATTGCCAAATATTAAGTTAGTCTTCAACTTTTTCTGAAACCTTATTCTTAATCTTAGTTGGACTTAAATTAATGTTTTATTCTTCTGTTGAAGTATCTTTTATCCCAGGGATAAAATCTTGAGAGTAAATCAAGTTTTCATTAGATTAAATTTTTACTTTACTTAAGGTTATATTATTTTAGGATGTACTAATCTTTTAAATTCTCGGGGATATCAGAGTTGTGTTAGAAATCATATTTTATCTAGGTGAAGAAACAGAGAATAAAGCACATGGTGATTAAGGAAAACCCTTTTAGTCATATTAATCTGTGTCAAAAATTTACTTCGAAATGGTTTAATTTTAGAAATGTATTTAATTATGATAGAGAGGAGTTGAATCTAGGTGCTTAATAGATTCAACATTGTAATAATTATTCAAAGGTACAAAGCTAATTTATTCAATATCATTAGCACCCTGCTAATTTTATAAATTAATTAGCTTTCTATGATGGTCATCATCTAGGATGTCTAAACTGTGAGATTAATTTACTTCATTTAAAATTTATTCTAAAAAAAGGTTGAATTAATTAATTGATAAATTAACTTGAAAATAAATTACATTCTTATGGAGTATCATATTGCTCTTCAAAAATTGGATTTATTGAGCTTTTGTAGACAAAATTAGGAATTTTTATCTAAAATATAGTTTGAAATTACATTTGCGCTTATTAAAATGCATCTTTAATTTCTAACTCAGATGTTATTTATCGAAATTATTCAATTTCCAAAATGCATAATTTTTGATAAGCTTCATTGATAAAGCTTAATTTAAAATTTAATAAATAGATTTTTAGGTATGGTTTATTTGCATAATCCTCTAATTCTTTGGATAGCTTACTTAAATTAAATTATTTTGTTAAGCTAAATTTGATCTATGAAGTTATTCCTTTATCTGGTAGAAAAGCAAATGTTTATATGTAATTTAACTGTTGCAGGTTTTAAAATTTTTATTTGTCAGTAAGGTATAAAAGAGCTGGGATTATTCTACATAAGGGAATTTACATTAATTCTTTGATTGAAAAAATTTATGAGAAATGCGAATTATAGAAAGGCTAGCTGATAGCTTATATTTTACTGCTTTCTACATCTAATAACATAAAATTATTATCAGATAAGTTTTGCTTTATAACGCAAGATAGGCCTAACTCATTGTAGTCAGCGAGATATTCAATCTGCATTCTCAAGCTAATTGGAACAGCCCAACCTTACTTATTTATTGCTATTTATAATGGAATGTACTTTCCAGAAAAGGATTGATTCAGTTGATCAACTTAATTTATGTAATTGCTAATGTGTCTGTTATGATACTATGAAATACAACTAGGGATGATTGTATTTATTGATTAGCCAACGATTTCTGTATAGCCAAACAAGTCAGAAAAGTTTTTTTAAGCTTATATAACATACCCAACTTAAATACCTGTTATCCTTAAAAATAAAACACAACTTTTTTCTTAAAATAACTCTTCTTTCTTGAAATTATAAAATTATTTCATGTTTTCTTCATTTTGAGTAACTTAGTCTTGAATTTTCTTCTAACTTTCCATTTCATTTTAAGCTTCTTTTGCTTTAAGATGATAGGAAAATTTAGTTAAAGTTGAATAACTTTCTAAAAAGGCAAAAGAATCTAGATATTCCTATTAAAGGAACATAAAAGCGGGGTGCTTTGAATTTATTCTTAATAATTCAACGATATTAGCCTTTAGTTAATTCCTCAGTTCTACCAATTTATCAGATTCCAGTGTAAGATTTATTAGATTAATTTAATCACTATTGATTAGATCGTACAATTTAAATTTTTACTATAACGATTATTCAAATTTGTTAAATGTGTGGTTCATTATTTTTTCATAGTTTAAAGCTACAAAAAAATCTAATTTATTACTTTTATTCTTGAAAGATTCTTTGATTCTTTCTATCAAATAAAATGCATACATTTATTCTCTTAATGAGATACTCTTTTCAAATATCATTTTATTAAGTTCATATATACATTACACTCTCGAACCACAAACTTCTAGTAAATAAGTGCAGTAACTTAAATCCAAATTCGTATTTGATTATTTTCTCATTTTTAAGTTTAAGTTTCTTCCATTTAACAATTGCTTCTTTACAAAATGTTAGGTGAAAAGCATTCTATTTTTACCATTGATTGTGTTGTCTATATATTCTTGTTTGCTTTCTTCCTAAGATTATTAGATTACAGTATTAAATAAATTAAAATCTACATCAATAACGTACCTTATAGTTGCAAAAGCAATAGGGATATTCAGTACAAAACTATAAATGCTGAGTTCCTATCTCTTCCAAGACTATAGAATTCGGATTCTAGTTATACTTTGAAAAAGAAAATGAAAAGCTAGCCTAAATATTTCTACACAGCTAGATTAATTTCAGAGGGCTGATATCTTCTTTAAATTCGCTAACATTAATTTCTCTAAGGCTTAAGTAATTTTTTTCTATTAAAGAAGATAAAAGTAAGGAAACTGGTAGTAAAATTAACTGCGTAACAATAAGAGAAGTATTGATTTGATGTTTTCTTTGAAGAAAGATTGTAATAGAGAGTGTGGAGAGCAAAATACTACAACTGTTATCAACAATTCTTATAAGTGAGCAGTTATATTAGGCTAAGTAAACAGAAGTAATTAAATAAATTAAATAATAAAAAAAGGTAATTAATTCCTAAATATCTGTTTTGACTACTTATGAATTGAATAGTAAAACAATAATCATTAATAGTTTAACAATATAGAGCTACCAGCTATTTAATCTAGCCAAGCAATCTTCCTTATTTTCTTTGATATAGAACGAAAAATCATTCAAACAAATACTAAGTTCTATATTTTAAAAAATAAAAATAAACATATAAAATTAAAATAATATAGGTAATATTATATATTTTTTCCCATAAATAATAACATAATTTAGTTATTAAATACTTGCTAAATTTATTAATTTAGTGTTGTGTAATCTAACATTTTTTGATTGATAAAAAGTATTTAATTGTCAAAATTATGTTAGCAGTCCAAAAATTTCTGAAGTTTTCTCACTCACTTTGTGTGAATAAATAATTTTGAAAGAATTACATATTAGAATGGTGAAAATCATGTTAATTGAAGCTACAATTTTTTAGGAATTTTAGAGACTAATTATAAAGCTTGGTATTAATAAGCAATATTCATAATATCCTAAAAAGAAGCTAATTATATATGAAGTGTAGTTTCTAATTCCTTTCTTTTAAGTTTAGTTATTAGAAGGCTAAATAATAAATAAAATTAATTCTAATATTATCAATGAAATGATCAAAAAGTTGATAGCTAAAAATAAGTAGCAAAACTAGTTTTCTTTATTATTGTAATTTATTTCAAAAGACATTAAATTATTTAGCATTTTATTATTCTTAATATTTTATGATTCAACAAACTCTAGTAATATTTAAATATTCCAAAAATATTAAACAATCAGAGCTATAATGCTTAATGGTAAGTTCCTATTATGTGTCCTTTAAATTTTATAGTATTATTACAAGTAAAATTCTTTGATTCTCATTTTCTAATATTCAATCTAATCTTTTTATAAAAAAATGTTTGTTTATTTAATTAATTTTTCAATATAAATTCTAAAAATTTAGATACTCTGTACAAAACTATTTAATGAAAATGAACTAAAGTCCTTTGCATTGTAAATTACAGAAATTAAATAGTAACTGTGCGTATATGTTTTAATATTAAAAAACATTCTTTTAATAATACTTTAACAGAATAAATTAATAAATTTAATATCACTTTTAAAAAATTTGGGAAAACTTTTTGCCCAAAAAAAAATCTGTAATTATTGTAAGAAATTAGATTAGGTAGCGTGAATAACTAAAAATTAATTAGAATGCTTTTATGAGAAAACATCTGTTTGAGTTGCTAAGAATAAAAATAAGAGGAATAAAATCAAACAGTAATAATAAATTTATTATTTTTGTTCAATTTCTATTTCCTAATCCTAAATTAATAAAATATAAATCTATTAAAAGTATGAAAACACGCAAAGAAAATATATTTTTTGAAAAAACTAAATAGCTTGTTTAAAATTTGTTGCTTAACCTCCTTTTTCTCTGATTATTTTCTAGAAAAAAATAGGAAAAAATACTAATTTATGAAAATAAGTTAATTTATTTAACACAATTTTTGTAGTTAAATTAGTTATTTATTGACTTTCTAATGATTAAAAAGCTCTGAAAAAACATTATATACCTTAAATTCTAAGAATAAAAATATCCTACTGATATTCTTTTAGTATTTTACTCAAATGAGTTTATATTAGATATTTTTAAGATTTTTTGTAAAATAAACCTAGCAAAAAAGGTTAAAATTTACCAAATTATATAAGTTTAGATTTTTTTATTAAAAAGCTTTATATGTTAATTCATTCATATTATGTAAATAACCTGTCAACCTAGTTTAACATTTATTAGACCATTAAAATTAACTTCTTTCATATAAGCTTAATTTTTTTTACATAAAACTATAAATACTTTCTCATATAAATAATAATTAACTCGCTCAATAATGAAATTAATATTAGAATATTAAAATACTTTAAGCAGGGGTTACTTTATATAATTATACTTTTCCTTTTTATTAACATTAGTAACCATAAATTAATAAATATTTAATTTTGTTGATAAATTTGTAACTCCCTAATCTAATTTTAAAATACATTTAAAAAATATCTTTTTTTATATTAGAATATTTTAAATAAACTCAAATTAAAAAATTTTATTCAATATTTTTTAAAAATAAAGTACAAACAAAAAATTACTTTAATTAATGAAATAATTAAAAAATAATATCTTTAGCATCTCAGTTGATAAAGTAGTATTTATTTAGACTTAAAATATTTAATGATTGTATTTTTTTGTATTATGAAAAAGGTCTATATTATATTATCTACAAGCAAGCCTTGATTATATGATTATAAAAATATCCAAAAAGCAAAAAAAATTGAATTATTTTCGCACTTTCAAGCTTATACATTTCTTATCTCTTGATAAATTAATTAAAACATAATAGAAAAATTATTTAGCAACATTATATATTGCTTATAATGAGTTTTAATAATAGCTGAATGATAGATTGAGTGTTTATCTATGAAAAATTATTTTTTGCTATAATTATAAAATATATTAAAAAGGTATTTTCCAATTAATTTATTCAAACTAATTAAGTATCAAGTAGATAGGTTGATTGATTGATATATTTTATTAAGGAAAGTACCTATATTTTATTATTAATAAATTCATATAAAATATGCAATCTCAAATTTATTAGTTATTGATTGAAATAGATACAAATCACCTCAATCAGATCTTCAAAATTAATATAAAACTCATACTAAGTAGAATGATATTCTGTAAAGAATTTCTTTTGAATCATTTACTGATCTTTTTTCCTTCTAAGAAAGTTTGTGCACATACAAGCAAGCTTTAATAATAATTAATTTTGCAGCATTTATTAATAAAAAAATTTTTTCTATCCAAAATAAAATTTTTGTATTAATAGAAAGAGGTAATCAATAAATATAAAAATAAATCTCTATCTATTTAAATAATAAAACATAATTAAAATAAAATATAAGATGGATATGCTTTAGAATAGTGATTTCTTTTTTGTTGTAGAATCATTTAAGATATTTTTTGAGAAGGTTTTAACAGCGATTCATGACCCAAAAGGTATTGCCATTTAAGAATGGCTTAAATTCAAGGATAAATTAACAGCAAAGGATGCAACTCCTTCATCTATTTATTGCTACGCCCATTAGTTAGTAATTTCAGAATCTTAGTAATAAGGTGAGAATATCGTGAAGTTAAAGCGTCAATCTTCCAGAAGAAATTCTAAAAAAGCCAACACACCCCGTAAAATAACTCGCCGTAATTCATTTGGTTCAGAATCTCCTCTTAACAAAAATGACAGTCTCCCCAAAGATGAAGGATCATTAGCACTAGCAACAAATACTGTAAGTAACCCTTCTAACTTTTCAGCAGCCACATAAGCTTAAGCTGGAAACGGTAGCTAGCAATCGGAAAAAATGAATTAATACAGTCCTTGGATTGATAATGATCGTAAAAAAAATCCCTCACCTGCAAAGCGTATCACAACAAACGAGATCTAGTAGGTAAAAGGACTTGACGAGTTGAGTAAAATTAAAGATACCAAGTTGACTGAATAATAGGAAACAACAAGAAAACTTTTGCTTGAAAAAGTGAAAAAGTGTGTTGAACAATTTTAGAAAGATAGCACAAGTCTTGATCTTATTAATGATCGTAGTTTCCAAACCTAAACCATGATTATTACAGACTCTAGCAAACGTAAAGTTTATGATAGAGGAATTAAAAGGCAAGATAGTAAATTCATCCGTGAATTCTCAATTTACAAGAAAAATAATCCAAATGCTGTCTAAGGAAACACCCCAGGCTCAAAAGAACCAACAAGCTAATTTGCAAAAGAATTCTAAAAAGATTAGCCTGATTAATTTGCTCCAACTGCATTATAGCCTTCATCTAATGCAGGCGCTAATGCTGGCAATAATAACATTCTTCTTGGATTATAAATTGACTATATAAAATCAAAGAATAACCCAACATAGCCTGATTTTTATAGCACTGCCGGTTATGGAGTTTTAGGAGCTGGTAACACTGGAGGAATAACAGGATTACTAAGCACTCCTTCAACAGCAGCAAATTATCTTGGAACTACTTCACAAAAGAACCAAACTATGACTTATTAAACCAATCCAGCTCTTTACATGCCTTCTCATCACAAATCTGCTAACTCAGCTGGAGGCAATACTGGACTTATAGGAACAACCACAACAACAACTACTGGAACAGGTATTACTTCAACAAACACAGGAGTTTTAGGAAATGACGATAGTAAAAAAGGTATAGATGATATTGTACAACGCATTTTGAAAGAATAGAAAGCAAAGGAAGATTAAGACAAGTTAAATTAGAAAAAGTTAGAATAGGATAAAATGGTTTAAGAAATTTTAAACAAGCATAAGTTATAATAATAGTAGGGTTCAAGCACAAGTTATCAAACTACCTCTGTAACTAGCTCGATACCAAGCTACACACCTTCTACAACTCCAAATTCCTATCAATATCCTTCATCCATCACTACTGCTGCTACTTCACCTTACTTGACTTCAAGCCCAATTAAAGGTTTAACTTCTATAAATACCACAACAACTACTAATAATATCGGAAATCCTGTTTCATATGCAGGCACATATGGTATATCCTCTTTGCAATCATCAAATAATACACAGAAATGAATTCTAATAATATTTTAGGAAAAAGTCATTTAGAAATAATCAATGTAAGAGAAGTATATAAATAAATAAATAAATTCACTAATTTTTAACAAAACAATAAATAAATACAATAAAAAATAAGTAAATAACTCAAACATGCAAGAACGATAATTTTGTCATATTTACCAAAATATATCAATCATATTTATTTGCTTTTACAGATTTGTTTTACATGTAATTTACCTAATTACTTTCTAAATATATTAAAATTAATATGTTTTTTATACAAAGAACTACATTTCTTTACATTTATTGCTATCTATCTTTATTCAAAAAGTATTTATTTTAGGATTAAGTAGAATACTTGTAACTTTTTCTGATGAAAATTAAACTATTTGTGAAATTAATTTACATAAGATTATTTAATCTTAAAAAATTTGATTTATTTAATTTTCAAGACATTGCTTTTGCTATAATTTTAGTAATTAAATAACACTTTTTACTAAAACTTCTAAATTTGATAGTAAATAAAAGAGAAATTATTTTTATTATAAAAATGAAATCTTTTATAAGAGAGCTAATTGTTGCAGCTATTTTATTTATAATCTGTTTTTAAGTTTGTTTTACATAGACATAAAATGAAAAACAAATAGAATAAGAATTTAAAAATGACTTTTAAAATCTGGATGATATGATGAAAGAAATTGAAGACCTAACTAAACTACTCTTGGAAGAATCAAAGTAAATTTCAATATTAAAATGATAATTTATACATTAAAATAAATATTAGCGATTTAGACACTGAAAAAATTGGAAGTATAGAAGATAAATTAGCTTCCTTAAAGATTGACATGGATAGCGTAGAGTCTAAATGGAAGGATTTTTCTGAAAATTAAAAAGATAGGAAAGAATCTGATACTAAAATTAATTAAAATGATTAATAATAAGAAGATAATTAATAAAAAGTTTAAGACAAAATAAATAAAGCGGATTTGTGATATTTATTTTAATCAGCGATCAAAATTTATTATAAAATATTCTTTATCTAAAATTTGATTCATGCATAAATTCTATTAGTTATTTTTTTATTAAATTGTTTATTTTACTTATATATATCCAAACTAGCAAACACTTTTACCTACTTATATATTTTTTATTTCCATTTATGCTTTACATTATTAAGTATATTTGTCATTTAATTAACATTTTATATCTTTTCTATTTATTTTTACAAAGTAAATAATAAAAATAATATTTTGCTTTTCGTTTAGATTTAAGTGTTAAAATAAATTAATTTTATATTCCATTAATTTTGATATCATAGATACTTTATTTAATTGAGTATTATTTTTTTTGAGAGACTGTATTGAACAAAGAAGAATAGAAAAAGGCTTCATTAATTAAAGAAAGAAAGATAATTTTTTTTTCAAATATAAAAATATTGAAAAGCTTAAGAAGATAATTTGTTAATTATATAACATTATCTAAATATTAAACCCAATATAATTTTTTGATGTAAAGACAGTAAAATTTAGTGTTTTTATTCAGTGATTGGCTAATATAAGGCAAACAATTTAATTAACTTAGATTCAAGTAATTAATAAATAAAAAATCCTAAAATTTGTATAAAATACTGGCGTTTGATAAAAATTGCTAAAATTTTAATAGTTTTGTAAGAATAGCATTACCAAAAATATAAAACTATTGAGAAAATATTTTAAAAGATTTATTGATCATGGATGAATTTTATACAAAATGTTTAGAGATAGGTAAGGCTAATAAGATAAAAGAATCATAAACATAACTAAGCTAATTTTTACGCAAAAATAGCTACTTTCGTCCATATGAAAAAACAAATACTAACTTAGATCTTTACACTAGAAACTATAGCTAATTCCTAAGATATGAAACTTTCTAAATTGGAAAAATTATTTATACTATAAGTCCTCCAAAGCAGTTTTATATAATTTAGGGAAGAGCTCTTGTTGTAACTCCTAAGAGGGAAAGCAGTCAGCTTTTATTTAACAACTACATAGAAAGGGTTGTAAAAAAAATTAAAAAAGGTAACTTTCGTTTAGATGAAGAAGATGAAGATTGTCCATCAAAAGATTATTACAAAAATCAACTTATACTAAAACCCGGAGATGGCTTTGGCGAATTATAGTATACAAGATCAGTAATAATCGCTATAGATGAACTGAATGTCTTTACATGTTTGAGTAACCATTATCAAAAATGCTTCGAATTAATTTTAACTAGAAATACTTTTATTACTGAATGTCTAAATAAAATTTTACCTCTGGTTGAAAAAAATGAAATAGCTAATGATATAGCACCTTAATTTGTTGAGCATTCTATTTGTTCGTTTGAGGATATTTTCAAGAGGAATGAAAAGATATCATACTTTTATTTATTAAGATAAGGATTTTGTGAAGTGTATATAGATCAAGCAGATACCTAAGAAAGTGATTATTAAAAGAGCCCCTCGATATCTATAAAATAAGGTGATTTATTTGGACATGAAGATTGTACTGGATCCTCAAATTTAAGAGTATTTTCTTGCCGTTCAATATCACCTAATACAGTTATATATGCTATTGATAAAGAAGCATTAATGAACAATAAAAACTAAAAAATAAGAAGCCTCATTTTAAACAATGCTTTCTCGAAATATCACTACTATATGCAAAATTTTAAGTCTAAAGGGTTGTAAATTAGATAAGAGAAGAATATCATGGTGCGTACTTCATAAACTAATTTGTCAAATTTATCACAATAGTTTCTTCCAGCTGCTTAAAATTAACCTACTCAAAGTACTCCAATTATATCCTTAAGTAGCACATAAAAGTAAGAAAAAATATTTTAGTCTCCTTAGAACTAAAAAGTGATTAATAGTGCACGTTTAACAATGACCAGTGAAAAATTTTCAAGTGAAACGAAAAACTCTCTAAATTAATCATAATCTAATTTCAAAATAAATACTTTCAAAAGTGGATTTTAAAGTAACTTGGACAATAAATCTTTAATTTAGAATTAATAAAAAAAAGGCTAATCTTAAATCGAATTGCGGTAAATACCTAAACAACAACACTAGCTTATATCTCCTAAAGTTAACTAAGATATGAAAGTCAATATTATAACAAATAATAGCTAATAAATATAACATGATAAAAAAGCAGAACCAGAAATAGTTGAGGATGATAAAATAGCTGAGAAATCAGAAAAAAAGAGTTATCCAGAAAATTAAAAAAATAATATTAACTTGTAGGCTAATATAGATTACATAAAAAGTCTAAGAGTTTCTAATGAAGCACATAAATTTAAAAATAGTTCAATATTATCATTTTTTAGTCCATAATAACCTAATTCAAACACCAGCTTAACACATCTGGATGAAACTATGGAAGAAACAGAAAAATCTAAAATAGCATCAAACTAGTAAAATGTTCAAAAATTTTAACAATCTAATCCCTCCAATTTCGATAACAGATAATCTTCTATTACAGGAGAAGACAGTGCTATTAACAGCAAGGTAACCAGAAATTTTAAATTATTAAATGAAATAGAAGATTTAGACAGCTCAACTTCAATAGCTAATGATCTTGACACTGAGGATGAAATATTTAAAAGAAATTTGTATGGAATGTCAAGCAGCTTGACCAATAAAAAATTTCAAGGATTAAAGAAAAATTATTAAAATTCATCAGGAAACGACCATAGTAAAAAAGACATATACCAAAAAGTAAAAAAAAAAATTTAAATGTTCTGTGTTGACAAGAAAGTTAGATTTAAAGGATTAGAAGAAATAAATATTTAAAATTTTAATAATTATGATGATATACTCAACAGTAATAATAAATTTAGTTCAATGCAAGCTCTTCCTGAGCTCTAAAGCCCTATTAAAAGTATTTTAAGAAAAAAATAAGAAACTATTAGCTAGTCAGTACAGTCAACCCCTCAACTTGGATAATCCAAGTTTACTAGCAAAGCCTTAAAATAGCTTGAGGGAATTACTTAACAAAGAATATTGCCAATTAAAAAAAAATCTTTAACCTAAAAGAATTTAATACTTTAACAAATAAATTCAAAAAGTTGATAGATTGATTCCAACTGTAATAAAACCTAAAAGTTAATAATAATATTATATTTTCTATAGTTTGACTAAAATTTTAGACCTACAAATCAATCCAAACTCTAAACAAAATAACTATTTATTAAATTAGTTAATTATTTTATAAAAAGCTTTAGCTTAAATTATATTTATTATTTTATATTATATTATTTTTTATAAAACTAAATCTTCTTAAACAAAAGGGTATTTATTATATTTGTTTTATTTAAAAATTATATATTAGAAATAGTCATTCATTTTATAAATTTACAAAGCAGTTTTTATGATAAAAAATTGATTGCTTAAAACTATTAGCTACAAATGCAGGTAGGTTATCAGAATGTAATATTGATTGAATTATATTAATACCAATTATCTCAAAGTAAAGTAGATTTGTATTAGAATAAATATAATAAATAAAGAATAATACTCAAAATTAAATATAAATTTATATGATATGAACAAAAATTAATTAATGTTAGTATCATTCATTCATTCATTCCTCCAATTCATGAACGAATTTACTAAAAAATTTAAATATTTCAGTTTTGAGCAACCTCTATTCCTTTATCAGGATTATAAATTAAACTTATTTTCATGCAAGCCTACTTTTTGCATTATTAATCTTGCATGTTATAAATGTGATTTTATTATATTATATTTGATTTACCTAAAGTTTATTTTATTATTTCTATTACACTTATAAGTTTACTAATTGATTTATCTTTTGCTTACATTGTTACTTTTTTTAATGTATTTAATTCATTCATACCTTAAGATACTAACTTTTTTATTTTTGACTTACCATTATTAGTCACATTAATTATACCAAGTTGCTACTCTTTTTATTAGACAATATCAACATTTTCTTTTTCTTCTGAGTTCATTTTGAGTTTCTTTACAATGTAATTTCTAAGTTCCTAATCTTCAGTATTTTTTGGGTTGTTAGTTTATTCATTTCTCCTCTTTTTTTTGTTTTCTACTTTTTTAAAATCGCTCATACCTTTGATTCTCCTTTCTATATATTTGATTAATTTTTGATTTTTCAAAATTATTAAAATGAAATATTGTAAAAATTATAAAAATATAGCTTTTAATTGTGTTTTATATTTAATGCATCTAAATGGTCTTCTTTTATAATTTTAGTGTATTATTGTTAAAATCTGTCAATTCGTCTGCTAAAACTTCTTTTTTTCATAAATACAAAATATAAACTCTATTTTTTTACAATAACTTTTGTTTGAATTTACAATAAGTACTTATGCTTGTAAGTAAATATATATCTTTTTAGAAAAATATCAGCATAATAATTCAATCATCACTTTGAAAACAAAAATTAAAGTGATTAAATAAATAAAAATCATTTTTTGACAGCTTTTTTTAAATTTTAAGAAAAATTAAAAAATATTTTTTTAAAAATGAATTATGATATAATGGAGTTTTACAAACTTATTGATTGATTAACTCTTTTTTATTAGTTTATAAATTAAATGATAAATTTAGTTATTTTAAAAATTTTAATCAAATATAAATTAAATTAGTAGTTAAGCTATCATTCATACAAAAATCTAATAACATATTATCTTTTTAGACATTTTTCTTTTATAATTTTTTTTTTATAACCATTGAGTCAGCTTTCATTACAAGATAGATATGTAAAGATTAAATATTTTGCCATATATATAATGTATTTTTGTTGATTTTTTTAAATAAGAAAATAAAAATCTATATTTACTACAAGATAATATAATTAAGAGCCTATTGCAAATAATGATTTATCAATTTTTAGTAATATTACTATTTTAATCTAAATTCTATATTTTTTTAAATATATCATTTTGTTATTAGTTTTATGGAGTATTAAATTCTGTATTAGCTTTATTTCTTTTAACTTTATGTTTTGTGTATTTTTAATTTTGAATTTTTTTGTAAGCTTTAATAACATTACCAAAATTATTTTTCGGATAATAGATTTAAAATTCTTTCATTTGATCAAATTTAAAATTTAATTTACCTAATAAATGAATATTTTAAAAAATTTAATTATCGTTTTCAGGAATATCTTTGTTGAAAGCAACATTATTTTTAAAAAATTAGGTTAATTATTCTTCATCAATATCTTCTTATTGAGGGACTATATTTGGTGAAGATAGAAGAGCATTCTTTCTTTAGTTTTAAATATTTATGGAAAACTTATTTTTTGTAAATCTTTTTTTTTTGTTACGATCATTAATTAAAGAAACCAATAAGTCTTACATTTGTTTCATACCTTTCAATATTTTTAAGTAAATAAATAAATGTATAAAATTATAATAGTTAAAATAAATATATATTTAATCAAAAAATATCAAAAATTTCATTAATTTACTTTCTAATATGTCATGTTTTATTTACTTTTGTACAGTCTAGAAATTTAAACTTGAATCTCTAGAAACTTTTCTTCTTTTAATTTCTGTATATTGACCTTAAAACTTTTCTTCATTTGCTTCATTCTAAAAAGCACTTTTACTTGCATTTGTATTTTAGTTTTAGTTAACAATAATTTATAAATATGGATCGTTACTAATTATTGTGGATGAAGTTATTTTATTGTTATTTTCTGTATAAGTCATTGTATTATTTACGGTTTCCGTCTCTTTTTCTTAGATTTCACTTATTGCTTATTCTCTTAATTCGAAATGAGCGTCTTTTAAATTCATATTTGATAATTCTATAGAGTCTTATAATCTAATATTTGCATTATTAAAGATTTAGGGTATTAAACTTTCAGAATAATTGTTATCATGTGAGGGAATGTTAATATTATTATATTAGCTTTTTTGCATTTAAATAATCTTTTCTTAAGATAAAACAGAAGGAAACTTGACCTATGTCTCTGTATTATCATAAGAACATTCTGATGTTTCATCTAATTCATTGCCTTCAGATTTACTCTAGCTATATTAAGATTTAGAAGTAACTGACTTTTTTCTCAAATATTTATTTTGTATAATCTTAGGGAAATTAAAAAAAAATAATTTATCATCTTCATATTTTTCAATTTCATCTAAAATTTTAATATTCTTAAAGGATTCATATTTTTCAGATAATTTTTACAATCTTAAACTCTTGAGACACTTGCTTATAAGGGCCTTATATATTATTGAGTTAAGGCTTTTTTTTTCCAATCTTTAAAAGTTTTATCTGATTTGAGTTGAAGGTAAGGTTTTTTTATAGAAATATTAGCTACTTTCAATTTTATAGTGAAGCTAAGGACAGTCCGTAATGCTGTGCCCATAAAAAGAGCAACTCAAGCAAGGATAATCATATCTCCTATCATTTAGATATTGGTCTTTTAAGAAACAAAATTTTTCCTTTTGCAATTATTTAATTCATTTTCAAATAAAATTTTAAGCTTAAAAAACAAGCAAATAATTTTAGAATTTTACATAATCTAGAGCATGCTATTTAATTATTTCTACAAAATCTGAGTATGAGATGCTAGCTACTTGAGTTACTGATTTGCATGACACAGAAATATGTGGGATTTTGCGAGATGCAAATAGTCTAAAGTCAATCATAGTTATGTTAAACTAATTATTACCAAAAATAAAATTTTAAAATTTAAATATTATTTAAAAATTACTGGTATATCAACAATGAATTTATTATTTTCTCTATTATCAGAGCTGTATGCAATTTATCCTTTGATGATAAAATAAAGATTATCTATAAGTGAGCCTCTGCTAACTAGTTTTTCCCAAGGACCATAAGTTTTTTCTTTCATTTTCAAGCTTAGCTAAATTAAAAATTTTTCACTAAACTGCTTGGCTAAAAATGAATCCCCTTTCAGAATTTTATAAAAATACTCTCTTTAAACTTCCTCTCTTAAATTTTAAGGGAATTGTGATAATATTTCCATAGCTTTTTATTAAAATTTATAATTTAATACCAAATTAGATAGTATTTGTTGAATATTAATTTATTTTTACCTTAATATTTGTTTTCATCTTTTCCTTTTTTGATATACTCTAAATATTTGAGTATTTTCATTTAGGTTTACTTTTTAATGTTTCGAAATTCCATGTAATTAATTAGTTCAAATTATTCTTTCTAATAGCTGACATTTTATTCTCTTAATTTTGAAAAGATATTTCCGACTGTATTAACTGAATATGCAAATACACCACAAGATATCAATGCCATACCGATTACATAGGCTTTTTCATAAATACTGATTGGGGTAATATCTCCATAACCAACAGTTATCATAGTAATCACACAGTAGTAAAGAGTAGTTAAATATTTTGTAAATAGATCTTAATCCTTTAAATTATTAGCTTCAACCCAGTTAGTTTATCTTTATTAGTTTATATAACTTCCTTATAAATTATCTCCTATGTAATAAAATCCACAGCCAAACAAATGAGCAATTATTAACAACATAGAAACTAGCTATACCAATTCATAAGTAATTGGAAATCTATTGTAAAAGCGAAAGTGTTCATTAATTCTTTAGATTTTTTAAGAAATCTATTTATTAGTTTAAAAATTAAGTAAATAAAAATCACTAAAATCAAATCATACCTGTTAGAATCTTAATAATATTGCAAAATAATCAAGACAAAAAATCCCATAGTGTATATTTATCATTAAAATAAGGGTGCATACAAAATCAACTAAGAACTTTTTTTGTAAATAAAAGTTTACAACACGCTTTTTGTCTATAACCACTTATCCAAATTCATAAAATCCAGTGCAAAACCCAATAAAAATATCAATTAAAAATGAAAAAATAGTAATTAATTAGAGATAATAGTATAGACTAAGAAATTTATTTACATTAAAACAGCCAGTAACAGGAACAACCCAAAGTTGAATCAAAAAATTAATCAAGAATAATATCTCCCACATAATAAACCAAATAGAATTTGGTAAAATAATCCAATTTTAATTTAATTATAGAATAGAAAAGATAATCTGCTTTATATATTTAATCATTTTGTTTTGATAAATATCACTTTTATTAGATAGGTACTGCTATCTATAATTAGATTTTTATTTATCTTCTTCATTATTGAAATTTAAACTATTTATATCTATTGCATAATCATCAAGCATTTAATAATGTCTTTATCTTAGATGTGAAATATTACGAAAATAAGTTTTTCTCATTAAATAATTAGCAAATTTTTTCATCAAAGTTATAATAATAAAATAATTTTTGGCTTAATTATTTAAGCTAACTTAGCCTTTTTCTTATGACTAAGCTAGTTAATTTTTATTAAGTTATTTTATAATTACTTAGCTATTTTCTTCATATTTCTTACTTTTAATTTACTAAAAATCATAGAATATAGTTGTTTTCCTTGGTCTGGAAATATTAGAAAGAGTATGCTAAGGTTTTTAATTGCAAGACTGTTTTGAATCATCTTCATATATTTGATGAGTGAAAACTGATTCAGTTACATTTTTCTGCACAAATTAACTTTCTAAGGTAAAATTATCTGTCTGAATATTAATATCTTCTAAATTGGCAATCAAATAATTTAAATTCTACTTTTGCTAATCTTAAGCTTCATCAAAGCGCTAGATAGTTTCAGGATCAATTAAGAAACTTTGCTGTACTGATAAAGAAGGTTATTCATCCTGAACAGAAATTGATCTAAAATCTTTTTTGAAATTGTCTTTTTAGATTTGCTAGTCTCTCTAAAATATCTTTCTTCTATTAATAGCACCTTCATTTTAAATCTCATATTGATTTTCTTATCTACCAAAAAAATAAAAATAGATTTTTATCTTAATTTTTATCAATTATAAAAAATAAAATACCTTTGAGATGATAAGTTAAGTTAAATAGAGTTTTCATGATAAAAATTGCTGGGCTATGATACTTCTTTTAAGGTAGATATTATCTCATGCTCAGTCATATTCATAGTTATAAAATTTCTACTTTTCTTTAATTAACTTTTATATTTAATAACAATTTATTTTTGATTAATTTTATTTTAATAAATTAATAAATATATATGCTTTTAGTTTTTTATAAATTCAAATGGTCTTTTATAAATTGTTTAACTAGAAACATAGGCTTGAATAACTCTATGATTCATGATAATTTTTTTTTTTAATTGAAAATTTTGTGAGCTAACTAACTTAATTTCAAAATATTTATTTAATAGATTATTTAAAACAAAATAAACCATAATTAAATAAATTTATAAATTCTAAATTCAAAATATTTAAAAATTTAATTAAATCTAGTAAATATTTGATATTCTATTTAAAAATATTAAAGCCTTTAGTGTTTGCCTCATATTTTATAAAATTTATTGGTTTCTAAAAATTAATCTTTTTATTTTAATAAATTCTAAAAAATACTTTAAAAAAAAAAATTTATTTTTTTAATAAAGAACAAAGTAAATGATTGAAAAATTAGAATTCTTTAAAATTAAGTACTTTTTTCAATCAATAATATTTATTGTAAATCATTTCTATTTTTTAATTTTTGGAATTTCTCAAGAGTCTTTTTAATTTATAAGCCTCTTATGATTTTTATTACAGAAATTAAGGTTTTAAATTTGTTTAATATATATTTTGGTTTAAATGTTAAATATTGGCTAACAAAGATTATTGGCTAAGCAATTAAATAAATAAATAACTAAGTAAATAAATAATTAAAGTTTTTAAAGGCTAAACATTTTTTATATTAAATATTTAAATTAAAAGAATATTTTTTACAAATTTCATAAGATTTAAAGCCAAATAAAATAAATTTAAAAAAAGTGTTTGTTTATTACTCTAAAATAAATTATAAATGTATTTTTATTTAATATATTTATTTATTCTTTTCATTATTTGTTACATTCTACCAATGCTTTTTCTGTCCAAGAACCTATAATAAGTTTATTATTTGAAACATAAGCTGAAGAGCATCCAATAACACTAGATTTAAGTTGAGCTACTTCCTTAAAAGTAAATGTTTTTGTATCAACGTAACCGACTCCACACCAAAATTCATCTGCTCCATACACTTCTTTTCCTGCTTTTTTGCCTTTTTCAGCATAAGTTATGTGGTTAATTGGTTTTGTAGGTCCTGCTGAATATAAGTAGCCAGTTTCTGGATCGTATTCTATATTATCTCCAGCAAAAGATAGCATTACCTAACCAGTTTATTCCAATTGGTTATCAGTAATTTTATAACGTTTAACAAATTTATTTGTGGTATCTGCCAAATAAAGTGTATCTTTCTAATAGATATGTTTGAAAATTATTTAATATATATTATTTAAAAACTGTTAAATAGTTATTTACTCCATCCCATGTGATTCCATTTGCCATGATAGAATTAGTTTATAGCTATGCGACACAGTTAGTGGATAAAGGATTTTTAGATGTCCAATTTTCTTCAAATGTGCATTTGTAGGCATTAGTCTTGTGGACTAAAAACAATACATGATAGATATACTCTAACTATAATAAGAAAGGTTTGTTTTATCTTCCTGACAAAGGATCTTCAGTTGCTATATATTTTGTTATATACATAGTGCCTTTAGAAGTTACAACAAGATTGTTTGCTACTCCTGTAAAGTATGAGGGAAGCTAAATAGAATTCTTATATATTAGTGTTTTTTCTTCTATATTTAATGCAAATACTTCAACTCTATCTCCATTTCCTGAGCTATAAGAATGGTTAACAACAAATAGAGTATCATCTTATTTGCGTATGTAAGCTCCATGAGGGTGGAATCTGACAGATTTAGGGAAGTTCAAAATTTTTAAACTAACTATTTCAGGATTTGTTTTATAGTTTTTAACTAAATTGATTGCTCCATCTAAGGCATCAGTATATTATCCTACTTCCCACATTTAAAAATTATCATTAGAAGTTGTTATGAGGTAAGTCGAATTGTAAATTAGAATATCTTCAGGGCCTTTTGTGTGCACTCCTTACTTCTCTAAGAGTTTACAACTGTAGCCTTATGTTTCTATTGGATTAGAAAACACACCTAGCTTGTAAACAATATTTGCAGCTAAGCCTCCTAATATGCCTAGGACTAATATAGCAGCAAAGCAAAGAAAGCGCGCCATAATATTTCTGAAAAATCTTTTTATTAAAAATCTTTCTAACCTAAAAATTAATTATGTTAATTTTTTTGATATTATTTATTTATTTTTTTTTAATTGATGATTGATTGTGCATTTTCGTTTCAATTTGGGGAAAAAATCATGCATTTTAATCTAAATATCTTATTTGATGTCACAAAATATGACTTTTAGTTTTTTGTTGATAATCATCGGGAAAAATATAATATTTATAAAATTCAAACTCAAAGTGAAAATTTTACATAATTATTAGCATCTACTATCTAATTTTTATTTTTAGTTGAATTCAATATAAAATAATCAATAAATTACAAATGAACAAAATAACAAATAAATACATTATTTATTGATTAATTAAATTAGTAATCGATTGAATTTTATTATAAAAATAAAAATAATTATTTATATATTGAATTCCCAAAAAATTATGATCAATCAAAATTGTTTGAAAAATAGCAAACAAAATTATAAAATATAAAAACATGAACTTAAATTAAATAAATATTTATCTATTTAATTCATTTGATATCAACTATTTTAAGATAATTCAATTTATTTTAATAGTTCAGAATACACCAGAAGATTTCATAAAGGTTACAAAACCACTTAAAACTGATGGAGCTATTCCAGGACTAGTTATATCCTATCCAGTGATATATAAGCCCTTGACACTAGTTTTAGAATTTAAGAAAGTTGATGGGTCATTAGCTCTTTCCTTACCATATTACATTCCATAACTAGAATAACGATTATAGTATGTCTTGTTAGTCAAAGGCGTTCCAAGATTTATGAAATCAACTTTACCCTTTAACTAAGGATAATTAGTAAAAAGCAAGTTAAGTAAATTTTACTCTATTTTTTTCTTAAATTCTTTATATTCCTCAGTTCTTTTTTTATCAGTAATTTCAAAATTTTTTACCCACTCGTTTTTAGCTTCAGCAATAACTATACAAGATATTTTTTCAGGAGTATTTTCAATATGTTCTTTTACAGTAGGGAAGCATGTAAAAGTCATAAAATCTTTAAAATTAACTACTTCTTCTTAAGTTAAATCTAAATATTTTTATCTAAATTTATTCAAATCATAATCCTTTATTCCAGGGTAGTGCCACATATTTCCTCTGGGTAAATTTAGCTCTTTAGCATTTCCTTTAATTCCGACAAATAGATAGAAATGTCCCATTCCTAAAATTATAGTATAAAAATAGTAAGAAATTATGAATCATAATAAATCAATAAAAATTTACCATCTTCGTAACGCTCTGGTATGTTATTTTTTTATGGAATAAGTTAATTTGTATATTTTATTCCAATACTAGAGATTACTAAAGGAGAGTCAATTGTAGTGTCATCATTAACAACAACACCTTTCACTTAACCACCTTCAGTAATAATTTTAGTAACTCTAGCTCTACATAAAACTTAACCACCATTTGCTAAAATAGTTCCCATCATACTTGAAACTATCTCCATAGTACCACCTTAAGGATAAATAGATCCATTTAAATAATGATTTAGCAATGACATCTAATCAGAAAAATCAACATTTTCATAAGTAACTTAAATATCACCTATTTAAAATATTTATATTTAGAAATCATATAAATTGATAATATCAATATTTATGCATACCTAATTGTCCATTTAAAAGTGCTGTGAGTCTTTTGTTGTTGATTATTCCTGTTTTCTCCATAATATCTTTAGTAGATTTTTTATAGACATCTGAATAAAGTATTGATAAGCCAAATAGACAAATCTTTTATAAGAATGTCGGAACAACTAAATACATTAAAGCTTTATAAGAGCCACATGCAGCTGCACGTCTTGATATATCAAAATATTTTTAGATAGATTCTTTCATGTCAGGGAATTCGTTTTTTAAATTCTCAATAAAGGTTCTTTTAGGGGCTATAAACTTAAATGGTTTCTCATCATTAAATTTGATTGTATCAAATTCTTAACAGATGTTCCATTTAATATCTTTACTCATTGTCATTTTCCATATTTTCATATAGTCATCTCTATTACCTTTATAATTATTATCAAAAATATTATTCATTAATTCATTAATATTAAATAAAATATCATTACCTATGTAATGGAATCCTGTGTCAAAAGCATAACCTTATTCAGTATATGAGTGACAGGCTCCTCCAGCAATGTAATGCTATTCGAGTACTAAAACCTTTTTACCTATTTTAGAGTAAAAAGCAGCAGTAGTTAAACCACTCATTCCACTTCCAATAACTACTACATCAACTTTAGAAGGTACTTTTTTTTTACTCCACCTTTCTTAGGTATCTACAGTACCATTAAATACTGTTCTTTTGCTTAGAGTACGCATAGTAGAAAACACTTTGAGCAATCTGTATACTATATAAAGTATAGCAAGTCCAAAAGGTAAAAGCTTCAAGTAGAGACTCATATTAAATTAAATTGTTATTTTTTTATTTAATTAATTAATTATTAATATATAATGGTCAAAAGTTAATTTGTTTTAAATATTGTTTAATCTGATTAAATATAATAATTTTCTAGCTTATTTACACAAATAATTTTTGATAGAAATTTCTTACCATACTTACATTAAATGTTTTACCATTCATGAATTGAATCCATCAAAAAATATTTGCTTTAAATATTTTTTAATTAGGAAACAAAAGTTCTCAATTTTTGTTACTTGATATAGAAACTTCTTATTTATATCTTTGATACATTAATTAGTTTTGCTTTCTAAAATATTGTTGTAATTTAAATTTTCTGTAATAAAAAATTTAACACTTTAATATTGTTTTTGTTATCAACTAATAATAAAAATATCAATAATATCTTCAAATTAAATAAATATAGAAAAAATTTAATTTTTTTATTCACTCAGTATTTTATATAAGTTTTAAATAAATTCTTTTATCAAAGCCATTCAATGCATAGTAACAAAATCAATCTATACTTTACTTAAATAAGTTTATTTAAATAACAAAGATTACTGGAGATTTAACCAAAAAATATTTTCAAACTGTTGAAGAATTAACCTTAGAAATAATTCTATTTATTACAAATTTTTAATTAAATCATTTTTTTTTGGAAATTTGTTTGAGTTTTCCATTTAATTAGTTGAAATGCATAAGTAAGTTATAATATATTTTTCAATATTATTAAAACTTTTTTTACAATGGAATAAAATATCATTAAATAACTCTAAACTCTTTCTTTCATAACCATTAAAAAAAAATTAAACTTCTTTTATTTATTTTTTATTTAGTAATAACTTAAAGCTATTAATATTAAATTCCAAACTACTTTTATATTAATTTAAGACTAATATGTTTTAAGATTAAATAAGAAATTTACTAAAAAGTTTTTGATTAGTTAAATAAATATTAATTTTTTAAGTTACTTTTAAAAATAAAATAAATTTTATAATTTTTAAGAAAGCAATTCTAATTGTTTAAATGAGGAAAAATAACCATTTAATTTAATGGAGGATAATAAAAAAATTTTAATTTACTAAATTCTACTTAACTAATTAATTTTCATAATTTTTTTATTTATTGATAAAAGTATCCTTTTAAAAATTAATTCGCTTTATTTGTGAATAAAATAAACAAAAATTTAAACATTCAATTTTAACTAAATTTAATGAAATATACTCAATAACTATTTAATAAACTCAATCAGAGCCATATATTTTCTTTGAGAACCAGCCAGTCCATGATTCTTCTTCTTCTTTTTTCTTTCTTTCAAGTTCTGCTTCTTTTTTTATTCTATTCTATTCCAGTCTAGCTTTTTTCTTTTCTTATTTGGCTTTCTTCTTTTCTTCTCTTTTTTATTTTTCCAAATTATCAGCTTCTTCTTCTTTCATTTTACCCCAGTCGTCCATATCATTTTGGTGCTTTTCTCTCATATCCCACCAAATTTGCACTTTTCTATTGGAGTCTTTTTCTAAATTTAGCCACAATTAAGTATTGTTCATTTTAGCTAAACTGAAAAAGTATGTTCCTACACTTTCATAATTCCATGAACTATCTACAATAGAAACTGGGTGGCAAAGTGAAAAATTTAATTTAAAACGGACAGGAGTGTGTGAAATAATGCCAAATGCACTCATATAAAAGGTATTATTTTCTATTTTTACTATTTCCTCTTTACAGGTTAAGCAAGCAGGGGCATCAAGTCTCATAGCTAATTTTACTTAAAGGAATACATGGGATTTGCTCTAAGCCCATTAAAATGCAGGTTCTACTACCTAAACCTCTTTGTTAGAGGCCATTAAGTTAATTTACAACTAATCAAGATCACGCTTAATATTATTAGCTTTTTATTTAACCAATGAGAAAGATTCCTCTAATTTTTCAGGTATTTAAGAAAAATATTCTTCAAACAGGTAAAGAGCTGTTTAATAATATCCACTATCTAATAATGTTTACAGACAACTCATTGGAATCTCTACCCTAGATAAGATAAATTAATCAACTTTGTGTTTCATTTCCTGTTCTGTTGTATATATAGAAACTTGAGAAAAACACTCCTAACCTAAGAGGAGTTACGCTAAAATCAAAATAGCTAATACTGCTTTTTTTATTTATGAAGCTATAAAACCCATCAATCGTTTTCTAATTAATAATGTTTTCTTAAACAATTAATTACTATTTATTTATTACGTGTGAATTAGTATTTTAATTAATCAAAAATGTACTTTATTTTTATAAAAACTGTTTAAAAACAATAAAAACTTTACATGAAATCTTTGAAAAAAAAAAATTAAAGCAAGTTTTATTTTATAAAGCAATTAATTTATAATCAATATTATATTCTTTCTTTCTTTTTTTCAAATAAATTATTGTAATAAACATTAAAAAAATGATCAATCTTGATATATCCATTGATTAAATAAATACTTTTTGAAAGTATGATTGTAAATTTTAATAAAATATTTAATTTATTTCTTGTTTATCATTTTTCAACTTCAAACAAAGTTTATTTTTTTAAAAAATTTATTACAGATTATAATGTGTTTTAATTTTATTTTAAGAAATAAATAAATCTATATTGTAGTATGAAAGCAATTATTTATTATTTTTTAAGTATTTCAATAAAATATTGATAATTAACTCTTAGTTTATTTTTAGATTAAAATATGAAGAATGTTAGATTAATATATTTTTTGTGTGTGGATTATATAAATACATTTTTATAAAATAATATTTCAATCAAAAATAAAAAATAATTTAAAAAATGGAGTAATTAGTTTAGTTTGTATATTTACCTAGTAATAGTGGCATCAATTTAATTAAAAAAATTAAGTAAATAAAACTAGGCCAAGAGATTGCTTATAATATATTTTATTCAGTTCAGTAATAATATTAATAAATCTTTGCTAAATTAAAAAAAAAAATGTATCAAATTTATTTTGAAAAATAATAAAAAATAGATATTTGAATAAATAATTTGTTTATTTATTATTATTAAACATGAATACCATACACACATACAATCAATCATTTTGAATTTAAACTATTTTTTATTTGATTACATAATTTCATATATTTCTTTAATAAATCAATTGTTAAAAAGCATCATAATACTATTATCCAAAGGTAATAATAAACAAAAATTAATATAGCTTACAAAATATGAATCCAGCATCGAAATCGCAATTTGTAAATAATTTTTATATCATAAGATAATATTTAAATAATGCTGATATGCTTAATTTGAATCTACTAAAACATTTTTAAAAGTTTGTTATTACATTTATTTATCAATTTTATTTATTAAAATAGACTCATAATACAAACTAATATTAACTAAATCCAGGAAACAGCTATGTTTAGAACTAATACAGAGAAATAATAGATGATACTAAGAAAGAATAAAGTTAAGGAGCAAATTTAAATAACGAAGCAACATTATAAAATGAGGATTTAAATAGAAAGTAGCTGAAGGAATTATTTGATGAATTTAAAAACAAAGACAATAAATAACTACATGTAAAAGATTTTTATGATGATCTTGAACGTTCTTCTGTTAGCAAAAATTGTACATTACTAATGTAAAAGTTGAAAAAAATTTTCTCTAAGAATGAAAATGCATAAATAGATGAAAATGAATTTTATAAACTCTTCGAATTTGACTTTATTTAAGATGTAACATCAACTTTATTATATTTAAGATATTTTGAGTTTATTAAAAATAATAATTAAAAAACAGTAAGATAATTTGAATTTGATATTGGGATTAATAGATGATATAGCAAACAATAATAAGGTACTCAGTAAATAGGAGTTACTTTAGATGAATGATAATTATAGTAAAATATTTAGTTGAATTATTAACTTTAAAAAATTTAATTATATAAATAAATAAAAAAAATAGATTTGGGTTTGCAACAATAAGATATTGACTTAATGCTTAAATACGGTGGATAAGGTGATTCAATTCATATTGATGATTTAAGGAGACTTTTAAGTGAATAATGAAAATAACTAACTAACTAACTAAATAAATAATATTATATTTTTGTTAAAACATTTGAGTTTAAAATTTGAAGAATTTGTATTTTATTAAATAATCTAACATGAATGATTTTGTTAAGAGCAATAATAATTGACAGTCTTTTGAGATATTTAAATAAAATAATATACTTTTATTTAGAGTAATTTATTTCCATTATTTTTTACTTAAAAAAATAAATAAATTTGTATTTAAATCTATTTATCTGCATTTTATAAGTAAAATCTATATTTTCTAATATTATTTTTTAAATATAAAATACCATAAAAATTTATTGCTTTTATTTTATTTGCAAATTCATATTAGAAGCTATAAAATAATGAAATTTGTATTATTAGTTAGTTAGTATCTATCTATCTTTCAATTTATCTAATTTATAATATGCAGATCAAAGACAAAAAAATATTTGTTTATTAAAAATCTTTTGAGATTTGTAAAAAATGAGTTGAAGATGTAAGTAATTAAGATAGTATGCTACACAATGAAAAAGGTGAATAATAAGAACGTAAACTGTATTAGCTATGCAAGAATATACATCTTTTATTCATTTATTAACCTTTTAATTTTAAACATTCATATCAAATAAATGAGTAATAATATCTTTCTTAATATCATTCTCAATTTGTGAAGAAGTTGCGAGCAATGAATTCAACAGCATCTTCTACTGTTCTGAATCTTTCGAGGTCTTCATCAGCTAATTCAATGTAAAATTCGTTTTCTGCTTCAAGCATGATTTCAACATAGCTTAAAGGATCAACACCAATTTCACTCCAAGTAGATTTTAATGTAATTGCGCTTGGGTTTTGAACTTTATCGTGTAAAGAAATTAATCTAATCAATCTTCTAGCAACATCATCAGGATTGGCATAATATCCGCTTTTTTCATTTCTTAAAACAACCTTTTGAGGAGCATAATTATAAACGCTTGCCCATTAGAGAGTGTTAGTCTTATTTAATATGCTATTCATCTTATTTGCTTATTAAGCAAACTTTAATAAATTCTTGGTAAGTCCGAACATCTATCTTGCTTTTTAATTTTGTTTTAATTGCAGGTTAATTAATAAATTTTCATGTAAAACATAATATCTCTTTTTGGTATTTTATCTTATTTTTTTAAGAAAAATAATCATGTACATACAATAAATAAATAGATTCTTTTACTAATAATCTTGATTCATATAGAGTGTTTATTTAATGTTCATTTCAAATGATTCCTATAAACTGCAAAGGTAACTTTATTTAACAATATTAAAAATAGTTCACATAAAACCTAAAAACTTATCAAAACACACAAGAAAATTTATTGATTACAATAAATTAAAAATGTTTTTTAATTATAAAACCTTTTTTATCAATGTTTGTTTGTTTGTTTTACACATTTTAGAATAAATATTGTTCATTTTGTATATTTTTTTCAATTTACTAATGTGAATTATTTAATTTATTTGTTTGATAATTTTGTTAATTTAAAAGTGATAAAATTATACAATCAATATAAAACTCAAGTTGAGTAGAATAATATTTTATAATGATTCAAATTTGTAAGTTTTAGGGATTTACTTATTGAATATTAATGTCTGCATTTAATCCTTAGTTTAAATTAAATTATTAAAAGGTAAACTAGCCACCTACATTAAATGCCTAATTAGCATTATTTTATAAATTTTAAGGTTGAGGATGAAAAACTTAACTAATTTAACTAGCATTTCTTATTTCAACTCTGCAATTAGGACATCTAGGTTAGGGTTAAGTTTTAATCCACTAGAATAAGCATTTCAAATGGAAAGCATGTGAACAATCTTTAAGCCTTCTACCAACTAACAACTAATCGTGGCAGATGGTACAAAAATCATCTTTGTTATTTTCATTAATTTCTAATTTAGGAAATATCTCATCTATATTCTTTTGGAAATAAGACGTGTTTCTTTGGCTTTAAACAACTTAAGCAATTTTTCGAAGAGTTTAAGGGATGCTAAAGATGAAATAGTAGAAGATAAACACAGACCACCAAATTTAGATATTAGATTAAAAATAAAGGATAATTTGATAAAAAAGGTACCCTAACTTTAGATTATAGAGTATAAAATTTGTTTATTATTCAATTTAGAGGGTTGGCTCTTGTATGATATCAGAATTAAAATTAACATAATACTAAATTCCATTTTAATTAATCAATCTTGAACATATTAATTAGCTTCTTATATTCCAAATGAATGCAATTACCAATCCAAATAAGAGTCTCAATAATACTAGCTTAGGTATTGAAGAAAAGACTATCAAACATATTATTAATGTGCTTAAATTAAATAGAGTTAAAAGTGTATTGAATTTTTTTATGCTTTAAATTTTTTTAATTTCTTGCTCATATTCTTCGCTCATACTACTGAGAATACTTTTGATTGTTAATTCAATTATTTCAGAGAAAAATCTTGAAATATCAGCTTGCATATATATTACACAAATTACAAAAATATCAAAACTGCAGCTCCATATTCTCTCATCAAGAATTTTCATTAGGATCAAGTGTTTAAAAATGCAAAAACGAAATAGATTTTCTTTGACTCTTACTTTTTGCTCGTGGGTAAAGGGCCCTACTTTTACTTTCCATAACTAGCGCCAAAAAAATATGATTGAAAATGATGATAGAATAATTGCATTAAGAACAAATACTTTAGAATTCGCACCACTGATAGTTACTTAGTTAATCAACCACTTCATGAATGTAACAAACTAATCATCACATGGCTTTAAAATTAGCTGTTACTATATAGAGTAAAAAGAAATCATCATAAATGCACTTGATAAAATAATTAAAGACTTTAAAATTATATCAAAATGGTTTATCATTTTCTAAAACCCATCAACCATCTATTAAAATATCTACAAATCTAAACTCATTGAATATGTTCTTACAACTCTTATATCTTATTACTAACCTATATTTTGTCTTTAGCCTTGCTGCTATTATTACTGCTAATTTATTAAATTTTAGTTATTATTATTATTTGGAATATTATTCTAATTGTTATTTTAAACATTACTTGACTAGTTAGCAATATTATTTTAAACTCTATTAATATTTCCATTATTGTTTTGCGAATTTGATTAGCCAGGTTATTATTGTTGTTAATTTGACATGTTTTAATTTAAGGGATTATTAATAGGAGCACTTGCTAAAAATGTGTTCATTTGATTAATACGCTACTGCTAATATTTAATTACGATTTATGTTATTTTGTTTAAGAGCTCATCTATGCTAGTTAAATTATTTTTATCAATATCACCTTCATCAGGAAGATTGTTTGTCTCATAACTTACTTCATCAAACTAACTGCGAATAATAGTTAATTGTTCGAGAACGTAATCCAAATTACTCTCTCTCAGTGTTCTATCTTATGTTGGTTATTATAAATCTGTTAATAATCTTTTAGATTAGTTTAGCTATTAAATTATTTCTTCAAAATCATGACTCCATTTTTGGAATTTTTGCTTTGTTTTTAATTAATTTATCAATTCATTTATATCTTCAAAAGGTTTATTAAATTCATAGCCTTGATTTTGATCACGTATATGCATAATGTTTGTATTTGGAAATAAACTTGGGATTGTTTTTATTGAAGGACCTTCTTAATTTATAGAATTCTAAGTAGAAGAATTTTCTTTTCTTTCCTCCTCATCAACATCTAAATCTTCATAATCTACTTCGTTGAAATCCTAATAATCTTAATCTTTGCTCTTGTCTTAATTTGAGCTATTTTTATCTAAATTTATGTTATAATTTTTGCTAGAATTTTTTTCTTCTTCTTCTTCTTAATCCCGAATGAACTTTAAAGAGTTTTCATTCACATGTTATTCTATATTAGTCTCTGGCAACTGTATATGTTCATTTGATTAGGCCTGATTTTATTAAATATTTAATTGCTAGTTTTCTTGATCAAGAGTTTCTTCCTAATTCTACTTGCTTTCCTTTTCTGAGCTCATAATGTATTATTTATTTTCAAGCTTTATCTTTGGTTTTTATTTTAAATAAACTGTTTACTTTTGATAAATAATAAAGAAAATTGCATTAAATTTTTCCTCTCTTTTAGAATAACTCTAATAACTAAATATAATATTGTTTATAAAGAAGAAACAAATGTAAGAAAAATTAGTTTAAGGATTTATTTCTTATAAAAAATGCAATATTTTTTTGAATTTCTATCTTAAAAATTGATTTAAGTTTAAATATAAATTATAATAGTAAAAATTTTGCATAAAAAAAAGATATTGCCCTTTTATTTAAAAAAAGTATATAAAACATTTATCATGCTACTTGTATTTTGTTTCCTATTAAAACTTCTAATAACATTTTACAACTTCAAATATTTAAATATATTTGTTTAAAATTTAGAAATTAACTTAAAAGTAATTAAAATTTTTTCCAAAATATTAAATATACAACACTAAATTTAATCACTTAAAATTTAAAGGAAATTTTAAATTAACAAATGGAGTGTAAACTTTTTTTCTCAAGCTTATTTAGGTATAAAGAATTAAATTATAATAATAGAGGAATTAGATAAGTTAATGCAGGAGGAAATAGAAAGGTCATTTAATCCTGATGGCGAATAGTCTGAAATTAATGACCAGGATGACGATGATTTAATGAGATAGAGTAATTAACACACTATAGCATAGCTAATTTAATGATCAATTATTATATTATTTTAAACGAAAAATAAAGGTGTTGATTTAGAGATATTTGAAAAGAAACTCTCACAGTAAAAAAGAAAGCAGGAGTATTAAAATTAGCTAAAAGCAAAGTAATAGTAGAAATAAGAAGTGTATATGCATGAAAATGCTGTTTCTAGTGATGAAAGTGAGGAAGAAGATACCTAAGAAATTGCTAATAATATAAAGGCTAACTAAATTAAAATTAAATAGGATGCTGATTCTTTGTATGAGGAATTGATATAAAAAGGTAAATTGGGGAAGGAATAAGGTTCTTCTTTAGCAAAAAAGCCTCCTACTCCAAATAAATTATAGATAATGTAGTAGCAGTATGCATAGTCAAGAGACAAAGAAAAGCAAAAGCAAGATGAAATACTAGAAGAAATTTTGAAGTCAAATAATGATGGTTTCAAGGAAAAAAAGTTAAAAGAACTTTTATAAAGAAACAGAAATCTGAATATATAATATGAAAAAGAAAAGGCTATGTAAGAAGATATTTTAATTTATAGAATATTTACAATTTATTAATATCCCCTTTTTTTGTGGGTTTTATTCAATTATCATTCTATTTTGCTTAAAGTATGATAGTAAAAATTCTTTAAAATTATTTTAGGAGAATAAAACTGGAGTCACAATTGAATTAAATGATAAAGGACCATGAAGAGTTTTTACAATATAAATAAGGTAGACTTGGAGACTAAGGAAATAATGGGAATAATAATGATGCTATATCCGTAAAGTCGCATTCAGATTCAGTATATTCAGCTAAAACTACAAAAACTACTTTGAAAGAAAATAGTGTTATGAATAGTGCTGATGTAATATTTATTTATTTATTTTATAATAATTGAAAAAAAAAATCATTTTAATTTAATTTTAAATATTATATAGACTGAAGATTACAAGGAGAAATTTTAAAAGACTGATAAAAAATTACAAGAAGTATTTATTATTTTAATTTCTTTATGTAAATCAAATTTTAACAAACTAACTAACTATTTATTGTACTTACTTATTAGTTTAGAGTTTAGAATAATAACTTAAAAAATGAATTAAATAAAGCCTTGAGAGTTATTACTAGAGAAGTTGGAGAGAATGTGAATATAGATAAAGTATTTTATTATTTTCATTTAACAAGGCATTAATTAATAAATATTACAAAAGATTTTACTAGAAGAGAATGGATGGAAAGGAAGAGCTTAGCAAATAGAAAAACTGAAAGCTAAAGTTAGAGATTTATAATAAAAAATAGGTAATATAAGCCATACTTCCATTAACAGTGATATGAGTGGATTTAGCAGTGCAGGATTAGGACTTACTGGCTAAAGCCACAGAGGAAATAGTTTAGGAGGCCAAGCAGCATCAGAAAGAAGAAAAGAATAAGAAGAGTTAAAACAATAATTTGATAAAATAAAACAAGAAAATGAGTTAATTGGCTCTAAACTAAAAGCAGTGACTGCAAGAAAAAATATACTTGAGAAAGAAATAAAAGAAATAAGAAACGAATATGATAATAATAAGAAAATATTACTCGATAAAAGTGACAACGATAACAAATATATATCTGCTCTTAAATAAGAAATAGATAAGTTAAGAAAAAAAGAGCCTGAAGTAATAAATAAAGTTGTTTATTAGAGAGTGTATACAAATAACACAGATGAAGAAAATGAGAAAAAGTTAAAAGCAAGTGATGATGAAATGTCGAGACTTCGTCAAGACATGAAATACATGAAAAATGAGCTAGAGTAAAAAGAAAGAATGATAAGTGAACTTATATCAGAAGTAATTTAGAAACAATTAATAAATTCACAATAGAGTTGATTAACTAAATATAAGTATTTATATATTTTTATCTAATAGAAAATTAAAAGTGATAAGCAGTAAGTTTAGAAAGTAGTATAAAGTTCTAACTTAGGTAATGACGAAGCTCATTAAAAAATATAAAAACTGGAGGAAATGGTGAGGGCTTTAAAAAAAGAAAGAGAAGATTTTTATGATTCAAAACTTAACGATAAAGTAATATATTCAATATGAAAAAACATATTACAAAATTATTCTAATTATAATTTAGGAATCAGCAAAAATAATTAAAGAATTATCATTATAAAATGCCAAGCTAAGAAGTAAAATCGATGACTTGAACTAGCAAAAAAAGTGAAAATCTATTAAAAGAATTTAAGGATGCATTGAAAATTTAATTAATTAATTATTTACCTATAAACTGCATATAAATATTTTTAATTATTTATATTTTAATAAACACAATAAATGAAGATCATAAATAGGTATAATTAAATATTTCAAATAAAAGATATTTAAAAAAAAGTTGTTTCTTAGTAATTTATTTATAAGTATTTAATGAAAGTATTTGTTTTAGTGAAAATTATTTCACCAAAAGATTTAAATTTTCATGTTGTGTTTTTATTATAAAAGCAAATTTTCAATAAATTTCTTCAAAAAATAAATAATTTATATTATCATTTTTATATTTCGAAAATAGTTTATTGTTATTTTATTAAAATATTTTTAATTTTGTTTTTTCTAAAAAAAATATATTTTGTTTTATTCTTATTTTCTTAAGATTTTACTTTCTACTTATATATTTATTAAGAAAAAAAGCCAAAGTATAAATAACCATATCTAGATAGATATTTAATAATCTATAAACTATTATTTAATCCTAAAATATCAAGCATGAGATTTAACAGAGATTTCTCTAATGAGTCTCTGTATTCCTAAGAAGATTTTTATGATCATGAATTCATTAAAAAGAAGATTTAAAATGACAAAGCTAAGCAAAATGATACTCCTGAGAATTCAAACTCAATAGAGAATTCTAAAATGGGATATCAAAGATTTTAATCTATAAATGATAATGCAAATATTGATTTCAAGAATGCTTAAATTATATAATAAAATCATCAAGTATAACCTGATTAAAATGACTACAGTGTATCATTATAAAAATAACAAAAAGAACTACTATATCCATAAAATTAAAATAGTGAACATAACCTTTATACCTATGAGAAATGTATTAGTTGTAATTCAAGTTTATCTCATGAAAATTTTTATAAAAATTAGACATTATTATTTGACATAAACTCTTATAGATATGACTCTTAAAACTAAATGATTAACGAAGATCTTCATTAAAGTTTTTCCAACTTTTTACATGACGAATAAATTATTCTAAAATAAATTGATAAATTTAACATTTCTGAATATTCAAGTATACTTTAATAATCAAACTCCTATTAAGATTTAAGCTATAGCTATTCAGATTTTTTATCATCTTTATAATCTTTATAGAGTTAATATGAAGATTTTGATGAGCTATCAGATATAAATTATAAATAAATAAGAAATAGTTAAAGTTTTTAAAAGAAAAGGGAAAACACTTTTTAGAATCATATATCATAATATGATTCGTAGAAAGTAATTATTAAAGAAAAGCTTTTTTCAGAAAAATCCAATTTATTTATAGAAACTCCTTATATTTTACACTATGTAGGTTAAATTAATAATAATAATAAGTTTAACAAAGATTCGTCATCTGCTTCAGATTCTTTAACCAGTAGCTAGTCAGAATTATCATAGCTTGATAATTTTATAAACTTAAATTAAGTATATCAAGAAAAGTAGATATTTCTAAACGATAGTTAAATTAGTAAGGAAGTCTTTAAAATAAATAAAAATATAAGAAAAAAGCGCTTCAAAATTTAAGCTGATTCTTCAAAATAAAGTTTGCAAATAAACTAAAGTAAGCTTATATATGCCTTTATGATTAAATAAATTAACGAGAAATGCTACGAAAAATCTAATTAAAGTAAATATTCTTTAATTTTTGGAGAAAAAATTAAGTAGCTACGTAAAATAAAATCTAATTTTAACATAAACTATCACTAAACATGCAGTCTAAGAACTTAATAAGAAGTTAAACAATTTATATAAAAACATATTAAATAAATATTTTCTTAAACAAAAATCTGAGTAATTCATTTATCTATTATAGAATCACTAGCAACTATCTACTAATTGAGTAAAAAATTAATTTAAAATATGAAAATAGTTTATTTTAAAAAAAAAAATAAATTTATAAAGCAATAATAAAGCTTAATTTTAGTTTTAAATATTTAAAATTTAAACCAAATATTATTTTATTAGTTGGTTTGCTATATATTTTTGTATATATTTGTATTTATCTTCATTTCAAATTTATTGCAAGCATTTACATTTATTTTAATCAATCATCAAAATTTACATTCAAAAATAAATTGCATATTTAATATATTTCTTTATGCTATTATATCATTTATATATTTACCATATAATAATGTATTAGAATTAACTTTAATTTGATAAAAATTTTAAAATCTATAAATAAAATGCAATTAAATAAATTTTCTAAATATTTATCAATAGTATTGTAAATTATAGCTGTTTTAAATTGATAATTATAATTCATAATTAAACAGTAAATCAAAATTATAATTCAGAAACAGCTATTTTTAAACTTCTTTAAAAATTATAAAATACTAACTAATTAAGTTAATTTATATATTCAAAGCTGGATTACTTCCTACAGCATGTAAAAATATAAAATATATAAATGTTAACAACATGAAAATTTCTAATAAAATTAATATTTAATAAATCAAATATTATACATTTTATTTCCATAATTTGTGTGGTCTTTATGGATTATCTGATTTTTGAGTGGTTTCAAACATCTAATATTTCAAAGTATCAAAGTATGAGACATTTTAAATGTCTTTTTCAATTAATATTTATTATTTTTATTTGCTTAGTAAATTTTAAATTAATATTTAAAAATAACAAAAATTATATTTTAAATCTTTAAAAAATGATTTAGAATATAAACGAGTTATATTAAATTAATATCTACTTTATATTTAAATTTATTAGTTTTCAATTTTTTAAGAAACATTAACTGCTCAAATCAGCATTTCATAATATTTAATTCACTTATTATTGATATTTTTATGTTATTTATTATTGAAAAAGTTAATAATTTTATTATGTATAAATGATTTTTTTATTTTTTTTGAGAGAAGTTTAATGAAACAAATTTTTTTTGAATTAATAGTTGGGTATCTTTAAATAATAATTACTTTATTTTTACTTCAAAAAATATCTACAATAGCTACTCAAGAAATTTGTATATCAAAAAAATACAGATGAATTTTTATAATTATTAAAATTTTAGTTATCTCTAATTGTATTTACGTTTTTACTCTAAATATTTTATAAATTCAAAGATTGTAAACCAACACCTGATTTTTATTATTTTTTATAAAAATATTAACTTTTTTAGTTAAAAAATAGTGGGTTTTTACCATTAGATAAAAATTGTACTAGAAGATCACTAATTTTTTTTAATTTATTTGAATTGATTTTTGTTTATGGCTAATATTTACCCATAAATCTGTATTTTGCGAACGATCTATAATCATATTGTTATATTTCTTATAGACTGAATTATTATTTTTTATTATTTGTAAAGAATAAAAATAAAATACCTTCAATTAATTTTACAAAAATGAAAAGTTGCCAAAAATCATAATCTGAACAAATATGTTGTTTGAAGCTTTTGTTTATTCAAGTAGTAAATATCATGAAAGGGATAACAGAGAACAGCCAACAATAGAATTTAAAAATTTTATCAGAAAGATAGCTGAGCAATAGAATAAAGTAATTATTCAAGATAAACAAATTTCTGATATTTTTTTAATTTAAGTATTCAAAAGGAATAAAAAATAAAAGAATTCAAAAAAAAGTTAAAAATGTAGCCAAACTAAATAGAAAATTAAAATAGATATATCATAGATGTTAGAAGGATTCACTAAGAACTTTCAAATGGATAAAATACTGCTTGCAAATATTGTGGATTATATGACTCGAAATATCATTGTGGGTTTGAAGCGAACCTACTTTTACCAGATATTTATATGGAATTATCTAATAAAGGGTTTTTTAGATCAGGAAAATATTTTTGGAAATAGAATCCTTACCTTTCATGTTGTAAAGAGTATGCAATAAGAATGAACGTGTTGTAATTTTAAATCAGTCATCATTAAAAGAAGACATTCTAAAAATTTGCATCAATTATGCATAATGAAATAAAATAATAAATAAGCAAAAAAAATATAAATAATAATGATATTGATGATTCTCTTAAAAACAAATCAAATAGCCATAATCTAGATAATAAAAATAAAGGTAAAGAATCAAAAAATGAGCATGCAAATATACAAGAAAATCAGAAATAAAATTATTAAATCAAGCAAATCAAAGATCTTTTAAACTAATTGGTCTTAAAATTATTTATTGGCGAAGAAAAAGGCTTTAAAAAAGTAGACTATGACTTTAAAGTATTCTTAACACAAGGCAAGTCAAAAGAATCTGACTATTATAGTAATGTACTTTAAATAATATATATTCAAAATAAAGAAGCTCTAGAATCAGTTGATAAGCTTATAGAAAAATATCAGAATTAAGTTTTAGATTTTCTACATAAAGAGTGCAGTGAATATGCTTATTCTATTCACCCAGTTTAAAAGTTGATACTTTTTAAATTAAAAGAGAATCAAAATGAATAATTACTCAAAAAGAATAAGGAAAAGGAATAGCTTTAATAAAATATCAAGTCTATTGGTTAAAAAAATGAGAATGGACAATAAAAATAAATGAAATAAGTAAATGAGAAAAAATAGCTAATTCCTAAAAATGAAATGTAAAAGTATGTTAATGAAGATGGTTCAATAGTCTTTGATGAGTTTTCCCCTAAATATATAAAAATAGGAGATTTAGAAATTAGTTTGGAGGAAAATTAATTTGATTAAGAAATTTACTAAATCCATTGCGACTATTTTAAAAGTGTTCATCAAAGAGAACCACAGTCAGTTTAAAAGTTTATAAACGATAAATGTATTTAAATAATAGAGCCATAAATAATATAAAGCAAAGTAAATTCAAATATGCAGCTATATACAGGAACTTTCTTTTTTAAGTATAAACTTAAAGGTGAAATAATAGCAGTTTCTCATGTAGATATACTCCCAGAAATGTTCATGAGCCAGTACTTTTTCTACAAACCAGAATTAAAGCAATCTTTTAAACTAGGTATAAATAGTGCATTGATTGAAATCGAATATGTCAAAAGAATGCAAAAATTCTTTCCATAATTTTTATATTTTAATTTTGTTTAATTCATCCCAAGAACAACAAAGATGAATTACAAGGCTGACTTTTAGAAGTAGCAAATATTATGTCCAGAAACTTGTAAATGGGTTGATTTAACATTAGAAATGAAAAAGTAACTTTATGAAAACCCAGCAGATAATCCTCGTTTAGCATCTAAAGAAGAATCTATATAAGAGGATCATGATTTTTCAGATATGAATATAGAACAATACTTATATGAAAACTTTATGATGTATATAAACGAAAGATATTTAATGATCCAAGATCTTATACCTGAAAGTTAACCTTAAATATTAATTAATTTAGCTTGCCTTCTATAAGCTATGGGTAAGAAAATATTTAACTCTCTTACTTTCGGTTATTGAAACAAACCATATTATTTAAATGCTTAAAATATTAATAAAAATCTCAATAAATTTATTAGTTAAAAAAAAATAGTTATTTTATAATAAATTTTCATATTCATTATCAAAAACTAATAAAATAAAAATAAACATATATGTATATAATTTATATGCATTTCTTCAATACAGTTCACCAATCAATCATCAATATTTTTCAATCAAAAAATTAATTTTAAAAAAATAAATAAAACTTTAAATCAATGATTTAGATTTAGCATTTGTTTATTTTACTCATTAAAATAAATTGAAATAAGAAAAATCTTATAGACTAAAATTTTGAAAATTGAAAAGTACTAATAAATAAAATTAATGCTATAAAATATAAATAATATTAGTTAAGTTATTTTAAATTATTTTCTAAGGCTAATTGAGCAATTCAATAAGTTAAATTAAAATGATTTAAGTGAAAAATAAATTAAAAATTAAGATAAAAATACATTTTATAAAGTATATATATATAAATACTATAATTTTAATTATTAATAAATCAATTTAAGGATTATTAGTTAATTCATTACTACTATATTTATAAAATAAATTTAAAAAAAGAGAATTTTTTATAGATTTTTTAGTATGTCTTTTGTTTAAATAAAGCTAAAATCGAATTTTTTCATTAAAATACCATTTTATTTAAATTTTACTACTTCACATCTTCAGGAGAAAATTATGTTTCAGGAACCAAACCTATTTCCTTTTCCATTCTAAATACTCTATTTTCAAAGCTTTACAAACATCTAATTATTGGCTAATTTTCTATAGTTTACTGATCAATTTATTTTTAGATGTATCTCATTTCTTAATCCTATTCTTACAAGTTCGCAGTCAATTTTTTTATAAATTATTCAATCGATATTTCTATTTATTTTGTATCTTTTGATATTTCAGATTCTTATTAAATTTATAGTCTCTTAAACAAAGAATTGCCTTCTTGAATTTAAGCTTAGTTCTTTAATATTTCAGATTTTATTGAACTTAATTTTTCCTTTTCATAATATATATACATAATATGCTTAAAAATAATTATTGACATTAACCAAATTTTTACAACTTATTTATCATAATATTATTCAGGGTTTGTTTGAATTTTGCTATATTGTTCATCAGACATTTGCTAAGAGGGGGTTTTGAAATTCTTTTTATTAAAAAATAAGTATTTATAAATATGTTTAGCTTTGAAACTCTGAATTACTGGATTTGTAATAAAAAATAAACCGCTATCATTATTGCCTTTTGGACCGAAAGATTCTTATTTATTCATTTTTTGTATATAACTTTAATCATCAACATGCTATTATTAAATCACTTCATAGGATTCTAATTAATTTTCTATTTATTAATCTGATATATGATCATGTACAATTTAAATAGACTGATGGGTTTATTCCTTATTCTCTCCTTAAAGAGATTCTTCCTGACTCATCAAGTCTAATTTTTAGCTGCTCTGTTTTTCTTAAACAATCTATTTCGCATCTTAACTTTATCTATTTGAGTAAGTATTCATTTAAGGTAAGAATAAAACTAGCTTTAACTATTTTTAATTAATTAAATAATCAAATTGATGAATATAATTTTTAAAGAAATTTCAACCAAGCATTTATTTTATTGAAAAAAAATAAAAATTTTTTAATAAATGGCTTGTAAGTAAATCTACCTATTATATGTAATTCATTAAAATTAAATTAAATTTATATTGCTACAATAAATATTGATTTATTAAAAAACATTCAAAATATACATTTTTATTAATAAATAATTTTTTAATTTTTACTAAAAATAAATATTTACAAAAAAAAATAATTTTAATTTAAAAATAAATAAGTAAAAAACATATTATTTTGGTTATTATTTTAATTAAACACTAATTCTTATAATATATTAAAGCCGTGAATGCAATTTGTTAATGTGATATTGTATTAGCTCAGAAAGACAGCATATAAAAATGGATAGCTTTTTAAGCACAGATAAGAAAGAAACCTCTCTATTCTCGGAAGAATAAGATGATACATTAATTTCATTTATATTTTGAAATTAGAAGGTAAAATATTTAAAAAGGATTTGATTGATATTATTAAAAGCAAATAAAAAGTGATAACAACATTTAAAGATACGAAAGGAAGAATAAAGCATACAGAAATAAATAAATTAAATAGAAAGGAGAAATAATAAAACAAAAACTGAAAAACAATACTTAATCTTTAAAAGATCTATTAAATTAAAAGCATAAATCAAAAAACTTATTATAAAAGCAGCAATGAATTTCCCAATATACTCATTCCCTAACGATTTGGTTAGCCACTTATCCAAGGAATACAAATAGCCATAAGCAGACAATATCAAGGAAGCAAAAAGAAACGAATTTAATCCCTACGTATTTAATGCAGGAACAGTTTGTGGTAGAATTTTTACTCTTTTTAAAGGCGATTGGAACATTTTAATGATGTAATTCATAATGTCATGTTAAAAATAATATTAATGGAATTTCAAAATACTCTTGCAATCCATCGCCATAAACAGGTTTTCTCTAAGCTACAGATATTAATATATTTATTTATATAAAAGCTATTGCTCATGGTGATTTCGTAATTGTAGCTGGTGATAAAAGAATTTCTCAAGGTTACTCCATAGTTAGCAGAGATATTTCAAAGTTAGCAAGATTGACTGATAACGTCTTTTTAGCAACTTCTGGTATGTATGCTGACTTTGCAGCCTTATCTAAGTAACTCTCAGCACGTTTACATATGTACAAATATAACAATGGTAAACAAGCAAATATGAGAGCTATTGCAAGCTTGTTATCAAGAACTCTTTACTACAAGAGGTATTTAGATTATCTTTAATTGCTTTAAAACTATTTGAAAATAACACAAGAAATATATAAAGAAAGAATAAATAATTTACACTTAGATAATTGGATTAAATAAAATTATTTTTGAATTTATAACTATCAAATATAAAAATCATTCTTTATAATAATAGATTCTTCCCTTATTATACTTTCAATCTCTTAGCTGGTTTTGATGATAAAGGTGAAGGTTTAGTAATTAACTACGATGCAGTAGGATCTGGTGATTTTAAAAAGTACGCCGTCTTGGGATCTGGTGCTCAATTAATTACTCCAGTCTTCGATTAGTACTTCGAAGGTAAGAAAGATAAATCCTAAATTATTGCTTCTTTAAATATTAAAAAAATAGTTTATTTAATAAAAAATAAATAAATAATTTATTTATTTATTAGAATTAAATTATCTGTTGAAAAGTTTTATGAATGAGTGAAATAATGAATTGGTTGATTATTTTATTTTATTTTAATAGGATACAATAAAATTAAAAAGGAATAACTTCACACTGTTGAAGAATTCATTAGCTTTATTGTCGATTGCTTTGAATCAGCTACTGAAAGAGATATTTATACAGGTAAATAGTTATTACATTTAACAAGAAATAGCAATAATTTTGTAACAATATAGGTGATTAACTTGAAATTGTCATTCTTAGAAAAGATAAAGCACCTGAATATTAATTGTTCCCTTTAAGAAAAGATTGAACAGATAGATAGATAGATAATAAAATATAATATAATAAATAGTAATTGTTTTTTAAGAATATAATGTAATAATTAAACTGTATAGTATAAATTTTTTTATATGTATTTTTACCATCTGTTTTAGAATAAGAAGAAGAATATTTACATCATTTTTATCTTCAAATGAATTAATTATTTTTTAACATTTCAAAAAAATACACTTACATGTAAAGCTTTTAAACAATAAAATCTTTAAAAATCAAGAGTGAAACAAAATTATTTTTAATAATTTTAAAAATTGAATTTACTTTTTTTACAAAAACAAGAATTAAAAATATTCAATTCATAAAATTAATTATAAATTCTACTTCTCAAAAATAAATATTAAAATAATTTTGTTTTTATTCTATAAATAATTAAATACAAAGTATTAAAAATTTTAAATTAATTTTTTATTATTGGATCATATTAAATAGCCAGCCATAATAATAATTATAAAATTTTAATTTGTTTTAATGATTTTTTATGATAAATAATTAATTATTAACTAAATAAATAAATACTTGCAAATAAATGAAAATATTTGAAATAAGTGCAATTATTTAAAAATAAACATTTTAAAGTTTTAAAAGCAATAAAAATAATAATTTTATAAAGAAAATTAAAAAATATTTTTAAACTTTATCAATTCTTTTAAGTAGCCGTTGTAATTGTTTTTATTTTTTAAATTAATTTAATCAATCTCATATCTATATGGAAGAATAAATACAATTTTAACTACTTTGTTAAGTTAAATCAGTCTTGTTTTTTCTTAAAAACTGATTTAAATAAATAAACTGGTGCCATAATTATTCCAGATGCTGTAATTTAAAATAGCACTGTTAAAAAGGATGCCATGTTAAGATAATGGTCTGCTAAGTAAAAGTAATAATCTCCTATTAAAGGTATCAAAGGATCAGATTCTGGATGACAAAGAGTAAAGTTCAAATTTGCCCAAGTAAGCATACTTTGAGGGACCATTATAAACCTCATATATAAAATGTGGATAGCGAATCCAAAATATTAGTGAACTAGTAACTCCCAAAATGACATTTTAAAAAAGCCATATCTACCACAAACTATTAAACACAAAGGTCCTACAAAAGCAGCTAAATAGTGCTCGATCCAGAAAAATTCTTCTTCCCAAGCTAAAACCATTCCATTTGTGACAGGGAATATAATAGCTGTAATGGGGCCAAAAAGCCAGCGCATGTAAGAAATAAAAATAACCGCTTTGACTTTAGTTTTTTCGGTGGTCAAAAGAATTCCAGAAAATAGTAGAACATAATGGCATGGGTTATGCATAAAAATTCCTCTACGAGTATAATATTTATAGCTTGCCATTACAATATATGTTGCAAAGCAGAGGTAGCCAATTAACTTTTCAAATAGTGAAGGTTTTACATTTTTAACAAGCTTAAGATCTAATTCTCTAGAGTTTTTTATCTTGTTCCATGCTAAATATATTATTAAAATATTTATGGTTGCGCTAATAGCTGAAACAGTAATTCTAAATTAATTAGAGAGAGCAGCTGCACACTTGGGACCACCATCACTAAATTCTTCGTATGTATCGGAATAAATACCTCCGTAGTAATAAGTTTAGAAAGTTTCTATAACCTACATGATTGTCCTTTAAATAGATTTAAATCTTTTTCCCCCTTTTTATCTTTTTAATATCCTTAAATATTTAAATATCTAAATGATTTATTTATTAGCTTGACATAAAATTCTTATTTAATTTAAATGCTGGTTATCATAAAAATTAACCCATAATTAATATTGATTTAAATTTTATATTTGTTAGTTAAAATAATAAAAATATTATTATTTGACAATTTTACACTATTTTTATTAAATGACGTATATCTCATCATCTAACTCAGCAACTTACTTGTAACTCTGTGACATTTAACTGTTTATAATTGGCATCTAAGTATTTCTAATTTTTTTAAAACAATTCAATTTACCAAAACATTAGGGAGTTTATCTATTTTAAATTAGAAAAAAATTTGATTATCTATTTGTTGATATTAATATGTAAATAAATTTTCTAGATTATATCAATTTTATCAAATTCTAAATCAAGTTTATATGAGTAAAACTAATAAAAGATTTAAAAAACTATATTTAAACTATTGTTAACAAATTTATCAAATGAAATATATTATGAAAGACTAGATTTGAAAAAAAAATTTACTAAATATAAAAAATTTATTCAATTAAATTGATTTTATAATTTACAGAAGTGTTTAAAGTAATAAAAATTTCAATGAGAACTTTACAAGCTTTCATTTGAAAATTTAGTCGAGTATAAATTAATTAAAAAAGATTGACTGCTTTACAAAATGAATGGGATAGAAAGTAATCAATAATACAATGCATATTTGTGTTACAAGAAAATAATTAAAAAGATTACTTTTGATAAATCACTTATATAAATCTTTTTGTTAGAAAATATAAGCTAACTGTTGTGAAAATACTTATAACAACATTTATTTGAGAATTTAATTTAGTATAAATAAATTAAATAAAAAAATATGGGCAGCTTTAAGAATTGAATGTGATAGAAAGTAATGTAAGGCATATTTATGATAAAATGAAATAATTAAAAAAGCTGCTTTTTATCTATCCTTTGATATAAATTTGTAAATTTCTTAATTAATATGTAATAAGCTAATTTCTATGAAAATGTTAATATTAATTTTCCCTTAAGAATTTAGCATAGCATGCATTTATTAAAGAGAGATAGACTAGTTTACTAATTAAATGGGAAATAAAGTAACATAAAGCGTGTAATGATGAAATAATTAAAAAGTTGCATTTTATAATACAATTTAAATATAAAATGTAAATTTTATGAAAATACTAATAAAAATAATATAATTAATTTAATAACATTTTAATATAAGTAAATTTTAGAAGTATCTTTCTAAAGGCTATTATTAAGATTTTGTTTTTCTTTTAATTTAAATATTTGTAATATATTAATGGTATTCGCTTTTTGTAACTAAAATTAGTTTGTACTGAACTTTCAAAGAAGATAATTTAATTATTTATAGCAATATTAAATTTAATTTGAAACTAAATTATATTTAATCACTTTTAAAATTAAAAACTTATGCTTTGCAATGTCTATTGCTTCCTTATCAAGTTATTTTGCTTTGGTTAAACTAACAAACTCATGCTTCTGTTAAATAATGTTGTTGAAGTTGGATGCTCATTAAAATTGAAATTCGAAATACTATGTCTAAAGAAAATTTAAGTGGGACTTTCTTGAAGATACTTTAATGATCTACTAGTCTACTAAGTGTCTTCTTACAAATTTGTAATACTTGGTAATTTTGTTGTTTACAGAGAGCTGAAAGATGGAAAAGAATCAAGTTGCTTCACATTTTATTTAAATGGAGTCTTTAAGTTTCTACTCTATATTTTTTATTTTGCTCTCTTAAAATTTAGTTTCATCATGATTTGTTGTTTTTCTTTTTAATATCTCAATGCATCTGTATTTTAGTCTAGAATTTATGAAATCAGCAATAATTAATTTAGCATATTCACATACTATTTTATAACTTTTTAATTTTCAGGCTCTTTTTCATGCATTATCTTGAGTTATTTCAACACTATTTCATAATATTCTTTAGATTTTTTCATTTCCCCTTTTAAGTAATAAATCTAACCTAAATTTTCGCATGATTCAAGAACGTCAAAACTATTCTACTATTTTATATTTTGATCTAAAGTAGCATATTATAAAGCTTTTTCGAAGTGCCCTTAATCTCTCAAATTTATGGAATATTAAAAAAGGCCGGCAGAATAAATTTGTAAATCTTAAGGCAAAAACTTTAGCAAATTTTATTCATTGTAAATCTTAAAAGCTTAAGTAAGCATTTCATTTGATTCATCTACTTTATTTTAAAAATATAAAATCGTAGATATTTGAACTCTTATATGGGCAGACTAAATATTTTCATCACAGTTTTGTCCATCATATATGTTTAAAGCCATGTAGTAATGAGTTAAAGCTTCATCAAATAATCCATATTACTGTAATATCTCACCAATCATCATGTATGTGCTACCAAATTCAACATCTTATTTCTTTAGTATCCTATTTTATATGCTTAAGCAGTGCTCCAAGCATGACATAGACTGTAGCTTCTCATTTTTGTTGAGAAGAACTCTTGCTTTTCTTAACAAATTAGATGTGTATTATTTTGAATTTTCTGTATACATATTAAGTAGATAAATTAGCAGTTTATTTATTATTTCTAACTTAGTCTAGTTGCTACTTTAAAGTATATCATGCACTTTCAGTAGTATATCTATAAATACTTAGTAATCTTTCATCAAGCAAGCTTGTTTGTTTCTAAATTATTAACTATCTAAAATTGCTTTATCTAATTCATTTTCGTAAATTCTGACTACAGCTTCTATAACTTTTAAGCACTCTTCATTTTATTATTCAACAAAAAGATATTAGATTAATTTTTGGTAGCTCTTTACAGTTTCAGGATGCATGTCTCCTAATACATTTTTATTCTCATTCAACTCTTGACGCAAAATACTACCAGTATTTTTCTGACTCACCAACCTTTTATTCATGATGGAAGTATTTAAAATATGAAGATTTTTTTTAGAAACTCCTCTCTTTCTTTTTGCTAAGATCTAATTTTTGTTTAGTTTAATTTATTTTTTCAATTTAGAAAGATTTTTTTATGAATCAAATTTTTTTTACTTAAAGTCAGTATCAGTAATTTATGCAAATAAAACACTCTTAAGCATTTAGCATACCAAAATCTATTCATGAATGTAAATGGTTGAAGTTAATTTTATAAAAATGATATATTACCATCATATTTAAAAATTAACTTACAGAAATAAAAAAATACAAACAATTCAAAAATTTTTGAAAAAGTTAGTTAGATAAATTCTGTCTCAAAGTATTTTAATTTATAGGATTATTATTAAAAATAACATACACAATTGGATGGAATTTATAAAATTTAATATTTCAACCATTAAAATGTAGAAAACTCATTTCAAAATATTAGCCATAAAAAATAAAAAAGATAGATCAGATACTTATTCAATCAATATCTAATAACTTAATTACAATTTTACATATATTACATATACAAAGATTTAGATAAACGAATTGAATTTTGATCTCTTATATAATTTTATTAAATTTTAAGGAAAATTTAAATCGAATTTTTTCTTTAATCTTAATAACTTTGCATCAACTTTTTAATCGAACCATTATACTACGTTTTTCAAAAATCATTTTAAAATTAAAATTGATAAGTATTATGCTTTAATGATATTTTTGTTTTTCATTATTTAATAATGCTTTACTTTTTTTAATTTTTCAATTTTTTTATTATTTTTAAAGTTGAAATGAAAATAAAATGAAATATTTAGTTTTATTTGTGTTTACAATTAACAAAATTTTTCATTTAAAATACCTTATAAATACAAAATATAAAAATAATTTAATAAATATTATTTTAAAAATTATACTAAAATTATGGTTAATCAAAATATTATCTATAAATAGCTGAATTTTTAAGATAATTTAAATTATTCTGTTTGAATTATTTTCATAATTTTTACTTAAGGTCTAGTTTAGATTGTGTCCATAAATTAAGATATCACAATAATTTATTTTTTTTAAACTCTTATAAAATAATTTATGAAAACTGTAATAACCTATAAATAGAATTTTATTTACCTTTGAATTTGACAAATTTAAGTAATATAAATTCTAATTCTATTTTGATTTCCAATCTTCATAAGCTTAATTTTTGAGTTAATTATCAATAATATTCTAAATAGATATTTTTGTTTACTATTTTTTATTTTAGATCAATAAAATAAATTTTTGATTTAATAAAATAAAATTTTCATTTTTAATAATAATATTGATTGTAAAATCAACAATTATTATTAATTCAAATATTTTATTTAATTTAGAATTTATTTACTAATTAATATTTTAAAGTTATTAAAATCAATAACTCTTAATTTGCTTACTTAGAATAGAACTGCTTTTCAATTCTAAAATTATATTTCTTAATTTTGAAAATAGAAGAAAAAAAATGAAATTCTTTTTAATTCTATTAATTTATTTATAAAGAATATGTGATATTTGGCGCAACATACTTCTAGTTGAAGTTTCTATATTATATATATGCAATAATTTTGATAGGTGTTGTTATATTAAAATTATTAATAATCAAAAACATATTTATCTAAATTAAAAAAAGTAATAAATTTACAAAAATGGTCGAAAAAACTGCTCTTATTATTGTTGATATTCAAAATGATTTTTGTGAAGGTGGATCTCTTGCTGTTCCTGATTCTTTAAAAGCTATTCATTAGGTCAACTAAATTAGATAAAATAACCATTTTGACATAGTTGTTGTAACTAAAGATTATCACCCTGCTAACCATATTAGTTTCGCAGCTAATCATCCTGGTGAAAAACCATTCACTAATTTAATTTTGCCAAATGGTAAAGTATAGGAATTATGGCCTCATCACTGCGTTTAAGGAACAACCGGAGCCGATTTACATAAAGATTTAGTAACTTTACCTAGTGATAAAATAATTTTAAAAGGCTAAGATGCTAATATTGATTCTTATAGTGGCTTTGGTTCAGAAGGAGAAAACACTGGGTTATTGTAATATTTAAAAGAATAGTAAGTTTCTACTGTTTACTGCGCTGGGCTTGCTTATGATTTTTGTGTTGGTTCTACTGCAATTGATAGTGCTAAGAATGGTTTTAAAACCTACATAGTAGAAGACGGAACTGGTTCTATAAGTGAAGAAACTGTTAAAAATATGAACAAAAGATTTGAAGAATTCGGAGATAAAATAGTTAAAATAAATAGTGATTAAATTTGAAATTATATTTAATTGTCATAAATTATTTTTGTTAAATAAATATATTTTGTTTGCATTTTATACATTCAGAATTGAATTTTTAAAATATTTTTATTATATTTGTATGCAAAATTAAGAATTAATGTATCCAAACAACAAATAAATAATCTTTATTCTCTTAAATTAATTTTTGAAATAACAAAAAAAAAATAAGCAAAAACAAGAAGATACCCTTTTAAATGTATTTTTATGTAAACTAACACGAATATTTGGTTTAATAAAGAATACATCAAAAATTTAATTATTTTTTGCAGATTTGTTTTTTTTAATAATTCAAAAGAATTTTAAGAGAATCTTTTATCAACATAAATAAAGTCAGACGTCATAAAATATATAATTATTACAATTATGAAATCATCAATTATGTAACTAAATTATAAGATTTGAAATAAGTTAAACGATTTAAAATGCTTAACTTTTAATACTTGTAAGATAAATGCTATTATTCTAAAAAGAAAATTTGTTTTCTAGAAAAATAATTATTTTCATTTATTTTTAGAATTATTTAGTCATAAATAAAAAAATTATTATAAGATTTCAATGATTTAAAAATTAAAAGTAATGAAAATGAGAATTATTTATTTTAATTTCAAATGAAAACAAATAAAATTAAATATTTTATATTTATCTTTTTTAATGTTAAAGTTAGTAAGAAATACTTTAAAATGTTTATTTTTACAGATATTTTTTTTTTCAATTCTTCCTCAAGTTATTTGATTAATAGTTGCTTTTATTTTCTGATTCACTTGCTGTCTGTTGGTGATAATAATTTTTTTATTCAGAGCTGTTAATATAAATTTATTTTTAATTTGATAAAAATCTTTTGTTTTATTCTATTTCTTCTTCTTTGTTAAATACACTTTTACTCCTTCTTTGAGTGATTAGTTTGTTAGTATAATCAGCTGCTGCCGGAGGAAAAATAACACACTCTTAACCTTAAATTTAACTTTTGTTATTAATTTTAGACAAATTTTATTTTTTTGTTGAGGGTGGAGGATTGCTACTTGAATTAGGCTGTGATGTTTATGTATTTTAAATGGAGACATTATTAGAAAGTAGACCATTATAGCTTACTAATTTGATATAGTTAGGATTTATTGCTTTTTAACCCGAGTATTAATATTGTTGTTTTTCATCTGTTTACTCATTAGTGTTTTACTTGTTTATTTGAATTCCTACTTTCTTTGGAGAAATATTTCCGTTCTAATTAGAAATATACGAATATTATTATTCTAACTCATAATCTTATGAGAATTATTTTTTATTTTGTTATTATTTGCTAGGACTGACTAATGGATTCAAACTAATATTTTAAATGCAGATATCGTTTCTTACTTCATTCTAATTCGTATTAGTCATTTATGTCATAGTGCTCATAGGAGTCCCGTTTTGTGAAGAAAACTTTTTAGTTTACTATACTTTACTTGCTCCATGTGCTTCAGAGCTTACTTTTTTTTCTATCTATTGTTATGTGCTATAATTTATTTAAGGGATTACTTGTGTATATTTTTGCTGATTGCCTTAAAATTGTTTAGATAATACAGAGCTTTAAATTTATATAAAAAAATTTTAGATATAAAACAGATTAAGATGGAATTGTTTGGCAAGTAAAGTTTTTTAAAAATGAATATATTTAAAAAATTTTACTCGTTTTAGTTCATTTTAAGTATTTGATATCTTGACTATTCTATTCTTTTTTTAATCTAAATATTCTTTTTATCTTTTCCTTGAGCTAAAGAGAGCAGAGATGATTGCTGATTTTCGATAGGATTCATCAGCTTATTTAAAATTTACTTTCCTTTTTTATTCTCATTAAATTACCTTATATTTTCTGTTGCATAAAGATAGCTTAACTATTTTATATCTCTAGCATGTTATTCTAAAGACTCAACGTTCACCTTATTTGAAAAATGTACGCTACCCTCATTAGTATTAGTTTGGGTTTGCTATTCTTAATTTTACTATGTTAAACTGTTTTACCTTTAATTATTTTATGTCTTTCCTAAATTCAGTGACCTATTTAATCTTTATTTTTTTTATTAATTACTATTAAGGTTCTCTCTTTCTGTATCGAATTAATTTATATTAATATTGTTATTGCAATTTAATTTTATAACATCTAAATAATTCTCATCTTAAATGTTTTAGTTATTTTCCTGAATTCTATAAATATTATTATTTAATGAACGATTAGCAAGGCAAGTCTCTTCATCAAAAGATTAATTATTTCTTAGCATATCTATCATAGATTTTCTTTTCGTTGGTAGAGGAGAAATTTAGTTTATATTTTTCATTAGGTGTCTGCTAATCGAATGCTTTACTTCGTATTTGCTAATAATATTGCTCCTTAGAGTATCGTCTTTATTCATAGAAGGAAGGATCTTTTATGCTTCTTCCGTTCCATAAATTCCATCTACTTCTGTGTCTATCTAAAGATGAATGTTATCAGAAGTATTTGTAATAATTTTGCTAGAGGTTATATAAGGTAAAATAAGTGGTTGGCTTTCAGCAGGCTAGCTTTATTGATTAGAAGAATTTGAAGAAGATGTGATATTATTGTTGTTGTTAGTGTTGCTGTTATTGTTATAATTATTAGTAGTTATGTTTGAATTAGTTGCTGCAGTTGTAGTTATATTTTTAATAATTGAATTATTTTATGTATTTAATTAAATGTTTATGTTCTGTAAATTTTATAGATTTATATTATTTAAATTATTTTAATTTTAAGAATTATAAGAACTTTTTTATGTTCTTGATGTATCTATTGATTGAAGTTTTGTGTATCCTGGGGCACCTGCTATTTTAGTTAGATTTCTTTAAATAAAATTTTTTTAGCTTTTTATTTTAGGTTGATCTTGCTAATGTTGTTTCTGCTATTGAGAAGACAACATGGATTAAGGAGGAGAGATTTCTTATTAGTTATTTTATGAATGTATAGTTGTATTAGTATTTACTATTTATATTAAATTTTATAAGTTATTAGCTTAATTATTGTTTTTACTAGGAGAATTTTGAGATGAATCTATATTGTTATTTTCCTTGTTCGGATTTTAAATAATATTTCCTAGATTTTCTTTGTTGAGATTTTAATTTTAACCATTATTACTGTTTTAGCTGGCAAAATTATCTATGAGTTTAATAGGATCTTTTTAAATTTATTTATTAGTTGAGAACCCATTTTGTTTCTTTTTCTTTTTTTTAGAATCTTCATATTCTTTGTAAGGAGATTAGAAGCTTAAATATTTAGGTTTTACCCCAACTTGAGGAACAAAGTATGTTTCATTCAGCATATTATTAGCATCTATGTAATTTTATGTTTCAAAAATATCAGGAGGTAGGTGTGCAATCAAGTGATAATCAAAACCATGGTTTTAAGCGACAAAGTATTTTAAATTCTTTTCTTTTAATTAATTTTGACAGTTAAAAGGATCATTAGACACATCCTTCATAAAACTTATAAGTTAATTTATCTCATACAGCTTTTCATCAATATTTTTTTAGACATCAGCTAAATTTTTTTAAGTAAACCTTAGCGTTTTTGATTTTTTTTCATACTATTTTTCAAAATTTTTTTACTGGTTTTTGATATCCATTTATATTTTCTTTATTTACTCCCTCTAATCTTTTATTTTATAGTAATTATTGAAAATTTTTTAGTTGTCTCCAAATTTCTACATATTTTATTCTAAATTTTCTATCATTTCATTGAGTTTTTCATTTCTTAAGGTAAGCTTTTCTTCATTTGAATCACCTTCAGCTTGCTTTTGTATGTTTAACCTGTTCTTATTCTACTCTTAGACTATTTTTGATTTTATTTGCTTTATTTCATTTTCATAAAAATCCTTCAAAGCCTAAAGGTTATTCCCATTGCTCGTGCCTATATTCTTTTCATTTGAGATACTATTCCTAGCTAAAAGACTTTAATTTTCTTATTTAAGTTATTTTATATTAGCGAAAGTAGCTTAAATTTCTTAATTTAGGTGTTTTAATTTCTTGTGGTTGATGTGTTTGGCCTAGTCTAACTTGGCAAATTTATCCTACATTTCCTCAAGTCATCCTATTATTCCCTTGTCAACATATTAAAAATTGTATTTTGCAGTCGAATCTCCAGGCCCCTACTTATCTTTGTTGCTAGCTTGTTCGCGCATATACTTAATAGCTCTCTTTTCTGAGTCTATATTATCTTCATGTTCTTAATCTCTTGAGATTGGTGATGAAGAGAATTTTTTTGATTTTTTTTCTGCAGGCTGCTAAAGCCATTTTACATAATCTGATATGGCACACTCTTTAAAATTTACTTTTTTATTTGATTGATACACTTACTGCAAAAATTAATCTGCTAATTTTTGCATTGCAATTAGCAATCCTATTTACTTTTCTTTTTCTTTTTCAAGTTTTTCAATTTTCAATTCTTTAAATTTACCAGTTGAAAACTGCTTTTATAATGAGCTAAGCATATTTAATGTATTCGTTATTTATTTTTCACTCATTAAATAGAATTGCGAGTCTTTCATTTACTACTTAATTTAATTAATCTATTACATAATTTTTTCATTTTCCCTTTACTTTTACAAAGCTAATAATTCTTCCTCCTTCTATTTTTATGATAAAATTTCCTACTCCCTTTTTCTCCTTTCCATCTCTTCTCTTAGCTACTATTAAGCTTGCAACTATAAAAGTTCTTTTCTCCTTTGTCTTTCTAACTCTCTTTGAATTTCTTCTTAAGATATCTCTTATTCTATAAAATTATTTTCATTTTTTTACTTCTTTGTTTTTGTACTGGACTTTTCTCCTTTTATTAACGAACAAATATAATAGTTAATAGATGATAATAGAATGTTATTTTCAAGTAAAGCTCATTTCTTTTATTTAATTAACTCATAAAAATTAGTGAAGAAATTACTTTTTGAATCTTGAGATTTAAGTTTACCCTTTGTATTTTCTTCAACTAACTATTATTGATCTTATCTATTAAATAATAGTTTTATAGAATCTATTTATAAAATTTTCTGGTTAAGATTACTTGCTATCCTACTTGCTACTTTTTGATTTTCCTCTCTTGGAATTTTTCTTCTTGGAGGTAGACGACATAAATAAATGCCTTCTGAAACTAAATTAGCTTGTTTGCTTTTATAAAACTTAACTTTTAATATACTTAGTATTTAGTGATATTTAAGCTTCTTTACTAAATTATCTTTTCTAATTTGTAAATTAAGATTTTAGAGAGTTGACGAATAAATAAAGATTGGTAAATTTTATGAATAGCTAATTTAATTGAAATTTTAAAAGGTTATAAATTTTTCATATTTTGAATGAGTTTGAATTATAACAATTAAAACAAATATATAAATTATTACTATTCATTCAATTTTTTAAGTATTTCTTTCTCATTTATTTGAAATTAATGCATAAAAAATATATTTTTGATTTATAATTGTTAAGTAGTAGTTAAACAAAAACATGTACTTATTTATTTATTTACACAAACCTTTTTCTATACAAATATTTTATTAAACCTCTATACATTGATTAGACTAATTATTATTATTTCTTTGCAAATTAAACCAATTTTATGTTATTTGCTAAACAAACAAGTATTATTAATCTACTTATTAATCATTATATCATTTTTTGGTTGTTTTTTTAAAAAATAAAAAATCATCTATTTTATAGAAAAAATTAATATGCATTTAATGATTGACACTCATAGTCTAAATTGATAAAATCATAATTATAAACTTATAATTGATCAAATTACTGTTATCCTTCATAAATGTCCTGATTATAATAATTGGTAAATTTAACTAAAGAGTTATCTTAAATAAAGATGATAAAAATGCATCCTATTAATATCACTAAAAGAAATAAGGCTATTAATACGAATGCATCTTAAAAAGTTAATTTTTTTTGAGTAGATTTAGTTTCTTTGATTTCGAATTATAAAGTAGGTGTTTCTTAATTCTAGATTTAGGGAGTTTCAATTTTTTGACACTTTTCAGATTCTGCTATAAGCTAGCTTAGTTTTTGTTTTGACTAAACTTCTGGGCTCTGTTCAGAATTTTAAGTGTTTTCATAATTAAATGTTGCTGAATTTCCGTTAAGGTAAGTTTGTTCGTTTGTTTAGCTTTTAGAATTATTCATGGTGAAAATAAATATTAAATATTAAATATTAAACTTAATATTAATATAATAATAAAAAATTTTATTGAAAATAAGTTAGAATATATTTTTAAGTTTACATAGATATCTAAGGTGAATGGCCAAAGGAAGCTAAATTACCTATTGATCTTCTAAGACTTTCATTATCAAAAGATGATATGCTTTAAAAGTTCTAAGAATAATTTGTTGCATCAGATTAACTTCTTTGATGTTCCTATTTGGCCAAGTTTTTTTAAGTTTAATATGTTTCTTTTTTATTATTGTTTGTGTCAGAATTATAAATATCTAAGTAATTTTCATAAGAATCTTATGAAAAAAGATTATCTTCACAACCTTTTTATATTATGCAATCTATCTCTTCTAAATTAGAATCAAATAGCTGAATATCATCATCTAAAACTTCATTTTTTGTATTTTTCAACTCTTGTTATTCTATAGGTTAGATTAAATTTTAATTTAATATTTAATTGACCTATTATTTTAATTCTTATTCTATTACAAAAGGGACATCTCTGTTTTAAAGTTCTATTTTTTCGTTTATTTAATTATTAAAATTTTCTCCTGAAATCTAATTTAAATTCTAAGTAGTAGTAAACGATCCACTCAATTATTTTTTAATTGTGGCAGTATCAAACGAGCTTCTGCTTAAAAAATCTTCTTCCTGGATAGGATCTAAGATTTAAGCATTATTTTAACTTAGTTTACTACTTTTTAATTATACTTTTTCTAGTGAAGAAGATAATATATTGTTTTTATCATCATCGTTTTCTAAAAATTAATTTTTATTTTACTGTTTGTTTGATTCTTCTAATTTATCTGAAGAAATAATATCAAAAATTTAATTATCATCTTCGTAAACTGCAAGATTAAGTCTATCGTCACTTTCTATTTTTTCTTATTCATCATCTTTAAAGAAACTATTTTAATTATTAGGATGATTGTCTGAGCATTCAGTGAATTCTACATTTTAATCTTAATAAAAAAAATAAATAAAAATTAAAAAAAAATTAAATATTTAATTTACTTAACAAAATCTATTTTTGAATTTCATTTTAAGTAGGAACCTTTTAATTATTTTATTACGTCTAATAGTTTTATTACAAAGATGGGATATTATGCTAATAAATATCATCATTTTCTTTGATATCTTGTTATTAAAGCATTTAGTTGCTTTATGATACATTTTTTTAATTTATATTTTGTGAATTTATTTAATATTTTTCTAGTTTTATCAAATTTATTTATTCTTGTATTGCAATTTGTTATTATTTATTATGTTCAGTATTTATTAATACCATCTGTTCATAATTAATTTCTTTTTATGATTCTATAGAGTTGTTTACACTATAATTGCTATTTTAATCCTTGCAAGAAAGAGACTAAATATCTTAATTCTAACTTATTTATGAAATCTATTATCTATGATTTTCTACTTATTATTATTCTTTATCATGTTTACTTTAACTAGTACAATTCATTTCTTCTGGGTAAGAGCAGCTTTTATTTATTTAATAATCAAGCTAATTAGGGGATGAGCTATAATATTATTAACTTTTTTAAGAAAGATTAAATTAATGTTATGAATAAGCTAGCTCAAGATCATCATATAATTATTAATTACTATATGTGTTGCTTCCTTTTATACTTTAGTAATTAACATTTGTTTTGTTTCCTATATATTTGCTAACTATGTTAAGAATATCTTAGTCACTTTCTGTCATTTATGTTGACCTATAATTATATGATGACTATAAGCTAGAAAAATCTTTTTTATAAGAGTTGTTGTTATTTATTTTAGTTTCTTGTTTAGTTAATTATTCATTTTAGCGCAAAGGCTCAAAAGTTTATTATATTTTTAATAGAGATTGCATATTCGACTACTACCCTGCATATTACTAGTTCGTGCGATTTACTCTAGATACATTTGGAGAGTTTTACAAAGAAATACTTATTTATTAATAATTATGATTTTTTTAATCATTTGTTAAAACTTTCTGATTTTTTTGGTGAAAAGAATTAGTTGTTCGTTCTCTATCAGTTAAAAATTATCGGTTAGGAGGAGTAAAAGATTAATTAATTGGTTTAGATGTCCTTAATGATTGAATTGGCAATTATAAAAGCTAATAACTCTACCTAAGAATAGTTTAACTCTATTAAGGAGAAGTACTTCTAATTGAAGTTGGAATCAGAACTTTGTTTTGTTGAATTTACATGTTTTTATATAATACAGGCGATAAATTTTACACCACCTATCTCCTTGAATTGTAAATATTATGATTATTTATTCTGTTTTGAGAAACAGTCACAAAATTAGATGGCTGATGAATAGTTTGAATGTTCATTAAAAATAAATCTTTGAGCAACAAAATTATATAATTTATTAATCTTAAAAATAAAATATAAATTAATTTTTATTAGTTTTTGTTTTTATTGAATTCAATCAGTATAGCCGTTTAATCTTTCAAAACATAAAATGAACTCAAGTTTTTATTTTCTATTAATTTATTAAAATAATTTCTAATTTTCAATTAAAATAAATAAATTAATAGGAAATAATTCTAAGATTTTATTTAAATATGACATTTATTTTAATTCAACAACAACAATTTATTTAAAATCATAATAAAATGCATCAAACATTAATTTTATATTTATTTAAACAAAGTAACTCTCTAAACAATCTAATTTTAATGAAAAGTTTATAATATCCACAAACATTTTAATGTAAAATATTCAACTTAAAAAAAATTTTAATATTTTGTATTAAACTAAAAATGAATATAGAATAATTACTTTCTCCTTTACAGAGCTATTATTTTTTAACCAAGAAATTAATTTCAAAGTCAATTAATTAATCCAAGAAAGAAAGATAAATAATAATCTAGTTAATATTTATTTTATAGACCAAATTAAATAGAAATAAGATATTAAAAAAATTGTATTTAATGGGACAGGATACTAGCTGCTAGCGACTGTGCTGCACAGAGATTAACAAGCCAGTACATATATATATTTATTAAATTTTAAAAGTTTATATTAAATTAAAATTTTATATTTATATGTTCTAGAGATATGAAATAAGTGAAAATGGAAGTGCTCGTGCAGTAAATATTTAATAAATCTACATATTTAAATGAGCTAAATACAATTAACTAATAGGTGCACTGGGATCAAGAGTAAGATAAACAATATTTTCTATCTCCTAAAATTGTTTAATATGAAGATTAAGAGATGAATTTAAATAGTGGACAAAAAGTATTACATTTTCACAATAAATTAAAACTCTAAAAAAATAAATTTAAAATTAGAAGGTTAAGAAAAGCTTTAATTTAGCGGAGTAAGAAGAACTAGTTGACACCTCAAATATTTTTCATATTGATGTAAAACAAAAACTATTTTTCTTATCTAAAATATTTTATTTTGAATAAAATTAGGATCCTTCTACTAAATCATAAAACTCTTAAAAAATAAAGGTAATTCTATCTATCTATATTTATTATATTGTTAATTTGTTAGCAAATTAATAAATACTTTTTTAAACGAAACAGAAAAATATTGTATCCTTTTTAACGAGTAAAGACAGTTTAAGTGACGTTAATAAATCCTGCTTATCAATCGTTAATTATTTATGCTTGAACTAAACTCAAATGAAAAAATTTAATTTAACTAAAGAGCTTACTTTAACATCATCAGGAGCTAATAATCAATAATAGTTGACAAATAATGATTAAGAAGATTAATGGATATGGAAAGAAGTGCAAGATATTTTTAACTAACTTTTTCCTAATAATCTGAATGAAGTTTTTATAGAATATGATTCAAACTGGTAAGGCTTATACTTAATAAGTGCCTTAAATTCTTTATGCTTAAAACCTGTTTACCTTTTAAGAATGTTTGAAACAAAATCTAAGCAAATAGACAATCCCGATATTACTTTCAACAACTAATTAACAAAAAGTTAGGATGAAACAAAAATAAATTAATTTTATGTGCACTTTCTATTTAATGGAATTATATAAAAAGTCTGTGTCGACAATAATATACCTTTTATCCCTAAAAAGAAGCAATGTTTATTTATCTAATCTCATCCTTATGGATTTTCTCCTTTGTTATTAAAGGCCTATTCAAGCTTATTCGGAGGATACTAAGCAATCTAAAGAGGTATCTTTGGTTAACTAATAAGAGATATAACTTGGGCTCCCTACGAATACATTACTATTTAAGATTTGGTATCAACCTTTTAATACATCTCTGAAAATTTAAAAAAGAAATATTTAGTAACCCTTTGCAAATCACTTGATAATTATTGGGTTGATACAATTGTCACTATTTCACAAGAATTGGGAATAGATAAGGTTAATCTTATAATTGATGAAACATTATTTTCAATTTTTATTCAAAACTATTAATTAACACTATTTTTATTTTATTAGGTATTGCTGAAAAAGGGATAAGATGGAAGTCTTAGATGGGTGCATTTTTAGGATATCAATCAGATGTATACTTATTGTGGTGTAAATAAATGTAACGAAGAATACTACTACAGCTATATAACTTAAAATTTAAACAAAAATATGCATACTGAGATACTTGTGGTTTAATTAGAGAATTCATAAGCAGCAAACCACGCATTTATCACTTTTAGCCAATAAGACAAAAGATTATTTTTAAATTAGAGCAGCAATAGTAGTTTTTCTTATGATTTTGTAAGAATGATACTTGTTAAAGGGTCTTTAAATGTAGTAAATAGATAAATAAACATTGAATCATATATTTATGACCATGTTTAAGTAGGAAGAGATTCTACTATTGAGTGTAATTTAAGTTAAGGAACTTATCTTCTATACCTAGAAATAGAAAAGAGTACTAGTCTTCAATCAAAAATTTGCATAAATAGTTACTCATAGCATAAAATTTAATTTTAATTTGCTGAAAGTCAAGAACTTTTTAATGTTTTTAATCCTCAAAATAATGGTGCAAATACAAAAAGTGATGTTATTAAAAATGAAAATAATAACGAATCCAGACTGATAGATTAATTCCTAATTTGCCAAACTAAAAGATTGACAGAAAACAGCAACATTATATTTAGTTATCAGGATGACTCAGAAATAATAAGAATTAATGGCCTAGCAGCAGGAAATATATTTTTTATCTACTAAAATAACTCAAAGTATGGAAGCGTACTCTAAGAAAAGCATAGGATCCGTAAAAGGAACGATGCTTTATTCTGTAGAGAGTGGCAAGTAGAAATATATCCTTAACAAAAAAAAATATTTAGCTATCCTTTGTAAAATGGAGAAGATATAAATGATATCATTATTGATTTAGTGTATACTAACATAAATTTAATAGATAAGAAAGTATTGCTTAACATTAAATCAATAGAAAATATGAGGTAAGTTATAAAAGAGTAAAGATAATTGAACGGAATTCCTATTAATAGTTACATGTACACCTACTCATATCCAGGAGGATATTCTATATATTTTGAAAATTTTTCTAAGTTTTCTTGCACAGAAACTTTATATTATAATATCATAAATTTACAAGGAGAAGATTTTAATATTTAAAATAAATTCATAATTTTCCTACTTAATCCTGGATAGACAAAGCTATTTAATGTTAAAAGAATAGATCTTTTACAACCATGCGATTTATAACTAAAAAGCATATATTAGTTTCATCAGTGAAACAATAATTAATTTTGATATAAAATGTAAATAATAAATTAATTGTATTATAATAAATAAATAAATGTCTTACTTTAAGTATTTAATATAAAGTAACATTATTAAATAAATGTTAAACTAATTAATTAATCATAATTATCAATTAAATAAATAAATGAATTACATGCCAACAGATTATACAATTAAATCTGGATATATTGGGTATTCATTCGACTTAAAAATTTGCTCAATTTATAGCAATTCCCAATGTATAGAAAATTTTAATTAAAATAAACTATATTATATGAAAACGGGCAGACCAAAAAATTTGCTTAATAAACACAGGTTCAACTGTATAGTACATTTCAATATTAAAAAATTCCTTAGAAAGTTTAATTTTTTAATTATTTAAAATTTAACAAATTTAAATCTTTACGAGTTGAATTTTACCATAACTCAATTATTTATTTTTTTTATAAATGTTAAAATAATTAAATGAAGTTAAATTATTCCAAAAATTTACTTTACTTAATGATAAATTTATGAATTTTTTAATTAATTTATATTGTATAAATCAATCTATTTAGTTTTATTTTTATTGCAATTTTGATTACTGAGTAACATTTTAATTAAACTAAATATAAAAACTAAATACTTAAACTGTTTATTACTGTAAGTATTTTTCCTTACTTTTAGTTGATGAAAATCAGTTTTACTACTATTCACATGCTGTTTTATATTTTTTTAAAATGAATAGGATTCGAATTTTTTTGAAAACAAACATAGAATAATTGAATTTGTTAATATTATTGGTATATTTTTAAAAAAATTTAATTCTTTAGAATATGATCCATAACCTTTTTACATGTTATTTAAAAGCTATTTATAGTATCAAGAAATAAAACTGAGCTGATTTTTATATTTTTTATTTAAAAAATTTAACAACGATTGAAAGGAGACAGTCTATTGAATCAAGCTAGGTTCCAGTCATTTATCAGAAATCGAAAATCAGACTAGTGTGTGTAGTTAGTAAATTAATGATTAAATTAAGCAAACAATAAATAAAATTTCAAAAAACATTAGTGGAAGAATAGATGTGCTATCACTTTTATTTGACAACATAAAGGGGAAATTAAATAATGAATTATATATAAATATAATAAAAAAAATTAATTTCTTAAAAAAGAAATAAAAAAATAATCTGAAAACGCTTTATAAAAATTTATTAAAATATGAGCAGCATTAAGGAAATCTTAAAGGACAAGAATAAACTTAAAAAAATTACTGAAGCAGCCTTCAAGGCAGTTGATATTGATAGCTCTGGCTACTTGGAAAAAGTTGAACTTGAAAAGGTAATGATCAATGTTGCTATAGATATCGGTGTTGAAATACCTAGCAAGGAAGAAGTCGAAGAAGTGCTTAAAGAGCTTGATGAAGATGGTGATGGCAAGCTTTCTCAAGAAGAATTTTAGGTTCTTATTGTATAAGTTCTTGAAATGATGGCTAATGCTGATGTCTAATGAAAGATACATCACTGTATTAATAAACATAGTTAAAAGATTAGCAAAGTTTCAAAAATTACTTCATATGAATCCAAAAATGCATATTCAAAAATTAATCTGATGATGATTTTTTTTTTTTCAGTTAAATGTAGTATAATTATCTTATTTGTATTTTTTTATTGCTTAGATTTATGTTCAGCGTAAATAAATTATATCATTTTAGTAATTAGTACCCTTGCTGTCTTCCTAAACTGTTTCTTCCTTTTGTGAGACATTTTTTATTATAATAAAATTTAGGTTAACTTACTTGTGTGAACAAACAAATTTTTGGCAAAAGCAATATCAGATTATTAACTACTTTATTCGAAAGTGTTTATTTTTTGAGCAGATTCGCGTATTATTAAAATAAATAAACTTTCAAAGTCTTTAAAAATTAAATAAAATAATTCATTAAGTTGAATCAATGATTGATCATCCCATTAAAATCATAGTTTATAAAAATTGAAAGAAAGAATTTGAAAAATTTAAAATGTATTTGAGGGTTTAAACATGTAAATAGTATTTATAGGTTATGAAAATGAAATTCTATTTTAATATATATAAACTGCTGATAGTAAAATAGTATGTATGCATGTATATTTATTTATATATATATGTATGAATATTTGTATGTATGAGAAAAATCTTTGTTGGATATTTATAAAATATAAATAATAAACAGAATAATTTGATTTTGAATGAATAGGAGCTAGCTATAAAGGATTAGTATCTATCTATTTATCTAATTACTTGTTTATCTTTGATTCTAATTCAAAGAGAAGTAAAAAAAGAAGGAAAAAAACAAGAATAAAGAAATACATTGAAATAAAGAGGAAAAATAAAGAAAAATAAACATAATAAAATAAAAGTCAAAAAAGGTAATAAAATAAAGAAATTTATACAATGATTAGCAAATATAGATACTTGCACTGTGCTCGTAAGCTAGTCAAGTAGAGCGTTTAAGCTTTTGGCGGAGGACATCATCACCATGAATATGATTGGAGAGATGATCCAAAAGTTAATAAGGATATTGAAGAAGATATTAGAGATAGAGGCTGGCATCCAGAAACCTACGACTTCCCTTATACCAAAAAGCATGATGATTGGGTTTTTGATGTTACTATGCCCTCTTAAAATTATTAAACTGATTTAACAGTTAATATTCACCCTGAAAATAAAAAGATGCATGTCATGAAATAAGTCATGAGAGTAAATAAGAAATTATTAAATTAGGCTAACATTAGCAAAATCATTTTTTGCATAAAGGGCTGTTTTAATTCAATAAATATAATAAAAACTGCTCTTTAAAATAGCTAGATTCTTACTTAAAATTATGTTCTGATCATTTATTATTTATTTTTTAAAAGCAATCTTATTGGGATGCTGAACACGATATGGCTCACGAATACGACTATGAATCTGAAGATCTTGACTTCTAATGCGAATCCTTCAAATCTTAGGTTTTTAATTGTTTCTTTATTACACTTAAGGCGACTATCTTCTTGTTTTTTGTTTCGCCATTTATATAAATAAATATGAATCTAATTAAAATTGTAGATTTGAAGCTAATTTAGAAAGTTATTTGCATATACTGCTAAATAAACTTAGGCATTTTATTATACAAAATTATTGAGTCCATTTATTGAATAAATAATCTCAACATTATTTAATTTTTAATAAATAGCATTTCAGAAAGAAAGGTCCTATTTCCTAATATTTGATTCTTGGTCTCCTCCCCATACTTTACTTTGGTAATTAAAAGATTATTTGATTGATTGATTAATTCTTCCACTTTACTACTAAAAGATATAATAAAAAATATCTTATTCTAAATACCTAAAATTATTATTTAGATAAATCATTTTTAAATTTATTTTAAATGTTTGTGTGCAAATTTATTAACTATTAAATTTAAATATACAGGTACTGAATTCTTCTATAATCACTATCCTGATGAAGATTACTGGAGAGTTGCTCATCCTCCACCTCTTGACTATCCTGATACTGATGATACCGATGATACTGAAACTTTCAAGGATTACAAGAGTTTCACTGGTAGAAGAATGGTCGATACTGGTATTGTTGATCCCTTATGGTATGATATTAGAGAAGGAAAGAAGGTTTACTACGACTGGGCTGGTGTTAATCAACCTATGGAAGATATTTGAAAAAAAAAATTTTAAAACATATAGTCTTTAAATATTCCAATAAAGAATATACACTTAAATAATTAAGATATAAATTTTTATTTTTATTATATGTTAAATTACGAATAGAGTGTGTATGGCTTTACATTTAATTTATCCAACAAAAATACCAATTTTAATAAATAAGTAAAATAAATAAATAGCACTCACTTCATAGGAAAACAAATAAATCTTTATAAAAAGATAGTTAATTGAAATTAATTTGAAATTATAGTTAAAAATATTATCAAATAAAATAATTAATTTAATGATATGACCAATAAACAGCTATTAAATTAATGATTATATATAAGAATATTTATTTTAAGTTTCCTCCTCTTTCACTTTAAAATAAAATGATTAGGAATCTTCTTTTATAAAAAATAAAACTTATAAGATGTATTTTTCAATCAATAAGTTTAGCATTTTATATTTTGTATCAAAATTGATTAAAAGCTTCTCATTAAACATTAAATTTCTAAAAACACAATACTAATTAAATTTTAGTATTAACAAATTTGTATATTTTATCTTTAAAAAAGTCAGCAAAAAATAACTAAAAATATTTATAAATAATTCTCCCCATTTTAAGCTACCACCCAAAAAATATGTAAATATATTAAAGAATAAACAATAAATTTATTCATTATTAAAAATTAAAACTTAAAAATTAATTAATTAACTAAATTTAATAAATAATTAATGAAATAAATTTTATAGAAAATAATTTAAGACACATTAAATAACTAATATAAAAGTTTTAATGCTGTTATTATACAATAACACATTACTTAACTTATAATTTAATTTTAACAAAATAACATTGAGAACTTAAATTTAATTTTCATTGATTTGTCTTTTTTTTACCAGAACTTTTTTATTTATCTTATAAGGATAATTATCTTAATTTAAGACACTTCTTTCGTAGTTAATTAAATTTAGTTATAGCAGAAACATAGTTTCCACTTGGGAAATAATTAGAATAGACTTTAATTCCATCTAAATTCCATAGGCTATGGGTAACTTGTCTTTCATAGAAAGTAATTTCGTGGTTGTGTAGCAATTACTTCTGATGAATGTCATTAGCTTTAAACAAATCGATTTCAAGATAAGTTGATCTTCGATTATTATATTTACTTTTTTTTTTAGTATTATCTGTTTTTAAACTATATCTTCTCATATTTTCTTAGAAAACTTTTTGATTTCTATTTTTTTTCAATAATTCCTTTTAAATAAGATCTTGTTCTCTAATAGAGTCTTACTGATTCTTTTAAAAAGATATTTATTATTTATTTTTTTTACAAACTTAATTAACTCTAATTATTCATATTGAAAAACATTTTTTGAAATAAAAAACTTCTAATTTAAAATTAAAAGTATTTTCTTTTATCGTTTAAATCTTCATTTAATTAATTTTCACTAACCCAACCCCCTCCCTATATTTTTAAGCATACATTTATAATTTCAGGAAAATAATGAAAATTAAATGGGATGAAAATGAAAAAGGATTTATTTACTGTATTTAAATACAAATTAAGATGTAATTAAAATAAAATCTTACCATTTCTTTCATAAATGCAGTGAATTCTGTTCTTTCTGCTGAACTTTAGTACTAAGTTACTCCTCTAGATTAAGCTTTTGGTGTGTTAGTTAAATTATTATATTAAGTTTGTATGTTAATGCTTAAACTTTCATCATACAAATTATTTTTTAATAGGGAATCTCTTGCTTCTTTTGGTGATTAGGGCTAAATTTCATTTCTATAAATTGATTAGCTTGTTTTTCTAGTTTTATCTTCTATAGTAAATCCATTTTATAAAGAAAATCTTGATACAGGATAGGTAATTTATTGTTCTTGAGTAATAGAGTATTCTAGATCTTTTTCATAATTAATTAAATTAGACAATTTAGAATTCTAAGCTTCTTCATTTTAGGGACTTGATTTATCATAAGTATATTCATCTTCATCGTCTTCATCATCATCTTAATCTTATAAAGAAGGCTATTCTGTATTATCTTCTGGATTTTTAAAACTGGAGAGTTCATAATTTTACTAAATCTATTCTGCTTTCTCTTGCACTTTTTGTAGAGCTGAAATTACATTAACTTTTTAAGTCCTATTCCTCTTAAATTAATATTCTCTGTCTTAAGTAACTGAATAGTTAAATTTAGCAAACAAAAAAGGATTTTTTTTGTTTATATGTGCTTGTATGCACTAACTTTCAAAATGATTAGGACTTAAACAAATTTAGCAATTTTATTCTAAAGGACTAATATCTGAATACATTAAAATCTTGTCTCTAATTTCACAAAATTTTTCAAAATCCTACTGGTTATTTTTGATAATATTCAAAAAGCTGTCTCTTCTTAACTTAAGTACCGTTGAGAACTGTTTCGATTTAGCAGTTAGAGTTCTTCCCATTCCAGTAAAAAAATTTAATTCTCCAAATACAGAACCTTTCTTATGAGAGTAGATAAGTTTAGATTGTTTTTCTATTTTGTTGTCTCTTTTTAAAATTAATTATTTAAATTATTGAATTAAATTTTAGAATATTCATACATTTGTTTCATTGTTTCAGAAGAATTTGAATCTTCATTTTATTTTAAGAATTTTATGTTCTAGAATAGCTCAACTATTTTTTTAATTTTTTCTTTAACAAAAAAAAATTGAAAAATTCTAAAGCAATTAATTTATTACTTTAACCAGATACCAAGAAAATGAGAGAAGAATCGCCTATCTCTTCTTGATTAAATAAAATTTAATTTGGAGAATAAAACTCTTCTTAGAGTTCTAAGCAAACTTGATTTATAGTGCTTTCACTAAAATTGTTCATCAAACATTTAATTTTAGAAATTATATTTCTGGTATATTCAATTTTAATTTCATTTTGTAAATCTGGAGATATTTTTGATAAAACATTATATTCATCATCTGATTTTTATTTCATACTTCTTAAATAAAGATATTCTAAGTCTAAGTTTACTCTTGCTTTCAAATCTCTATTTATTTTTTTTTTTAGTAAAAAACAATACTTAAATATTTCATATATTTAAAAGGTAAAAAAATAATAAATGTTAAATAGATAAATATAAATAAATCTACTGCTTACTTTGTTATATGCTTTCTTTTCATATACTTGTTAATAATATTAATATCTCTTAATTTATTTTCATTCATCTTGTTCATCTCTTCAAGAATTATGCCAATCATACTGACCATATAGCCAAAAATAGTTATTATAAATATCATTGCTATAGAAGTGAAAAACATTTCCAAAATTGTACTTGCAATATTTGAACCTGTTGCCATTAATGTAAAAGACCAATAGAATGCGTTTAAATAATATTCCCACCACACTCCATTTGTACTAATACTTGATTTAACCCAAGAATCTTCATTATTTAAGTAATTTTAATCTATAATCGATATAGCATACCAAATACAAGCAATTACATGTCCAATAAGAAATAAATTTACTATCAAATTAATCAGTTAAATGTAAAAAAAATTATCCATAATCATCATTAAGTTCTTTTCCATTTCTTACTTATCTTTATAAATATTAACAATCTTCAAAAAAATAGGTACTCTAAATATAAACAAGCTAGCTATCGAATGATCGTTAGGACTAGCTAAAAGAATGAGGGGAACTACATCAAATATGAGCTAATTTTTAAAATATAAATTGAATACTTACAATCTTGTGTTGAATAAATGCGTTTTATAAAAAGTAGCTGTGTTAAGCTTTAAAATTATTTCTACCATCCATAGATAAAATGTAATGCCTAAGATACAATTTTCAATATATTTGTTTTCCTTAGTTGCTGAAAAAACTATAATAAACGATAAACATAGCATAAATAAATAGTTATAAAAGATCAAGAACAATTTCCATACAAAAAGCCAGCTTTTTTATGGTGATATCATATTAAAATCCAAGTTTTTAAAAATCTTTAATTCAATAAATTTGAAAAACCCTTTACAATAAAGAAAATTAAATAATTTTTTCATGAATGTTTAGCTGCTTTCTAAGTTTCCATCTGATTTATCATTTATCATTCTACGAATGATTGGATTTTTATCTAGCAAAGAAGACTTTCCAAATAGTGTATATTGCTAAATGAATAGACTCACCTTCTTTTTGAGATTCATTATCATATTAATATTATTGTTTGCTATATTTTATATATTTTTTAGACCGTTGTTTTATCCTTTACTTAAAGCTAATGTAGCGCTTTCATTATTTTTATAGCTTACCAGCTGAGAGAGATTTTATTAACTAGCTCTTTAGGGTATCAAAAAGAGCAAATTCTTAGATTGATCAGGATTGCGAGTGGCTGATAATTCTTCAAGATTTTCCTTGTTATTAAATTTTTCTGCAATTGAATCCTCTTATAAATTTTTATTATTGAAAAATTCAATCCTTGGTGAGCAGATTTCAATATTTTTCACTTGCAAGTAATTCATTTTATCTACATACTATGGTGATTTTAATTATGAGGTTGAAAAAATATCTGGCAAATCTGATTAAAAAGACTCTTCCTTTCTTCTATTAAGCTTCTATAGCTCTTTCCAATCTTCATTCGATTAATAATTAAATATTTAGCCTTGTTGGTTATGCATACTGCTTGTTTATTAATAAATTTGTTACAAATCAAGTTTATTATTTCTTTAGTTTAATTAAATGTATTTTTATTACCAGTAATTGATTCTACATTTTAAAAAAACATGTATATTAATTATTGCTTCATTAAACTATTAACAGTTTTCAAATAATTTTTTTATAAAAAAACCAAAATAAAGTATTCATTAGTATGATAGTTCATAAGCTCAGAATTTTTTTTTTTCAGTAATAATAATTAAATTTAACTTTATATTAAAGTAAATAATACAATTAAAAAACTATGTTATATCTAAATTTAATTACTTAAATACTAATTTGTTATTGAGAATATTTATTTTTATAAATTAGTTTTAGAAAAATTTTTATAAATAACTTTAATTAGCTATTAATTGTTCTCTTATTTTTAACATTTATAATTTTAAAGAGATCTCAATTTAAAGTAAGAAGTCTATTTTTGTTTAAATATTCAATTTTTTTAGTATTAAACATTTAAAAAAAATTTAAAAAGAGTTGATCAGATTTCATGTTAAAAATTTTTATTTACTTTGAAATTAAAATCTTTTAAAAAAGAAAATTCACACACCTTATTTTATTAATGAACAGCTATTGTAAGTAAATTAATTTCTATTTTAGAAAATATTAAAAAATGATTATCAAAAATTTATATCTTAAAAATAAATTTTGTGTTATGTTGAAAAAATTTATTTTTACTATTTAATTCATATAACTTTAATAAATAATTATTGACTCATATATCTTTTATTTTATCAAATAAATAATATTGAAAAACTTTGATATTAAATATACATAGTTAGTTAGTTTTATTAGAAATATTTTTAAATATTTAGAGAAATGGATCCATTAGATATTGATTCAAGTGCGTTTGACCCATAGAAATATATTACTCATTTCTTAAAAGAGCGCTCCATATAAGAACTTATTAGGAAGAATAATACAGTATAATAAGAAATAAAAAATTATGATTAGGAAATTCAATCGTTAGTATTTTAGAATTACTCTCGTTTTATCAGCTCTATTGATACAGTTAAAAAAATGAAGAGTGATATATTTAAAGTGGATGACAAAATGAAAGTTTTAGAAGAATCCATGAATAAGATTACTAGTTTATCAACAAAGGTTGATGAATCACTTAGTATAAAGAGAAACGAAATTTAAAAACTTAACACAATTAAAGTTGACTTGGAGAAACTAAATATGCTCTGCAGATTCCCCGAAATTTTAGCTGAAGACTTATAAGCATACAAACAGATGGTAGAACAAGGAGAAATCTATTATGCAAATATTTTTAATAACTCTATTGAAGCTTACAAAGTAAATATTTGTTATTGCAAATTATCTGTTTGAAAATTATATTTTCAAATTTGCAATATTTTAAAATTGAAAAATATTAGGAATGCTTTAAGAAACTTGACGAGTTTTAAGAGGAGCCACTTATTAAGCCCATTTATAAAGACTCTATAGATAAAGTTGAAGAAACTAGAAGCGTTTTATGGAAGATTTAAAATTCCTACAAACCTCAAACTCAGTTAGTAAGTTTATTGAAACCAATTCAAAATTAGGTAGGTTAAATTAACACTTCAGAATTAAGACACGTAACAAACAAACTAATATAAATGATGCAAGATTAGGAGTCTGTCCTTAGAAACTATTTAAAGATTATTAAAGATAGATTCAAGTAAATGACTCAAGACATTATTAATTCTTCTTTGACTTATAGTTATACTAATAATTAGAATCACCACTAAGATTTTAACTACTCAGATAAGCTAGAAGCTTTCTTGAAGTCAAAGAAGTATTTAGTAAATATGGATGAACTAGGAACATTTTTTAAGTAAATTCAAAACGAAATAGTCGAAATGGAGGTAGGATAAGAAGGAACAATCATTTGGTTAGTTAACTAGCTTATTAATAAAATATTCTCTGAATTAAAAGTTGAGTTATAATTCCTGCTCAAAGAATTAGGTGATAACATCAGATATTTTAGTTAGAGAGATGAAATTATTGAACAAACTATAAGAGAAATCTTTATGTACATTTTAGAGGAAATAAACACAAAAATGTCAAAAAAAATCACATACATAGAAGTAAATTAAATTTTGATAAAAATCTATTTAAAAATATTTTATATAGGTAAGCGAATGCTTTAAATTACTCAATAATTGCTTCACTGATATTATCTTCAACAACCCTTATATTAAGCGCAATTTCAAAACCAGCGTTTCAGATAAATTCTCAGAGCTTGTAGAAAAAGTTTGCAGAGGACAAGTTCTAAACTGCTTCACAAATTTACGTTAAGAATTTTTGAAATTAGTCATCTCGTGCAAAGAATAGTGTTTGCAAATTGAATAAGAAAATATTATTCCTAAAATTAAAAATAGCTTTGCTGAAGCTGAATCATTTACTTATAAGGAAATAATGTATTTAACAGATGTCATGAAAAATAAATTAGATTGTATGGTTTAATGGACTTGTCTTGAACTTAAATCTTTCCTCTATTGGGATGTTTAATACTTGAGAACTCATGATGTTTTTATAGGGCTAATTAATATTTAAATTGCAGAATTTGCCAAACTAGTTTTCAAGATAATGACATTGAGATAAAATTAAGTTTCTGTTGAGAATCTTTCGTTGCTAAACAATCTAGCTACTAGCTAATAATAGTTAAAAGAAACTAATCCTCTTTTTACAGATCTTCTTAAAAACTATAAAGCAGCCCCTGAAAATACAACTTATTTCATATTTGCTAATTAGTTTTTGTAAATTTATGAAAACAAATAAATTAACAGAATTTATGAAGTTTTGATTTAATCTAACGAATAAGCAGTTAAATCCCTTTTCAGTGTTTAGCACGGACTCTATGAGTAATTAAATTGGAGCTAATATTTAAATGATATATATATATAATTTTTATAAAAATAGATTTTATGAGCAAGAAATCAGTCTTATTGATGGCTAAGTCATACCTAGATTGAAATAGGAGTGCAAATACGAACATAGTCTAAACTATGTTAACTATGTTTAAGCTTTAAGTGAAGAAGTCTTGCTCAGCCTTGATTAATATTTTGAAGATTCTAACTGGACATCTTCAAGCAATTTAGCATAACCGACTGAAATAAGTCAACCAATTCTTTCCTTAGCTGAAAAAGTGAGACAAATTCTTTTGGAATTAGATTTATTTTTCCCAGATGCAAAAAGAGGTTTGACAAAAAAAGGTTCTTTTATCAAGTAAGATAGTGATCTTAACATAGAAGTCTAGCGTATTTTAGTTAAAAAGAGTAAAGTTTTTGATCCATCAAAGCTATTATTTAATAGAAATAGCTTGATGGTTTGCCTTTTGAAGGCCATCCTCAAAGCCTTAATAGAGAGAGTTAGAAAAGTGAAGATATACACTAAATTTGGATACTAAAAATTGCAGTGTGATCTCTTTTTCATAGTGCAAATCTTTTATGAAATGATATCTGATGATGATGAAAATTTTGTAATTGCATCTTATTATGAAATGATAGAAAGCGCCAAGGATAATACTTTAGAAGTTTCATCTTTAGAATAGAATATATTAGATTAAATTTCAATTTCTAAAAGAACTTAGCTAAAATTATGAAAATATATTTTTTATCAGATTTATGTTTTTTTATACTGTTTTAAAAGTCAACATTATAAATTTTAATAATTTCTCTAAAATTAAACAAAATTTCTTTGTAAAAATATGGTTTGTTTAAAAATAATAAATTTTAATTGAAGGTTGTAATGATAATCTCTACTAAATAAAGACCTAAAGTATTTATTAAAAAGAAATAAAGACTTTGTTAAAATTATAATTTGTAAAGATAAAAAAAAATATATATTTTTCAATTTATATTTTTTTTTATGCAATTAATAATTTTTTTTTGATAAAAAAATAGAAATATGAGGTTTATTTTTTTAGTAATATGCGAGATCGATGTTGACTAAAATAATAGTTTTCATGTAAGTAAATCCTTAAGTAATTAAACAAAAATTGATTCTATTATTGCTTACAATCAAAAAGAAATTTTATTTCCTATTTTTATTAATTAAATTATGAAGGGTTGTTAATTGAGTAAATTTTATACCATTTATAATTTTTAAAGGATTGTTATTAATTAAATTTCTATCTTTTTATTCAAATAATAATTATTAAAATAAGTTAATAGCTATTGTAATACTTAGGACATATAGTTTAGAAGATAAAGTAAAAATCTTCAATCAAAAGAAGCTTAAAAAATAGTTAGCAAGTACCCTTCCATATATTATAAATAGTCTTCGCAGGATTTATTAATTAGGAAAAATCTATTATTTTATAGAAAAGTAAGCTAAACATAACTCCATTTATAGCAAATAAAGGAAATCAAAGTATAATATCATGAGTAAAAATGTTAATTCTCAAAGAAGAATGAGCAACCTTTCAGAAATAAAGGAAAGAAAATTATTTTTTGGAGAAAATTATCAACTCAATAATAAGGCATTCAAGTTTATTTCTAACTTCGTTAAAACCTCTAAATATAATATTATCACCTTTTTGCCTAAAAGTATTTTGATTTAGTTTAAAAAGTATGCAAATTGGTATTTTTTGTTCACAGCTATTCTTTAGTGTTTTCCTATTATTTCGACTTAAAATCCAGCAAGTGCAATAGCTCCACTAGTCTTTGTTATTGCACTAAGTATGCTGAGAGAAGGGTTAGAAGATATTAAACGTCATAAATCAGATAATGAAATGAACAGTTCTGAGTGCATAATTTGGCGAAATAACAAATGGACAAAAATGAAATGGGCTAATGTAATTGTAGGAGATATAATTTATGTTTAAGAAAATGAAATTATAGCATCAGATGCTATTATATTGTGCTCTTCTCTTCAAACTGGCTAAGCTTTTATCGAAACATCTTCTTTAGATGGAGAGAAGAACCTTAAGCCAAGAATGACTATACCAGAGCTTCAAAACAAATTCTTTGACATAGCTAATAGTATTGCACTTGAAAAATAGGTTCTTCCTTAAAACTTTAATGGATAGGTTAGTTGTAGTATGCCAAATCCACATTTACATTTCTTTGAGGGGTGCATTTAAACAGATATATTCCCAAACAAAAAGTTTTCTGTTAATATAAAGAATTTACTGCTTAGAGGTAGCAGGATAAAGAATAACGAGTGGGCGATGGGTTTAGTTGTATATACAGGTTAAGATACTAAAATTATGAAAAATGCAGATCAAGGTAGAAATAAATTCAGCTGTATTGATCATAAATGCAATAGGTAGGCGTGTTTTTTATTTTTTTACAATTGATGATTTGCATAAATTATTAGAAAATTGAAAGAAATAACAAATAATTTTTAACTCAAATAGTAAATTGATTTCTTATAAAAATTATTTTAGCTTTAAATAGTTACACGAAAAATAATTTCAATAGAAATAATGAAAAACATAAAAATGTTTAAAAAAGATTTTCCACAAATAAAAAAATATTTGTTACTTGCTTAATTACAAGCTTATTTATTTTAAATAAAAATCTAAAGAAACACGCCTTTCATGTGATAATATCTTTGAATATTAAAGAAGCAATATCAATAAAGCAGTAACCTAATTTTTTTATAAAATTTTACCATAGAGAATCAAAAATAATCAGAATTAATTAAAATTAAAATTTTTTGATCGAAATCAAATTTTTTTATTTTTTGCAATAGACATTTTAAATTAATTTCTTTTTAAATTTTTTATGGTTTATAATCAATTAGCTACATCATGTATCTCTTGATTCTGTAATTTCTTCTGTGCTTTTCTGTATCTATTTTAAATGTGATCATGTGTCGTAATACTAATAATCTTACAATCTATTTGAGCTCTGAAACAGAATGCAATACCTCTTTTATTTATACTTTTCTTAGTTATCTTTTACTGTTGAACACTTTGATTCCTATATCACTTATAGTCTCCTTAGAATTTGTTAAGGTAGGATAAGGGTATTATATGGAGAAGGACAAAGAACTCTATTCAATTTTCAATGATAAGCCTCTTAAGGTAAAATTGAGCTTTTTTTTTCTTAAAGATGAAATTAATTTTTATTTTGAAAATAGGTATTTTCTTGTGGACTCAATGAGGAGTTAGGCTAAATTTAGCATGTGTTCAGTGATAAAACAGGTACTTTAACTTGCAATAAGATGGAGTTTAAAATGCTTATTTGTGGACTGGAAACTTATGGTGATTACAATTTAATTGATTTAAATCCTAAGATAGTTTTTGAAAGAAACTAAAAAACTGCTGAAAAAGGAAATAGAATGAGAACACCTACTTATACTGATGAAAAATCAGGAGTAGAGTATTGTTTTAGGGATGTTAATCTTGAAAGTTTACTCTAAGATTAGGAAAAAGACACCTCAGAAATTTTATAAAAACCTATATAATTTTAGTGTTCATAAGATAATTCAAAATTATTTGAGATATGTACTTAAAAGTAATTAGCACATGAATTGCTCATGCTGCTTTCAACTTGTCATGAATGCGTTTTGCAATAAGGCAAAGATGGAAGGAAATCTTATCAAGTAATTTAATTTTAAATAGGGTTATTATTTAAATCATTTTATAATAAAACAGGGACCTTCACCAGATGAAATATCATTAGTTGATGCTGCAAATCATATGGGATACTCTTTTTCTGGCTTAGATCAAAAAGAAATTGTTCTAAGCATAAAAGCAAAAGAAAAAAGAGTGGAATTATTACATTCGTTTGAATTCGATTCAGATAGAAAAAGAATGTCTGTTATTGTGCGTGATTAAGGTATTATAAAGATGTATGTAAAAGGCGCTGATAGTATCATCAAAGCTCGTCTTAAAAAGAATGTAGATTAACCATACTTAAGTAATATTGATAAAAGCTTAGAATAGTTCTCTCAAAAGGGTTTAAGAACACTATGCCTTGCTCTAAGAATTATTTCTGAACAAGAATATGAAGATATTTTAAGCAAAATAAACTCTACAATTGGTATTCCGAATTAGGAAAAAGAGCTAAAGGCTATTGCAGAGACTATAGAAAAAGATTTTATTTTATTAGGAGCGACTGCAGTTGAAGATAGATTATAAGATAATGTTCCAGCTGTTTTAAGAGATTTCTTGAAGGCAAACATAAATGTTTGGATGCTTACAGGTGATAAACTAGAAACTGCTGAAAATATTGGTAGAAGCTGTAATTTAGTTACTTCTACAATGGGTGTTATGTATATTAGGGGATCTCATACTATTCATAATAAAATAGATGACCAACTAAAAAATTTATCAAATTAAATTCCCATTCTATAATAACAGCACAAAGATGGACTTTCTTTAATTGTGGAAGGAGAATCTTTAAGTAAAATACCATTTTCAAAAAACTTTTTTTTTAAATAAGATCGTTTTTAAAATTAAAAGCTTGGATTTTAGGTGATGATCAACGAAAAAATAGCTTTTTAAAGGTTATTATTGAGTGTAAAAGTGTTATTTGTTGCAGAGTAACACCAAAACAAAAAGCAGATGTTGTTAAACTTGTTAAAGAAAAACTTAATAAGATAACTCTAGCTATAGGCGATGGTGCTAACGATGTTAATATGATATAAGAAGCACATATTGGAGTAGGAATATATGGAAATGAAGGTATGAGAGCTGTCTAAGCAAGTGATTACGCTATCGGTTAGTTCTAATTTTTATGGAAGCTAGTGCTCTATCATGGAAGATTAAATTATATTCGTGTTGCAGAATGCATTCTTTACTTTTTTTACAAAAATTTTGTCTTCACATTCCCTCAGTATTTCTTCGCATTCTTTGCTTTATATTCAGGTTAATCAATCTTTGATGACTGGTACATTACTCTCTACAACTGCATTTTCACCTTTTGGCGTAACTATTCTTATTGACAATAGTAATTCATTTATGAAATTAACTTTTTTTCAAAATACTAGCTGTCGTCATTAAGTCTGTGTATGAAGAAGATGTTTATTATAGAAAGAAAAGAAGCATACATGGAGAAGAAAAAGAAGAGAAAGTTATAATGTCTAAAATAGCAAACGAAGACAATGATATTATTTAATAATTTTATCCTAAGCTGTATTACATAGGATAAGCAAATCACATCTTTTAGTTTGGAAGATTTTTAAAATGGGGCTTTTTAGGTGCCTTTTAGGGGGCTCTGTGCTTTTTCTTTACTATCTTTATATGTAATGAAGGTTACTTAGATAGTTAAGGAAATGTAGCAGATATATGGGCAACAAGCATTAGTTTATACACATCTATAATTATAGTAAGTTGAGTTTTGCTTTATAAATTTTATTAACCACTTTTTATTTTATTTAGCTGGTGAATTTAAAATTAGCTTTAAACACCCAGATGTGGACAATATGGAACTGGTTGGCTTTTATTTTTACTAGCATTGGACTATACTTTGCATATATATGGGTAAGTGATATTTGGATTCTCTCTGGTACTTTTTTAACTGCCTCTACTCTCTTTTAATCCTCTAAATTCTATTTGTGTGTTTCGTTAAATATTCTTACCTGTTTTGCTTTTGACTGCTTATTGCTAGCTGGTAAATCTTCAAAGGATTCATTACTAAATTATTTAAAAAGAGTTACTAGACATTAAAAAGAAGCTGAGGTTTCTAAGATAATAGAACTTTAAGATAGATTATAAATGCAACTTTTAAATGAGCGTAATATTAAGAATAAGAATGTAAAAAAGAATGGAGATGTTCCTAATTTAGAAGTCATCTGTTATGCTGAAAATGGTAATCCTTTGCACCAATCCTTTAACATAAATAGAGAAAAGGACCCTTCAAGATATACTAGTTTCTTGTGCTAGCACGGTGATGTTAACTAAATTAATTTTGACGAGTTAAGAAGCTCTTAATAAAAAGATATTGACAAAAATTATTTTGCAATTTAAGAAAATTCATCTAGAATAAATATTCGAACAAACCTAATTTAGGGTTCTAATATATCGCCTACTCTAAAGCCTTCTAATTTTTTAAATCAAAATAAATTAATTGTATCAAATTCTTTTTTATCAAAAACATCAGAGCAAGTCCTTACCTCGTAAGATGATAGTAGTAAGATAGCTAACTCATATGATATCAACAACTAGGCCATTATTAAAGATGAAGATCTTTGAAAAAATTATTTCAATAATTTAGATATAACAAATAAATTAAATTTAACTTTTAGTTTTGTCTGTTAAATTGAGTTTTTTATCATGTCTAGAATAACTACTACTAATTTATCTTTTAATATACTATAAATAAATAGATATTTATTTCATTATTTTTCTCTTCAACTCTTTTATGAAACAAAAAGATTAAAATGCTGATTTAAAAAAAATGTTTTATTTATCAAAAAAAAATTTGTGAATTTTTTAATAAGGTAAATATAATTTATAAGTAGTAATTAATATTCTTATATTTAAATATATTGGAATAAATTAAATCAAAAATATTATTTATAATTCTATTGTTTTTCTTTAAATATCCTTAATAAAATAAACAAATATTATTGATTTTTAACTATTATTTAAAATTTTTTTTATAAATGAATGGCATCTCAAACCTAATTTGTTTTGTGATTATATCAAAATAATCCAAATTTCTAAAATTTTTATCCTAAAATTGATAGTATTAGGACACTAAAGATAGTAAAAAGATTGATTTTCAAGTAAACATATATTACTATATTTATCTAACACAAATTTGTTTTTGTTTAAAAAAATAAGAATATTTAGTATTCTTAATAATTTTTATCATAATTTAATTCTAATTTATCAAATCAAATATTTTCTCTGATAATTTTATATTAGAATAATTTTTGCTTTCTGTTGAAATATATTGAATATAATAACTTAATGATAATTGTAAGCTTTATGAAAGAATATACAATTTAAACTACATTTTTTTATATAAATTTAAGAATAATTAATCAAATATTTTCCATATTTTAATTTCATTTTAGAATATCAACTAATTATTCATTACTTTCTTCTTGGGCAAAGACAAGAAAGAAAGTGTTTTAGAATAATCCCAAAAAAGTATATAAATAGTACTATCCCAATAGCTTTTCCATTCATTTAATCAAAAGATAAACTCATTATTCCTGCAAAATAAAGAGTCATAATTTTTAAAATTTATACCTCTGAATAAGGATCTTTATCTTTGCAAATTTTCCATTAAATACACATTTATTTCCATTCTTTAGTAATTTTTGAGCTAGAAATAACTTTTTCACAATCATGATTATCATAATTCATACTACATTAGTCTATTTCATTTATTATTACTTACAGATCTTTTTATCTTAGACCATTCATATCATGAATAAGTATACATAAAGTTAATGTTAAGACAATAATCATTATTGAATACTTGAAAAAAGATTTACTAAATTTGAAATTAAACTAGCTATATTAATTCACTATGCTATATTAATTTTAATCTGCATTTTTTAAACTTCTTTCTTCATATTTTTCTATCTAATTTTATTTACTACCTTTGATGTTTATATCTGATACTATATTTCTATTTCCTATAATATTTTTATGGTAATCATTTATATAATTATCAATTTTGTTAAAAACTAAATCTATTAAAGCAATACTTTAAGATGCTAAATTGCCTTGGAAGCTATTGGAATTTTATTTACAAGTAGGACATGTTGCCCAGTGTATTGAATTATTTTCATTACATTTAAGACACTTTACTGTTTGATTTTGCTTTTTTTTAGAGCCCATTTTATTTCTACCTATTTATAATTTAACTAATAATTTAAAAATCTAATTGACAATTTTTAATTATAAGAAATTTTAATAACCAAATAGATTTTCTAAAAGGTCTAAAATAATTAAATATTTTTAAATACCATACTTACTTTATGCAAACAAACTAAAACAAAAAAATTAAAATAATATCTCAATTAACTGCCATTTTAATTCAAATAAATTTAAATTTTATTATTACTGTAAATACTGAAATTTTGATTATATTAGATTATTTTAATTTTTATAAATAAAATTTTAATTAAAAATTTAATTATTTAAATCTAATAAAATATGTTTATGCTAAAAGTGAGAGGATTTATATTATTTACATAATATCTATTTACAAAAATGATTTATTATGAAAAGTTTTAAATTAAATTTAAATGATTTTATACATGAGATTTTAAAAAAGATATAAAAATATTAATTTGATAAATTATTGAAGATAATAATAGCTAAATATGTAAAACAGACAAAAAAAATAAGCATGTTATGATAAGTTAAGTTTTAATTGTATGTTTTTCTGATTAATTAGCTGAATGAATGAACAAATCACTCATTCACTATTTAAATACAGAATTCAGAAATATTATTTTTATGTTAATAATTAGATGAATGATATGTTTAAATTTAAAATTAATGTTGCATTTATTTAGACTATTTTATTTGAAAGAAAGAAAGATTGTTTATAAGTGTTAGCTAAAATAAAATAATAATAATTATTATTCAATTTATTATTTATTATTATAGCAAAAGTCTGCTTGTGTCCTTCATTTGAGGAATACTCATTACTTTTCAATTTTAATATGATCAAGTCTTTTAATAAATTCGTCAATGAAATTGTCTTCATCAAAGACTTTGTCTCCATCTTCTTCACCTTTATCTTCTTCAAGATTAAGATCTTCTAATAATTCAGCCAACTTAACTTCGTTACGGTTGTAGTCTTCTTCGTCTTCCTTTTCTTTCTTTTTAGCTTCCTTTTCAGCCCTCTTTTCTTCTGCGATACGAAGCTTCTCTTATAATTCTTCTTCTTGTTATCTGATAATTTCTTAGGGATCTTTAACTTTAACGTTAATAACTTTAAGCATTTTTCTTTTAAGACGTCTGGAAAGTTATTGCTTTCTTGCAAGTTCCTTATCTGAGAGCTTTTTAATTCCTTCATCATCCTTATATAAATTAATTTTTTCACGCATAAGAGGATCACGTTCTATGTCATCCATAAACTCTTCAAAATCTTATTCTTTATCCTAGTCTGAGACTATTTTTTTCTTGCCCTTCTTATTAGCTTCTTCGGTATTTTCTTCAACCATAACACCATCCATCTATAAACGCTTAAGCTTCCAAATACGGGCTTTATTTTCCTTATCATAAATACGTTTGACAATAATAATTTCAGGAGCATTTTTAAGAACTTCAAGGTCTTCAGAGTAGTTCAATGTTGTCAAATCATAACCCAAAACCATGCATCCTTCCTTAATAATTTCACCAAGATGTGCTTTAGCATGGAATTCTTTCCAATCGCTAGTACGCATGAGGGTTAAGTGAGCTAGTTTATCTTAGTAAACGTTGCTGATTGAAGACATGTAACTGGTGTTAACAGAGGATTCATTCAAGCTTTAGGGATTAGTAAATTCATTTTCAATTTTTTCAATACCAGTAACCATAAATTCAGTAGAGTTTTTCTTTAAGGAGAGAACAATAATGTCGTTTTCATAATGGAAGTATCTTTCAGCAGTGATGTCAATACGCTTATGAGTGTGAGTATCTACGAAATGGAGCATATTGCTAACTTTAACACATAATACAAGAGGACTGATACCTCCTAACTCTTTGCATAATCTAGGAGGGAAAACACACAAGTCATCCTTGCATATTTTAGGAATTTCAACAGACCAAGAATATTTGTAATTGTAAATATTGTTACGATCGTCAAGTCCGATAAGCTGTTTGGAAGGCTTAATCTTGCAGGGGATAACACTTTATATGAAGTCTACCAAACGATTTGCTTACATTTTATTTTTATAGAAGAAATCTAAACCATCATCCTTTTCTTCTACTTTCAAAACTTTATCGTGAGCATTATGCTTTAACATAACTTATTCTAAGAAGAAGAAAGTCTTTTTGTGTTCAACTTTTTAACGAAGTTAGACTTAAGCACCCCATGTGTGAGGAGTAAATTCCTTTTTACAGTCATCACACTAGCCGTAGTGTTCTACGAATTCAACGACAAAATTTTATTAGATAGAAGTATTATTCATGACTTCTTTTTAGATAGTAAGACGGATACGAATACGACGAGAATGGGGTTCAGTATACAAGAAAGCACTGTCTATGAGTTTAACCTTCTCAAGACCCTTAATCTTCTTAAGACAAAGAGAGAGCATTTCTTTGCTTTCACGTTCACAATAAACCCAAGGTGGTTTGTTGTAACGTCTGCACATACGACAAAAATTAACTACTCCCTATTTAGTAATTCCTGTAGTAATATCTTGTTAATTGGTTAAACAATTAACACACATATTTGTTCTTGTTTAGGCAGCATTAAAGGAGACACCACACATACAACAGAGGATGTTTGCGGTGACTCTTTAGAAAGTGCTGCTCATAAATTGAGATCCATTTGATCTTGCACTAATGTTTAATAACTATGAGGCTCCCTACATTTTGAATATTTCCACCTTTTTTTATAAATTCTATTATTTGTAATATATTTATGAATCAATCAAAATATTAATTAATTTTACTTTTTATATTCAACTCTCTTTTTTTGAATCACTTTTAATTTCACTTCTTCACTCGCTAATTTCTTTTTTCACCTTTTTTTGTTTAGATTATTATCCTACTAATCTTTCTAATATTTTTGCTTGGAATATTATTAGAAAGAATCTACAGCTAAATACAAAGCATACGAGCATACTTACAGACATATATACACTCATGCATAAATACATATAGGAATAAATACAAACAAGATCATTTATATTAATTTTTCAGTGATCATCTATTTTTCTATCTATCTATCTCTCTATATATGCTCTATGCTATTGAATAATCTATTCATAGTAAAATATACTATATATTGTTATTAATAATAATTTTAATGCTATTTCATTCATAATTTTTTCTATTTTGATGCTTTAAGTTCTCTAATCTAATTATTTAATTAAAATATCTGCACATTAATTATTTAACATTGGAGCAAAAACTATTTGGCTTTATCAAAATCAATACTATTTTACTTATTATAAATTCTTCTGTATATAAATATATAAATTCATCTGCCCATTCATAAGTTTATTAATCCTAATAAAAACTGTATATATTTTCTTTCTAATTGCTCATAATATTTCTTTTTCTGATAAAATTTTTTGTTTTTCAAAATAATAAAAATAACAAATTTATATAAAGAAAATTCTATTTTAATTAATGAATTTCGATACTAGTTAATTATTTAAACACTTTAGGTAAAAAGAAATAAATTTAATCCTAATTTTCTGAAATATTGCATTTAAAATTACCTTTATTATAATTTTCCTTTTTTTTTGAAACTCGCAATATTCTATTTTAGTATACCTGCAAATGTTTTTACTGCCATTCTTTTTTGTTATTGATAATATATATATATTGCTAGTTAGATGATTATAAAATATTATTGAATAGCAGTACATGCTTTTTATACAATTGTTTTTTGCATTTGGAAATAATTCATTTTTTATTATTTTTAAATATTTTTTATTTTCAAATAAATTATTTTTACATATGGCAATATAATATTCATATATTAATATACATTACTAAGTTTATATTTTAAAATAATTATTAATTCCTTTTTAATAACATGGATTTTCATTTTTGTTAATTTAATTTTCATTCAAGAGAAATATCAGCAACTAAGACACCTTCATTTTTCTTATCTAAGCAATAAACAAGTTATGTAGGATTTACTTTAATTACACAACTGCAACCAAGATAATGAGTTTTTTCTTTATTATCTAATTTATCTTCTACCCCTGTTCTATCACAACATATAAAAGCCCAGCTTTTATGGTAATTTAATTCTTACTTTTTATTCTACATAGTTCTCATTCTCCAAAGCCAGTAGTTTAAAGATCCATCTATAGAAGAATCATCTAAATTATCTGGCTCATGGTCATTCCAAGCAGATAAGAACAATACTACATCCACATCTTGCTCTTTACAAAAATCTGAAAATTCAAATTTGCTTGAATCTTAAAACTCATAAGGATTAATATCCATACAAATACCTAAACCTGCTTTGAATTATTTGCCTTCTCTAGTTTTTAAGTATACTGCTCCAAACTCACTACCTTCTTGAGCCCATGTTTTATCTGTTTCAAACAAATGCTTCTTTCTGTAAGTTATTATTAATTTACCATCTCTATCAATCAGGTAAGCAGAATTGTAAAAATTCTCCTATCCATTGACAATTTCAATTTCAGGAAAACCTGCAAAAACATAGCAACCTAATTTTGTTGCAATTTTTGAAAAGAAGGTAAATTGCTTTCCCTTTCCACTTTCTTCACAATAATCTCTAATATCATCTCTGTCTTTAAATGTGTATCCTGTTAAAGCCATTTCAGGTAGCATGAATATATCTATTTTATCATTTTTGTTATATTTCATGAGAGCTGATTCAACTTTTTAAATATTCTATTTAATTTGCTTATAGTTTGGATTTATTTGATATATGAGTGCTTTTAATTAGAGTTTTCTTTTAATCATTTTTATAGTTTATTTTTGTACGCTTTGTTCTTCCTTTTACTAAGTTTCTTAAGGTTACTGCTAAATGTCTTATATTTCCTCCATTTTAATATTATCTATCTGTAATTTTTTATGAATGTTTTAAAATTAATTTGCAAAATAATAAATAATAATAATTTAATGATCTTCTTTTTTAAAAAAATTAATTTGAACAAAATCAAAAGTGAGATTTATATCCATTTAAAATTTTAAGAAGTTTGGATAGAATATTTAGAAAATTTCTAGTAAATTCTTTTTAAAAAAATTATTAGAAAGTTCCAGCATAAAAAATTTTACAAAAATGGCTATACTAATATAGATAGATAAAAAGAATAATATATACATACATATATAAATATTAATATAAGAAGGACAAAAATACATAATGAAATTATAGAAGTTTGTTTAAAAATTGAAATATGAAGATTTGTTTGTCTATTTATTTACATGTTAAAATAAGATTTTTAGTTTTCTTTATTTGGGATATTGATCACATTACATTATTCTAAACTAATTAGATTTCTCTCAACTTAGAATCTCTCACATATTATTCTTCTAATAGGTCTTTTAGCTTTTTCGGAATTCTGGAATTAAATTGTGTATATTTAACCTAATGCTCATTTTCATTTTTTTCATTTGAAGGAGAATAAATATTATTACCTTTTTATATTACAACTTATTGTGATTATTACACAGTTATATTTGGGAAAGGAGAATAAGCTTAAATTAAAGCTTGCTTACTTTCTAAAGTATTAGATTACTAGGTCTTTTAGCAAGAGCTATTTTATCTAGATTTTTCAATAGGCTCTGCTGCATATGAATTGAATATACTGTTTTATTTACTATTATTAATTTTTACAGAAGCATTTATGGGGATACGAGGCTTTAACCTAGGAGACTCTTAATGCTATAAGATATTATTTAAACTATATTTTTCAGATAAAATTCTTACATTTTTATTAAAATCTAAAGGATCTTTCTTCTATGCATCTTGCATAGCTTTCTTTTAGCTAGTAAAAAATTACTATCTCTAAGTAGCATTTTATTTTAAATATTCAGCTAAAGAAATTTAGAATTTGCTATTAAATTAATTTAAATGCATATTACTTTATTATGCATTGTTATATTAGCTTTCTTATGTGAATTGAGAGTCATCAAATAAACCTTGTTGGTTAATATTATTTTAATTTTATATTTTAATAACTTATCCATTTGTTTTTGTGGTTTACTAGTCACAAATAGTATGATTCGATTGATAAGTTTGAGTGTAGTTATTACTATCACAAGTATTTTTTAAGAAAAATGTATTCTGCTTTGTATTGTTCTGAGAGCTATTTTTAGATTATGGGCATTTCAGCTGCTCAATTTGTTGTAAATTTTCTTTGTAGTATATCCTTTCTTAGTTCATTAGCTTTTTGATTTAATTTATCGTTACTTGACTGCCCTTTCTATCCTCACTTGTTTTACATACTTGCATTTTTTGAATTTCAGCAGAACAATCATTAACTCCAGTTTTTGTTTAACCAATACGACTTTTCTAGGAGGTTTCATTTGTTTTTTAAGTTGTAATTCTTGAAGTTTTTATTGTATTCTGATATCTTTGCATTTCTGATATCTTTGGTAGTAAGTCAATAGTTTTACCTCTTTTTCTTCTACCTTCAAAGCTATTAGCTTTGTTTACAAATGATTTCTTTTAATTAATATAAAACGAGTAATTATTTTGATTGGCTAGACCAGTATTACCAGCCTATCCTGTTAATGCTGATAAATTAATCACGTTTCCATTTGCATTTGAAAAATTATTATATTGTGCGATCTGAAACTAATCTTTAGCTGTTTGTAGAATTTATTCATCATTAGATTAATTTTTTTATTGTATAGAATGTGCAATGTATTAAGACTTCCTAAATTTTAAGTTCTCATTACTAAGATTAAGCAAATTCTATTTTTAACTCTAAATTGTATTTTATTAGAATGAGTTTATTCTAAATCTCCTTACTTTAAATTCACTTTTTGTTAAATTATCAGATTAATCTCTTTCTTAAGAATCAACAGAATTGGTTCTTCCATCAATCCTAGTCCCTATCAAATTAGAGCTTTCAAAGCACTAATTTTATATTTTCACATTTTGTGAATCCTGAGGGATAGGTGATGTTAAAAATTCTTTTAACTATTTAAGTTCATCAACAATAGAAGAAAAATCTTCATTTTAAGTTGAAATATTTGGAAGATTTGTATTGTTTATTAAGCCATTATTTTAATAAGTAGAAATCGAAGAAAACTATTATGATTTTCTTTTACCTTTCTGCTAAGATGGTAGCGGTTGCTGAGTAAATTTTAACATTATTTAATCATAATTTGTCCCTTAATACCTATTATTTTTTTTCTGTTGTAGATTTATTTACAAATTATTGGATAATTCTTTTAATGCGTTTGTTTAAATTGGATACTTTTTGATTGAATTTTCTATTTAGGCACTACTTTGATCAATTATAACACTTTATCTAGAATTTCCAGCATTTGTTAGATTATTATATATAGGATTATTATTATTTCCTTAGTATCTATCCTCATATCTCTCAATTTACTAGTCAGAAATATTATTATTGTTATTAAAATAATCATTATCGCCTCCAAATTAAGTTGGACTACTTGAGCTATTCCATCCAGTTATTTCATCATTTTAAATTTATTTTAAAATTTTATTTTTTATAACATGTGAAGGTAAAAACTCTTAAGCTGCGCTGTTGTCAAGAAGGTTTGATGGTGTTTAGAAAACCCTCATAATTAAAAACAAACAAAATAAATAGTATGTTTTTCTTTTATTTTATTGATAGTATTTAAGCAATTAATATCAACGAACGAATGACTGTCTTGTGCAAAATTATAGTAAATTTATATATATTATTAAAAATTTTATTGGCTAATAATATTCAAAATGAATTACTTTTTACCCATAATCAGATTATACAAAAAATAATAATAAATTTATTAAATTAAAATCCAAATTGGAACTTCATTAAAGATTTATTCATACAAATAAAGATGAATTCTACATAGAACCTAAGTTATTAGAAAATAATTATATGTTCTACAAACATTATTTTATTTTCAAAAGTTTCAGTAAAGATAAAATTTAAGTCAATTAAAAAATATCTAAATTTATTAACTCATCTAAATAAATAACAAGAGGTTTTAATTCAAAGTAAATTTATTAATAATTTTATATTTCAAAATATTAAAATAAAATCAAAATTTTTTTTATATACATGCAAAGATGACTTCAATTATTTTTATATATATTCTACGGATATGATGTGTTGATTTTAATAGAGTCAGTAAAAATAAAAGCACATCCTAAAAATACCAGAGGATTAGTCATTAAAATATAATAACTTATGTGTTTATAATGAAAAAAGCTATTATTTTGGATGATTAGTGAATAAGGTATAAGAATTATATATTATTAACTCAAACAAAAGTAAAATAAATAAATATGTAGATCTTTTAGTTTTAAGTGCATACTTTTATATAAAATATGTAGTTTTTAAAATTCAGTTAATTATTTAAAATGTTTAATATAAAGCAGGTATCGTATGTATTCTAGAATAAGAAAGGAGAAAAAAAATTTATTTTTTATATTTACTTCCTTCTTCTCTTAATCATAAAACACCATCCTTAAAATACTTCTATGCTTATATTAGAGTACCTATGGTAGTAAATTATAAATGATAGTATTTATTTCTTTTTAAAAAAGGTAAATTGTAGTTCCCTTTGATTAATATTTCTTATGATAAATATAAAGTATTGAAATATTCTTTTTAAAGTTGATTAACAATAGTTTCTTTATTTTGATTTTGAATACTTTGAATATAAAACAGGTAGTAAATTTATAGCATTTATATTTATTAATATTTTAGATATTTATGTTGAAATTATTATTAGGATTGATTTAATAATTTAAATAATTTATTATAATTTGTTTGAGTTTATTATGATTTCACAATTCTACTAATATTTCATGTATTAGTGATTTAGCTTGCGATTTCTTTAAATCAGTGAAAAATTTTTCATAATCTTACTTATTTATCTTTTATAAAATAATAAAAAATGTATTTATTAATTAATAATAAAATGGAATTATTACATCGATGCATTCTATGGTATCAAATAGAAACTCTTCATTTACGTTTTTAGATGTTTCAGTTAAAAATTTGAAGGCTATAGTAAAAGATGAAAACCTGAGATCTATTTCAAACATTTTTATAATACCTAGTGCTGCTTTAAAAATATAATACTCACCTTCTATTAGAACATTATCTAAAATTCTATATACTATATTGACATCTTAAAAATAATTTGAAAATAGTGAGAGCATCCAACTATAGAGATAATTTTAGGGCCCTAAGTTTAAACCTATGAATCTCTCATGTAAATCTTTCATCTCTTTTTAGAAGCTTTGATAAAAGAACTAATTGTAAAACTCAATCTAAAATGTTTATTTAAAATTAGCATATAGTTAATTAAAATATGATGATAAATTTAAATTGTTTTACTTTGATTTTATCACCACTATATAAGGGCTTAAAGTGATAGCTATAAATCAAATTAATGAAATATATAAATGAATCACTTTCATTTTAGAAAACGTTCACAATTAAGGCTGCAATATTTATCATATAGTTTAGGTAGTTCAAATCCTAGCGAACGTACAATGTATATTTTAATACGTTTTATATCATCTAATTAATTTTAATGAATAATTTATTATTAAAATATCAAAATCTAGCTTTAAATTTTTTATTTAGTGCTTATTTAAAGAAATTTTTTTGTTTTTCTTAAAAAATTCAAAAAACTTAATACTCAAATGAAATTTAAATAATAGCAAATTAATTACTTCATGATTAGGTTTGAAGATGGGATTTTTCTCTAAAAACTCAACCATATCTGCTTCCATCTATTAAATTTTATCAAAAAGAGAGTACTCCCTCATTCTAGGAGACCCTAAGCCTGATTATCTAATTATCTCTGACTGAGCAAACTTATTGTTATTATTATTACTTTATTTAAAAATACTTTATTCAGCTTATTGCTTGACAATTAAATAATATTAGTGAGTTATTTATAAACTGTTTCCAATAGATAGCTTATATAGAGTCTTTCTAACAAAATGAGGTAGTCCCTATTTCCATAATCTAATGAATAGTATTTCTTTGTCTTTTTGCAAATCTTCTATGTGTTCTCTTATCATTTCGCTTTCATTAAAAATTCCAACTTAAGAATATCTTTATGTTTATTGCTTTTTCTTTTTCATTACATTCTTCCATAAGTTTTTGCTATTTTCTTTACTTTTGCTTTTAAACTTGTAAAACTTATCCATATTAAGAGGTAAATTTTTTTCATAATCCCAAAATTTATCAAACTATTCAAAAATTTAGCTCTTCCAAATTCCAGCTATTTCTTCTTTGTATTCTTACATACTAAATTTAGCCTTTTTGAATTCGAATGCTTGCTACTTAGCAAAAAGTAGTCTTTAGTAGCAAAAACGAACCCATTTATTTCTTTAATCCTCATCTTTCGCTTTTAGGTCAAGACTTCTTTTACCATTGTCATGTCCTATTACAAGTAAAGAGAAGCATAAATTATCAAACTGCTTAGGAACTTTATTTTTTCTAAGTACTTCAGTTTTATCACTCCCAATTGTTATTTCATATATCTTATAATTATATTTTAAATTAAATTTATTATAACAACCAAAATAAATTTATGTTAATTAATTACATCATCTATTAAGATTTCTCTTTTCTTACTTTTATTTTTAGGGTCACACCATTGAATTTTATCTCCAGATTCAGATAGATTTACAAATTTTTCCTTAGGACTACCTGATCTTCCATATTTTAAAAATAAACTTCCATTCTAAAATATTTTAATATCTTTATTAAGAAGCTTAGAAAAATCTGTTTGATTATCTGCATGAGATATAAGTAGAATGTCATATGCCTTCTCAAAAGCTAATTAAGATTATTATTTTGATATAACTTAAATATATAAAACTGTAATAATTTACCATCTTACTCACATTCAAATTATTTTGCTTATATCCTATCATATATTTCAGAAAGTACTTTAAAAGTAACTGTTTTACTTTTTGTAACATTTATTGTTCTCTCAACATAATCTTATCTTTTCATCTTATCTTTTTTTTCTATTTTGTCAGAGTGGATATCTGTGTGTAGCATTATTATAGAATAGGCTAAAATGTAAACGATGTCAGAATTTTCAAAAGTATTCGGATTTTGCTCATGATATGATTCAGAAAAAGCACACATTATTCTGTCTATTTATTAAGATTCTCCTGGAAGTCTGAATTTACTCATCAAAGACCTATCAAATTATTAATCAATTAAAATAAATTTTTTAATAAGCCATGATAAAATTAATACCTCAAAGCTTCATCAATCGTTTAATTATTGAAATCGATGATTTTACAGAACTCTCTTAAAATATCTTGATTTTTTTATGTTTCTTTCCTGTTTAACATTTTCAAGATTGATTAATAAATATTATTTATTTATATAGAAATATATATACCCAAAAAATTATCCAAGAGTATTTTTTCTTATTCCTTCAGCCTTCAACAAAAATTCTGCTATATTTTATAGACTGAGTTTTTAGTCTTACTCTAATTTTTAGATAGCTGAGTTGGGATCTGTATTAAACTCAATCATAAATTAATCTCTCTTTAACTACTTTTTTTGCTCTTCCTTCAGAATATTGGCTTCTTGCAAAAGATCTACTACTTGAGAAACTCCTGTGACACCTCTTTTCAGAGTGAAATATCCTGTAGGCTGAAGAAAAAAAATTTAAATTTCAAGCCTTTTTATTAATATATGATCAAATTACTGGTCTGTGAGAGTAAAAATCTAATGGATCTGGTACATTCGTGGAAAGCTAGACATTATGACTCAGTCTATTATTTTTAAACCCATTTTATGCCGATTGAAACATATCTTTTGATGATTAGTTGTGTAGTAATTACATTTTTTTTTATTTTTAGTTAAGTTATTTAGAATCATTTTCATTTTCATTTATATTGTCACAAATATCATATAATCCTTATGTTGGTTATAGTAAAGCATTATCTACATGAGTATATTCGCTATAATATCTTTATTTGTACCTACTTTATTATTTTTGTTCAAATTCCTATTCATCTATAGTTTCAATTAGATTGTTAAAGTTTTCGTTTATATACAAATCTTCGTTTATGTTCTAAGGATTATCATTTGATTCTATCAATTATTTATTTTAGTTTTTTGTTATCAAAGTAAAGCCTTATTCATTTTTATCTTCTATATCAAATTAATCTTTCTCATCTATGTCAAATTAATTTCTATTTAGGTACTATTAACTCTATTATGGAATATTATTCATTTTATTTTCATCAGACTTTATATTTTACTCGCTGAAATCATTCGTTTCTTTTAAATCATTGAACTATTTGTTGAATTCTTTTAAATCAAAAAAGGTGTCACCATTTATTTACTATTAAATTTATTGTTAATCATTTGAATTCTAATTAGAATTACTCCATTCTTTCTAAATTTGATCTTTTAAGTTTTACTCATCTTTAAGTTCATCCTAATCTTTATTTTATTTATTCAAAGAAATATTTTATTAGGTACTCATTACACAATTCCATTAATTTATAGCATATTCTTATGTTTATAAGTCATATTTTTTTTAATTTTAATTTATAGATCTCTCTGAAGGAACTATAAGATCCAATAATATATCATCAAATGCTTAAGCCTGCTTTTAAGGGGTCATAGCTTTATCTTAAATGTGTTCGATTTATTTACTTTAAACGTGAGCATTTTTACTATCAAAATTTGAATTTTCATCAACCTCTATTAAATCGATTCTTTTTTAAAATAAATTTTCATCCTTTATTAATTCATGATAAAAAAATTTTTAATTTTACTATCTAGAAGGGAATGATGGTTATTCATACTCCTGGCTGTTTTAGTGATTCTGTGATTATTCAGGATTGGCTAATTATAAACGAATTATTTTATTACTACTTTGCTTATTTCTAAAGATTATTTACGTTCAGCAATATTTTGGTGACTTAAAACTTGCCTTGAAGATGTTGCCTGACAATTTATTAACCAAAAAGGTACTTACTTTTCTTCAATCTAATTTTTATTACCATACTCTAGTAAAATTTATATTTAAAAATATTTCTTTTAGAGGTCTTGATGATTAAAAACATAAAGTATATTGTATATTTTATTTACCATGTTAGTTTATATGTATTTCCTAAATTCTTTTGTCTTATTCCAATTCTAAAAATATTTTATAAAAAAATTTCCATGTTATGAACAAACAGTTAATAATTATTCTCAAAGAAAACTAATTGAGTACGTGGTTAGCTCATCTGCTTTAAGTGTAATATAACAAAAATTAGAAATTAAGTTAATTTTTGTTTCTTAAATTTTAATAAGTAACTCTAATGTTAATTTTTGATAGATAGATAGAAAATTAAAAAGAAAGTATCTTCTATAATAAATTTCAAATCAAAATAAACCAATTCAATAGTATATTTTAGAATTATTACCTAAAATCTCAAAATTATCACCATCAATTTCATTCTTTTATAAAATCAATTAATAAAATTATTTCTAAATAAATTTTACCAATTTGAAATTGAGAAGTTAGCTTTATAATTTAATTTTAATCAAAATCACTCAAATGATAAATATAATTTAATTTTTTATAATAAGTTAATGATTTATTTATTAAGCTTTGAAATACTAAATAAAATCAGCAACTTAAAAATTGCCAAATTTATGAAATTTTGAATCTTGGAGTAACAAACAAAAAATTTATCATTTTTTTTATTTTATTTAAAACAATTTAGAGCTTCGATTCAAACTTAACTTAAATAAGATTAAATGAGACTTGAATGATAATAATAACTTAAATTTAATATTGTAAACTAAAATCATATATGTAATAATTAGTTGTTTGCTCTAAATTTTAAAGAAAAACTAGTGGATATTATCTTTAATTGATATTTACAGGGTGCATGATTATATCATAGTTGTAGTAAGATTATTTTTGTCATCAAATTAGATTTTACATAAAATTTACAAATATTAGACTGAATTCTAATTAAAAATAATAAGATAGTTATAAGAAAAATCAAAGAGAGCAAATAAAAAATTTCATAGATATTCGATTTAATTAATCAGCCATTATTATAGTACTAGACTAAGATATGGATATAAATAGCCCATAACTTTAGAAGGCTATAAGTATTTCATAATAAAATAAAAATAATGTAAAAGATTTAGTTAATTCTCCTTAAGGAGTATCTCCTAGTTAACAATATAATTTTACAGCTTAAAATCTGAATATTTTTGTATAGCATTATGACGAATAGCCTTTTTAAGCTTAAGAAATATAATTAATTTAAAAAAATAAAGATTATAGTGAGTCTATAAATGCAGATATTGTTAAGTTTAAAAGTGATTAGTTATCATTAATATAGGAAAATATTTCTGAAAATACTCCCCAAACATTTTCTAGCAATTCCTAAAATAGCCCCTCAAAAATAGCAAGTAAGTTTTCTTCAATTTCTGTTGATATATAAGATTTCAACGACCCGCGGCTTGGTGCAATAAAAAGAGGAAAGCTTTTTACTTTGACAGATCTAGAAAGCTTTGGAGGAAGAAATAAAAAAGATTTAGAAGAAATAGTACCTCTTACCGAAGAAGTAGGTAAAAATTATATAGTCTTTTTCAAGAATCTTTCAATAAATAAAATAAAAAAATGCTAGCCCATAAAATTTATGCTTTATAGACATAAAAATATGTGTAGAATTCATAGATATTAGTTTTTTTAGAGAATGGATTTAAGAAAAAAATATTGCTTTTCAGAAACAAATATTTAACATTATTATTTGTAATAGAAAATAAAAGTGGATAGATCAACATATCAAGGTAGTTAGCAAAAGTAAACTCAAATACTTATATTAAGGAAAATACTTAGTAAAAAAGAAAAACTATCTAATCAAAAACTCATCGTAGTCATGTAGTAACTATTAGAACTCCTGATATGATATGGAAACAAAAATTCTTTTTTATAATGTCTTATGTAAGTAGAATGGTAATGAAAATGAAACAAGTAAAAATATTCAGGCACCCAGAGTTACTTTTCGAAACTCAACTTAATGCAATTAATGATAAAGGTGCAAAAGATATTTCTGATGATAATTGGGGGTAGAAAGATAACAAATTTATAGAAAGCCTACAATTGAATGGCTTTTAAAAATATGCAGATGTAAATAAAAGAAACAAATATAAATATATCCTCAAGAGATATAAATTATTTAGAAAGTCCTTTAGATAAAAAATGAGGCCCTTGATTTAATGTATATCGTCATGTACAAATAGCTTTAAAAAACATACTTCTGCTTTGTTTAAGAGAATATAAACATTTGATTCAACCTCGTTTTTTATATTGGTTTGGTCTAACTTCATTTTTTTGCTCACGATCTGTATATCAATTTATTTGCCTTATGAATACTGCTTCAATATTTCCCGATAATATCCTACTTTTATAACTCTCAATATAATAATGCCTGTTATATTTTTCTTAAATATCGTAGTGATTTCAAACACGACTTACTTTGAAAAAGGAAATGTTATTAATGATCATGCTTAAATCTTTTCAAGATATTTAAAAAACTATTTTTTCTTAGATATTATATCTACAATCTCATTTTTTATGCCTCCCAGTAATTTCTTAATGTTCCTATTTTTTTTCAGGTGGTTTGTTTATAAGAATTTTTTGAGTAAGTAAACTGAGAGATTGTTACTCTATTCTTCCGTTTTGACATACATAAATATAATAAAATTATTAGCACAGATACTATTTATTTGTCATTTGGGAGCATGCTTTTGGTATAAGATTGGATATAACTAACTAAATGATTCTTAAAATGGATGGTTGTATTAAGCTCAAAAACTAAATGAATTATAATCTTAATAAAATATAGACTTGTATCTCCTTTCTACATTAACTATAATATCAAATCTCACTTTCTTTCAATGTAAAATAAATAACTCTAACTAACTTTTTGTTTAAATTATTTTTTTATATAGAAAGGTACTCTTAAACGTTCTTAAGTAGATAAGAAGCTATTTATTTAGTTGCTATGAGTATATTAGGGATAAGTTTATTTGCTTATCTGCTGTATGAAGTCAGAAAAATTCTAAAAGTTTTAGATAAAAGGAGAGAGGAGTATCTTAAATAGCTAAAGTCGTTGAGCAACTATATGAGCACTCACGAAGTAGATCCTTATCTAAGAGAAAGGTCAAGAAAGTACTTAGAATTTATGTATAGTGAAGAGTAAGAATAATAGTGGAGCACACAAGAAAGCTTAAATAGTTTATCTAACTATCTCAAATAGGAAATAATCAAAGATGTATTCATGAAGGCTGTAAAAAAAATATAGTTATTTAGAAAATTCTTTTCTTGGAATCCTAAATTTCTTGAGAAATTAGCTTTGAGAAGTAAAGAAATATCATTTGGGCCTGATGAATTGATAATGAGATAGGGAAATGTCGAGATCCCTTCACTTTACATAGTAACTCATGGAGAAATATAACTTTTTGTTGAAATGGGTAGCTTTGCTCATAAATAGCAAAAAATATTTAAAAAAGTTCAAGCAAATTAATGTTTTGGGATGTATGAATTTTTTTCTTCTAACTATGAAGTATAACTAAGTGCAAAAAGCTTAGGAGTAAGTAGAATGCTCTGCATTACTTTGAATGATATGCTTGAATTGTTAAGAGAATTTCCTAAAGAAAGAGAAGCTTTCTGTTATTTAAAAGATTTAATAACATTTAAGCAAGATTTAAGTCAGATTGGCTTGAGCTGCTACTCTTGTAATTAAGTCAACCACTATGTTTTAGATTGTCCCTACTTATTCTATGGCACATAGCCTTAAAAAGTTATCAAAGAAATAAATAAGCAAATAAAGCATACTATTTTGAATTTTAAGAGGTCAGCTAAACGAAAAAAAGTTAAATCAATTCTTTAAAGTTATCTTATCAGTCATAAAGCATAGCAATTTTAAGAGAAATTTTTAAATATGTTGGAATCTCTCGAATAGGAGTAATACTCGTCAGATACATCAATTTAATTTTTAGGAGAAACAAGCTAATATTCTAGCTATAATGATGTTGAAACTCATACTCTCAATTAATCTAGGTTTGATCGTAAAAGTATTTTAAGAGTACATTCAGGTTCTTCAAAATTTACAGCACGACATAAGCATAAAGATTCGGAATCTTAAAAAAGTCATTTAGGTTCAAGATTAGATTAGTCAAAGTAATTTTTTATATAATGAACATTATCAAAATAAATAATATCTTTATTAGAGAGGAAAAGGAAGGTACATATAATAGAGGAAGACCCTCGAGTGTAAGCATTAGTAAATTTGGTAGATTAGTAAAAATTTCTGATGTAAGTGTTGGCTAGCATGGGGAAGAACCAAGTGAATTAAAAAGTGCTTTATCATGGAATACAAAGGACAGAAGAGTAAGTTTATCAAACAATTATGAATTAAATACAGTAGGAAGGATCAACAGTGCTGAATTCTTTAACAATGAAGATTCAAAAAGAATATTTTCTATGCTAAGGAGGTCAGAAAGCGATTAGCACCTGAGCTATGAAAATATTCTAGATAAGTATGAATAAGAGGAAGAAGAAAATTAATCACTAAGAAGAAATGAAAAAAGGCACTCAACTAATAAGACAAACAAAACAAATAAGACTAATCGAACAAATAAAACATCAAAAACAACGATTACAAAGACGCTACAATAGCTAGACATGGATGGGAGCTTAAACAGTCTTCACCAAAGTAACAAAAGCAATAGCATATCATCGAATGGACAAATAGAATTAGATAAAAACGTGAATTAAATAAAGTTCTCTAACATGGATATCAATAATAATATTAGTCCAATACACAATCCAAGGAAAGAAAGCTAAAATTCTAATAGTATGTATAATAATAATTCTTCTAATATTATTAATTAATTGTACTAGCTTCCTTCTTCTTCCATGAATAATAATATTCCTCCGACTTCATCTCTAAATGCTCTGAATAATGCAATTAACCTAGGTAATTAATAAAACTCGATCCCGGTTAACAGTATAAATTCAGCTGTTATTAATTCCAACATAGTTAGCAATATTCCTTCTTCTTAAAATCCCTAACAATCATCCATTTTGAATGAAAAAATTCAAAATTCAAGCTAAAACAATTAACCTGTAGCAGTGGGACCTTCTGGATAAAACACTGCAAATAACTCAGTCAACCACTCAAATTCTCTAAATTAAAATAACACAGTGCCAAAAGATACTAACAATACTAACACTTAAAAGTAAAACTCTAATCTTAACTAACAAAGATCTCTTAGCATAACCCAGCAAACTCCTTCCTAAAAATTCACATAATAATTTTCTATTTACCCAACAGAAAATAGGTTTAGTTAAAGAAGTCATTAACCTATTGAAAGTATATAATCTTATAGTGTTTCAATTGGTACTGTTAAATCTTTTGAATTATATTTCCCTCAAAATAATGTCGAAAATATAATAGAGAAATACAATAAATTACAAAGAAAAAAAGTTTCTAGGAGAGTCAGAAAAAAACGTACAACTCAAAGAAGAGAAACAAAGAAGAGATCTCACCTAACTACATATGTTTCTAATAGGTTAATAGAAGAGGTTGAAAATAGGAATATTCATCACTCATCTGGTTACGACATAGAAAAAATGAATTCTAGTATTGGGACTGTAAATATATAGAGTAATCCTGCTATACCTTACAAACCTCCAAGTAAAAAGGATATCTTCAACTTGAACACTTTTAATTTGAACGATAACATTTAATATATAAATAAACCAAATCCTTAAGTTATTTCTCTGAAGTGAGTGAGTGAGTATTCATAAATATAAAAACTCTTAAACTTCATTAATAGAACTGTATAAAAAAAAATCGATAATAATCACCATTTATATAGATTTTTCAAAGATTTTTACAAAAATTTTATATTAATATTTTTTATTTGTAATTTCATTTGAAAAAAATAGATTAAAACAAATAAAAAAAATCAAGAAATTAATCAGGTTTATTTATTGAATTAAAACAACATAAAGTAGAAGCTTTATATTTATATTTAAAAATAATAATTATAATATGAATTAATTCTACTAATTAATAAATTGTTATATTTATTTATGTTAAATCTTCTTACATATTTTATTTTAAAAACGGAGTAAGTTTGTTTACTATCAAATTAAACTTGATGAAAAAAAGTTAAATTTTTTGTTTTTTCATCTAGAGTTATTGTGTCCACTAAATTTTTATTGTTGTGACTACTGCTATGCTTGAATTAGTTATTAAGGTTATTATTGTTGTTATTAGTAGTATTACTACTATACAATTTACCTTTAAGGATTCTTTTTCTATTTTTTTTATCCACTTTAAGTAGAAGATACTTATTATATTTAAGTATTATTATTTGAAGATTGTGATGGAACAAAGGTGGAGGTTTGTTATTATTAAATAATTGTTTACTGATTTAAATTGTTCAAAAGGTTGGAATTAGCATTTCTAGGTAAAATGTTTGAATTATTATGGGATCCTCCTAAAATATTTGTGAAAGTATTGTTAAAGTTAATATTAGGATTTGAGTTAAGGAGATGGTAAGTTTGATTATTAGTATTAGTGGTATTTGATAATTAGCAAGTTATATTGTTAGTCACATTATTTTACATTATTTCTAAATTATCCATAAGGCGTGTTAGTTCAGTCATCAGACCTTCAATCCTGTTTAACATGTTGTCTTCTCCCTCATTTTAATCGTTTCCTTAAGGATTTGCATTCATGGCTAGCTACTGTTAGGGCTTACCTCCAAGTAAAAAGCTTTCAGGATGCATTATTAAATTATTATTTTCTTAATCCATAGTGTTAGGTTATATTGCAGACCAGCTATTAGCTATTTGCTATTGCTACAATTATTAATTCTGCTATGAAGCTGTTAACTGTAGTTATTAAATTTATTGCTTTAAGCTTGCTTTTTAAGAGTCATTTTGTTTTTCGATTTACTGCAAGCGAACTTTGCAATTATTCCACTTAATAAGTATAATCAGTTTTTCGTATTCAGATTAAAGTATTTTATCTTGTAATTGCAGGCAACATTTACAATTTTTATCAACGATTTGCTCTAAATTTTAATTTTAATAGATTTAATCCATAACTTGCTTTATTTTCTCTTCATCATACTCTTCTTCTTCAATTTCCTAAGGAAAATCTTCAATATTTTAATTATTTTCTGTAACTTCTTCATCATGTTCGTTCTCTTGAAATTCTACTTAATCTTTATTCTAATCAAAATCTTAATTTTAGACTTTACTATTTTTTTTTAATGCATCCACCTCATGGATTTCATTATTTGCTTCATTTTATTAGTAATAAATCTATTATTCATTATAATGATTATCGTGTGGTTAATTTTCGTCCTCTTCATCATCTTCTTCATATTATTCTTCTTGAACCTCTTAAACTCCTTCCATTTATTCCTTTATAATTTAAGAATTTTTAACAAAAAATAAATAAACAAAAAAGATAATTGAATTTCAATGTTATTACTTCATTTTCTAGTTCAAGCAAATATTACTGTTAGTGATGAGTAAGATATTGTTAGAAAACTATTTCTTGCTCTTCAGGAGTTAAATTTAAAAAGTCTTAATTATCTCCATATTCGTTTGCGAAATTTTATTATTGAATTTCAATAAATTCCTCACTCAAAACAAAATTTTGTTTTTCTTTTAGTAATAGCTGCTCCTCAGTTAACTCTTCATCTCCTTCTTCAGCATGTAATTCTTCTTAACCTTATTCTTCTTATTATTAAAGCTCCTCATTTCCATCTTCCTAATCTTTCTCTTACTAATCCTCATCTTGATACTCATCTTCTTAATTTTCTAAGTGCTTATACTATTACTCTTGAGGTATATTTGCTGCTTATTGAGCATACATTTAAGCATTCTAAGCCTATATTTCTTACTGAATCTATTACAAATTTTATCCTTATACTTTTAAATTTTGAAATAAAAAATTTATTAACATATTTTTTGTTTAATTTTTAAAAAAATTTACAATTTGCCTGGTAGTTAATATCCTGTTATTGCTACTATTACTACTACAACATTAATTGTTATTAATTTTATTATTAATATTGCATATATAATTACTCTTATTGTAATTGTAATTACTACTATTACTACTATTATGGTACCTAACCTAAATAATTTTATTGCTGGGGTATAAGGTTTGGATGTTGTAACTGTTACTATTGCTATTAATTTTAAGAGGCCATCATCATCATAGCAGCTTCGTCTTGTTAAATTTAAGGGAAAATGTTGGGAGGAAGCTAATTATTATTTTCATATAAAATGTTTGTAATAATTTATTCTTATTGCTTTCTTGTCATATCATCGTGTTTTTATTTAAACACCTTAATATTGTTGAGGAGTCTATTAAAAATACTCTTTGAAATAAATTTTATTGACTAGCCATATTTCTAATAGTCATCTGCATTAGGAGTCATACCTGGATTATTGCGTATGTCTAAGCTAATTAGGTTTTCATTATTATCTAGCATCTTGTTTAATTCAACAAGACCATCAGCTCCGATGCGATTAAAACGTAAATTTATATTACGTGTCCAACCATCTTATTATAAAAAGTAGCATAAATCTTTGATGCTGCTATCTGTTAATAAATTTCCCATTAAATTGACTTCACAAATACCTTCTAGGTTTACATTATTTTCAGGAACTTCTCCTCTAAGGCCACATAACCATATGTGCTCATCTCTATTTTTAGAGTGTGAAGAAAGAAGCTTACCGATTAATCCTCCTGATTAACCATCTAGTTTATTAAAAGAGAGATCAAGCAAATTTAGTGATCTAGTTTCACCAATATATGGAAGCATTCCTTTTTCTATTGTTTCAGAATTTAAATTACAGTTCTAAATGTAGAGCTCTTTCACTGTTTGTGACTTCTATAGTCCTTAGCATATTGCTGCTAAACTTTCAGCTTTCAAATTTAAATTTATTATTTTCACTACTGTAAGCTGAACATCCGAAGTTGAAGCTCTTCCAATATTGAGCCCTACTGAATGCATCAATTAATTAAAACTCTAAGTTTAACTGCTAAAATTCTTCTTCTGCTTTTTAGATTTGTTTGCTCCATCTTTAATATTTTAGCTCCCTTCTGCAGTTGCATTCGATAACTTTTTAAAACCTCCTAGATTATCCTTGTTGTTTTAGCTTTTGTTTGATGCATCACCTATTCTTTACTTCTAACTGTTGTGATTTCCTAATGGTGTTAAACCACCTTAATGCCCATCATTATATCCTAAATCTTGATTAAGAGTTCTTCCTCTTTCATCTACTGTTTAAAATCCATTAGAAGACATACCAAAATTATTTTAGTGAGGTAAATTTATTTTTGAAATGCTATTAGTATTGCTAATAGTTGATTAATTGCGGTAATTAAATATGATTTATTCATGTTCTTAATAAAACTTTTCTTCGTTAAATTCTTTATTTCCAGTCAGAGTAATGATAGAAAACTCGCATTCTCTTAGCAAAACTCTCATTGGATCTACATCAGGTGAAGTTAAGTTATCAACGTTAATAATTAATTCATCCCCTTTTAAGCCATGTGTGATTGCGTTGTTCATGTTGCAGTTAAGCTTCTAACAAACATCCTTATAAAATGAAAAAGGAGTTTAATTCTTTTTGCGCTTAATGGCGAGACTTTAAGCTTACTATCTCTAACGAGAGGAAGTAGATGCTCCATTTTTTAAACTTGCTCCTCCTGCATTTACTTGACCGTTAGCGATTGAGTTACCTTTCTAATGATTTAAATTTGAATTTGCTGAAACTTGATTTTTAGCAGATGCTACTTAAGCAGATTAGGGTCGAACTGACATTTTTATACTGTTTACTTAATCTTTAAATTGTTTGGATATTTATTCTATGTTCAAAAACTAATCAAAATAAAAAATAAGCTAACTAACTTTTTTGACTTATCAAAAGTAACACCCTATTAATATTTTTAATTATAATTATGTTTAATATAATTAAGATATATTTTTTCCTATTTCTTCTTTTATCAATTAACAAGCTAATAAATAAATAAATAATATTTCTATGGATTGATTACAAAATTTTATAATTTTCAATATTCTTCTCCTAATATATTTTAAATATATTTTATTTATTTATTCATTCACTTGTAAAAACAAACATGAATGATAAATTGATAATTGAAACTAAAATTTATTTGATTTTTCAAATTTTATTTTTCTATGATCTTCATTTTAAAAAGCTGAAAGTGTTGTTAACAAAAAATTTAAAAGTAAATGAATTTAAAATAATAAATTAAAAATTAGCCATAAAATTAAATTAATTATTCATAATAATTTCAAGGATATTATCTTGAAATTAAAACATACATTTCTGCATATTAATTTTAGATAAATCCCTCACAAATAAATTATGAAAAACAAATGATTAGATTTAAATACTAATATTATTTTATATTTATCTAATATTGTTTATAATCAAATTTAATTTATTATAAAGGATAATATAATTGCAGTTTTTGAATTGAAATAACTAATTTATATTAGAACTTTTTCTTTTTATTAAACTTTTAATAAATTCATAAATTTTTTTTTAATAGTTTTTTAGAAAAAATCAAAAAATTGAAAATATATGTTTTCTTTATCATATAAAATTAATTTGTCATTAAAAATTAAAATATTTAGATTATGTTTGTTTTATCAATATTTTCTTAAATTATTTTCAGCTAAATTTATTAATAAGAATGTTTTTATTTTGCTTAATCTTTCTAATACATATAAGATATATACTATAGAAACTGAATAAATAAGACCAATTTTTGAGAAAAAAATTGTTTTTTAATTTAGACAAAAGGCCAAATTTTCAGTTAATAACATTAAAATAGATCTTCCATAATTAATGAGTATTTGCATTATTTTCTTTTATATTTTTGTATAAATCTTGATAAGAATCTATCAAAATATAAAATAGATTTGCTTTTATTCCATTCTTCATTCAAATCAAGTATTAAATATATCATTTCCTATAATGAATTAGTATATCAATAATCTACCAAAGTTTTTTTTAACAAAATTTGTTACAATAATATTTTATATATTTTAATTTTAACTCTTCAGTTTACAAAAGTTTTCTTTTATAATTTTGTATCAGGCCAGATAAGAATCTATCAAAAAAAATAATTAAAATAGAAGACTTTCTATTAAATCCGTCACTTAAACGAATGTTAAACATATAAAATCATATAATGATTTAATATATCAAATTATTTTTCTAAAGAGCTCTAAAAATTTAATGTTTAAAATCAATTAATAGATTATTTGATATAAAATGTATTTAAAAAATAATAGTAAAAATTAAAAATTGTTACATTAAAGATGAATGGATATTTGAGAAATATTATTAAACTTGAAAATAAATATAATTAAAAAGCTGCTATATTTTATGCTATTATAGCTCCTTTTTTTACTTCAGGAATGTATTATTGTATTTATTTACTCAGATCTGAACATTCTTCACTTTAAATTATGAACATGAGAATGATTATAGGATTTATTATTAATATAATTCTTTGCAAGATAAATAAAAATCCAACCTATGTAGAAAAAAAGGAAGCATTTAAATTAGTATTATTTAGAGGAATTAATGGTGCTTGCTCAACTTTATCTATGTTTTATTGCTTTTCTATGATGAATATATCAGATGCTGTAGTACTCATAAACACAAATCCTATATGGACAAATTTTTTAGCCTACTGCTTTTTATCAGAAAAATTATCATTAAAAACTATATTGTTGTGCTTATGTTCTTTTATTGGAATTATTTTAGTTTGCAGACCAGCAGCTTTATTTGGGGATGAAAATAATTTAGATAATATTTCAAGCTTTTATAGATACTTAGGAAGTACTTTAGGTCTTTTAGCTAGTGTTTCAATAGCATCTGCTTCAACAGTAATTAGGAAATTATCTGTTGATTTTTAAATGAAAAGTGGTACTTAATTACAATACTACTACATAGTTTCAATAGTAACATCTTCTGTTTTAATTTTATTTAAAGAAGACTAATAACTGATCACACTGAAATTTATTTTTATCATAACTTTATTGTCTTTAAATGGATTTCTTGGCTAATATTTTGCAACAAAGGCACTAACATTAGAAAAAGCCTCTAAAATAGCTCCTTTAGCATATTTATAAGTCGTTCTAACATTTCTCATAGATATCTTTTTTGCTGATACTGAAGTTTAATTAACAAGTATAATTGGAGCAATAATTATAGTTGCAAGTAGTATCAGTATTTCTTAATGATAAAATAAAAAAGAATTATTTTAATATGTAAAATCATTGTAATAGTAAATTGTTTTGTATTTGTTAATTAATTTACATGTACCCACTTTAATAATGGATTTGATAATTAAAATAAATATTCTCCAAATTAATTTAAAAATTAAGAATAATTCCAAACAAACCAAACAAATATCTCAGATAATTAATTTTTAGAATCATTGTAAAAAATTATTTTTATTTTTTTTTAAAAGTAGAATTATTAAATTTTTTTAATAACTAAAAATAAATAGTATTTTCAGAATTTAAATAGCTTAGTGCCCTACCTATGTAAATTTTTTATGATATAATTTGAAAATTTTGCAATATTTTTGAATGTTGTCGTCATAATTGTTGCTTTACAAAAAGAATTTGGCGAATTAATTACATGATAATTAAAAGAATAAAAAAATTTTGCAATTAAAAAAATTTATAAAAAGAATTTGAAAAGACTTCTAAATATAGGGCTTCGATTGCTTATACCTTAAACTTATAAAAATGTTAATTTTTAAGCAGCAATAAAAAATTGGCGATACAAATAATCTGAAAGCAATAGAAGTTAGCATATCTAGAAATGAAATTTTAGTATAATTACATTTTTATATTTTAATAAACTAATTATTTATTATGTGGTAGATTAAAGCTAACCCTGATTACTTTGTAGTTGGAACTAAGCTACATATTAAAAGACAGTTTTAGCCAATCTACAAAGATGTTAGTTGAAAATTACTTGGTTATTTTTAACATTTGAAAATTTATTTATCTTGATTAGGTTTAAAATACGACATTTAAGAGGAGAATAGAGCATACAATTTCAGTGCTTTTTTAGGCATACTTTCTTTTAAAAATTATGGATATGACTTTTTAGTTATGGTTCAGGACGCTAAAAAAGTGGCTACTATTCAAAAATAAGATATTTTTTTGATTCTCAAAGTTCACATGATCTGCATAGAAGTAGTTTTTTATACTAACCTTGCAAATCTTTATAACACATACATTCACAAAATAAATTAGATATTCAAGTATTTATTTTTTTATTTATTGATGTAAATAATTAGAGAGATGAAATCACTGGAAATTAAAGCAAATCAATTAATTGTTATTTGCAGCAAATCTCAAACGTATTTATTTATTTATTTAGAATATTTATTAAAATTTAAAAATAATTCTAACAAAGTTCTATTTTAATAAAAAAGATTCTGCAAACAGGGCATTATTTTTCTTTTAGTTATAGCATCAGCCAATCATTGGAGGACTAGAATAGATACCCACTAAAACCTAATATTTAATTCTTATGGAATTATCATTTAATGGATCCACTTAGAAATAGCAACTTGGTCAATAAGAAGTGGTGCATTTAACTAATTTAAGGTTTCGTTACATAATTTACTACCCTACTTAAAGATAATCAGCCTATACAATACACTTTGATAACCAGGAGGTCATCTTTTAGAGGAGGAACCAGATATAATCATAGAGGTAATTATTTATTTGTCTAACTTCCATAGCACACTAATAAAAAATAAATTTAAAGGAGTTGATGAAGACGGAAATGTTGCAAATTACTGTGAATCTGAATAAATTTTGTAATTGGGTTCTATTTGTTGTTCCCACACATAAATTAGAGGCAGCGTTCCTTTATTTTGGGAATAAAAAGGGTTTTAAGCTACTCTTTAATTAATAAAAACTGAGGAAGAGAATAAAAAAGCTTTTTTGAAACACTTTTAAAAGATCAAATAAGATTACAAAAATGTAATGTGTGTAAATTTAATGAGTAAAACTAAACACCTTGAGTAATAACTGACATAGTAATTTGAGAACTGTATTTAAAAGTGCTCCTTAAATTTCCTCAGATATGAATTCTTTGATTTTCATGAAGCTTGTAAAGGGTTATAATTAATTTTAATTTTTTTAAATGATTTAAAGTATATAAATAAGAAAACATTTAAGGATTTATTTATTTTATAATATCTTAGATTTAACTATTAGAATATTAACGAACTTGCTGAGAGTCTTAAGCTCATTACATATTCCTTTAAATTTTTTGCTCTAGATTAGAATACAAATAAAATTTTGTTTGAATAAACTGGAGTAATTAGAACTAATTGCTTAGATTGTTTGGACAGGACAAATGTTTTTATGACAAAAATAGGTATAAAAATAAAATTAACTGAATTTATTAGAATTAAATTTAAATACCCAATAAAGTGTTTTTTAAATAGTGTATAATTAAAATTAAATATTTTTTCAAGATAAGTGAATATTCAAAGAAATGGAAAAGATTTATTTTTTAAAAACTATCTTTAATGTATTTTATAGTATATAATTATATAAATTATAAAAAAGCTGGCATAGTTATTGAGCATATGATGAATCATATGAATAAGTAAACCATAAAAGAATTTGATTCACCCATTTTAAATCTAATTGATGGCCAAACTTAAGGTAAAAAAATTCACCCTTTTATGACAAATTTTAAAAACGCTTGGGCAGATAATGGTGATTAAATTAGTAAACACTATGCAGGCACTGGTGCAACTACTTCTAAAGCAACTAAATAAGGGAATATAGGATTTATGGGGTTTTTAGATTAAAGTTTAAAAGGAATAGAGAGATTTTACAAAGGAAATTTTGAAGATAGCTATAAATAAGAATGTTTAGATATTATAACGGGTAGAAACTATTAATCTTCTGGATAATTAGATAAATCAAGTAAATTTGTTGTATTGATTAGTTTTTATATAATTTTTAAACAGTAATTTAGAATAATGAAGAGGTGAAAGAAAACTAAGAAAAAGATTAAAAGTATTTTGATTCTTAAGAAAATTAAGATCAGGAACAAAAAAACATTGATTTTGATATTAAACAGAGCTGTATACTAGATAAAAATAATATAAATTTAAATTTGCTAACTATAACATGGAATACTCAGTAATTTAATATTTAAAATTAAAATATGGAGGAAACATGTTTTATAAACTTTGAGAGATCCATACCTCCAGATTTTATATTTTTTACATTTCAAAACATAAATGATTTTGATAATGCAATTTAAAGTTATTGGTTTTAATTGATATAAAAATGTATAATGTAATTCGGATAAGAATATAAAATGGTTTCTTATCATTATTCTAAAAACAGTAAAATAATGATTACTGCTTATGTTTTGTCTTCTCTCCCTTATTAAGTTATTTAACTATAAATAGATGAAGTAAATAAATATATCTATCTTTTACTTTTTAATTTATTGATTTTACTTTATATTTGTTTTTAGGTTTTTTCACCTATTTTTGGAGATGAATCAAAGATATATGGTTGTGTAGGAGTTAAATATTTAATAGAGTCATCACAGTTTGCTTTTCTTAGTTGTTATTTGCCAGAAAAAAGCGAAGATCATGAAAAAAGGATATAATTACTCAATGAATATATGAAAAATATTTTTATATAAAATTATTCAATTACAGATAATTAATAAACCTAATTTTAAGAATTAGATGTATAAATATTGCTGGGAAATTTAAATTTTTAAATCACCTTGTCAAATTAAATTATTCAAGAGCATATAAACAACTATCAAATACTCAAATAAGAAAATAATTATGAATAACTTTAAAAATGCATAAATTTCTTGTTAGATTTTGATCAATTTAAAAATTTTTAAAAGCTACAAAATTTTCTTAGCAGCTATGTAGAAGGATAAATAGACTATCTCCCCTAATCAAAAAAGAAGGTAGATAAAAACTCAGATAATAAATATAGTTGGTAAAAATATTTTGTAATTAAATATATTTGATCTTAAATTAGAATTATTAATAAAAAGGTTTGATAGAATATTCGTCAATAAAAATAAATAAAATATAGAATATTAAATATAATCTTATCAACAGCATGAAGAAATATTAGATGCTTCATATTCGTAAATAAATTATTTTTATATAAGAATAAATATTTTATTACTTGTAATAGACCTATATCATTTTCTGCTGTTTTTAATTTGCCAAAGTAGTTGAAAGATAGTTAAAATAAAGATAATTAGAAAAATATTAACTTAGAATAAAAGATATTTATAGATGCTTAGAATGCTCCTAGAATATTTGAGTTTTTTAAGCCACCTTAAGTATTAGAAAAATAAACATTAAACAAATTAAATCACAGTCGCTCAGGGTAGGAAAATACTGAAAATAATTCATTATCATTAGATGCATCTGTAACTATGATTATGAATACAAACGAAGAAGATTAAGATGATTAATCATAAAGTGAAAGATACTCTTTGCTATAAAATATTTTAAACGAGAATAACTAAAATAATTAATGTAATGAGTAAGAAATTAATATAAAAAGATCTTAAAATTGTTAAATGGAATTATCATAATAGTAATAGTAAGAAAATAATTTGAATTCAAGTAATATATAAGGTAAAGTCGAAACAAATGTTAATAATTAAAGTAAAGAGTCCAATTAAAAATAAAATGGTAATGTTACAATTTCATTTTTCAATAACAATTAAAATGATAAAGAAGATAAAGGATAGTAGTTATTCTAGTTACCTCTAATCAAAGATTATATAAGCAGCAAAGAATTAAGTAAAGAGGACAAAGATAAAAAATTACTAAAATAAAGCTAGTGTAGCAGTCTAAAAAATTTACAAAGTTTTGAAATAAATTAAAAAGAAGATGAAGATATAGAAGATTAAGCTTAACAAAGTAGGCACAGAAAAATGAGTAGCTTTGATATTTGTGTTATAGAAGATAAATCCACACAAGAACAAAAAAAAGCTTTATAAGTTATAAAAGAAGAATGAAGAGGGCATATTCTTTTTTTAATTGATTGATAGTGAGTTATTTATTTAAACACTTATTTAGCTTAATAATCAAAAGTTAATTGTCATTTAATTTATTTATATTTAAACAATAAATAAATAATAAATAATAAATAAAATTTTAGCAGAGTAAATTTTTATTTAGTTTTCAAAATAAAAATGATCAATATGATTAATATCTATATTTATATACATGTATTTCATGTTGTTTATATCAAGTTATTTTAAATTATAATTTTTAAAATTTTAAAACAGAAAATGCTAAATAATTTTAAATTTGTCATTTTTTATAATAAACACTTATATTATATTTATTTGTTTGATAAAATAAAAATTAATTTCAAAATATTTTTAATTAAATTTAAATAAAAATGTATTATTTATATACATCATACTTATAAATATGACTAGATTTACAACTTAAAATTAGTAAATAATTTAATAGATACATACGAATTTATATAGTTTAGTGAAGTAAAATAGTAAAAAATTGGGTTTCACACTATAGTAAATAAAACTTATTACAATCAAGATAAAGGTTATTAAAATGATTTAGTAATTGATATTTTGATTATATATATCAAATTATATTTAAGGATAATCAAAAATTTATGTGATAATTTTATGATTACTTACTTATTGATTAAAAAACAATATACAAAGAAAATATCAGCAAAATCTACCAAATTTAGTTGAATCTTCAAAATTATCAACTGCATGATATATCACTATTCCACTAAGAAGTGATGAAGCTACTATCATAAAAATTGTAAGAATGAGAACTAAAATGGATTCCTTTTTTGTTCTTTTAACATAATTTTTGACTGCTTTGCAAATAAAAGAACTTAAGAATGCAATAAAACTAAAGAATACAATTTCTCCTATTGTGTAGACTCCAGATAAATAAAACTAAAAAAAACTATTAAAAGTAGTAAAGCAAATAATAGTTAGAGTGCAAGCAGTAGTTCTTGTTGAAGAGATACCATACTCAAGCCACCTAGGTATTAAAATGATACCTCCACCTTTTAATTAAAATATTTACTATTATTAATTTTGGACTATAAGAAATTAAAAATTTGAGGTTAATATTTAATCTTTTATTGAATTTTTATAATTTGATACAAAATTAAATTTGCAAATTATTTACCTATTCCAAGCATCCCTCCCAAAAATCCTGCTAATAATCCAGTTTTTGCATATTCTCTCATAGCTTCAAATGTTAGTTTGCCATAAGGAAAATCATATCCTAAATTTTCTTTTTTTTTTTCAGTTTCATTATATTCCTTCATTATTTATGTTATCCAATAAAAAAAAGTAATTGATATTATTAAATTCATAAGCTGATAAATAAATCCGCATGCTTAGATACCTAGCAATGAGTCAAACTTGCTCCCTCCACGCAACAAAGAAAATATAATTACAAAAGCGCTTACAGCACAAATTTATGTTATTGTTTTTTTAGGGTATAAATCTTACTCTTCTTTTATTAATGCTTAGAGCTCTTATTTTTATGTTAATTTTGAATCTACTTAATCTACAGCTGTTATATCTAATAGAGGAATCATTTGATTAACTTCTTGCTAATATTAGTTTTATTATTATGATTAAATCTAGCTTTTTATTTGTTCATCATCAATAACTTTATCTTATGAACTTAATAAACTACTATTTTTTATCAATTTTAATTCATTTTTTCTCATATTCTTGTATCTCAAGTATGATTTTTATATCTACTAAGCCAGAAGAATAACTAGCAGAATGCATACAGCTATAGAAGGTAAAAATTTATTAACTGCCACTCCATAAACTGTACCCACAATTAAAGTAGGAAGAGTTACTAATATTAGGCGGTATTCGATAACTGGTACACCATCATGTGTTCGTTCTCGAGATATTTAAATTGTATTTCCCAACGAACTACTAAATACAAGAAGAATAACTAAAGCCACACTCTTTTTTGTATCATATAAAAAAAGAGCTAATAATATTGGTGTGATTGAAGTTCCTCCTCCAATACCTGCTGCTTGACCAAATCCTAATATTGTTATTATTACAATGCTTCCAAATATTTCAGGAAAATTGAGAGGGAAGACTGACTTTCTTTAGCAGCGACCTTGCTAGCACATTTATTTAACATCACAATCTGAATCAACAAAGCATTTTTGATTTAACTTAGCTTCATATTCTTTAAGTTTTTCTAATTCCTCTTAAATAGATGAAGTATTAAATTCTTAATTAATTTGCTCATCATCATTATTTTAATAATCTTCAAGTTATCTTAACTACTTATTTTAATCTAATTCTTATTCTGTTACTTCATTGCTTTATTTATTTTAATGCTCATCTTCAAGAGTATACATAAGCTAAGACTAGGTATTATCAAACTATTCTTTAAGATTTTAGCCAAATACATCTTAAGAAGCAGATTCTTAATAAAGAAAAGCTAAATTAATAATAAGAATACACAAAAGATTTTTAATTAAAATTTTCATTTCTCTAAATTTTTTGATTACCTTAATTAAATTTTTGGATAAAGATTTTTTTGAAAAAAATTTTTAATTAGGTTTAATCCGAACTCTATATATAAATAAAAGATAAGCGAGTTATTTGCTATTTATAGAAAAAATGTATGATTATTAAAGGAGTTTTTTTAGAGCAACTAATTGATAAAGAAGCCAAATTAATATTTTTGTATAATTTAATTTCTATTTATTTACCATGAAATACAAAAAAAATTTTTTTATTTAGGAAGTAAACTATTAAAACTATATAAAATGAATGTAAATATAAAAAAAAATAAAGTTAAAGTATAAAGAAGATTGATTGAATTGTATAGATTCTAAATATTTTATTGATAAAATAATCGACTTATTTTTATGAATTTCTTTTATAATATTTCATTAATCAGAATTATATTCATCATTTCTTTTTATAATTACATCTTATAGCTTTTCGATGTGCCTATTTAGCTAATCATATAGTTAATCATTATCTATTATTTCCTAATCTATCTAGTCAATCCACTCCATCATTTTCGTTTACTACTAATTCTTAATTCTATAATTATTTATTAATATGATTTTTAAAAATAAAATAAAAAAAAATACTTCAATTATAAAGATTTATCATTTTTTAGACTTAGTTTTCTTGAATCACTTAAAGCTTAAGAGTTTTCTAAATCAAATTATTTTTGACTTGTATTCATAACATCCAAAGGTTTAAATTTCATATTATTAAATTATAAATCTTATTTGTCGTATATTTTATTTAAAATTTGAGATTTTGCTTGCTTGTGAATTATGGGATAGCTACTTTTATATAAATTATTTTTGCTTAATGGGTCTTTGTGCTATTGGCTTTTTAAAAGTAAGCTTTCTGAAATTAATTCAGTTTTTGGCTTGGAAAGTCTTCTATTGGAATTCTATTGTAATTACTCTAGATATGATTTTTTATTCTTATCAAAAATCTTTTGCTAAAATGGTTCAATTAACGTTTTATCTTAGATTTTTTAATGTGATTTTTTGACTTCATTCATGTGGATAGTATTCATTAGATTTAATTCTTCTTTTCGGTTTAAAATGCTTGCTTTTTAACCAAATAGTAAACTATCTCTTTCTTTTCCTGGCGTTCTTGGAGTATGATGGCCTGAACTACTACCCCCTTTTTATTTGTTTTCAGAGTATATCTTTTTTAAAATTGAAGAGATATTGTACATTTCTTGCTAGGTTACTCTGCCGTTTGAAAAGTAAAGCTAATTAGAATTGTTAATTTATTTAAGTAGATTTTCTCTTGATTAATATTTTTAAGCTAGTTTGATTAAAACTAATTTATCTCTGATCATTCTGCAATTACCTAAAAACTTTAAAATGTTTACATCAGACCACAAATCAGACACGTACATTGTTCCTTTGGGTTCATTAGCTTAAAACTCTCTCATAAAAGGCTTCAAATAATCATTTTATTCTTTCTCAATCATCTTAAAGCCAAATTTAGTAAATGTTTTCAGTCTAGGCTCGAATTCATTGTAAATCCTTGTTTCATTCTATCTTCTTTTTTGAAATCTTTCATGGTCAGCATTTTTTTTTTTTTTAGCCTAAGTATTGTAAAATAAAAAAAGTTTGTTAATGCTTTCATTTTATTCCACTTAGCTATTTTATGACTACTAGTATTACTATTACTATAATTATTGTTATTATTCTTTATTACTGTATTAAAATTAATTTTCTATTTATTGTTCTTAGCTTATCTATTAATCACTTTGATTCTGTTAATTAACTTTTGAATTATCACTTCTAATTGATTCCTTAAAAGTTGATGAGCTATGAGAAAAGTTATGCTCTGCTACGTTTAAATGGTTTTTGGGAGTAGATAGTTCTTTTTATTGTTCTATAAGATTAGCTTTTTTAAGCAGCATTGTATTTTATCTCTTAATTCCTGGGTTTTTTTATTTAACCAGTCCATTTTAACTTATCTACAAACTAAAATAAGGATTTTAGCTCTCTATATTTTTTTTGTCAAAATATATTTTATCTTCATTTAACATTCTTTGTAACTTGTATAATCCACTTTAATTACGATCTTCAGTTTAACTATCAGACTTTTCTGTTTTAATAGTTCGCTTACTTGAAAGAAGTGATAGATTTTTATTTTCTTATTGCTCAGATAAGTGCTTACTACTTAAATTTAAAGACAAATTGTTTTTTAATAAAATTGAAGAAGTCTTTCTTAAGATATTAAGTTAAGGATATAAATCTTCATCTCTATCTCCTGTTAGCTAATTTTTCTTATTATTAATGCTAAGATTGTTTTGAGACTAATCAAGGATAAACTTCTAGTTGTTAGTTTTTTAACTGTCTTATTATGATAGGTTGCTATTAAATCTTTAAAATATGCTTGATTTATCAGACTGGTAATTTCTAAATGATGAATAAAAGTTAGTAGGAGTTTTTTGCTTATCATACATAGATCTAAACTAATCATTTTGGTAATCATTTATAATATCATCATTTACTTAATTTAAACTTTATTCTTCTATTGTATCTATACATGTATCAATAGTATTCCCAAAAAAATCATTGCCAAATATTGTTTCTCCACTTTGTTTGCGAGAGTTCTACTTTTAACTAAAAGATTCTTTACTTGAAGAAATAAATTTAGAACTATTCAATTGCTTAATATCTTATATGTCTTGGATATTTCTGCTATTTTATCCCTATAATATAGACTCATTTTAATTGATGTATTATTGTTTCATTTAAATATAATTATGTGATCGTTCTTTCTACTATTATCTAATTTAAAAATGAAAAATTGTATGCTGATATAGCTTCTTATTATTAAATTATTAATTTTTAATTAGATCTAAATATAAAACTAACAGATAATATATATATATGTTAGTATATTTTTAAATTGATAAATAATATTAAAACGACATAAATGAATTCCTTATATACTACTGCTACTTTCAATCATCTATTAAGGTATATTTAAAAAAAAAAAAATTAATTTTAGAATTATGCATAAAATTTGGGAAAAAATGATGAAAATTTAAAGGGGTGATAATTAATGAGGATTTAAGGTATATAATCTTTATATATAAAAATAAACAATTAATTTATCAAATGCATTAAAATAATGATAATTTAATTATATATTAATTTAAAAATGATTTTAAGTTAAAAAAAAGAAGCTTTATTTATTAAATTTATAAATAATTTTGATAGCATTTTTTATTTAAAAAAATATTAAAAATAAGTAAATAAATAAATAGTTAAATGTTACGTAGAATTATTTTTTATTAGAAAGAATTTTATTCATTAAATTTAAAATAATTTTCATAATATTTAAAAAAAAAAAAGTAGGAATAAATAAATAAATAAGTAATTAATTATGTAAAATAATTTAGATTTATTTTTTTATTAGAAGGAATTTTATTGATTAAATTTAAATATAATTTTATTAATATTAATTTCAAACAAAACAAAGGAAAAATATAAATAAATAAGTAGGAAAGAAATTAAATAATTAATATTTATAAAATATATATTTTTTCAATTTTATTTTAATAGTGATTCATTCTTTTTTTCTTCATTATTTATTTTTGCTCATTAGAGCTTAAAAAGAGCTAATTCTCCATATTGATCTATAAAAATGAGAGATTGATCAGATGCAAAGTATTCGCATTTTATGTAGGCATTTTAGGAATCATTTGAAGAAAAGTAAATGGTTTAGCCTGTCCTTGTCTCAAATACTTTCCATGTACAATCTCCACTGATTGTAACTATCCATTGATCACCATTTATAAATTTTGTTTAAAGAATTTCGTCATTGTGGCCAGTTTCTATCTTAATTAAATCTGTGAAACTTTTTTTTTCTTTATCATAAGAATATATAGTGACAATTTCAGAGAGTCCACTAGTAGCAATTAAATTTTTTTCATTATTAATTTCAATACTATTTAAGCAATATTTTTCTTATTTACTAAAAAGAGACAGATTATTTTATAAGTTAATAACTTAAAGGCATTTATTTTATATTAATTGTAAGGCAATATTACTTTCTATTATTTATACAAAGTAGCAAGTTTTCTTTTAGTCTGAGATTGAATCTGTAGGAAAATACTAATACGGTTAAATATTATCATATTGGTAAATTTCAAAGGAAAAGTCTTCATATATTACGATTGTGTTGCCGTTTTTTTCTACTTAGATTCTACATATATTTTTATCTTTATTTGTACTTAATTAGTAAGATTTTCCATCTACTAATTTATAAATTTAGCCAGCTCTAGAAGAGCAAATAGCTATTTTTTATAAATCTTCACTTAAATGAGCATCTACTATATCTCCATCATCAAATTAAATCATATTTTAATCATGGAAACCCATAATATTTAAATCATATCTTTACAAAATATTAGGTAATTAGCTATGTGTGAGTAAAATCATCTTTGAATTCTCATTAATACAAAATATAGATACTTCTCCTAAAGGTTCTTTAGCAATTAAATTAGGCTAAAATGATGTAAGTTATTTTATCTTTTTAATGTTTTCTTTATGGTTTACATTCTCTAATTACTTATTTTTTAATTGGTTTTCGTTATCTTAATAATGCCTAATTTAGTTGATGTTATCATATTTACTTTCTTCCTCCTCCATCATTTAATTATCAAAAGCGTTTTCTTTACTTTCTCTTTGCTAGATACTTTAAATGCTAAAATTTACTTATTTTTCCTTCTTAGATGAAGCTACTGGATTTTATATTAAAATTTTTTTTGGTTGATTGCCACTAATATTTGAACTAAATAAATCTAAAACTTAATTAATATTGACTTTTGATATGTCCATATCATTATTTTAGTTGTCATTAGATACAGAAACTGCAGAATTAATACTAACATCGTTCTCAAAATAAGAAGATTATTCATTTAAATTATTTATTTTATCGTTGAGAGACTGTTGCTAGAATTCATCAATTTTCTAAAACTGTCTTTAAATACTTTTAGTAAAGCTATTTTTTTTTTATTCTAGGTTTTTGTCAACAACTATATCAAAGTTTGAAATTTATTTTCCAATATCTTGATAAACACTTTTTAGTTAATCTGAAATATGTTTATACAATGAATTATCATGAAAGATGCTATCCTGTATTATTTTCTTTATCACTTTAGTTATTGTATTAGATTGGATATTATTATTATTGTTACTGATTTAGCTATTTTGGAGAATAAATTAAAACAATTACTAATCATTTTGAAGCATTTGACTCATTTAATTTCGTATGCCACTGTTAATTTTATTTAAACTGTCAATAAAGTATTCATTTAAGTCTAAAAGCTTTTAAATTTAGTGTTTTTCATAAGTGTAATCAGAATTATTCATCATTATGTCTAAAATAACTTCCATAATATCTTTTTAAGAGCTTATATCCTTCAGACAATTTTTATGTTAAGTGTGGTTCATTTTTCTTTAAATGCATCTTGGACAGATAAATAGATATTTTTCTTCACAGAAGTTAAATGTACAATAATCTGTACATTACTTTTAATGCTCTGAGCACTCTATTACATTTTAATCAGCCATTTTTATTCTAAAAATTTTTATACTTTTTTTTAATTTTTTTCAGATATAAAATCTCTTTGACTAATTATGATAAAAATCAATTGTCTATTAATATTTAACTTTTTTACTTTATTAAGAGACCAAGCATAAGTATAATTTCAGTTTAAATATTTTATTTAAAACCAAGAATAATTATTAGAATTTATGAGATTGATCTGTTTATTACTATCGCTAATTCTAAAAAAAATAATTTATTTCTAAAATATCTATTATTTTTTCTATATTATTCCTAATTAATTAAAGTATATTTCATATTAATTTCATTTTGATATTTAACAATTTATTTGCATTTACAAAAAAATTATTTTAATTTTATTTTTTATCATTTTTAAAAATATTTTTTAATGATTTTTTATAATATTTTTTTTAATAATTTATTATGTTTGTTTTCAATGATTTTTTAATATTAATTACATATTTTAAATTTTAAACGGATAATTAATATTTATGTTTGAGAATTTGTATCATTCATTTATTTTAATGTAATTTTAATTTTGCCAGATAAATAAATTAAAAGTATGATAAACGACATTGAAAATAACAACATGAGCGATGACTCAAAAGACTAAATACCCAGTTAATTTTCGATCAGAAAGAAGGCTAAAACAACAATTGATATAAACCTGCAAAAGCAGACAGAATCTAAGGTTTTTGATAACTATTTTATTTATTATTTGAATCATTCATTATAAATTACCTACTTAAATGATTTATTTAAGATTATATGGCATCAAATTTTTAACTTTCAATAAAAAAAGCTACAAAATAGATAACCCTCTGCAAAAGATTACCTAAATGTGTTACCTGATCTCGAAATGGAAGACTAATTGAGTAGCAAAATTCGATTTTAAATAAATTCTGATATTTCAAATGAGTTATCAAGTAAAGCTATATAAAAAGAAAGTACAAATAAATCACACAAGTTAAAATAAATTCCTAAAATTAATATTACTCATATTTAAGAAAATAAACATAATTAAAATGCATCCTTTGAATATTTAAAAAGTGTTTCACCATTATTATAAACTCGATAAAAATGTTATAGTTTTTCATAAAATCAAAAATACCTTTAAAGTCCTCTACTTAAATAAAAAAGCAAATCGAAAACTCCTAATAAAAGAGATGTAAGTGAGAATGAATAATAATTTTTTTCTCAAAATGCCTAAAAACAACCTATTACTCTTGATGATTCAAAGAAAAAGAAACTGATAAATGAAACATCTAAAGATAAAAATTAACAAGAAAAAAATATAAAAGATTCACAAGATGCTAAAAATAAAGCTTTGTATAAGAAAGCTTAGTCTCGTTTTAATTTATAAAATTTAATTGATTTTCACTCTAAGTGGTAGCTTCTTAAAAATATTAGAAATAAACCATTTAGAAATAGTAACAATAACATCGAAAGTATTGAAGAGAATATCAGCTAGGAATAAGATGATGTTAGAAAATCAAGCTAAGATTTGGATAATGAAAATGCATAAATAGAATAATAATTGCTCTAAAATAATTATCTAGATGAAATCTAAGAAAAGGGTTAAATGGAAAATTTAGAAGAGGGTTTGGCTTAAAGGAAACAAAATAGTAATCATTTGGCTAATAAATTAAGGCAGACTCATAAGAAGAAATTTTAGTAAGAAGGATATTCTGATTTCTCACAAAGTAGCTAATATTATAAATCCGATGGATTAAAATTGAGTGATTATTTTTTTGTTGGTAGTTAAAACTCAAACTAAAAGTCTTAATAAGTCAGATTAAATTTAAGTTAAGAATCAGAAAATAACCGTAAACCAAGCAAGCTTATAAATATATTTAAAACAGAATTTGATGGATCTTAAACACAAAAATCTCATAGATTCTCATAAGAAAATCATATGAGTGATAATATGGGGTTTAAATCAAATATGAATTTTAATTCTTCTATTTAAAAATAAAATCAGAACTAAGAAATTAGTGTGTAATTATCAAAACAATAAAACTATAGTTAAAATATCTAGTTAGGCCTTACAAATGTGTTTTCTGCTTCTTTAGAGCAGTCAGTAATTTTAAACAAGAAGTAAAGTGAAGTCAAAGGTTTATTATCACCTAAAAAAGATAAAACTAATTAAAATTATGACTTTAAAGAATCTTCTCCTGTACCAACAAAAAGATCAGTAAGCCCTTAATTTATTTAAAGCAGAGGTAAAAGCTCAGAGTAATCAATCACTGAGTCTAGAATGAGTGCAAATGACATCAGCAATAAGATGATAGATGATGAATTGTAATTCTAAAGAAAAAGAAGACAATAAAGTCCTCTTAATTATCTATTTAAAAAATACCCTGATGCAATTAAAGATACAAAATATTCATATATGAAGATGCAAATGAGGTAAGTTGTTGAAAATCATATAGCTCCAGAGCTTTCAGCAGAAAAAAAGCTTACAGAAAAATATGAAAGTTACTCATAGAACTTAAATACCAAGCTAAGGAATAAGCTAGTTAAATAAAGCTCAAATAAAATAGATCCTCATAACTCAAAGCTAATAAGCTTAAAAAGCTGCTTTAGCAATTAACAAAGAAAAACTTTCTCACAAATAAACTAGTTAATTTGTGATGTAGAAGTTGCCAAAAAATAATATAAATTTATTGATTACCATCTAAGCAAGTTCAACAAAACTATTAACGATATAGATGATACAGCAGTATAGTCTTCATATTTTAATGTAAGTGATTTTATCTATAAAACCTAAATTAATAACAGGAATAAGTAAAATTAAATAATTAGTCACAATAATTAAAATAAAAGACTTATGACTGAATGAGTGAGTGAGTGAATGTGTTAAAATTACTTATAATAAATTTAATATAAATTATATGTTTGTAAATATTTTAATTTAAACTTATAAATAACAAAGATTAGCATATTCAAATTGGTTATAAAATAAAATATTTAATTTTTAAATATATATTGTCCTTCGATTATTTTAAGTAAATGTATGTCTGAATAATCTATAAAATAGAGCTACAAATTTATTTGAAACAAAAATAAAATAATTTAATAAGTAAAGTTAGTAATAATTAGTTTCACAACTAAAGAGGATTTTAGGCTATAGGATAAGTTTTAGATAGATCATTAGCCTTTTTTATTTCATTTTCAAATTATAAGAACATTTTAGTTCCAACTCCTAATGCATGTCTATATTTAACTATACATCTATGCATACAACTTTATTCAGCGACATTAAGAATAGGTTTAGAAACATCTTCTAAACATTTATATACGCAAGTCTTTTACATTACTTTATAAGCCTAATAAAGATCAACATAATCTTCAGAAAGATTGCTTTGTTTGCTCATTAAAATATAATTTTACTTAGTCTAATTATAATAATATATCTTAGGATAAAATTTTAAAGAATATTCTTTAGTTTTTATCAAATAGTTTTGCAAAAATGTTAAAATATCAAATTTAAATAAATTCAGTGTTTGACTTCTAGAATAAAAATTATAAATAAAATTAAGACTAATTGTTAAAAATTAATTTTAAATAGCAAGAGAATTAATTCAAATATAAAATATATTTATTTATTTGTATTGTTAATGAAATTTAACTTAAAGTGTTAATTGATTTTTTTTTTCAAAACAATCATTTATGAAGTTCTTATCAATACTAAAGTGTTTATTATCAATTTTAAGGATATCTAACAGATATATGATACCTGCAATTATTTTAGTTAGTAAAATTATTTTTTTAACTGTGTTAAATTTTATTTTATTTTTGAAAAATAAGAATATTATTAAATTTAGAACAAGAAAGCTTATAGAAAGATTAAATAAAGCTTTATAATAAATTATTAGTAAGTATAGGATTTATTTTTTATATTTATTTAAACATTTATCATTATAATAATATAATATAAATATGATTAATAGAAAATATTTAAAAATATTTGTAGTTAAAACTCATTTTTTAAAAAAACAAAAGATCTAATGTTAATTTACTTTAAATAATATTTCAAATTCTCCATTAATATATCAAAAACACCTATTAAATAAGTTTTAGATTGTAAGTTTAATCAGATACAGATTTTCTTGGTATTATTAATTAAAATTGTAAAATATTTTTATAATATTTGCATCTCAAAAATAGTTGTAAAGAAATAGCTTTGAATTTATTTAATCATACAATTCTCTCTGTTTTTGTTACACATTAAAAATTGTTAGATTTTTAAATTTTCGATAGTTAGAGTATAATTTTCTTATAAAACTCAAAAATACTTAAGATAAAAATCTATTCCTGTATATTTATCAATTAAATAAAATAGAATATACTTCAATGTATATTAAAAATTATAAATATTTTTTTAGATGTCGAATGTAGTAAATTATTTTTGTTATAGTTTTAATTTTGTTTAGATTAAAATAAACTGTGTAATTTATCCTAAAAATATAAATTTTATTGCTATAAATTTATTTCTCAGCTCTTTTTGGTTATAAAAAATGTTTTTTTAGCATATGTAATTTTCTGTTGACTAAAAAAAATGTAAAAAAGAGTAAGAATTAAGTTTAAAAATATGTCTTGGACTGTATTGTACAAAATCTTTAAGTTCAATAGTGATAATTTAGTATTTTGTTTTATTAATAGGATAAAAGAAAAAAAATTTCGATATTGTAAATTTGACTAATTTGTATGATTGATTCTAATTTTTCAAAGTTTGATTAACTTTTTGATGGATAAGTGAAAATAAATATATTAATAAATACTAATAATTCGAACGAGTTAGCTAAAGTCTAAAACATGAGATCAATATCAATTATTTATCTAGAAAGAAAAATATGAAGAAAAATTGAATGATCTTTAACTAAGATAAAAAGAAATAATAAAAAGGCATGCAAACAAACATACATAAACCCAAAAAATATTTATCAATTAAGAAGAATAAGCTATTCGAAATATAAAGATTATTAGATAGATATAAATGCTTAAGTTATGTGCATTCTCTTATTTGTTCAATAATCTAATTTTTTTTTTTGAAATCTATTAATGTACATTGAATAAAAAAATATAAAATAACATATAAACTATTGATTTTTGAGTATTTCACAAATTTGATAAAGTTAAACTCATTTTTGAGTTTTGTAAAGAAAAAAACAAAGAATTGATTAAAAAGATTACTTATATTAAATTAATATTGATACAATAACTTATTAAATAAGCAACTAATTAATTAATCCATTGCTGTGGTGACGAGACAAATACAAATAACCGCACCTATGCAGGCTGCTTTTCAGAACTCAAATAAGTCTTCTGAAATCAGCAGTGTTAATAGTAAAAATCGATCAGAAAGTATATCTAGCAACTCTCAATAAATTTAAGTAGGAATAAATTTGTAGGGAGATTAGAACATTATGCCAACTATTATTATTTAGAAAAGATCGTTTCCAATGAGAAATGACTCGCGAAATGATTTTTAAAAGTGTTCAACTGCATCATGCTCAGCATCTAAAAAATCTTTACAGCCACCAAAATAAGGTGAGTTTTAAAATGAAAAAGAATAAATACACTCAGACAAACTTATTATGAAAATAAAAGACGAGTAAGTAGTAAATTCTCAAAATTTTGCTAAAAACAAAAAGTCATAGAAACTTTCACCATAATATGAAGATGTCAATTAAGAAAAATTAAGATAATCTTTTTATGGCAAGAGATTTTTTGTAGGAAAAGGTAATATAAGTATTGGGCAGTAAGGAAAGTAGCATATTGTTGCATTTTTAGGATTATTTATTCCAATCTCTTGCTTTATTTTATATGAAGTACAATTTCCTCAAGGTTTATGCAGCTATGATGGCCTTTCGTGGATAGTAATAGTTTCAATAGCAAGCATTTTGAGTTTGTTTCTTTTTATTTATTGCTCAATCAGTAATCCTGGATTTATAGCTATACCTTTAACTCAAAAGCAAAGACATTCTCTACCAGTAGTCTAACAAAAAGGTTAAAAATTGTTTGATTTGCGATACTGTTATACTTGTCATATTTACCGCCCTTTACGAACTCATCATTGCAAAATTTGCGATTTATGCGTCATAGAGCGTGACCATCATTGCCCATTTTTAAATAATTGCATTGGTCATTAAAACAGAAGAGGTTATATTTACTTTCTTTTGGTTATAGTAACTATGAAATTACTTATAGTGACAGAATGCTTATTTTAAATTATTTATCCATTTGTTGAAGATGATGATTTCGTCCAAACAATCTAACGAATATCTGTAATACTAGCTATTATCTAATGCATCTATTCGGCAATTTTAGCAGCTAATATTTTAAGTTTACTAATTTTTTAATTTCAACTTATAGCAAAAAATCATACAACTGATGAATTTAGGCGTCTTATTGTACCTGATCCTAAGCCTGTTGATATCGAATTAAATAAAGAATTTGACTATGGTTGCTTATCTAATTTTAATCATGTTTTATTTTATTCTAGGCCTTCAGAGATAATTTATCAGAACTTCGATAAATTGGATAAGACTTATCTAATTTAGAGATATAATTATTATAAAAAGAAAGATATTTTATTAGACTAAGAAGAGGAAGAAATAAAACTAAATAATTAATTTATAATATAAAATACAAAAGCGAATAATGCTAGTGAGAAAGTACAATTAAATGACAATAATAACAATAATAACAATGATATTAATAACATCAAAAACAATTTTCACTTCACTTCTATGTAATCTAAGCCTTGCATTTCTCCACAAAAATAAGATTAAAATATCTAAGATCAGACTAAATTTTTTTTGTCCTCTTCAAAAGAATCTGCATAACGATCCAATTAAGCACATTTAAATTCGCTTTTCTAATTAAATATCTAACATAGCTAAAGTCAAAGGATAACAGATAAAGAGCACTCTCCTTCTTAAATATTTAAAGAGTAAAATATATAGTTTAATAACTAAAATTTAGAGTAGTAAATCTTTAAACTTGATGAGATTGAAAATAACTAGGTATCTTAAGTAGGTAAAACAAATAATCTAGCTCACTTGCCACCTCCTCCACTTATCCTCGATAATTTAAAATTGAGAAAAATATCTAAAAATTACTCAAATTAAGATTTTAAAGATGACCAACAAAATAATGATAGTGAAGAAAATTAATAGAATTAATTTAATGTTTAGCAAATCAACCTTAATTTAAGAAAAAATAAAAGCCTATTTGTTGTTACTAAAAATAATAGTAGCAGGAGTGAATATAATAATTAAAATTAAGAAAACAATAGTAGAAATGGTACTATATAATAAAGTACCAATTCATATTATCAAAAGTAAATCTAATCCAGTTAAGAATAAAAAGCAAATAATTTGTTACAGAACAACTAAAACTATCAAGAATATGATTCTAACATCATCATTTACGAATTAAAACCTAATGAAGATACCTAAGTTTAAAGTACACAAAAGCGCTCTACTTTTTCTTCTTATGCTAGTAAAAGTTAATCATCTAAAAACATTGAAAATAATTCGTAAAATATATTAGCAAGCGAAAGTACGACACCTGCTAGTTGCTTACAAAATAATAATAAAAATACTCTAGATCAGATTAACAAAAAATGGTAACCAGCTAATATGGATAAATAAGAAATTCAAAACATTAACTTTAACTAATTATTAATATGCGATGATGATGACGACACTCCTTCTTCGTAAATATAATAGAAAAGGCCAGATTAGGTAGGCATATAATATTAATAAAATATTAACAGTGCCAACTCTTCAAAAAATTTTGTAGGATTTAAGAATATGAGCAGTGATATACTAAGTATTTAATCACAATTTATTGGAGATAATTCACCCAAATAAAATACTATGAATACAAATTAAAAAGACAATATCTTATTTGATAAAAATAATATATATCATCAAAATTATAATAAATAAAATTCATCAGATTAGTCCTCAATATCTTAATTTTACTAAGAAAGTAGGTAAAAATAATATAGCACAACCTCAGCTAATACTGTTGGTTTTGATAGAAATTCTATTGCTAAATCTAAAACTAATTCTACAAATGATGAAATTCTGAGAAATATTAAAGGTTTTTACAACGACCCTTAATAAGAATAAAGCACTGATCTACCTACAACATTCCATGATTAACAAAATATCTAAACATACCAAGAAAGAATTCCATCAAAGTTAGTCCCACACTCAGCTGTAAATGAAATCTAAAATAATGATGACGATTTCAATATTGCCCAATCTTAAAATAATTATGACAAAAATTCTATCAGATAAAAATAAAGACTACTGCAAAAAAGAAATAAGAAGTTATTCTAAAATATGCAAAAGAGTTCTTAATAACCAAGAGCTAACAGTAATAATAACTCATTTTCTTTATGCGATAATTTTGTGGATGAAAATATCAATAACATTGCTCATAGTAACTCTTTGTAATTAAATTAATAAATTGATAAAAATTCCTAAACTTCATCTTAAAAAAATTACGAAATTTAATAATAATAATAACTATAAAGAAGATCAAAAGTAAGCCAATTGAATTTGTGAGGAAAATACTGTAAAAAGAAAAAAAAGAAAGATAATTTTAATTAATTTAAAATAATATTTACATTCAAATTAATAAACTTTTTCATTGTTATTAAAGTAAGATAAAAAATTGAAATCTTATGTAATCTAAACATATTAATTATGACTATATCAAAATAAATTATACATAAAATAATAAATTAAAACTACTATAACTAACTAAATTAATTAATTTAAATAGGTAATATATCTAAACTATCTCAGGTCTCTTATTCTTAAATACTAGTTCAATTTACAAATTGAATAAAATTATTTATTTAAATTAAGATTGTATTTCTAATTCCTTTAACTATTTTCACACACATTACACCAAAAAACATATAAATTAATCAAAAAAAAATCACATTGTAAACATTCTTAAAATCTCTCTATATTTTAATTGCAACTTATTTGATTATTTATTAAATTAATCAATCAAATCGTTCTGATCTTTGATTAAATCTAATTTTTTTTAATTATTAAATTTCTTATTTTCTATTTTTATAACTATAAATATTATTTATACAATTTTAATTTAATTATAAACTTTTGCTTTATTTACTCATTATCACATTGTAGTTTAATTTAATTCTAAACTTTATTTATTAATTCTTCATCACAATATTGTTTATTTTAATAATAAATTTTATTTCATTTATTCTTCTTCTTCTTCACAATGATATTTAAAAATTTCTTAAAATTGAATAAAAATCTCTTAAAATTGTATAAATTTATTTTTGATGGCTAATTATTAAGTTATTAGTATATCTTTCAAATGCTTTTTTATTACATTGATAATGAGTTTTCTCTAAATAAAATATTTATTTTTACCACAGCTTTTATTGGTAAAGAGTGTAATATTGATAAGAAAAATAAAAAAATAAATAGTTTAAATAAAAGGGTTGGGGTTGGGGTTGGGGTTGGGGTTG